ATAAATTGAATTTTACCAAACAGACGTGACGACCGTTGTTTAATGGCTATAATTTCTACTCGTTTACGTTTGAAAAGCTGTTTTATTTTGAATTCGTATGTGAAAATAACTGGGATCATAAAAATTAGTATTCACACAATTATATTGCCAACAAAGCATATTTAATTTTAATTTTCTCGAAACTACGAGACGCTCTCTAAGTGGGTCTTTATATTTATCTTAAGAGATGTATGTCTTGAGAAACGAGTCGAGAACAGGTAGAGCTGTATAGATTCACAAATATGGTGTAATTTTGATTATAATGGAACCTTAGACCGATGGAGAGGAGTCAAATATTAAACTGGACCTCTAGCACGGCTCTAAACTGACAAAGCTGAGAAACAATATAAACAGCAATAGACCCATTAAACCTCTCTCCACAGTCCTATTAATAATGCATTGTTTTACGACTAAAATTAACTTCGCATTTACGATCTCACCGACGACACGAACTTCTAAAATTATCTTCATGTGACGATGACGTGACATGACTCGAAAATTTAATTTAAAATTGACAATTGTCTTTTGCGTAATTGTCTTGTAAGACCTTAATTTAATAATTTCCTATTCTTTAGCGGCTTGTGTTGATCTTATACTAGTGCATGTATAGCTTTATTAGTTCTGAAATGTTCTTCCTAGAGGTCCAGTAAGGATCATCTCTTATTGATCCAGTGTTACTACAGGAGGAAACCTAAACTAAACTAACTTTATTTATACTGGATAACTCTATCAGTTCTAAACTGTTCTTCCTAGAGGTCCAGTAAGGATCATCTCTTATTGATCCAGTGTTACTACAGGAGGAAACCTAAACTAAACTAACTTTATTTTTACTGGATAGCTCTATCAGTTCTAAACTGTTCTTCCTAAAGGTCCAGTAAGGATCATCTCTTATTGATCCAGTGTTACTACAGGAGGAAACTTAAACTAAACTAACTTTATTTACACTGGATAACTCTATCAGTTCTAAACTGTTCATCCTAAAGGTCCAGTAAGGATCATCTCTTATTGATATATTAGATATGTCCGTCAGGATCATCTTCTTTATTATAAGCGTATACATAAAGTTATTAAGAATTATTGCTTCGTTGGTATATTTCCCATCCAGCGAGGCTCCAAACTGTCCACGGGAAATGCAAGCGACCTGGAGAAATACACCCACTGTATGTTTGTCAACAGTTAAAATATCTGAATACGAACCACCCATAAGGATACACCATATCTTGTTGATAAGAATCTTTTCATCTGTCAAACATCTTTCAAAAAGTGTTTATTATCAGACGTAAAACACGATACGGTTTCACCTTTAACCTCAGAAACGTTTTTCGTCTCAGTTTGGTAAATTCCCTCCCAGGACTTAGTGTATTAATGGCGGTCAGCTCGTGCTCTGGTGAAATCGCGTTGAGCCATTTTGACGAACATCTTTTTTCGATGCTTACAGCTTTTTTGCTGAAATATACCAATGCCAAATATGTCGCCTTTTTATGAGTTCGTAGAAAGTTTAGGACCTGAAGAAGATAATAATATCAGTAATATCCGGTAATGTTGGTACTTAAGAAAGCAAACATAAACAATTTGTAACCGTTGGGTGTCGGTTTAGCCTGTTAATAAAGACAAGATAAATATGGACATTATACAAACACACGATGATCACCACTCAAATGTCGGAGTGTAACTGACAACGACGGCTACTCAGGTAGTTCAGATACAAACCACGACAGTTTATTGTAGAATACTACCTACACTGGATCACCACGTTTAAGATATCTTTCTTAGGCAGTTCAGACACAAGCAATTGAAGTGATCAAACGGTCAGCGAATATAATAGAAACACGACTTAACTGAGTTAACTCAACTGCTGTGATATAAAACATAATCCGAAGGCGAAGATTAACATCTTGAAACCTAAAATATGGATTGAAACAAGACAAGAATAAGTTTGTGATATTTTGAATTTATTGAAAAATAATCATCAGACAGACTGAGATTATCGTTTGTCTGGTATTTAATGATAATGATTTCGACTTCATGAAATCAAAATAAGCTTTTTGGCTCGTTTTTGTCCATAGTTTGGGTTTCAAGATGCTAATCTCCAGATTATACTTGGCAATAACACTGCAGTTTTTGAAATTGTGGGTTGGTATTAGTTTTTATTACACGATCCAACTCACTTCTGACGTATGGAATGTAGTCTGTTATTGATAAAGCAATACTGCGTTAGTTTTAGTTGATTTGCCGCCCATGTACATTGCAGGTCAACACACTATAAAACATTCATCAGAAGTGAATTGGAATACCAGATCCAACAAAATTGGATCGTGTGAACAGACTTTTACCCCGTTGTTATGGCTAGCTATTCGGGAAAACAGGAAACAAAATTGTGCTCCGTTAAACCGCGATTACAGAAAGGAAATATTCAAAAAAAGGAAAGCGGATATTTGGAATATTGTAATATCCATTTTCTTAACACTTTAACAATTTTCCCAAGCATATAAAATGACACCTCCTGAGTTTGGTTTCACAAGCGGAAGAGAATGAACGAGAATGTCTCTCGTGTTCAAATATAGCAGGGCTCGACGCTGTGCAATGAATTAACCACATGCAGTTCTCACAGCTATTTTCAGTTACTTTCAGCACTCGAAATGCCTCTTCATGCGCGCAGGAAGCAGGCATTCGTTTGCAAATTTTACGTTTATTAAATTAATATCTTAAATCAAATTATTCGTCAAGACTAATCCTTTTAACTGTTGTGTATTACGCGTTAAAATGTAACCTGGTCTGGCAAAAAGCCTGGCGCATTACGCCGCAATCGTGTCACCGTATTTTTTTCTCACACTGTAGGAGTGCTTTCAAGAAATATCTCAGCTAAACAAACAAAGACAGCTAAAGACAGCAAGGTTAGTTTCCCATACTAGAGGTCAGACAATGCCATCGTCGGTCGTTAAGCACGCCCGCATACCTGACCTCTGACCCATAATTATGTATCGCGGTATTTCGGTGACTGTGTGAAAACGCGCAAAAACGAAATGATTGCCTTCGAAACGATTGATTGTGATTTAAAAAGCGTCGCTATAAGCGGTCGCGTTTCATTCGCTTTATGTCGTTATGTTTGAATCGGAAGCTGTCGCTTCAATCCAGTAATTATCGCAAGTTTTATCTACCTCAATGCATCATCCCATTTTAATCGATCATTGTCGTGTGTGGGAGGCGAGGATACGATTTTAATTGTGGCTAAACTTTGAAGGAAACTAACATTATTTTGCGCGCTAGTTATCCTTGTTCGAAACTTCTCTCTCAAATTACGACATTCAGGATTCAAACTCAATCTGTTCCTGACATGTTTGAAGACTGACAACCAATATAGCATGAATCAAACTGAAGCGGTGAAAGACGAGTATATAAACAGTGGAATGCTACAGAGACCAACATCTGGAGGAACATGATTGATCGTTGCCTTTTATGTTGCAATTTCGTTTCAGAGCCATTCCCTGATCTTTGAAACTCCTATTGATCTGAAACCGTTTTATCTGATTGATATGATTTCACTTCAATTACGTGAATCTATAGACTTTGACTCCTGTAATGATTTCATTTCCTGATTTCAATTTTGCCTCCACAAACTGTCAGAACTATAGTGAAATATTCCAGTCGCTGGGCCCGCAGTCGATTTCTGACGAATGGTAACTACTTCCAGTAAAATCGGTTTAGGTTTGAGCCCGCCTTTAGGAATAATCCGGAGTTAAAACCTAAATAGTTCTCAAAAATCAAGTTAACTTTAAAAGAGTATATCACCGTGTACTGGTGTAAGTGCGTGTCAGTTTATTTCATATTGTTTGCTGGGTTATATTTAAACATTGGCGGCAATTTCATGACAACTAGTCAAAGCCCGAATGCCCAACACGCAATTAAAAATAAGCGCGCGTAATCGTCCCCACGTGCTGGTAAAACCATGTGCCCGAAATACTGCCAAGCAGCCCTTGTGTTCGTCTTTATCTTGTACACTTCTCAAGAGATAATAGATCTCAATTAGTTGATTGAAATTACAGTGTTTCTTTGTACGATATAATGCATAATCCTGTTGTCAACTATTGTCACTTTGGCATGATATATCATAGTACTCAGTGTGGGGCATACGAGCAACGCCTAGTGAATTATTACTAGTTCTACCCCTTCGTGCGTTTTATAATGTCTAGTCGTTCTTAGAACTGAATGCTTAAGAGCAAGAGCGTTATAGATATGTACTCGTTTAAAAGAGGAAGATTATCTAAGATCCTGCAGATACTGATTACATTATACAAAGCATGATATGCACGATACAGTGAACTGGCGACCTTGGGGGCGTTTACCTTTAACAGGATTCTCGTGTGTGTGAACAGTTGTCGGAGGCTGTGTTGAACCGCTTTCCGTTGAATCGGTTCTTAGGCCAGCGAAGAGCTTTGGCGTGCGCAAGTTTAGAGAATCCACTATATATTTGTAACCTCTGATAACTGTGCCATCTGTTACTCAGACATCCTAAAGATGTCCCCCACAATCCTCTACAGCCCCCGTCCAGTATGTTATACCCGTTGTTTGGAAACCCACGCCATCATGAAGAAGAAATGGCGCCAAAACATCTTTCATGACGCGTGCATGTGCGCGCCAAAAAATGAACACATTGTAGAAGGGACGCTAAAAACACGTGTAATTTACAAAACAAATGGTTACTCTGTAGAGGCGATTATTGTTTACTTATGATTCTCAAATGTTTATGTCTCACTTCGCGCCGTTGGACACGTTTTCGTAGCGGCTTTGTTTGTCGCACGTGGCAGATAAAAATACCTGGGGCTTTCTTGATGTTTTTGGATCATATATAGAAAGAGCGACGAAGCCATATATATCCAGCGAGAGGAGCTTATGTTCACGATGGCATTAAAATACAACTTAGTCTAAATATTGTCAAGAATGGTTATGACGAAAAGAGTCTATACGCGGCTAAAATTAACTTTGGCACATAATTAGGCAGCATTCAATGAGACTTAAAATGCAAATTTAAGCATATTCATCATCAAAGAAAGGGTAATTGACTGGGCAGACGGTGGTATTAGCATTTACAATAAGCAGTTTGCAGCATGTTTTGAATACTTACATCTATTCATGGTCACTGTATCGATTACGATCAGCTTTATGGCTTCAGTGGTTTAGGTCTAAGTATTTAGTGAGCAGAGACTTGAAGTATTTTTCCTCTTAAATCTCTTGGAATTTGTCTTCGTTAAAAGGATAAGTATTATAGGTTCAGAGTTCGTAATAGCTTTACAAATACAGCTGTCATAGTTGTCAAATATAATCATCAAATTTTGGCACAATCATGTTGAGGAGGGACAGTTCTGCAACAGTTCTCGATCAGCCATCGTGACTAGTATACCTCAAGATTGAAATGCTTTAAAACCCGGCAAATATTGAACGGCAAATTGAAGACTGAGAAGTGTTTAGGGAATTTGGAGCCACGATATTCATAGTAATGCATATAACCCTCATAGTCATATAATGATATAACCATGTCTATGGACATATTCTTCACTAGCTATTTTTTAGAGAGTGCAGCCAGCCATCCCTCCTAAGATAATATAATATAATTGGTTACGATCATGTTTATTTTTATTTTATTTCATTATTTTTTCTGATGATTTCTCGGCTTATTACCTGTTTACTCGCGCATCACGAGATATTGGACGCCACTTGTATTTTTGTCTAGCTAAGCAGATGCTCGCTCCTTCATGTGCGATCATCATGATTAATTTTTTTAACTCCCCCCATCCCCACATTGTCCATTGCACCACAATTTTGTGTTTAAAAAGCGAACTTCCTCCAGCTCATAACAATTTGCTCGTATATCATGATCATCATCAAACCACAACAAAGACTACAAAAACAAACTATCTTAATTTAAGTAACTTCCTTTCGCCAAACATTGACAATGATTATAATTAATGATATTTCCCAGGGCGAAGTTATTTATTTAGTTTATCTTTGGCATTGGGGTTTTGAAATTTGAATATCCTTCGGATGTAAACTGTCGACTTTATTAGACAGTACCTGTTAATTAAGAAAGTAAAATTTCTTCCCCATATTTTAGTCTGATATCACTCCAATTTAGTTGCTTTTACTTTTTTGTTCGTGATTATTTATTTGGATAGATTCGTAACACTATAAAATTAGAAATATATAAACAACTCGCTTATCTAGTGCAGTGGAATTAATGGACATACGACGGTTGAGTTCTGTCAAAATGTTCATTCAATTCAATTCAAATTCAACTTCGTTTAGTTCTTTGTTTAAAAGGCGCACTTTAGTACTTGCAAAGATGTACCTGCATGCTTGAACACGAACGAGTCGCATGCATTCATACACACTTGGATGCCACGATATTGCCACTTGTTATATAAACCACTTACCCTTTCTCAGTCAGAATCCAGAACGGTCTATTTTTGACTTGTTTTGACCTATATAAAGAAATGCTTGTGGTATAATGGTCTTAAGATTGTTTGCAGTATCATCCAACACGCCCCATGTTGCATGTGTTAGATCCTTAAACTTGATACTCACTCTGATGAGTATCGCTATAATAAGCACAATGTCCCGCGCCACAGATGGCGTTCAAACACCTGAGATTATCAGAGTGTGAAAATTATGTTAATTTTAAACGTATCAAAGACATGAATCTTGTTCAGTTGCCCGGTAAAGGCACAGTCATTTCAAAGCTAGACTTGTTTAGAAGTTAAACTAGCCATACATACGTTTAATAAACGTCGAGACTGTATTTTCTTCTCGCAAAAGCATGTACATATTAGAAAACCTTACAAAGATTCATTCTGATATGAACTCAAGTGTTGACCACAAGCTCTTGACATGTGCTCATATATTAGTGTGCGTTAGCAACTCACATGCTCAAGATAGTTGATTTTATAATTTGCTGCAATCGTGCATTCCAATCTTATATTCGACTTTGACCTGTTCACTAAAAGCCACCTTTCATCAGTTCGATGTTTGAAGACCTCCGATGGCCTTCACTAGGACTGATTCTCTTCCTCAGAGCGGCTGAGTTTACTAGTTTGCCAAGCTTTATTTTATCGGAAAATATTTCCCGTTTGAAACTGAACGAGAAACACGCTGTTTTACTTCAGCACAAAGTGCTCATCGTTATCTTTTCTACTATTTCTGCTCTGTTATTTCTTCTGTTCAATATTTATTTCACTTTTCATCTTCTTTGACATCCACTTTTTACATTCATTCCTTCCTTTCTCTTTATTCTTCACCGACTTCGTCATTCATCCCGTTCTCCACAGTCACCTTCTTTCTTATTCTCTTAACATATCCTTTCATTCATTCATAAATTCTTCCCTCTTAATCCCATGCTTGTTTCCACCTGTCTTTCCTTCTCTTCATTCTCCGAAAATTTTTTAATTAAAACATAGTTTTTTACCAGAAATGACGGATCCTTTAAGCTGCTTTAAACCTGGTTGAGTAACGTTATTAACGTACATGATCTCATCTCTTCACAATATTCTTATTCCTTTTGTTGAAATGCAGTAATATGCTATTTAAAAGTGGGAAGTTCTTAAGAAAGTTGCAAGTTTTTAACAATATTAATGAAGATCCGTGATGAATGATCATATTTGGAAAAAGTACAGAAATCATTTTAGATAATGAACACTATAAACAATACGACTCCAGGCATTAGTTGGCAGCTAGACGGCTGTTTCCCGTAGACGTGATTGTCTTTTGAAACAATAGATAGATTAAGATTTGGATATAATTTGATATGTCATCTTTTTCATTCAATTTTAATAAAAGCAAAAAGGCCAAGTTTACACGAGGCGACGCTGTACGGATTTTAAAATTCAATTATAGTTTCGCAGTCTTTTAAAGCCTGTGTCTGCAGGCGATTGAAAATTGAGAAAAATTTCACAAGCTTCAAAATCACGAGGGAACTGATTTTGCCCAAAAACAAACACTAGTCTATTTCGACTTGCAAGGAAAGCTCATAGTTTAAATTACAGCTGACAAATATGGCGCCTAGGTGGCTTAGACGATAAACAGTCAAACAATGTGCATGTTTCAAATTCTTAGCAATTTAAAAACACTTCTTCGTTTGGTCTGCTGGGAATATATTTCGCCTGTACTCGATCTAGCATAAGGTGATTTTTTTCGCATTTCTACGCTATGATGTACCATTGAGCAAGTGCATTCTGTCTGTTTACCTTTGTCTGAATGAGCAGCTGCATTTTGATCGGATGATATATATATATACTACTTCCTATTCAAAACCATGGATCCTTAATCAATAAAGGGTTTTAATTGCATGAATACATCATCCTTCAATTTCTTCGTAAACAAGCGCGCTGTTCTCGATTCAACGCACTTAGAAACGGCGCAAATCGTTAACAGTGTCAACGAAATTGTCCACGCGGTACCCAAGCATCTCATGGATAAGGGCCTTGCCAAAAATCTGCTCAAGTTGAAGGCGCGAAATGGAAATTTTAAAATTAACACCTGCGCACGTTCAGAGACAAAGCACGAAGAGTGTTTTGTTGTTCAAATGAAAATGGTCTTAAACTGACCGCGCACTTTGTTAACAGGAAAAAGACACTCGCTGTCATATGCCAGAAGCTCGTGCGTTGATTTTAAAGCCGGTGAACTTTGTACCAGTTAGATATGAATGCAGAAAGAAACAAATAAAACTACGTTCAGTTTGATGGCTTATTTGTTCTTGTCATGCATAAATTAATCTTGATTTGTTTATCTTGTTTAATTCGATGACCACTACTCCTCGTGTTTGCTCTCAAACGAAGAAAGGGAAATATACTTTTAGGTCTCAATTGAAATCGAAATATCTACTCTCAATACCATTGTTTGTATTTTCTTAGTATGTGATATTTTTCTTTCAATATTCGCAACATTTCTGCCTCCCACCGGGTTTGACAAGCATTTTTGATTACTTTTAATTATACGAAGCAATTCACAAGCTATCTCTTGCATCAAACGGCTAAAAGAACTCGTTACATTTGTTCAAACGATTAGATGGTGACGACTGTGACCTCATACACAGCGCAGTTCTGCGTTAAACGGGCGCGTGGTGGATCGGCAATTAAAGTTAGATCAGAATTCGGAAATGATTGCATTGTGAACGCTTTCAATCACAACAAACATTGCTCCTTAGGGGAACTGTTTCATCCTCAAGGTCTCCGTTTCGCTCGACCGGGCAGGCACACGGCTTATCAATGCGCGACACGTGCGCGCTTTTTAAACACAATGCGTTTAATCCCGCCAAAATTATCCCAAAACAAACTGTTTGCGTTTACACGAAACTCATAGTCCAGGTCAAATTTTTCCAACCAACAAGCATCGAGAACACAATAATAATCTTATCCAGAAGCCATTCTCATGTTAAGCCATATCATTTCAACAGTACATCCATCATCCATGGACCTGCTGTTACCATGACAATATTACAAGGTTTTAAATCGCTTGAAAATATTTAATATTTGTTTCTTAAATCTGACATGCGTGTGCACTCGTGATAGGGAAAGATTAATATGTTTCTACTGCCAATTGTTATCGGTCTCGGTTGCGCAGGTTAAACGTGCTGTTACGAGTTCTGGTTGTATATATGAATTTCGAAGTTTTTGAGGCCCCATACGTCACGTTGGTCATTACGCATGTCGTTTAAGGGTTTTAAGGCCGGCCCTCTTACAGCAAATAGATTTAATTGATAGTTCGACGCGTACTGAATACGGTGGGGTACGGAGCTACATGTACTTCTGACAAACTTACATGTTGTTATTGAGGAGAGTTATTCTACTGGAACGGAGAGCTATATGACCTGAAGGTTGCAATGGCCTTTCAAGTCGGCCTACCTATTTATTGTATTTTCAGCATATTGTTATTGCAGGTTCGTGACGGAGCGAGTGAGACTGCCATACGGCCGTCCATATATTATCGATGTATATATCTACGGTGCAGAGTCGCGCGCTTACGATGAAACATAACTTATATTTTTTAATCCATTGTATAGAACGTCTCCGGCCTTGGCCAGTTCCAAGTCCGTCTGCTAGAAATTCGAAATATCGATGGAGTTAAGTTTGGCGGTTCCTGTTGCGATGGATCACGTTCAATGATTCACGGATCGAATCGATGTCAACCGGACAATTGCGACACTTTCATTCGGATATGCCTTCAGCATTATCAAGAAAAAGTTCAGGAAAACGGGCTGTGTACCCTGGGGAATTCCACAACCCCTGTACTCGGAGCAGACTCATTTATTATCGCAGATACAATAAATACTACCAGTCCTATTCCTGGCTTTCAAAATCCTATCTCAATGCATTTCAAATTCTGGTGGTTGGTAAGTAATTTTATTCGTTTCATTTAATGCCTATTTACAGTTTAACATTGTACTTAGCGGATTTTTAAAATCCTTTGTGAAATATTATTGAGGCATATTGTGCGAGTTAGTCTAGCATCATTTATGCGGACCGTTCCGTATTTACTCGCGTTTATTGCCTAGTGCAGATGGCTGCCGTTTAGACAGCTAAGTTTTTCTCTTGAAAATTTAATGATTTTGCATGCAAATTTTACCAACAGTCTTCCCATTGCTTCGACTGTGACAATATTTCAGCGACACAATACTCCTGTAACAAATGCACGCTTGCTTCAGCTACGCTCTACCCTTTGCGATTTTTTCCCCTCTAACAACTCAACTTAATGCTGTGGTTTTGTGGTTATATGCGTGTAGTCCTTCTATTAATCTCAAAATGCATGTCTTAAACCCGTTAAAAAGCCAACATGTAATGCTCTATCATATCCCTCGCAAGTCGGTCTTGAGATGCCTGAAACAATTAAAGAGCAAAAGCGTGAAAATGACCTAAGTGTATGCAGCTGTCTTGAGTAGCTGTAGTGTGGCGCCCAGCGCTTAAAACTATCAGTTCGAGTTCGAGGTATTTGACCTACAAATGCTTAAAGCTCGCTTTGGGAATTATTCTCCGACTTGTTTACTGTGGCTGCTTATTGAGGCATCGGACACGTGTTGTAAGCGACAATCTATTCAATTGTGTATGATAATTACACTCGCGTTGAACGAGGGAGGCCATTCGGTCACAATAACTCTGTGTATGTTTCTGAATGAGGCGCATGGCGTATTACAACAGCATTTGACAGACAAAAACTCTCGTTAGGTCTACGGTTTCGGCCTCAATTTTCCCCCAAACCTCACGCTAATTGATCTTAGGCCAAATTTTTATCTACAATGGGATACGTCAACAGCTCTGAGTAATAGGTTTTATTTATTTTTGTCGGTCCTTGTCAATGATTATTGGCTTTCCTGTAGTTTAAACTTGGAAGTTGCATGGTCTGTGTGCAGGGCTGTGGGCAAGTGGGCTTATTAGCGTGGTGGAAACTGGTCTGTATATGATGGAGACGGGCATAATATTGTTATAGAAGTGAATTTTCGGTTGATTACTGTGTAAATTGTTGCCAAGGCGCTAGTGTCTCGTGGGAGGACTGTAACCTGCGGTGTAATCGATGTAGAGTTAAATATCGAAACGTTTATCGGAAAATTTCGATTTCGCAAAGCAAGCACGCGTTCTGGGTGAAAGAACACGTTTTTATCTCGTTTAGTGTCCAATGTGTTTTCGTGCCACAGATGGTCGCTTGAATTTGACGTCAACGCATGCTCAAGAAGCTTAATGGTCGATTGCGAGCCAAATAATGTTTCTTGCACTCATGAAAAAAATTAAGCCGGAAAGAATAATCCTTGTTCAGTTGTCTTTTATCATGCTAACTTCTAACACTGTTTTCCACGTGTCAACTGGATTGCTCGCTATCGCCGTCGCTGTTCACTTTACCCTGTCACGAAACTTGCTTCCATCAGGCGCTTGTGGGAAATCAACATATTGATAAATAAGCGTGAATGAAAAACAAATATGGTCTTCTTTCAATACCCGTATTGCTTACTTCCTCTTTAAATTAAATGATTAGATAGCATAGTGTTGTGTTCTTTTGGAGGACCGAGGATTGATTCGCGCGAAATGACGAACATTTTTGCTCGAAATCTAGAATATTCTTCACCAGTCTGTACCGTCGTGCTTTGCAAAAACCTTAACAAATTCGCCCCGAAGTAGAATTTATGAATCCTCTGCTCCTTTGGAGCAACGTGTGGATTAAATTTCTGGCGTTTTTTATAAATAACATGATAAGTTTATATAAACTTTTTAAGTAAACGAAGGGATACTTAGAGACTCATCAGACATCTCTCATTGTTAGCGCTAACAATTCTCCACCCAGCATTCCAAATTTGGAATGGAATAAGTTGTGTGCTCCAAATCAAACGTGGGAAATACATTTTGATGTTTCGCAAATAGTTCATTCCTGTTATCGAGTCTGCTCCTCGACACTCGATCCTCGTCGTGAAAGAGAAACGAATGCCATGACTCCGTCAGACGTGATAAAAAGCAAGACTATTCATCTCTCTGCAACCACAGCGGAAAATGCTCCCTGTCGTGCTTAAAATTTGTCGAGTAACGCAATGCAATTTCCTAACCCTATTTACAACTTAATACCCTGTCAAGCATTTACCATCGACTCGCAAAAAACTTTGGGATTCCCAAAAGCTGTTTACGCTAATATTAAGACATATTTGCGCAGTCCTAATTAGAAGTCCACGCGCAATTGCGCACGTCTGTTTATAGAATGCGCAAAATTCTCAGCATTGAGAATCGAAAACCAAAGTGTTGCGGTGTTGATGTAAGGCGATTTTCAATTTCCTCCTTAGACTTTCCTTAGACAAATTTCGGTTTATCCAAATCCTACCGCTTTTCTCTTGGTACTTGTTGACTGTTCACAAATATCGCTGCAGGCCCTTTAGTAAAACGACAGCCGTGTTTGTTTTTCTTGTAAAGCTGTTTGAATATCAGTGCATATTTGAAAACTTAACTCGAGTATTGAGGGGGATTTGCTAAGAGGAATATTACTGGTAAATACTGAAACTTCATCTGCCTTGTGATCGGTGTTCAACTCCAGTAACATGCTTTACATATACTTTGATTATGTCGTTTCGCCTTTAGGCATCGGGAAAACACTTTAAAGTAAGTTGAAAGTATGCCTACTTGATAGCTGTCCGGCCATTTCGTTAGCAAATACTGATGGTGTTCTAAAGTTTGAAGTGGCTGCTTCCAATGAATTTAGCGATAAATGGAATACTTGAGAGATTGCACAATTAAAATGCCTGCAAAACCTAACAAAGCTTTGCCTTAGCTTTTCTTAAAACTATACATTCCAGGGCAAGACCTTTGCTCGGAACTCAGAACTCCTTGTGATATTTTTCAATCCCTTAAAGCCTGTACGTCCTGCCATGCACGCTTGTTTTCCGAGATGATTTGCCGTGGTTTTGTCTAAACTACTTGAAAGAGATTAATGAAAGTGCTTTGACGTTTTTCTTTCGCGAGGGTCGGGATTTGACTTAACTTTATAATTAATTGGCTCAATCAGCCAAGCCAATGATTTAATCAACTTACGATTTTAATATATCGGTTAAACACGAAGTCAATTGGTTGGAATAGTTTTGCCAATGTGGTTACTTCATTTGTTTTCCCGTTTCAGACCATTCAGATCTTTTCATGCCTTTGTTCTCACGATTTTTGTGGCAGCCGAATGCACTTAAAGCATTTTATCAAGTTGTTTGATTTTTTAAGTGGAAGTTGACGGAACGAAGGGGCTATATTTAGTACGAACGATTTGACCACAAATTTTAACTGTCATGGGAAAATACCGTTTGTCTTGGGCTGTCTGTCACGGGTTCATTTCATTTAAATATTAAACTTTGACCTGTTTTCTTATTGTCTTGTAAAAGAATTTGGCTGGATTATATCGCATGATATTGCTGCGAGTTTATCAATTGTTTTTAATTCTTTCCGGTTAGCGTCATTTTGAATGCAGAATTATACTCTAAATCCGTAATTTCATTCCAATATTCAGTCCAAACACTAGCGAAGACTCAAATCTCAAACTGCGCCGTTTTAAAATACTTGTAGTGTACATGAAAGTGCATGTTATTCATCCAATACAAAATCTACATTACCTTGTTGCAACGTGAAAGCAAATATGCATGGGCAAGGAATTTTGGTTATGAGAAAGGATTTATCTTTGTTAATACAATGTATAACCTTGATTTAGCTACTTAAAGTTAAACTGCTTTGTATTTGATAAAAAATTGTGATTGTATTTTATTGCTGTGGCAACTACAAGCCGATCACTGTTTCTTGCGCAGAATATATTTTTTTAAAATTTCAAACTTAGAATCAGACGTCTAAACGTTGCGTCTTTTAAAGTCTCTTCACACGCAAGCCGTTCGTTTGAAGTAAAATATCCAAGAGCTGAAACATTAGCCTTGTATATCATTTGTTGCATTAACTTGTCAATTATCGAAGTACGATACGGTGACAAATGAATTTCGTTTTTGACATTTCGACAAAAGACAAAAATCATTATCCCTTAATCCTTTTAAACGAATTTTTCATGTGTTTGCCGCTTTTATTAAGGTTCTTCTGAACCTGCTGCAGCTTAAAAGGCAGTCATACTGTTTTCTCTGCTGCGTACATGTTTAAAATGTCTGTTTATGAATTAAACCAAACGGGATATTTTACAGTGTCGCGCGCTATCTCTTCATATCCAGACATATGTTTCATATATTGCCTATATTGCTGTTTCATTCTCTTATTTAATCATCTTACCTTATTATCGAAAAGATGCAAAGTTTACGACATGATTAAGATGATTAAATAGTCAACATAGATTGTATCCTTCTGCACGTTCAGAGAATTTTAGGCTAATTTTGTGAATAGAAATTCCTCGTTTAAAAAGTGCCGTTTATAGTTTGTAAACTATAGCGGGGAGAAATCTTTCAAATCTGGTCGTTTGTGTAAGGAGCATTCTACAATAAGCTGTCGTGGTTTGTGTTTGAACTTTCTGAGATATTTCGATTGTGGAGTTAATATCCCAATGGCCTGAAGTACCGGTTTCTCTGTTTAAATATTAATTGAAGATATACGAACAATGTCAAATATCTGACTTTTATTTCAGGTAAAATTCAATCTTATTATTGAAGCCTGGGATAAAGACAATGAAACGACACCAGGTAAGCTAAAACACGTCATCTTTTTCTGATCTACCTGAATAATACTGGATGAAAATCCTTTCGCGATCCAATATGGAGGCTTAGTCTCACAAAGGTTATCTTGTGAGCAGCAATTAAGAATTCTAAGCTTTGCCTTTTTTATGCATTTTTTGAAGCGAAATTCCGCAACTAATTCTTTGAGGAATTCATATTTTTTACCTGGTTTTATAAAGTATCGGCTAATACAGCTGTAGCGCTGGCTTCGACTGAATTGGCTGCCTTCATAGTTCATGAGTAAAGACTATAGTCGCGTTGTTTTCGATTATTGTGACGTGAAAAATGTAAAATTTTGATATATGATTAAGGCAGACACCTTTTTGCATGTTTAAGACAGTTTTTAGGTTGAGAATGATGTTAATATTATTATATTCCCGAAATTCAATTTGTTAGTTCTTGATTTTTCATTACGTCTTCAGTACGTTTTTATATGAAATCCAATTTTTGCTATTAACAGGCATATAATTTAATGAGTTTAATTATTTATAATATCTCCCCCGGACATCCAGACGGTTTAATGCTAATTTGAATGAACTGATCCATTGTATAAGATAGACATATACTGATATAGGAATAAATCGAGTTTGATCACCAAACTAGCTGGTTATGGGCATAGATAACCGACGTCTGTATGTGAACACTTGTCACGACTTATAACTCAAATATTTACTGTGATTAGTTTCACCATGAACAATATTATTTCTCGTTCGAATGCTGAAACAATGCAATTTGATGGATAATTAATGAAAATATGCAAGTGACTCATCATTATATAAATAACATACACGAACCACACGCATGTTTACTGGTCAGGAAATGATTAAATATTTAATAAGGTCATTGCTTGTTGCCAAGCTGACATGACGATATCATAGCATAAGAAAATATTCTCGAGAAAAATTTACCTTTATTAGAAAAATATTATCTTTTTCAAAGCAAGTTTCGCGGAAGATTCGTGGGCACGAGCCATTACCCGTTTTCAAATATTTTAGAGTTCTTTTCAGTGAATTTTATGTTGATTTTAAACGAAGAATGGCTTTGTTTTGTGTAGTAATTATGTCCATGTACAACACAATAATAAAGTACAAAAACAAGTCTGAAATTGACACATTTTTTGGCTTTTGGCTATTTCCTTTCAATGTCCATGCTTGTTTCACTCGAACGAGAAATATCAGCGTGTTTAATATTGAACAATTAGTCGAAAAAAGGCACGGAGAGCTAATTATGCGGAATAATTAACACTTGTTAGCAATATTCGTGAAATTCTAGCAAAAAATGAATTGTTGATGTTTTTATTTCGGTTTTATTTTCAATGCATTACCAGACACAACGATTTGCGAAGTCAAGGTCATCTCTTGAGGCAAAGTTGAACCCATATAGAAAATACATTACAGACTTTAGTCGATATTAATTCCTATGCTATATAATAATTAAGTTTTGGCTGAACGTGGACAGTCCAGGTCTATATTAGGCTCAAGACTCTCCCTTGATACAGCATCGTGTGATAAATAAAACTATTATAATCTGAATTACCTCAAAGCCCACGTATGTTGAAATAACCCGTCTTAAAAAGCTTTTAAATCACTCTTGTTTAAACTATCACGTAAAGAGTGATGGAAAACAAAATTTATCGTGGGCCCAACTTCAACTGAAACTGACCAAACGTGGGCTTTTAGCAAACACTTTTAGCGGTGGCTTTTAGGCTCCATCAACGCCGACACGAGCGAACTTTGGAAATGTTTTTTCATTTTTTATAATACTGGTGGTTGTTGCCATGCTGTGCTGTGATATTTCTGGCTTAGCCAAGCACGCACAGACATCTCGGAGTCAGGCAAAGAACCAGTATACTAAAACAAGTTTGCTTTTATCAACTCGCAAGGTGTTTTTGATAAGCCCTTACCACTAATTTTACCACATGGCCATTCCGTCTCGTTCAATTTCAATTTGTCTTAAATTACTTGTTTTTGTCAATGAGATTCATGAGACGTTACCGACTGATTGAAGGCCAATTCTTCGAGTAACATGTGGTTTTGATCACAACAATGATAAATGCGAAATGAGAGTACTTTAAAACAAAAAAATGTGCTCAATAATCAGTTTTTCATCGATGCGTCACCATTAAACAATCGAAATGGAGGAAGTAAAATTGATTTTGATTTTTTATGAGGGCTTTAATGTAGTCACGAGATATTGAGAATATTAAAAGATTCTCTTCAAAAACAGAAAATCGTATCTGAAGGTCTTCGAGTTCTCACTTTGGGCTCTCTAAGACCTCTGAGCAATTTTTGTTGTCAAAATAGCTTGAAAATCGAAAGTGAGGAATTTTGAGGCAAATCATACAATGTTGGCGGCCGCTGTTCGATTGCTGGCTCTTATAGCTCGAGGCTGAGGTTTGGTAGGATCGATCTGCCTTCCCAGGGTGCACATTGGCTCGAATTACGACCAATCGTTGGACGAAATCTTTTTTATTTTTAGAACTTATAGAACGCGATAAACTTAAAAGCGAAATCGTGCCTGGACTCAAATGGCGGAGACGAACTCATAATGGCCAAGCAGCCACGATAAAATACGAATACCGCGTCGTGTGTGACATAAATTACTTTGGACCAGAATGCAAGAAGTACTGCAGGCCAAGAGATGATCAATTTGGACATTATACTTGCAATACTGAAGGTATTCGCGTATGCATACCTGGCTGGACTGGAATAAAGTGTGCTAAAGGTATGTACTGGCTATTATATGAATGAACAACATATAGATCTGAAAAGTCTGTAACGTGTTGCGAAGAAATTTGAACTTTTCCAAACGTGCGATTTTCCGCACAAATTAACTAGATTTGCAAAAAACCGCAGCAGACATCCTTTTTAGAAAAAAAAACAGTCAACGTTCTGCGATGTACAACATAGGGGTGTTCGAATTTCGGAAACCCTTATAGACTTGTCTGGTCTCCTGGCGTTAACCTTAACGTGATAGCTTGAATGTTTCCTTTTCTATTTCTCCAGCAATTTGCAAAACAGGTTGTGACGAAGAGCATGGCTGGTGTGAGTCTCCAGGTGAATGTGTCTGCCGAAGCGGTTGGAGAGGTCCCCTCTGCGACCAGTGTATACCCCACCCAAAGTGTAAGCACGGCACCTGCACTGTCCCCAGGCAGTGCGAATGTTTGGGTACATGGGGTGGACCATACTGCGATAAAGGTAACTGTTGATTTATATCTTAGAAACTTTGTAGAGTGGTGACTCAAGAATTGGTTACTTTCAGGGTCATTGATACAGTGTATATATTTTAGATTTGAATATGTGCGCCCGAGACGTTCGGTGCCAAAACCATGGAACGTGTTACAACTCTGGTGCAGGAGAATACTCTTGTGCTTGCACTGATGGTTACACTGGAAAAAACTGCGAGCAAGGTTTGTCATGATTTAAATTTCTTACCTTGAATAGTTCTATCAGTTACTTTCGTTCTTAAAGTCCCGTAAAAAGTCTCTTATTGATCCAATGTTACTACAGGAGGAAACCTAAACTAAACTAACCTTATTTATACTGGATAGCTCTGTCCGTTCTAAACTGTTCTTCCTAGAGGTTCAGTAAAGATCATCTCTTATTGATCCAGTGTTACTACAGGAGGAAACCTAAACTAAACTAACTTTATTTATACTGGATAGCTCTATCAGTTCTAAACTGTTCTTCCTAGAGGTCCAGTAAGGCTCATCTCTTATTGATCCAGTGTTACTACAGGAGGAAACCTAAACTAAACTAACTTTATTTATACTGGTTAGCTCTATCAGTTCTGAACGGTCCAGTAAGGATCATCTCTTATTGAAGACACCTAAACTTAACCAATTCTTTTCTTCTAGATATAAACGAGTGTTTGTCCTCTCCTTGTAAAAACAACGGTACTTGTTCTGATGGTGTGAACGACTACTCTTGTCAATGTACGAAAGGCTGGGAAGGTCGAGTATGTGAACGAAGTAAGCAGATGAAACATTTTTCAAATATAATCAAATTGATTGAAGTACGGTTCGGAAAATTCACCATCAAACGTTGTATTTTAGGCATCGATGACTGTAAGATAAATGTTTGTAAGAACGGTGCTAAATGTTTGGACAAGTTGAACGATTATGAATGTCTTTGTTCTGCTGGATGGAAAGGACGACACTGTGAGATAAGTAAGTCGTGAAATATTCCATTTCTAGCCGATGTTTTTCTTAGTTTAGACTATGTATTAACTGGTTATGTACAATGCTTGTCTATATCGATTCGTAACAACAATATATTTTGTTTAGATATAAATGACTGCTCGCCAAACCCATGCGTGCGCGCCAGGAACTGCACAGATTTACAACATGACTTCAGTTGTCTCTGTGAGTCAGGTTGGAAGGGGAAAACATGCAACGAAAGTAAGTGAAATGCTCCTGTGTCGAGCCATATGATGTCCAGTAAAGTCTATCTTATGATCTTCGTTGAATCAAGATGACCACTGTTTTATTGATTGCTTAAAGTTAATACTTGTTTCTTCTTTTACGTAGGTATCGATGATTGTATGGGGCAATGTGTTAACGGAGGTCGTTGCTTCGACTTGGAAAACGATTATCGATGCCAATGCCCGGAGGGATTCACTGGTAAAAACTGTGAAACAAACATCGATGAATGCCTGAGCTCTCCTTGTCTCAATAATGCCAAGTGTGTGGACGGTAACCATGGTTATCATTGCGTGTGCATGACTGGTTACGAGGGCCCTCGGTGCGCAAACGCGACCGATGAGTGTGTCTCAAAACCCTGCGTCCATGGTCAGTGCATTGACCTGCACAACGATTACCATTGCGCGTGTAACAAGACATACTATGGCACAAACTGTAGCAAGCAAGTAGCATCATCTTCAGATCCATGTTATCTAAACAACCCATGCAAGCATGGCTCTACCTGCGTTTCCGAAGGCAACAAGACCAAGTGTGTTTGCTTACCTGGCTATACTGGTGACCTTTGCCAGACCGACATTGACGATTGCAACAGCAAACCTTGTTTGAATGCAAACGGTTGCGTGGATCGCGTCAATGGTTTTGAGTGTATCTGTCGCCAAGGTTACGAGGGATCACGATGCGAGGTCGATATCGACGAGTGTGCCCGAAGCCCATGCCATCCGAACGCGACCTGCGAAAACCTACCTGGAACTTACCGTTGCAAATGCCAAACTGGTTTCACTGGTTTGCATTGTTATCATGATATTGATTATTGTGCCTCAGGCAACCCTTGCAAGAATGGTGGATTTTGCGTGGACAGTCTAACGAACTACAGTTGTCATTGCAGGTAATAATACCGTCTTTCTCTGCAGCAACACAGTTCTTTTTTCACGTAGCTCTAATGTATCTGCCTTATGGTGAACTAAAATCCACTTTTCTTACAGCCAAGACTTCACTGGTGCCCACTGTGAGACTGCTGTCCAACGATGCAACAGCAATCCATGTCAAAACTCTGGCACGTGCAAAGATGTATCTAATGGTTTCGTCTGCGTCTGTCCAACTCAATTCTCAGGCCAACGCTGTGAGAAGAGAATTGATCCTTGCAAATCAAGTCCTTGCTTACACTCTGGTACATGCAGTGCTGCGGCTAACGGATTTCAATGTACTTGCCCCCCGGGATATACCGGTCAGCTTTGCGAAGCAAGCATAAAATACTGTAATCCGACTGTTTGTTTGAATGGTGGAACCTGTGTCAATGGTAGGATAATGATTTTTATTTTTCGACACGAATTATTAATTCCTGACACTGGTGTGCCCACAAGACTTTTTCGCCTTCACTGCACAGACCTCTCTTCTCTTTCAGATCGATTATCCGCGTTGTGTTATTGTGTTCCTGGGTACGAGGGAGATCGATGTGAAACCAAGATTGATAAGTGTAAATCGAGCCCGTGTAAAAATAATGCAACATGCGTGACTGGTATTAATACATTCCAATGTCTTTGTCTGCCGGGGACCAAGGGAAAATTCTGTGAGCAAGGTGAGTTATATCAAACCAGATCAATGTGGCTTGCTGTAGTAACACTGGATCAATAAGAGATGATCCTTACTGGACCTCTAGGAAGAACAGTTTAGAACTGATAGAGCTATACAGTATAAATAAAATTAGTTTAGTTTAGGTTTCCTCCTGTAGTAACACTGGATCAATAAGAGATGATCCTTACTGGGTCTCTAGGAAGAACAGTTTAGAACTGATAGAGGTATATTCAGTATAACTACAGGAAACATTGCGGAACGTCTAGAAAAACAGTTTAGAAATGAATGGTATACCTCAGACAAGCTAAAATCTTTGCATTCCATTTTGTAGAAGTTAACGTGTGCTTTCTGCCAATGTCCTCCGGTGGTAATAATAGGACAAAGGTACCGTCAAACGTCTGTGGTGAGCATGGCGACTGTCATTCCTTGCCGAGGGGGAACTTTAGTTGTTCATGTTATGCTGGATATACTGGTGCCAGATGTCAGCAGGGTGAGTGATGGACCGTTAAGATGACGACTACGATGCAATAACGGATTGATGATGCTTTAAGAATAATGATGCTAACATTTTTTGACATATTTGTATCTTTTTATCAAGGTACTGACGAGTGTTCGTCCACACCTTGTAAGAATGGAGCCACTTGTGTGGACAAACATCTTGACTTCCAGTGTCAATGCAAACCAGGATGGAAGGGGAGATTGTGTGACCAGAGTAAGTGAGATATAATACACCATTTAGCCCTTCTAACCACTAGTGGGGATGTTTTACAATCAAACTAATGTTACCATCTGTTCAATTTCAGAAATTGACCACTGCGCGTCCAACCCGTGCCAACACAATGGAACGTGTGTCAGTATTACGGAAACATTTATCTGTCAATGTAAAAATGGCTGGAAAGGACAGACCTGCAATTCACGTATGTTTTTATATTTCGTAGACCGTTGTCGTCTGCACAGTCGAAAATCCTCTTTGATACGACACGGGAAATAACGTTAGATTCAATACAAAGACAGTTGATATAACGTGTCATGTATTTTGCGTTTAGGACTATCTCATTGTGGTAAAGTTAACCCATGTAAGAACTCTGGAAAATGTCAAGATATTGGAAGAACATTTCATTGTCTCTGCTCGGACGGTTGGCGAGGAAAAACATGCGAATTGCGTAAGATTTATTTTCTATTATTTTTATCAACTCCTACATTTCCACCTGTGAAGACTCGGCTGAAGCACAAGAATGAGCCGTCAAGAATAACGCAAGCAATTGTTCAAGAACTACTTCATTCATCACCTTTTCTCTGTCTTTACTATAGCAATTCAGCCTTGTGACAGCAATCCATGTGCAAGCGGTGCGACGTGCCTAAATACTGCATCTAATTTCTCATGTGTTTGTCCCGAGAACAAGCGTGGTGAACTGTGTGATGAAGGTAGAGAAAAACACTAAAATATCATTTGTGTTACCAAACTTATTTCTGCGTTGGTCTCATTTTTATTTCACTTATTCCAACTGCCTTTTTTCGTGTTTCAGACGTGAAGCTTTGTGATACGACGGTTTGTTATAACGGAGGCAGATGCATTGATATTCCTGGGTATTTCCGTTGTGATTGCGAAGCAGGCTTCACCGGACCTAACTGTCGTGCTGGTATTGACGAATGCGCATCTTCTCCTTGTTTTGGAGGAGGTGTCTGTAAAGATGGCGTCAATTCTTTCACATGTACTTGCACAAAAAATCGATACGGCGACTTGTGCGAAAGTAAGTTGTATTTCTGTATCCATAATTTTACCCCAGAGTCTATTCTCGTCTTTTTAGCATGCAGTGTAGCTACATAGGCATGTATTAAGTCAGTAAAAACTGTGAAAAGTACCACAACAACTGAAATAAATAGAAAATTAAATAATAAAGTTGTAGGAATTTAACCACTATGCCTTCGAAAAAAAGTCTTCAAGTTCTGGTTAAAAGAAACTCACAAGCTCGCATTACCGGTCTAAGAATTTCAAATTTTTATTCGTATGAGGAAAAAATGAGTATTTAAAAAGTTCCTTTTCTTTTTACTATAGAGAAGAGACCTGATAATTGTCAACGACATCATGTCGAAAGGGTACACGGTGGCTCGTGGTTCGAGAGTTGCAATACGTGCACATGTAACGATGGTACGGTGAAGTGTACCCAGGTTGTCTGCCCACCACAGAATTGTATATCGCGGGACACTAACCGCGTCCAAGGCTGCGAGGAGACTGGGTTTAGATGTATCGAGAGAAACGTGAGTTGCTTACGTGAGCCGTGTCCCAGGTTTGGTCAGTGCGAGGGAAACAAGGAGGCTATATTCAAACTGGAGTGCGACCCAGCGTCAACTAACCGTGTCACTGAGGATTGCGCGAAAGTGCATTTGGTGTTTGCCAAGGAAAAATTACCAAAGGTGAATTTTAGTAAAGTTTGGTCGTCACGATTGATCTGTTGGAGAGGCTTTGGCGGTGACGTATCCCTCTTCAGGAAGGATTTACCTGAAGAGGGATTTATCTGAAAATAGCTGTAAGATAGACGCCGGAACGTCGCGGATTTAGATGTTAACGGTATCCAATGTTTTTTTTATTTTTAGGGCACCTTGCTGCCAGACTTCTGTCGTGATCTCAGCTCTCTGAATCTTTTCCATCGTTACGCCAAGGATAAATACATTAAGGTCGAGTGTGCAACACGAGATGAGGAGATAGGACGAACGATGTCAAGGAGAGATGCAGAGGTCACTGTGGCTGTGGTGAGTCACCAGCATTTCGCTACTCTTTATGATCGACTTCTGCTTTCATCAGGTGCTTATGAATTCTGTCTTCGATATTTTTTTAGGCCAGCGAAGGTACCGGAGACGCCATCAAGGCAGCGACGGATTTAGCCAAATATGTGAAATTACAGTCGGAGGGATTCACACAAATCAATGACTCGAATCAAACTATCATCCAAATCATTTTCGCCATCACAAAGGTTACGATTGAAAGACCTGTTGTGATTTTGTACAGGAGGGAGAAAGGTGAGTGCATGCATTGGTTAATTTAAATACGAGGGAGGAGGGGGTGTATAAGGGGAGGAGACGGGTATATGAGAGGAGGAGAGGGGTATATGGGGGAGGAGAGGGATATGGGGGAGGAGGGTGTACGTGGGGGGAAGGGGGATGTTTAGCTGCATTGTCCTTAGTCTTCCACTATGCTCAAGCTAAACAACTCCAACCTTGAAGTAATTTTGTATACTTTTTGTGTTTAGAAACTACGGTTTATCTGATTCCAATCATAGCAAGCTTGGTTGTTATCGCCGCCATTGTTCTGCTGCTCGTCATTTTGTGTGAAAGAAGAAGACGGCGTCGTCAGAATGAACGAAATCGCCGGCGAACGTACGAAGAAACGGCGAAGCTGAAGCGAAGAGACAGCGAAGACGCCGAAGTGGACACGGCAAGCGAGGCAAGCCGTGGTCTTCGCAAAGAAGGCTCATTCACTGAACTGCGAGACATTGAACCCGAGGAGATCGATGTCTCGGTAATTGAACCCTCCGCGCGCGAAGTCCCGAGGTCTTCCATAGAGGTAATATCTCCCGCGCGCACTCCACGCGAGCACGGCGCGCGCGACGAGTGGCGAAGGCGGGAAATTTTAAATTTACAAAGAAAATCATCCAAAGAGATTGTAGTTTAATGTAAATATAGCTCCAAGAGCTGTTCCTAGATATATATAAAATATATAAAGTTAATATAATATAATATATATATCTGATGTCCATTTCAGACCTCAATTTAAAATTTAATATATTGTTAGCATATTGTAGTATGGATAATTCATTTTTTGACTGGATAGAGATCACGTGGTACGTCTCCTGAGTGATGCAAAATAATATTCGTGTCGAAGCAAAAATCTCTCAGTCGTATATTACCATCCATACTTTGAACCTGGTGAAATCATATTTCTTTCCAGTCAAAATTTTATCCACTAAAGCATGAAGTAGGGAAAGGATTCGACTTCGATACTGTTAGTGAACAGTTGTATTGTATTGTTTAATTTAAAACACATAAAACCCATCAAATAGTTTGTGTTTCAAAAGTTAAACGGCCATCCAGGAATTTTGAAAGATATTCTCACATAAACGTCAGCATTCATTCGTTAATCAAGCTAGTTTAACTTTTTAAATAGAAACACGATGGTTATTAATTTAAAAAATTATCTGTAAAATACTTGTACATACAGTATATGTTATTTAAACAAATATTGCCCTAGATGTGAGTTAGATCAGACCTTGCCTGATCATCCTGTATGTTACTTGCAATTTTCTACGAAGGTTTAAAGATTTTCTATAGTTAGATTAGTTTTTTATGAAGTTATCACCTAAAGTTATATCAACCTCTGTTGAGTTAGGGAGAGCAAAGTTATAAAAGAATAAAAATTCATTTAAAAAAAAAGACTTGTGGTGTTTTATTGTTGTTTTTTCGGGTTATTCACCAGGATATACAAGGTGGAAAACATTGATGGTAAGGAATAGGCTGGTTAGGTTTATTTTACCAGATTTATTGCATCTTAATTTTTTGTCATTCTGGTATCTGTGGATTAAATGACCATATGATATATGTAAATATATCTCCTCCTTCAGTCTCTTTGGTTTTATCAGAAGTTGAAGGAAACCTAAGCACGTAATGAGTTTTAAATTTAGAACATTTTTTCTGCTAATCCTTTAGCATTGTTCGACTGAGGTAATGAATATCCCATGCTAAGCTGTTAAGCAGATATAATAAAAAGTATTGCAGCAATTTGTTGGAAAAAAAGAATGGTAAACACTAAACACCGTTTCGGTCTAATGGACACACTAGCATGTGTTAGACGTCTGTTTGGTTTACACCCACAAATGACAGACAACCATTTGCAAATTCAGTCGCATCAAATTTCGCCTTTAAAGTACAGGGCAGGTCAGGAATTAGATTCAACATTTATATAAAAATTTGCCGCAAGCGTTCGACACTATTAGATCGGCTTCAACTGTGGGGATCGTATTTAATCCCTGCTGTTTAAAATATCATTTTATTTGTTTATCAGCACGGTTTGAAAGGCAATTAAGTTATTCACCTGATGGCGGCGGACTGATCTTAAGTTTCATCCATGCATTGCATGATCTGGTAGACCAGCGACAATTGATAAACGCTGTCTAATGCATGGTATGGTGTGGAGTACCATTGCGTTTCAAGTTGTTCGTTGAGCGACGTGGTTTCGAAAGCTAACTTGCAGACGGCTCTCAAAATTTCAACGAGTCATCACATTGCATTGATGACCTTTTGTCCGTACGAACTCGCTTGGAATTTCATGCAAAGAAAAGATATTAAAGAGACTATGGGAGATCGATTTTGCTTCAATGTATCCGTAAACGCTTTAGCTGGATAGCTTGGATCAAAGACAAACCTATCAAGGCCAATATCGCCCGCTTTTGTGATATCAAAGTCAAGTATATTCGACACAACGGTCAGAAGTTTGGCATGAATACTACGTAAACATAATCTTGCCTGTCAAGACTTTGCGATAAAATCATGCGTTGTCACATTTACAAGAACCTAATGTTTGTTTTATTCGTTTTGGCGGTTTTCAACGTATCTTTTCTGACCTACACAATACTCATGACGAACCTTCCCACGGAGGAGAGAGCTCTCGAAGGCAGATCAATGGACGGAAGTTGGCGAACTCGGGTCCCTTTATTCGGCAAAAGCGTTGAGAGTATTCTTGACCAACTCAGTCACGGACCACAGACCCCAGTCTTTTTGTACAAACCTGTCTGTCGGAGTGGTAGCTGTACAAGATACAGTGGCTTGGAGTTGAAGAGAATATTTCGTGAGAGTGGATTTGATATTGTGGAGAAAGATGATAAGGACTGGACTCTTTCGCTAACAAACGGAGTGTCAGGCCTACCAAAAGTATCTAAGGTGAGAAAATTTGAGGCATTTAGCAAACTATTAACCGTTCTCGTGTGCGGTGTGCCAACCGCGTTTAAGACGATTAAGTCTATTTGAAACCGTCTTTTACTATTTCTGTTAATGCGCTAAGGGCACGAGAAACATAACTACATAAGATACGAATAATTTAGAAGAAACATGCTCATGCGAATTATAATAAAATGTGGGTTCAGTGTCAGATAGTATTTTACAAAAAGCCCTTGTCTTTGAACTCTGAACTGCATAGAAAAGATATCTCAAACGTGGTGGTCCAGTGCATTCCACTATCGTTCGTGCCTGAACTACCTCAAAAAGAGATCGTAACGTGACCCAATTTATAGGTGGTAGTATTCTACCATGAGCCGTCTTAGTTTGTGTCTGAACTACCTGCATCAAAAAGATATCTCAAACGTGCAGGTCCATGCAGTGCAGGTAGTATTATACAATATGCTGTCGTGGTTCGTGCACGTCAGAACTACCCGGAAAGATATCTAAAACTGATCCAATTTAGGTGGTATTCTACAATAAGCTGTCGTAATTCGTCTCCGGAATATTTCTCGCACCAGAAATTCGTCCCAAAAAGATACATGAATCGCGATGCGTAGGAATATAATAAGCGGTCGTTCTTTTAAGTCAACCCCAAATCAACCCTTTCCATGTACGTACTGTACACAGTGCCACTGAAATAATCTATTTCATCGCGTGATAAATGCTTGACGTTTGTGGTTATTGTGTTTACTTTTCAGATCAAGGGCTTTCTTAGTTCTTAAGATAACGACAGATTTCATTATTGTACCTCGTTATTCAAGTGTCATGTTTTGAAAGATTTAACAGCGATCTAAAGCAAACACCAATATCTCGGCGATTTTATCAGATGTTGTAAATACAATATCAAATAGAAAATGTCATAACAATTGAACGATATGATCTGAGGCGGAAATAATTCAGTCGAGTACTGATAATACTGTAACTATATATAGACAAGAGAAACTCGTTTGGAAACATGACCCGAGTTGGTTATTTTAATGTTGATTTTGTTTTATTTCATGCATGAGGAAACTAGATTACCAAATTGGATTATCCATCTCTTGTGCAGCTGAGCTAAAATTAAGATACAAATAGCTGCACGTTTTCTGTGACCCAACCATAATCTCATTGAATAAGGTGCACAGATGACGCAATCAAATCTTTACAGAAGGATTATGATGTCTTTTTTTGAAGGTCTGGCAATACACAAACATAATTCCTGGTCTCAGTCATGTGTGTTTGAGAGAGCAGCTCTGTCGTCGCCTAAACCTACTTTGGCGAAGGCATAGCTTGAAAGATTTTCTGTCATTTCCTAAGTGTTTTATCCTTAATGGGAACAATACTCTTGATGGAAACTTGTTACCAAAAGGTCACTGGTTAGTGAGAGAAGCTGGTAGCCTTCGAGGATCGAGTGAGGGTCTTAGGATACTAAATCGTGGTGATGTACAGTCTTTAATCAAGAAACAAAATGCCCGAAAACCCTCAAAAAATAAACAACAGCCTCGGAGTAAAACCTTATTCCAAACAAGAGCACTAACTAGCATAGAACAATATATTTATGAACCATTTTTGGTCAACAAGCGGAAGCATTTACTGCGATTTTATTTGTTGATAAAGTCTATAGACCCATTGCGAGTCTATGTGTCAGATTTTGGGGATGTGGCGTTTTCACAAATGCCTTATAAAACTGATGTCGCTAGCAGAAACGAGAGTTGTATGCATTTAGATATCTATACTGCATCATGGTGCGCAAAAAACCTCGACTCATCTTCAAAAGTCTGGGACGTGAACGCACCAGAGTCGCTGGTGTGGACGCTGAAACATTACTGGTCAGTTTTGTCTCACAGGGATATTGACGTTTCGCACACTGCTGCTCAGATTAGAGACGCTTTGTTACAAACTGCTATCTTAACAGCATCCATTTCTTCGGAGATTCTTGATCACAACTACAGGAAACAAAGGGCAAAATATCTTGCACTGAAGAAAAACGGGTATGATGTTTTGGTACAGCTTTGTTTATGTAATAATGTGTTTGTTTATTTGTTTGCAAGTGCATAGTAGCTATCTTTCCTCTCAACAACTAGCTATTTTTTTCTCTTTAATTCGTATCGTTTTCACATGCAACTTACCATACAAACCACTCTGCTCATTGATACAAAGGTTTGTCATGTTCCATGTCAAGATTTTGCTGGACAACAGCAGAAAACCACACGTGATTGACGTTGATTGTGATCCAGGTTTTCAGACGATGGGAAGCGAGAGTTTTAGATCGAGGTAAAGTTGACTCATCTATACTAAACATCTTCTCTATCTGGGTCCCGAGAATAATTTTCCCACGTAGAAGCAAGCACTATCATAGTTTATGATTAGGGAAATGATGTAGTGGTATGTACTGATGTACAACGGTACATTTGAAGCAGAAACAACATTAAAAAATGACACAAAAAAGTGATTTAGTTCAAGGAAAATAACTTTCTGTTTTATTTTTGTCCTTCAAAGGAATTTAAATTCTTTTTTTAAACAATCAGACCACACGCATTCCGGTTAACAATGTGATTCTTCCCATCTTGTGATCGTGAAGTTGGTGACACTGTCATAGGAGGAAACTCGAGTCGTGATAACTCGTTAAACACCCGAAAGCTTATTAAAGCAAAATAATCAGACTGCTGCATGTTGCTGAGTAATTAGTCCCAACCACAAGGAAATAAAAGACATGAAATTCATCTTGGAATGCGTTTTAGGCAAATGACAAGGTTAATACGGGATCTCATTAAATTAAGTGGATCATTTCGAGGTAATTATTGCTCATAAGGGATTATATTTTGCCATGTTTGGTGCAAGAAAACATCACATTATGACTTAATAAAGTCGTAAACTCTTTATATTCTATCGTTTAGGACAGTATGATCGCAAACCTTATAAGGAAAAGCTTACGGATAACTTACTGTCATTCTGCAGCAACAGAGGAGGTTTGTGTTCTGTTGTTTGTGGTTTGTGTCGTGTTGTTTGAGGTTTGGTGTTCTGTTGTTGAGGTTTGTGTTGTGTTGTTTGAGGTTTGTGTTCTGTTGTTTGTGTCGTGTTGTTTGAGGTTTGGTGTTCTGTTGTTGAGGTTTGTGTTGTGTTGTTTGAGGTTTGTGTTCTGTTGTTGAGGTTTGGTGTTCTGTTGTTGAGGTTTGTGTTCTGTTGTTTGAGGTTTGTGTTCTGTTGTTGAGGTTTGTGTTCTGTTGTTGAGGTTTGTGTTCTGTTGTTTGAGGTTTGTGTTCTGTTGTTGAGGTTTGTGTTCTGTTTGTTGAGGTTTGTGTTGTGTTGTTTGAGGTTTGTGTTCTGTTGTTTGAGGTTTGTGTTGTGTTGTTTGAGGTTTGTGTTCTATTGTTGAGGTTTGTGTTGTGTTGTTTGAGGTTTGTGTTCTGTTGTTTGTGGTTTGTGTCGTGTTGTTTGAGGTTTGGTGTTCTGTTGTTGAGGTTTGTTTTGTGTTGTTTGAGGCTTGTGTTCTGTTGTTGAGGTTTGTGTTCTGTTGTTGAGGTTTGGGTTGTGTTGTTTGAGGTTTGGTGTTCTGTTGTTGAGGTTTGTGTTCTGTTGTTTGAGGCTTGTGTTGTTTGAGGTTTGGTGTTCTGTTGTTGAGGTTTGTGTTCTGTTGTTTGAGGTTTGTGTTCTGTTGTTGAGGTTTGTGTTGTGTTGTTGAGGTTTGTGTTCTGTTGTTGAGGTTTGTGTTGTGTTGTTTGAGGTTTGTGTTCTGTTGTTGCGGTTTGTGTTGTGTTGTTTGAGGTTTGGTGTTCTGTTGTTGAGGTTTGTGTCGTGTTGTTTGAGGTTTGTGTTGTGTGTTGAGGTTTGTGTTGTGTTGTTGTTGGTTGTGTGTGTTGTTGTGAGGTTTGTGTTTCTGTGTTGTTGAGGTTTTTTGTGTTGTGTTTGTTGAGGTGTTCTGTTGTTGAGGTTTGGTTCTGTTGTTGAGTGTTTGTGTTTGTGTTGAGGTTTGTGTGGTGTTTTGTTTGAGGTTTGTGTTCTGTTGTTGAGGTTTGTGTTGTGTTGTTTGAGCTTTGTGTTGTGTTGTTTGAGCTTTGTGTTGTGTTGTTGAGGTTTGTGTTCTGTTGTTGAGGTTTGTGTTGTGTTGTTTGAGGTTTGTGTTCTGTTGTTGAGGTTTGTGTTCTGTTGTTGAGGTTTGTGTTCTGTTGTTGAGGTTTGTGTTGTGTTGTTTGAGCTTTGTGTTCTGTTGTTGCGGTTTGTGTTGTGTTGTTTGAGGTTTGTGTTCTGTTGTTGAGGTTTGTGTTGTGTTGTTGAGGTTTGTGTTGTGTTGTTTGAGGTTTGGTGTTCTGTTGTTGAGGTTTGTGTTCTGTTGTTGAGGTTTGTGTTGTGTTGTTGCGGTTTGTGTTGTGTTGTTTGAGGTTTGTGTTCTGTGTTGAGGTTTGTGTTCTGTTGTTGAGGTTTGTGTTGTGTTGTTTGAGGTTTGGTGTTCTGTTGTTGAGGTTTGTGTTGTGTTGTTGAGGTTTGTGTTCTGTTGTTGAGGTTTGTGTTGTGTTGTTTGAGGTTTGTGTTGTGTTGTTTGAGGTTTGTGTTCTGTTGTTTGAGGTTTGTGTTCTGTTGTTCAGGTTTGTGTTGTGTTGTTTGAGGTTTGTGTTCTGTTGTTGAGGTTTGTGTTCTGTTGTTGAGGTTTGTGTTCTGTTGTTGAGGTTTGTGTTGTGTTGTTTGAGGTTTGTGTTGTTGTTGAGGTTTGGTGTTCTGTTGTTGAGGTTTGTGTTGTTGTTGAGGTTTGTGTCTGTTGTTGTGAGGTTTGTGTTCTGTTGTTGAGGTTTGTGTTCTGTTGTTGAGGTTTGTGTTGTGTTGTTGAGGTTTGTGTTCTGTTGTTGAGGTTTGTGTTCTGTTGTTGAGGTTTGTGTTGTGTTGAGGTTTGTGTTGTGTTTGAGGTTTGTGTTGTGTTGTTTGAGGTTTGTGTTCTGTTGTTGAGGTTTGTGTTGTGTTGTTGAGGTTTGTGTTGTGTTGTTGAGGTTTGTGTTGTGTTGTTTGAGGTTTGTGTTCTGTTGTTGAGGTTTGTGTTGTGTTGTTTGAGGTTTGTGTTCTGTTGTTGAGGTTTGTGTTCTGTTGTTGAGGTTTGTGTTCTGTTGTTGAGGTTTGTGTTGTGTTGTTTGAGGTTTGTGTTCTGTTGTTGAGGTTTGGTGTTCTGTTGTTGAGGTTTGTGTTCTGTTGTTGAGGTTTGTGTTCTGTTGTTGAGGTTTGTGTTCTGTTGTTGAGGTTGTGTTGTGTTGAGGTTGTGTGTTGTTTGAGGTTTGTGTTCTGTTGTTTGAGGTTTGTGTCGTGTGTGTTGAGGTTTGTGTTCTGTTGTTGAGGTTTGTGTTGTGTTGTGAGGTTTGTGTTCTGTTGTTTGAGGTTTGTGTTATGTTGTTTAAGGTTTGTGTTCTGTTGTTGAGGTTTGTGTTCTGTTGTTGAGGTTTGTGTTCTGTTGTTTGAGGTTTGTGTCGTGTTGTTTGAGGTTTGTGTTCTGTTGTTGAGGTTTGTGTTCTGTTGTTGAGGTTTGTGTTCTGTTGTTGAGGTTTGTGTTCTGTTGTTGAGGTTTGTGTTCTGTTGTTGAGGTTTGTGTTGTGTTGTTGAGGTTTGTGTTCTGTTGTTCAGGTTTGTGTTGTGTTGTTTGAGGTTTGTGTTCTGTTGTTGAGGTTTGGTGTTCTGTTGTTGAGGTTTGTGTTATGTTGTTTGAGGTTTGTGTCGTGTTGTTTGAGGTTTGTGTTCTGTTGTTGAGGTTTGTGTTGTGTTGTTGAGGTTTGTGTTCTGTTGTTAAGGTTTGTGTTCTGTTGTTGAGGTTTGTGTTCTGTTGTTGAGGTTTGTGTTGTGTTGTTTGAGGTTTGTGTTGTGTTGTTGAGGTTTGTGTTGTGTTGTTGAGGTTTGTGTTGTGTTGTTTGAGGTTTGTGTTGTGTTGTTTGAGGTTTGTGTTGTGTTGTTTGAGGTTTGTGTTGTGTTGTTTGAGGTTTGTGTCGTGTTGTTTGAGGTTTGTGTTGTGTTGTTTGAGGTTTGGTGTTCTGTTGTTGAGGTTTGTGTTGTGTTGTTGAGGTTTGTGTTGTGTTGTTTGAGGTTTGTGTTCTGTTGTTTAAGGTTTGTGTTCTGTTGTTTGAGGTTTGTGTTCTGTTGTTGAGGTTTGTGTTCTGTTGTTTGAGGTTTGTGTTCTGTTGTTGAGGCTTGTGTGCTCGCTGACAAAGTCTACTAACATGATTTATTCTTTTTTATCGCTATAGGCTGTAGTGAGGAAGAAATTCAGACTATTATAAATTTTGAGGATGAAAGACACAACTCAGCAAGTTTTCGACTTCTTTATCCACATCCAAGCTCAGTTAATAGCCATAAAACAACGATAAAAGAGCTCAAACTTGACAGCGTACTTCCTGAATATGTAGATCAAATTAGAAAGTTTTAAAACGCAAAAAGTAGGCTTTTAGAACAGAGAAAAAGATTATAAAATATAGGTTGTATTATAAGAGAAAGATGAACAATATTTATCCATTTTAGAAGATTTTAAAACGGTTTATCTTTTTTATTTGTTGTGTGTAATTAGACAATGAATAGTTGTTCTAGATCTAGTAGACCTAGAAAGACACTTAACTTAAACTTAACTTAAAAGACGCTATTCTTTTAGCCAGAAATTTAGTTTATCATCAGCTGAAGATTGGTAGGTATTACGAACTCAACTCAAGCAATGTATGGACACGTTTGGTAACACACCTTTCTTGTAATGACGTCAAACGCGAAAAGCCCGATGTTACACGAAGGTTGAAGGTTAGTTTTTTGGAGCCAATCAAATTTCGTGTCACATCAAGTTTTCACGTTTTGTTTGATTTCATTATGGTCAGCCTCCCCTCCAAACCCTCCCCTCCCTGGCTTGGCCTCCTCCCTTCTAAAGGAGAAGTGCTGACTCAGTTGTTCCAGTTCAATATGGCGGACAAAGTGCAATTCCATCTTCCAACAGCTAGTAGTGGAAATTGGGAATCTGGATTTGAACGGAATAATTTCAATATTTCAGATTTTTCAAGACATGCACTTAGTCGTTAAAGCCACAACCAATTTTGATGATTTGTTAGCGTTGAATCTATGTTTGCTTTGGCGAGCTTTAGAAACGGAGGAGCATTTGAGATCATGTCAGGAATTGAAGTTGTCGTTTTGCCGGTGGAATACTTGAGCAAGAACCGAGCTCTAAGAGCAGGGAAACAGGGTGAACAGCAAATATCGATAGTAGATTGATTTTTCATCGGTTATCAGTTTGCGCTCTTTTATATATCTTCTTAAATTGTCTTTGAAAAGTCTCAAGAGGTCTGAAAACTTAACACGAGTTTCTGTAATGAATCTGAGCGTGAAAGATCAACAAATCATCAAGACTGTTATCCAGTTTATTGTAGCCTTGGGTATTTGTCCCAACCTTTTTGAAGGAGTAGGTGCAGCCTTTAAACGAAGAACTGGTTTTGGTGATGCTTTGTGTGCTGAAGATGGCCATAAACACGCTGTGTCTCTTGTTGTGGAATGAAAATTTAGCTACAGAAGAATTCAGGGTGATTCATCAAGATTATGGTCTACCATTGGGATACCATACTGCACTAGTATACCAAACAATGGTGAAGTCTTCGTTCAAACTATCTCATGGGTCAGTATTAATGAATAAACTAAGTCTTGAGTTGTTTTCAATGTCAGATATTTTGAAATATGAATTTGAAAACTCGCAGGGAAAGCCAGGTGATTTATCCAGACTTTTGATTGACAGTTCTGGGGCTGAAGGCACTGACGAGAACGCAGAGTTGACTGTTTGAATGTCTTTGTCGCTGTTTTACTGCTGTAAGGTTGATGAAGATGTTTGATGTTTATGAATGATTTCTGGTACTGTACTATTGTTTAATTCAGAGACTCAGCCATGCAGAGACTGGGGAGAGTATTCAGGGATTAATTAAGGTGGTTTTTAGTCGATACAAATTTTTTTTCGAACCATATCCGTTCCATATATGTTTAATAACAGTATTTTTTTGTATGTAAAAGAAAAATTTGGAAAGCATGCAAAAAAAAAAATTTGCCAAAAGAGATCATCCAGCCTATGCCACAATCTAACCTGGTTATACAACCGGCTGCAATATTCAGCATAGTTACAACTACGAAAGGTGCAAGGCGGTTGCTATAGGAAGAACTCCCCCCCATAACTCACATCTTAACGGCCGTCTAAGGGGGAGATGCACTACGGCCCCCAGACCATGATGTATGTGCACCTAACCGTTACGTCTCAGTGAGAAACAGAGTATGCATCGCCACAAGCCTAGCGTCATAGACGAATCAGCTACAGTGGCTAGCCCTGAGAGCGAAGATAAATTTACGGTATTTAAGCATTTCCTGGCCTCGGGAGGCGGTCCCTAACAAGTATATGCACAGAAAACGACTAATAAAGCACACGCTTGGTAATTCAAGATTTAAACGCCTAAACGTTTTTTAAGTGTTTTTAGCGAGAAATTTTAGTGTTTTTATATTCTTTTAGAAATTTTAGTGTTTTGAAACAATCCTTGTTGGTTTTTAACGTCAAAATAGTCATCATTCTCGAAAGGAAACTCAATATAAATGACTGAACGGCTTAGTTTTTTAAAATGTTTCGTTAATTTTGTGTTAGTATAGACACATGATTCGCCGGTAATTAAAATTTTGGATGTTGTAATTATATTTTAAAATTATGTTGTCCGTGGGTGCCTAACCGTTCTTAGTTAATGGAGTGATTTGTCTGCTTAATTCCGTTAACGAACGAGTTAACGAGACCTTTACCTGCTAAATAGTCAAACGATTCGCGAACCGCTCTCGACTTGAGAGCTCTGGAACAAAAGTAAACTGACGAGTCGGGGGAAAACATCGCTAGTGGAAAACCGGCTTTACAGGGAGAGTCCGCCGTGAAATGGCAAATACGACTATGGTCAAATTGGCCGGAACATGGCAAATACGACCATGGTCATATATTCGCCGGAAAATAGCAAATACGACCATGGTTATATTCCCCGGAAAATGGCTAATACGACCATGGTCATATTCGCCGGAAAATGGGAAAATACGACCATGGTCATATTCGCCAGAAAATGGCAAATACGACCATGGTCATATTCGTCGCAAAATGGCAAATACGACCATGGTCATATTCGGCGGAAAATGGCAAATACGACCATGGTCATATTCGCCGGAAAATGGCAAATACGACCATGGTCGTATTCGCCGGAAAATGGCAAATACGACCATGGTCATATTCGCCGGAAAATGGCCAATCCGACCATGGTCATATTCGTCATTTTCCGGCCAATTCGACCCTGGTCGTATTCGTCATTTTCCGGCCAATACGACCATGATACGACCATGGTCGTATTCGTCATTTTCCGGCCAATACGACCATGATACGACCATGGTCGTATTCGTCATTTTCTGGCCAATACGACCATGATACGACCATGGTCGTAATCGTCATATTCCGGCCAATACGACCATGGTCGTATTCGTCATTTTCCGGCCAATACGACCATGGTCGTATTCGTCATTTTCCGCCAAATACGACCATGGTCGTATCATGGTCGTATTGGCCAGAAAATGACGAATACGACCATGGTCGGATTGGCCTGAAAATGACGAATACGACCACGGTCGTATCATGGTCGTATTACCCGGAAAATGACGAATACGCCCAATAACCCACATCTTAACGGCCGGCCAAGATGGAGATGCACTACGGCACCCAGACCTTGATGTATGTGCACCTAACCGTTACGACTCAGTGAGAAACAGAGTGGGCTGTATGCCACACGCCTAGCGCTTCATAGACGAACAGCTACAGTGGCAAGCCTTGAGAGCAAAGATAAATTTAACGTATTTAAGCTTTTCCTGGTCTCGGGGAGGGGGGTGCGTCCCCAACAAGTATATTCACAGAAAACGACTAATAAGGCACTCGCTTGGAAATGTCAAGATTTAAACGCCTAAACGTTTTTTAAGTGTTTTTAGCGAGAAATTTGAGTGTTTTGATATTCTTTTTAAAATGCCAACACTGAGCATATACAGATCAGTGGCCACAAAATAATATAGAGATCAGTTTTTAATAACATAATAATAACAGTGTTACAAAATGAAATTAAAATGATAAAAATATCGAATATTTACAAAGATGTTGTGTTTTTACACGAATATTTCTACAAATAGATATGAGAAGACAATGTGGATGCTTTAGAAGTACAAATCGCAGATAATGGAAGAGAATAGCGCGTCCATCGGTCTCGAATGGCGTCGTGTTTTCGAAAGGACCCCCTCGCAAGAACGGGAAAATGTTTTGAAGAGGAATGTTGTCTCTTGCCTTAAACAAGCTGCTGTAAAATCGTGCATCATCACAAGAGATCCCGTTCTTGTTATTGGCCTGAAGGATTCCTTGGTTCAACGATGCGTTATCGACGCAATCGAGTGGTTTTTGTTCGCAGAGGAACCACGTCAGGGCCGCGTAAAGCTATCACAACTCAGCAGCCCACCTACCATTTGTGGCAAAGTATTTAAAAACAGCGAACCGACGTATTCATGCAGGTAAAAATAAAGTATTTGCAAGGACGATCGTGCCTAAGTGAAATATCTAGGTATATTATTTAAAAGGAAGGCAGGATTCATACTGATTTTAATACTTTCACTGTTTACATTTTAACAAACTCTTGTGGTGAAACTGCTGGTCATGGAAGACACCAGAAATTTAAAGCCAAATTTTGTGATAAAAACAAGGCCTTCTGCATAGTGTAAATACGGTACAGTTATAGAATACCAAGCCAATAGTTCATTATGTTATGTATCGGTCAATTTTAGAGTATAGAACTTCCACATTCTTTTAAAATACTGCATGTTTATTCTTGTTCTGTGAAAGTCCAATTCATGCATTAAAGTAAGAAAACAATGCAGTCCTAAATGGCATTCACTGTTAAGAGTTGGTTTGGCCAAATATTCTATAATTGCTCCGTAAATACACAGCACGAAATATTCTGAAGCATATGAAGCACTTGATATATCCTAGTATTGTCGTGAATGTTAGTAGCGTCTTAGTTGTTATTAGCAAGGGAACAAGTTAATCGTTAACAAGTTAATTCGTGAGCGAACAAAAACTGACACTTGATTGACATATTAGATAGAGCAAGAGAGAGAGCGTGCGAGCAAGTGAGATTAGAATTAAAATAAAAATATCTTAAACAAAAGCGTGAAAATACTTCTTCAAACCAATTGTGGGAAACAACAAAATTCTCCACAAAGTGGCACCTTCGACGGCGATTATTATCTATTTGTGACTTGGAATTTATCGAGAATTAATCGGGGTTTGAGGATGTATTTTGACTAAAAAATCGAGCGTGACATGGCGGTGACGAGACAACAAAGTCAACGAATTGATCTTGAAGCACAAGAGCAGTCGGGTTTATCTAATGAAACGGAGACGAAAGTAGGAATCTTCCAGTCAGTATTGCGAAAATTATCATATTTTAACCGAGCAACAACCGAGATTTTGAGAGGGAATTCGATAGAAGCGATTAAACGACAACAAACAACACTAAAAACCAAAGTAGACGAAGCTTATGATTTGATTGTATTAATACAAGGCTTGAAGGTTGATGCGGGCCAAGAAGATGAAGTTATTGACGAGTGGACAAACGAAAACAAAGGCAAGTTACGCGTATTTGAGGAGGTTATAGAAGAGTTAAATAATAAGCTTTTAGACGACGAAGGAAAACGAAAGGAAATTGAGCGTCGGGAGAAAATTCGACAAGAAGCAGAAGCACGAGCTCAAATTAGAGATGAGGAAAGAGAGATAGAATTGGCAAAGCGTGAAAGAGAAGAAGAGTTTGCGTTATCTCTTGAGGAAAAGAAGCTAGAATTAGCTGCTGCGAAGCGGGTTAAAACGAAGTTGCCTGAGCTGCAAATCTCGAAATTTCAAGGAACTCATTTAGATTGGGTTCGGTTTTGGGGTCTATTTGAGACCCAAATTGATAAAGCTCCCATGAAAGACGAAGCAAAGTTTGCATATTTAAAAGAACATCTTGTACCTAAAGTTCGAATTACAATTGATCAATTACCACTGAATAGCGAAGGGTATGCAAAAGCGAAAAGGATGTTGGAGCAAAGATATGGTGACGCAAGCGAGGTAGTCAATGCACATATTCAAGAAATTCTGTCTTTACCTACTATTACTGGCGTATCAAAACAAAAGATACACAACTTTTATGACAGTCTTTTGGGGCATGTTCAAGCTCTTGAAGCATTCGGAAAATTGGGGGATGTTGCAGGAAATGTAAGGATGACGTTGGATAAATTAGAAGGCATTCGAGCTGATTTAACGAGAACCTCATCAGATTGGAAAAGGTGGACTTTCCCGGAGTTAGTTGAGGCATTACGACAGTGGATTGAGCGAAACCCATTACAACAAAGTGATAAAAAAGATGGATTTTCATGGAAAGATGGTAAGCGAGATAAGTTATTGTTAACAAAGGAACAATCTAAACATTGCGTATATTGTGAAAGCAAAGATCACAGATCTGTGGAATGTGATAAAGTGGTGAATGTCAGTGACCGGAAGAAAATTCTCAGCGACAAGCACCGGTGTTTCAACTGCACTGGCGAAAAGCATAGAGCAAGTGATTGCAGAAGTAGGAGCCAATGTTACAACTGCAAGAGAAGGCATCACACTTCTATTTGTGATAAACTAAACGCAAATCAAAAACTGCTGTGTCAACCTAGTGGGAAGGATGTAGTTTATCCAGTTGTGGTGGTAGAGATGGGAGGACTAAAGTGTCGAGCACTTTTAGACACTGGGTCTGGGAGTTCATTTGCATCAAGCACGTTGTTAAAGCAATGGAAAAAAGCCAATAAGACAAGAATTTAAATCAATAGAGATGATGCTTCAAACAACAACAAGGAAGATTGATGTTTATGAGGTGGAGATTGCAGCTGTTGATGGCAATTTCAAGATGTCATGTGAACTGAATCGAATCGACAAGGATGTGCTAATGAAAGTGCCAAATCCGAGGTATAAAGAACTTATTGAAACCCATGAACACCTTAAAGGAGTACATATGAATGATATTGATGAGAAAGCACTTTTACCTGTGCATCTAATCCTAGGTGCCAGTGATATGTCTAGAATCAAGACAACTGTACCTGCTAAGGTTGGGAACGATGGGATGCCAATCGCTGAGAAAACTGCTTTGGGATGGATTATCATGTCACCGGGGCGAGAGAAGAACCATTCCTACTTGATGTTTACCAAGAGCTCCCAAGAAGACTACATGCATCTTTGTAGTCTGGACGTGCTTGGATTAGAAGACCATGTTGAAGGAGATCAAGGGAGCGTGTATCGAGAATTTAAAGAACAGCTTACTCAGCAAGAGGACGGTCGATATGAGACATCGTTACCATGGAAGGCTCACCATCCGGAGCTGCCGACCAATTACCTTGTAGCCAAGAGGAGATTTCAGTCATTATTCAACCGACTTGACAAACAGCCTGAACTGCTGAAGACTTATCATGATATAGTGGAAAATCAACTCAAAGATGGAGTGGTCGAGATTGCGCCTGAGAAACCTGAAGGGAGCCGAGAGCATTACATTCCCCACAAACCGGTAGTACGAGAGCAAGCCGAGTCTACGAAAGTAAGAATTGTGTTTGATGCTTCGGCAAAAGCTGATCAAAAATCCCCATCATTGAATGATTGCTTGGACATTGGTCCCCCACTCCAAAGAAGAATCCTTGACATACTACTTCGTAATCGACTTAAACCTATTCTCTTAGCTGGTGATATAAAACAAGCGTTCCTACAAATAGTGATTAGAGAGAACGAGCGAGATGCGATGAGATTTTTATGGATAAACGATCTACAATGCAAAGAGATGGTGGTGTATCGTATGACCAGAGCGATGTTTGGGCTAGGCCCAAGCCCATTCTTACTCGGAGGGACTTTGAACGTTCATCTCGAGAAGTATGCAGAGCACTATCCACAATGTGTTGAAGAATTATCTGAAGGAACGTATGTTGATGACATAAACATCGGAGGTGATAAAGTAGAGGAGACGGTAGTACTCAAGGAGCAAGCCAAAGAAATTCTCAGCGAGGGAAGCTTTGTTTTGCACAAATGGCATTCTAATGCTGCGGAGTTAGAGAGTGACAACGTGGAAGACGGAGAATCTACCTTTGCTAAAGAAACTTTGGGAACTAAGCCATCGGAGACCAAGCTCCTGGGACTGGGATGGAACAAAAAGGAGGATACTTTGTCTGTATCACTACCAAAGCAGAAAGTAGAAATGACCAAACGGATAGTTCTTCAAACAATGGCGAGAGTATATGATCCCCTGGGTTTAGCTAGTCCATATTTACTCACAGCTAAAGTAATCTTCCGTGATATATGTGATCGTAAGCTCGGATGGGATGCTGAATTACCTAAAGATCTGAAGGATCGATGGAAGCGGTGGTTAGATAGATTACCAGGCAGTTTAACCTTCCCAAGAAGTATCCCTCGAGAGAGAGTCGTCACTACCGAGATTTACATTCATGGTTTCGCTGATGCAAGTATTCTGGGATGTTGTGCCGCTGTCTACGTTGTGACCAAACAGGGTGCTCTAGTTTCTCAAGGGCTGCTAGTGTCCAAAACGAGACTGGCAAAGCGAGATTTAACAATTCCAAGATTGGAACTAGTGAGTTGTCATATGGTCTGCAATCTTATTGACAATGTCAGAAAGGTTCTTAGTCATCTTCCAGTGATAAGCGTTTGTGCGTGGAGCGATTCGACCGTTTGTCTACAGTGGATTAACGGACAGGGTAACTATAAGCAATTCGTAGCAAATCGAGTGAAAAAGATCACCGAGAAGCAAATCGAGTGGAAGTATGTTCCAACTCTGGAAAACCCTGCAGATATCGGCAGTCGAGGTACAACACGAGATCTTCAAGCGAATGAAACCTGGATGAAAGGGCCTAGTTGGTTGAGTGAAACTGAAAAATGGCCGGAGCAAGTAAAGATCAAACCGAGCGAGAAGTCCGAGTCAGAAAGTCGAATGATGAGAGAAGTAATGAAAGTTACCATTCAGAAAGAGGCCGATTTCATCGATTGTTTACTAGAGAAATTCGGTCTGACTAAAACTGTTCGAATTTTAGCTTGGGTCACGAGATTTATTGACAACTTCGTGTGTGGCAAGAAAGTCAACGGACCATTAGTGACCGAAGAAACACAGAAGCAGATGAAGTTCTTGATTAAACGCGCACAATCCGAGAGCGAAGCACTTGAGATCTTCAAAGTGGATTCTACCAGATTAAATCTTCAAAAGAATGGCGAGGGAATATACGTGTGCCAAGGACGAATCCAAGGTGAATATCCAGTGTATCTGCCAGCAAAACATGTATTATCTGAATTGGTCGTAAAGCAAGCTCATATGAAGACCCTGCATGGGGGAGTTGCCCTGATCATGAGCAAAGTCCGTGAAGAATTCTGGATTCCTAAATTACGAACTTTGGCGAAGAAAGTTCTCAGTTGTTGTTATGGTTGCAAGCGGTTCCATATAGTGCATGAACCAACTCCACCTCAAGGTAATTTACCAAAAGAAAGAACCGAAGGGATGACGCCATTTGAAATCGTTGGTGTAGATTATGCTGGCCCTATTTACTATCGAAACAAGAACAATGAACAGAAATCGTATATCCTTATCTACACCTGTTCCTTAACAAGAGGGCTCCACTTGGAACTTTTACCTGATTTGAGTTGTGAGGAATTCCTGGCAAGTTTCAAGAGGTTTGTAGCGGTTCGCGGTAGACCAAAGAAGATGATTTCAGATAATGGTAAGACCTTTCATGCTGCGGCGAAGTGGATTAAGAAAGCAACCCGAGATGAAAGGTTTCACGCATTTCTGCACGACTATCAAATTCGATGGCAGTTTAATCTGAGTAAAGCAAGTTGGTGGGGAGGTATGTTTGAGAGGATGGTCGCGTTGGTAAAGAATTCGTTGTACAAAGTTGTTGGTTCTGCAAAACTCACCTACAAGGAGTTGCAGGATGTGTTGCTAGATATCCAGATAGCACTCAATAATCGACCATTAACGTATTGCGAAGATGACGTGCAATTACCTGTTCTCACGCCTAACCTGATGATATTGGGTAAAGCCAATTATTTATTGGAACTTCCGAGTGCTGAAATTGAAGATGGTGATATGCGAAAAAGAGCAAAATATTTGAAGAAATGTAAAGAGGCGTTATGGCGGAGATGGCGAAATGAATACATGAGAGCGCTTCGAGAAAGACACGACTTACGACATAACGGGAAAAGCGGAAATTTACGAGAAGGTGATGTGGTACTTATCAAAGGAGAAGGAAAGAATCGAGGAACGTGGAAGATCGGAATCGTGGAAAGATTAATACCGGGGAGAGATGGAATTGTCAGGGCGGTGAGACTTCGTGCCGGCAAAAGTTATCTAGAAAGACCTATTCAGTTTCTTTATCCAATGGAGTTACACAGTGATGAAAGGGGCTCGGAACAAAAACCACTGAATCCCGAAGTTGAAGAGTTTAAGCCAAAGCGGAAAGCGGCGGTTGAGGCAACAGTGAATATTCGGCGAATGCAAGAGCTTGAAAATGAAAGTGACTAACATTTATGCATGAGTTATACAAACGACTGGAAGTGACTGGGACAATCTAATAACAGTCAGTAAAACAGTTTATATTCATATTTTTATATTTAGGATGTTTAAAAATAGGGGGAGTGTGTCGTGAATGTTAGTAGCGTCTTAGTTGTTATTAGCAAGGGAACAAGTTAATCGTTAACAAGTTAATTCGTGAGCGAACAAAAACTGACACTTGATTGACATATTAGATAGAGCAAGAGAGAGAGCGTGCGAGCAAGTGAGATTAGAATTAAAATAAAAATATCTTAAACAAAAGCGTGAAAATACTTCTTCAAACCAATTGTGGGAAACAACAAAATTCTCCACAGTATAAATAATTTTATTTTTGTAGGGATTGTGCCATTGATGCAACATGTGTTCTCTGTATGACATGTTTTGGGAATGGTATTCACAAAGACCACAATTATCGGGTAATTGCAGATTTTCCTAGCGTAAAGTAACTGCAGCGGTTGGAATGGTCCAGCAGGAAAGTTCTGGAAACAACTTGAAAACAGTGATAATGTCACTAACACCTGTGTGTTTATATTTAGCTGAACACTTCCTCGGGAGGAGGTTGCTGTGATTGTGGTGACGAGGAGGCCTGGAAACAAGGCGCCTCATGTAAAATCCACAGCGTAAAGTCCGAAGACTCTGCTGATGAGGTAAAACACCATACCACAACAATAATCTCAACATGACCATATGATGATAGTTTTCTCTTTACAGGATCCATTGAAAAAGCTTCCAGAAGATTTTTTATCACGTGCGAGATGTTTATTCAATGTTTTGATTGATTTCTGTGTAAATGTGTTATGTGAAATCAACGAGGAAGAATTATTATCTGACATACAAACAAGGTACGTAACTGTGTTACCTTCAAAACATGTTAAAATGGGCCAGGATTTTTCACGAATTGATGATATTTTTCCTTATTTAGCCCTCCTGATGGAAACACGCATGTTACAATGCTTTATAATGATGAAAGTCACACTTTTCAGGGTGTAAGTGAAATCTTTGAAGCAATATACAATATAATTTTGGTCCATTGCATTTTGTTATTTCTCACAGCTGCTAACCCAAACCTTGAAAAAATTGTTTTGTTTTAGGTCATTTCAGCCCTCCAGAAGTCTCTTCCTCGTGATTCCTGCACAGAAAAACTAGCAAATGACTTTGCTACAGTTGTCGATCGTGAGGTACATTCATAGTTGCATCGTAAAATGCAGCCAATCTCTATTCAAAGCATTTAATTAAGTTATGTTACTGCTTTTCTAGGGCCGTTCTAGTATCTACATTGGTTCATTGGAAAACTCTACCCGTGTCTCTGAGTCTGTTCAGGTATGTGTTTATATTTGTATTTTCCCAGAGCAAACTTTTCCAGGAAACTTGTTAATCTCTGAGAAGAGATCACTATATTTTCAGTCTTTTGCCCAGACTAAATTGATTGATTAATCCCCATGATGGTACTACAGCACTAAAGACAATGTTTACATTGTGTTCTGTTGTAGAGAAATACTAGTGACAGCTTGCACGGGCCTCTGAGATGCGAGACAGCTCATCTATATACTGTTGCATGTCAACTTATGGCGTTGAAGATGATGAAATGGCTTGATAGTCTTACTGAAGAATCAGGTAGATTGCATAAATCACTATGTCATGTCACTAAATACAATATATATATATATATATATATTACCATAGTAATACTATATATTATTACAACTGTTCTAAAGCAGGTGTGTAATTTTATTTCCAGACAGTTTAAGGAGACTTCATTCAGTTTTAAGTACAACAAGTTCTTGTGGTGATTGTCATCTCACAAGAGTACTTAAAGCTGATGGGAAACTATGGAAAGGTATTTTAACTGCAGATATAGGAAAGACCATCCAGGATATACCGGAGGGGAAGGCTATTGTGTTTGTCAGCTCACAATCACTACATATTATTTTGTTAACATGTCAGGATTATATTCTGAAACATCCGATGTTACTCTTAACTTGAGTATATTTCTGTTTTAGTTGCAAGATTTCACAATCACCAGCTGTTTATGAACACGTATGTTGAGCGTTGACTACACTCTGTACATATAAGCTCTGGTTTTCATAAGAATTCTTTTTTATGAATTACATTAGATCTTTCAACTTGAAATCTTGAATTATTTTTAAGGTTGCTCAAAGACTCACTTGGGAAACAAGCACTTGCTATTGAGTTTACAAAGGTCTTACAGTTAACTCTGTGTCATATAAAATTTCTCTAATCATTCTCTCATTTCCTAATATTTTGAATGAAATATATCCTACAGAATTATCCAGGTGTTATTGACGATTACTACAATGATGATCAAGATCATGCAATATCGGTAAGTGGTGATTCTCTGGTCACACACATGACATTGCTGTTTCTTCAGGCTTCATATTTTGCACGTAACAAAATAGAATAGCATTGTGTGTGACCAGAGAATCACCCTGAGGCAAAGTTTAACATTTTATTAGCAAGTTCAATTGTCTAAAATTAAACTTTTATATGTTCATTTTAGGCGGCTGGAATGTCAGTTCAACTGTTTACAGTACCAAGTTTGGTACGTTTACGATGGTAATTTCACGAAATCATTCGCATCCAATGTTTAAATGGACGTTGTCTTAATCTGTTCAGGTGCAAATGTTGTCCGTTCATCACAACTTAATGGAGACAGTCATACAAGTGCTTTTGGAAAAAACCAAACCTTTGTTGAAAAGTGAAGTATTATTATTACTCTTAAAGTTGACCTGCTTCGATGTAGCGCGATAAGGTTTTATATTAACGGGACCTTAAATCTCTTGATACTCTTGAAATGCAAGAGAAAAAATATCGTTTCTTTACAAGAAAAATTTGACCAGTGTGTGTCTAACATTATCTCTAGATAATGGAGTGTTTGATTTCAACAAAGATGAACGCTTCAAATCAACGCGGTTGTACTGGGTTATACATGATTTGAGGTTAGTGTTGATAACATCTCGAACATTCCCTAATCTATATTTTTTATTTCTGTTTGGCCTGTGAGAAATACAGAACTTTTGAGAACAAGCTTAGTCCGTTCGCTCGCGTTTTACGTTGTAACTAACATTATCTCTTTTTCATCCAAGGTACATTGTTCAAAACAAACCAAACGAATGGAGCGATGGTTTAAAATGCAAATTTTACAGATTCTTAGAACTTTTCTTATCAATGTTGACACGTTTCCAGGTGTGTTTACTCTGCTGTTAATATAAAAACCGAGGATCGCTGTGGCAGTGCTTCAAATAAGTTCTTAAAAATACACAAAATTCATTAAAAAAAGACATTCATTTTCGTTTATTCTCAAGGGAATGGGTATGATGAAACGTGCAACTGGTGTCCATGTTGAGATGGAACAAGAATGGCATCGCTCCTATGATTTTGAAATGCGTTTTACTGTTTCTGTGCCATTAATACTTCAATGGTGCGACGAGAATGTGAGTCATCTTATTCGCCAACAAACCAGTTCACGTCACTTCAACATAATCATTGTGTTTTCAATTTCTTCTTCAGCGAGATGTGTTACTTAAAGCTATTAAACTGACTTTGGAGTGTTTAAAGGACATTCGAAAACGTGATGGTTCAACTAAACTGAAGAAAACCCATGGTACTGCAAGCTTTGAAAATAATTTAACTAAATTACGTATCCATACAGTTTTCCTACCTGTGGAAGACGTTATACCCGTCTTTCTAGAGGTCCAGTTAATCCAATGTAGCTACTACAACAACACTAAACAACAGTACATGTATTAATTAATCTACTTCGTAGAGGCTACTAGCTACTTCGCTACATTTTAAAAGACTATCGGTCTTTTTGTTTTTTTAGGATGGAAAAAAGGCATAAAGGTATTCGACTTCGATGTTGCTTCAGAGAACGTTTCAATGCATATTCCAATCCCTCGTTTTCTGGCAGGTAGGCTTGCGATAAAATCTTGAGTACACCATTCATGCATGCAGAAGAAAACTAAATCTTATCAACTTTTGTAGCTATATCTTAAGATATACACCGAACTCTATTTTTCCAGGTTTGCTTGGATGCTGCGAAAAACATTCCATAAATATTAAAAACGTTCTGGAAATCAAGGTTTGTTGCCGTCTAGTTGAGAACGCTTTTATTCTACTTCTTAACCGTAAATATGTCTTCATAAAATTAACGATTTTACAGCAAGATGAAGATGCGCTCATGTACATGGGATTCCCTTTGAAAGTTCTGGTGTTTGTCTCGCAAGTTAAAGCTGGAATGTGGAAAAGGAACGGTTACACTCTACTCCACCAGGTAACGAACTCTTTATAAACGTATTTACTGTTTCTTCGGCACCAAATATATTTGTATTTCAGTCGCATGCCAGAGTACTTGTGTGTTGTCATTGTCAAACATCGCCGATATATTTGTTTTTAGATCAATATATATCGGAGAGAAATGGAAATGTATGCTAAAGACATCTTCATGATGCAGGTAACGGAGTTTAAATCGTGATTTCACTGCCAGAAATTTAAAAGCGATGCTTTTACGCAAAGCAACTTTTATTAATTCCTTCAGGTTCTGGCGTCGTGTATGGACAAAGAATATTTCCTTCAGGTTGTTTTGGAAATGTTCAAGCTCCATCCTTGGTCAAAGTGAGTGCACTTTGTGATATCAAAACTATTTTTTTAACTCTCGTTGTTAAAAGCTTGTTCTATTTTCATATAGACACAGCTACAATGTTGACGACAAACTTGACGAGGTTTGCGATGAATGAACTTTTCATGCACGTCAAACAAATTGAAAGACTAAACTAATGCGATATTCATTGATTTAAATAATCTATAGAGCGCCTTGAACCAAAATCTTTCATTAGCTGGCGATTTCCTTCATCTTCTGATCATGATTTTAGGTGAGAATTATACTAAACTTTACTGGAAAGTTCTATCATTTAAGAGTGACTCTTCTAGAGCTAATATATTTTGAGATAACTTCATATAGCATGAATCAAATCACAGATCGATATCGACAGTGATAAAGAGCGTGTCTCTTGTTGTTTGCTACAGGAGAAAGATACGACAGTACTATTGGTCAGGTTGAGAACGAGGTTGAATTGAAAAGAGAAGTCATTCACAGATTGTGTTTGGGAAACTTGTCAAGAAGTGAACTCATGCGGGGTCTACCTTTGTCAGAATCGGAGGTGAGACAGCACGAGGCAGTTTTTCCACTTAACAAGCCTCTTACAGACATCCCTTCACCCTTTCAACCACCGCCTTCTGTTACAGGCATCTCCCTGACCTCTCAACCCCCCACCCGCCCTCACCACTCCGGGAAGTAGATTGATATTTTTCGTGTTTGTTTATTTTTCGTCTCTAGTATCAACGCCGTGGAAAGATAGATGACGTCATTGCCTCGGTAGCAACATTCAAGTATGTGAGATTATATTCACTCTCTGGCTCAGATCCAACCTATGAAAACTCGTTTTTGCACTTCTATAAACCACAATACATATTTCTAACCGCGTTTGTGTGCTGTAGGAAGCCTGGTCTGTCCAGCAAAGGAACGTACAAAGTGAAGAAAGAGTTCTTATCGGAGTTTAATCCATTTTTTTACCATTACGATAAAAATGAGCTATCTAAGGTGAGGAATGATAATGCTTTGGTCAAAACAAAGACATGAAAATTGTTAAGACTTTGCAGTGAAAGTTGAGAGAGAGATTTGCATCTTTGATGTGCTGTGTACTTCAGAAAACCTAGGAAATGAGAAAATATGCCTCATTTGTTCTCGTTCTGACGACGTGCAAACATTGTGTTGAACGTCAAAATTTAGCTGTTAGTTCATAGTTGTCTTAAATTACTTTTTAAAAGGCTGAAGATCAAATGAGAAAGCGATGCAAAGAAGAAGGAATACCAGCAGGTATGTGTATGTGTGTGGAAACACCTAGAGGAAAATTATCGTTGTTTTTTTAATCATTGTATCGTATTGCTCATAATTTTCTTTCAGTGTTTATTCCGCCGGCCCCAGTTGAGTTCTTGCCTCAATACTCCAGCATCGTGGACCTGCTGACCTGTAAAAAGATGATTGACATGCTCACAGCTATTCTCTGGAGGATCAAACATGGCAATCCTAAGGCCTGGACTGACAGGATCTTTCATCAGGTGAATGAAGATACTGTTTGTTATTAAGACTGATGTGTGCTTATATAGCTCTATAGTTGGGTAGTTTTAAACTGTTCTTCCTTGAGGTCCAGTGTTACTACAGGAGGAAACCTGAACTAAACTAATTTTATTTATACTGGATAACTCTATCAGTTCTAAACTGTTCTTCCTAGAGATCCAGTAAGGATCATCTCTTATTGATCCAGTGTTACTACAGGAGGAAACCTAAACTAAACTAATTTTATTTATACTGGATAACTCTATCAGTTCTAAACTGTTCTTCCTAGAGGTCCAGTAAGGATCACCTCTTATTGATCCAGTGTTACTACAGGAGGAAACCTAAACTAAACTAATTTTATTTATACTGGATAACTCTATCAGTTCTAAACTGTTCTTCCTAGAGATCCAGTAAGGATCATCTCTTATTGATCCAGTGTTACTACAGGAGGAAACCTGAACTAAACTAATTTTATTTATACTGGATAACTCTATCAGTTCTAAACTGTTCTTCCTAGAGGTCCAGTAAGGATCATCTCTTATTGATCCAGTGTTACTACAGGAGGAAACCTAAACTAAACTAATTTTATTTATACTGGATAACTCTATCAGTTCTAAACTGTTCTTCCTAGAGGTCCAGTAAGGATCATCTCTTATTGATCCAGTGTTACTACAGGAGGAAACCTAAACTAAACTAATTTTATTTATACTGGATAACTCTATCAGTTCTAAACTGTTCTTCCTAGAGGTCCAGTAAGGATCATCTCTTATTGATCCAGTGTTACTACAGGAGGAAACCTAAACTAAACTAACTTTATTTATACTGGATAGCTCTATCAGTTCTAAACTGTTCTTCCTAGAGGTCCAGTGAGGATCATCTCTTATTGATCCAGTGTTACTACAGGAGGAAACCTAAACTAAACTAACTTTATTTATACTGGATAACTCTATCAGTTCTAAACTGTTCTTCGCTGAAGTCGAAACAAGGACCATTCTTTACTATATTCATTGCTGTAAATTTTGAAGGTTTTGCATCTGATTGGCCTAGCGTTGCACGAAGAACAACGGCAAAGATGCAAAGGAGAATCGTTTGGTTTCGTCATCGCCGCCACGAAACAAAACAACAATTGTGAGTTATTTGATTGTTTTTTCAAATATATTTATCTAAACTCGACGAAACTAATCGCTTCTTTCTCAGTTCCCAAGGATTGTTCGCTGTTTGAGTGTATAGAAACTCTGCAAGGAAACTCAATTGTTGAACTACACAGCGGACTGCTTTCGTGGACGATCCAGGTAAAGAAACCTCACATGCCTCAGTAGTTTATCATGGACTAGAAAACACGAATGAGATGGAACAGTTTACCAATTCACATTTGTACAATTCATGAGTACGAAATTAAGGTATCCAAGCTGCGTTTCTGGTTGGATTGATTTCTGATTCCAATGGATTTCTGATTTATGTAGAAGTTCAAAGAAGAGCTGTCAGAGCAGAGTTATTTTGCCGAGTCAAGCATCCAAAGTTCTCAACCAATGGACGTGTCGGAAACGGTGTCACATGATCAGGAGAAACTTAGCAGACAACGGCTCGCCCAAGAAAGGCGGGAAAAAATATTGGTTCAAATGTCTGATATGCAGAAAGCGTTTATTCGCCAGAATTCTGAGCTGTACTTGTCAACAAAAACAGAGTAAGAATGAACGACTCTGATACTGTTTTACTGCAAGAGTTTCCCCATAATCCCCACAGAATAAACTTCATCTTTACTGTGTGGCTTAATCGCTCCTGGATTAACCGTCTTAAAATGTTTCTTTTGACTAAAAAAACAAAAAATTCACCGTTTCAGTTTGGAGGATTCAGAGCTTGATGAAACCGACTCAACAGCTGCATCATCCTCGGAACAGGCCGTGATTGCGATCGGAAACAATCGTACGCCGTCGGTCACTATCCCTCGGGAACAATTTATTTGCATTTTATGCCAAGAGAATCCGAGTTCGGACGAAAGACCGCTGGTATACTCGGCGTATGTACAGCGGTCGACGTTGTTGTCCAACAACCATAACCAAACCCTTGACGAGGGGGATGAAGCGGATCCTCTAGTGTCATACAGGGATCAACGCGTCGGGACACATGTGTGCAGTTGTGGTCATGTAATGCATGGTGATTGTTGGCAGCGGTTTTTTGAATCGATATTAACCACCGATCGTTTGTCGATCAGGTTTCGAATACGAAATACATTTGATCTGACGAAGAGGGAATTTCTATGTCCATTATGTTCGGGGCTTGGTAACACAGTCCTGCCAATCATGGCCCCAACTGTCACAAAAGATGAAAGGTAGGTATGATTGTCGTTATAGGTGTCCCCCTGGGCCCTGAGTCCTTTCCTACGACTTACGAATTGCAATCTTCATTTATCGGGAGGGAGAAATAGTTAGCTTTTGTCGGAGAAGGGCGACTTTAGTGATTTCTTTTTGTTTATACTCTTTTTTATAAACATCAACCATGGCGTGCTTTTTGATGTTATCTTACAGCAGTTCTAACTATGTGTCCTGGCTCGTGACCCTCCGGAAAATACAATCAAAATTTACAAAAGATTTGATGGCATTTGGTCAAAGCAAAGAAGAGGAAGGTGAGGGACAATTCTGTTGCACATCGCGGGTCAAAAGAATGAGCCAAATTAGATAATCTCTTCTCTTCATTTTTAGGTGGATTTATCAAAACCCTGAAAGGGAGAGTTCTTCAATATATTTATCAGTAAGTTCGTCGTCTTTTATGGAACACTTTTTGTATTCCCCTACAAGGTGAGAATGTCTGCTGTTCTTCCAGCGTTAACAATCATTTATTCAAGATGAATGGCTACTTTCTACGTTAACAATATCTAATATTCTCCTACAGACAACTGCTATCGACGAATATGCAATCGATGATTACGGTTTTCACCCGCGCTGCCTACACGGTACATTGCAAACTCTCTCAAATCTAAATACAGTCTTTAATGCCCAAAGCTTGTAGAAGTATTTACTCTTCCGTTTTAAGTTGTACTTCAAAATTGATTGGAAGTAAAGCTTCTGAAACCTCCATTGCTTTCCAGTAGTTTTCAGTTTAAATAAACGACCATATTTGGTTATTTTTCAGTTTGGTTTGAATGTTCAACCTGATGATGATAACAACAGAGTAGCGTTAATGGTTTGGGGAACCTGTGCCTATACTATTCAATGTTTTGGTATGTTTTATTAGGAATTGCGTGCCTTAACTATATAAGAGCGACCATCGCCTTATTGTGGATTTCTGTTTTTAAAGAACACAGCTCAAGAGAGCAATCCACTGGAATAGTTAGAAATGATCTCAAACGTGAAGTATGGAATTGTGCTTTCCTCTGAAACTGAAACTGAAGCTCTTATCTTCTTTTTCTTTACCTTTTCTACAGATCACAAATGATGTGAATTTTTCTATTTTGTTTACTTCTAGATCGACATCTTGAGATCGTTAGTTTACGTCGCAAACTCGGCGAGTTCAATCAGCAAGTCACATGATGTTGTCAGCCATTGTCTCCGTTTGTTTTCTCTGCTGGCTGCAGCTGAGAATCTTCCTGTGGAACAACGATCAATGATGGAGATTGATCTCTTCGATTGGATGGTAAACGTTCTTCTGATTATCCCTAGTTACAGTATATTATTATAGACACCCACGGAGGAATGCGCATGACAAAGGAGGCCCGTTACTAGTGGACACTTTTCTATGCTCTGGCAAAATATGCTTCCACAATTTTAGGTGAAAATGCGGTTCTCCTTGCCCAGTATCGACACAGCCAGTGATACGTCACAGTCGGTTGATGGAAGCAGTTTTTCTTCTGCTGAACTGGATGGTTTTGTCTTTCATCTCGCGCTTGCTGCCAGGATTGTCCAAATTCTCCTTACGACATCAGAAGATATTCCTTCTGGTAGGCATCTTCATACATTATACAGAAACTTGAATATCGCTTTTTTTGTTTTTTAAACATTGAACAGGGTTGGTACGTTTCTGAATAAATAAGCCAAACATTGTTATTGGCGGTACTTTGATTCCTTTGTTTTAAACAAAGGAAACGAATGTTATGTTAATAAATTTGGCTTATTTATTCATAAAATCTACCAACCCTGACATTGAAACTGACCTTTACTACAGATGAAATGGACGATTACGATGATTCTGATGTCGTTATCGCTGATGAAATAGCAAATTTCTGGAGAACATTGCGTAAATTGTGCAAGTGAGTGAAAAAAATTATGCTTTTATACTGGATAGTTCTATCAGTTCTAAACTGTTCTTCCAGTAAGGATCATCTCTTATTGATCCAGTGTTACTACAGGAGGAAACCTAAACTAAACTAACTTTATTTATACTGGATAGCTCTATCAGTTCTAAACTGTTCTTCGTAGAGGTCCAGTAAGGATTTTTTCTTATTGATCCAGTGTTACTACAGGAGGAAACCTAAACTAAACTAACTTTATTTATACTGGATAGCTCTATCAGTTCTAAACTGTTCTTCCTAGAGGTCCAGTGAGGATCATCTCTTATTGATCCAGTGTTACTACAGGAGGAAACCTAAACTAAACTAACTTTATTTATACTGGATAGCTCTATCAGTTCTAAACTGTTCTTCATAGAGGTCCAGTAAGGATTTTTTCTTATTGATCCAGTGTCACTACAAGAGGAAGCCCAAACTAAACTAACTTTATTTTTATTGTATCTTTAGTCCATCAACTGAGCCCTCAAGCCATTCCAATCCCCACCGACTGTTATTGCACGTGCGATACCGCTTGTTACCATTCCTCCGATGTTGCGCAATTTTCTTTCACACTTTGAATAGCACCAGAGTTCCCCTCGCTCTGAGAGGTTAGTGACGAGTCAGGACTTTACTTATATCGGATAAGTTTATCAGTTCTAAACTGCTCTTTATCGAGGTCCAGTAAAACAAAACAAGCGAGTGAATATTTAAATAAATATTTTGCTTTCGCAGAAAATTTCGTAACTGCTGAAAAAGAATACGAAGCTTTGGCTGAATATTTGGCAGTACCCAGAAGTCTGACTGAAATATTTGGCTGGAGTGACACGCAGAAGACATTCACGAATGAGGATGTATTGAAAGTTGTAGGAAGGTGAGGAGAGTTGAAATTTAATCCCCGGAATTTAATCCCCGGAATAGAAGCACTAAGTGTTTCAACGAGATTCTTTATGTGTTCTTCTGCAGATGGTGCCTAAATCAGAAGACAGATGAAACTGTGGAAAATTTTGAAAGGTTCACATTTTTCTTTCATCGAACATTTTAGCGTCTAAAAGTCCAATATTTTAATATTTTAATCATATTTTTTTCTACAGTTTGAAACAGAACACTTTAATTCAACTTCCACACAACTACAGCGAGTTAATAAACCAAGCATCACAGTATGAGTACGTAACACTTGTTAATTTTTTGAATATCTTTATCGAAACCTTAGTTACATAAGTTTGAGAACAGCGAAAAGCGTGCAGCCGATTGTCCACAATGTGAACATCGTGTTCCTCTTTATCCCCAGTTGCCCAGTATTTTCTGGGGACGAGAACCGAGTGCCTGCGAAATGTCTGATCTGCGGGAAATGGCTTTGTTGCGAAGCGTGGTGTTGTAAAGAGACCATTGGTGATCAGCATGTTGGCTCGTGCACAGCACATGCACAAACATGTGGGGCTGGTGTGGGTATGTTTCTCCGTGTACGAGATTGTATCGTTCTACTTGTGAATGGTATTGGCAAGGGCTGTTTCTACCCATCGCCCTATCTTGACGCTTATGGTGAAAATGATCCGGGGTTGAGGTAGGACAAAATTTTGTTTTTAAGCATTTTCAACCCATGAGTAAGTTGACTACACCTTACTAGACCTCTAGTCTGATAGTCTAAGCTGATAGATCTATTCAGTATGAATAAAGTTAGTTTAGGTTTCCCCCTGTAGTAACACTGGATCAATAAGAGATGATCCTTACTGGATCTCTAGGAAGAACGGTTTAGAACTGATAGAGCTATCCAGTATAAATAAAATTAGTTTAGTTTAAGTTTCCTCCTGTAGTAACACTGCATCAATACGAGATGATCCTTACTAGACCTCTAGGAAGAACGGTTTAGAACTGATAGAGCTATCCAGTATAAATAAAGTTAGTTTAGTTTAGGTTTCCTCCTGTAGTAACACTGGATCAATAAGAGATGATCCTTACTGGACCTCTAGGAAGAACAGTTTAGAACTGATAGAGCTATCCAGTATAAATAAAGTTAGTTTAGTTTAGGTTTCCTCCTGTAGTAACACTGGATCAATAAGAGATGATCCTTACTGGACCTCTAGGAAGAACAGTTTAGAACTGATAGAGCTTTCCAGTATAAATAAAGTCAGTTTAGTTTAGGTTTCTTCCTGTAGTAACACTGGATCAATAAGAGATGATCCTTACTGGACCTCTAGGAAGAACAGTTTAGAACTGATAGAGCTATCCAGTATAAATAAAGTTAGTTTAGTTTAGGTTTCCTCCTGTAGTAACACTGGATCAATAAGAGATGATCCTTACAGCACCGTTAGGAAGAACAGTTTGGATAATTGCAGGTTTAAACGGGCGTATATTTATCTCCAACAGACGCGGAAACCCGCTCTTTTTGTGCGAAGAACGCTACAAACAGCTTCAGAAGCTCTGGAAACAACATGGCATTCCTACTGAAATAGTCCGCCATCTTGAAAGCAATCGACATTTGATGCAAGTCGATTGGGCTAATTATTAAACTACGGGTAATCAACGTTTAACAAGCTCTCAAAATCGGGCGATTTTGAAAAATCATCATAACAACTAAGTATTTATATATTTGTGAGTTGACAGTGTACTTCGTCAACACGAAAAATGCAGCAAAACTAAACTAAGCTTGTTTTTTCAAGCAAAATGAAACATTGACATGAATCACGATATGATTTCAATATAAAATGTACAAATTGTATTGAAGTTCAATCATAATAAAGTATTGAACTGTCGTGTTCATTCATGCTGTCTTCTGCAGTTCTGCTTTGTCCCAAAGGATTGTGAATGTTTATAGCTTCAGATTCTGAGATGGTTAAAGGCACTTAGTTCTGAGGTGAGGTGAAGGTGAAGCCGTGAAGGTGAGGTGAGGTGAGGTGAGGTGAGGTGAGGTGAGGTGAGTAGGTGAGTGAGGTGAGGGTGAAGGTGAGGTGAGGTGAGAGGTGTGAGGTGAGGTGAGGTGGTGAGGTGAGATGTGAGTGTGAGGTGAAGTGAAGTGAGCTAGGTGAGATGAAAGTGAGGTGAGGTGAGGTGAAGCTTAGGTGAAAATGAGGTGAGGTGAAAGGAGAAGAGAAGAGAAGAGAAGAGGAGATTGCAAATTGAAGATTCAAATTGTTTGGTTTTTGAAGATGGCGATATTTTCTGCGGCTGACAGGCGTCGCACAGCAACGTACGAATCGGGTGTAAACAACATGGTTCGAAGTAAGTTTGTTTTTAATTTTTTTGGTTCTTTTGTTAAATTTCTTTATTATATGCAGTTTAATGTGTTGATTTAGTTACTGAAGATCTCGTTCGTAAAAGAGCAGAGCATAACAATTGTGAGTTATCGACGCTTGAGGAAGTATCCTTGCATCAGTTGGATATCGAGAGGTGAGAATTAAAGATTTTTGATTTGTTGATGGTTTAAAAGTCAAGAAGAAGGGAGTTGAAAAACGATCAATGATATAATGTTGTTATGTAGGATTGAAATTTTAGATAAAGTTTGTCGTGAATTGAAGATTCTCTATCTGCAAAGCAACCTAATTCCTAAGATTGGTAGGCAACCATGTAATCTCTGCATTAACTCTGTTATTCTGACCAAAGCATAACGCACTTTCCTTTCCCCAACCTTCGAGAGGCACTGCTTGTCATCATCCTCTATGATTTCAGAAAATGTTGGTAGATTGAAGAAACTAGAGTATCTCAATTTAGCCTTGAATAACATTGAAAAGGTTGAGAACTTACAAGGTATGTATATTCTTAGTCTAATATACACCACAATCATAATACCATATAAAGTACCATACATTCTGTTTGCAGTTTACCAAACCGCATCCTGTTATCATCCTGTTCTATGCAATATGTATCAATTATCTCAACAAATGTCTCTAATTATTCAGGATGTGAATCGCTGCAGAAGTTAGACTTGACTGTCAATTTTGTTGGAGAATTGACCAGCATCGAGAGTTTAAGGGTTAATTATCGCCTGCAAGAATTGTACGTCATCGCAGTTTTTCTGTTATACACTTCCTTCACATTGATACCAATGACCTAACATTTTTGTTGTGATAATGCAATTTATGCTCTCCTAGGTTTCTGACTGGCAATCCTTGCACACAATTCACAAGTTATAGAGAATATGTGATAACAACATTGCCTCATTTGAAAGTAGGTCTTGCACAATGTGGTTGACCCGATTTAGAAAACAGTTAGATTGGATTTCAATCTAATTTGTGAGGACATTGTTTCAGACATTGGATGGAAAAGAGATTGAAAAATCTGAAAGGATTTTGGCAAAACAAGTATGTGTAGTGCTTTTAAAAATTTGCTTACCTTCAATTCATCTAATAGCTGAATCATTTTAGGATTATGACAACATTGTTAGATGTATTGTTGATCAAGAGAATGATTACAAAAAGGAAATTGTAAGTGTGTGTGTGATCTAATGCCACTGGATTCAAATTTGAAATTTCCATCACAAGACAAACTCTATAACAGTTCTGTTTATATTTCCAAGGAGAGTAAAAGAAATCAACAAGGAGATGAGGAAAGAGACCATTTGTCAAAGTATTTCTTTGCTATTTCTGCCGGATACATCATCATCCTGTGATCTGCCCTTATATAATCATGGTTGTTAAAAGAGCCTAAATTTTTGTGCATGGTGTTTTGAAGGGATAAAAGCAGTGAAAATGAAAAGGACACAGAAGATGATGCAAGGTAATATTATTGATAAAATTCTGCCAGCAAAAAATTGCATGTTTAGGATATATTTAAAGTGGTTTGTTTGAGTTTGATTAACAGTATGTGAGAGGCATTATAATACATGCTCTCATCCCAGTTTCTGGCAAGAAGAAGTTGAATACACACCAGAGTCAAGAGTTGAAATTCATAAGCATATGGAAGAAAAACGAAAAAACAAAGAACAGATTGATAAAAGGTAGGAAGAACTCAGAAGAAGAAGTGATGGTGGTCATAGGAGATGTCACGATTCATGATTTTGAACTTCATTATTCCTGTTTTTCAGTGCAGAAAAAGCGCCAAAAGAAGTGAGATTCTTCGCTAAAGACGGCAGACCTTTGAATATAAACCAGGGGAAGTAAGTCGAAAGATTTTCCAGCTGTTGGTTGATATGCGTCTTGTTTTTAATTCAGCGTGAACTCGTGAGCGTTACTCAGATACAGTCAACCCTTTTTTTTCCAGACTCGACTTTAATTTCACTGATGACGAGGAAAACAATGTGTTTCTTTTTGACCTCGCCTGTCCGAGGTAGGCGGGCTAAACAAGCTAGATTTTACCAGAATAATCGAACAGATATAACATCCTTTTTTTCTTTTATAGGTATCTGGATACCTCCTTAATCAATGTTGATGTACAAATGAACTATGTTCGAGTGATAGTTAAGGGAAAGGTAAAATGAACACTCTCTCAACAAGAGACTCCATCTTAGCAACAAAAAACTACTTTCAGTCCGCATATATTTATCTTCGTTTCATCTTTGTTTAGATAATGCAGCTAGCGTTACCAGAAGAGATCAAACCTGACTCAAGCACAGCTAAGCGTTCACAGGTTACAGGGCATCTTCTCTTGACTATGCCGAAGGTAAAATGAAAGACCATGCCTGCACAGTTCTCATTTTTGCTATAACTCGCCTAGAATGTTCTTATGTTGGATTCATTTGTTAGTTAAAAGGAATTATTCGACCAAAACAAGAGAGGAAAGCCATGCCCAAAGAAAGTCTGAATGAAGGCAAAATAAACGGCAAATATATGACAGGGTAAGCTCAGACACTATGGAGTTAAATAAAATTAAGAATGACTTGAAATAGCGCGGTTTACTAAATCAATCCATAGCACATATTGACGGATATAATTTATGATTCTCGATATGCTTCCACAGAAAACAGCAGGAGAAACTAGAGGTTGATCCAAGCGTAAGAAAGGATGTCGACTTTGGTAACATCGTTTGCGATAAGAGCAAGGATTTGGAAAAGAAGTACTCTTCAGGACGGAAATGTGCCGATGAAGAAGTGGAAGATGAGGAATTTGTTGACGATCCAGACGTTCCTCCGCTTATTTAGGATCGACACCATACGAAGCGTTAGACCAAATATTACTGTGAGAAATATCCCCTAGGTCCCTGTTTTCATGTCCCTGAGGTTCCCTCGTTATCCACACGGACAGAAGGGGAAACGGGTCAGAACAAAGAAACTTTGACACAACCCTAACTTGTCAACTCAGGCATGCAGATAGACGTGACATAATATATTGATATTGTCGCTGTTCTGTTGTTGTTGTTCCATACTCTTCCCGCACCATTTCCATATGTTTGTGAAATACAAAAATTCAACATTTCGAACCAGTAGATGTAAACCTCTTCTTGATTTCATTCAACAACTGACTACACTGACTTTCCCGATGAAAACCCTGCTCGAAACATCTTAACTATTTTATAGGTATACAGCATTTGATGTGAAACAACATAGTTAGCAAATGTCACATTTCTCGATAATAGGTTTTCATTTTTTCAACCTCCCCCTGGAAACATGAACCTGTCAGATATTTCCCTTTAGGACATCTCCTCTCCTCCAGGGGGGGATAAAAACTCAGCTCTCCACTGTGACCCCAGCGGAATATTTTTGCCTATTGCCTCAGTGAGGGTAAACCAGGACATATAGATTAGGAGTATCTCGTCATCCATGTGTTCCAAATCGAGATTCATCTTGACTCTCATTCAATCCAAATTCTCAGTACAACTGTACTTACTATAAACTTATCATGCAAACAGTTTTATGCAAACAACGTTTCCACGCAATATTTTTGAAGGTGGGCCAACACTAGTGAAAGACATTGGCATTCGGGGTAAAATGATGTACATGTCCGCAGTCTGTGTTTATGGACGTTTCAAGTATGCAAGCACTCGATTTACTCGAAATAACGCTGAAAAACAACCAGTTTCCACATCAAAAAAGCGTCTGGGAACACTAAATCTCACAAGAAACATTCTCTCTAACGGGAACAAATTTGTTTGGCAAACAGAGTTTCATTTCAGGAAATATCGTAAAGACAAATGTTTCCGGCGACAATATTCGTGGTTTGCCCATGGCAAAAACGTTTCTTATACGACCAACTGTGTTTTTGAGTGGCGACGGTCTTAATACAAGCTGAATTCATAAAGTTTGTATTATTACCGACGTCAGTTTATCATTTCCAGCTGTTCATATAGGAATATGGATAAAGCGTTAGGATAGGACCTGTCATTATGGCCTACGAAGAAAACAGCAATTAGTTGTTTTGCACGAATTGCATCCATCTTTTATCGTTTTCCGAATCGCCTGCCCACTGAATTACGCAATGAAATGGATTCATGGCATTTTAGTGTACAGTTTATTATCGTTATTAACTTGCCAATGTACTTGTTAATTTTCCCTGCCAAATTTTGATCGGATTTTCACCGCTAAACACCCACATCAATTTTCGATTTCATAATTAATAGATAGTGTAATTTGACTTCGTGCAGGTTACAGCTGTTTCCTAGCCGGCGGTACGGCTAACCGCCTTCATTCCTGCATGTTATAGACGCTTTGAGCCAGAGAATTCAACACTGTGGAAGGTAAATGTGGAATTTATACGAACAGATATCCCCAGGGCAGACCACAGCCGGTTTCTCATTGAGGTATTGACCTTTTTGCCCCAGTATATCAGTATATGTAATGGTATTTATTGAGACGAACGTGGGTGCTATGTGCGTTGCCAGATTAGATAGACTACCTTTGAATATATCACGAAAACTTCGAGCCTTCTGGGCCCTTTTATCTGGAAGTTTTGCAAAGAAAACTAGGGTGGATGACATAGCAACTATGACCAGCAATCGTATATTATGTCAACGGTCATAAATGCATTTTACAGAACCATTGATTTGCGAATTTGGTATAAATCATTGCCGAAAGGACAAGGGTGCGTAATTTGTCGTAAAAGAGAGCAAAAGTAACCACAAGTTGATGGTGGTCGAACAAATGTCGCAGATGACAGGCGGTGATGGCGTCATCATCCGGGCAATTTTAATATGGCGGCGGCGTGCGGGCCAATCAGGCGGGGTTTGTTTATTGGAGGAATTTTGCACGCGTCGAAGGAAGTGTATATGCAGCTAGGAAAGCGAAGAATTATTGCAGATATAAGGTTATTTTCCCCTTAATTTTACCGTCTTAGGACTCGCCGATCGTGCCGGCCTTTTAAGGGGAAGTAACAACGTTGTGTGGGCTAAGGAATGGCCGATTTGCCTGAGGTAAGCAACAGCATTTGAATCGCTTTATCAAGTCGTCGCGACGTTGATGTTGCTTGGCTGTTGAATAAACATACTCACTTCGTATTTGGTTGCTTTTTCTCACTAGAAGCGGCCAGGAACAAGCCCAAGCGGCACAGCAACTGGTGCTGCAGCTCATGCAGATCCATTTCATCGTAAGTCACTTCGTAAGCCGCCCAAAGGAGTACAACGTAAGCAACAAGGGTCATCGAAATTTCGTACCGATGTTAATGTCGAACTGCAATCGTTGCCGCTACTGAAAGGTGTGTAGCTTACGGCTTTTGTTGTATTTGTTCTGCCTCCCATTTGCAGGATACATTCAAAATACAATTTTGTCGTTCGTCAATATTTGCTCGCCCTCGATTTAGAAACGAATACAACCGAACAACAAGAATTGTTCATCAAAAAACTCAAGCAATGTTGCGTTGTGTTTGATTTTATGGACCCAGTAAGCGATCTTAAAGGGAAGGAAATTAAGCGATCTACACTCAACGAACTAGTGGATTATATAACTTCTGGAAGGGGAGTTCTTTCTGAACCAGTGTATCCTGAAATCGTAAATACGGTAAGCAAATAGTAATCTATTTTCAAAGTAACATCCGCCATTATATTTTGTAATTATTCGCTGATGCCTCTGTGTCTGAAGCAAACATTTTATATTAGCGTTTGTACGGACCTCAAATTGTCTGTTTCGCCTAAAACGGCTTGAAATGGAAACGAAAAGCGTTCTTGTTTCGCGAAATCGTCATGGTATGGTCTCGTCTTCCCGAACACAGGATAGAAACCCTCAAAATTTATTAATGTGCAAAAAATCCTTCATTTCGCAATCCCACTTGTCACAGCTTAAATAGCAATTTCATATTTTACGAGCTTTGTTTTCATTCCCAAAATCGAAAAATGCAAAGTGTTTCACTAAAGCATTGAACCCGTGAAAATGTACAATATAAAATATCATTTTGAATATATAAAAGGTATTGTTTACAAGCAAACTAGTGCAGTGTTTGTGAGCGAATGGCCACTGGTATTTGAGTCCTTTCATTTCGCAAAATACAATCAATTTCTACAAAAAATGAAATCTCCTAGAAGTCTTACACGCCCACAAGCTTTGTTGTGTATTCCTGGTGGATTTTAGCCTCGTTTTTTGCAGATATTCGACTTTACAACTTCAGATTTTCATAAATTGCCGTGTGTGTGATAGAAAATTAAAACGCAGGGGTTGCTTTATATTGCAAAGTTTGCTTCAATAACTTGACTAATTTATGTTTTCAGTAAACAGCTTCTAAAAATGGCGAACAATTGGGCAATTTCACCCAAGCACATGTATGGGTTTCAACGCCTTCAAAACCTGTGCCCACAAGTTAAAAAATTTCAATTTTATGCCACATTTAGTACATAAGATATTGTTTTGCTCAATTGGAATTTTAAATAGTTTAATTTGCTTGTCACCTCTGCTGTCAAAACAATTTTAGGAAAAACCCTTGGTCTTAGAAATATTCCTACTACAAATTAAATACTGTTGTACATTTTGATACTCTCCTAAAGTAATATTCGTATCTGAGAACTCCCCCACTTATAGACATGTACAGACAGCGCTTGTCATTATTAGAGGCTGCTAAAAGCTATCCAACAGCTGGTCCTTCTGAGATCTTGCCTCGCATAAGAATTACTCAAGCTTCGGTAGCACCTGGCTTGCCAGGATCATATTTTAAAGGTTCAAAATCGAAAGGTTTCCAGCTTCTCTTTCCAGAAATACTTTGCGAACCATTTGATCTAAACTTAAAGTTATACTACATAATCCTAAGGGACCATTGTACCTTCTGTTGTATTCTTCAATTTTTTAAAATATTTCAATTTTTTAAAATGTTTCATGATATTGCTAGATTCTTCACAGCTGGTATGATAATAATGTGATATTTTATCTTTACAGGTGGCGTACAATATTTTCCGAACGCTTCCTCCCTCAGAAAATCCGGACTTCGACCCAGAAGAGGATGACCCAACCCTGGAGGCCTCATGGCCTCATCTTCAGGTTGCAAAAAACTTTACAAAATATTTCACTTGCAATTTCATCTACAACCATTAAATGCCACAAACTTTATCTATAATAGTATCCGTTTTAACCTCTTTTGTCTAAGATCTTGTACGGATCATGCCTTTTTGATAGAGTACTACCACAGTAGGAGACCAGAGTATCAGTTAAAACAAAAAAAAAAATTAACTGAAAGCACACCCCTTGTCATGTGTAGTTACAATCAGACAATCGACTTTTGAGAGCATACTTCATCACACTTTAACATTGATTGACATTATAGATAGTCTATGAATTCTTTCTTCGATTCCTTGAGTCCCCTGAATTCCAACCAACCATTGCAAAAAAGTTCATTGATCAAAAGTTTGTCCTTCAAGTGAGTGTAAAAATTAGAGATTTCTGTGCCTGCCTTGACTGAGCAATGGTTTATAACTACTTTTATGAGAACACAGTGAAATATTGACTGTTTAGCTTAACTGGTAAATATTTTCCAGCTTCTGGAGCTTTTTGACAGCGAAGACCCGCGGGAAAGGGACTTCTTGAAGACTGTTCTACACAGAATTTATGGAAAGTTTCTTGGACTTCGAGCATTTATTCGTAAACAAATTAATCACATTTTCTTGAAGTAAGTTTCAAGGCCAGTTCAAACCGGGATTTTTTGCTGCAATTTTGGAGGTGATTTTCTTCATTTGATAGATGGAATCAAGTGGATAATGTAACTAATGTTCAAATAAGGGCACTAACACATCAGACTACTGATAACTATCCACTTGTTTACATCTATCAAAAGTAGAAATTCACCTTGAAAATAACAGCAAAATTTGCAAGTGTGGAACACTAGATTCTACAAATCCTTTATGCATGAACCTTGGATTGAAAAATCTTTAGTGTTTCATCTTGTATTTCTACTTTGCGTTGCAGGTTTATTTATGAAACTGAACATTTTAATGGTGTTGGAGAACTGTTAGAAATTTTAGGAAGGTAAAGTTAAAATGTGTAACCTTCTCTTGGTATGAAAGAGCTGTTGTGATTTTTGAACTTTCCTGTAGATAACCCCACAGCTGAAGTAAGATTACTTTTTTTTGTCTAGTATTATCAATGGATTTGCACTGCCACTTAAAGTGGAGCACAAACAGTTTCTAAATAAAGTGTTGATTCCTCTACATAAAGTCAGATGTCTGGGGCTTTATCATGCTCAGGTAGTTTGAATTATTCATCTTGTGTATTCAGTAGTAGTTCATCTGGGGCCGGTTGTTTACAAAGTTGAATATCTTTTTTCATAAATATTTTCTGGACCGATAGAAGTCATATTTTCTAAGTGAAACGAACAGTGGTTCAGAAGTTCATAAACGAAAACACTGGATTAAAATTTAACCCAGGGTTAGCGCTAACCTAGCTTTGAACAACTGGTCCATGAAAGATTCTGACATTGTTTGGCTTCCTGTTTTTATAGTTAGCCTACTGTGTTGTACAGTTCTTGGAAAAAGATGCAGCATTAACTGAGCAAGTAAGTTCAAAAATTTTCAAAAATTGTTTATGTGAGAGACCTCCTAATTTTTACCAGATTTGATGAACAAAACTCTTGATATTTTGCAGGTAATCACAGGTCTTCTCAGGTATTGGCCAAAAACTAGTAGTCAAAAAGAGGTAGGGTGTTATTCGCACATGTTTAATATAAGGAAATAAAGTAAGGTTCGTAAAAATTATAAACTTTCAATATTGCTGCTGTTTTTTATATCATTTCATTGCTGACATATACCATTGTCGGATATTGGCTTGAGATGTATCTAGACAATGTTCAAAAGCATTCCTATTAGCAATTATAATTTCACAAGCTCATAGGCGTCTAGGTATAAAGGCGAGATTTTTCCTCAATTTTAAAATAGCATAGCTTGTAAATGATTTGATGTAAGTGATTTTGAAATTCTGCAGAGGAGATGTGTCTAGCCTGGTTTTTGCGTAACTCGTCCTAGGCCTCGCACTTTTCTTCGAATAGGTCTATTTATTCAATTGCCTGTTATCTCTTGTTATCCCTTGTTGTATAGGTGATGTACCTGGGGGAGATTGAAGAAATCCTAGACGTTATAGAACCTCAACAGTTCGTTAAGATACAGACGCATCTTTTCAAGCAAATCGCAAGATGTGTGTCGAGCCCACATTTTCAGGTTGGCATGAGCTTTCTGGTTTCTATGGTAACGTACTATGGCGTCAGCACTCGCCTGAAATATGGCTGGAAGAACCTTAGCGAGAACCTTAGAGTTTTCATCGTTTAAACAATAATTTTGTGGTTCGAACAAGTCGTCTCTTTTTTTTTTCAGGTTGCTGAGAGAGCACTGTACTTTTGGAACAACGAGTACATTATGAGTTTAATAGAAGAAAATTCCAATACGGTCTTGCCAATAATGTTTAATAGTTTGTACAGAATATCCAAAGATCATTGGAATCAGTAAGTAGCTGCATTGTGCATTACTTTATAATAAACCAAAACAGTGTAGGTAGTATTCTACAATAAGCTGTCGTGGTTTGTGTCTGAACCACCTGAGAAAGATATCTCAAACGAGGTGGTCCAGTGTAGGTAGTATTCTACAATAAGCTGTCGTGGTTTGTGTCTGAACTACCTGAGAAAGATATCTCAAACGTGGTGGTCCAGTGTAGGTAGTATTCTACAATAAGCTGTCGTGGTTTGTGTCTGAACTACCTGAGAAAGATATCTCAAACGAGGTGGTCCAGTGTAGGTAGTATTCTACAATAAGCTGTCGTGGTTTGTGTCTGAACTACCTGAGAAAGATATCTCAAACGTGGTGGTCTAGTGTAGGTAGTATTCTACAATAAGCTGTCATGGTTTGTGTCTGAACTACCTGAGAAAGATATCTCAAACGTGGTGGTCTAGTGTAGGTAGTATTCTACAATAAGCTGTCATGGTTTGTGTCTGAACTACCTGAGAAAGATATCTCAAACGTGGTGGTCTAGTGGGTAGTATTCTACAATAAACTGCTGAAATACGTATTTCTGAAGTGGCTAAGATTTTTTAATATACAGTGTATCTCTTTTCAGAACAATCGTAGCTCTTGTTTATAATGTCTTGAAGACGTTTATGGACATGAACAGTAAACTTTTCGACGACCTTACGTCCTCATATAAAGCAGATAGACAAAAGTAAGTATTGAACTTTGAACTGTTTGTGAAAGACAATTTATTTTAATCCTCTTAGCCGTTGCAAAAACATTGCTGCGATGGGCCGCCTAACCTGTGAAGCAATAATGCTCGTGTGAATATACCACTAAATTGGCTTAATTCATGCAGGATCATCTTTATTGTTATCCAGTGTTACTACAAGAGGAAATGTAAACTAACTGTATACTGGATACCTTTGGATAGATACTGGTTTTATAAGAATCATCTCTTATTGATCCAGTGTTACTACAGGAGGAAACCTAAACTAAACTAACTTTATTTATACTGGATAGCTTTATCAGTTCTAACTAAATTGTTCTTCCTAGAGGTCCAGTAAGGATCGTCTTTTATTGATCCAGTGATACTAAGGAGGCACCTAAACTAAACTAACTTTATTTATACTGGATAGCTCAATAAGTACCTATATAGGTCAGTGGTACACTCCCTTGCTGATCTCTATAGAGTAGCTGAGCGCGACCGTACGTCCAATAAACGCCTGGGTACGATTAATGGAGACAGAGCTTGAATATTTAAACTTGAATATTTTAGAGAGAAAAGGAAAGAAAAAGAAAGGGAGGAATTATGGAAATCTTTAGAACAGTTAGAGATTGATCATAAAATGAAGCGAAACTTTACACCAAACGCGAAACTCGACTCCAGTTCGACCGAAACGCAAGAAAACGCCGTGCCGAAGGATCAAGACGAGACAGCATGTTAGAAATATAATATGTGCGCGCCAAATGTAAATGTCTTTGAAAAAAACACCGCGACAGTTTGCCGCACTTCCGTCGAATATCGCCGTAAAACGACAATATTGTCGCCTGTTGTACGCTGCGGGCAAAACGGATCATAATTTACGCTGGGCGGAAAACAAACGCCGTGCTTGCGCGGTTTTTGCACAATTTTTAGAGACTGATAAGTATGCTTAAATATATATAAGACAGTTCACCCGCGCGTCGCGGGCAGTACAGTATAAATTAGGTGTAAATCGCAAAGTTAATTAATTTCATCTCAAGTCACTTGGGCAAGTTGTTCAAATTTAATAATGCGCATGGCAGCCATCGTTGAGAGGCGATGAAAGTTCGCGCGCAAAAAGTTTGCACAAAATTTTCATCAACTCGTATTTGTCTTTCTACAGTTTGAGGTAAAAAGCAGACTTTCAATAATGACGTGATTTGGCTTAGGAGCCTGTTTCTCAGTCAGTCATCTTTTGAAGAAGTACTGCAGCTTGAATTGAGCACGAGGTTTCTAAACCACAACTTAATTATCGAAAGAGTCTATTGAGATGTGGTCCAAGACAAGTACTAGTTAACCACTTGTATGTAACATAATTGCAACAATAATAAGGCAGTGTAATGTTCCTATAAATGATTCTGTGCCGTGTTACCAGCCTGTTAGGAATACATTTTGGAGCAATAAATTGCGAGTGGACCTGTGTTTAGAAAACGCAGCAAAACTAACGCAACTTGTTGTGATAGGCTTGGTACCGACGCTCGAGCAACTTGGCCATCTCAGCTTTCTGAGGATTGCGCGCGCGAACTGCAAAGTACACGCGTGGCTTTGTAGATAGGAGTACTTCATTTTAATGATGATGAAATGTCTCTATTGTGATTCAGCGCTAATCGCCACCTCGTGGATTTTTGCATGTATAATAAAGAAATAAGTTCAAATTCCTAAAATCTATTTGACTTTTAATTCTTCTTTTCTCTTTCGTTGTCTGGTGAATGGTTACCTGTAAAGATACTTTTTTTCTTTATGATACAAGTTCCGGTGGAACTGTGTTCAGAATTTTGAAATTGAACTTTTGTGGCCGGCATTTTTCTATCTCCGATGACAAATGGTTAAACACCTTGAGATTACAAGCCCTTCGTGTCCAGCATAGGATAGGAAGCAGTGAATGGAAAAATTAAAATGAAATCACATTCAACTTGTTAGCCTGCGCTCTGATGATCCATGATTATTAATCCGGTGTCTCTATTTATAGTGAGAAACAAGCGAATTGCTTCTTCAACCTAGTAAATTGCGAAGAAAACACGGTCTTTTTGTAAACGCCAAACATATTAACTTCCTTCTATTGTGTTTTCAAAGGCGTCATCAAATTTCTTTTTGTTCCTTGCAACTTGCAAGACAAAGGCTTGCGTTCCCTAGGGCGCATATTATAACACCCCGTGACCAATTGGACCGAATATTGAGACAATACGTGCAGGGGTGCCTTTTGACCACAGGAAACAGAAATGTTTGTAAATGCGTTCAAATTTGAATATCATCATTAGCGTTGATGTAGGCTGGAGTCGTTAACAACGGGGGATTGTTTAACTGCTTTTCTGCTCGGAGTTTGGAAGCAAATTTGAAGCTTTTTCCAAGCTTTCAAGGTAATTGTTTGCATGTGAAGTTTGGATAGCGAATATTTGCACTGGTACCTTGAATAGGACCTGCAAACTGGGTACTGGAGCATTTTATTGCGAAACACTTCGCTTCGCTGCACATCATAACGAAGCAAAGCCACGAGGAATACGGCTGCTCTGTATTTCATTATAACTTTCGTTGTCGCAAAGTGATCTCTTCACAGCAGTTCATTCTAATTTGAGGATATTTGCTACAATTCAACTGGGTGATCTCAAGGTACGTACGAATACCTCAAACGGCAGACTTTGCTGTTGTCTCTCCGTAGTATAAAATGGAGCAATATGTCACGCAAGTAGGTATCAAGCTTGACTTTAGCAAGTTTCATGTCTTGTGATTCCCACCCTAAAGGCACGTTTTCGCTTAATGTGTCTTACTTTACGCGAAGACAATGATCTTCGAAGCAAGAATATACTTGCTCCCGACTTACAAAGTCTGACAGAATAACCTTAGCTCAAACATCGATTTCATGAAGTGGGATAAAATTTACAGCGACTAGCGGGGTTATTGTCAAGCACTATGTAAATTTGCGATTCACAGTCGATAAGTGTGATTCACAGTGAACGCGTCGGTCATTAGATCTAGGAAGGATTACCTGAAGTAACCAGGTAGTCAATCTTACTATCTGTTATGGACATTGTCCATCTCGCGGCATCTCTCCGTCAACTGCGTGGGTTCCTAAGTTTGTGATCTAAACGACTGCGAGTTTCAGGCGCTTCGCAAGGTCGAAATATCATCGCGTTGTGATTGAATTGTTTAAGCTTGCCGTACACGAAATATATTTAGCTATAAGCAGTTCTTGCGTTCGGTCGACAGATTGCTGCTACCAGTTTACGTGTTGCAAGGCACATAAACTTAGAATATGCAAATGACGAACTTGACCCCAAAGGCAAAATTGTTTTACAAAGAATTTAAGCGATAAAGAATCTGGAAAAATGTTAATTCTGTCACTCTGGTAACAGCATATACAAACAATAGCATGTGGTGTGGGTTTTTTGAAATCTTTGAAAGTTCTCTCATAAGTCATTGTGCCAGTGTGCAATTGCAACACCTGCCACGGATGACAGTAGCAGATAATTAAAAAAAATAGCTCCCGAAAATGACTGTTGAATGTGCAAATGGTGTCTCTGCAATTTGAAAAGTCTCAGTCAAACTGCAGCGGTCTCAAACGAAAAGCACTTAACGCTTGATCCCTATCAATCACCGTTCGGTAAAAAAACCAGTAGACAGCATATATACGTTGCATCATATTTGCAAAACGAACGTTTCCGTCATAACAACTACAAACTGGGACATGCTTTTAAAATAGGATATACAAAATCTTGGCTAGACTGCTTTATTTTGAGATAACAGACTTAACAGTCGGGGAAAAGTACACTTGTGTCTTGCTTAAACGACGTCTATTAAAACGTTTTCACGTTGAATTTGACATCTAGTCTTCACGACTACTTTTTTCACACAAGATTTTCAAGTGCTTAGTATGTAAGGTTGTGACCCACTCATACCGAGAGACCATTAATTTTCATTATGCAAAACCTGACGTGACTTTGCAGTGCGGCTTCGAAGATAAATAAATGAAAAATTTACCGTGAGGATTCCTGTGCATGATCGCGAACTGGTGTCTAAAAATCATTGAAGGAGGCTATAATTACATTCGCAAACTCTACTGCAGAGAGGGACCATTGAACTTAAAAATTATTCAGTTTCTACCGTTTTAAATTATTCTTGGACTTCGCATAATAAGAATTGCGTTGTCATCATGACTTTCTCGATTCTACCAATCATATTTTTACTCATGACTAGTTTTTTGCACCAAAGCAAGGACACGCCTATTGAATCATTTGCAAGACAATCATTTGCAGGATTTCCTAATTCCTATATAGGTACAAATATTATACCAACGATGCGTGCAACAATACTGCGAATTATGGTCAACTTTGGCCCGATATTGAATGATACATGTCGGGGCTTGGATCCCCTTCATCTTTCACCAAGAGACTATATATGTTAAGGAAAGTCACCGTGGTTTCGAGAGTAATGTGTGTCTGCTTTATGCATGCAAACACTGTAAATCAGTGTGTGGTGTACACGTGATATTACGCATGAAACATGCCGTTAGAGAAACCCCTGCGATATGTATAGTAAATCTGTCAATATCCAAACGTAACACAGCTGCTTCGCATTATCTCATATTTTTCATAACTGTTTGTAATTGAGATGAATTTTAGCAACGATTTGCAGAAAGGCTGCTCAGGAAACACCAAGCACGTATATGTGATAGATATGATTTGGCTTCTGTGCCTAAGAACTGCTCAAACATGCGTTTATGTTCCAGTTATGCATTTTTGTTGACGGTGATGGTAGGGCATTGGAATTCAAAAACAATGATAAATTCGTGCAAAGAGGAACTTAAAAAATTTCAGATATTTGGGGCGGGAAGCCGCACACGCATTCCTTACTACGGCCCGGTCTCTAGTTACAATATACACGATCTTAGAAAGCTGCTTCGTCATACACGACTGTTACAAGCGTTCGTAGGGTTTTTGTTTCGAACAAGCTTTTGTGGGTCTGGACCTGCTCGCAAGCAAACCTGTGGTGTGTTGCAACAGGAAAACAGAGGAGATTACAGCCGTGGAAAACGGTAAAACTCGGCAGTCTTTGCAGGCTGGTTCGTGTAAGTACGATCAATTGTATAATGCTAATGTTTCCCGCCAAGGTGGGTCAGTCAATGGCAGCCGCTTTGTATCCTTGTGTCTGTGGTACTTGTTCCGTGCGCGCAAACTAATTTTCACAAAAGACAACTTAACGTAAGCTTCTAGCGCATCCAAACGTCTATTAGCGAATAGTTCTTCGCAATATAACAATCCAAACACGTTAAGTACTTTTTATAATGGGTAATATAACTTCCTCAATTGTCAAGAGTTGTCGGAACTGCGTCTGAATAGCGCGGACAGTAAGTCCGCCACGATTCTCTTCATTTGGCAGAGAGATTGCTAAATATTATTGATTTTGCAATCGGTTTCTTCACCTCACTCTTTAAGGCTTCTCAATGAACACTGGCGAATATCATGAGTTTGAATACGTCATGTGATGAGTTTGAACGTCTATCAACCATTTCATTCTTAACATGCAACTACTCCTGAAATGGCCTGGTTATCTCGAGATTCCTTCTGAGATAACAAATTTGCCTTTCTGTACGAGCAAGTCATCGGCAGAAATAAGCCTTAAGCTAAAATGCCTTGCATTCACATGACTCAACAATACAATTATTATATGCAAATGGCCGCCATTTACAACCAGGATATCTAATATCACGTGTGACAAATTGCGAAGACGCGGAGCTGACAGTCGCCTTTAGAAAATCCTTAAATAAACCCAGATTTTCGAAAGTATTGTCTTACCGACACACTTTTTTTCATTCATCGGAACGCGCTAAATCCGCGGTATTTAACAGGCCCGAACAGGCGTTGTTATATTTACACCGATGCGTTAGCACTTTGCATTGCAAGTTGAAGTGAGGGACCTGGCCATCCAATATCGTAATATGGTAATAATTAGAGGCTTTCTTTTGTGGGAAAAATCTTACGGATATGAGTCTGTCAATCTTAAGATATGGGCCTACTTTACCTACTTTGCAAGATCTGAGCGTGCGAAATTGCGTCTTTATCTCATAGGTAGCGCATACCAAAAGAATTTGTTTCCCCAAATAGTCACCGTTTGTTCGGCCATGTTGAATCACGAGGCACTCCAGTGTTTGAGAAACGTTTAGCTTCTTTTATGGTAAAAATATCCGTAAGTACTTGCTCTAATCAGACACATTGCTGTCATGCAATAGTTTCACGCCCCAGAGTTGTTTAAGAGTTGACTGGATATTACAGCAAGTAGTTTGGAAACTCTTGAAATATATTTACTTAAAAAATTAAGGCAGACTTTCCGTGGTCGCTTATGAAGTTATGCTAATTCTTGTGAAGTTGTAAATAGACCGACGTTGCATGGACCCGAAGGCAAGAAAAACGACGTCCTTCATTCCTTTGGTTACGCTCAATACTTCGTTCAATACACGAGGGCCAAAATGAATGATTGGTTATTAGCAATGGTTATTTAGTATTCAAGGTCAAGCAAGGTTGGAGCAACATGTGCATTTAACATATGACAGTCACGTACAGTCTTGTGTAACCACCTGACGTAAGTTGTTGTTTTGTCTGGATCTTTTACTGAAGATTACCATGCTTGCTTCGCTTAATATAAAATGCTATAACTAGCTCCCATTTCTTGCTATTCTCCGCAATTGGTAAACCTTGCTCTATTCCATTCTCCACAAATTCTACCACCTCACATCTTCTGATCTCTTCATTCCATCGTATATCTGACTTGACCAGCTCTCGTTCATCTCTGCTTATTACGTGTCCTTATCTCAACTTTGTCCTTTCACCTCCTTGACAACGTCGACCATCTCAAATCCTTCTTCTGGCAATGTGTTAACGTTGTCCCTTTCTCCATTTACACTGTCTAAATTCATCCATCATTCCCTCCTCTCTTTTTCCTCTTTCCCATCTCTCTCTCGCATCGTTCTTGAAGCGAAACCAACGTTGCATCTCAACATATCCTATTTGGATTTCCGAACAGGAAGAATGATACCGTTTTATCTTTTCTAGTCTTAAATGACCCCTGTGCTCCGTGTTCATCCCCTTTTTTTGCGCATCCGTGCACCTTTAATGTGCCGTCCACCGGCGGTTTGCTAGTGTCGGCTGGCTACCTGCCATGGGATTCACACCGTGTTTTCATTGTGGTTTTTTGAAACGCTACCGCGTAGAAAGATAATGAAGCTTTATTACGTTTGTCTGTTTTCCCTTGTGTATCACTGCAAAATCAGGCAGTCGCGCTCTTAAGTCCTGTTAATAGAGCGTGCTTCAAGCTCTTCAGAGAGGAGGATTGAGAAGTCCAATGTGTCTATGCATTATGTTGAAATCTGAATAGTTGGCTTTAATGCGGTCACTATGAGAGACTCAGTTGTGTTGATATTGACAATACGCGATTGTCTGTGCTTGTGTCTGTTTCCAAATGGTTCATGAGAGACTTCTTTAGCATTATCTGACTCAAAACGATTTGGGTTTTTTTTGTATTCTGTATAAACTGGTTTACCAGCCGTCTCATTTGATTGCTGATTTGAATATGAAAGGATAAGCTAGAACGGAACTCGACTAATGCAAGGCATTAATGAATTACACAGACCCACACAACGACTCTTAGTTAAAAACCCACACAAGTAGACATTTACCCTAAATTCCAACTTTACGAGACACGATTTTAAAACCGGAAATATTAACTTTCCAAAATGAGAAAATCTAGCGTTGAAAGACGCTTAGAGTTTGGTTTCTTCTAGAACAGACGATGCGGTCGGAAAAATCCTTTTCATAACTTTCTCCTTCCAGTGTCCGGGAGTTCCCGGGCATCGCACTGCGAATACCCACTGTCGACCAATTAGGAGAGAGCATTTTGCATACGCAATAATGACGCACGAGCTATTTCTGCAGTCTGCGCCCTGTCACGGTAAATTTAATCCCGGTAATAAAGTCGAGGTATAGAACACTGAAGGTCATTTGTTCCGCGCTAACTTTAGAATTAATCCGATTTCAATATAACATCCTAATTTTATGCAAATTTGCCAGTAAATTGCACGCAAATTCGATGTCAATATCCCAGATATTTAATTGCAAGGTCTTTCTTTATCCTGATGCATTTTGCATTTGCAGAACGGTTGCTGTGCAGCCCGGATAATGTGTTTCCGCCCCTGCAAAAACCCACCCTTATAATTATTTTTTCACTGCTGTGATTGGTCAGCGCCTAAGTACCCAAAAATTACGTCACTCTCAAGGACGGTCGTTCAGTATTGCGTCTGTTGATTTTCTGCAATTGAATCCCTGGCCAAGCAACAACAGGCAATTTAATATCCAACAAAATCGTGCAAAACGCTACATTCTGGACGCTATTTCTACGAGTTTTAAAGCAACCGGGCGCCTATAACTATTTACAGCACGTATAAGTCGTGTGTGTGTAAAAATCGGTGTATTTTAGGCCAATTCTACAAGGTATGTGTTTTCAAACTTGTTACGTCGTATGTGCTAATTAAGGAATTCTTAGTAAGCAACAATTTGCGTCTGTAGTGAGTTACGGCTGTCCCGTGTAGCAACTTACAAATTTGTTACAGCGATGTGTTACTAGTTTCTCGAGTCTTTTAACAACAATAACAAGACTTTTAATTTGTACTATAGCCACAGGATAGTCTCGTAGAACGAATAGTCTTGCATGTGAATCGCCCGTTTCCGTCTTCCTGTTCAAGCGAACAAATAGCGATCAATTGCACGTGCTTGTAGCTATGTTTTAGGCTTTCTAACCTACGCCATTCGCTTAGTTTTTGATCGGAATACAACGAATTGTAAGTCATAACAGCAATGCCGTTTAACGCGGCACTATTCGTTTCGCCTCTGGGGTCAACATTTGTTATAGAATTGTGTTATATTAACTCCTCCTAAAATATGTGAAAATACCGCGAAAATATCTAGAACGTGACTGTTTGATAGGCACTCAGTCGACCCAAGGCCAGCCGTATATAAAACGTGTGGTGTATAATTTGAACATGATTTCTACCGATTTTGTTGTGTCTCTTTCGTACGCGTTAGCAACACCGTCGGTAGAAAATATTCGTGTATGTGTGTTGCTCGAAAAACGTAAACACACAGTGCGCGCTACGAAATTCTTCCGTAATGGTCGTAGAGCTTTTTGTGTATTTAAGTGAAGGTACAAGCTGCGCTTATTTAGTGGAACTTCAAAATGTAATTACGTGTATTTCTATATTGTGTCAGGAAATAACAGAATATTCATAGCTTAGGTGGATATTTTTGCGAAGAAAAACGGCTTTGATATTTTGTAATCAATTCCCCACGCACAGAGCGTGTGTAGCGACACGTAGCTGATTGAACGTATAAAAATAGTCCCTCAAATCGCGGGTAGGTCGCGCCCCGCGACGTGAATTCTTTTCTGCCGGTTCAATGAATTTTGTGTTATTATTCTCTTGTGTAGACAACGTATGCGTGCGACCAGCCAGTGAAGAACCGTCGGTCTTACAACGTTTGCGTGTTTGAGTTTTCCGCATGGATGTCAGTTTTGCTCAAACGGAAAGCTACCTAGCAGAAAGTCCTGCACGCCTTAGCGAAGAGACCGTTCAGTCACTCTACGCCGATGAACAGCCGAAGAAAAGAGTAAAGCCAAACATGGAACATTCAAAATTAGCCGAAACAGTCGGCATTGAAAACACTATTATGCTCAATCCTGAAGATTTAGCAAAGGCAGCACGCAACGACGAACGAGATTTTAACAAGAATTTTGGTTATCACACCCGACAGACGGGAAATTTTGGTGCTTCGCGGCAGAGAGGCCTAAGGAGAACAGCATTTGAATCTTCGGAGTCCAACGATATTGCAAAAAGCCCTTCCCTAACGGAAACTAGGACTTCTGTGATTCGTGGAGTGCTGAATACTCGCGCCCAACAACAGAATGCGTCTGAGAATGAGTCTGTAACCGCAGAAACAGACATGGAATCTAACGAATACAGCAATTTGCGATGTTATGAACATGTTGAAAAAGATAATGGCGATTGTTATGGACGAAATCGACACTATTTGCAAAACAGTGTAATGGAGGGTTACGCGACGCAAGCAGATAATCAGGGTCATATTTCTGAGAAATTCTCGCGCGTTCCGAATTCTGGTAACCGACAATTCCAAATGTCAAGCATGGAGACGAGGCCGACTTTCTCACGACCTGTACGCGATGCTCCCTATCGTGTTCGTCACCCCCCGGAATTTGCTATATCTCAAATGGACGTACGGGGTAAGCAATTCTTCGAAAGGTCAGGTCTTCACCCAGGTTCTGCAATGAATTATGCTGGTTTAAATCCTAAATACAATATCCAAGATGGACTGTATCTGCCTAGTCATGCAGATATGCAAAGTGGATACCCTGGATTTGGTTTATACGAAGGAAGACCGCCCGTATCGAGCGATAATTTATCCAAGAACAACAACTTGCCGAGCGAGCAAGAAGCCGTAAAGTCTAAAGGTATGATTTTATAATACGAGCCCATTCTTTGCAGCTTTATTTGGCGTCAGTATTAAGTACTCAGCAAACAGCAAAATGGCTTTCGAAATCTCCACAGGGAGGAACCCACTAATCTATTTTGGCAAATATGATTTCCGCGCGTCATTATTGTTTATTGCATACAATTTTGGCTGCATTTCAGAAGTGGTATTTGCCACAACGGGGCTCTGTTTTCCCCTAAAAGCGTAAAAATTATCCAACGTGTGCGATATTTCATCGTGGTTTTGATCCTTTTACTGCCTTTGGATGTTTCACTTTGCTTTTTCGCGCTGGATAAAGACTTATTCCTGGTAAAGGCGTTGAGATTTAAGTCATTTTATTTGCACTTCGCGGTAAGGTGCGATATGAAAACAACGGAAATTCACGCATCAAAAGATCTCTTTTGTCCTGTCAAATTGTCCTGAAGTCCTCTCAAAATGCTCAGTATGTGCAATAGATATGTTTTAGCTCGATATTTGAATACATAATGAATATTTTCTTACTTAAATAGCATAATTTTGCAATTGAAGTGGGCACAGCTGTCCAATTTTGATGGTCTATTTCCTGTCAGGGTGGAAATATACAGTTGATGTGCGTGTATTTTCCGGCTTTTTTGTTGTTTTTTCCTACTCGATGAGAATTGTTGCCTGCATAAGTGTGCATTTCTATGTATTCTGGACAACCGAATATCAAATTATCTTTGAAATATTGAAGCACTTGTCTAGAATATATCTTGATTGGGGCTTGTCTTCTCATTATCTAGACACACTGGATATAGGTTAGGATTATGTGAAGTGTTTGTGAACTGTGCCAATGATTCCCCATTAAAAGCAAAAGCAAGTCTAAATTAGCCACTGTAGGGCAGATTATTGCCCACGGTTATGGATTTAGTTGCAATATGCCCTAAAGCTGTGAATTTTTGTTTACCTCGGGTAACAGCAGCAACTAAAACTTGTCATGCATCCAAAGAGGGTTTTTATGTGTACAAAGCTGTGTTTGCACACACATCTAGCCTAACCTAGGCTGAGCTTTGAACTTTTTGCAGTGTCAGTACTTTGGGCAGAGTTTTGGCTGAGGAAATCTTTACTCTTTGGGATTCATATCATTATCTGGGCAAATCCTTGCTGAAACTTGTCCACATTGCAAGAATGTTATTCATAGCTGGGCCTAGGTTTTGTCTATGCCTGCTTATGTTTTCATTCAAATAATACTTAGTGTTTGTTATTTTGATCAAAACAGTAAAGAACAATCCATCGCCCATTGCAAAAATCGTCGAAGATGAAGCAACCACAAGACAAGGTTCCCTCGAACGGGACGTTGTTAACCAGGGAAAGCAGAATGAACGAGCTGATTTGAAACAGCTGGACGACAACAAAAACATTAAGGGAAAACGTGGCGCTGGTTCGAAGGGAGATAGCAACATTCAATGCATGCAATGCCAGAAGAAGTTTGGCAGCTCAAGCGCATTGGCCAAGCACAAAGCAACGCATAGTGATGAACGCAAGTACATTTGCTCAATATGCGAAAAAGGTTTCAAACGACAAGATCACTTGTGAGTATTCTCCCCTTTTTTTTTAAAACTTTTTTCAACAGGTTTTACAAAATCACACACAATTGCCACAATAATCAAGTGGAACTAGAAACACCAGTCAGCAACTTGTGCAAGTGGTTGTATACATATTGTTTGTGACCACATTGGTTATAATAAGATTTCTTGCAACTAAAAATAATCAAAAACAATGGGTGACTAAATCCTGTGGAGACAGGCCACTTGATACAGTATTGTTATGCAGTACAGAACAGCAGGAGTGTGGGTGTGGCGATAAAGGGAAGCACTCCATTCACATGTACTTGAGGTTAAATTTTTTAGTCGGACACCCCCATATCATTGGAATCAATCCTAGTTAAAATAATGGACGATATTTACGTCTGATGTTATGTCACCATTCCCTTCTTCTTACCTCCTCTTGTGAAAACTTAAAAAACAAGAGGGCATTTAAGGAAGGGGACATTAATGATTGTCTTGCATAGTTTGTGCATGTTATATTGCTCAAATATTTGCAGCACATCCAACAGTTTTAAACTCTTAAATCAGCTATGTTTTGCATTCAGGTGAAGCTAATTGAAGCTAGTTACAGGCTTATCTAATTAGAAAATCATATTGTTAAATAAAGCCACAAAGATTGCTTCAGTGTTGCTACAAAAGTGTGCTAGATCTGGTGTTTTTTTTTGTCTAACTAACCTAAACTAACCTTCTTCTGTAGAAATGGACACATGATGACACACAGAGACAAAAAACCATTTGAATGTAAATATTGTGACAAGAGTTACTGCGACCATCGCTCTTTGAAACGCCATTATGAGAACTACCATCCAAATCCTGAACAACCCCAGCCTGTCACCACGTCCGCCATCACCCACAAAACGGACACCGAACTCCAACGGATTTCAAAACCCGAAGGACAGTTCATCGCTGACAGAGATGAAGGCCATCCGAGTCCATTAAGTTCAAAACAAGAGGTACCCCAAGCTGGTTTTGGCAGGAAGCGGAACAGTGATAGCATGTGTTCAAACAGTTCTGATGATCAAATGAGAAGACCTGACAGTCATTCACCTCGTATTCTCTTTGATAAACCACAAACAGCTTCCAGCATGCTCAAGCAAGTTATTGACTCCCATGAACTCAAGGAGAAACATCCCATGGAGGGGTACCCCCGAGCTGGATATCTACCATTCCCCGAAGGGATGAACCCACAATGGTATCACCAATTCCAGCAAGCTCAGATGATGAAACTGATGCTCAACCAAGCACCTCCAATACTTGTTCAACATGGCCCAATACCCCAAATGAACCCCTATTGTCCAACAGATCCTCCACAATTAGTCCCCAACTACCCTCCAATCAGCCAACATTCCAGCAGCGAAGGTGCTCGAGAGGATAACAATAGGAAGAAAGGTGACGATAATGGATATAAAGGAAAGAGGGACTATGTTGTACCTACAGATCCTACGTCAATAGCTATTGCTAATGCCAAAGAAGGTGGTGATCATCAAAGACAAGCTCAGTTCAAAGAGGGAACATCTGCTGGCTTTCCCCGTGCAGTTCAATGGAAGACCGTAAGTATCCTATATGATCCTTCTATTAACTCGTTTAATAATGGCAGTATTTTTTTCACCAATGACAACTAAAGATATCTAGTAAATCTTAGACTGACTAGAATACCAGCGTCTTAGCTGGTGGTCTCTACAGCGAATGAGAATAGTATGAACGCAATTCGAAATTGAAATGCGCAGCTTTGTAGATCTTGCGAAAAAGTCCTTGAGTCTTTTGCCTTACGAAAACGACTTAGTGATAAAACGAATGTGAAAACGAAATCGCGCAAAAAACGGAATATATACGATTCGGATCTTTGCGTCATAAATACTTCTTTGACGTCTCGTCAATTGCTGAGTTTTAACTGAGCAATTTAGAGTTATTTGAGTTGGGATTGAATGTTGATGTAGAATTTAGTTTCGTCGCTTTTACGCTGCACTTTTGTACGCAAGTGATACGAAATCGCGCATGTTCGTTACCAAGTTTAAAACGAATACAAATAATTGAGCCATAAAAATTAACTCACTGTGATCAAAGTTGCGATTACCCTGTCTCGATTTCCAGTTGATCCCCACAGGAATCTATATAACGTCAAGACCTAAAGTGATTGGCTTAGCAACGCGAGTCTTTTAATTAAGACAATTATGATAATTTTATCAAAACGGGGTATTGAGTGAGGGTTTCGGGGAGAAATTTCAGATTTCGATTCGCAAAAAAGGCTTTATCCCATGTTAAAAACATGATATCGCGAGGAATTCCTAAGAGCATTAAATTAGTTTAGCTATAAATTTAGACATGACCTACTGCAACAGAGTTCTGTGGTATATAAGAAAGGTCATTTAAGAGTTTCAACTTTCAAACCACCATGACGTTGGTAGCCGGAAATGCGTCATACGTTTATGCTATGGTGTTCTTAGAATAGGCTTGTTTTATGGATGAACACAGACGTTCCTATATGACGCCAAAGGTGTAACTGCTTCGTATCGTTGTATCTAAGGGATACTTCACGAAAAGAATCTCATAGTCATTGCCTCAAGGGTTGGTGCAATAAAAGGATAGGAGTTTAATGCTTGTATATATACATACGTGTTGCCCAGGTGTGGGTCATTACATTATCCGGTGAGACCGGAAACCGATTCTGATTGGCCGAGCTGTTTTAAGGTCGCTTTCTGATTGGCTAAACGTGACTTCTTTGAACTTTATGTTGACATTAAAAAATTTTTCATTATAATTTTTGTCGGTGGCATACATCTTCCGTGAGGTCGAAATTATACAACTTTGTGTATGTCGCTCTGAAAATCTGCCTTGGGGAAGAGTTGAGCTTGCTTTTATAGCACAGCTTCCGTTGTGTAAGCGAAAGCGTTGAAAAAAATATGTTGGGTTTTGATTTGATCGAACCAAGTACGTGAAACCCTGAAGTTGGAAGATTTAGTTTCAATAGTACGTATTATTGTATTGTATTTAAAGGTTGCATAAGAGAAGAAGCAGTAACAATGCTGTGAAATCATCTTCTTCAACGGCGTAATGCTTGCATTCTCTACAGCCTCTGAAATCATCGATCTGAGCGAGATGTTCGTTCATGAGCGAATGTTGCAACAAAACACGAAGCGGAATTTTGTTGCAAAGGTTATACAAAAATATTTTATATGTAGGTCGTGGCTTCCAGCAGCTTCCAGAATATGTAAAATAGCGTTTGTGTAATATTGTTGCGATGACATTATATCAAACACTGCGAAGACCTGTGAAATGTGGGATTTAGATGTTCAATAAATTGCATCTTGGGGGAAATTTTTTGCATTCTATTGCCATTATTTGTGGCATTTCACGTCCGGCTATTTGGAGTAGGTTTTTTAAAATCGTCTTCATTGTCACTGTAAGAATCTATATTTTACAGATATTTCAAATAGAATTACGCCATTAGGGTTTTTCATCTTGGAGAACTAACCCCAATATTTGAGGTTGTAAATATAAAAGCATCTGTGGTGAGATTTCGCAAGCTGTATATATCACTATATTTTCAAGCTTGAATGAACGACCGACACGATTTTGTACACGTTTTTAAATGGAAAATATACGATGCGAGATTCCTAGGTCTGTATGTCGTAATTCTAATCGAAATAAACCTTGCTTCTGAAGGAATCTAAAGGGAACTATAAGATTTTGCGACCTGCCTTTTCGCGTTTTATTACTCAAACAACACCTCGCTCGCGCAAGCCGTATAAGCTGCAAAAAAAAGGTGTTAAAACACCGACATTGCGCAGGAGAAACACAACGTAACTTCATGTTGATGTTGTTGCAAAGTCCTGGTTTCTGGAATAGGCCGATGTTAGGTGAATGAAACTAGGTTTGCACCGAATGAAATGTTGATGAATGCAACGGATTCGTATGCAACTTGGTCTGCATAATAATCTTTGTTTGCCCAATATCGAGGCTGGTGTAAATTTCTATAAAGTCAAGACTGAATATTACGTATACAGCAGCTTATGCGATTACATAACAAAAAGTGCAAAAAGCAGATATAGGCCAATGTTAACGAATACTTGCAGTGTAATGGTATTGCACCAAAAAGATGCAATGCTCTATCGGTAATGAAGAGCAGATGTTTGTACTAAATTAATAAGGTATATTTATACAAGTAGAATCCAGTAAATAAAAAAAGAATGATCAGTCATTTGGGCATTTTGCATGTCAAAGTTTTGCTGAAATTATAAGCGGAATTCTTGTTAGATATTCTCGTGAACTGAGATAAAGAAGGCGTCTTATTACTGCGCCTTTCCGTTTGAATTTACATAACAACAGTATTCTAGATATATATAATATATAAAGCGAGATGGAAGTTCCGCTTACATATTAGTATATTTGCGCATGAAATACGTGACTCCTGCCAAATGGGTGGTCACGCGATGTTGGAAAGGGCGTGCCTAGTCTTGAGCTATGCAGATCGAGAGTTATGGTAAATGCGATCTAATGGCAGATGATTTTTCCCTGATACTATGTAGACAATTTCCAATTTGCTTTTAGAATATTGTGTGTGATATATCTATTGAATATATCTATTGAATATGCCTGGCAACTTGTTAGTTGAAGAAAGGGTGAGCGCTCATACAAGCTGTAACCTATGCACTGTTTTTAGGTGAATACTGCAGGAAAAGAGAACAATGGTATGCCACCACATTCGATGGGTAGCAATCCTACCATGCAGTTACCACCAAGCATGATGGTCTCTGACCATCCCGTTAAACGAGAGCGACCAGTGGAACTGAATATCCACATACCATCATCCACCCAAGGTGAAAAACGACCAATTGAGATGGTAACAACCACCGCACATCAAGCCAAGCGTCATTGCCCACCATCACCAGCATCATTCAACATGGCCAAAGAAGGTCTCCTAAAGCTAGCCGATGCTCCTATGAAACCAGAACAAGCCAATAACAACGACAACATGTTCAAGAACCCACCCTCAACCCCAACACGGAAGAGACCCCGACCTGGGCCAATCAATATTTCATGTTCAAATTTCCAGTATGGTCCACTCTCCCCTCCCATTTACACACCACCACCCATGTTAAGTCCTCTCAGTATTTTCCACCCTCCAAAGTTGGTCACTACACCCATCACACCCGGACGCTTCTTTCTCAGTGGAAACAGAAGCAGAAAAAGTAAGTTCGGTTAATTCATTTGTTGTTGTTAATGGATCAATCCATCATGCCCAGTTTGGTTTCAGGCAGGAATAGACTCCCAGACCAGCATAGCTCAAGAAGTAAAAATAAATGGTCACAAGGCTTTTTCCTATTATTACTCCAGGTCAACATTGAATAACTAGTTTTAAAGTTAATGTATTTATTGCGAACATATTGAATACTGTACCATAAAAACTAATTCTTTTTTGGAATACTGTACCATAAAATCTAATTATTTCCTTGTTTCTACAGATAGCCATGAGGAGGACGGTGCAGATACCTCAACTGAAATCCTGATGCCCGAACCGTGAGTATTTCTCCAATGCAAGAAAACTGTCTGGACATTCATAAATTTATGTTTTCAACATTCAATTAAACTTTTCCTTTGCTCCACCCACAGCAAAATCAACATTGGTCCATTATTCCAAGCTGATGTGCCATTGAAAACAGAACCTCATTCAGATGCCTTTTACGACAAGCATAGAGCTGCTGTTTGCTGGACTCCTTTCGAACATGAGACAAAAAAACGAACTCAAGAAAGTAAGTATTTGTAGAAGGTTAGCACCCCTCTCAATCAACCCCTATAAACCCTCCCCCCTCTCAATCAACCCCTATAAACCCTCCCCCCTCTCAATCAACTTCTCTTAATCAACTCCCCTCTTAATCAACCCCTTGCTCAATCAACCCTCCCCCTCTTAGTCAGCCCTCCCCCTGCTCCATAGACCTAATGTCTGCCAATGTCACCTCATGTTTATTTGTACTTTTTGCAGTTGAAGCATTTCTTGACATGGCCTGTTCAGTCGCTGTATTTGGTGGTGGATCCAACAAGGAGTATGCCCTACATGTTCTCTATCGACTGAAAGGAAATATTAAGGTGTGTAAAAAGAAAATCACAGAATGTAAAATTGTTGGTGGGTGATAGGTCTGGGCTTGTAGACAGAAATAAAATGAAGTTTGAATTAAAGGTTGCTTGGTGCACTCATGTACTTCTTATCTTTTAGAACCAGAAGTAAGGGGTATAAATGATATTTCATATTCTAATATGAATATTGTGCTTTCTCTAATGTAGCTTGCCGTAAGGCATATTCTTGCAAACAAAAGTGCCATTCAAAAAGAAGATGGTTTGGCTGATTACCACTACGAAGGCTCTGAAAGATGGTCGTCGAAAGAAAGATTAAAATTTCGCGAAGCGCTCGACAAATTCGGAAAAAATTTCTATGAAATCTCCAAAGAGGTAAATGGACATTAATTAGCGGATAATTAATGTTGTAATGTTGCTAATCAAGGAGGGAATTTTAACTAATTTATTGTGGAATAATGGTTGTTCCTAGAAAGTCATAAGATTCGTAGAATAGGTGAATTCTTAGAAAGATGACTTGTTATACTTACTTAACTAATTGTATACATCTTTTTTATGTAGATTGGTACAAAAAGTGTTCAACAATGTGTCGAGTTTTACTATCTCTGGAAGGCTTGTCGACCCGAGGGAACGCGGTCAAGACGTGGATACTGCGAGGAGACAGACTCTGAGGTAGTGTATCAGTTGGTCCAGTGCAGGTAGTTAGTCCAGTGAAGGGTGTTGGTCCAGTCGAGGTACTTAGTCCAGTGAAGGAAGCTGGCCCTGATGATACTTCCGAACTAGTTGGTTCAGTTGAGTTGGTCCAGTGTAGATATGTAGTTGGTCCAGTGCAGGTGGTTAGTCAGTCCAGTGAAGGGTGTTGGTCCAGTGGCAGGTAATTATACCCATGTACATATCACTGACTGTGTTTCATTATTAATTCAGCGTGACAATGAAGATATTTACAGTGACAACGACTGTGAAACAACTTACATTTTTGAATGTGATTTTCCTGAGTGTAACTCGGTGAGTAATCTCGCTCTCTTTTGCGAACCATTGTGCTTAAAAGTACATGAAGGTATTCTGAAGCACGCTTTACGGTAGTTGTGCTTAGTATATTTTCAGTCTCTCATCCTATTTTGCACTTTTAGAAATTCATCTCGCGACAGGCGTTGAATGGCCATATTCGAGTTCATGGCGGAAGGTGCGTGTTTAAGATTTTTAAACGAATGAAAACATGTAATCTCGTTTTATTCCCGTGTGAGATGAGTTTTCATTTTGACTTAACCTAACGCCTGTGATGAAACTGAATCAATAAGGGTGCGTGTTTAAGATTTTTAAACGAATGAAAATATGTAATCTCGTTTTATTCCCGTGTGAGATGAGTTTTCATTTTGACTTAACCTAACGCCTGTGATGAAACTGAATCAATAAGAGATGATCCTTACTTGGACCTCTAGGAAGAACAGTTTAGAACTGATACAGCTATCCAGTATAAATAAAGTTAGTTTAGTTTAGGTTTCCTCCTGTAGTAACACTGAATCAATAAGATATGATCCTTACTGGACCTCTAGGAAGAACAGTTTAGAACTGATAGAGCTATCCAGTAGAAATAAAGTTAGTTTAGTTTAGGTTTCCTCCTGTAGCAACACTGGATCAATAAGAGATGATCTTTCAAGAGATGTAATTTCTTGAACGAGAGTTAGATATAGATATTAAATTTGATGATATTTGATAATATCTAGCTTTATGAAACCGGAACCAAAACGGGTCAAAGCGAAAACTACGACAAATTCCGACATTAACAACTCGGGTGTTCCCGTATCAACGAACGTTAGTCGAGCCGCCACGAAACCATCGAGGCCTACGAAACCACCAGCTCCGCCTGTACTTAATGGGGACGGAACATTGCCTGAATTCCCTTGTAAAGTTTGTGGAAGGTAAGGATTGAATTAGATACGGATCTAAGAAAGTACGAGAGCGTATAAAATGAACGATATTTTCGTTTGTTTTCCAGAGTTTTTCACAAAATCAAAAGCCGTTCAGCTCACATGAAGACGCACGTGAAACGGAACGACGACGATGTTGGCAAGTCAAAATCGTAGTCCCACATATCCATCGACACCACGAGGTAACCATCACAATCCTGTATTCCCCTGGTTTTTGCAGGTGGAAAACCTTTGCGCAGGCAAACCCTGGTGGTAATGTCGCATAGTTAATATATGCCGTAGTGGAATATTCGCTGACTATTTTCAATCAATCAAAGGTTGGATCTTTTGATAGCAACATAAAGGAATGGGTCAAGCTACTCAGTGTATATTATTCATACAACTTTACAAGACTCAAAGTTAATTATCGATATATTTCGTAAACAATCCTGCGGGAACCAGTTAGTTTAATTGCCCTGTTGTGCGCATGCGCACGCACTTTATTTTCAACCAAAATTTTAATATAAGATTTTAAGAATGACATGAATAAGATAAGACATTACTTTTGTATTCTCATTTTGTAAAGTGTATATAGGTCAGAGTCGCATATTGACATTGCTGTTTTGTAAATATATTGTATATATAAACTATTATAAATATCATGGTCCTTAAAAGTATTTACATTGTATATGAAACCATAGGTTTTAAACTGTTATTTCGCGTCAAAACGACGTTAATGCAATTCGTGCGTTGATTTAGAGTTTAAAACAGGAGTTCACCTGTTTAATTAAGAAGAACAACTCTTTTGCGAGATTTGATGCTCTCTCTCCTCTTATATCTCGAAAGAAATGGACTTTTGTGAGCAGAGAACAACTCTTTCTTTTTCACCAGTGAATATTACGGTACAATTCAGCTCCTTAGAACATAAAGTCCCTGAAAAGGCAGTTGATAATCGAGCAAAAGGGGTGTGTATTCACTAACCGCCTGTTCCTACTCGTGGTTATATAAATTTCCCAAACTAGCCATTACCATTGAACTCAAATAATGGTCCTAGAGTCTCTCTTGGTGAAATTTGGAGGTGAACTTTGCTCCGATAATTTAATGGATCATATTAATCGTTTGAGTTCAAAGGTTTAGCCTAGTTGTCACCAATATCGTTCTTTTATATCGTAGAAAGCGATTTAAGAGCTGTTATTTTGTTTATTCCTATTTTACATCATAATATTTATACTTGAGAGATGACATAGCACACATACACACAATGTATTATAGTTTAGGGTGATTTGTGTTCAAAATAAATGCTGGTCATTTTATTATAATGTAAGAATAAATAAGTAAGTTTATAGATGGTAAATTAAATATTTATTGGGTTCAATGTTCGTGTCTTAATTCTGATTGCATTAATTGTTCTAATTGCATTAATCAGCAAGTCTCAAACGTTCTCAGAAAAATTCAATTTAGGCGCCAAAGATGGCGGTGTTTGTTACAGTTCACTGTATAAAAAAATTACCTTGTAGGTACACCACGTAAGTATTTAATGCTGCAAAGCTTTCGGTCCGTTAACCCGGGCCCTAATCAGTGAAATTAATTGAAATTAATTCATTCAAATTTGAAATTTCCATCAAGCAAGGCCGGAATTTAGAATTTTCATAAAAAACCAGGTTTATTCATCTCAATGACTGCAACCATCCAGAACCAACCAACCACCACTGATCTACAAATAGTGCCCAGGCTTCTACGGGTTGGAATTCAACATGGCGGTTCACTGTGAAACTACAGCAGCTGGTGCAAAAGTTTTTTACCTTTTCTCCTTTTATTGTTTTACATTCAGCTAAGATGATGCAACCTGAGTTAAAAGTGAGTTCAAAACCTCCTTTAGCTGCAGCTAATGTTTTGTTGAATAAAAGGCATTCCTTACACGCGTTGGAACCGTGGAGAAAACTGGAATATTTTTCCAGACGCGGTAGCCACGATCTAACTCGAAGGGAAGACTCGAATTCTTGTGGAAATCTGAGACTCTTGGACTCGAAAAGTAGGTCGGCAAGTCTTGCTCAGCTTAAGACAAGTGGTCGGACATTGAGTGCCAGTAATCTAGCGGCCTTATCGGATTCAAATCTATCCATACAAGTTGCTTTGCCTCTGAGGAGTTATGAACACACTGGATCAGAGAGCAATCTTGCAAAGAAAAGCTTTGAGATGGTTGTGAAACGTTACTATGACCAGCTAACTGTTGGTTGTGGGAATAAAGAGTGTTTGAATAAGTTTTGTGCATCGAACACTTCGAATCCAAAACTGAGCTTGCGGATTTCAAGTTTTGTAAGCATTGAGTTAGCGACACTTGGGAAAGAATATTTTTGTAAGGATAGTTGTGGAAAACCACTTCAAGCCTTGTCGTTAACTAATGAACACAAGCCAATTTCATTAACCAACGAACAAGAGCCAATCAGGTCAACTGACAGTCGTAAACAAGTGTCATCAATGATGAGTGATAATTTAGTCTTGTTAGGTAATGAACCAAAACTACCATTGTTACGAGATGATGCTAAATCAAAATGGGCACCTAATGAACAGAAACCAGTGTCATTTCTGCACAAGTTCTTTAGTTCTTCACCATTCAAATTTCTCTTCTCAAATGAGTCAGTTCAGAAGCCAATCAAAAAGTTGAGATCTGGTTCACTAACGGATCTTCGAAGGAGTGTAACGTTATCAAATAGTGGAAACTCATTCAGCGCAACCAAGGGTGATAGCTATTTGAATGAAAAGAGTCCAAATTCTATGTTGAAATCTTGTGTCATCAGCTCGAAAGTTCCACCAATGGATAAAAGCAAAATGCATGAAAAAGCAACTTCACCGACCTTACTTGATTTGCAAAATAATATTGAAAATGTGGACATCAACGAAGCTGAATTGGAAGAATTTGAAGATCAATGTGTCCTAGAAATGTCATCAAGTGACATCAAGGAACTCTCTCTTACGCACTTTACCCTCGAGATGTTGGAAACATCAGTTGCGAATTATCAACATTGTGGAGATTCCTCATTTATTGTCAACACAATTCGGACTGTGTTCTCATCACCTGAAGCGCTGAATGCTAGTTTTCAAAAGACATTATCAACTAACACTCTCTCCACAAAGAAGCATGCAAGTTTTGCTACGAAGATGGCCACAGCAAATGAACATTGTAAACTTGACGTCTCTGCTGTTAGGAAAGCGTATAAGTTGTTATTAGCTCTTGAACCAAAGGAAACTTTCATTCAGCCATTGCAAAATTCTGTTGAGATTCATCTTAAAACTTTACAGACTTGTAAATTACAAGAAAAAGAAATCTCTCAGTTGATTATAATGCTGGAGAATCCACTTGTGTTGGAGAATAACGACCTACTGCAAACACTTTGTGGTGTGGTGGATGACCTGGAGATAAAGACAAGAGATACTTTGGTCAACTTCTTGGCAACAGAGTATGATTGTCCAAGCTTCCAAAGACTGGTAAAGGTTGGTTCAAAAAATAATTAAATTGGTATTATTTTATTGTTTATCTTACTTAGAACTACAGTTCTAAACACAGTGGCTATCTGGAAAAAATGTTAGTAGAAATTAATGAAATCCTAGACCATATATCCTATTGTAGGAATTTTTCTCAACAGGCATTACAGAAGTTACTGAGTTCAAAAGTCCACGTTAACCAGTGTTCAGAAGCACACATCATCACAATATGTAGCATGTTGGAGACACTTCACAAGGCAAATCTTCTATCACAAAAAAGTGGTCAAATGCTGGCATGCAGAAGTGAATTCTATAATCATGAACTGTCACAGAAACTTGACTATAAACTAGAGTATGAGAAATGGAGAAGACAAACTGGAGACAATGAAAGGTTTGACAGCAAAGAGCTTGAGAGAATTTCAAGAATTTCCTTTCAATATGAATGGGTGTCCTAATATTTATATATATATATAGTGATTGTAAATTATCTAACATTTTCATCTTCACAGATCTACTGAAAAGCAATCTATAAGTGGCATGTCCATCTTCAACTTTTCTTTCATTTTGGAACCAGCTTCAAAGGTATCACCTCTGTCAACTAGTTGAAAAATGTGAGTTTTTCTGCTAATTTTGTGACCTTCTGATTTCCCGCACTAGGTTCGTATTATGCATATCCATGCAATGTGTCAGATGGGTTTGGAATATTGTGATGCTATCCTGTATCAGGCTAAGGTACATCAAGCAAAGAAAGTCTATGAAAATGAGGAAATGCCTGTTGAAGATAGCATGAAGTCTGCCATGAGTCCCTTTCTTGTTTTGAAAATACATCGTGATAATCTCATTGAGGATACCTTGGTTCAGGTTCGACTGAAGGTATGTAGTACATTAGATCAACTTTCATCAGCCTAGTCTACATGTAGGGACACACTATGACTACTTTTGTTTTTTAGGAGAATGACCTAAAGAAGCCGCTGAAGATCAGATACGTAGGAGGTGGGGAGGAAGGACTGGATCTAGGTGGTTTACAGAAAGAATTCTTTCATATTATTGTTGATGATATAGTACAGCCGGGTAAGTTAATATAATCATATTTCAATTGACTGGGACATTCAAAACTACCTTATAACTCAGAACGTAATGTTGACCTGAATGTTTCAGAACCATGTATTTCTGCCCGGTCATTTCATGCGTACAGAAATATATATTATATACATTGTATCGCCCACTTCAAGGTGTTGAGTATTACAATTAGAAATAAGACTTTTTTCTAGAACTGGCTTTTTATCATATGGCCCTAGACTAGTCATACTGGTATTTTATTTGGTAATAATCTATCAAATTGCAACATTTCCCCAGACTACGGAATGTTCACATATCTGGCAGATGTGGAAAGGATGTGGATCAACTGTAACTCTTTCGAGTCGGATCTTCTGTTTGAACTAGTAGGGACATTGCTGGCTCTTGCTATATATAATGGGATAATCTTGGACATTCATTTTCCTCTGGTAATATACAAGAAAATTCAAGGCATTAAGACGGACCTTGGTGATCTAAAAGATGTGGATCCATCTCTTGCAAGGAGTTTACAATCCTTGCTAGACTTTGATGGGGATGTTCAAAGCACGTTTTGTTACACATTCCAGGTACTGTAGTGGTTTTTAAGTTTGTTTCATTCTACGGCCATTTTGTAGTTCACATTATCATTTATAACTGTGGTTATACAGGAACAATCTGGGAGAACACCTAATATTTTTTTTTTAATTTGCAGATTTCTCGCACAATTTTTGGTGAGACTCATGCTGTAAACTTGAAGATTAATGGTGATGATGTGAATGTTACAAATGAGAATAGAACAGAGTTTGTTCAACTGTATGTTGACTATCTTCTGAACACAAGTATTGCTCACCAGTTTGATGCTCTGTCTCGTGGTTTTCATAAGGTAACTATAAGTTCTGTTGACCATTACTACCAAACAGTTGGACAACCATTGTGTACACAGTATTACAAAGTATTCTTTCATCAACACTGGACCATCACACCATCTTTTGCAGATAGTTCAGACACAAACCACAACAGCTTAATTATTGTAAAATATTAAGACTGTTTAATATAGTGTTTTGGGGTAGTTTCGAATTGAATCATTACGCACAAACTAAAACCATCACTCCTCTTTTCAAAGGTATGTGATGTGACATGTCTTGAACTGTTCAATCCAGAGGAACTAGAGTTATTGATATGTGGAAGTCCCCACATTGACTTTACTTCAATCAAAGAATCAACCACGTATGACAACGGTTTTTACAAAACCCATCCAACAATTGTCTCTTTTTGGGAAATCGTTAATGGCATGGATGACAAGACGAAGAAATCTTTGCTCTTGTTTGTGACTGGCAGTGATCGAGTTCCTCTTAAAGGCCTATCAAATGTCGCATTTCAAATTATAAAACAAGGTGATGATTCTGAAAAGTTACCAACAGCTTTGACTTGTTTTAATCAGCTCATGCTGCCAGAGTACAGCTCCAAGGAAAAATTACAAAGTCGACTTTTTCTTGCAATTCAGAACAGTAAAGGCTTCGGTTTAACTTAAACAACAGGGACAGCTGAACCTCGTATATGTAAGTTAACAATCCATATCGCTTGTAAATATAATTTATTTTAGAGACGATGCAGTTAAGTATAAAATGGTTTGTATGGATGTAAAATACATTCATGGATTTCATATGCATTTATGTTGCCTTATTAGGACTCAATTAATTGTATTAATTACATTATATATACAATTAATGAATTGCCTCCAAATGCACTTGATTGTTTTAACATTAGTTTAGAAACCGAACTGTCATCTTTGTAGCGATTTCCTCCGTTTTCATCACCTAAACAAGACCACGGGAAACAAGAACAAGATCTTTAGTAGAAAACTGCATGGTAGTGTGATTGATATGTAAGGATGTTACCTTCTTAAATTCATCAAAATCAATGCGGTCATCTATATCAGCATCGGCATCTTTGATCGTTCTGTGAGCAATTAGTTCCAACTGTTCCCTACCAATATTCACTCCAACCATCATTTCTAATATCTAAATGGAACAGCAATGAATTCCAGCAGTGAGTTTAAGAAATCTAGACTAATCTACTCACCTCTAAAAGAGGTTTCATCTCAGAAGCGGAACAAGCTCCTCTTTTTCAATGTTCGTATGAAAACACACCAGGGATGTCAGAGGTGTATATGCAACAATTACCTTTAACAAGTCTGCTTGAGTAATAATTCCATCCTTGTCAATATCATAAATGCTGAATATAACTGCAGAAAACAAAACTATCAAAATTCAACCTCTAAAGCACTTGTATTCAAGATGGATGTGTGGCTTGGACGAGATTGTCTATAGAGGCTCTGGGAGAAGGGGATAATGCACATGAAGATGACTGCTACCATAAATCAATCAAAAACAGATGGGGGTTTGTTCATCCATTTCTGTCTTAATTTGTTTCACCCACATTTGAGTTTCTCCTCCTCTGTGTTCAACGGGTTGTGCCCTTTCTTTGAAAACTGACGGAAGTGTGCCAATGTTTTCATGAATTCTCGAAAATTACATTCCTCTTGCTCACTTAGAAAAATAAACAAAAAAAATTGACGTCCTGTCATGACGCTACGCGTCTGAAGTTTCACAATATTCCTTGTGTAAACATACTCATTCTCGTTGCAGTTAAAATAAAACGAATCAATGATTCGTTCGTTAAGAGGATTAATAGCTAGCTCCGGTATCCTTCCAAAATCTTCACGGCTATAAAATGCATGAAAAACCATCAGGTAAATCGGTGAATGTATTTGTGTTTTTCAATGAAATAAATTGTATTCTACGCGTGTTTTATACCTCAGTGTTCCGCTTCCCCGGGAATCGAGATGTAAAAATCTTATGTACAGCCTTTTGATTTGCTGTTCTGAAACTGTGAAATAGAAAATGTAGTCTCCATATGGGGGACGCTTGTGAAAATCTTCACCATTGTTAGAAAACCTACGTGAAAAAGGAGGTACTCACATCCTGTCTCTTTTTTGATCTGTTCAATGTCTTGATCTTGTAGCATGGTTGAACTATTCAGTCCCATGATATTGCAGGATGATAAAGACACTACAGATTCATGTATAAATTCAAAATATCTCGTAAACACTTGGGAATATATCTTTTTTTACGTTTGACTGCTCGGTCCTTTTTTATTTTTTTGTTTGTTTATAGAGTGTACGTTTTAACGCGGGCGCCACAACTTCTCGGATACTTCATTTCTCAAAAATATTTGGCCGACATGGCTTACGCATGAACTTGGTTGCTTCATCTTTACACCTGGGTCATTTTATTACCTAACATCTAACGTCAAGCCAGAATCAAGCCCGACAAGACACTGTGTGTGAACTATGGTGTGAATTCTCCTTGTGACCTGCACAGGCAAATTCAAACAATAAAAGAGCAGATGTAGAATCGTGACTGATCCCATTCCAATGTATGGTGTTACCCCAAATGAGTTTAGCACCATCTGCTTCGTTGCATGATGATACAATGGATTCAAGAATGCTTTGACTCATGGTTCCTATGTATAAGAGAAGGGTGTGCTCCAGTTTTAGTATTACAGACAGTCGTGTTATAATTATGTAAACTTTTCTAACTTTTGTGACGTCGTTTTGAAGGCGCACGCTGATTGGTGCAGCGGGTTCTGATCGAGTGCTCGACGGCAGTTGACGAAGTTTTTGCCCGGCTTTGCATGGAAGAAGAATCCGCGATAGCAATATGGCGGAACAACAGCAACACCATTTGCCCGGGGTTGGAGAAGTCGAGGTCGAAGTGGAGACAATGTTAGAGCCACAGCAAGAAATCCAGATTGAAACACAACCTATGATAGCGCTGCAGCCGCTTGCTGAGCCAGAACGGGAAGAGGTTGTCGTGCAAACGAGCGAGGAAGTGATCGAAGAGTCAAGACAACACGAAGCTTTGGACAGCCCTCCGCCACGAAACAAACGGAAAGGTAGACCAGGGCGATACAAAGGAGCTGGGAAACATAGCAAACTACAAGGTACGCGGGGTCGTGGGGGAAAACGAGTCGAAGACGATGGTGAACTTGATCAGAAAGGTACGCGAAAATGGGAGCAGAGGCAAGTTCAAGTCAAGACGCTTGAAGGCGAATTTTCAGTCTTGATGTGGGCGTCTGGTACGTGAAATTATTTTCCATGCCTCGTACGATATCTCCTTCTTCGCATATGTTTCTGATTTCGAGTCATGTCGCTTCGAAATGCCTGGTTTTGCCGTGTTAACATTAGTGTTCATTTTTTCCCTTCGCAGAAGATAAGAACCACGATCTTGATAACGAAGACGACCAGCCAGATTTCTCTGATTACATGACGGGAAAGAAGCTGCCCCCAGAAGGCTTTCCCGGCATCGACCTCAACGATCCGAAGCAGCTAGCAGAATTTGCAAGGTAAAATGTACATTTAAATACATTTGTTGTTTTTGGCGGCCATGTTTTTCGGCCATGTTGCTTCGTTTTCAAACATGGCCGCGCGTTTCAAAGATGGCGGGGTTTTCACGCTTGAAAACTTGACCGAAGCGGGTTCCTCATTGCTTTTAGCAACGATTGTTTGTCTTTGTTAAGGTCTTTGTTCAGTTATGCTTCAGTTTTTTGAAGTTCGTGTGAACAATATATGGCCTATAACAGCTTGAAAACTTGTAAAAAGAACTAGCTCTGAATCATCGGCTTTCGTACGTGATCTATAGAATCTTGCACTTCACATGCAATCTGAGAACTTACAGTATAAATACATAATTAACGCTATTGATAGCGTTAATTTCACTAGACACCTCTAACAAAGAGCAAGGGTAGTAATTTAAAACACATATTATAGTTTGATAAGAATTTGAAAATTGAAATGTTGAGGAAATATTTGAGTTAGATTTCATCATATATTTTCAAGAGGGCAGTAATGATATGGACTTGGAGATTTGATTTGTGGTAGGAGACTGAAGAAGCAGCTACTATTATTTTGCAAAACTGAGCAAAAACAATAATCATCATAAATATTTTCACTTTCAAGTATTTATAGCTGTGATGTGGACCATTAACTTTACTCAAACCAGCTATTTCCATTTGGTTTAGGATGAGGCCAAAAAAGTCAAAGGATGATAATGAACCTAGAACGATTGCTTGCCCACACAAGGTAGGGTTTGAAAATCAACAAAAACGGTCTGTATGTTGATGCAATGATGTTGAAGCATCTTTCTATTTTCCTAGGGCTGCACAAAGATGTTTCGTGATAATTCTGCGATGAGAAAGCATCTCCATACTCACGGACCGCGTGTTCATGTCTGTGCCGAATGCGGCAAGGTGTGTATGTTGTAAAATCAAGATGTTAAAGTTCTATAATTTTCGAGGCTCTGATAATGACTTTTTTTTGCATTACGTCAGGCATTTGTCGAAAGTTCGAAACTCAAAAGACATCAACTCGTGCACACTGGAGAGAAACCATTCCAGGTAAATTATTTACACATGGCAATGATTGTAGCCACTGCTGATGAAATACCAAATGGTTTAACATGCTACATTACTGTCTTCTGATAAAGCAACTTTTTTTTATGTTTAGTGTACTTTCGAGGGTTGTGGCAAGCGGTTCTCGCTTGATTTCAACCTCAGAACCCACGTTAGAATACATACAGGTGACCGTCCCTATGTCTGTCCATTTGATTCTTGCAACAAGAGATTTGCCCAGTCAACAAACCTAAAGTCACACATCCTGACCCATGCCAAAGGAAACAAACAGCAACAACAGCAACAACAACAAGCTCTGCAACAAATTCAAACTGACCATCTTATTGAGGAACAGCCTGCAGCCCTGGAGGAAATCTGAAGGGATTTTCAGCTGTAAGTTTTGTGGGAAGTACATACAATGTATGGAAATATCTCTGCAGGCTTGTTGGCAAATGTTTCAAAACAATTTGCAACCTTCAGGACAACGGACAGCATGTCATATTGCCATTTCGGGAGAAATTATTATAACTGGCTATCACTAAGATATTTTTAGAGAAAGTAATTGCGTGTTTAGTTGGCTGAAAAGAAACAAAATGCATCTGCACTGTTTGTTCTTTGCTTGTAGATTTTTTTTACCCCACTTACTTGATGCATTATGACTTAAGATCATCTGTAAGTGAAAATTACTTTGGTACAATATGTAACTTAATTTTACCGCTTGTCGGCAGACTTGCTTTTACCATAAGTTATTCGTGTGATCGTGGAAATCACAGTTCAGATTTTTCAGAAATCAGATTTTTTCTTTACAAGGATTTCTTTTGCATTCATCAACATGGTCATTCTTACCATATTGTCACGTCTTAGTGATAGCTCTCAGTTTCCAAATATATATTTAAAAATATGTAAACTTCATGTGTTTTACTAATCCAGGGATGCTGAAGAATTTTAACTATAATGGCAATTTTTTGTCAGAATTAACCATACCAAGGAATGTGTTTGTTTCTATGGTTTTAGGATTAAAACAGTGTATTACCAAACCTATATTATACCACATTAGCAAAACTAGATGAACCAATAAATATCATGTGCCAATGGGATGACAGTTTTATGTCAACTGATCTCAGAAAGAGAACTGGTCTGTGCATTTGCCTGTGGTCCATCCACTGAATGCAAGTGAATATGAGATCAGTTTTAAGGGTAGTTTTCGATGCAAGCAGTGTTTTAACACATATGTAAATAACTACTACTTGTTAGACTGGAAGTAAGGATGTTAAATAAACTACTTTAAATGAAGTATTATGAATATTTGGTGTCAGAAGTGAAATTAGAGAACTTGTCATCAGCAGAATATGCACACTACAGTGTTTAGAATAGTTCAGTGGTTAAGCTGCGCGAGTGCACGGAGGTGCTTTTGGAGGACCCCAGCCACTGCCCCAGCGTACATTTGTGACTGATCTCTATATTAGTATCTGAACGCGATTCTTTTATTAATGACGACCCACCCGGTCATTCTGGCGTTGTGGAATTGAACCCATCAATAACCACGGTCCATTTGATGGATGTAAAATAGTTATGGTGTACCGATGTTTATGCTATCGTATTCAGTGAATATAATATTATTGATTGGATATTGTCATTAGATGCAAAACTTTGATAATCTGTTTTATCACTTTAAGCTCCCCCCCGCACGCTACGCGCCTACGCACCCCCCCCCCCATCCATCCATCAAAAGAACATCGCAGGAAAAAAAAAGTTGAGTGGCAGCAAAATTGCTGAGTGAAAATTGAGACAAGAGCGAATGATAATAAGAATGGGAATTGGAGACAATAGATGAGATAATAAGTAATGAAGGTTGTCGAGGCTTCAATATTTTATCTATTGTATCAATTGCATTAGTCACGATTGAGCACGACATTTAAACCAAGCCTTATAACAACTGAGAATAGAGTGGAACGTGGCAGTCACAGATCGTATTTCTAGATATCTTGAGCTGACAATGTGTCGGAAATTCTTGACATGAAAGACTATAAAAAGACGTTCTAGACTAGCGCAAATGGAACATTGCTGGAATCCAACCGCTGTGAACCGATTTTAAAAGATGATTTTTTAAAATTTGCTTATCCACAAAGCAGTTGATCCCGTTGGTATAGTTCCTGCCTTACGGGTTTCATGTGACACATATGAAAGATTGCGGCCTTGCTCCTACAAAACGCAAGAGGTTGCAACCTTGTACCCAGCGCTGTTTTGCTCACAAAAACGCTACGCTTGTTATTTATTCACAAAACAAAACTACGGTACATCAGATTAAGAAATTCTGCAGATTACAGATGAGAAGCAAACGAGTTGTCTAGACAGTTCAGTTGGTAACGGGTATGTAACATAACACATAGCAATTCAGCAGTCCAAGATAAAAAGATTACGCATTCTTAGGAAAACAATATTTACTCTGTAAGCACATTTTCAATCAAATATTTCCGTTTAAAATGCAAATGTTATCAGGCATCAGAACGTCATTATATCCAACAGCGCGATAGCCCTTTGTTTGAGGTCATTTGCGGTTATTTAAAGACCTCAAGAGCTTGAGAGAATGTTCTTAACGGCATATTTTGCATAATCTGTTGTGTATAATATACGCTGTATAAAGCAATTGTCAGTCAAACAACAGTTGTCAGTCTCGAAGCGAAAGAACAACTCAAGATAAAACTCCGAAGCAAAATGGTAAGTATAAACCTTGCAACTTACATCGCTCTACATCGTTGACGTGTGTTAAACCTGGTAAACGAGACCAGGAGCTAGACCTTTTACTCATCTTCGTATTTCGCAAAAGCGTAATTGTTGTATTGGTCCTTAGTTAAACTTTGCCTTTGGGTGATTAGTATCTTAATGTTGGGCGTAACTTGCAATATTTTACCATTATACTGTCCACCGAGGTCTTAAAATTCAAGCACAAGAACATCTAAAATTTGATATGTTGTGGTAAAGTGATATAGGGCTCTCGTTGCAGACATATGCTATGGTATAAAACTAGCTAACTTGTGGATAGCGTTCGAATTGGCATTCTTTGTGTATTTGACTTTGAGCTATAAAACTTAACAACTTCACGAACTCTCGTCTAGAATTAAGACCAGGACAGGTCATATTTACCTATATATCGAGGAAACGGTGGAGACCAACGTAATGTAGAGACAATTTAATACACAAGACACGTATGTTTTTAAACCTCGACAAATCTCTTAGAATATAAAACTTGTTTGTGCAAATCTAGTAACGACCATCATACCAAAAAGCACGCAAGTTCGTTTCCAATGCAAACCAGAATTGTTTTTCTAGAGCGTTTTATAATCTAGCTAGTACTGTATAGTATAGAGGGTCGTCAAATTGTAAAGGTATCAATGAATCATGAATGCATGATAATTCTTGCATGGGTGTTGACTTGCGGTTGGCGTCATTTGGATATAAAAAGAAGGGCGCTGTTCAATAGAGCAGAACAAGTCATAATTTATGAGCTATTTCATAAACATGAAGTCATCGCAACCTTAGTGGAAGTTTCTAGAAGTTTCCACGACTAGCCCTTCAAAAGTCAAACGTAGGACGCGATGTAACACAATACGTACACAAGATATAAACGTTTTCAACATTTTTTTACTTTGAGGAATCATCACAGTGTAAACACTAAACAAACAGGTGTACCGAAATATCCCCCGGTATGCCCAGACGTCCCAGGGAAAAGGGCGTGGTGAAACTGAGATAAAATATCGCACAGATGACCTTTATTTCTTGTTGTTGAGCGGTAATGCCAACTTTTGAACCAGGAAAGCTATTTGTGTGTTCGAGTTACCCAAGAGATTGTTTGTCTAAGTATACGAGAAGTTTTACTAGAAAAAAACACACGCTACGTTGAGTACGGGGATAGTCCTTTAGTAGTTAGCTAGGTATGTTTATAATTATCTTTTTATTTTTTTAGAGCTGCTGCAATAAAGAAAAGGGTTAGTAAAGTTGAACTTTTCAATCCTGATTGCATGACGACGCGTACCAATCAACTAGCTACTAGTACATAATTAATTGATACGAATTTAATCCTTTAGATCAGTACGTTGGGATTAGGATTAAGTCTTAAATTAGATTTATAATTGATAAGGATCAATTCCAAATCTAATCTCAAGGAATTCGTGTATAAGTGCAGATTTCCCTACAATTTGAGAGACCAATTGTAAGGACTGCCCAGATCCAGTGACCCCACATCCTCGCTCCTAATTGGTGAACAGCCTGCTGTGAACCAATCTTTACATGCAAATATTTTACCCGCTTTTAGAAGAAAAAGAGGCCTTCGACGCGTTTGATACAGATGGCAGTGGTCAGATTACATTTGATGAATTAAGTAAAGCTATGAAGAGTCTTGGTCGCCAAATTTCTGACGAAGACGTTAAAAAACTATTGGCAGATTATGACAAAGACGGTAAGTTTTTCGACTTTGATTTGAGTAAACGTGTAAAAGTCAAAGGGGGAGGAGATAAGAGCGAACAAGAGGGGCGGGCAGAAGGACGAACAAGAAGGGGGGAGAAGGACGAACAAGAAGGGGGGGGAGAAGTACGAACAAGAAGGGCAGCTATCCGCTATTCCCAATTCCAGTAAGTGTACTGTAATGCTGATGTGATCATGAATTTAAGCTAAACTAGGCAATATATCTAATTTACCATAAAATTACTACTCAGTATATATTTAGTGTAAGTATAAAATAGTATTACTAGTGCATGTCTCAAATACGCTGACCCAGTGGACTGAAGTCGCCAAAAATGTAGTATAGAAATCCTTCAGTTAACGGTTTAAATTAAAGTGAAATTTTGACTGACAACCATGGTCATCATTATTATGTCAGGTAGCAAGACTTTGTCATTCAAAGAATTTCAAAAATTGTTGCGAGCAGCAGAAGAAAAGGAAATGGAAGATGCGTTTAAGGCATTTGACGCCGATGGTAGCGGCTATATCACACAAGATGAGCTCAAGAAGGCGATGAAAAACATGGGAGTGAAATTAAGTGATAAAGAGATTAACGAAATGATTGCAGCGGCAGATACGGATAAAGATGGAAAAGTCGGTTTTGAAGGTAAATAGTTTACTGTAGTATTTTCTTCCACTAGGTGTACAGTCTTCAGCAAGGGCACTCCTAACTCATGTACAAATGTTGCTCGGAAAACAAGCTTCTAATAACAGTGAAAGCTCTAGCTTATAGGAGAAACTAAGAAGTCAGGGAGCAGCGTATTGAAACAACTTCATGTCAAATTTGGTATAACAACTGCCTAAAATAGACAAAAAAACTTCACAACGTTTCGACCTTGTTTCCCAACTTGTAAGGAGAGTTAACTTGCGAGGTTTAATTTAAGGAGAAACCGTATGCTGTTATATGTACATATTCCGGTAATGCCAAATAAGCTAGTGACTGTCACCGACTACAAGTCAACTTTTAGTCAATGCATTTTTCGGTTCTTGGTTGTCATTCAATGCTTAGCTTCTGTGCCGGATATGGTTCTGGTTTAGTTTCTATTCTCCAAGATTAATGGCCTGCACTATACCGCACAAGTATAGTTGAGCTTAAAATGCTAGTGGAGAGGGGACCACAGTATTTCCCGCCCCCCCTCCAGGGTCCTCCCAATGTTCCTCTGTGTATCAAGATGTTCCTGTGTGTATCAAGATGAACCGAAAGACTGATGTATGTTCTTTTTCGTGTAGAATTCAAGAAAATGATGAGTAAGGCGTAGTAAGCTTGAAGCTCAGTGTTACAAGAGGACACTCACTTTTTAGAATAGCGTGCAGAATAAATAATGCTTTCATTTTAATTAGTAAAACTGTAAGGCAGTGCCAGTGTGTAATTTTAATTTAGTTGATCGAATAACCGAATAGGTTTTTCAGTCTTTTTGGTAATATCTCAGCCAATATAATTAAACGGCGGTTTCTTTTCAAAACCGGTACTTTTTATTTTCATGGTGTCACTCTCAGTGCCCATATGAAGAAGGTCTATATTCCGGCACAGCCTGTGAGCTCAAAGATTGACAAAACTTCGATCAAGCCGATTTGTCAGCAGGTGCGTTTAACCCACTGAGCTGTTGAACCTACAAAAATAGGATTCCACTTAGCCTGCTCGCAGAACCTGCCCGGAAATTTTCAAGCGGGGTCTGCGAGTAAGACCCTGGTTATGAGGTTGCGAGAAGGCTAGCCTAGACTCCACTTTGTCAATTCCAATTTGTCTCTGATTAAAATCCACAGTAAAATCATTCGGTGGCTCACAACGGTCAAGACCTCTTGGTTGAAACACTCGGCGTCTTCCTTGTCAAAATGTGTTTCTTCTCCGTAGAAATCAGTCTACAGTGTCAGCACTAAACTCCGATGCAAATTTTACAACGATGCAAATTTTCTTGCAACTTGCAATCCAATTCAACGTTTGAGAGACGTAAATTTGGCATCTTCGAAACTTTTGTGCTTTATTCACTCCACTGATATTTTCTTGTACAACATATAATACTCCCCACTAATTTGCACCTCTCAAAAGTAGAATAGGATCTCGCTTTTTAGTAAAATCATGACATCATATCCGTTTTATAAATATCAAAAACACACCAAATTCTTTGGGCATACAGGAAATAGCTATGTCAATAACACGCCTACCCCTGGAGACCGGTAACTACGTTCAGTCGGCTTGCACTTTGACAGTTCAGGCAGAGCAACCATCACTGTGGCATAACGCTTAGCAGTCTGTACCAAACTTGCACCACTGTCGACCGACAAAATGGTAAGAAAACGTTAACAACTATTTTGTAACACATTATTACAACAGACTAGGTCTTGTGTTTGTGGGAAATGAACGCGAATCGCTTAGTTTTGGAAAACATATAAATCGTATATGTCCGATAGGATTGTCGCTTGCATTACCATTGGCAACTGTGCAATGCGCGACTAGGATGGGCAGTGAATAATACGTAGCAATTCATGAAAATTGGTCAAGTACAGTGTAATAAATTGATCTGTCAACTTGAAGAGTGTTCGTAGGTTAATTTTGAAATGTTATTTATAATTGATCACAAGAGGGGCAGCCATGTTGATAGAGTCTTCACATGCTGTGGTGATGTGCAAAATCTGTCATTGAATATATCGGCTTTTATTAAAAATATACTCTCTCCGATTTTCCTGAGTAACCAACAAGTCTGTAAATTTGCTAATATAGAGCGATATAGGCATAAACGCAGTTTAACAGTGCATATTTTAAGTTCTTTAATTTTCTGCCAGACGCTTGGTATTTGTATACACCACAACATTAATATTCTGGTGTCATTTGTGAAACGTTCACAGCTCAGGCAACCCAGGTCAGACCGCTATCCTAGTTGGATTTGGCAGTAAATGTATCTTCAACTTGAAGTACATTTGCAAAAGTAATAAGGTCATTCAAAAAATTCTTTTTGACGGACTCGTTTTAAATTTAGGGTCTTGTAATTGTAATACAAGACTTGGCATATGACTAGAGACTAGAGTTGTATGGAGAAATTTGAAACTGCTGACTGTTACCGTAAATAAGTCAAGTGGGAGTTAGATCTGCGTTTTTTTAATTTTTATTTTAAACACAGCTTAACCTTTTGAGAACCTTGTCATCATCATCGTTTTTGTCATACGCGCAGATTGAAGGCAAAATATCTGGTCTAGACGTTTACAATTATGATAAATTAAGAAGCAACGATTGTTTCCAAATTCATTTACGAGAAAGTTCGTTAAATTTGATCATTTCTATTTCTTCTTGGACTGAAATACTGGACTTCCTGTAGCATTGCAAATTGCAAGTACACCTTGTACTCTGTCGAAATATATGCGCAAAATTCAATCGTTGGTTTCAAAGGTTTCCGTTGTTGAGTGAATATCGTCCATATGTTTCCACGTCAAGACGAACATGGCCAACAACTACCCGTGTTTTAATAACGAATCACGGGTGCGCCTCCATGATTGCTGATTAGTAACAATCAGTTCAATGGGGGACAATAGTAATTGCTTAACTTGACAATGAAGTCTTTCAAATAGGAACAATTCCTCCACAAGACATCCGACAAGTTTTTGGTCCAAACCAACATAACATAACGTGGAACTCATCGTAGTTATAAGAGTTCTGCTCCCATTGCAGGGTTTGGCATAGGCGTAAAAAGCTTTCTAAATCTGCCAGCATGCGGCTCTAACTCACTCAGAAACATACCAATGATTAAACGGCAATAAAAAACTAAGTATACGTGCATAAAGCCACATAATAGTAAAACATTACCGCCAGAAAATGGCGTATTCGACCATCGTCGAGTCCGCCGGAAAATGGCATATTCGACCATGATCGAGTCGGCCGGAAAATGGCATATTCGACAATGGTCAAGTCCGCCGGAAAACGGGGTCCACAATTAGTAGAAAATCTTGAGTTGCTTTCAATGTCAGATATTTTGAAATATGAATTTGAAAACTCGCAGGGAAAGCCAGCAGATTTATCCAGATTTTGATTGACAGTGCTCGGACTGAAGGCACTAACGAGAATGCAGAGTTGACCGTCTGAATGTCTTTGTTGCTTTTTTACTGCTGTAAGGTTGATCAAAATGCTGATAATACAGTAAATGTTTGATGTTTATGAATGAACTCTTATATTGTTTAATTCATTGCCTCCTATATCATGCAGAGACTGGGGAGAGTATTCAGGGGTTAATTAAGGTGGTTTTTAGTCGATATATATTTTTTTTCGAACCATATCCGTTCCATATATGTTGAATAACAGTGTTTTTTGTATGTAAAAGAAAAATTTGGAAAGAAAAAAAATTTTGGAAAGAACCTAAAAACACCCAAAAGAGATCATCCAGCCTATGCCACAATCTAACCTGGTTATACAACCGGCTGCAATATTCAGCATAGTTACAACTACGAAAGGTGCAAGGACAGTTGCTATAGGAAGAACTCCCCCCCATAACTCACATCTTAACGGCCGTCTAAGGGGGAGATGCACTACGGCCCCCAGACCATGATGTATGTGCACCTAACCGTTACGTCTCAGTGAGGAACAGAGTATGCATCGCCACAAGCCTAGCGTCATAGACGAATCAGCTACAGTGGCTAGCCCTGAGAGCGAAGATAAATTTAACGTATTTAAGCTTTTCCTGGTCTCGGGAGGCGGTCCCTAACAAGTATATGCATAGAAAACGACTAATAAGGCACACGCTTGATAATTCAAGATTTAAACGCCTAAACGTTTTTTAAGTGTTTTTAGCGAGAAATTTTAGTGTTTTGATATTCTTTCAGAAATTTTAGCGTTTTGAAACAATCCTTGTTGGTTTTTAACGTCAAAATAGTCATCATTCTCTAAAGGAAACTCAATATAAATGACTGAATGGCTTAGTTTACTGAAATGTTTTGTTAATTTTGTGTTTAGTATAGCCGCTTGATTCGCCGGTACAATTTGGGCCTAAATTGTATGTATCATTATTTCACAAGTTCTTATTTTTTATCTTCGTCGATTCTGTTCTATTTTTCTATTGTTATTCTTCTTTATTTCTTTTACTAACTATCCATGATATGACAGTGTTGGTTTTGGTTGGGTTCCTTCCTGGAGACCCCTCGACATTGGACTATGGTCGAATAAGCCATGGTCGAGTGTAACGGAAAACAGCGTATTCGACCATGGTCGAGTCCGCCGAAAAATGGCAGTGTACCAGTAAAATAATTTTAGGTTCTTTCTTAAGTCGGGGGCCCCTTCAGGTTTAGGGGCACGGGGCAAATTGCCCTCCCTACCCCTCCCTCTCAGCGGCCCTAATCATGGTCCAACGACTTGTTTTTTTATTTCAGAGTTACAACATTACAGACGAGCAGAAAGATGGTGAGAATGGTCGTCTAACAGATGTCAATTAATGCTATATTTCAAGCAACAGGTTTGGCGGATCATTCCGTCCAAAATTGGCACAATTTAGCCTCACTTTTTTTTACACAATTTCAGAATTCAAAGAGGTTTTTAAAATGTTTGATGTGGATGGAGATGGAACTGTGTCCACAGAAGAACTAAAGGATGTCATGGCAAAATTGGGACAAAATCCCTCGGAGAAGGAACTGACAGATATGATCAACGAGGTCGACGAGGATGGTACGTGATCATGGCGTTGCTAAGCAACCTCGTGTGCCTGCAACTTAGTGATACAATATCCCCATTCACTTGTGCATAGCCTATAAGTGCGAAGCTTTTCAAAGCAGTTAAACTTGGTGTTATGAACTTATCCAAACCCTTAATCCTGCGTCCTGAAACTGGGCTATAACTGTATTAACTGATCCCGTTATCTATTTAAGTCAAATTGGTTCACACAGAGAAATTTGTGTTAATTGCAGGTTCTGGTGCAGTGGATTTTGACGAGTTCTGTCAGATGATGGCAAAACAGCTCGTCACAGCGTTAAAAGAGGAACTTAAGGAGGCTTTGAAGACATTTAGTCCAGGTGGATCAATTTCTGCTGGCGAATGGAAGAAAATCCTGAACAGTCTTGCTGAGAAAATGTCAAATGATGAATTGGATAGCCTTTTGAAAACTGCTGATAAAGGCGGACGAGGAAATATCAAGAATGACGGTGAGCAACTGAAAATCTCAGCGGCAGACTGCCAGACTATAGGGACTATAGCGACTATAAGGACTATAGGGACTATAGGGACCATATGGACTATAGGAGAACATTGGAGTAGAATGGGGTCAAATGATACAGAATGGCATACCTTGGGATTGAAAGGAGTAGACTGGACTGAATTTCGTTTCTGTTTTTCGTTTAGATATGGTCGGTGCTCTGTTTGGTTGAAATTGAAAGCTTCAATTGCCGTAACTCTCCTTAGATTGTATTGAGAACATTTCAAAGGTTTTGCGTTCAACTTTTAGATAAAATATAATAAACAATTCTATTATTACGAGCGTGAACGCAGCACCCGAGTTAGACATTCATGTATTTTAAACTTTATAAATAAATGAAGATTCCATTTAAGTATAATAGTGAATAAAATTTTGAACTTTATTAGTTGCTTTATTAGTACGAATTCTAGGGTGTCTATATACTCCAGTGTTACATATGGCGGTCAACGCATTTGGCCTTTTATTCGAATAACTTGAAGTATTCGTAGGATTAAAAAATGGAGAATGTCAGAGCGTCGTTTTATAAATGTTGTAAACTGTTCAAGATTTGATTCATTTTAATGTGAAATTCATCAAGAATGGCAAAGAAACTCGCTCGAGGAGCCGAGCTTGAGATAGAGAGAGCGAGGAACGATGGCAGATGGGCGGATATTCAGAAATTATTGAACGATTTAGAGACAAACGTAAAATCAACTTGGTCAGGTATACTGTATTCCAATACTAATATTTATGTTCCTGTCAAATTTTGCATGCATCTTGTTGAAATTATGATAGACAAAGTATGCAATGAATAGCCTTCAATAATGCATGCCAGATTGGTGCATGAATTCACGCACTCTAGACTCTAGACTATTATAGTATTATTAGATTAACAGTTAACACAAACTTTATAAATAATGTTTTGGTTAAATACAACAACAAGCTAGCTAATCATTGTACAAAGTTTGTACAGAAATATTTCCATTGGAAATGCGTGTGATTTGTGGAGAAGCATCACTGTTCACAGCATAATCATGTACTGCATATCCAGACAAATCATGATGATGCCCAACCGGACTTAATACATCCCAGTTTACACGGTTACACCTAAACATATACTCAGGTATGAAATGTTTTGATTGCTGCTAAGCATGGGTCATCTTTCACTCTTTAGAGCCGTACAAGATGCTGATTGATTGTGAGTATAAAATTGAGATTCAATTCAACAAGTACAAGATGGAATCCACAACTGATCCAGCATTGAAGACATATTTATTGGAGATAAAAACGAAACTCGAAAAACTTGTTGAGAACGAAAACGTAAGTGAACAGACAAAAGCAGCCGCTCACTTATCATTATTGTTTTTTATACCCCTGAGAATATGCAACATATGATTTCATTTATTTTGGCATTTCTCAATTTTTACAGCAACCCATTACTGTGGATGTTCAATTTCTGTTGTGCAAAGTCTACTTCATGTTTAAAGATTACGACGAGACACTAAAGTTTGTTGCATTGTTGGAAAATGATATTAGCAATTTTGACGGCTCCACAAGAAGACTGAAAATGGCTGCTGATATGTTTGCAATGAAAGGTTGCTTTTTTTCTATATATTTCAGTTGGTCATCAGCAGGAAACTGATGCTTATTATTGTCCTGTCTTGCTATACTATTTATCTTTAATGGTTCTCAAAGTTTCTCATACATTTGTTTAATAATTATCATTAAGCCTTTGTCAGCCACAGAGTACATCAAACATGTTTCTGTTTTATTTGATGGAGTTGTTTTGTTTGAGTTCAAATATACATATTACACCAACTTTAACACCAATTGTTTCAGGTATAAGTCAAGAAGAACTCAAAAGTTCAACAATACAAGAACAGGACATTCTCTCAAGCTACAACCATGCAACAGATGCCTTCCTTAGCATGCTGGTAGGAAGTGACACAAGCGATAGCAAGAACTCTCTCACGAGAATTCAATCAAGTCAATCAAGTTTCGTACTCAGCGAAGAGCTGTATGCTTCCATTGGTCAACCCTTGGAGATTGCATTTCGTCGTTTAATAGTTTTGACTGTTAAACAAGGGTAAGAAAAAGGCATTGTTTACAATCAAATTCAAGTAATATAATCAATGTAATTTGCTTATATTTTCTTTTTTAGGCAGACAGACAAGGCCATTGAGCTATTACGATATTTCTTAAGAAACGTTGAAGAAAAGTCAGCACAAGATGTAAGAAAGGTATGTAATTAAACAAGATAAATTGCTTATGAAAATCTTTAGTGAGATGACCTACAATACACTACTATAGCTGGGAACTTATATGCAATCCGGAGGCTATCCAGCGTTTACACAACCAACCATTTTAGTTTAGTCCAACATGATGAAATCACTGTGAAAATATTTTAGGTCCTAATCGAACAATTGATTAATATCTTGATGAATGGTATGAGCGAGAGGAACTACATGATGCAAACCTCCAGCCCTACCTCACCATCAAAAACCTCTTTCACCAGTTCTAGTTTCCAATCCAGTGCACAAAATTTGGACAGAGGGTATGTGAGCTAGAACTCCGCCTGCAGTGTCTACAATTCATTCAAAGTTAAAAGAGACTACCATGTGATTTAACCATTGTTATTTTTTAAATATCGGATATGCATCTTGGCACCCCAAAGGCCCAACCACACATCATGGCCATTCATGACCTGCATATTTTTATCCATTAGATTATGCTTCGTTCCTCATAATCTTACTGAAGATGTGATTTTATTGCTGTTGTTAAAAGAAGCATTGGTATGATAGTTATTAACATCATTTAATAATTGTGAAATCGTCAAAAAATTAGGCACACTCCGTGATTTCATTCTGCGACTGTGCACAGTAGGCTGTATATTTTCAGGTACATTTACCACATTTTTCCCCAAGGTTCTACATAACGCTACATCAAGTATTGCTCCTGAGAATTCGGAAGCAAGAAAGTCAACCATGATTGAAGGAAATCATATTTATAATCTTCTAACGATTGGCCTGTCAAGATATGCCCAGTTTCCATTACTTGTTGAGGTACTTATTCATTAATAGCAGAGCTCTGTTCAATGCAATAGTTGTGTTTCCCTACTTTCATTATTTTCACTTGAACCCTTCTTTACTCAAAAGAGGGAATGAATGCGATGTAATCACAATTGTATATTTATATTTTTAGTGTTTAGAACGGGCTATGAAGCTAGCTTTTGAGGAATTCAATTTGTGGTTTCAATTTGGCCTTGCATTAGCGAGTGCAAGAAAGGTATAATACATAGATGATATTGTGTTACAAAGTAAGACAAGAGAGATGGAGAAGTATATGGTATTATACTGTACTGACTTGTCAATACTGGTAATTTTTATGATTTTCAGTATTCAATGGCTGTGTTAGTTCTTAAGCAGTGTCATCAACTTCGTCCAGATGATCCGATGGTTCTACTTCATTCTGCTAAACTTTGCATTAATAATCTCCATCAAGTAATGTAAACTCTGTATTTTAATAAAGTTTTCTTCATGTTCACTTTTGGTGTTTATTGCAGTATTGTGCATATGTTTTTGTTTTCAGTTTGACGAAGGTATTAAAATGGCTCGAGAAATTGTTGAAATGACTGAAAAAGTCCCTCTTATCACCAGAGGATACTTGGCTCTTGGTATTGGCCGTTGCTGCAAGGCAACCACAGGTAATTTTGAAGTGAATAATATTGTTTTAAATCCATGATTTACATTGGTGATGCATTTGATATACGTATTAAAATATTTAATATCTTTTCGCTAGTCCTAACAAATAAAGAAAAAAAAGATTTACACATGGAAGCAGTTCGTGCATTTGAAAGGTGAAACGATGATGTTTAATGTTGTGTGTTCCCAAGGTCATTTATACAATATGAAGTTATTTTATAATCATAATTCTGCCTGGGTATTGGGTAGTGGGTAATTCGATGATTATTGTCTTGTTTTAAATTTGAAGATGTCTGGAACTTGATCCTCACGACAAAGAAGCTCTTTTTCATCTTGCATTAACACAATCTGTTTTGAGAAAGGTTTGCAATTTTTTTGCCAAAGTACATTACCTTCACTCTATCTGAATCATAACCGACATTCAGCGTTTAACATTCAACAATTTTTCCTGTCATTCACAGACAACGAAGGCTCTCCGCAATGCATATGCCGCTCTTAAACTCGACTGTAATTATCTGGCTGCACTCCAATTGATCGTCTTGCTGTTGTCAGCGAAGAAAAAGGTCAGCTCTATAAATGCACAGCTAAGCTGACTATCTTGAGGGTCTGAATTTCATGCCTAGCCGAAGTTAATATAGTAAATTTAACGACGGTGTTTGTTTTGAATTATTTTTCTAGTACCGCGAGGCTCTGGACGCTTGTGATACAGCTTTGTTAGAATATCCTGACGACTTTTTGTGAGTATCTTTCTATTCCACATACATATGATACATATCAGTACTGAAATATCTGAACGTTACTTACCCTTAGCAATCCAGATACCACGGGCCGGTTGTATCATAATATTCAAGTTGACTCATTCAAGAGAAATGTAGGAGTGTTATTTAATTTAGACATATCCACCGTTTAAGCTAAACGGGCTAGATACAACCGGCCCCTGAAGTGTTCTTTGCGTTATACCTTGCAAGTGATTTTGCTGATAAATATATAGAAACGAGCTGTTATTGTTAAGATTTATATTCTAATTGTTCTTGGAAATCAGGTATTTCTGAAGTTCGTTGCATGGTGTTGTAGATTGTTGATATTCAAGGTGAAGCTAGAAGAACTGTTGCTAGGAGGTGATCAGGCACTAGTTACATGCAAGAGATTGTTGCGGACATGGAAAGCTCTTTACGATATGGACATCGAAAGGTCAGCTGTATTTAAAACATTTCTTAGCAAACCCAACAAATCATGAAAAAATTCAATAATTCCGCTTATTTTTCATCTTCGGAATAGTGATTCCGATTTGGTACGACTTTGCTCTTTAATTCCAAACCTAACAGAAAATTGTTCACCTTTTTAATATTACGTTTTCTCATCTGCATTTCTCCTGTGTTTTCCAGAGTACCTGAGACCACGAAAACAGGCTCCGGTCTTATCGATAAAATCGTGTCAGACAAAAGAAGTTTAAAGAATTTACAGTTGGCTGAACTGGGAGACGAGCAAGATGGTGGGTGAATATCGTTTTAGTTTTGTAATTCTCTACAAGCGGTGCACTGTCCAGTCCATTTTCACAAAGTAGATACAAATGTATTCATATATACAGTCATTCCTGTTTGAAAATGACGCTTTCTTCTTCAGAGACATCCTCTATTGGTGCCTCAGTACGTTTGGAAAGCACCTTATCTGAGGAAGCCGGATCAACATCTGTGTGTCAGCTCAGCGTCCCAGCGGCCCTGGCAATACAAGCACGAATATGGCTGACAATCTGTGAGTTTTCAAAACAACTATCCACGCCAGCAAATAGCCATAATGCATTATAACAATAATCTTTTCTCCTGCCAAAGAAAAGTATATTCCCAGACTGAAAACTGAAATAAGAAAAATAGCAAAGTTTGACTGCAAAATCTTGCCTAATGAGGAAATACAGGACGGAAATTGTGACCACATTTGGCCTGAGATGTAATTTTAGTTTCTCTGGAAACTCTTCTTAATCTGTTTACGGCTGATTTGCTGAGTTTTTTCTGTATAACATAACTTGGCTCGTAACATTAGTGAAATAATTATCTGTACGGTTATTGTTGTTGCAGCTGAAGTTTATATTAATCTGAATAAGGAGAGTGAAGCTACAGCCTGTGTCAAGGAAGCAAACTTGCTTTTTCCCCATTCTCCGGACGTTCTATTTCAGGTAGGCTGGAAAACAGGAATAATTTGGGACGCTAGAATTAGGCATTCCTCTGAATCAATGCATGAAGTTCTTGAAAACATATTTTGAGAATATTTTTAGTTTATTCATATACAAGCTCATCATGTGCAAACAATCTTTATCGTTTAATATTTCAATACGTATAAACTTTTAATTTTTTAGCGAGGATTTATTTTTGAACGACTAGAAAACTTTGAGCAGGCTAAAAAATTTTATGAAAACGCAGTTGCTGTCAATCCTCAACATACAAGTGCTTTGCAACATTTGGTAAGTACACGCCAATTTAGATCAGCAACGAGGTACTTGTTCCTTGCTAGGCCAGAAACACTTGCAGTCTGATACACGCGGGATAATATGAAACTGGACTCTTCTAGGTTACCCTACCTAGGCTTTGGTGAATGCATAGTTGATATTTTAAAGACTTGAGTAAACATACTGTACAATACAATGTCTTTATATGTCTTTTTTTATTATCGTTTTCTTCTAGGGAATTGTCTACCACAGAGAGAACAACTTGATAATGAGTGAAAAATCACTACGTGAAGCTATTAATATTGACCCGACTTTGCATATGTCCTGGTGAGTTCTCAAGCGAGTTGTGCCTGTGTTAAAGTGACTCAAAGAATTGCTTTATTATATTTCTTCAAGAGAACAATATCTCTAAGGTTCGTGTCGCTTGTTTAGGCATCATTTGGGTGTAGTTTTACAAGAGCAGAATCAGCATGAATCTGCAAGCGAGTGTCTGTTGTCAGCGGTTGACCTGGAAGCAACGTCTCCCATTCTACCATTCACGACTTTACCAAGACTTCTGTAACGTTGATCTGGTGATCTCATTGTATGAATCTACGACCTGGTCATCTCGTCATTATAAATCATGTATAACATGATCTAATCCCTAGCTTCTTATCATTATGATCTGATCAGCCCTAGATTATGATCTGATCATCTGATGATTATGATCATATCATCCAATGATTATGACCTGATCATCTGATCATTATGATCTGGTCTCTCTAGTGATTAAGATCCTACAGCTTGGTTATTCCATGACGCAATGATCTATAGCAATGATCTTATATGAACACGATGGTAGTAAAGACCATAAGAAATTACTAAACTTGTAAATAATATATTATGCTTCTTCGTGTTTCTCGATATGAATAAGACAATTTAAATGGAAACGAGAGAGAGTATAAGATATTGATGAAGTCAGGTGTCTGTTGTAAAGTAAGATGAGTTTTGCGAGGTTATGTGAGGTTAGAATTCAACACATTTCAAAACATTACGAGCAAATCTTCCATGAGTTAACCTTGGCGAATATCAAGTAGTAACAGTGTCTCATTGAGCAAGATTAGGCTTTCCAATGACAAATAACCGTCGAAAAAGTCGTTATTAAATATACCAGAATATGGTGTCTCTGTCCAGTTTCATATTGCGGTCAATGACACGTTAAATATTTAAAATTGTATTTTCACTTTTTTTTTTACGATGAAACAACAAAAATATATTTATATTTAAAGATGTTCAAGGTACTAATGGGGGCCGATCGTTATTTTTATTTTACACGGTGAAAGCTGGATTATATTTCTTTTAATTTTTACTACGTTGCTGCTTCAGAAGGCCGTTGAATGTGTGTTTAATCAAAAGAGATCGCAATACTCACGGCTAGAAGTAGCGTATTTTATACATGCATCCAATGTTGTTTTGGTTGTAAAAATTGATAAATGATGGCATTGGAACTAACAAGTTGGTTCATAAACAAGTTTTAACTCTTCGAGTATTTGATATACGCATTTATCATCAAACTCTTTGACGATGGCAAGTTTAGATGAGTGTGAAAACTTAGATAGTATCGTCTCGTCGTGGGAACGTCCTCAAGTGGGACAGCACGGTGAAAGACAGCATGAAAATAAGCAAGATGATGAAAGATTGGAAAAGGTGAAATCAAGGTTAGTTATAAACCATTGATAATACACTGCTGATCATTCAATCAGATGCTCCTTGATTCCCACTTAGGTAGCATTTCTACAATGTGTTGAATTAATGATGGAGAACCAATACTTGTATCAGCAAGGACTGTGATCACCATTAGTTGTTCATAAATAGCTTTCTTTACTTTGCCTTATCTCATATTAGCTCCTCAATTATCCGGCATGGTGAGACAAAACGAAAGAAGTCTCTGGTGAATTTCACTGTTCAAAATATTTTCTGGGGGCTACCCCTTGAGGAGAGAACCATTGGAGGTAGGTAGTAAATCACCTTGTCATGGTTACATGCAACAGATTTGAGTATCTACACCCTATATTAGGTGGCGGTAGCCTTTATTTAGGAGGGAATGAGGGATGATAGAATACTCATCCACCTTTGAGACCTTAGCCTGTTTTATTGAAGTTGCAATTATTGTATAATTAAATATCTGTAACTGTGCTACATGATATTGTGTGTCATGTACATACCATTGACTCTAGGATGATTTACCACCTGAATGACCCTACATTTTTTTATTTATTTAGCAAAATTTCATCTGAGTTACAAGTTTGTAAAGACAGAATGCAAAATTGTGAGAAATATTTTGCATCAACATTGCTTCCAGGAGGTATATATATACTTGAATATAATTTAAATTTCTTGTACAGAGCTGCAATACAAGCAACTATAATCCTCTCTCTAAGGTGCATCAAAATAGTTCAGATTTCAACCTAATGTGGACAGGTTCACATCTTAAGCCTCACACACTACATGGACTACGGGAATTCCAGAAAGTGAATCACTTTCCCAGGTATATAAATGTCTATATATCTATCCCTGCTGTATATTAAGCTATTACCCTGGGCTATTACCAGGTTTGGTTATTGTCGGTAGAACAGAGACGTGCAGCTTTCATGGCTGTTCTGTTTCAAGTCTGAAATTTTGTATATGATAATATATTGCAATTTATAATCGTATATCCTATTTCCAGATCATATGAATTGACGCGGAAGGATAGGCTGTATCAAAACATCCAAAAGATGCAAAGCAGCAAGGTATTAGATCATTCAATATATATCATCAAAAAACATCATCTAAATGTATGCTTAGTCATGTACATGGATAACCCTATATTGCTCCAAGATTATACCTAGATGACCTCTGTTGCTCCAAGATTGTGGTTTTTAGAAGCAAGGAGTAGATGAATGAAATAAAATCCAATCCTTAACAATTTTCTATAATTTTCCAGGGATTCAGACACTTTGATTTCATTCCTGAAGCATATGTCAGCCCTGGGGAGTACAACCAGTTCTGTGGTAATATTTCTGTCTTGTAGTGTCTTAACACATATGTGTGCTAACAAAGTTTCTTGTTGTATATTGAAAAACAGAACTAATTTATTTGCAGCATCTTTTGCAAAACAAAGAGGTCTGTGGATTGTGAAGCCAGTTGCTTCCTCGCGAGGTCGTGGCATATTTCTCATTAACCATGTATGTACTGGGCTGTATTTAACAAAAATAGATCATTTTACTTATTCTGTGTTTAATTCACAGCACATGCCACGCTGGGATATATTTGATATATTATTCTATGGAGAACCAGAGCTCAGCATCTTATGTCTGTGTTTCATGCTAATTATGATCTTTCAAAACATTTACAGCCAAGTCAAATTCCTCTGGATGATACTTTGTTGGTTTCAAAATATATCTCAAATCCGTTGCTTGTTGATGGTAGGTGAAGTTTTTGAAATAGATTTTTGATGAAGATTATAACAAACTTGGGCTGCCCTATTGGTCAGATGAATTTTATATATATATCTCTGAATGTTAATTTCTTTTCTCCGAAGGCTTCAAGTTTGACCTGCGTTTATATATTGGTGTGACCTCGTTCGATCCTTTAAGAATCTACCTCTACGAAGAAGGCTTAACCAGGTAGAATAAAGCATTTCAGTGTGATAAAGCATTTCAATGATCTGTGTTATGTTAAAAGTCATTGATCTTGTTTTTTCCAGGTTTGCGACAGTGAAATACGATAAGAGTAATCGTAACATCAAAAATTCATGCATGCATTTGACAAACTACAGTGTGAACAAAAAGAATGATGATTATGTTAGGTAAGAATACTTCGGTGCCGATATGTGAGCTCAATTAATATGTGCAGTCCTGAATAATCCTTGATTAACAAAGCTTCCTTTCAAACACCAAATCTACGTTCAGTTGCAGCGATCCTGAAGTGGAAGATTACGGTAACAAATGGAGTTTTGGAGCTTTATTGAGATTTCTGAAAGCTAAAGGCATTGATACATCAAGTGAGTTCTAGGAATATCTTTCCAATTCTTTTAACAACTTTTGTTAGAAATATGCGCACACTATAATGTTTACTTTGGTTGTTTTTAGATCTTGTTTCAAAGATTGAAGATTTGATCATAAAGACAATGATTAGTGGTGAAATAGCCATTGCAACAGCCTGTAAAATGTTTGTGCCCCATCATGGGAATTGCTTTGGTGAGTAAACATATGATTTTTGTCAATTCAAAAAATAACGTATGTACTTTATGTGACTTTTAGTTTAGCTTTCTGCAAACGTTGCCACTGCATGATCAGCACAAATATTTTGTTCTCTTCAGAAATCTATGGCTTTGATGTCCTGATTGATGATAATTTGAAACCCTGGTTGATGGAAGTCAATCTGTCACCTTCAATGGCATGGTACTGTGTACTTCAAGCTGTGTGCTTTGCAATTTTTTAGTTCAGTATGCGTGATTACTAAACGTTCACTTGTTCATTGCAAAACCTCTTTATCATAACTTGCAATTATATATTATCCCCGTTGACTAAACGATAACTATTTGTCTTTTATAGTGATTCGCCGATGGATTTGAAAATTAAATCTAATCTTTTGACGGATATGTTCAATTTAACAGGTGCAGTTGCAACCGTCTAGCCGAAGCAGCTTTTGACGTGCAAAAGTGCAAAATGTGGCAGAAAATTGTGTAGAATGTCCTGTTGTTATGTCGGTTGTATGCTGTGGTTTTTAGCTTTTAGCCGTTGTATTTATCGCGAGGGAATTTCTTGTTGTTTTTCTAGGCATCCTTGCTCATGACCCGTTATTGAAGAGGGTTCCCAACAGACAGAATGTTGGAACTCATGGTCGAAACCAATTCCAGGTAGCTACTGTACCAGTTTTAATTCTAATGTACTGTAGCTGTGAGTCAATATTGAAAGAGCTCCATTTAATCGTATTCTAAACAGGAACCACCGAGTATTTTCATAAAATATGGAAAAACAGAAACTCCTTAAAAAGTAAACATTTTATGTTATAAACGTGACTCTAGTTTAGTCGAAATGTGAAATTTAATCTTGCAAAATGATTACTTTTAAAAGAGTGTTTATTGCGTAGCTATGTTCTTCTATCTTTTAAACAGTTTTATTTTGAGAGTTTAAAGGCCCTGTTACAAGGTGCAATTTTTCTTGCAACTTGCAACGCAATTCTACTTTTGAGAGATGTATATTTGGGAACAACGAAACTTTTGTGTTTATTGCACTTCATGCGCTCTTCTTCTGCAAGACTCTTTACTAATTTACATCTCTTAGAAGTAGAATTGCATTGCAAGTTTCAAGAAAACTTGCACCGTGTAACATGGCCTTAAGTCACGACAAACCAGTACAATAATGTTCAATGGCCTATTAGTTTTTCACGAAGTTTGCAAGTCAGTTGCAAAGCTCAAAACTTGGGAAGCTGTGTTTGTGAACAACGCCTGTATGAAGCGATGTTTTTGTGAAATTGACGGTGTTGATTTCTTATTGTAGAGACAGAGATGTCAGTCAGCTGGTTTGATATCAACCCGTGCTCTATCGAGCAGTTCTAGTAATTTATCAAACAGCAAAAACAAACAGATTATACAGAACAGCGAACGTGGTCTAACCACGGAGGAACTGCGTGTCATCAGAGAGACGAAAGAAGAGTACAAGAGACGCGGCCATTTTGTGCGGATATTTCCCTCACCGACATCACGAGAGTGCTACGGGTGGGTAACTGTTTCCTGTGTGGTCAGATTGTATTAAAATTTGGACATTTTCGATGTTGGTGGTAATGAAGTTCCATGGCTTCCCTTGGCAAATGTAGTTTTAAAACTTACACACGTAATTCAATATTTAAAGCTCGTATCTGGAGTACAGAACAACGAATAATAGAATGCTGTTTGCAAGACTCTTTCTTGACAAGTAAGACTTGGTTATCTATGATGTGGTATGTTATGGTACAGTATGGTGTGGTGTGGTGTGGTGTGGTGTGGTGTGGTGTGGTGTGGTGTGGTGTGGTGTGGTGTGGTGTGGTGTGGTGTGGTGTGGTATGGTATGGTATGGTATGGTATGGTATGGTATGTATGGTGGTTGGTGGGTGGTGTGGTGTGGTGTGGTGTGTGTGTGTGGTGTGGTGTGTGTGTGTGTGGTGTGGTGGGTGGTATGGTGTGGTGGTGTGGTATGGTGTAGTGTGGTGTGGTGGGGTATGGCATGGTAATGGTAATGGTAATGGTAATGGTAATGGTAATGGTAATGGTATGGTATGGTATGATATTCTAAAATACAGTATTATATTCACAGGTCTACACCAACCATCACGTACGATGAGAACAATGTCCCAATCGTGGCAAGTCTGTATACCCACGGTCAAACACTAAATGAACGAATGATCTGTTACGAACGTCAGTTACCTTCATTGGTTAGTAAAAACTGTTCATTTGAGGACGTTAATGATTACTATACACTCAAATAGAGATGTCGTTCATTTCTTAGGAGACAACTCGACAGCAACCACAGGTTTTAAAGCGATCGGAAAGTGTCGTCAATGCCGATGATAAATGTAAGTAAACGAGCCGGAGAGTGCATGCCACCAGATTCTTCAGATTAACTTCATGAAAATTTGGCAACAACTGCCTGTGAGCTAGATTTCAAAGGAAACTTCAAGGAAACGATACAACAGTACAGTAACTCGTCCTAACTTTTTGTTTAGTCTCCCACCATAAAGAATCGTTAGCCCAAGGTGAATTAGAAGACCGTCACACGGAAGTTGTGTTTACAAATGAAAAGGGGAGCTTTCCAATCGCCCAGGATGCTGATGTCACCAATCATAGAATTGTTCACATGGATGAAGTTATCAACTTGGCGGGAAATTTGAAGTAAGATAATTATTTCGTTTTATTTGTGTTCTTATAGGATATATCCTGAAAGAAATGCACGGAACTTTCCTGTTTGCTGTATTTTTATGCAAAGGATGCAAAGTAAAAACTGTCATATTTCTTATTTCAGCAAACTGCAAGCTCGCAAAGCTTTCGCTATGTATTTACGTCGAGTCAAGGAAAGATTGTTGGTGGAAGTGAGGTGAGAATCAAGCGATACGGAATTACATTGGTTAAAACCAGTCTCGGGTTGCATTTTTCGAGAGTAAAGCTCAAATTAAGCCACTCGGTTTTGGCAGAAAATCTTTGATAAATCTTTATAAATTCTGTTCATGAATTTTCATTCTGTGAAACTGATTTACAAAGTTTGAATGGCTGAAAGTATTTCTTTTTCGACTAGTTCTGCGTGTGAAGACTCTGACGATGATGAAGACAAGGACAAACAAGACGATCAAATGGTAAAAGAGAAATTGTAGCTTAAAACTAGTTTTCATCATGTAGTAACACTGGATCAATAAGAGATGATCCTAACTGGACCTCTAGGAAGAACAGTTTAGAACTGATAGAGCTATCCAGTATAAATAAAGTTAGTTTAGTTTAGGTTTCCTCCTGTAGTAACACTGGATCAATAAGAGATGATCCTTACTGGACCTCTAGGAAGAACAGTTTAGAACTGATAGAGCTATCCAGTATAAATAAAGTTAGTTAAGTTTAGGTTTCCTCCTGTAGTAACACTGGATCAATAAGAGATGATCCTTACTGGACCTCTAGGAAGAACAGTTTAGAACTGATAGAACTATCCAGTATAAATAAAGTTAGTTTAGTTTAGGTTTCCTCCTGTAGTAACACTGGATCGATAAAAGATGATCCTTTCTGGACCTCTAGGAAGAACAGTTTAGAACTGATAGAACTATCCAGTATAAATAAAGTTAGTTTAGTTTAGGTTTCCTCCTGTAGTAACACTGGATCGATAAAAGATGATCCTTTCTGGACTTCTAGGAAGAGTCTTCGTTAATCTCGTTATAATCCATCGTTACCATCATCAATTGTTGTAGAATTTGGTGATCCGGTTCTTAAAACGAGCGGCTAAAAATCTTCGTCAGGAGTTCAAAGTTATTATCCCAAGTCATAAACTACCACAGCACGACAGGTGAGCTCAGAACATATGCATGTTTTGAAATAAATCGTAATTTTGTTGTCAGTTTTAATGATCCGGTTATATATTAATCTTTCTTATACCTTAAATTAAAAAACGATTTGTAATTATTTGACACCCAATGTGGTATAACAACTGCCTATAAAATAGACAAAAAAACACTTCTCGACGTTTCAACCTAAAGCCTTCCTCAGGAGATTTCATGTTGAATATATCACGCTATAATTCATACACAATGTTTTTGTCTATTTTGGGCAGTTGTTACACCACATTTAATGCGATTCAAGTTGTTCTTATATTTGATCTGCAATTTTCATTAATTTTCATGACCTAAAACTAAACTAAACTAAAAACACGAAGCCCTCAATGAAAAGAAATATAGGTAATTGTGTTCGCTGTGTAATTAAAAAAAACTAATATACTTGAAAGCCGACAAACGGAACTAATATGTGCGTGGCATCTGCATGTTATAAATTAAAGGAGGGAAATAAAACTTTTTGTATTCAGCCTTTGGCGTTTATGAAAGAAGGATGGCGTCTCTTGTAAGTCGAGTCGTGTTTCTGACACTGCTCGTTTTCAAAACAACTTCAGTATCAACTGATCCACCAGCAAGCGACAGAAAACCCAGTGAATACAATTTCAGGAGACAAACGTCTGTTTCTACCGCGAAGAATGAAAGTCATCAATCCGAAGAACTACAAAAACGTAATTTGACCGAAGAGTGTGCGAATCGTTCTTGCATAGGACGCGTTAAAACGATTTACCCAACCACAGACTCGCCACCCGCTTGCTATTGCGATGAACTCTGTCAAGCTATGAAAGATTGTTGCTACGATTATGTTCCATTGAACAGAAGCAGTGAGTTGTCGCTTTCTGAATTCAATTCGACATGGTCCTGCCTGAAATTTGGTACTGTAGAGGTATGGATGATAGTCAACTGCACAGAATCCTGGACGGATGCGGTGATTCTCTCGAAATGCATCAACGTTCCGCGAACGCTCAATTCCTCAACATATGCGGAGTTTATTCCCGTGGTGGGAGCTGACAATCTGACGTATCGAAACCAGTATTGTGCCATATGTAACTATCAGAATAACTTTGATCATTGGAGTCTGAAAATCGACGTTTATCCGGCTGGCGTTAGCGATTTTAGCGAGCTAATGGACTTCCTAGTTAACTATTACGGTGCGAAAATGAACAATCTTCCTATTCCAAAGGAAAAACTACATCCTCGGAGGTACTGTCTCAAGTCTGCGTCTACTTGCGGAGCTAGTCACAATGATACTGTGGTCAAAAAATGCCTGTACGGCAAGGTTGGTATCGTATACAAAGGAATCCTACCCTATAAAAACAAGGATTGTGCAATTTGTAATGATATCACACTGGACAAAATATCTTGCGGTCCAAGAATCTCTCCTAACCGGAGTCGTGAGGGGCCGCCAGTCTTAGCAAGTTACGATTTCTTTGTCAATATTGATTTCAGAAACTCCCAAAAGACAAGGTTCGTTTTCTCGGAAAATTGCGCAGATATATTCGATAGTCATCTGAAAAAGTGCGTTACTCACAAGGAGCTTGTTTCTCTTGAGAAATCCCCGCTGGATAAATACAGAATTGCCCTTTGGGTGAAGTCAGCAAAAGATCTGCCACATAGGAATCGCACTGCAGTAATTGCACAGTTTTTAAACGACGTCTCAGAGTCAAATATACAAAATCCAAGGCGAGAGTTTCTTAGCAGCGAAGGTGGTTACACTTATATTTTGATATTTGACGTGGAACTTACATTCGTTCAAAGTGGTGAATCATCCAGAAATGACACAAGTGATGCAGATGTTGCTTCGGGAACCTATTCGATTAGGAAATTCATCCAGACCTTTTCCAAGCCGTTCAGCGTTCTGTTTGGTACTCAATACATTACAGTTTTCAAGAGCACGTATCGTAGACTGGCGTGTTTTGGTCTCAAAACTTACAACGTTTCCGAATACGTCAAAATGCGGGACCAGATATTCGTGAATAGCACCGGAAAGTATTATTCGTCAGACGAATATTTTGAAAGCGGTGAAAAGAATGGAAGTATTCAAATCTGTGAGCAACAGTTGCCAGGTGAATGCGACGGTCGTTATATTAAATACAATAGGAGTGAATTTAAGGTGGCACAAGATAGTTTATCGCTATTTCATAAAGAGACAAATGATTTGTATCGTTTTAACGAATACACCGTCCAAGGGGACACTGTGTTTATCTGTCATGAAGTATCCTCGCTTATCACTGGTGACAATATTCGCGGCCTCATTACCATCATCTCATGTACTCTATCAGTGGTTGGTCTGGTGTGTGTGCTCATTACGTACTCCTTATTCTCCTTGCTAAGGACACCCCCCGGGAAGAATATCATAAACTTAGCTCTGGCTTTGTTAATATGCAATGTTCTATGGTTGATACGGGGGTGGACGGCAAATCCGCGTCTGCTGTGCATCGTAATGACCTTCCTCCGACCGTACTTCATATTAGTTTCACTGACGAGCATGGGCAAAATTGCGCATGACACCATGGGGTTGTTCACTGACCCTATAAGGCATCAACGCAGGAACACATCACGTCCTATAATATTTCTCCTAGTCTGGTTCATACCAGTACTTCATGTTACCACATGCCTTACACTCTGGTATTACGGCATACTAACAGTTAGCCATCAGGAATGCTTGATAACCGGAGCATATAACTACATTGTCATTTTTGTACCTGCGTGTATCTCAATGTTCTACAATATAGTTTGCCTTGCACGAAGTATCTCGGCGATGCGTAAACTGGAACAAAACGGCAAAATGTTGCGGGCTCAAAAACAAGAGAAAGGCTCGCTGTTTGTGTACATTAAATTATCCACCCTCCTCGGGTTAGGATGGACTTCCTCTTTCATCGCCGTAATTTTCCCTGAATTTTCCTACGTGTTCATTTTCCTCACGTTGTCTCAGGGATTGTATATATTTCTTGCTTTCGTTTGTAATAAGAACGTTTTAGTCTTGTATCAAAAACTGTTGAAAGGACAGTCGAGCTCTCGTCAGACAAGCATGCGCGAATCAGCAATAAACGGGTCTTTTAAAATGGAGTGATTATAAACTGATCTTTTAAAATGGAGTGATTATAAACTGATCTTTTAAAATGGAGTGATTATAAACTGATCTTTTAAAATGGAGTGATTATAAACTGTGCATAAACCTGTAGCTTGTATGATAATGTAATTAGATATCTTTCCTAGAAACAGAGATTTTTGTTGTTTTACTTTTCAAATATATGTTCATTGCTGTCTTGGATTATGAAGGGACATCTGGTTGTGTGAAAACATAGTTTAGGTTTACTCTAGTTTTGCCAAATATACACCAACAACAGACCGACATTTCTGAGTCAGTGTTTTTGGAACTACGCACACAAGACCAGTTAACCAAAATTCAACGAAGCCTGAGATGATTTTGAGTTTTGAGGTATTAAAAAAAGTCTTCATGACACCAAAAAAGCAAATGATATTGTCTATAATGACTACGCCACTGCCGGGATCATGTCATTTACTCATTTCAATACCTCAAAATCATTTCATTCTTTATTAAATCTCGGCTAATCGGGATTGTGTAAACACAGCCTGTTATACAACCAGCCTCATTGCATCCATGCAATTCTTTCTCTTCAGGCGACGAATGTTGGCACAGCAACTGGGAGACTTCGTTCATATTTATGACAAGGTATATTGCATTATGGCTACCATTCTTACGTCTGTGTTTATGCATGGAAGTTATATCTCTGTCTTGATGTCACAGGAAACAGCTCAAATGAAAAATACTCCAGAAATCAGCGACACTGATACAATTTCTGATGAGGATTTCAAAACATTTTTGAACTTAGCGAGGTAGGTTCCCTCCAAGAGTCTTTTCCCGTCTCGAAAACACTTCGCAATTAAATTTGAAAGAGTTCTTGTTTCCTTGTCGTTTTAATATTATGTTTTGTTTTGCTTTCATCAGCGAGAACGACTTGGAGGAACTATTGACTCGTTACACCAGGCTAAGTAATAATGCCAGCATATTTCTTGGAAGCTCACCAAGCCAGCCAGCTAGCAGCCAATGGAAAGCGACTAAACCACCTTTACAACGTCAAACTGAAACGAGGAAACATTTGAGAAGGTACAGTAAATAAGTTCAGATTTCCTCCTGTAGTAAGACTGGATCAATAAGAGATGATCCTTACTGGACCTCTAGGAAGAACAGTTTGGAACTGATAGAGCTATCCAGTATAAATAAAGTTAGTTTAGTTTAGGTTTCCTCCTGTAGTAACACTGGATCAATAAGAGGTGATCCTTACTGGACCTCTAGGAAGAACAGTTTGGAACTGATAGAGCTATCCAGTATAAATAAACTTAGTTTAGTTTAGGTTTCCTCCTGTAGTAACACTGGATCAATAAGAGATGATCCTTACTGGACCTCTAGGAAGAACAGTTTAGAACTGATAGAGCTATCCAGTATAAATAAAGTTAGTTTAGTTTAGGTTTCCTCCTGTAGTAACACTGGATCAATAAGAGATGATCCTTACTGGATCTCTAGGAAGAACAGTCTAGAACTGACAGACTTCTATCTTTGAAGTAGCTCTGTTAAATATGCTTATCAGTTCATTTGTTGATTCCAGTCACAGTGCTCACGCACTCTCAACCCAGGATGATGGAAACAAACGCAAAGCAGAGCAGTCCAGGACACAATCAGCGATATCAGATCAGAACCGAAGACTGGCTGGTGCAATTGCTGCTTATGGAAAATCGTTGGACGTAAATAAGACACGAAAGCGTCCCGCTTCTGCCAATGTTTCCACTGAACGAAGTACGCATCTTTAGTTAATGGCAGCGTTTGTTGATTTCTTCACCTCGTCTAGGGTCGTCTAGGGTCTTCCCCAGACCTGGGCGGAGGGATTGTATATTCATCTTTACCGCTTTTGAAAAGATCTTTTGATAGTTTCTGCTTTAGCAATTGCGGCACGGTTCGTCTCCGAGAACCTTTGATTCATCATGTAGTGACAATGACAAAGATTGCTCCTGGAATCCTGAATGCTAGATGTTGATCAACAGCATTCTGAGCTGTCAGACTATCTTCAATAAAAGATATTTATGTTTATCTTTAGAGCGGATGTCCAGTGCTTCCTTCAATCGTCCCATATCAGCCAAGAATACCGGAGCTGTTGCCCATGGTAAGCCATGATACTCTCTACCTTGAAGGGAAAGAAACTCCATTGACTTTCCTAATTCATTATCTGCAAGCATTGTATGTTGTATTTTCTCGTTGCCAGAGAGAATAGCTAGAGAGAAGTCTGTTTCTGAGGCTTTGAAGCAACTGGCAAAACGACGAGCAATTCGTCAGTACAGCGCCCGACCCCCGGTGAAAATTGAAACCAACAAGTGGATGCATCCCGTCGAAAATACGGATAATTCTGCTGATAGTAGCGACAATCTGATGATTAATAGGGTACCTTCAAGTACAGATAGGGTCCCTATGAGGACAAGTAAGGTCGCTGCTAGACCTATACGTACATCAGTTGATAACAGCGAAGATGGATGGATGGTTAATGAAGGCTATATAGGTATAAATCTTGATGATGATAAAGTGACTGGTTGGACAAGTGATGTACACAAGGGTACACAAGGTGATAGAAGAACTGCCAATGCCGACCGGGGGTTTTTCACTTCAGCTCACAACGAACTCCAAGTCAGTTCAAAGCCAACACATTCCAGGGAAATCGTAGAGACTAAACGTTCCGAGGAAAAACTCCAGGAGACCTATTCGGATAACAGGGGACATCCTATGGATAAACAAGGTTCTTCTGTGAAGAAAAATATTCCCTCCAGGGTGATAAGGATCCCCTGTGGTGACGAGGATACAGATGTTGCCAAAACAGGTGACACTATGGATAAATTAGGATCGGCAAGAGAGGACTACAACAAACACATGCAAATGTTGATTGAAAGACTGGCGGCTCATAAGTTCAGCAAACCAAATATGGAGGCAGTCATTCCCAAGCCTCCAGCCAGACCGCGGTCTGCAAAACGACCAGTCAGTGCTCAGCGAATGTCAAGGTAATTTCATACTTACAAATTCCTATAAACTGCATATTAATCATCTCTGGTTATTTTTAAACAATATTCAGTCTTCACTCACTTTCACTAGAATTACTCTCCCCGCCAGTTTGACTGTACTTCTGTTTGATTCACTCCCCCCAGTTTGACTGTACTTCTGTTAAATTCACTCCCCCCAGTTTGACTGTACTTCTGTTTGATTCACTCCCCCAGTTTGACTGTACTTTCACTCCCCCCAGTTTGACTGTACTTCTGTTTGATTCACTCCCCCCAGTTTGACTGTACTTTCACTCCCCCCAGTTTGACTGTACTTCTGTTTGATTCACTCCCCCCCAGTTTGACTGTACTTCTGTTTCACGTTCTTCACGCACTCGATTTTGAATTTTTTGTAGAATAACAACAAGTCATGGCAGTTTGATCTAGTTAAGGATAAAAATAGAGTTGCTTCACGAATGGTCGCTAGAGATAATTTGCAAGAGCCTCATCAAATACTTTTGTTCACGAGACGTTTTTGTAGAATAGATAATATACGCTATAAAAGGGAGCCCACGATAAACCGAGAAAGGGTTTTTATATATTTTATTGTAAATTTAGCAGTATTTATAGAATTATAGATTACAAATACACATTATTAAAACGCCTGTTACGAAGGTCATGATGTATTCATGGTACTTGCTTGATTATGATTTAACATTACAATATCACTGCGTCACGATCCAGTGATATGCTGTTCCATTCCATTGTTTTCATTGTTTTAAATCTCAAATCAATGCTCCCCGTGTCATTAAATCACTCGTTTTTCGACTTTAAGCATATGCATGCCTATTGCCTAAACATTTATTCAAATTTTCAAGTTCAGTGTTGTTCATTGTGCAAGAAAGTTTGAACTTTAAACAAAAGTTGTTGTCAATATTTTACACAAGGAATCCAGAATACCTCTTCGCCTTTCTATCCAGGCTTGATCATCCTTTGAAAGCAATTTCGTGAACTATACCGTGGCGATTTTAATCGAAGGTTAGTTCGTTTAGCTTGCCTTGGCTTGTGCTATAAGTTTCGCAATTTAGTGTAGGTTACTTTATGCTGCAGTAAGTTACTGTGGTAATAGCATGATCGTTTGACTATGAGTTAGTTTCTTACAACAATGATCTCAAACGTGATGATAAAGTGTAGGTAATATTCTACAATAAACTGTCGTGGTTTGTGTCTGAACTACCTGAGAAAGATATCTTAAACGTGTTGGTCCAGTGTAGGTAGTATTCTACAATAAGCTGTCATGGTTTGTGTCTGAACTACCTGAGAAAGATATCTCAAACGTGGTAGTCTAGTGTAGGTAGTATTCTACAATAAGCTGTCGTGGTTTGTGTCTGAACTACCTTATCTCAAACGGGTCTATAAATCTAGCGAGAATATAACATATCATGTCTTTCCACCTTTATTAGTTTCCGTTGCAAGATTAATAATCTGACTCTAGCGTTAAAACATTAATCACAAATGAAATATTTATAAATATTCTCTTTCGTTGTGCGAGACTGCTAGCCTGCAACGCAGACTATATATTGGGGTATATATAGTCTGCGTTGCAGGCTACGAGACTGCCTGACTCGAAAGAAATGCCGAAAGCCTTGGGCTCGCTTAGAAAAAAACAATCATCCTTGATTTCATTTTCCAAAATAATTATTTTTCTATCACGTGTTTGAGTAAAAGTTTATTGGAAAAATAATCCACTCTGTTTCAAATAAACTTTGTTCGCGAGACGATTTCAATTTTAATTAATGAGATCCATATTTCTCTCGTTTAATTAAACGTATTTTTATTAAAACCCTCGGCATGTGTGACACAGTGAATCAGTTGATTGTTTCGTTGAGTTTAAACGCGTCTGAAAAGTTTTTGAGGATGATGAAAGTCTTTCGTTGTTTAAGTCTGATATTAGTATTACTGTCTGTGTCAGCGGATTATGAAACATCAGAGGAGGAAACATCAGATGAGCCATCAGAGGAGAAAACATCAGATAAACCATCAGAGGAAAAAACATCAGATGAGCCATCAGAGGAGAAAACATCAGATGAGCCATCAGAAGAAAAAACATCAGATGAGGAAACATCAGATAGTAACACAGGAGGAAATGATACGTATCAAGTGATAGGGTCAAAAAATACAACGGACTACCTGTCTTGTCAGAATCGGCCTTGCACGAACCAATTCGCTTCTGCCGTGACCGCCACTTACTATTGTGATGCATATTGTAAATCATTACAAGACTGCTGCGATGATTATTCACAGGTTTGTAATAAAACAGACGCTCAGAGTAGCCTCAACTTAGCCTTGTCCTGTGTTAATATTGGTGAAAAATGTTACTGGATGAAAACAAACTGTTCAAAATCGTGGCAAAATCCTGAAGTTGCGTCACGATGTTTCCATGCGCCATTACGCCTCACCTCTTCATCGTACATGGATTATATTCCCGTGTTAGGCAGCAACAATATAACCTACAGGAACCAACATTGTGCACAATGCAACCATCAGAATCATTTCGAGTTCTGGCTTTTAAAAGCTCCGCTAGACTTCATTCCCGCACGTCAGTTTGAAAGCGTCGAAGATTTCATTGATTTTCTTGACGAAGCTGAAGGGGAAAGTGCGATCGAGAATATTGTTTCGCCTGATGAAGATATGCCTGGCAGATACTGTCATTTCCAGGAAAACGATGGAATAGAAAGAGTGCCCGACTTCTATCTTACCATAAATATCAAGCGTCAATCTCGTTTTGAAGGATACTCGTTTAATCACGAATGCCCCTCCAAAACGTACGACTACCACCTTAAGGTTTGCGTGATGGCAAATGACATAGTCCCCCCCGTTGACGCGCTCTTGGATACGTTCAGGGTTGCAGTTTGGCTCATCTCAGCAAACAGTGTCTCGTTAACCGACTTTCAAAAACGCTTGACAGACGTGGAACCAACCAATATTTTTAATGGTAAAACTGAAGATCTGCGCGCTACAAAGATACAATTGATAACATTCGATGTTAAATTAACTTTGAACCAAAGTATAGAGTTGTTAAAGAAGAACAATCCGAAAGTTGAGAAAAAATCTTCAAGTGGTTATTCTATTTTAAAGTTTTTAAAGCCATTCGATCGACCATTCACTTTTCTTCTTGGTACGAGCACCGTCAAAGTTATTAAAACCTCTTCGCGTCGTCTTGGCTGCATTGGGCTTCAAACATACAAATCATCTGAATATGCAGACATGGGAAATGGTATCGTATACGTGTTCAAAATGAAGCGAAATTACACCAGAGTTCAGTATTTCGTGGATGAATCTTCGCCTGGTCTGATAAAAGTTTGTGATCGACAACTGCCAAGCGATTGTGAAGGGCTGTACATCAAATACAAACGAAATGATTTCGAAGTACGAAATAATCTTTCATTGTACTATAAGCCTCAGGGAAAACTGTACAAGTTTGGTGAATATACATTAGATAATGATACAGTTTTTATTTGTCAAAAAGTACATGAAGATGATGGTAATGTTGTTCGAGAGTATCTCACATTCATCGGACTGTGTTTATCATTATTTTGTTTGGTCGTTGTTTTTGTAACTTATATAACATTCTCGAAACTTAGAACTGGACCAGGCAAAGATGTGATCAATTTGACCATTGGCCTGGTGCTGTTCATTGTGACGTGGTTTGTGAGCCACAGACTGGTCCAGCATCGTTCAGCTTGCATCATAACCGCATTCGCGATTCAATACTTCATGTTGCTCGTGCACGTGAGCATGGCGAAGATCGCGCATGATACCATGCGTATGTTCACTGACCCAATTGCTCATCAACGCAAGAGCACAGCTCATAAAATGAAATCCTTCTTCCTGCTGTGGTTAATTCCGATGGTTTATGTCGCAGTGTGTTTTACATTATATCATTTCAATGTTCTTGACGTACAGCATACACAAATGTGTTGGTTCTCAGGACAACACGTTTACATTATCGCGTATCTACCAGTCTGCATCGCAACGGCCTTCAATATACTCTGCTTTATTCGAAGTATCTACAAGATGCGTCACCTGGAACAAAGTGGTCAAATGCTACGGGCTCAAAAACAGAAAAAGAATTCAATGTTTATCTACATCAAGGTTGCAATCCTTCTTGGGTTAGGTTGGGCATCCAGTTTCATCGCTGTCCCTTTTGAAGAGTTCTCCTATGTCTTCATCGTTTTGACGACATTTCAAGGAGTCTACATTTTTCTTGCATTCATCTGTAAAAAGAATGTACTTCTCTTGTATAGGAAACTACTTTGTAAGATTACAACACCCAGCATGGAACAGCGCAGTTCAACTAATTAAGGTGTACATACATATGCTTATGAGTCGCGTTACTATTGCAGTTTAGTCTGTAGTTTGGAAAGCATTGTCAGTCGAAACAGAATGTGAGACAATCAATCTAGCACGGCTCTTCGAACTGTCATTATTCGTGTTGAATATGTACATCACGAATATCAATTTCATTCGAAGTAATCAATCTTTTTGCGAGCAATATAAAATGTCTAAATTCAACAACATTGTTACATTAAATACTATCAAATGTTATTAATTTTACACGGATAAGTTATTTGATGAAGTAAGGGAAATATTTTTTGGGAGATAAGCAGTTGGTTAATGGAAAAAACGAAGGTAAACGATCCGATTCAACACACTAATCAATATCTCGAGACCTTGGCTTGGCTTTGGTGGAAACTGTATCCAATGTTCATAGATAATTGACAGAGTTCGTCCTTCCTTCATGTATGGGATCAGTGAAATTATATTGGGAAAGTAATTCCCTTCACATTCAAATTAACTGGAGTTTAGATAATTGCAAACAACGACCTTATATTGAGTTGATGCGTTTTTAATTAAACTCTCAACAATTATATCTACGTTTTGTAAAGTGACGCGCGGTTCTGTAACGGTCAAATCTGTCGAGAAAAACAACGTTTAAAATAGCTTGCAACAGTTTTAATATCACAATTTCAGAATGAGATCAGGTATTTTTCATTGCTCTATAATTATGGCGGTTTTGATGACGACAGCCCAGCGAAGAATGTCGGATAAACCCGGAAGAAGACGACAAGAGTTGAATTCAACCGACCCCTGTGATGCCCTTGTTCAAACCAACATTCGTAGTAAAAAATCTTTGACAAGGCCAAGGCCAAGCCTTGAAAGATATACAAAGAAAAATGTTCAATTTTACCAAAATGCTACGTTAAATAACACAACTTGTCCACACCGTTCATTGTCTTGCGAGCAAAGGTCTTGCCTGGATCGCTCCACTTTCGTTGATGAATTCACTTGTTACTGTGATGGATATTGTGAATTCTTCCAGGATTGCTGCTACGATTATTCAAGCGCTTGTAGTAACAAAACAGAATCTCAAAAAAACTTCACCTTAGCCAAATTGGAGGATATGTTATCGGCGTGGTCTTGCGTTAGCATTGGTGTAAAAGTTTATTGGATGAAGACAAACTGTTCAAAGTGGTGGCACAATGCTAAGGTTGCTCAACGATGTCTCAATCTACCATTGCAGTTTAATTCTTCAACGTACATGGATTATATTCCCGTGTTAGGCAGCGACAATATAACCTACAGAAACCAACATTGTGCACAATGCAACCATCAAAATCATTTCGAGTTCTGGCTTTTAAAACTCTCGCTTGGAATCCTACCGTCAGACGATCGAAGCGTCGAAGATTTAATCGATATTGTCGTTGAATCCGGACGAGCTGCGAAGCCAGAGAACGATGTTGTGCCTGATGTGAATATGCCTTACAGATACTGTCCTAAAGTTACTTCAAATTGCATTTACAATTTAACATTTGAAAAGGTAAACGCTTGTTTAGAAGGTAAAGCGGAGCTTGTGCAATCAAACGATATCTATTCTGAAGTATATAAGAATAAGCACTGCGCATTTTGTAACGGGGTGGTCAATCCAGCCTGTGGATGGAGCGGTTATGGCAGGATAAACAATTTTAAAAAGATCTCTGACTTCTACATCACTATAAATATCAAACATGAATCTCATTCTGTAGGATACTCACTCAATTACGAATGCCGCTTCAAAACGTACGACCATCACCTTAAGGCTTGCGTGAAGGGGAGCGACATAGTCCCCCCCGTTGACGCACCCTTGGATATGTACAGGGTTGCACTCTGGTTCATCTCAACGTGTCCCATCTCCTTAACCGATGTTCAGAGCTTCCTGACCGACGTCGAACCATCGAATATTTTTGATGCCGGCAAAGCTACAACTCTACAAAAAAACATGCGTATGATCAAGTTCGATGTTAAATTGACACTGAATCAAAGTATAGATTTATTAACAACAAATAATCCTAGAGTCTACCAATTTTCTTCAAGGAGTTATTCTGTTTTAAGATTTATAAAACCATTCGTTCGACCGTTAACTGTTCATCTTGGTACGAGAACTGTCGAAATTACAAAAACCTCTTCGCGTCGTCTTGGCTGCATTGGGCTTCAAACATACAAATCATCTGAATATGCAGACATTGGAAATGGTGTGGTATACGTGTTCAAAATGAAACGAAATTACACCAGAGTTCAATATTTCGTGGATGAATCTTCGCCTGGTCTGATAAAAGTTTGTGATAGACAACTGCCAAGCGATTGTGAAGGGTTGTACATCAAATACAAACGAAATGATTTCGAAGTACGAAATAATCTTTCATTGTACTATAAGCCTCAGGGAAAACTGTACAAGTTTGGTGAATATACATTAGATAATGATACAGTTTTTATTTGTCAAAAAGTACATGAAGATGATGGTAATGTTGTTCGAGAGTATCTCACATTCATCGGACTGTGTTTGTCATTATTTTGTTTGATCGTTGTTTTTGTAACTTATATAACATTCTCGAAACTCAGAACTGGACCAGGCAAGGATGTGATCAATTTGACCATCGGCCTGGTGCTGTTCATTGTGATGTGGTTTGTGAGCCACAGACTGGTCCAGCATCGTTCAGCTTGCATCATAACCGCATTCGCGATTCAATACTTCATGTTGCTCGTGCACGTGAGCATGGCGAAGATCGCGCATGATACCATGCGTATGTTCACTGACCCAATTGCTCATCAACGCAAGAGCACAGCTCATAAAATGAAATCCTTCTTCCTGCTGTGGTTAACTCCGATGGTTTATGTCGCAGTGTGTTTTACATTATATCATTTCAATGTTCTTGACGTAAAGCATACACAAATGTGTTGGTTCTCAGGACAACACGTTTACATTATCGCGTATCTACCTGTTTGCATCGCAATGGCCTTCAATATACTCTGCTTTACTCGAAGTATTTACAAGATGCGTCGCCTGGAGCAAAGTGGTCAAATGCTACGGGCTCAAAAACAGAAAAAGAGTTCAATGTTTATCTACATCAAGGTTGCAATCCTTCTTGGGTTAGGTTGGGCATCCAGTTTCATCGCTGTCCCTTTTGAAGAGTTTTCCTATGTCTTCATCGTTTTGACGACATTTCAAGGAGTCTACATTTTTCTTGCATTCATCTGTAAAAAGAATGTACTTCTCTTGTATAGGAAACTACTCTGTCAGAAAAGAGAAACCCTCCGTTGCACTGTGCAGTGAAACTAAAGTATTATAATATTGGGCATCGCGTATGTAAGACCAGGGAAAAATAGGATTAACAAATACCCAACCATTGTACCTCACTACCTTATCTGTTACAAAAGTATCGTGGACTAGAATATACTGTGTACCACACACAACAGAAATTTTATTTTAATTCTGTATTCTTAAAAATAAACAAACGACCCTACATAGTAAACTAAAGAAGTCAAAATTTTATTTACATAACGTGTTCTGTTATTTCCTAAAATGTATGAGTAAACTTAGGTCGGCAAAGCTGCAAATGAGAGGTTTATTTACTGATACAAAACACTCCGTTGGAAAAACTTCTTGAATTTCCAATACAAGAATAGAATAATTTGCAACCGATGAGCCTATTCAACTCTTAGTCAGCGGGTTCCTCGGCTAATCGTGTCGTGTCGGGCAGTTTCAAATTCAGCATCGTCGTCCATGCGTGGTCATTAACCAAATATTTCAACTGTTGATTGATAACGTACAATAGCCAAAAACTGTATAGAATACTCAGTAACATATGATATAATAACTATAATTATAGAGAAACAGTTAATATATAATATCTTCATTTGAAAACAGCAGTTTAACATGCTAAACTGATTCAAGATTCCTAAATTTAAATTTTCACTATTGCCAAAGAACTGTTCTCTCAAATACCCTCCAAACGCCTTCCAAGGTTATTCTTTGTCCGACAAGTCAAACAGCAGACTTTCTGGTAGTATGGTTTTTCACAATATCCAGCGATCTTGCCCACCATCGTGCAGTCTATGAATTTACCCATGTCTCTGCAATTCCCGTTCATGAGATCGTTCAGTCGCGTCTGCTCGTCTGAAAATAAAATCAACATCGTTGATTGTTGAGCTAAAAATGTCAGTGCATAAGAATAGAGTTTAATTTCGGCTGGAAATGTTGCTATGAGATGCTTTGGTTGGGAATCAGAAAGTGATCTTTGGTGTGCCGCTCACTGGATCAAAAATCTTCAACTGGGTTAGGTTCCTCTCGTTATAAAGTCCGTAAAAGGTGAAAACTTTTTTAAAAGTAAAAATATGTCTTGTTCATTACCTGGCATTACATCAAGCATCATGTGCGCAATTCTCTCTCCATTCTTATTGGTCGCTTTGCAATCATAGTTCCCATGATCATCTAGGGTCGTCGATCTTATGTATATTTCCCGGGACGTGACAGTCATTCTTGAAGTTCTCTGTAAGCGCAGCGGTTGACTGTTTTTATACCACTGTACCGTAGGGCGTGGTCTTCCGCTGACCTTACATTGAATCCGAGCTGGTTCACCTTGCTTCACGGTAAAGCCCAATGTGATTTCAACGTGCGGCGGTGCTGGAAATATTGAATACAACTACTGTCAGTACTTATGTCATTGTAGCTAAACAAATTTAGGAATTTCATTCTAGATCGAATGTTATTTCAAAATTCAAACGAACACTGTAGGACGTTTAGGAACTGACATTTTGGGACTTGTAGAGTTGTAGTGGCTTCTCTAAAGTGTGAATAAAATCACTTACTTAAAACACTGAGGTAGGAAGGTTGTGAACGGCGTGATATAGCATTATTAGCCACACAAGTGTAACTGTCCTCGTCCACTTCCTGCACTTGAAGAATGCTTAGGGTTCCATCTGACCCAACTTGGAAACGCCTCCCAAATACAGACACGTCGAGATTGCCTTTGAGCCAAAAAATTTCTGGTTTCGGGTTGCCTGTGGCCACACACGGCATTGTGATGTCGCTTCCTACAACAGCCTCTAAAAACCATGTAAAAAAGGTTTTTAAAAACAACGAAATCCTCACAAAAATCTTCTGCTAAAGAGTTTGGATTGTGCCAACCATTCTGGTATCAAAAATTTCATTTCATTCGCCTATGGCAGCAAAATTCTCACCCATATTCTCTGGTCCGCGAATAATCTCTGCTGGTTTTGACATGCCATGTATACCATCATTATCATTATCGATATTATCCGTCCGTCTTGTTGGGAAAAGTGTGGTGGATAACCGTCCTGGTACCTTTCTGGTGGCTTGTGTTGGTTGCCTGGTAACCGGTGGGGCTTGGGTCGTCGTGACGATTTGGGTTCGTTGCGTTATAATTTGTGGTCTTGTGGCTCGTCTCGGGGTCTGAGGTCGTGGTGTGGAAGTTGGGTTAACCAATGGTCCCTGGGGTCTTCTTTTGGGGCGTGCTGTTTGAACTGGTAATGTTTGTGGTGTTGGAACTCTCGTTGGGTTAGATCCTACGAGATAATTCAGTCAGAGAAAGTTAAGTACACATTTCCTTGATTCTTCACTGCACTAGCCAACTCCTCTGGTTCCAAGTGGGCTAGTTGGCAAGTTCCTTGGCTATCAGTGGACTAATTTCACCATTTGAGGCATTACCCACCTCCAGGACAGTCGACGAGGTTGCAAACATCCTCGGCGGGAGGTTTGGTACCCAGATCACATGACTTTTCTGTTACATCCTCTTCGCTATCGGCGTAGCATTTCACATTACGTAACCTTTTTCCTCGACCACACGAAGATGAACACTAAGAGGGAAATCATTTTGAAATATTCACCTTGCCGTTACTGTGGAATTGTTTAAAGTCATATATGACACACTAAACCTATTTTGGAACTTACTGGTTGCCAGGACAACGCAATCCATTGCGTGTAACAGGGTTTAATGACACATTGTTGTATCTTTTTCATCTGTGGCAATCCACGACATCTTTCGTTTGAAAGAATAGTTAAAGTCTGTGGTTGACGCTTTACGCCACAGAAGACGTTCCTCATTTGAATGCCTTTGCCACAATTTGCAGTGCACTACAGAGAGAGAAAGAAAATTCTTTTCACGGGAGTCGTCGCAGAAACCAGTTAACTGGGGAACTCTACAGCGGTCAGATCGAATCAAATATTTGTGTTAGCATTGAAGAAACCAGAAGCTGAGCTTTCTGGAGAGATTGAATAACTAAAACATGATTTTAAACACTCCGCTTACCTTGCTCCACATTGATGCATACCACATTGCAGGACAATTCTCTGTGTTATTGCAAGGTTTCATGATACTTGGCTTGTTATCCTGGTTACAAATATAGTCGGGATACCTTCGGGCAGTTTGCGACGAGCTTGCGCAGTAAACTGGCCGAGTTCTCATCCCTTTACCGCAAGATGGACGACACTAGAAATAAGATTGACGTTCTCTTGATGATTTGCGACACAAAAACTATCGTTTTGTTTGCTTCATGATGATAAACAATCATAGATATGTATTGTCTCATGCTCAGCTTTTCCTAGCCGTGTTCTTCTAGTCAGTAATCATTCACTCACCTCTCCCCATTCCCCTGTGACCCAACGAACCGCACAAGGTGTTTCATTGCATTTCTCCTGGTTACGCGGTCTGTTGTGCTCTGGACATCTGTCGTCACTGATGAGGTTGTCGTTGATCTCCATACATTGAACTGAACGACTGCGAGTACCTCCGCCACATGACGCACTGCACTATTGAAAGAAAACGAAAATGATACGTGATCTCTGTACGATATAAATGGTTTTAAATAAGCAAAATCATCCCTAAAAGTACGTTTGAGAGAGCATATATTTCTCATGAAGGTAGTTCAGACACAAACTACGAAAGTTTATTGTAGAATACTACCTACACTAGATCACTACGTTTAAGATATCTTTCTCAGCTAGTTCAGACACAAACCACGACAGCTTATTGTAGAATACTACCTACACTAGACCACCACGTTTGAGATATCTTTCTCAGGTAGTTCAGATACAAAACACGACAGCTTATTGTAGAATACTACACACACTGGACCAACACGTTTAAGATATCTTTCTCAGATACTTCAGACACAAAATCATTGCAACCAATCTTACCTGCGACCATTCTCCAAGTTTCCATTTTGGACATTCAGGCAATTCAACGCATTTTCTTTGAGTAATAACTTTGACACCAGGACATAATTTTTCATTCACCATTTGTATCCCACTTGGCGTGTCTTTTTCACAGTGGACACGTCTGACCTGCGTTCCTCGCCCGCAACTGCGGCTACACGGCGACCATGCACCAACAAACCATCTTGAAGAAATTGAAAGATGGTTTATTAGAATTGCATTCCTACTGACTAAGCAACCGTTGTACTTGATGCTTTTCTTGTCCTATGTAACTATTGCGAGGCACTATAATTTGATCATCACTGCCACTAGCTGCTCCTTCGAGATAGCATGAACCAATCAAATGCGAGAAGTATATCGGATTAGCCAATCAGGAACGCAATACGTCAGCAAGAGGCAAGGGTAGTGTTATACCCTCCTTATAGCTCACTTATAACTAGAAACGACATAACTGAAAAGATATTTCCCGACTTTTGTGAATATATACGGCCTATAACTTGCCACAAAGCACTCTCAAATGCTCTGCCTTAACCTGTTTCCTCGTTCAATCCTAATGTTAATGCATTATCATTACAGGAACGAACATGTCACTGGAGAAAACTACCTTGGTGGACAATGATGAACGTTGCAAGCAGCTTCTTCGGCGGGTTTTTGATCTGCATTACATTTTTCATCGTCGATCTCAACAGCCGTGTCGCGATCCTGAACGCAATACACTTTGCGGGTTTTCGTGCCTGAACGTAAGTGAAAAAGTTTTGATTTTCCCACACATAAACTAACTAAAAGAGCCCGATAAAATAACCCGAGATGTCATCAAATTCTGTGCTGCCGTTAATGGAAAGTTGAACCTAGTTGCAGGTTAACTTGCAGTAAGGCTAGGTTTAACTATAAAGCTGCTCTCATTAGCTGGCGCTTGTTTTCTTTCAAAAGTTTAAACACAAAGGAAGCCTATTTATCCAGTTAAACGCTTATCGATTATAACATAAACAAACAGTATTTATTACCTCCATTACAACTCTTGTCACAAGGTCCATATTCATCGACCCTCCACGAGTATCTTATCATGCTGTCGACAACTTGCTGAGATTTCGGGACAGAATATTCATAACTAATGGAGACATCTTCGTTCCTCAGTAACAGCTGAAAGATTTTAATTGTATGTTAGGCATAACGCAAAATTGCAGGATCCGCATTAAGTAATCTCAGCTATGTTTACACCTCACCGCAAGATAGAGTGCTTCAGATGTTGGTCCTAAGACGTGAATGCTCTCCACTCCTTCGTTCTTCCGATAATCCACGGCGGTTCCCGCAGCTTTATATTTGTAAGGACCTCGAATTCGACGATTGCCGTTGAAAATGTACGCATCTTTGGTTTTCAAAGCTAGAAATGCAAATTACAGATGAACTGTGAAAAATATTAACACGGGTTTTTCATGGATTCGGACGACGTCCTTTTGACAAGGCCTAGGACCTACAGGTGGTCAAGGTCTAGGAGAAAACATCGGTTCTTGACTGTATTTGTGCTGGGAAATACATAACATAAACCTTCCTCTGTCCCTACCAAGATAGTTTCCAGAAGCGGTATCTTCGCTAATGAGAATATTTGTCGCCCCAGTCGGTATCTCCAAGATGTCCACATAAGCTAACAAGAAAAAACAAAAAAATAAACTTTGAAGTCGCCATGAAGAAATTTCTGATCGAAAATAATTTCACAGTAAAAGTCTGGCATATCTTTGCGATGAGAATTTCAATCCTTCATCCTACCTCCGAGCCCAGTTGTTCTCTTCTTGTAGATATTCTTGATCGTTCTACAGTTAATTCCTCTGCCATTGCAAACACGACACTTGTCTTCTTTTGCATCAGACCCAAGGATCAAGTCACAGCCTGCTTTCTTTGAGAAGAAAATACAAAGTTATTTTCACTGCCTCTTGGCTAGAATTCAGGTCTCGTTTAGGGGTTTTTCTTTCTGCAAAACACAGTTGTCGGCTTGTGCATTATTTCAGTAACGCGCTAGTTTTTTTCCTCAAATCAATAGAGTTGCTTAGAAAGACAGTTCATACGTAATTTTCAACCCAAAAGTTAATCAAAATGTGGGTCGTTCCTTGTTGGATTACTGGACCGGTTAGAGATGATATTTATCTCAATTGCAACGGAGAACAGTTTCGAAATGATTGACTCGTGCTGTACCAATAAAGTTTGAATAATTACCTTACAGACCCCATCAACACACATATCATAGGATCTATCATAACAACGTGTTCCATCAACGACTTTTTCTTTGAACGTGCTGAAGAAGAAGTGGTTTTTTGGCATGCAGGTCAGCGAACAAGGATCGGTAAAAGTGCCTGAAAATAAAAAAGATTACTTGAAGTCAATAAAATATCACAACAACGTTGTTGATCAAATGATTCAGTGGGGACTTAAAAGAAGCAAATATACAAGAAACTCGCTCATTGGATAATTCTGAGTCTGACAGTTCTGACAGAGCTAAGGAATGAACTAATCCGAACTTTATTAATTCTTTAAATGTTCTCAAAGTGACAGCCAGATAGCGTTTATCATTGCTTGTAAAGACCACTGAAGCACAACTGCACTATAATTGCTTAGTGGAATTGGAGTAAAGAAATGATTATTTCTGTAATCGTTACCTGAATAAGGAACCCATTCATATGTTTTATTTTCAAATGGAACAGAGTTATACTCAGCACATTGTTCCTTGCGAAAGTCACCATTGCCGTTCGGACAATCCTAGAGAATCAAAAAGCATCAACATTATCCATTATGATGTTTATCACAATATACTGTACTTTCCTGGGGCACGGTAAGAATGTGTTTAACCTTATCCTACCTGGATATTACATGACCTGTACGTTTTGCTCTCGCCAACACAATTCCTGAAAGAACCCAAGATAGTTTTAGAAGCTATTTTACAGCACTGCAAGGTGGATGGATGAGTAAATTATTTCTAGCGGTAGTCTGTGTGCAACGGAGCTTTAGTAGTGCCAGTCCAGGGAAGAACAGGCGTTCGTATTCATCCTATCTTGGTAAATGCAAAGCCATGCATGCGCAGATCTCGTTTATTTTTTTTATGTTTGAAACTTTCTCAAACACCCGTCGGGTCTCAAAGTGTCCACTAGGCAGGTTGTTTTTCCTCAGGCGTAAGGAAATAGGATTAACGTTTCGCGTCCAGTCGAATGATATCATGTTCTGGTGACGCTGTTGCTTGTACACGCAAAGACTACTCACCCTCCAATGCATGTGCGTTCTTGAGATGTAATACCCCCTCCACAAGAACGAGAACACGCTGACCACTTCCCCGACTCACTCCATTCGCTCTGACAAAGAGACGAACAAAATCTTGTTGGCTAAAAATAGTCTCAACTCTTTCAGTCTCTCAACTTGCTTGAAATTGAGTGGAAATACAATTTTCCTTCTAATTTTTGGGCTTCGCGTATTTGGTCAGACGGACTGTTTCTCGGTCAAAGATGTTATAAATGTAAAATGATTTATTTGTATTTTAGCTACAACAATATTTTGATTCTCGACTATGGGAGAAATTCACTAAATTGTTGTTTTTTATTTCAGAGAAATACCATTCGTTCGTTTTACTTATTTCAAGCAACTAATTAAACCAACTGCATAGCATCTTCTAAAGATGACGTGAAGCTCATACGCTAGTTGCATGTTTTTATAAAACAGACTCGAGATCAAATTGCGGCCTGGACTGAAACTGAGTATATATCTCCTTACAAGACATAACAGAAATAAGTGTATCAACCTTTCTTGAAACTAGCATATTAATTGCATTGTGAAAACACACAAGGTCGTTAGTCTATGTTTGATGTTTACCCATGCCTCGTGTGCGTCAATATTTACTTTAAAAACACTTCATCCAAACCATGAGCATCTCATATAGCCATAAAAACAGGATATTATTATTCTTGGCTGACTCGCAGCGTGTCGACTTCAGTGTCGCCGGCTGCATGCGCAAGAAGTTACCCGAGTATAATTTTTCAAAAATGCCCGAAGATTCGCAAGAAACGTTTGTCAAAATGAGAGAATCGATTCACCACTTTGCTTCACGCTACAGTTAGCAAGGCAACTTCAGAAATATCGACATTATGTAATATGTAGAGAAGCAAGGAAGAAGAACGCTCAAATTTCTTTTACAAAACTATTGTGTATACCAAAGAAAATGATCCTATTTTTCGCTTCGAACAATTACAGATTAAATGGCCTTAAAAATTAATCGATGCCTGTGAAATGCCCTTTCCATTGAAACAACTGGTTCGTCTTAACGGAGAAACACTGCACATTTCATGTTTGTTCAAACCAATAAAGGCAAAGCTTCTTTCCCACTTGAACTCTGCAGGGTGGAAAGGTTACATCATTGCTATATATTAATTGTAAACCGACACCTTTCATGCAAAGAATCACGAAATATCGCAGTAAGAACGGAACTATTTCTCAATAGGAAAACGGGAAGGAAGGAAACACAAGCTGCTGTCACATTACATAAACCTTGTAATAAGAATATATATTTATATATCTGCAGCCTGAATATTCTTGTTTTGCTTGAAAAGTTCGAGAGCTCAACACAGAACCAGAGAGGTAAACAATACCTCCTTTAAAAACATGGTTGCTTGCTTTAAATCTACAGGTTGCTTTATTTCTTTCAGCTTGTTTATTATTTTTGCTTGCTTTCAAACAACTGAATAAGCAATTATATTTACACTGTCTGCGTTTCTGTCAGAACTCGTAAACCGAAAAAACAGATGACAATCCCGACTGTCGCCTTGTAAACACACATAACACGTTCACCTCAGATATACGCTCAGATATATTCCTCAAAATTATCCCAAAAAGATTCTTATCGATTGACACTTTCTGATATCAGTAAAACACCCAGGGTTATTGAGATATCATGGCGCAGATTTAGAACTTCCAACAAGTGGTAATGTGGTACGTCTAGTAAGGTGGCCAGAACTCTTGGCAAAGACAATCGAGAATAAGGAGTTGCCAGCCCGGTTGGACACTTGTATTCACCTATTAACTCCTCTAAATTGCCTATCTCTGCGGCCTGTTTTTTTCCCTAATTTTCCGGAATAACTCGAGCAGTGGAGTATATGTAACGACGCGTGTTGGCACGTCCCTAAAAAACCTGTTATAAATCTTTGTAAAGTGAAAGGTATTCGCTAAATCGGGAATCATTGTTGTTTGTTTCCCGTGAACAAATAATTATAATTAATTATCATATTCAGGAAATATATACGTGTTGCTATATTGGTTATCGTCCACGTATTTTGAACAAATATGATGTTTCCATGCGTTATAAACTGCGTCTGCATATTGCGCGTTCAAATATTACCTCTTGCGCGTCAATATTGCTACAGCCCGTTTGTCGCATGTTTGAGCTAATTAGAATATTTTGCGTGCCGCAAAAATTCGCGTGAAATAGCTGGATTTGATGACAAGGGTTGTTGGCAGATTTGCCAGATAATTATGGGCGTATATTGGTATTTTTGTGGATTAATATTGATTCCACTCAAAATGAGGGTTCATGATTTGCTGTGATATTTTCTCATCCGATTAACTCCCAAACGAAGCAAATTTAATGTTGTAATTTAAAATACAGAACGTGCCTTGTGAATAATGTTTAAAAGTGTCAGCGATGTTTGCTTAGCGGCCTTTTATTTGCTCGGACAATACCTTGTTTTGATCAAGTAAACAAGATGTTTCAGAAATCTCTGCTGTTATTCTATGCATTGAGAAATACATGCACAAAACTAATTTGTAATCGATACGTGACATTTAGCAGATACACAACGCAGAATTCTCTTAACATGTCGTTGTCTAACGAATGTAATAAAATACTTTCGTTTGCTTCATACTTTACACGTCTGTCAGGCATTTTCAACTCATTTCTATTTGTGGCAATGAGATATTCAAAGATACGAGAGATATAGACATATGTGTACATAATATACACCAAGTCAGTCAACTCGGTCTACAATTTTTCCCACATGGGCAAAAATGACAATTGTTTTCAACGTCAGATATTTTGGACGTGGATTTCAAAACAGCCGTGAATGGCCACCTAGCTCGGAGCATGTTTTGGCATAATTTTATATTTATCATTAATCAAGCAGTCAGAATTTCAACACAAGTAATTGTATTACATTCCTTTTAAATATATATTGGATCAAATAGTCTGCACCTGCATTCATCAAAGCTATTCAACTTGTTTCAACAGGTCGCTCGAGCGATGGCCCGTTTTGACTAAAAACGGCGGCGCACAAGTGTTCATTTAAACCGTCATCAAACATGTATATTAAAAGCGCATTTAGACCGTTTGTGTTTGCGCGCGTTTAATGCTAATGCATGTGGCAGTTGCAAATGTGTTGAAACAGCCTTCAGTATTAAGCTTTTTCGCAAAGCAGTGCGCATGGTGGCCAAAGTGCTGTTATTGATTTTCTCGAGTTAAGAGCAAGGCTCGTGTCGAGAAACGAAGTTACATGTCCAGCATCAGTTGTATTAAATGGTACTTATTCTAGACATCAACTATCCCGCGTTCCTTTGGTAGACAGGATCGCAGGCTAGACACCACCCACAACTCAAGTCCTCAGGCAGGAATCAAGCCTTCACCTCTGAGACTACGGTGAAATACGCGCTCCACTACGAAGCTACGAGAACGTCGCTTCAAAGAGCAGAGACAGCGTCGATCGAAGAGTGTCTTGTCCTTAATTTAGACGTTTTTAATACAGACCAAGCGATATGAATTTTTGCGATTACTGAGAGCGTTGATCGTATAAACAGTTTGTTAAGTGCCCCAAGGCTAACTGACGTTTGTGTAATTAAATCCGTACTGTACAATCGTGACAGAAAATGTCTGTGTATTAAATGCTTTTCACTTGTATAACCGCAGGTAAGATCTATGAAAGATAACCTAGTATTTACATGACGTCCTATACAGGGATTTGTATTTGAATGTCCGCAGTACCATTGATCCCACGAACTACTGAGTCCTCTTAGCTGATCGTTTAAACCCTAGACTCATGTTGGATTGCACGATTTCCACCATGAATACCTCTTATTTTGTCTGCTCGTCGAGTGCCCAACATTTGGGCAAAACATGTTCCATATCCTCTTACAGATTTCGACATTATTAAACAAATGCTTTCAAGTACACAGCTGCGATAGCATCTACACAAGATAACCTTTGTACACTAATTATGATATCAAACTAAGGGCCTTACACCATGGCGCCATTACACTAGTCTAACTCAAGGACCTTCTCTGATTCTTTAAGTGTTATCGTTCTACTCGTTAGTCGTGTGAACTTCTTTGAAATATTTACAAGAATTCAACTCAATCTGAACGTTTTCCTATCCGATCAAGTTTTCTAGCAGGGTTGTAATAGTAGATCAGAGATTTTACACTCGATTTTACATTTGTCAGATACAAATCTTCAATACACATGGGGTCTTTTTGAAGCAAAATGTAGCCGGGAGTTCGTTTTCAAATTGAGATCAAATGGTGTGTTTTATTGGGACGAATTAGTAAGGTGAAATTGTGGCCGTACAGTTGAAAGACTTGAATGATGATCTCTTATGACAAGACGAAGTGTTCACAGCAATCATCGCAGTATTCACAGCTGGAGGAATGCATGTGGTGGTAGCCATGCACTGCCTCAAAACTGATTGCTTCCTCCACTTAAGCCGTAACCAAATTAGGCTTTTTTTATACAGAAATCGTCTCGATGTGTCCTGAATTCGATGACTTGTTCCTGGATAAACTTGCAATAGCGTACGCCATATACTGCTCAAATCTATTTCAAGAGATGATTTGATCAAGTTGAACTTGACTATCATCGCCCAGCAGTTACATCGCCAAACGGTTTGCCATTAACTGTGTTTGCGCAGTTGTTCTATAGCGACTGGGCTCAAAGCCAACAATGATATGTAATAATTTGAGTTACAAGGGTTAGGCGAACTCTAACCTCCCGAATTATTTTGAATGTTTCCACCAAAGGCCGCATGAACATTACGGGTGTGTAAATTATGAATCGAATTTCCGAGAGATGAATTTTCGAAAATGCGAGAGATGTTTGATCTTACATTTTACTTGGTGAAAAACTAATTCAAAACGGATTCATCTTTCTCCATTGATCGACCATCCATTCGTTGGTGCGAATATTTCGTTCGCCGAAGTTAGAAATTATCTACATCTTATAGTTATATAAAGCAAAAATGAAGTGCAGAAGAATCGTTCGTGTTTGTTAATTTGTGCGTATAAGCCATATAAGATGATCTAAACGTAGTGAATTCTGTGAATAGGAATCCAACAATCGCATCGTGATTGACCAATCTCATGTTCGCTTGAGGGTGAACTGATCTGATTGCGAAAACTGCAAGACTTGTAAGCAATCCGATTTTAACCAACGCCATGTTACTAATGTTTCACAAATATTTTAGGCGCATAAGAAACGCATCATTTGGTTTAAATGTTAGATACAGTATGCCTTCTATACAACACAACTGCGAGCTCTACAAGAAACTCACCTGCGTCTCTGATACAGCAAGAACAATTACCAGTATGGGGTAGAATAGCTTCATCCTGCGAAGTTAAACAAGAACATTATTTTAGCGTTATCGCAAACCCATTTAACACCGGCCATTTGCGCAAAGAATGTTCCAGCGATTGCGCGAGACGGGTCAGTTTAGCGCGCAGGTTTGACGGTGTATATACATTTTTTAGTAGCCATACGGTGAGGAAATCTTGTTGACAAGGCTTGTCAAAATAGCAGTTAATGGCTAAAGATTCTGCCTTGTTCGAGGCTTAATAACTCCGATACGATCTACCCTGAATACAATACTCTCATTTAACGCGAAAGTAAACGATTATTACAAGCACGCTTCTTGCACGTTCTCCATTATCTAAAGTACAGATTCATACAAGGAGCAAAAAGTCTGCGTTGTATCGCGTGAACGCTTTGTATAACACTTGTATTATTACAGTTAGACATGACATACCTTTCGAAAGGATTGTTGGTCCTTTCTTAGTGTGTCCTTTCTTGAGCCAGGCCTTTGAAATCCACTAGATGAAGAAGGGTGCGTCTTCGCTAAGACTGATAATCTTAGTCACCAGGCTTGATGAGAAACCTATACTCACAGTGTAAACACAATACAGACGCGTTGATTAAGTTTCTGTAAATAACCAGCTTTCAGCGTCGCAATTCATTGCGTCAATCAATACCTACCCGTGGTCTTAATTACCGACAATACATTAAATTCTTTTAGTGGATCCCAAGGATAATTTAAGTGCCTCTTTCCTCCTGGGGAACTTCATGTAGAGAACGCAAAATGTTCGAGGTAATCCTGTTCGTATAAAGACGTATGGACAAAGAATTCCTTATAAACGAGCGTATTTTACTATGCGAATTCCGCAAATTTTTGAATGGATACATATTATAATATGCCTCCACTTCAAACTCAATCATCAAGATACATAAATGACCTTTTCCCCAACTGTAGATTTTTTACTGTGCATTTTATGCAAATATATACACATTTCCTTGGTGAGTGTTTTGTAAACAAATCCTAATCAGACGCGTTTTTATGAGGAATTTGGGCTTAGCCTGTCGGCGGCTTCTTTAACGCAATCGTACATGTGCGTGAAATTATCATAAGATGCGTTATCTTGGCGGGCCTGAATATTTTGGAACAAGACATATTGCGGCCATTCATCGAATGTTATCTAATCTGGCACGCGATCGTTTGCCGAAACCAAACATCTCAATTGTATTGAACCGTTTACGGAGTTATTAATTCATAAACACAACTTCATAGAGCTGATCATTAAAAATAAAAGGCTGTTCATATAAGACGTCTGCTGTCTCTGGTGGGCGTATTCACTGAGTCACGAATTAGTCTTTCTCCCTTGTCTATTTTTTCTGTTCTAAAAACGTTTGCGGCTCTGTGGCAAGTTGGTCTAAACTAAACGGATATTAAATAAAGCACGAATTAATCTTGCTAGTCATAGTGTATCCATGTTGATCACCGTTAACGTAGACCTATTTTGCTACGAATGACTTCGTAGCTTATCAGAGTTACTCGCTTTACGATTTCATAGAACGACAGCAGTCGATGTGCTGAGCCATGCCAGCGTGTTGGGAAGACTGCAAGTGGTCATTTCCTTACCGCGAGCAAAATTTTCTTCAATCCAAAAGTAGTATAATTAACTTATTTCCGTGCGAGTATCAATTCTCAAGCGTCCTTCACGGCAGGGAGTGCTAGCTAATTATTGCTGTCGGCTCTATCGTTACTCCCGAAGGCTGATATATCAGAACGAAGTCCGGAACACCCGAGTTAACTTTGAAGGAAAGAGTGCAATATTTATCCTCTTTCTATAAAACGACTGCTGCCGTGATTACGGATCGATTGCACTGATGATGCACGAGATATAAAGACCCCATTTGCATTTGGCAAATACACGCAGTATTATGTCACGTTACAGTTAACTGTGGTCACGTATATATCACGTATAAATTGAAATTTAATGATGAGTTTTAGTTAAAAAAACATCTAAGCATCTAACTGTCTAAGCTGTTATCTGTTTTAAGTACTTTATCCCCATTTTTTCACGGCTTTTCTTCGATGACAATATCCTTCACTTTGAAAATTCTTTCCAGCTGACGAAATATCGAAGAAACGCGAGAAACGTTGACGTGATCCTGTTTTTCCCCAGTAAGGTTTGAAATTTTATGATGAAATTTTGGATATACAATTAGATTACACAGTATACTCAACCTTGGTAATAACGAATTAGTGAAGGTAGAATATTCCAGAATACGGTATACTAGACCATGGTCGAATATACGGTATACCGTTTTATAATTATATTCGAACATAATCGAGTATACCGGAGAATGGTGTACGGAATATGGTATACTCGACTGATAGTAAAAAAAAATAGTCAAGGTCTAATATACCAGTATATGGTATACTGGATCTTGGTTGTAAAGAATAGAGAAGTTCGGTGATATATGATTTACTCTAGAAATGTATTTTTAATTTAATAACAATACTCTCGCCATATCATCAGAATTAGGCAACACATTGACACAGGGTTTTAAAGTTGTTTTTGCATCTTCTTCAATATTCTGTATTTCTTCCATAAGCTTGACCATGTTTTCCGTATCAGTTGCTTTTTCCTCCAAGGCTTTCGCGTGCTCTTCCTTTTTTTCCAACAGTTTTTTGGTGAAGGACTTTCGGAGGGCTTGCAGTTGCTCAACATTCAACTTTTCCAGATCGTCTTTTGCAAATGCTAATATTTTACCGTCCGGAAGGCTCTTCGACATCAATTTCCTTACAAACCGCGCGCTTTTTGACCGCTTACGTCTGATGTTGTGCTGCAGGAGTTTTTCATCGAGTGATTTGTGTCCGAGGGCTGATAAAACTTTCATACAAGCCGACGTTCTGGGGTTCAGCGGCTCTGTGTTTATTTGTGGTGTACAACTCTTGCATCTATAGCTAGGATTTCCAGTAATTTTCTCTTGCAGCTGCTTTTCTTTCATTTCCATCATCTATTTTTTTAATTTTTCGAGGAATTTTATTGCGTCATGAATGCGGATGGCAGTCTTGTCAACTGCTATGCTGCGTGCGAAAATAGCGCGAGAATTATTGCGATTAGCATATTTTGCATGATTGCATGTAACGACGCATGACGCATCACGTGCTCTGGTCCTCGTTCCAAAACAATATGCAGAAGTAAAGAAGATTTTAGAAACTTGTTTGTTTTGATAAAAATATCACCAAGAATGATGTCTTTATGTACTTTACGAGGCAATATCTTCAAAAATGTTTTTATAAGGGGAGGGATTTTAGGATCTACGGCACTTTACGGAAAGAAGACTGTTTCAACTTTGGGACAATTGACGAATGCTTTCGATTCCCAAGGTACAAAGTTTATTTTGCCTAAAATCACAGGTTTATTTGGGGTGCCTGAACTGTACGATAGCTCTGGGTTTACTATACTATGCGAGAAAGCGTTAAACGAATCGCAAGTCCTCGTGGAAGATGCGCTGTGCTTGGCAAACGAGATAAAAGCTGGAAAGAAATCTGTTGTGGATTTAATAACGAAATTTGATCATTTATCAAACACTGTTTGTAATGTTGCTGACTTGGCAGAATTTGTCAGGCTAACTCATCCAAACAGTGAATACCAAAAATCAGCTGGTGAAGTCAGCCTCGCTATCAATGGATTTGTTGAAAAGTTAAACACTAATGTTGAGTTGTATCATGCCCTAACGAGGTCGTTAGGAAGTGCAAGTAGTTCAGAACTTGATGAAGAAAGCCGACATGTTGCAGATTCCTTGGTATTTGATTTTGAACAAAGTGGCATCCATTTAGATGATTCCAAACGAGCTAAGTTCGTTAAACTTCAAGATCGCGTCTTGCGTCTTGGGAGTCAATTTGTTGCAGGCACGTCAGCACCTACGTTTTTCCCAAAGAAGTTTTGGCCAAATGACGTTAGACATGGTTTTCAATCTGACGATGAATATATCCAAATAGATGGTCTCTGCTATGATTCCCCTGATCCAAAACTGAGAGAGATTGTATACAAGGCCTACATGCTTTCAAATCCGGCACAGTTGACCATTTTGGATGATCTGCTTGAAGCTAGACATGATCTAGCTAAGCTGGTTGGTTTCCCCTCATTTCTGAGCCGATCTTTACGAGGAACCATGGCTGACACACCTGAAACTGTTCAGGAGTTCTTAACAATTTTAGCCGAAAGGATCCATCCTTTAATAAGCAAGGATAATGAGCTGTTGATGAACATAAAGCAAGATCGCAACAATAATAATGTTGCTATCATGCCCTGGGACATACAATATTACACTGGTCTTGCCAAAGCACAGTCGTTGCAAAATTTCCCAGTAACTCTGAGCGAGTATTTCTCATTAGGGACTTGTATGGAAGGTTTAAATGTGATATTTGAGAATCTTTATGGTATCACTCTTGAGCCTACGGAACCTGATCCGGGAGAGGTTTGGCATCCTTCGGTTGTAAAGTTGACTGTGAAACACGAAAATGAAGGAATTCTCGGATACATATATTGTGATCTTTACTATCGAGAGAATAAAGTTCAACAGGACTGCCATTTTACAATCAGAGGTACAGTATGAAAGCTTACTGAAATGTATAATCTTTTAGTGCTGGTGGACTTATCTCATCTGAGAACTAAAATTCCCTTTAAGAAAAGGCAGACTATTTTATTGCACACAGAATGGTTTAGTTAATGGTCCCAGTTTAATTTTTTTGTGCATGATAGGTGGTTGTCAACTTCCTGATGGTTCGTATCAGCTTCCAGTGGTCGCTATTGTTTGCAACTTTCCTGTGCCGCAACAACCGAAAGCAACATTGCTAACACATGGTATGATTGAAAATCTCTACCATGAGATGGGTCATGCGATGCACTCCATGCTTGGTAGAACAAAGTACCAGCATGTTACCGGCACCAGAATGACCACAGACTTGGTTGAAGTACCATCAATCTTGATGGAATACTATGTCTGGGACCCCACCATACTAGGCAAAGTCGGTCGGCATTATCGTTCTGGTAAAAAACTCCCAGATGAGGCTGTCAAAAAGTTTTGTCAATTGCGAAATTCATTCTCATCGCTTGAGATGCAAACCCAAGTGTTCTACTCCATGGTGGATCAAACCTACCATGGTAAACACCCTCTTGGTAAAACAACCACAGAAATTTTGAAGGATTTGCAGACAAAGTACATGTCGACACCATATATTGAAGGTATGTAGTTAAATGCTGATGTAATTGTCTGGATAAGGAAATTTGTGGTGCTGTAAAGTGGTAGATATAGAATTAATTTGAAGGATTTGCAGACAAAGTACATGTCGACACCATATATTGAAGGTATGTAGTTGACTGCTGATGTAATTGTCTGGATAGAGAAATTTGTGGTACTGTAAAGTGGTAGATGCAGAACTAAAATAAACAGCAAGTGAAATGATGTCTTTTTAAATCATGCTTGGAATTAGAAGTTGCTGTTCAATGCTGCTTCCTTTCCTCTACAAGTCAGCCCTAGTCTTGTGCTTTGGAAAGAAATATTTATGAGCTGCTTTGGAACGCTTGTTGGTCTTTGATTGAAAGCAGAAGAAACCTTTTTTAAAATATTAAGTGAAGGTTGGGGTGAAGTGACCCTAATTTAGGTGAATGATTTTGTTTTTAGGAACATCCTGGCAGCAAAGATTTTCCCATCTTCATGGTGGGTATGCTGGAAGATATTACTCTTATTTATGGTGTCGAGCCGTCGCTTCCCGTATCTGGAGGAAATGGTTTGTTGCTGATCCTTTGTCGAGAGAGGCTGGGGAGAGATTCAGAAACACGTTCCTCAAATACGGCGGTGGACGGGAACCGCGGAAACTGGTTGAAGATATGTTGGGGCAAGAGATTTCGGTGAACGATCTGGTTCGAGCGTTAGAGAACGAATTGCATGCGATTGAATAAGTGTTTGATAACTCATCAAATCCTACTTATTTTGAAACAAGAGTTCGTGGTAAACATTGCTAGTGTCTACATGTACATATTTGTAGAGTAAACTTTTTTATCAATATATTTATATGTTTTATTGTAACTTTGATAAAATCACTAACTATACAAGATACATTATCACGCGTGGTTGAATTTGTCTTGATTCGTTTTGTTTACGCAATTTCTTCGTTTTCTCGAAAAACGCTCCTGCGTGCGTTTAGGGTGCGCTGTGGATGTTAATTACATGACGTAACAGCACACGGTCACTAGATCAATGCTCGACTATGGTTACAGTATATTAGGGACTGTGTTTATCTTAGAATATAGACGGGAATTTTGACAAGGGGATTATAATGGCTTAGTATATTGGTAAGTGAAACATTTACAAGCAATTGTCGAAAAAATCGACGAGTTTTTCGGGTCTTTCTGACGGTTAGAGCAGATCAAAAACAACAAAACTCATTGCTCAAGGAACAAACCATTTTAATAATCTCCTGTCAGTCACATTCCAGTTTTGAGAATTGAGTTTTTTCTCTCGAAATTTTCACCCCAAATATTCATAGCCTCCGAAGTCAGAGACCCAGATTTGTTCAAGATTTGAAGAACGACGATTATATTTCACGTCTTATTGAAAAGGTGTATTGTAAAACGTCAAGTTATTTAAGAACGGATTTTTTTAGGTACAAAATGGACTCAACGGAGAACAAGGTAGAAAACGAGACGGAGAAGAGCAGCAAGAGCTCAGAAAATGAGACGATAGCAAGCTCGACAAAAAGTCATTCTGTTGTGAATCCCATCGCGCGGATAAAACAAGACAACTTGAGAAACACAAAGTCATCGCCACATCGCAACGTCGAGTTACATCACACACGAAGTTTCAGCGAAATATTCCATCTTCATCCTTCGCATACCGATGTGTCCAGCATTACCACGTATCCCAAGCCTCGGGCCATTACGGATCTGCAACACGAAGTACGCCGGCCGGAGAGTGTGCTGGAATTGTCGGATTTACCGGCGTCAAGTGATGAGGATTCCGAGGAGGATGTCATGACAACGCAACGAAGGGGAGACGAAGCGATGAAGATTTTCCTGGAGTCTAATGTCAGCATTCCCCTCGATGGGAATATGACGTCATCGTCTTTATCACAAGATACGTTGGATTCGGATATTGCGTCAGAGAGCGAGCTCATTGTTGGAAACTGGGAGCGAGAAATGAGAGGTATGTTGGTCTGTTGTTGTACCGGAGATATATAACCCTTGAGATGTAGCTTTCATTTTAGGTACTTCAGACACAAACTACGGTTGCTTGATGTAAAAACTATATTGAGGTTTAACAAATCATGGCGTGTGAATACAATCCTATATATTTTTTCCACGCTTTCTTTCTTTGCTAAACCTCGCGATCGCTTTGCTTTGTGCTCTAAAAACAGATTAATTCTTTAGAACAAAACAAAGTAACAATCAACCGAAAAAGAACATTCCAAAATGTAACAAAAACGTTCTAAAATGTAGTTAAGATAATTGTTGCAAAAATGTATCAAGCGTGGGAAAAAGAACCTTTCGCAATGTGTGAAGAACATTTTCGTGTGAAAAGAACTCTTGCGTGCGAAAAGAACGTTTTGTGTGGGAAAAGAACCTCTTCGTGCGCAAAGAACGTTTTGCATGGGAAAAAACTTCAGCTACAGCGTTTATTGCGCAGAAAAGACAGTAAATTCCTAACTTGTGGACCGTAACTAACATCCTACTGCAAGCGACTACTCACAAAGGCTGCCCTACCTCCGTTTATGATGCAGTATCTTTCACGAGCTACGATCTTCGTCGTCTTTTGATGGGTGAAAACCACAGTCACATATTCACTAATATCCAACTTCCTTCCTAGAATCCATCGCATCTAATGGCTCAAGTTTAACGAAGCGTTTCCTAACTCCGTCGGGACAACTTCTCTTTCGCGAACACCAGGTGGACTCCATGTTGTTGGATACAAGACGTTTAACGTTAACGCCATCGAGCTCAGATCGCCCTATGAGCCCGCTGGCCATGAGGAGAAGCGGTGAAAATGTCAGATGTGATGACACGAGGAATGAGAGAAGATACATGATGGTCAGCGATAGTGAAAGTGATGATTTTAACGAAGGTAAAGGTATATAGAACCTCTGTTCACCAGTTGTACGATTGAGATTTTGTCGTCAAAGTTCAAGCTGATGTTATTGTTCTACAATTGTTTTTTAGAACACTTACTTGACAAGAACGATGAAGATAGGGAGATGCCAAGACCACGCTGTGGTTGCGGTCCCAGAATCCAGGTAAATTAAAGCTTGTTTCTATCTAAGACAAATAAAGTTGGTTCAGTTAAGAATCCATTTTGTATTAATACTGGATCAATAAGGGATCGCCGCTACTGGGGCATGTAACTACAAGTAACTGATGAAAATTTCCAGTACAAATTGGATATCCATTTCACCACAGGATTTAAAACAACTTGTACGTAAATGTGAAAGGCAATGCGAAGAATTAAAGGACAGAAATAAAGAGCAATACGATGAAATTAAATCTTTACGAAAGGATAACGTCAATATGCACAAAGAACATAACCGCCTTCAGGTAAAAGAATAGAGTCAGTTTACAGAAAACGAAGCAACACCCAGGCATTATTATATACAATCCAACTTTGACAATGATTTTATAAAGTTACAATGTTCTACTAATTTCCATAGGTTGTTATCAGAGAATGTCACCAGAACGAGGAGAGTTTGAAGGGAAGTATTGCGTTGCTTTCAAAAGAGAAAGACGTAAAAATCGTGGATTTTGGTCGACGGATCGAGCAGCTTGGAAGCAATTTACAAGACAAGAACTCAGAGATTGCTCGGCTTCAAAACACTATTAATAGTCATGTACAAACAGGACAAAAGTATGTCAAGGTTATGCAGGATATTCATAACGAAATATGTGCATTGTTCAAAGCTCTAGCGAAGGAACTTGGATTTGATGATAAATTTGAAGTTGATCTGGACGAAAATCCGGAAGCCATCGTTGCAATGTTGAAAACACGAAGGCAATCTCTGTCCGAGGATCTTAAGAAACATTATGAGCATTTATCAAACAAGGATACCGTCGGACAAATTCAAAACCGCATGAAACGGGATTTTCAGGAAATATCAAGTGGATTTAAGGAAAATATATCGAAAATACAAAAAGCAGAGAAGGATTTAGGAACAGTTCTCAAGCGTTCTGCCAGTTTGGAAACACTTTTAAAAGAAACCAAACGAAACCATGCCAGGAGAGAGGACGTGGCTGTGTTTCGGGAAGATGACTTGAGAGCTGACATCGAAAATAAACTGAACGAATTGAAAACAAGAAATGATAGTTTGTTGCAGGAAAACAAAATGCTCCAAGAAGATCGTTCAAAATGGAAGCATCGTTGCGAGGAAATGGTCAGACGAAATGAAACGAACGTGAAGAGAAAACCTCGCGATGAAAAGCCGAAAGCAAGTGCAGAGTTGGAGAAGCTGCAAAAAATTTTGAAGCGACGACGAAGATCTTATTCTGAAACGCAACTCGCGACCATACAGGACTATCAAGTGACAAACTTCGCACACACTGATATAGACAATGAACTCGAAACTAAGGGAAAACTAAAATCTGTAAATTTTGAAGGTAGTCCAAATTCCAAGACGACTAACTTGACGAACGAGATGATGACTGTGGCACAGAATGGTACCAGCAATTCCGATAGCCTTAGTGATCTAGAAAAGCGTTTGAAACAACTGTCGCAGCTCACAGACTCTTTGAGCCAAAAGATTGAAACGAATGCTCAGTCTTTGGCGATGAAGAAAGCTGAAAAACCTGAAATCCAGAAAGAGAATTTGATGAATTGTCATGCAACTAATCCAATGCTTTTGGCGTTCTACGGTGAGAAACTATTTTCAGTGATCAAGGAGATCTACAATGATCATTTGATCAAACTCCAGGATACAAACAACATTCGTGAACAGGAATGTCGTTATTTGAGAGAGCAGTTGTTGGCGAAGCAAAGCAGCGAGGAAATAGCCCATTATCATCTGGAGTCTTTGAAGCGAACGGTCGCCGTTTGCCAGGAGGAATTGAGAAAATGTAAGAACAAAAATCAAGATTTGAAGAGTGAATTGAGGATGTTCAAGGACCAGGCGCTCGTTACAAACGCTGAACGAGAGATGTCCTTGTTTTATTGCAAAAAGAAAACAATTGTAGATGGCGGTCTTGAAGTTGAGACGTCTGGGCAAAGAAGCAGCCATGGCTTTAGTAAGTATCCGCATTATGTCGGATTAATGAATATCAATGGAAAACCTTTGTTGACGAGTTTTATTTTTTTTCATATGAAAACTAAAATGTCAGCCTTTAATGAACTACGATTTCTTCCTAATAAATAATTGTTTTGCTTGTCTTTCCAGAAGTGATTGAAGAGAACGGTCGCGTTGAGAAACCGTCGAAGCACACCGAAGTTTGAACTGTGAAAATATGGTAAATATGTTCAGAATATTCAAGTAATACAAATAAATGTACAAAATTCTCTTAAATTGTGTTCATAACTTCACTTTCGAAAGGAATTCTTTCCTTTTTATGAATTGAAACAACCATTTATTTCAGCTTCGAACTAAAATCAACAAATCTTTTAAAATAAATATATTTCATATAAATATAGTTTGTATTTACACAGCTAAACGCCAATATACTGCTAATGGTCCGTACTCATAACACTGCTGTGTCCTCAGTTAGCCCTATCTGTTCCTCTTGTGACGTCACAGGATTAACAACGTTCGCTTCTCTCCGCAAAAGCCTGGGACCGGTTACAGCTATTCCGACAGCACCAAGGGGCGCAGTTAACAAAATGACCAGCACAGCTAACGTCAATATCTGTATTAAAGAAGAAAATACAGAGCGAAAAAAAATTAGGAAAACAAAATTGCCAACCAGCTTCGCGTGCAAAATCGTTCGTATTTTAACGTTTGATTCACGAAATTTCACGTACATTTTTGCCATAGTCTTCTTCGGGCTTTCCAGAAAAGCCTTGTTCTCGAGCTGTTTCCAAGGAAATTGCGCCGATAGCGGCCTAAATAATACGTCATATTGGCATATTGAGAAACCATTATTCATTTTAAGGTTTGTTCGTTCACACGATCCAATTTTGTTGGATCCAATTCACTTCTGATGGATGGAATGAAGTCAGGTTATTGATAAAGCAGCACTGCGTTGGTTTAAGTTGATTTGCTGCCCATATACATTGCAAGTCAACAGACTATAAAACATACATCAGAAGTGAATTGGACCCAACAAAATTGGATTGTTTGAACAGAGCCTTTATATTCTCAATTTTAACGGGTCAGTTACGATACCTGGACCGTCGCCTTGGGAAGCCATGCTATGCAGATAAAAAGTCTCTCTTTCAACTTCAAATCATTGCCAAAGGTTACAAGATATGTAACAAAAACTCGCAGGATTAAACCAATGACCAAAGTGGCAATCCCTCGACCTAAACAGGAAAGTTGTTTTTGACACCAAAACAACTAACAATTGCTGAAATCAGTTTTTGCTCGAATTGCAAATCCAAAGGGGATTCATCAAACTCACCAATCAATTGTGCCGTCATGTACTCCATTTTCACCTCAGCTCCGATCAAACCAAACATAAGAGGTTCAAATATGATCCAGAGTTTCCCAACTGATTTCACGACTGGCAACTATGAAATGGAAAGACAGGAAGTCAGGATCTAGGACGAAGTACGGAACTGCAGAAGCACAAAAGCACAGGAATCTATTGCCATAACTCGTAGCATCGGAGCAAGAGAAATGACGGGCTTTCTGAAATGGCTCGACGCAACTGACCTTTCCATTTTCCTTCCAGCCGTGCGCGGCTACAAACGCCGTGGTCAAGACGGCCAACGCCCCGGCTCCAGAGAGCTGGATCCAGTTGCTACCAAAAAGCAACAAAACCCCCAGAGACAGCAACATTGTAAATCTCTTCTCGTGTAGATATCGAGGCTAGTGGTAGAGAACATTACTTGGATGAAAACGAATGAAGTTTGCTGCCCCAAATCTACTATTCAGTGATCTCCTTAATTAACTACTACGGGTAATTTTTTTGCGATATTTCAAGGGGCACTGATTTGCGTCTTGAATCTATCCTCTTGAATCTATCATCTTGAAAACTCTTTTAAATCAGTTGACTGATATGGTGCCAGGAGGAAATTTTGACTCTCACCTCGTGTTTACTTGGGATAAAACTGAGTAGAAAACCAGAGAAGCAGCCCAGAGTGATTCCCAGGAGTATCTCAAGAGGGCCTCGGAAAATGTTGAATATCAGGTCACCTGTATGAGTGGAGAGACTCTGAGAATTAGGATTTAAGCATTTGTGGAAATCAGGAAGTGTCATTGTTTTAACCTGTTGAGTAAGCAATGCCGAGGAAGACTGCAAAGAGGCTTATGGCCAGGACATCATCACATGACGAGGCTGCCATAACGAGGGTTGGTATCCCCTCGTTAACACCAAATCCTTGCTCCTGAAGTTTGAGTAATTGCGGAACAACAATGGCAGGTGAGACTGCGCCAAGGACAAACCTGGTAATAACAGAGCACTTGGTTGAGTGACTTATATCCACGTCAACTGCAACAGAACTTTATGATGTCTTCCACTATATCAGTAATATCATTGGGGTCTGCATGCAATAGAATTATCTGGTTAAATTAATTGTTTATTTTGACACAGTACAGAGATTTTAACAGATTTACTCTGCCAGAAGATGTTCCCTGATTTTTATGCAACTGACTGGTCAGAGTAATGGTGGATAATGATGGGTAATGTGATATGCATGTGGACAAAAACTTGAATGGTTCCAAGTGGAGTGGAGTTGTTATTGTAAGTTAAACTGTGGTTTTATTCTCTACAGCAACTTGTTTGTATACATTGGTCAGTGTGGTTGTTCTCACCAAGGAAACTGACCACAGATTAACCAACATATAACATTAAAATGTTTTTTTACTGATACAATATGTAACTGATGTACCCACCCAAGTTGTAAACCCCATAGCCAGGGCAGCTCCAGTAAGAAGTTAGTTACAACAGCAACTGTAAGAGCTTCAATAATGCATGGACCAAATGCAAGAGCGATTACAGTTCTTTTAAGCTTCTTTAATGCTACTGGATCGAGCTCCAAGCCAGAGCGTAGCAAAATAACAACTAATGCTATATTACGCAATGAAACTGACCAACTTTTATCAATGTGTTGTACAACATTAATCGCTTCGATGTTCGTAAGAAGAAGCCCGGCTAACAGCATACCTAAGAGTTTCGGCAGTTTCATGAAAGGGAGACGAGAAAGCAGTGCGCCTAGCAACAACGAACACACGAAAACCACAAACAAACCAAATAAATTTCCCCCTGGTAAATTCTCACTCTTTGTCACAGTCAATAAAGCCGTCCATATTAAAGAACCGAGGAGAATTGCAGTTACAAAAGCACCGGCCTTTCCTGAAAAAACCGTGTTAAATTTATTGACATATGCCGTATATTTTGACGTTGTTTCTTCGTTTTCATTCACTATTTCCAAATCTTTCTCTTTGTCCTCCATATTGAATTCTTCTCTTCTTTTTCACTTCCGGTTGTAAAGTAAAAAATTTACAAATTTCCACTGAAAAAAACTTTTCTGGATTTCTCACCTTCTGATATGTTTCACAATAGTATAATATTAAAATTGAGCTTCTCTATGCTCAAACAAAAGCAAAAATGTTCCTCAAAAGCACCATTTATAAAATACTATTCCCTATTCCAGCTAAATTTGCGCCTGGCCTTCCCTTGTTATTGGTTAATTCTTAGCTTGGATTTTCCCTGGCCCTGGTATTTCTCAGTGAAAACTGGCTGGTATTCTCTATGGTATACAGTATTCTCTATGGTTGGTATTCTCCCTTCCTGCCCCTCACCGTGGAGCGAGCGTACTCTCCGCTATGGGGAACACAATAACCTGATTCTAAATATTATATGAAATAATTTAACTTTTTATTTCGTGCAATTTGTTGCAGAAGAATATGTTTGAACAGCAAATATAACAGCATTTTTAATGTTATATTTTCGTTGGGTCCAAAATTTGGATGCCCCACCCTACATGTTCTACCCCCACCTCCCTAGAGAGCTTGGATGTATCACCCTACCTACATCATGTGTAGTACCACCTCTATTCACATTTCTTTCATATCATGTATTGCGGGCAAAGGGGAGGGGCATGCGCACGGTGTGTTTTAGCGTTAAAAAAACAGCTTTTCCCCAAGCGGCATGGGGGGAAGAGATTCAGCCAATCAGCGTGGTTCTAGAACAATTCAGAGGTCAAGGGCGAGCGATCACCTTTACGAGGATAAACTAAAAACTCAAGACGCTACAAGAGAAGGACATAGGACATTTTGCTGTTTGTAAAGCAGTCGTTTCGCTTCATCTGAACATGGTTTACGGTGGATAAGTTTCTTGTCGTAACTGACTAGTGTTTTCTGCAAGAATGTCGCGAAAAAGAGAGGTGCAAATGTTGGTACCGAAAGGAAGGCGAAGTTCAATAGCATGGCGTAAGAATTCTAAATTTTGTGGAGAGGCCCAGCTTTCCGATGCTATGATCTTAGAAATATTTCAATATTTCGATAAACGGGAGCTCGGTGTCTTGGCACAAGTGTCGAAGCGTTGGCGAAGGGTGGCTTACGACAAATCATTTTGGCATGCTTTGGACTTAACGGCGTTTTCACAGAACGTGAACGAAGAGACAATGCTTATGTTGATTCAAACGCGTTTGGCGTCTTCGTTGCATTCCTTAAATCTCGGTTCTGTTAAACTGACGGCTAAAATAGCCAAGGATTTATCACGTAAATGCACCAAATTGAAGAGAGTTGTCATCAAGTCCGTCTCCATTTCTGGTGATCCAGCATTTTCTGGGGAGAGCAAGCAATTCCCAGCCTCCTTGGAGTTGATGGATTTGAGACATTGCCAGGGGGATTTTCAATTCATAAAACGACTACCAAGGCATTTCACAAATATGAAGTTCATCGGTTTGGGTGCAAATTCGTCGGTTAGCCTCGTCCCAACAATCTTCAGCAAAATGCACAACCTCAGGGTCCTGGATTGTAACGACTGTTCCGTGATTGATGACCAGGCTTTAGAGAAGATCTCTAGAAGTTGCAGACAACTCGAATCAATATGTCTTAATGAGTGCAAGAATTTTGAAGGAAAATCCCTTAGACCGGTGTTCGCAAACTGTCCATCCTTATCGACCTTCCTCATGCGATTCACAAAGCTGAGTGATGATGCAATACTTAGGCTGAAATGGGAAGATACCAAACTCAGAGAGCTTGATATAACAGGCTGTTACTATGTCACCACAACTGGTTTAACAACGCTCCTGTCAAACCTACCGCATCTCACCTACTTCAAGATGAATCAGTGCGGCTTTCGCCATATCTTGAATCTATTGGTTTACCAAGAAATTCGTCCACAGAACAGTTTCACCATGCTCGAGACTTTTGACATGCGATGGAATTTCCTCCTGTCAGCTGATTGTTTGGAATGCATCTTACGACTCACGCCAAAGCTTCGTTACCTTGGTGTGAGCCATTCTCCTCGTATTTGTCCCTCAACAATGGCGAGAATGCTACCGCATGTTTCAAAGTTAAAGATTCTAGAGTATGGACCTCTAAAGAAAGAAACACTCTCTGATACAGACTTTGTGGAAGCTATTGTTCAACATTGCAAGGACATCGAGGCTGTCTCTTTTATCAATTTTACTGTATCAACGCAAGATGATCGGGACTTGCTCAGTCGTCTCCAGTTGAACTGTAGCAAGCTTCAAGATATAAAACTATGTAACCCAAAAGTGGAAAATGTTGAAGTGGGAACTGGTGGTGAAATGATAACTGTTGAGCGACTATTGATTAAAATGGAAAGTATGTTACCAACTCCAAAGCATACACTGAATGTTATCACTGAGACATTATGTTGATGAAAATGCCTTCTGCCATTATATTGTAGCCATTTGGCATTAATGAACAACGTTATCTGTCTAATGAGAGACTTAATGTGAATTTTGTGTTGTTGTTAATGAATTAATCAATGGTCGTAGAATTATTGTAAATAAAACAAAAACATAGTAGCTTGTTTATCAAGCTTTAATGAAAATTTTGATAAAAAAATTATTCTATATATGTTAAAGTTAAAGACATTTCAAAAGCTTACAAAACTGCATACATTTTGACAATTTTGCGTGGAAATACATGTGTGTATATAAATGAAGTTATATGTAATAATATAGTGGTATAGTACTACAAATTGATTGAATATTGGTTGAATATCAAAGCAGGAAATATGTCTTTTGTATTTTGTTGAGTGACCACAAAACTCCCCCCAAATTCAAGCACAATTATCAACACATAATAGCCAAGTTTGACGTACTCTGACTGCGGTCGGTTGCCCAACCACAGAGGTCACCCCCCTCCCCAAATTGCTGAATCTAAATGACTTTGGTGTGTATCGTAGTCCAGTTCAGAGCTGAGTATATAGAGGTCAGATTATCGAGAATAAGAAGGCCTGGGAGCGAGGTAAACAAGATGATGGAACAATTTACCACCAAACGTGGATTTTAATCGCAAATTTGGAAAAAAATCTTATTATTTAAACGATCTAGTTCATTTTTAAGACTTAGCGGAAAGTTTCATATTTAAATATTCCCCACATGGCCGCGACGGACAACGAAATTGCAAAGAAACTGTTCAAAGAAGGAGCAATTCTTGTATGTTTGGATGTTCCGCCTGGAACGGAGTTTGGAATTGATTACAATTCGTGGAATGTTGGCGCTAAATTCAAAGGTGTAAAAATGATCCCGCCAGGATTTCATTTCGTATATTATGCGTCGGTGGGCAGGAGCGGGGGGCAGACCGCCCCAAGGACGGGGTTCTTTCAGTACTTTAAACAGAGGGAGGTTGTTGTGAAGAAATGGGATCCAAAGACAGAGGATATGATGGATCAGGAAATGTCTGTTGAAGAAATGGAGAATTTGAAGGCTGGTAAGAAAACTTTAGTTGGAATGTGCTTACCTGAAAGAGGAGCGAGGGTAGGGTAGGAGAGGCGAGGCTGCATTCTAGTGATTTTACAATGGTCTCACTGACGATCAAATGGCTTGGTGTACAGTCCAACATGGAATGGACAATAGAGGGAAAGTACTTGCCCATAAAATATGTCATTCAAAATTCTCATTTCAGATCTAGAAAATCTTGACCAGTACTTGGGAAAGTATCCTTACGAAAGCCTGAAGAAATGGGTTTCTTTATCTGGTCATGTCACAGAAGCCATCATGAAGAGAGTTGAACCTGTTTGCAAGAGAATATCATCCCTCACAGAGGTCACACAGGAACATCTTGCTGGTGAAAGTGAAGGACAGGGTACTGGGGAGGCCAGAGCAGTAGCATATGATACCACACTGCGGTTTACCCCTCTACCCTTCAGACATTTCCCAGCTGGTGCATCACCTGCAGAGATCACAAAATTGTCAATGGACAAAAGTCAAGTGCTTGAAGACATTATGGTCACTTCTTCAGGTTTGTTTCAACATATTTTTATTGGTGTTTGCTCTTTATCAATATGACATAATTAGCTAGGTCCTCCTTAGAGGTATTTTTATGTATGTAAGCAATAGAGAGATTACTGGTGGATGGAGGGAGTCAGGCAGGTGCAGCGGCCTCTGGGAAGCAGAGTAACAATTCTGTAATGCAGTATGTGACAATTCTCAATGAATCAAGTATCTCCAAATTCCCCTCTAGTGAAAGAAATCCTTGGTGAACTACAGTTAGCCTTCATCACATTTTTGGTTGGGCAAGGTAATTACATATCTTTAATTGTAATGATCATATTAGTAAAGACATGTCAAGATTAGACAAAACAGCTTCTTCTTAACCCTATTCAACCTCCTTAAACCAAACACATTTAGTAAAGTTCTTCTGCTTTTTTCTTAGTTTATGATGCATTTGAACAATGGAAGAACCTTATTCACCTGCTATGTTCATGTGTTGATGCAGTCGACAAGTATCCTGATGTATTTGAAGCCTTTATAGGTTTGTAGATTGTTTTAACTGTAGCTCATCCCAGCCACTGCTTCAAACTAGAAGACAGTTTAGATCAAATTAAAGGCATCAATTTTATACAATTTTAACAGTTTGAAACTGATAGAGCTATCTAGTATAAATAAAGTTAGTTTAGTTTAGGTTTCCTCCTGTAGTAACACTGGATCAATAAAAGATGATCCTTACTGGACCTCTAGGATGAACAGTTTAGAACTGATAGAGCTATCCAGTATAAATAAAGTTAGTTAAGTTTAGGCTTCCTCTGTAGTAACACTGGATCAATAAAAGATGATCCTTACTGGACCTCTAGGATGAACAGTTTAGAACTGATAGAGCTATCCAGTATAAATAAAGTTAGTTAAGTTTAGGCTTCCTCCTGTAGTAACACTGGATCAATAAGAGATGATCCTTACTGGACTCTAGGAATAACAGTTTAGAACTGATAGAGCTATCCAGTATAAATAAAGTTAGTTAAGTTTAGGCTTCCTCCTGTAGTAACACTGGATCAATAAGAGATGATCCTTACTGGACCTCTAGGAAGAACAGTTTAGAACTGATAGAGCTATCCAGTATAAATAAAGTTAGTTAAGTTTAGGCTTCCTCCTGTAGTAACACTGGATCAATAAGAGATATCCTTACTGGACCTCTAGGAAGAACAGTTTAGAACTGATAGAGCTATCCAGTATAAATAAAGTTAGTTTAAGTTTAGGCTTCCTCTGTAGTAACACTGGATCAATAAGAGATGATCCTTACTGGACCTAGGAAGAACAGTTTAGAACTGATAGAGCTATCCAGTATAAATAAAGTTAGTTAAGTTTAGGCTTCCTCCTGTAGTAACACTGGATCAATAAGAGATGATCCTTACTGGACCTCAGGAAAAATTGTCTCGTCCTCCTGCAGGAATCAAACCCACGCCTCTGTGATTACGTGGCTCTCGCAACTTGTTACTGCGTTCGTAGATGAAATATGGATGAATTATTTTCGGGTGTTGCGGGTTTGAGCCACTTTAAATTAATTACTCACAAAGGGACTACAGTAGAGAAAATTTATGCCAAATGTCATTTAAACGTTTGACACGAAAGATTACCATTTCAGTTTCTTTAGTTTTTGTTGTTCAGGAAATAAAATATTATTGCGTGTTTAATTTTGCGCGTAGTTCCTCCTTTGTCATTTAAAATATTTCGATCAAGAGTATCATAAAATCATAATTGATAAAATGTGCTTGAAATGTCATGTGTGTGAACTGTCAGGTGTCAACAATATGATAATGACAATTACAATATCATTTCGTATCTGTGTCAAAAAGAATGTCATATATTATTGAAGAAAAACAATCGCAAATTTGTTAATCTTCCACCGTGTTTTTTTCTATACAACAAACGTATCGTAATAATACGAAATGACAGTGGAAACAAAGAAAGCTTCAATTAAGTTCTCGTTAGGGACACTAATGTATCCATATCTCTCTCGTTTAGGTGTCATCCATTATCAACTATTGGAAACGCCACAAGATTTCTTTGTCGACATTGTGTCGAAAAATAATTTCTTGGTTGACAACTTGCATGTAAGTTATCCGTGGCATTTAAAATGGAAAATAAATCACATCCGTTGTAGTTTCGAAGTGGCTTTATGTCATATCGCCTCGTGATGACTGTGGGAAATATACACGTCCATTGTTTACAATGTTTCCCCTCGTATGCTCTCAATAGCGTTACATACGCGTAAGTAAGGTTTTAATACATTAAACAAATCGACGATAGACTCTTGGATACACGAAAACAAACACAGCGTTTTTGCACTTTTAAAAAAATTCACGAGGTTTCCATTCCGCTATTCTGTTAACAAATCTAGGAATGTAAACAAACACTCAGGCCGCCTGAAACTTTACTTTGGCCTACGCAACGTGTAAGGGTTTTTACGACAGCTTCGAGAGGCCACTGAGACGAAAGTCAAGTTTAGAGCTAAGGAGGGAATTGTTTGAGAACGGCTTGAAGCGACGTCACCATGTAAGCATGCTACAAGCGAAGCTAGGCTTTTAGACTTTTATAGATGACAACTTTTCATAGTCATCTCTTGTTTCTCGCCTTCTCGAAAGTAGAAAATCGCATAAAACTTGCAGAAATAATACAAGTTCAGCCTTACAAGTTAACAATTGCTAGATACCCTATAAGACCCTAAAATTTCATCACTCAAAACTTTAGAAATTAATTTTTTTTCCTCACAGAGATTCTTTTTAACCGTGCGAGAGTCGACGGTGTCTGCGCAACTCAAGCGTAAGTCCCAGAAGTTCAAGGAATATCTCACAAAGCGGTTTCAGTGGAACTTTGACGAAGAGCCGGAGGAAGATGCTCCAGTCATAGTGGAAACATCTGGATAGTCGAGCACGATGTTAAGGAGGTTCGTTGCAGTCATTTTCATGTTTGCCAGCTGTAGGAGGTATTCTGCATATTAACAGTGGTAGTTTTACGCAATAGGCATGGTAGTTGGTCTTTGAACTACTCGCAAAAAATACTTCACAAGTTGAAGTACAAGGGTTTCCTCCATAGGCTGTCGTGGTTTGTGTCTTCATGAAGTACTGAGACAAGATGTCTCGAACGTGTCGTTTCCAATGGTCGGTTCACTAAACTTTCAAGTATTTTAAAAGCAAAAGACACTTAGACACTGAATCATGAACCTGAATATACACAATAATACTACAAGTTTGGGTACTCTAACAATGAAAGTCCATTTCATTCCGAAGACATGCTAATTTTTTAAGCCAAATCCGCGTAGAAACACCTATGAAATTGCATGCAATCATCACAATAAAGAAACAAGTTTCCATTATCAAAATACTAACAAGATTCGTGCGCCGCGTGTATTAAATAATGTATATATCTTCTTAACAATATTGTAATTTGACTTAATAATACTATGTACTGTTAAACCCGCTATCTTAATTTACAATTTCGGAAGGGAAAGATTTAAAAGAAAAACAGATTTTTATCGCTCTCCCAATATTCTTTCGTGAGAGCGTCTTCATTAAATGCCAGCTTGTTGTTTATCGTGAAAATCAGCACAATTTCTTTCATTTTATTGCAAATTTTTATAATTATAAAGATATTCTATCTAAGTATTGCAGTATAATCAATTCTTTTTTAGTTTGCTTTGGCCTTCAAACGAAAGTTGGATTTGTGTGTTTATATTTTCCACCCGTTAAACGAGGGTAAACCTTCATCAAAATTTATCGAAATTAAAATTTGGACGGAACAAACTCAATTCCTTTCTATCTTGCGATAGATAATACTTAGTATAATATCGTGCAAGCTTCAATCTCAGCCCTTAAAGTTGAATTCTAGCCGAGTCAATGCATTTGCAAGATGATGTATAATGATTTATGAGATATTCTGCATTAGTTACAGAGTAACGTATAGTATTTACGGGCACACGCGACCTTTACAAAACACCTTTAGTCTTTACTTTAATGGCGAGATTTAATTAAGGCGTTAAAATATATCCATCAATCATTTGACAAACAGCACGTTGAAATGTAGCCGAAAGAATTTCTGAATTTTATTGTTTTTTAATAGTTTGTTTGGTTCAGGTGGATTTGCAATGTTGTCAGGTTACTTTGCGATAGTCAGTTAACTTGATTTGAGTCAATATTCGGGATTAAGAGCACACATCAGCGGATTTAGCCTTTGAATTTCAAATTTAAAGTGTTTCCAGTCTAAAGAATGGAAAATAAACATGGTAGAGTAGGGTTTTAACATTTCCGGTTAGCAGACTTACTGTGTCAATTTACTATACTTACTTTGTGATCCATATATTCGAAGCTGTCGTGATTTGTGTTAAAACTATGTACACTTGACGTATGAATATAGTTGATTTTCATCAGAAATGTCAAAGCAGTTTTGGTATATATAATTGAGACCAAAAGTGCATGAGCAAAATGATTCGTCATAACCTGATTAATGAGAGGGACTATCCTTTCTTTCAATCCTTTATGCACGGGGAGACAAAAATGTTAAAGAATATGGTAGCAGCGAGCTATCTGAGTTACTTGTCATGAAGGTTTAATGAAAAAGGTCTGGGGCCGGTTGTATCAAGCCCGTTTAGCTTAAACGCCGTGGATAAGTCAAAATTAAATAACACTCTTACATCTCTCTTGAATGAGTCAACTTGAATATTATGCACTGGATATATGTAGTTGTAAACAGTATCTTTGTATAAACATTTAAAAACATTTACTTTGGTTCTTGAATAAAACGATAGACTTGATTTCTATTTTGAACTTAACTACTGTTCAAGCTAAACGGGCTTGATACAACCGGCCCTGGGGGTCGTGAAAAACGTCTTCTATATTACTCGCCTATAATTGGTACGGATTTACAAGAAACCCCCTCGTGTCTGAGCTACGTGCCGTCATTTTCTGCTATTTGAAATGTGACGATTTTATCGTAACGCTTATTAGTTTATCAACATTACAATGTTATTAAACCTTTTTACAACAAACGGCTGTGCCTTTCTCATGGCGGCCCAAACCTGTTTCATTTCTCGCGTATACACACGATATTAATCTGTTATCTTGTAATTTGGATGTTGGCCGTGTGTTGACTTGAAGTCGTGTCCCATTTATTGACTGAGGAATGTGCAGTGACCAATCACATCACGGCGACAAATTGCATGCAATTTGTACAAACAAGATGACACAAAGCGTCACATTTTTTGACAATGGGGAAACGTCAACTTGTGGTTACTTAGCATTTTAAATAGCATTTTATATATTGGCATAAAACAGTTGACAAGTTGTTAGTTAAACGTTGTATCAGTATCCAGTTAGTAACCTTCTCATGGATTCGAATCACAAAGATTCTCAGTACATAACAATGGCCGGTCTCTCCGAGCACAAACCACCCAGAGCACCAAAATGTGCAAGATGTCGAAACCACGGTGTAGTTTCTTGGCTGAAAGGCCACAAGCGTTACTGTCGTTGGCGGGATTGTACTTGCGCGCAGTGCACTTTAATCGCCGAAAGACAGCGAGTTATGGCGGCCCAGGTTGCTCTGCGAAGACAGCAAACACAGGAGGAGAACCTCAGAGCTCGCTTTCAGCGACGAGAAGATACAGAATTGAGTCAGCTAACAGAGTTAGAGGAGAGTTGTCAAGAGAATGGTTACAGTTGTTCCGTAGAAGGTAAATATGTGTACCGGCTTTGATTTTAACTACACGTTAGCATGTTGATTGGTGATGTAACAACCAGGTGTTAAAGCCACCTCGGGACAACCACCAATGTGAGATGGACAACTGAACTATAATTTCAGAAAGGAGCCCACCATGAAGTTGAACAATTCAACTTTGAAAGTTAATCATAACCGAAGAGAACTTTTAAAATACATGCAACTATAATTTCTTGTTATCTCGCCGTTGTGCTGTTCTGTCAATATTCTTATAACTTTTTCAACTGATAGATTTTTACAGCAATACATATAAACAATACATCCCATGAGTTTTCAATGCGTAAAATTCTTACTATACGTTGTCACAGTCTCTTTAAACGGTGGTGTGTGAAGATTTTGTATGCTTAAGTTGAAAATACGACATATTACGATTCAAGTTGTTAAATCTGGCTGAGGCTTAAAAAAAAGTCTTTGGCACAATAACTACAATGATATTATACGAAAGTCAAGGCTATGGTGATTTGAATTTTCATTCCATTATTGTATTTATTGAAAGCATTTGAGAAGCTCACTTAACGTGCCTACCACAATTTTGTCGCCACTTTGGTCAATGAAGTACTTAATGATCTATGATAAGCATTTCTTTCATTTGGAGTCATGGAGTCTATTGTATCGGAATTATTGACGTATCAATATAATAGCTAAGCGAGTGGTCAATGATTGCATCAGCGAAACGGATAGTCACAGAGTAATCGTGAACAATGTATGGTGGCATGTCTGTCCGTAATGAGGCACAAGGGTAGTTTTGAGCTGAAGCGAGGGGAATTATACATCACTTGTATACAATTCTATTGTTTTATGCACGAAGTGCTTTAAAATAACCTGCTCCTGTGTAACGAATGAATGAAATGACAATGTTCGTTCATTTTTCCCCATCTCATGTTACCAATAAGTGCATTAACAAACAAACGGTTTACAAATTGATTGTTTAAAAAAGTCCAGCACGTATTCTTGTTTGAAAAGCGGAAAATTTTACCACACTTTGTCAGAAAGAAACATGTTCATTTTCCCGCTCAAAAGAATGTTCAAAAAACGTCACCGTGAAGCAAACTCTCAAGCTGAAACGAGTTCATAATTCAAAACAACTTTTATGGTTAATTTAAATAAGAATGAATGCTCGCAGACCAGAAGTCTAGTGTCAAAACACGACTTCGGTAAATCGTGGCAGAAACGTGTTCGTTTCAAGAGCAGGAACTTTGTCGGCGTTTCCATCGCCTGAAGGGATGAACTCCATGTCTTCCGACTTCAGTTGTCATGCATTATCAGTTTATCACCGCCTCTTTGTTAGTTCCGCCTACAACACTTATGCTTAAATGAATGCAATCCAACAATCTGCATACAGTGCCATACACTTTATTCGTTCGTTTTCCACTCAAACATGTCGTCGTTTGGTCGAGGCCCAGGGCCGGATTAACCATATGGCAGAAGCGGCATATGCCACGGGCCCCGCGGTTTTGGGGGCCCCGCGCTTTACTCAGTTCAATTTTTTTTCGGTGCGTGGGAGACGGAAAAAAGGCCATGAAAAAAAAAAAAAAAAAAAAAAAAAAAAAAAAAAAATAAAAGCCTCATGGCCACAAAATAAAATAAAGTGACTCCAAAAAGCGAGGTCCATAAATAAATAAAAATGCTTTAAAGCTTATATTAAGCTATCGGGGCGAAGTAAATAACGCGAAGCCTTAGAAATCAAAAGTCGAGGCCCAAATAGGCACCCTTGCAACCAGATTCTCCCAAGAAAATTTTAGGGTAATGGGAAAATTTAGAAATTTAAAACTTCAAGTAAAGGCAGAGCCACCCAGAGGGGTGGTCAAAGGGGGAAATTAGCCCTAAGCCCAAGGTTGTAAGGGTCCCCCAAAACCTACAAGAATAAAATTAAACTGCATGTTGTTGGAATATATAGTCCTCTTTCAGAAAACGGTTGTTATATAGCTTAGGTTGTTTATAGTTTAGGTTATGCAATATTATACTCGATTTTGCGGAAATCTCACCCCCAAAACGCAGGAAATCGCATTTGCTGCACTCTAAAACTCAAAATTTTCTTGGGGGAGGATGCCCCCAAACCCCCCTAACACTGCTATAGCCCCCAAAATTCAATTTTCTACACCAATGTTCTGGTCATGCATTATCTCGCTACAGTAGCACAAATTGCTATCTTTTTTGCGGATTTTACTTCCCTAACGAGAATTTTACCCGAGCCCCAAAAATTCTGTGGCTGGTGAGTAAAGACTTTGATGCTTTACGGGATTGAGGGGCCCCGCACTGAAAAAATGCCACGGGCCCCGCGAAAGGTTAATCCGGCCCTGTCGAGGCCATTAGTTCTACGTGATTGCCCAGAAGACAATGAAACATGTTTCGGTATGATTCGATTGGAGTGGATAATAGATACCAATTATTATTATTACCTCGACTACCAATTATTATTATTACCTCGACTACCAATTATTATTATTACCTCGACTTATACAAAAATGGGGATAGCCTGCATGTTTGGACGAAAGGAAAAGTGGGAAAGAAAAGATGGTTTTAGAAAAGCTTTGCAGATAGTCTGTCTCTGCAATCATGTGTTTGTACTGACAGCTTATTGTCTTACAAACCATCTTTTCTTTGCCTGTGTTTCTCGTGATCTTTGCCACTGATCTCTATAATTTTGTGTAGATTTAAACGACGCTCCGAGCGTTTCTACAAACAACGACGACGATGACGGAAGGTCGAAGGAACCAGAGTTTACCCAAGACGTCCGAACGGACGTGGGATTTGACAAAAAGCATTCCATCACGAGATGGCTTGACGCATCGGAGAATTCCGACGACACCGAAACCTTCCCGAAGTTGCGACGGCTAGACACGACTCCTAATCAGGAGAGCGAAAGCGTCGCGAGATGCGGCGGGAATGGCTCGTCAATTGATGTTTTGCAAAGAATATTTCCTCAACATGGTACAGCCATATTGGAAATGATTTTGAAAGCATATGACAATGATTTAGTTCGAGCTACCGAGTCGCTAATGCTTGAAAATGGTATGCTTCGTTTTCCGACTCCGCCGGTCAGTCCCGAAGATTCGTCGAGCCCTTCCATTTTCCTTACGCCTGATTCCGAGCAAACTTCAAAAGATTCTCGAAATTCAGCGTTCTCCCCAGTGTCAACCAAAATAGTCCCCTATTCATCCAACATACTACCACCAAACTTACCATCACCCTCAATACCACCGTTTACCCCCGCCTCGTTTCCAGCTCGTTCAATGTTTAGGCCGTATATGTTCCCCCGTCGTCATCACACGGGGCTACCGTTTCATCCATATATGAGACCGAATGCCGGGGGGCTGATGCTTCACTCTCCAAACGGACATGAAGCGAGATCATGTAGTCGCTGTTCAACTTGGATTTTGCCTTCGGATCGATTTTGCAGTTATTGTGGGAAATCTGCCTAAATTTGAGTTATCGTGTTGTATATTTGAAATTAGGTTGTTTTGCGAAAGCAACTGTCTGTTAAAGAGCCGTTTTCTAAAGAAATTTCAGCATTTGCTTAGCAAGCGAAACTTGCATGTTACGAAAACGGAAATAACACTAAATTTATAGCTATAAAAGCCTATATCCTAAAACAAAATATAACTTCTGTCTAAACTTTAGAAAGTTCAAATTAAATGTTTTATTTGCGTTGTCTTCATGTACACTTTTAAAGCAGTATAAAAGCTAGAAAACTGAGCTGAGTTCCATGAGAAAGATTTGGTAGAAAGGAGAGTTTAGAACCGATAGAGTTACTCAGAATCTCAGAAAACGTAGATTGTGTAACATAGTATAATATGGTATACTACTTTGACTGTCCATGAAGGTAACGAGAGCCTATAAGGGGGGGAGAGCAGGGGAGGGTAGTGGATAAAGCTTACACAGCTCCAATAGTCCGTCCTTTCCTACAGACTCACCTCTATCACCCAGTCATGAAGGCTGTTTTTTTTCATCCATTTATTCTTCGTTTTTGGCTGTTTTTCCAATTTTCATTTTTGACGCATTTTGCTCGCGTGTATCCCGCGCGTGATTCGGGAAGGTGAAAATTCAGCGGCCATTTTGAATTTTGAAATTCAGGACTCAGGAGAGAAATGTACTGAAAGATAAACAAAACAAAACAATGAAATAAATAAATGATCGTTTGTTGTTTCGCTATATGAGGTATGGAAATGTTTCCAGTGATAACGCAAAAAGAATTCGAAAGAGTGAAAAAGATTCATTCTAAAGACTATTAAAACTACATCGTAGTGATCGAACTATTGAATTCATGGTTTGATGTAGTTTCCATCCATCCTAACTTACGTCGGATTCAGACCCCATTTTCATGTAAAATTTTCGTTTCAACAAATGTACAAAAGCAGTTTTCAAAGTAGCCGGTGAGTAAAACTCGTATGTAAATGTTTATGAAAGGGTGAATAATATTAAGTTGTTTCGTTTTCCAAATGTAGATGCATTTATGGAGTTAATATTGCATTTGTATCTACTATCTATAGTCTCGTTGAAAGACGCTATCAGCGATTGCTTGAAGATGAGCAGAAATGTCTTGCAAGGAACAAGAAATTGCTGGAAGATATTGATAGATTGGAAGAACAAATGGAATATTTCAGTCATGAATGCAAACATGATGAAGAAAAATTGGATCATGCCAAGGTAGATGTGTACAATTTGTACAATTTGAAAACAGGTTTTGAATTTATGTTTTGCTAAGGTCTGACTAATCAGGCTGATTAATCTTCTGCAGGATAAATTCATGCAGTATGTGAAATCAGTTTATCCAAAATGGTCAGTAGACCTGAAGAGATGGCAAGAATCAAGAAATAAAAGCAAGAATCCTATTGCTCAATCTGATCAAAACCGAACATCACCAAATCCAGTGTCTGTTCTGCACTCAACACCTCGCAAAAATCAACTTGGTTCCACTTCTCACAATCCTCATACCCTTGAAGATACTGGAACAAAATATAAAGGTTCGTTGAGGTATCCAAGGGATACAAATGGATCGTACATGGATAAAACTGATCATGATAAGGACAAAATGAGATATCCTGAGAAAAGAACCAGTTTTATGAATGGGTCCTTAAGGGACCGAACAGATCTCTCTTGGGATGAAATGGGATTCCGTAAAGGATACTCGGGGAATGATATGAGATATCCCTGGGATGGAACAATGGTGTATCCTCAACATTCACCCCATGGCATGTACTCTCACCCAGTGCACCCATATTTTGTACCAATGCCTGCCTATGGGATGCCCAGGTGGAGCACACCTGGTTACCATGATCCATGGTCCACATCTTATGCTCATGGTACAAGTTTTGAAGATTATAGTAAAGATGGCAGACAAGGTGTATCATTTGAAAGACAAAAGCATTCATATGAACGAGATGAGAGACCGCAGGAGCATGAAACTTTGCAAAGAGATGTTTTACCAAATAGTGGAAACAGAGATTCCTCCAGTCATTTTTATGCAGAAAACTTACCTGATAATGGAGGATATCCTACAGGGCAATATAGTGATAGAAAACAAGATTTATTGGGAAGTTCAATGCGAGAGGTTGACACACAACAGTTGAGTAGAGGTGAGGTGAGGTACAACAGAAGCACAAATGTTAAAGCTTCACAAGATCATAGTGAAGATGGAAGAAGTCATGACCAAGAAAAGATCAACAGACAAGCACCAAGAAAAGAGATAAAAGATGGCCTCAGCCAACATTCTGATGTAAATAATGAAAAATACATGCAAAAGAAAAACAATCCTGAGCAAGATGGAAATTTTAATGAAGAACTGACGAATCATAGAACAATGAACTCTGGGGACTTTGATAAGCAACATCAGATGAGAGGAAGAGAATATTTTGTAGAACCTGTACAAGATGCTAGGTTGATGCAACTGAGAGGTGAAGGGAGTGAGTTTGAAGGTGGAGAAGTGATAAATACAGACTCCATTAGTTTGCCAACAATACATCAATATGAAGGAGATCCTGGTGAAATATTTAGTGACATTTCAAGTAGCGAGCCTGCGAATCAAGATGATAGCAGACGGGTTGAGAGCAAGCATTCTGAAGTTGGTGGTAATTTAAACAACCAGCCACCCAGTAGTAAGGTTGAGATTGAGCAGCATTCTGACAGAGATTATGATGGACAAGTCAAGCATGGCCCTGGTCTTATTGGTGATGATCGAGGCCAAGAGAAAAATGATGAAATTAAGTCAAATGTTTCTGCAAAAAATAAGGTTCATAAGGATGGAGGTGACAAGCGGCTGCTAACATCAGAGGTGTCTGAGAGTAAAACTAGCGTAGTGGAGGATTTGATTGGAGATGATGTGAGTGATTTTGAAGTTAGCGATGATAGTGAACATTCTGAGGTTGGTTTTGAAAACAATGCACCTGTTGCTTTAGCATCAGGAAATGTGGAAGGAGAAACAACAGGTTTGGTAGGGCATAAGATTGAGGACATTTGTGATCAGAATGCAAATGAGAAGAAAGCAAAGCAAACTGGTGTGATGCCTGAAAGCATGAATGAAGGTGAATATTCCAGTTTTCCAAATGATGCCCTTGCTGGTTATGAAGAAACAGAAACAAGAATTGAAGACAAGGCTCCAGAGAAAGATGTTGCTGGGAATACAGCAATAGCAACAAATAATCTGTCAAACAAAAGTGCAAAGCAACAAAATGAAGTGGCAGGAAGTGTAGTAGCACCTTTAAGAAATGAAACAGAGAATTTGAAGGAGGATGAGGTGCCAACGGAAACTAGCGAAGACAGACTTCATGAACAAAATGTTGATGTTGATGGTTTTAGTCGTGAAAATGAGCCAACTCACCCTAGTGAAGAATTCATTGAAGAAGAGTTAGAAAAGACTCATGACGATGTTTCTATTGGTCAAAGCAAGATTGTTGAGGATGATCATGAGGATGAAGAGATTACAAATGACAGCAAGAGAGAGTCAAAAGAGTCTGGAGTAGCTGCATTGGTGAATGAAAAGGGAGAAGATAATGTTAAGAAAAGTCATAGAAAGTTCCTCAGTGGAGATGAAAAGTCTAAAAGTGGTGTTTTAGAAGAGCTCTCGCTGTCTTCAGTGGAGTCCAGTTCAGAATCTTCACCAGTGCAAAGGAACAACGCAAGGTTGATCTTTGATTCTCACCATATTGCTTTGCCTTAGCAAAAACACTGTTGATTCATTTCTTTCTCTTCTCTTTTGCAGCAAGAAGAAAGTGGTAGACAGCAACATATCATATAGTGAAGACTTTGAGGAAAAAAGTATTTCACTCACACAAAGTGCTGTGTATCAGAAAATGTTGAGTACAGTTCATGTTAGTGATGAAGGAGAAGACTTTGAGGAGGAATTTCTTGAAGGTAATGGCGACCACTGATCACCAGATGTCTCATGTTGTAATACTAGAGCTATATTGTATGGATATTGTTTAGCTTTTCTCCTGTAGTAACACTGGATCAATAAGAGAGGATCCTGGACCTCTAGGAAGAACAGTTTAGAACTGATAGAGCTATCCTAACTTAGTTTAGTTTAGGTTTCCTCCTGTAGTAACACTGGATCAATAAAAGATGATCCTTACTTGATCTCTATATTTCCCAGGTACAATGTCCGAGGCAAACACAACAGCTCAAAGTACACACAACCCAGAACAGACTTTACCAGATGCTAGGACATCCCAAGCAAAGCTTCCAGCTAAGTCATCAAGACCAACATTGAGCTTATTCAACAGTGCAGAAAGGGATGATTTTGGGAGCAGTTTTGGCAAGGAGGAAGCAGGACTCTCTGCATCATGGCAGTCAAGTGATGGAACATTATCTCCACCGCTTTCTCCTGATACACAGGGTTACGTCCCTAGTGTGGCAGTGGGGGGAAAGATGGGGAACAAGCAGAAAGAGGAGAGAGGGTCAGTTCCCCCGGTGGGTAAAACCACAGATGGAAACACAGAAAAAGAGAAGATTGAACCGAAGCCACAAGATTCTAATACCAAGGCTCGCATTCAAGCAGGTGAGTCTATTTTTAATCAGTCGTTTAAATAACTACTGTAATGTGTAAAGCCCACCATATGTGACAAGGCCCTAACTAGCAGATTTTTAACAAATATTCTCTTTCCCAGGTTTCTGGAATCAATCGGACAGCGAGTCTGAAGTGGATTTACAGGTCAGTCATGGGGGACAGAATAATGATGCCAATGATGATGATGACTTTGATTTTTACAGTTGAACTATTCAAAAGAAATAATAACAGTGGTAATGGCAAAGTTCAGTTAAATCAGTCCTTTATAAACACAAAATTGACAGATATAACTGTATAACTGTAGAACTATAATCTGATCTACCAGCTTATAACAGTAAAAACTTCGGAAAACAAGTAATTCTGTGCATGCACTTGTTTTGTCTTGGCTTGTCCAATGACATTGTATTTATTAGTTCGAATCCACCTTTTAAAAAATTTGGAACTTGCGGATGGTTTGACTTGGTCAACTTAATTTGATATGTGGTGCATGGTCAGTGTTTATTAATTTACCTATGGTTAGTAACCAATATCCAAATCATGACTAGTTTTTATCAAGAATACTTTTTAATTGACATGTCTGTGGTTCCTAAATCTTTCCTGATTTTATCTAAAATACACACTGTTGTAAAGAGTTGGTTCGGTCAATGGCTTCAGCAGAGATGTAAATAACAAAAGCCCAATAATGAACATAGCTGCAACAGCTGGAAGAAAAGAAAAAGATTAAGAGCAATTTTTATAGGACATTTTTCTGAATTTATTCACCAAGAGTGTTTATACCTTTTGGATATTTTGTGTCAGGAATTTTCTCAAATTCTGGAATTCCCATGTAGTTGCAGAAACTATGACATATGAATGGGCCAATTAAATGTCCTGGTGAATTGAAATGAAAAACAATTTTGTCATGAGAAGATTGTGCAATTTTACTGCTAACATATAAAGTAAGTTTACAACCTCACCTGTTCTGATAAATACAAAGGCAGAGTAGATTCCAAAAAGAGTTGTGTAACTGAACTGAAAGACTAAAAACGAGATAGTGTAACAAATGTAACATTCTGATAAAATTGCATGTTTGCACAATTCTAAATAACTCTTCACTGACTTACGTGTTCCTATACAGACATTTAGCACATTTTCTTTTGCTTGTAACCGTTCGATAGCATGGTGAAAATGGGCTGAAATATAGATGTTGAATCTGTATGTTAGATCTTGTTTTTCTTAAATTATCTTTTCTTTTTACAGATATAATCAAGTTAAGAAGTTGAGAATATTCTCAGACAGACTTTCTCAAGGTAGATCAAAGAAACTATATCCCAATTAAGAGGCAGCTTCTAAAATCATTACCCACTCCGAACAATAGAGGACAAATAAACACAGCGCCTGTCAGACCCATGGATGGTACAAGTAAAGGTATCATGCAAGCTCTGTAAATCATTTCTTCTGTTGCTGGTGCCTGAATGGAAAAGGTACAAACCTCAAAAGATATTCAAGAATGCATCAGGAAAGATTGAATAACTGAATGCTTACCACAACAAAATTTCTCAAGCTTATCATATCTGGGAGAGGGGTGAATCCTAGAAACAATTGAATTTCAAATGATTTAAAACCAAAGTTTGATCGGGATTGTTTTAAAGTCTTCATGTCCAATTATCTAACCTGACATAAATGGTAGTTCTTCTGCCAGAAACATCATGGTTATTGGACCAATAAAGAGCACCTAAGGAACACATTTTAATATGCTATTATTACAGTCAGTTGATATATTATTAACCACAAGAAATAATACTTCTTTCATAATCTACCATTGTCAGTAGTAAGGGAAGCACAGCAGCCTTGATTATGTTCTCATAGTGAATTCCAAGCCATTGCCAAATGGGTGCCCCCTTAAAAGAATTTATTTTGATAATGAAGCTTGATGCTGAAGGTGCAAGCAACCAGCTTTCAGACAATTCATTCTCATGCATACATACGTTAGGTGATTGTTGAGATAGCAAAAAAACAAAGATTGGTCCTATAAAACAAAAGCCGGTAGCTCGGATGCATCTCAGCTTTATGGTTTCAAAATGATCACTGCGAAAAGAAAGATCATGGCTCAGGGTATTAGAACTTATTTTTTATTCTGTATTAAAAGCTAATATGGGAAACCTGGGGAACAGGTGATTATAATCTATAATGCAGGTTTAGTGAAAGCATGTCCAAGGAAAGGATGCAGTGCAAAGCTTGAATTTCAGAGGTCAGTGTTAAGTTATATATAAACAAGTTTGCCTTTTTGATTTGTTAAAGTCACATGTGCGGAAAGGTTTTTGTACCGTATTTAACTCACATACCGATGATATGGTGATTTCTTGATATAAAATACAAGAATATAGGATATGGCTAAGAAAAAACAACTTCCTAATGCCCATGCACGACTTAACCCGTCAAAAACTACTTCATTGTCAACCATATTTGATTTGCTATATCCGGGGGGTAGCCTCTTGAAGGTTCAACAATACGATGAATGTTGACGTCTGAAAGTGAAATTACTTTGTTTTAATGGTTTTTCTAGATTCGGAATATTTCATCTCTTATGAGTTATCTTAGTTGGTTAATATATCTAATATGTTGAATGCAAGAGTTCTGGGCTTTTGTGTTTTCTCGAAAGTAAGATACCATTAGAAATCCGGGGGAGGGAAAACACAGGAGATTCGTGGTGGGTCGGGCTGAGTCGAAATCGGGCTGACGACAATATTGACAACTTACAAAGCACTAAGCAGGGCCTTTTTTTAACTATATTCAGACTTTTGTGCATGGTATATGAGGAATCTATTACCACTATGGAACATAAAAATCTGCATCTTTTTCATTAATTAAACACTTCTTTTTATTCCAAATTTGAAACTCGCAAGGACGTATTTTAGGTGTAAGTCTCCCGTTCGCAGGCTATTCGCCATTCACGTGGAATTTAAAGAGCCACGCGCTGGAAAACATTGCACAATAATTTTGCACAATAGTTAAAGGCCAAATATAGTTTCTCATGGCTACTTGAATCACTTTCATATGTAATGGATGCATTTCAAAGTGTCAAGCAGTGTGGTAGCGATATTTTATTTAGTTTGCATGACTTTGATCCACCGATATCGCCCGTGGAAGATCCCAGATCTGTGTCGGGTTTGGATGGAGGAAAGATCATTGAGTATGTTTTGGAGTCTGCCAGGATAAGAAATGCAGTTACTGAGGTATGTACAAGCGGGAATTGTGAACGCTCTGAATCATCTCTGCTTTCATTCTGCGCAGTTTACAATGCTCTCTGCAGTTTCTAATCTCAGGAGTTTATGGTAATTTTCAAGTTTCATTAGGCTGGATTTGCATATTTTCTTTAAGAGTATAAACAAATTAGTTCAACATGACTGTTCTCAATTCAAAAGAAAATATGCAAATCTTTTGCTAGCAAACCATTTCCCTGCAAGTGGAAATCCAGCCCTTGTTCAAGCCTTTCCCCACAGCATAATTATACAAATACTTCTTGATCTAAGAGCCTTGTTTTCATAAGACATAGACCCATACTTAAAAACCTAGGTTAGGCCTCAAGTAATGGGGTCATGGTTTAGGGAGGTGGGTGCAAGTGAGGTGCAGGTGGGATTACATACTTGTGAACATCCTCTGAGGTCAACCAAATGTACCATATAGATTGCATCCAAGCAAGGAAGAAGTGTTGAGGATGTTTTTGCTGAAGTTAAAGTACTATTGGCTGACATTGGACACACTTTTACATTGAAGAGCATTCGTTTCATGGCCTATTTATTGAGGAAGGTTTTTAGGAATATCTATTCTGGCATCAAAGTTAACATGGAAGGATTAAACAAGGTTTTTCTTCACAATTGTTTTGTTCAAGACTTAAGCTGATTTCAGAGTAATTATAATAAAGAGAAGAATGAGCTTATTTGTATTTAATTGATGTATCATGTAATTAGCAACTTATCCCTAGTCTGCTAAGCTGAGCCCTGTATTAATTCAGGCTAGAATAAGCTTTTTGAAACAGCATTTAAGCATTATTTCTAACCTTGGGCCATTTTATATAAATCTAGGTTAGAGAGATATCAAAAGAGTGTCCTGTGGTATTTGTGCCTTCTCATCGTAGCTACACAGATTTTCTTCTTGTTTCATTTGTTTGTTTCATTTTTCAACTGCCTCTGCCTGTCATTGCTGCAGCCCAAGGTAGATGCTAGCTTTTATAAAACTTAGGGGAACTGGAGAATTCAAAAAGTATCCAGGATACACTTGCCCTCTTATGATAAGGGAATGCTATTTTGTCAGATTTCAAAAGCATGAAATTAATTGGTGGACTTCTACGGAACTGTGGTGCATTTTACATGAAGCGAAGTTTTCGTTCTGACGAGCTGTACTGGGCTGTCTTCTCCGAATATGTGCAATGCTTGTTGTTGAATAGCGGGACAACTATGGAATTCTTTCTTGAAGGAACTAGAAGTAGATCAGGGAAGAGTTTACATCCAAAACAAGGTATGGAGAAAAACGTTCATGATTATTAAATCCGTTTGGTTGAAACGCTGTGAAGTGAGTTTTTTTCAATGAAGATGTGTATAATATTTAAGGTCTCCTGTCAATCATCACTGACGTTTACTTCACGTCACGTGTTCCTGATATTGTGTTCTGTCCAATCAGCATCAGCTACGACAGAGTTCTTGAAGAGACTTTGATGGCGCGAGAGTTGCTTGGGGTGCCAAAACCAAAAGAATCCCTTAAGGTGAACAAAGTATTGCATAAATAGCGGCTTGTCGTTCACAGATCTAGTTGTACGAAATCTTTCAACTTAAATGCCAGGTTTATATAAGAGAAAGGCAGGAGAATAGCTGTCAAAGCTATCATAATAGTGAATGCATCCCGCTTGTTTTCTTTTAGAGAGCTAGTACGTGCTACCGTCTTTTTATCATAACATTGCCCTAGTGTTTGTGATAGTTCAATGAAGTTCCTCGCCTTTTTCGCAGGGTCTGTTGAACTCACGTTCTGTTCTCTCGGATGATTACGGTTATGCCTACATGTATTTTGGGAAACCAATTTCGCTAAGAGAGTTTTCAGATGGATTAGTGAATAGATCTCAAAGATCTTGTATTCCCAGGTAGGTCTGTCTGATGATTACGTAAGTCTAAAGATTAGGCTGCTTGAAAGTAATGTATTGAAGTGCCATTTCTTTGAAATGATGCTTCATTTTCTGGGATGAAACCGGCCATCCTCAGCTTTGATTCTGTGTCCTCCCCTCACCACTTTTCACACGCTTCGGAGCGAGCCTCTGGCCGCCGTGTCCAGGGAGAATAGGCTGAACCGAAGATTGATTCATCGTCATCCTTCTAGGTCAATAAGGAACGAAGCAACTGCAGATGAAATGAATGTCGTTAGAAAACTTGCCGGGCATATTTTAGAGAAAATACAAGAAAATTTGATCGTGTTACCCAATATGATAGTCGCGTCGATTATTCTTCAATATCCGACCGGAATTGATCTGGGTAAGATAATGAATGCTGAATATCGTCTCTTACCTACGTAGAATAGTTGGGGTAAACGAAGGTTTTTGTTTTCAAACAGAGCTTCTCACAAGAAAGTATGAATCTACCCTGGAATGGTGCAAGAAATGTGATGTGCCAATCGCAAGAAATGGTAAGAATTGCAGTGATAGAATATAGGATTCATGCAGTGTTGTTGACAAACAAATGAAATCACTTCTCACATGTGGCTGAGCTGATAAAAGTATGCTGGAGTGATATATTCCGGGTTAATATGAGCCAATTTACACTGATGCATGAAGAGTTGACACAGTATTTTTTGTGTATATTCAGTTTGTTCTTTTTTCATCCAGAAAACTGTGATTTGAAAGACGATTTAGTTCAAAGTTTGCAGCTACTGAAAAGTTCTGTATTTGTTACCGATGATGATAAAGTTTGCTTGCTGGAAACTGAAAACTATCCTGAGGGGTTTAAGAATAAAGTTAGTGCATTACTGGATGCAAGAAACAGCCTTGAAATCACAAGAGACACAGAACATTTGAATGAAGAGACGATGAACTCAGAGGCAACTAGCCTTGGTGGACCGTCGTTGTTGACTGATTTGAAAGCATTAAACGGGGAAGAAAAGAATTATCTTGTTCATTTGACTTGTGTTCATCTGCAACTTGCTCATCAACGGAATCAACTGCTTCACTGGTTTTATATCCCAGCCATGGCGGCCCTTGTTGCTCGAACTTGTGCAAGCAATATTTCCGAAGGTATGTACCTTGTTATTGGTGGTGCTGTGGGGGATATTGGTGGTGCTGTGGGGGATATTGATGTTTAAGTGTTGATTGTAGCTGTAACATGTGAACAACCAACGTTCATTCAAGCTATCACGATTGGTTGAAATGAAGGAAATTATTTTTATCCTGGAGTTCACACTATAATGCAAAGAAATAATGTTCTACCAATTGCTTTTTTATTCTAATTAGATTATCTTTACAAAAGAGCAAAGTCGATTGGTGATCTGGTCTGTATGGAGATAGCGAAGGACTCGTTTCCTTCTCAACAAGTAAGATACTTTGTGTAACGTTATTTCAAGTTGATGCAGGCGCGATGAAGAAGATCGTAAAAAAACAAGCTGATTATTCCACACTGATAAATATATCCACTGATTATAACGGATTACACACAGATACAGCTAGCTCATTCATCAACGGTATTTATGTTTTGTTTTTACTTCCAGGAATTCGTATCTGGTCTAGAAAAGTTTAGAGAATTGGGCATGTTTGATCGTCGTGGTGAATTTTATGTTGTAAATCAGACAGAGTCCTTTCATTTCATTTCTCGTTTATGGAAACCTATTATCACCTCATACTGGCTCATTTCTTGCCATATTCTTAATTTTTGCGAACACGGGAAGGAGTATCAGGCGAACACGTTAATACACAATTGCCAAGAATTCGCTTTGGAACTTTTCTTGAAAGGTAATGATGGTGCAGTGCGGTATTGTACCTATTTATAGATCATAGAAGTGTTTACGACACGGCAAGTGAATTGGAATGCACTGGTCAACCCATATGGATGACCTTATTTGTACATAAGTTTGAAAACCATTATTGATCCAATATTACTACAGAAGGAAATCTAAACTGAACTTAACTGGTTTTCGTTTATACTGGATAGCTCTATTAGTTCCAAACTGTTCATCTCTTATTGATCCAGTGTTACTACAGGAGGAAACCTAAACTAAACTAACTTTATTTATACTGGATAGTTCTATCAGTTCTAAACTGTTCTTCCTTGAGGTCCAGTAAGGATCATCTCTTATTGATCCAGTGTTACTACAGGAGGAAACCTAAACTAAACTAACTTTATTTATACTGGATAGCTCTATCAGTTCTAAACTGTTCTTCCTAGAGGTCCAGTAAGGTTAATCTCTTATTGATCCAGTGTTACTACAGGAGGAAACCTAAACTATAAACTAACTTTATTTATACTGGATAGCGCTATCAGTTCTAAACTGTTCTTCCTAGAGGTCCAGTAAGGATCATCTCTTATTGATCCATGCAGTGTTACTACAGGAGTAGTCTCTTTAAGTAACGATCATTGTAATATTGTCAACTTTCCTTCGTTATTTTAGGGACGGTTCAGGATCTGGAGATACAAAGTCTTGAATTATGTAGAAATGGAATAAAATCACTGCGAAAACTAGAAATAATCAAACAAATGTAAGAAAAGAATCTCGTAGTTCATCTATTCGGGTGACAAAGAGCGCGTCTTTTATTTGATGAGAAACATGGAATTTGGAAAGTGAACTTTAACTCATTACTTTCGCTCTTTTAGAAAGCGAGATTCAAACGACATGATCGCAATATCCAATAAATCATCTCTATACAACACAACAGTCACGTTAGGTAAATGGAAAATTATAAATTATTTCCAAGAACAGCAACAACAAAAATAATAAATGTATAATATAACCTCTCTCCTTGCTTGTTTAGAAGACATTCTACATCTTAAATTCACGCGGCAACCTTCCACACGGAGTAAACTTTAACGGACTCATAGGTAAGAAATATATTTATTATTAACAGATATTACGACAAGTAATACGAATGGAATGACAGCTTTTTTTGCCCAACAAATTCCGCTAAAAGTGAAACCGCGATCCGTTAGTGGAAAATAGAATTAAGTCACTTACAAAAACGCTAACATGTCATTTGCAAAATGATATGTTTTTAAATTTATTCGTCATGGATATACTGTAGTAGAACGTCACAAAATACCACTCGTTTCAGGTATGCGTTTTCTGCAATACAGCTTCAAAAACAGTATTGAGTCAGTTTCCATTTTTGGACGAGATTTGAAACGATCTTTGTTCCTTTAATGATATTGTCATGCTGACCTGCTTTCCTGTGAAGTCAATTGCATGATTCTAATATAGAATTTGAAACAATTATTGAATTCCGAAATTGATAAACCGCAATAACTCGTATCTAATTGGTAGATAGACTATACAGCAATACAATAATATTTTTATGACTGTAGTAAATGTCTGGCGTAGCGTCAAAGATCGTAGTAGAAATAATACAACAACCGTAACACCTGTTACATGAATATTAACATGTGTATATATCTCATGAATAACATTTTATTCAATGACAGATCGAATAAATTACAGGACGCTTAAAATAACACATTATTTACATTCAAAAAATATGAAAATAAAATGTTGCCTGGTATAATTTCATTCGTTTCTGCCGCTATTCCGTAAATTAATCTGAGGTATCCGGTGTTTCCGAAATACTTCATGTCTAAATTGCTTTCTAATTATTATCCACGAATGTAATTTGTTTTGTTGTCACTTCAAATATAATATTCTCCTGTTAATTTGTGCGTTCGAAATCCATATCATTCGCTAGCATTTCGTGTGTTCGCCGATCTTATCATCTGAGCTTCTTCGTGCCTTCCAATCTTCAAAACTTTGTGTCCTCGTTGTCGCTGTTTATAGAAGCAAGCATCGTGTCGGAAGCGTAGAAATCATCATCTCCGCCTTGTACAATGTTCTGTATCTTCGTCCGCAGTCCGATTAATTGTTTTGCAAGTGATCTATCCTGACATCGCATTTCGCGCAGTTCCTCCTTCAACCAAATCAAGGCTGCTTCCAAATATTGACACCTTTCCTTATCGCTGGCGCCCTCTCCACAAATAACTGGCGGTTTGTTCTTTACGCGCGTGTTTTCCACATAAGCGTGAAGTTGGTTCTGAAATTCCATATCGAAGTCTTTCAGAAAAGAGACTCTTTTCGTCGCTATTTCCGTCGTCAATTCCATCGTTAAATGTCAACACGTATTAAACGGTATTAGGTCTTCTCCTGTTACCCCAATTATGCCCATATACGCAAGCGTATATTACCAATTTGCAGGCAAAGAATTTTTAGCAATATTCAAATTATTTTCCATAATTGTTTTAACTGTTGGCAAGCGTCAACAAAATTGGCCCTTTTAACCGTCGGCGGTCTGTCACGAGAGCTTTCTTCTGTCCTTCGGAATGATTCGTATCGTGTCGTCGTTCTGGTGGCCAATCGTTTACATATACGCTATGCCGAATGCTTTCCGATGTTGTTGAAGCTTGAAGAATCGTTGTATTATAGTAGGAAGACTCCTGCTTCGACAATTTGATAAAAATGTTCCAACTCGCTAAGTTCCTGTCACTACTGATGGCTTTTATTCATATGTAAATTGATATCAGAAATACGCGTGAATACATTTAACACAGCATGAACGTTTTTGATATTGGATAGCTTTATCAAGCTTCCCAGGATGTCTAGTCAGAGTCATCTCTTATTAACTAAACTAGCTTTATTTATGAGCTGTGCATATTATTTCAAAACTGTTCTAGAGGCCAATAAGAATCGTCTCTTATTGATTCAGTGATACTACCGCAGGAAATCTAAACCAAACTAACTTTATAGCATTGATTAGTACCAGGTCAAAACTGCTCTTTTTTAGAAGTTCAGTAAAGGTAATTTCTTATTGTTCCAGTTTTACTACAGGAATAGAAAGTCTGAACTAAACTAAAACGTAATATGCACTTGAAGTTAGATACAAAACTTTTCGGTATTCTTGTTTCGTTTATCTTCAATTGAAGTGTATAAAAAGAAAGGAACACGCAGCTACATTTAATATTTTAAACACATTTATTTTTCGTGAGCATTTGGATTCAAATCCACCCGAGGATAAATATGTTGCTTATTTTCCACAAGTGGAAACCGCGTTATTCTTCTTACATGTATAATACTAACAATGACTGAAGTTTCAATATCAAAAGATATAGAGTAAGTTCCACAGTCTCCAGTCTAACTAATATTGCAATTCAGTTCAATATGTCTACATAGCATGCATACATCAGCATAGCTGAAAAAAATAAAAACTCAAAGCGTGCGGCCTGTCCACATCACCAACCGCCTCGTACGCTTGTAAAGACACGACACTAAATGGTCGTTTCTATCATGCACGTATTTACCAATGTGGTAACTAAAAATTCAACTACAATAAATCTTACTACAAACTTAAGTCTACAACTCAGAACTATATAACTTCGTGTACATCCAACGACTGTGTATAGCTACAACTCAAGTCATTTCCATGCAACAATTTTAGTATCAGAATGCACATACTATGTCGAAACGCTTGAACACATTTACACACTCAGTGTTTTAAAAGAGCAAGTCATGCAATACATGATCATGAAGTCAGTGTTGAGTACAAGTTCAACACTAAATGTTCTGCGATGTTTTTCTTTGTGTAATGCAAACATTCAGTTTCTCAAGCAATACGAGTTCTTAATTAAAGACACTTCTTATATACATACACCCGCCATGACACTCTCAAATTAATGCAATCGCTTGGTAATACTTGATTAAGGCATGGTTACACTAAATTATGCTATAAATTACTCAACTAAGGCGCATTATTTTAAATTCTAACATAACCGGGGTTTATTCAGTTCAGTTTATGATGTATTTCCAATGAGCTCCATGTTTGTGGTGTAAACAAATCACTTTTTTTCATCTTCTAGATTGCCATGAATTTTGGCCGATTACTTCGATGAAAAACGCCAAAGTTCATATCTGAATATTGTGATTTATTGCACACCACTTACATCATTGGATTAATATCTTGAAAAGACTTGAAGTGATTTTCTTGACTCAGTAATCAGTATTTTTTTAAGTGAATGACATGCCTTTAAGGGCTTTGCTAAAGGAATTTTCCTGAGGAATGCCATATCAGTATGACAATATCCGGCATTGTATAATTTTCTGACAAAAATGAAATGTTTTAGCTAGTAAATCGTCTAACTTGAAAATGTCCTGTAAGAAAACTTATAGTCAGATGCTGGCTGACGATAGCTCTGATCTTTTACTGGTACGCTCGTTCATAGAAAACCTTGGGAACGAGCGAGGCGTATACCTGAATAAACCCCGTTTGAATGATCATTTTGCTAAAACTAATCTAATTTTACGTGTCTATTGCGTTTATAAAGAGATAAACGATAAAAATACTATATAATAGTTGGTATTATTTCAATGCCTTGATTTGGTTTAATGACTCAATATTTCTTAAAACATGATTACAATATAAATCTTACTTTCTGATGAAATTAAAATAATTATACAATACAACATCGGCGCGATGTTAAGGTCAATCAAAAGTCTCAATCCTTTCGGCGGAACCGAACTTCACTCTGTGTCCTCGATTGACCAAGATGCATCTTGATTCAAGATGGCGTCGAAAATAGTGCAAAAGGTCCATTTGGACCCGAACCCAAAATTGAGTTGCGCATGCTCATGCTTAACATGACTATCTCAAAACGTTAGTTAAATCACAAATCATAATTCTTTAAAACACGAAGATTATTACTTAGTAATAATAAGAGGTACTTAGAGAGAGGGGTGGTTAATATTAGGTGTTATTCAAGAGGTACTCGTGTTTGTCTGAGGGGAAGGGGGGGGGAGCTTAAGATTTAGGACAGCAACGTAAAGATGACAGCAAAAATATAATCTTTCAAATAAACGATGGGAAATTATGGTAGATTTTTAATCGTTAATTTAGTAGAACAATCAAAATGTTGAGGACAGAGTCGTGAGAATTTGCGATTTGAAGGATGTTTAAAACTTGCAAGCTTATAGCTGATCGTTTGGTCTCATAAATCTTAAGATCTCTATGTATACTATGTATTGTATACACGAATTAAATGCAATGCTACTAGCTGTAGTAGATAAGCTTATATCATGCTCTCTATCTTCCACGATTTCCCATTATTTATTTGTCGATTGTGTGTACTATTTTACTAGAACTAAACTACGATATAAATGGTTTTTGTGGAGCTCAAAAACCGCGCCATACTATAGTACTATTATATAAATATAATATTTCAATATGAACTGAAGACTATTGACAATCAGTCAATTAGTAAAGATTAGTTTAACAGTTAATCTCGGATGATAACTATCACAATTAAATGGAAAGATTGTAATATCAAAAAACACTTTGCTGTAAACTGGATCTCGGTGGATTTCAGCGCCTTGTGTGTAGATCAAAATGGTCAATTTCTAATAGATTGATAATCTAGTGATCTATGGTCTTTCCAAGAGAATTTATACAATGATCTTAGGCTTTCTAGTCTTATGGATAAGTCTTAGGTTTTCTTTTTCCATGTTCTTTTTCTATGAATTTGACCATCATATGCGTACGACACAACACTAAAATCCACCTTCAAAACACAGCTACTTTTAAGAACAGTGCACAAACACTTACTGTAATAATTGTTACTTTTCACCTTCCAATTTGGAGTGTAAATTCTTCTCGTGTCTTCTCAAATGACTGGGATTGTTGAAAGTCTTGCTGCATTCGCTGCACTTGTAAGGTCGTTCTCCAGTGTGGATCAAAATATGCCGCTGTAGATTCCCGGAAATCGAGAATGCTTTCGGACAATATTGACATTTGTATGGTTGTTCCCCAGTGTGGACACGATTGTGCTTGCGAAGTGAACTGTACTCGGCAAACGACTTGTCACAAGCTGCAGGAAACGATTAATTGTGCATGATAAAACGATGAAAGCTAAACGAGAGCTCAGTCTACGAATATTACAGCATTTGCTGTACTCCTGTTTACATGAGCCCGGTTACCCGAGATTCACAAAGCATGAGTTGATTTTGAGGTATTGAAATGAGCAGATAACATGATCCTGGCAGTCGTATAATCACCACAACAATAGCATGTGCTTATTTGATGTCATAAAGACTTATTTTAATACCTCAAAGTCCTCTCACGCTTCGTTGAATCTCGGGTAACCGGGTTCATGTAAACAGCCCCTAAATCAACCAGACCGTCTCGGACAACTATCACACACTTACCTGGACATTTATAAGGACGCTCCCCTGTGTGGATTCTGATATGTTTTTGGAGGGAGCCCGGATCTCGGAAAGCCTTGAGACAATGTGAGCACTTATGAGGTCGCTTGCTCATATGAGACGTGATGACGTGTTCCTCCAAATTGTCGCGATCAGGGAAGGGTTTGAAGCAGAAACTACATTGAAAGTTGTTCCGATGATCTGCGTGGAATTCGATGTGCTTCTGTAAGCCGTTGGTGCTTCGAAAGACCTGGGTACAAACGTCACACTTGAACGTAAAGTTGCTACTGGTGTGGCTAGCGGTGTGCGCGATGAGGTCACTGGTAGACTCGAAGGTAACGATACACTGTTGACAAGTGAAGACAACTTTGTTTGGTTTGAAATGGATCGAGCTTTCAGTGACGGTGTGGCTATTCGACTCCAACGCCCCGCCACTTGTTACAGCTTTGCTGTCTTGGGTACCCGCCTCTAGTTTCCCCCCACTCTCCAGGGGGGAAGTGTTTCCACTAGGTTCCTTTGTTTTTGCAGTTACGAGTACGGAACTCTTTGCTATTCCGTTGGCACCCCATTCATTTGCCACGATTTTCTTTACCATAACCCCTCTCCCCAAAGGCGAACTGTTTCCTTGCCAATCAGTCCCTGGCATTCCCCCACTCCACAGTTTTGGTATTCCTAACTCTTTTGCCGTCTCTGTTGAAGCCACGTTCCCCAAGGGTGATTTTGTCACTTGTTCTTTGGGTTTTGGTTCTTCCACTCCCCCGGTTCCCACACCTGACCAGGCTACTTCTCTGAACTCCTGTACTCCCATGTTCTGTGCATTCAACTGATCCAAATCATTCCCAATTTCCTGCAATAATCCATTCCGAAGAGGAGAACTGTTCACTTGTTTGATTGGCTCTGATGTTCCCCCATCCGGCGGGTTGGACCCATTCCCTTTTCTCTTCACTCTGGTATCGATAAGTGTTCCATCGCTCATCGTTTCTTTGCTTGGTTCCAGTATCCTCTCGCATTGATTGTTAACTTCCTTCCATGCCTCTGTCGCTGCTCTCGCCCCGGGACTCTCGCTGTGATTTATCGTATTAGTCTCCAGTCTTCCTATGTTAGAAACAACGGTCTGCTGCACTCTGGGAGGTCTCTCACTGACACTAACACTAACAACAGGAAAAGGAATATCACTTATCAGGATACGCGCCACATCCATCTCCATATTTTCGTATTCCTCGATGATCTGGTCATCCTTGGCTAGCCCGTCCTTCGGTTTCTTTTCGGTTATCCCGGATCCGGAGGGCCACGAGGATGATCGTTTTCTCGAGGGAATTGTATGCGGAAATCTTCGCTTCGAAATTCTCTGAATTGGAATAACTTCCGAGGCATTTGAAGACGCTGGAACTCTTGTCACTTGCCGGTCCTGTACTTCTGCAATTTTAGTTGTAGTCTTTGTGACAGACGCACCAAGTCCTTGTGCATTCGAAGAGACAAGCCTTTGATGAGGATTACGTCGGTTTGGTAGAATAGAACTGGTCGTGTGCCGTGGCTTGGACGATGCGAGTGCTACGCCGAAAGGACTGAAGACTGGTAACACTGGAATCTGGGGTGAATAAACCTCATTCTGAAATGGCCAGGAATTGTCCGGTTTTCCCAAAGTAAGTTGCTTCAGGCTTGTTATGGGTAGTAAGTTCTGAATGGGTAGGTGGTAACCAGATGGGAACACGGCGGGGTAACGACCCGCATCTTTCCATTCGTTGCTTTGAAAAACTCGCGATTGGTTGAGGATTATTGCCGTGTTCATATTTTGGAAAACGTTAGCGTGTCTTCCTGTCAAGAAATAGCAAGACGAAGTTCAGCTAACGAAAAGTAAATCATGTTATTTTCATAGTTGATAGCTGCATAATATATTGTCTTTCTCACAGACCATAAAAGGTCGTAAAAATTATCGATATTTTTCACTTGGATCACTGGAGTAATAGTCAATAACAGTACGAGACTTCGAGATATAATCGAGGACTAGGAGAGGTTGTTTGCTGCTGATGTAGGGAGGCTGTTTCACGACTTCACCGATGCAAATAAAATGTATGTAAATTACCATCGGCTAAGATACTGAAGTGTTAGTTAATGAAGTACAACAGTGGTTTAATAGTGTGTGTGTCAGCGTGTTCTTGACATGAGTCTAATACCTTGATAAAAGTATGCAGTTTTAAGATCTTATCCATGAGTAGTGCTCTTCGCTTCTAGGCCTGTGAACAACGAATGTTTTACAATATGCTGGTAAAACTGATTTGAGCAAAAAGGTACGAACCTTTTCTAAACCACTAATAAGGTGTGGAAATTGCATGTCTGACTAAAGAGACGGTACTCACATGATCTTTGCAGACCTTGTAGAGTTGAGAGGAATTGTTTACAGGGCGATTGATGTCACCCTATTCTCATGTGTTTCACTATATAGTCTTACAATAGCCCTTTGGGGCAAAAATAAAGAGGCAAAATTAGCTCAAACACCAAAGATGGTTTCTGGTCTTCACGTGTAATTAAACAAACGATCATTAAAACATGCTTCCTCAACTATTGTGGTAAATTGGACTAATTGATGGCATACCTCGTATACTTCGAGCTCTTTCATTACTAGAACGTCACAAAAAACACGACTGTTCTCAAGTTAGGCGTTTCACGTTTAAAAGAATAAGCAACGATAAGCAAGGCGTGCTTGTTCTGCTCTGGCATGAGTAATAAATGGTTAACTTTATCTCTTCACGTCTGGACATTAACATGTCGTTCACAGGAAACTGAGTTATGCCAAAGACTAATAGGTCAAAAATAATGCAAAGCAGAGCAAATTTGGCCGAAGAAACGTTCGCAAAAACACGGTTGTTTTGACTATAGAGAAAACATTACACCCTAATACATTTTTGGTAAATTAAGTGGGATTTACAGTTTTAATACTTTATAACTCAATGGCGTCTGGCAAGAATTATCCTCCGGACAAACAAGATAATTAAACCAATTTTCCCATCGGCGGGGTGGCTTTCAGTACCCAAATTATCGAAGTGAAAATAAGTCCCTAACTTATCTCTAAAACAAACTTCGGCAAATATGCAAAACATTCAGCTATTTACACACGAAAATAGCTCGGGCAAGCTGGGAAAAGGTGAACGCTGATAATAGACTGATAAAAAACGCTTGTATTTTGTTTTCGAAGTGAAAATAACGGCCGTTGTTTCAGACTTCACAGCAACATTTTATTAACTCAAATTACGAATAATTGTGAAATGTAATGAGAGCGAAACAGCGTAGAGACTTAAAATATTCACTTTCAATTCGTTTTTAGCCGTGAGTTCTGAATCCTAAATTTAATATTCCATAAAAAACTATTTAAGATGGCGTATGCTGTATGCATATCGTTGAATATTAAGGCTATTGTTGTAAAAAATGTTTTTATTGGTCGAGGCTCGTCTAGACGCCTGAAAATCAATTAAAACTTGGCGTGGCGTACTAAAAGTAAAACTACTTTTTAAATTTTTACATCGTGTTATTTCATTTCGCTCGTATCTAAAGCAATAGTGCTCGTGATGTATGTAACAATATTACCCTGCCAATTTGCCGAAATGTTACAATTTTTGCACGGATATACACGATATTCCTTACTCAATTATTAACGGGTAATGTATTTACTATAAAGCCCAATATATGAAGCATATTGCCAACGTTACTACGTTGGCTAATGAAAAATTCACGTTGCATGCATAATTTGTGTGTACTTCTATTTAATATTAACTACATCGTAAAATCGAAAGTTCCACCCAAAAATTCTAACATATTTGCAACAGTTAAACTATGCCACAAATACACATTCCTCGGAGCGATTAGAAAGGGCAAATGTGTGCTGCCGCTTCGCGCCACAAAGTTCCCACGCTGTAGCATACGTGTAAAGTACAAAAGAACTATGTTGTTACGACTTAAACGAAGCGTTAAATTTCTTTCGAAACTATAACAAAGTATGAAACCATATTCGAAAATATTTAGAACTCAGTTACATTGGCTTCTAGAAAGTAATTTGATACTTTCAAGGAATTCCTTAGAAAAGCCCGAGTTATCCCTAACATTCATGGTGTAAGGCAGCGTATTTACACAAGTAATTCCCCATATAGGAGTTGTTATATTTGTACAATAAACTATATTGCCTTTCTGTTCAATTTCCTACGACACGACGTCTAGACTGGACGAAAACTAAGAGCATAAACGGTGTATACACTTATATAGATGTTGTAAAAGAAAACACTATTACGCTATGACTTACCGTTTCTCGAAGACGCGAGGGAATCACCTTTCTGTGGATGCCTTTAATACTATGCTCCGTTCTCGATGCTTGGCAACTTCAACATTTTTTTTGCCATTGTAAAAGGTCGATCAAGCCCCGAAATTTTGAAAACCAAGAAACGTGATCTTAGTCGAACGAAATCTAACGTGTTCTCAGGAAAGCGCGTTCATCGTAGATACGTTATGTGTACACTATGCGTTGTCAGCACGGCTCGCCGGGCAGGCTCGGGAGTTCACTTTACAACTCCTACGCTCCTAAGCATCATGGGAAGCGCTTTATGAATGGCCTCGACCACAATGCATATCGGTGTGATCCTGACTGACATCGATTTACGCGCGAAATATTTTATTAATAACGGGTTGACAGGCTGACAGATCTGCTATCATGTGGGACACAATCGAATTGATCGATCACTCCAGTCGGGGTCAACTTGCATTCAGCAATCCCAGTGAGTTTAATGTATCGGCTTGATGCTTAGAAACAGGTATAAAAAAATCGAATCTCGAGTCGACTGTTCCGTCATGTTCAACACAAACAGATATAAAAAAATCGAATCTCGAGTCGATTGTTCCGTCATGTTCAGCACAAACGTCTTCAAAAAATGCACTCATACACTCACTGAGTGTGACAATGTGTGGAATTGTGTTACACTATGCAATGAGATAGTCCTTTTCAATCAATCGGAAGATTGAAAATCAAGCTCTTTCCCGTGAGAAAATACCGCAAAGGAGTCGCTATGAAGTGTGAGTTAGCTTTTAGAATATAGGCGAAAGACATAACATTTGAGACCCAGTGCCCATTCCTCGCGTTAACTTATTCCAATTGGCCGTTTCGCCTTATTTCTAGCACACTGTAAAACGATCGTCATTCGTCACACATAAAATTCAAATTTGTCATGGAGAAAGAGCGGCGTAGGAGGTGTAACATGATAATACCCTAACGGGCCTATTGCGTCGAACTAAGCGACGAACATCAAGTTTTTGAAGCTCGCTAATTGTGGCCAATTCTGGTCATCCGCGAATCCACCCGGCTAATTAAACCCACTGATACAGTGTGACGATATATGCAAGTTTTTAACGAAACTGCTCAAATGTTCCGCGTCCTGGTATAAATTTGGTAACTGTGGTGCATCCGACCGAATCTAGGATAAAAATACCGGTCACACTGCACTGATATCAAACTGGAGCATTATCAGGGTGAACCATTTCAAATTCATGGTCAAAAATTCAAGATATTCGTAAGAACCAGGGGGGTGTTTTTTGGAAAATATGGTCGCTGTTTGTCAGTGGTAAGTACCATGAACAAAATGAAGCACTTTGGTCCCGTGCGTGTCCTCCAGAGGCGGCATTCATCAAAACTGCAGCGAACGGAGAAAAGAAGAATATTTTAATATCTTTATAGAAATGTTTTGATGCGTAGAAGTTTGTAAAATTTGTTGTGATCGTAGAAGCCCCTTGTCGCTGGGCGATGCTAAACAAGACCAAAAGAGATAAGGTAAGAGTACTTAAGTCCTTCCTCGCTTAGATTTCGCTATTCGTCGGTGTAGTTTTTGTGAATTTCGTGGTTAGTAAAACTCGTATTGAATGCCGGCGTTATAGTTTCGCATATATGCCAGACGGTGTTTGTTGTGTTGGCTACCAAATTTGCAATTTGCTTTTGTTTTGAGATCGTTTGCGTTTTATTTTCACAGAGCTCGAATTCAGACACGGACAAGTCAGCGGATGGGGTTTGTAGATTCTTAAAAGTTTTATTCGGTTCTCCAAGCGCAATTATGCGATCATCATTTTTTTTTGACAGTTGCTCGATCCATCAAACGGGCAAATATACTGTACAGAAAAATGATATTTCGTCTTGTATTTCTGCGTAGGCGGCGAATGAAGGTAAAGACTACGAAGTGGCCATGACGAACAAACAGTTTGGAAATGGTGTGTCTCTTTCGAAAAAGGACAGGCAGCAAGGATCTGCTTTTGACATTTCAGTTGATCGCGAGCTTCTACGGTTGCCTACTATGAAAGGTTAGGTTCTTAATCTTTTAATCGTAAATTTTAATTGAAAAATAACGTTGTAGCTCCGAGCACTACGATATCTTTCGATATTGTTGTGTTCTCTTATCACATTTTTTCACGAGTCATTGAATTTTGAAGTTTTTATCGCCGGATTAAGGAACATGTTGTTGTAAGACGTATTCTACTCAATTGGGGTAAGATGTATTTAATGTAAATAGCAGTCCCACAGGGTCCAGCTGTGCAGGCGTGTTAGTTCTTTGTGATTTAACTAAATTTAAAGATTCATATCATTTCTTCTTGTCAGCTGCTTAGGTTTTTGACAACTGAGTTATAATTATTGCCTGTCAAAAACTGTGAAGCTGTCATTACCTACACTGCACCACCATGTTCGACATGTTCAACATGTTTCTCAGGTAGTTCAGACACAAACCACGACAGCTTATTGTAGAATACTACCTACACTGGACCACCACGTTTGAGATATCTTTCTCAGGTAGTTCAGACACAAACCACGACAGCTTATTGTAGAATACTACCTACACTGGACCACCACGTTTGAGATATCTTTCTCAGGTAGTTCAGACACAAACCACGACAGCTTATTGTAGAATACTACCTACACTGGACCACCACGTTTGAGATATCTTTCTCAGGTAGTTCAGACACAAACCACGACAGCTTATTATAGAATACTACCTACACTGGACCACCACGTTTGAGATATCTTTCTCAGGTAGTTCAGACACAAACCATGACAGCTTATTATAGAATACTACCTACACTGGACCACCATGTTTAAGATATCTTTCTCAGGTAGTTCAGACACAAACCACGACAGCTTATTATACAATACTACCTACACTGGACCACCATGTTTGAGATATCTTTCTCAGGTAGTTTAGACAAAAACCACGACAGCTTATTATAGAATACTACCTACACTTGACAAGCACGTTTGAGAGATCTTTCTCAGGTAGTTCAGACACAAACCATGACAGCTTATTGTTGAATACTACCTACACTGGACAAGCACGTTTGAGAGATCTTTCTCAGGTAGTTCAGACACAAACCATGACAGCTTATTGTTGAATACTACCTACACTGGACAACCACGTTTGAGAGATCTTTCTCAGGTAGTTCAGACACAAACCACGACAGTTTATTTCAGAACACTACCTACACTGGACCACCACATTTGATATTTTTCCAGGTGGTTTAGATATGAAGGACAGTAAAGAATTTTTTAATTCATTTTGCGTGCTTCCATGTTTGCTGACTAACTGCTGTTTGACTAGTCTTATTTAACTCTGCAAAAGTTTACTTTGAGAGTTTGCAAACTTGAGCAATGTCTTTATCAATCAACATGGTTTGTCCTTAGTTGCAAGTGATAATATTTTTTTAAATATAAGTTCAGACACAAACCATTACCAGATCTATTGTAAAATACCAATGTTTGCTGTTGTGAAATGTTTGTTTAAAACCTGCCACTTTTATAAAATAAGCAACTTCTATTAACCTGTGATAAATATTATTACAAGTTTTATTTGTCATGGTAATATTATTAAGGTGGCCCATACAGGCCATACCAGGATCATTTATTGCAACTTGATCTCATGTTTTTGAGCACAGTTATTTTGATCTATATTAAATTGATGAATGGCATAAATTTCGGAAAATTTTCAAGAATAACATTGGTTGTTTATTTAGCTGCTTAGCCCAGCCCCGTCTGTAGGTTTTGTCTGATGAATAGTTGGATATGTTTTGTTATTATTTCCCCACATGACTTAATATGCACTTGGTATAAACAAGATGTATATTTTTTGCTTGTATATTTACATTTCAAGATTGATAAACAAGGTGCATCCAGGGCAGGTTTTGTGATAGCATACAAAAACACCAGTACACCTGTATTTTCTTTTTAAGTTTTTACTGGTCACAAGTTTCTATGCTAGGAATTTAAATTGTTCCCACAACCATATCAAAAGGACAGTTAGTTAACCAATATAACTGTTAATGCTCTTCTGTGCAATCATGCTAGGTTAACTTTGACCCAAATTTGACGATTATAACCCACTTCACTTTCTAATCTGTTTTCCTTGCTCTGTTTTCAGACACACGTCCTGAGGACAGGGAGGAATTATTTGTGAAGAAACTTCAGCAATGCTGTGTGATATTTGACTTTGTTTCTGACCCATTGAGTGATCTCAAATGGAAGGAGGTGAAACGAACGGCTCTTTATGAGCTGGTTGATTACGTCTCTCAGAACCGTGGTGTCATCACTGAACCTATTTATCAGACCGCGTGCCACATGGTTGGTAAAACAATGAGTTTTAGATATGCAAGGGATGCCTGCCAAGTTTCAAGTAGAATATTATCTATTATAGTTTGCCTTAAATGTGTTTCGTGTGTTACCTCCGCCGACCAATCCAAATGGAGCTGAGTTTGATCCCGAGGAAGACGAGCCTTCGTTAGAGGCTGCATGGCCTCATTTGCAGGTATATGCCCAGTTAATTAGTTTTACAAAGTATTTTGGTCGTGTCAAAGCAGTCTGAGCCATTTAGACACTGTAACATTGAAAATTATTATTGTTTCATTTTTAGATAGTCTATGAATTCTTTCTGAGGATATTAGAATCAACAGATTTTCTACAAAATTTAGCCAAGAAATATGTCGACGCTAAGTTTATAATGAAGGTAGACTGTATTAAAGTTGATCATAATTTATGCTCATGTACAGTACAATCAACTTCACGATTGCTCCGATAGGTTCCATTATGCTCTGTAACAATGATCTCATATGGTAAATTGATTTCACAGCTTTTAGACCTCTTTGACACAGAAGATCCAAGGGAGAGAGACTTTCTCAAGACGATTCTCCACAGAATCTATGGAAAGTTTCTGGGATTGCGTGCTTTCATAAGGAAACAAATTAATAACATTTTCTACAGGTAAGCTGAAGTGGTGATTTAAATTTTACTACATCATACGTACCATATACACTATCATACACTGCCATAGACTACCATACACTACCAAGCACAACTATACACAACTATACACAAGTACACTACTATAAGTACACTTCTATAAGTACATTACTATAAGTACACTACTGTACAGGGAATAAATAGAATTCTCAATGTTCAAATTCTCCTTCCATTTCTTCCAATAGATTTATTTATGAGACAGAACACCACAGTGGAATTGCAGAACTTCTTGAAATATTGGGCAGGTAAGTAATTTATAATACATGATACCTGTAGAAATTGTATTTTTATATAAATTATAATTATTGTTTTTACAGTATCATCAATGGATTTGCATTGCCACTAAAGGAGGAACATAAATTATTTTTACAAAATGTCCTCATGCCATTACACAAGACAAAATGTCTAAGCATGTATCATGCACAGGTGAATATGATTTGTATGCATTGTAATGGTAGTGCACAATGATTTTGTGGTGCAGAAATAAATTCAGATTCTTATTTGATTTTTTTAACTTTAGCTGGCTTACTGTGTGGTACAATACTTAGAAAAAGATCCCAGCTTAACCCAACTGGTAGGAAAGAGTTTGTAGATAAAAAATATGTTTACGTTTCTCTATATGTTTATGTGTTGATATTTAAATATAACTCGTTTGTTGCAGGTGGTTTTACGTTTGTTAAAGTTCTGGCCTAAAGTTCACAGTCCTAAAGAGGTGATGTCCACAAATTTCTTGTGTGTTTCCAAGTTAAAACTAATATCGATTAAGATTTGATGCTGCCTCTTGCCAGAGTATGGCCACAGAGTATGGCCAGAGTATTTTTTGTTCATTTGATCAAGGATTAAAATCTAATTTTATCAGGTGATGTTCCTTAACGAGTTGGAGGAAATCCTTGACGTGATTGAACCAACAGAATTTATAAAGATCATTGATCCACTGTTCAAACAACTTGCGAAATGTGTTTCAAGTCCTCATTTTCAGGTGATTAGACATTTTTAATTCTGTGAATTCTGATTTATCCAGTGTGGAGTGTCTGCTGATCCATCATCGAAGTATAACCTATCCTATAGTTATACAATGAATCTAGAACTGTATGTAGGCTTCTCAGATGAAATTATCGCAGATATATTAAAAAATTGACTGTCATCTCAATTTGCCGTATTTAGGTGGCTGAACGAGCACTGTACTTTTGGAATAACGAATATCTCATGAGCTTGGTCAGTGACAGTGTCACTAAGATATTACCTATAGTGTTTCCATCTCTATATATAAACTCCAAGAGTCATTGGAATAAGTAAGTAATTTCATCATTCTGAAATTATATTGAAATGTAACTTCGAATTCGCGTGTATGTTCACATAACCTCGTACAGCAATATAAATCGATCTCGTTCAAGAAAATACATAATTCTATCTTACCACGTTCTTCCAGAACAATTCATGGTCTTATATACAACGCACTTAAGCTGTTTATGGAGATGAACCAAAAACTTTTTGACGATTGTACTCAGAACTTTAAACTAGAAAGAGAGAGGTTTGTTTTAGCGATTAGCTACATCCTTTTTGCCAAATATACTAATTTGAGCTAGACCTTTTATTCTCGAGGGTAGCTTCTAACCTAAAGCTATTGTGTTGAATATTTTTTTTTCGGAATTCTCTTTCAAAAATATACGACCTTTTTGCTTTTGCTTTCCAGAGAGCTGGAAAAACAGCGAGATAGGGAAGAAAAGTGGAGACGAATTCATCAGTTGGCAGTTCAAAATCCCGACGTACGTATGAGTTGATTATAGAACTAAAAATATTTCTAGTTGTGGTTGAAGTAGATGTCCACCAAGCAATGCTACATCCATCAGTGTTTGACGTATCGCTGTGTCTATCGTTTGTTTCAGGCATCAAAGGTTGCAGAACTTATGGAATACAATGATTTTAGATACCAAACAAGCAGCACATATCCTGAATGCAACAATAATGATCTTACATTTAGTGTTAAAGAAAGTTCCCATGCGAAGAAGGGTGACCACAAAAGTCAGAGCAAGGTGCCTATCCTCGAACTGAAAAATGATTTGAGTTATTTGTTTACTTTATTTGTAATTAAAAGAATACTGCTTTTCCCCATTTAGGCTCATAACAAAGCGATTATAAATAAAAAAGGAACTCGTAAGAAATCCGAACTGCCAAAGGAAAAAGGTGCAAGCTCTATACAACTTCAGAAATACCGTTCGTTTGAGCCTGTGGCGCTTCCAGCGGAGATGTGAGTAGTTGAGACTGCCTGACGAGTTTTGGAGTGAATAAGAGAGTGAACACAGCACATTCAAAGCATCAAATGTTAGGACGAGATGTATTTATAAAAATGAGATGATGCATGTTTAAGATATCATGTTTGTTCCCAGGGATTGTTGGAGAAAGCAATGGCATTGTTAGTTTTTTTGCCATGTTTCTTTAAAGGCAGATTAACACATCTTCGATAACACTACTTTAAATCTCCCAGAATGCTATTGCACACGTGCCAATGGAAATAAAATAGATTATTAGATTATCGCCACTGTATGTAAGGAAGCACTTGTATAGATAAATTAGGTCAATTTATGCTCACATTGGAATAAAAATGATTAATTTATCAAGCTTACTTACCCGTCCCTGGATTGTATAGGTCGTTATATAAGTCAAAATATGCTTCTGCAAAATTTCATTTGAAAAACCATTAATTCATTTTAAATGAGTTATTGTCAAACTGACCATCTTAAATACAAAACCATTCCATTGAACCCTTCCATTTTTGCCGAAATCGACGATTTTCGAAAATTTTGCTCAAAATTGCTTCAAATATTCACTGAGACTAATCTCTTTGGTTTTTGAGCATATTTGGTTTGTTTTTCAAACATTGTAAAAGTCCTCAATTTTGGCCATAAATAAGGGTACCCCACTGAGCTATATTCTGGAGGACTTGCTCCTGGCCAAAAAAGTGAAGCAAAAAACATGGCGGATTTTTTCGCGACACGGCTCAATATTGAGCGCATACCTGACCGGTGATTTCCCCCCCCCCCCCCCCCGGTTAATTACTTTTTCTCAGAGAACGTGTTGGATTCGTTGTTTCGTGAACGACTGAGCATGTGTTTTATTTTTATGTGTTTAATCGAATTCAAACTTTTTCTACATTTGGTTTGTCTGTGTGACCTGACAATTGAAAATATTTTGGCAGTTGCTTTGGTATTGTGAAGAATGTTGGAAGATTAGTAAGTACAAGAGACAGGTTTCTAAGTTTTTTCTTTGTCAACATGTTGAAATAGGCTTCCTAAGACTAATATCTTTCATTTTAGAGCATATCTGGTTGGTTTTTGGAATGTTGAAAAAGTCGTCAATTTTGACCAAAATGGTAAGGCTTACCATATTTGCTTACCAGGCAAATATGCTCTAAAATGAAAGATATAAGTCTTAGCAGGCCATTTTTAGCAAGACAGTTTTTGAACAGTTAAAAAAGTCGTCAAAATTTAACAAAATGGTAGGCTTACCCATTAGGCTCACCCGTCAAAATGCTAAAAATGGCTTCCTAAAACTTATATCTTTCATTTTAGAGCATTTTGAGACAGTTTTTGAACAATTGAAAAAGTCGTCAAAATTGACCAAAATTGTAAGTCTTACCCCTTACCATTTTGGTCAATTTTGACGACTTTTTGAACTGTTCAAAAAGTGTCTTAAAATGCTAACAATTGCTTCCTAAGACTAATATCTTTCATTTTAGATCATATTTGGTTGGTTTTTGGAACATTGAAAAAGTCGTCAAAAATGGTAAGTCTTACCCCTTACCATTTTGGTCAATTTTGACGACTTTTTGAACTGTTCAAAAAGTGTCTTAAAATGCTAAAAATCGCTTTCTAAGATTAATATCTTTCATTTTAGATGGTTGGTTTTTGGAACATTGAAAAAGTCGTCAAAAATGGTAAGGCTTACCCCTTACCATTTTGGTCAATTTTGACGACTTTTTGAACTTTTCAAAAACTGTCTTAAAATGTTAAAAATTGCTTCCTAAGTCTTATATCTTTCATTTTAGATCATATTTGGTTGGTTTTTGGAACATTGAAAAAGTCGTCAAAAATGGTAAGTTTTACCCCTTACCATTTTGGTCAATTTTGACGATTTTTTGAACTTTTCAAAAACTGTCTTAAAATGCTAAAAATCGCTTCCTAAGACTTATATCTTTCATTTTAGATGGTTGGTTTTTGCAACATTGAAAAAGTCGTCAAAAATGGTAAGGCTTACCCCTTACCATTTTGGTCAATTTTGACGACTTTTTGAACTGTTCAAAAAGTGTCTTAAAATGCTAAAAATCGCTTCCTAAGACTTATATGTCTCATTTTAGATCATATTTGGTTGGTTTTTAGAACATTGAAAAAGTCTTCAAAAATGGTAAGTCTTACCCCTTACCATTTTGGTCAATTTTGACGACTTTTTGAACTGTTCAAAAAGTGTCTTAAAATGCTAAAAATCGCTTCCTAAGATTAATATCTTTCATTTTAGATGGTTGGTTTTTGTAACATTGAAAAAGTCGTCAAAAATGGTAAGGCTTACCCCTTACCATTTTGGTCAATTTTGACGACTTTTTGAACTGTTCAAAAAGTGTCTTAAAATGCTAAAAATCGCTTTCTAAGATTAATATCTTTCATTTTAGATGGTTGGTTTTTGGAACATTGAAAAAGTCGTCAAAAATGGTAAGGCTTACCCCTTACCATTTTGGTCAATTTTGACGACTTTTTGAACTGTTCAAAAAGTGTCTTAAAATGCTAAAAATCGCTTCCTAAGACTTATATGTTTCATTTTAGATCATATTTGGTTGGTTTTTAGAACATTGAAAAAGTCTTCAAAAATGGTAAGGCTTACCCCTTACCATTTTGGTCAATTTTGACGACTTTTCCAAAGTGTTCAAAAACTGTCTTAAAATGCGAAAAATGGCTTCATGAGACTAATATCTTTCAAAACACTAAATCGCTATTTAGTTTAAAATTCTGCTAATAGGATTATCTAACGTAGTGATGCTGTGGCCCAGTTGTTAAGGCTACGGACTACCAGGTTGTAAACCCAGGTTCGAATCCTGCATGGGAAAGGTTCGATTTTTCCCAACGAAATTATTCTTTAATTTAAACTTCATCGAAAAAGATTAGGTCAAATAAAGAACAATAGCTTTCGACAAATGATGCGGTGGTCTAATGGTACTTGTTTCAATTTTGTAGTTTTTTCTTCTATTTCTTTAGTTTTTTTTTCTATTTTTCTAAATAGAAAAAAAAAATAGAAAATAAACTAGAGAAATAGAAGAAGAAACTAGAGAAAAAAACTAAACTAGAGACCACAAGACAAAAATCAAGTTTCTTCTTAAACTTTTCAAAAAACATTTAGAAAATACTTAGAGAAAAACATTAAGAAAAAACTAGAGAAGAAAACTAAGTCGAAAGATAGAAAAAAAACTAGAGAAATAGAAGAAAAAACTAGAGAAAAAAACTAACTAGAAAAACTAGAGAAAAAAACTAACTAGAAAAACTAAAGAAAAAAAAACTGGAAAAATAGAAGAAAAAATAGGACATAAACTAGAGACCACAAGACAAAAATCAAGTTTCTTCTTAAACTTTTCAAAAAACATTTAGAAAATACTTAGAGAAAAACATTAAGAAAAAACTAGAGAAAAAAACTAGAAAAAAAACTAGAGAAAAGAAAACTAACTAGAAAAATAGAAAAAAAACTAGAGAAATAGAAGAAAAAATAGAGAAATAGAAGAAAAAACTAGAGAAAAAAAACTAGAGAAATAGAAGAAAATACTAACAAGTTTAACTTAGAAAAAATACTAAAAAATACTAAGAGGTTTAATTTAGAATCGTCAAGTCACCCAGAAGAACTTGCAAAATAAAAACACTAACACCATCAGACGAAAAAGGTTTATTTCTTAAACTTTACAAAGAAGTTAAAAAAAACTAAAGAAATAGAAGTAAAAACTAGAGTAAAAAAAACTAGAGAGAAAAAAAACTAGAGAAAAAAAACTAAGTAGAAAAATTGAAAAAAAAACTAGAGAAATAGAAGTAAAAACTAGGGTAAAAAAAACTAGAGAAAAAAAAACTAGAGAAAAAAAAACTAAGTAGAAAAAAAAACTAGAGAAATAGAAGTAAAAACTAGAAAAAAAACTAGAGAGAAAAAAAACACTAGATAAATAGAAGATAATACTAACAGGTTTTTTTTAACTTAGAAAAAATACTAAGAGGTTTAATTTAGAATTGTCAAGTCACACAGAACTTGCAAAATAAAAACACTAACACCACCAGATGAAAAAGGTTTACTTCTTAAACTTTACAAAGAAAAAAGTTATCTTTATAAATCCAAGTTTTGAAAATTGTCACATAATTCATCACATTTCACACTAAAATATATGAATTAATGAAACTGGGTGCCTTTCAACTTTCTTCAACCCTGAAGTAAGAAAAAGAATTTCATCAAAAAATAAGAGAAAATATATTTAGAAAAAAAACTAATACTAAGAAGAAATTAAAGAGAAAAGAATTATAAGAAAAAGCCAAAGCAACTGTCAAAATCTTTTCAATTGTGAAAGCACAAGAAAAAACATGCAAAATCGAAACAACAAACACCACAAGACAAAAATCAAGTTACTTCTTAAACTTTTCAAAAAACATTTAGAAGCAACTGCCAAAATCTTTTCAATTGTGAAAGCACATGGAAAACATGCAAAATCGAAACAACAAACACAAGACAAAAATCAAGTTTCTTCTTAAACTTTTCAAAAAACATTTAGAAGCAAGTGCCAAAATCTTTTCAATTGTGAAAGCAGACGGAAAAATGCAAAACTAAACACAGACAAAAAAGGTTTACTTCTTAAACTTTACAAAGAAAAATTTCTCTTTATAAATCCAAGTTTTGAATGTTATAATTGATCACATTTCACACATGTTATCACACACTAAAATATATTAATTAATGAATCTAGGATAGGGCTAAAATAATTCAGGTTCTTCAGGGGTGCCTTTCAACTTTCTTAAACTTCATTCATTCTAAAGAGAAAAAGCATTTCATCAATCCTTTTAGGCAAAAAGTGGCAGCAAAGTTTGTATTTTCAACCTGACATCATTATTAAAAGATATTACTCATTATCTTACTTTAGTCATCTGTTTTATGCCAATTATATTTTTGCCATTTTCAATAAAAAGAATGTGTCACATGCATATATTCAATCCAGACACATGTCACTATTTAACTTGAACACAGAAAAACTGGGTATCACCCTTTTGAGTACTACAGAATATAAATCACAGGGAAATCAGAAAAATTTCTCCCAAGTTCTCCCACTTTTTCGTGGATATTTATTGTAAGACCACCACAGGAATTTTAGTAATCAGCCAGACTGGTTCAGCTGTTATAGCATTAAGTTTCATCATTGGTTTCACACATGGTGACCATAGAAGCACATTTTAATTTTATAGTTGTCATCTCAACAATGTAGTGGCTTTTTAAAATCAAATGCTGACCATCCATGACAAAATCAAATTACCTCTGTGAAGAAATCTTGTCACTTCCAATGTTCATCTGACAGTAAGGTTCATATCCACAGCTCATGTTGCACTCTTGACCAAGAAAAATCTTGAATATAGATATATAAATAAGACATGATTAATATAAAATTCCATTTTCAACTATCTTAACTATTGTCTAGTTTTTGGTCAGGTATTCTATGGTTATACTTCATCCCTCTACATATAACTATGGTTGCTATATTTATTTAAAGACCACCCCAGGAATTTATTACTGGTGACACATAGTGAGCATAGAAGCAATGTTAACTTAGTAATCTTAACAAAATTTGTGACTGCCTGACGATTTTCCAAAAAAAGATCCAAGTTGCAGCAAATTCTCCCTTATACTAAATAACAAAATATATACCCGGGCAGTTGATATGTATTACAAGGTCACTACAAGAATTTCAGCTGCAAGGCTAATATAACTTTTGAAGGAACAATCGAATTACCTCTGTGCAGAAATCTTGTCACTTCCAATGTTCATCTGACAGTAAAGTTCATATAGTCATGTTGCACTCTTGACCAAGAAAAATCTTGAATATAGATATACAAATAAGACATGATTAATATAAAATTCCATTTTCAACTATCTTAATTATTGTCTAGTTTTTGGTCAGGTATTCTATTGTTATACTTCATCCCTCTACATATAACTATGGTTGCTATATTTATGTAAAGACCACCACAGGAATTTATTACTGGTGACATATAGTGAGCATAGAAGTAATGTTAACTTAGTAATCTTAACAAAATTTGTGACTGCCTGACGATTTTCCAAAAAAAGATCCTAGTTGCAGCAAATTCCCCCTTATACTAAAAAACAAAATATATACCCGGGCAGTTGATATGTATTACAAGGTCACTACAAGAATTTCAGCTGCAAGGCTAATATAACTTTTGAAGGAACAATCGAATTACCTTTGCGCAGAAATCTTGTCATTTCCAATGTTCATCTGACAGTAAAGTTCACATCCACAGCTCATGTTGCACTCTTGACCAAGGAAAATCTTGAATATAGATATATAAATAAAAAGACATGATTAATATAAAATTCCATTTTCAACTATCTTAATTATTGTCTAGTTTTTGGTCAGGTGTTCTATGGTTATACTTCATCCCTCCACATATAACTATGGTTGCTATATTTATTTAAAGACCACCACAGGAATTTATTACTGGTGACACATAGTGAGCATAGAAGCAATGTTAACTTATTAATCTTAACAAAATTTGTCACTGCCTGACGATTTTCCAAAAAAAGATCCTAGTTGCAGCAAATTCCCCCTTATACTAAATAACAAAATATATACCCGGGCAGTTGATATGTATTACAAAGTCACTACAAGAATTTCAGCTGCAAGACTGATATAACTTTTGAAGGAACAATCGAATTACCTCAGTGCAGAAATCTTGTCACTTCCAATGTTCATCTGACAGTAAAGTTCATATCCACAGCTCAAGTTGCACTCTTGACCAAGAAAAATCTTGAATATAAGAAGACATTATTAATATAAAATTGCATTTTCAACTATCTTAATTATTGTCTAGTTTTAGCAAAAGGCGCATAAACAGTAAAGTAAAATACTTAACTTTGACCAGACAGCACAACAATCTTGCTCAGAAAGGTCCGCGAACGGTCCACGTGGATGGGATCGCCATTTTGAATTCGGCCGGGCGAGTCTTGAACTGATTTCTATTTTCTATTTCAACTGTTCTCTTGACGTTCGTCTTGATAACTGGCGGTTGAGATAAACGTTAATGACAAAATGATCAGTTCTGCTTCAGTCTATGGGCGCGGAAATTGCTCATGACATAAATTTTCAGGAAAAAATTATCATCATTGCAGCCAGAATTAAGCTCGAAACTTTAGATAATCTTGTACGCAGAATATTTCATATTGTATATGGCTTTTTGTTATTTCTGGCCAACAATTAGCAGAAGGCACACAAACATCAAAGTAAAATACTTAACTTTGACCAGACAGCACAACAATCTTGCTCAGAAAGGTCCGCGAACGGTCCACGTGGATGGTTTTCTTTGGCATCGCCATTTTGAATTTGGCCGGGCGAGTCTTCACCTTCATCTTGACAACTAGCTGTTCAGATAAACCTATATACAACGAAAAAAAGGGTTCGGCTCAGCTACACTGTACTCCTTAAGGAAGGCCTACGGCCTTCCCGTAGATTAGTGTAAAGGCCTACAAGTGGGAACTAGTCAACTAGCAGCGTGCGGGGGACCAAAACGCTCTAGGCAAACGGTCCCCCTACTGGGGTCGGACAAAGCAACCGCAGATTACGCATATAATCGCCGGAACCCACCTTTTAGTCAACGGCGAACTCCTTCTTCCTCGAACAATCTTCAATCTTGCTGAGCTTCGATCTTGCTGTCCACCTTCGATCGCCACCAATCTAAAGAAATTTTTTTTTAACGTTGAGATTAGTTTTATAAGCGATAATTACCATGTAATCATAGCAGATCACGTGGATGATAATGTACGACAACATGCCGATCAACTCCGAACATCATCGTGAGCGATGTTACTATAAACGAATCACTAAACGCCTAGAAAGGTTGTCCTTTCCTATATTTCAACATTTTAAAAGCAGTGCATTCTAGTTTTGTTTTGAAGCACAATTTGTTTTTTGCTTCTAGTTTTTTGGTTTCGTTTTAAAAGGTGAATTGTCGCTGTGTGCCGAATTCTTTGTATTTCTGATGTCAAACAATCCTGTACTTTTTGGTATCATAAATATAAGCTCCTTTGTTTTAGAGACATACAACAGTTTTTTTTATATTTTAGCCAAAATATATAGCAGCAATTACAGATTCACTAAGTTCATTCTCATCTTGATTCACAAATTTTTAAAGGAGGCATGTCATAATAATAATTTATGTGAGATAACGTGAATAAGAAAATCAAATAAAAGATGAAGTTTTGGGGTTTGGACGCTCTTAGAGAAGACTTCGTTATTGCAATGTGAACATTTTCGTAAATCTCGAAATTACGTTATTATAAATTTCAACATCTTTAAGTTTAAGGTTTGTTAAGAATATGTCATATACTTACTTCGTTATCTTTTCTTTTTCACTAAAGCTTTTCTATGGTTCTTCGCTCGTTTGCCTTCCTCATCACACATAGAATTAATTAGAGTTTCTTTTGTCTTTTTTAAACCTATTTTGAACTACGCAATTATACTCCGATCTAAACTGTAACCTGTGTAAATATTAACCTGCTCCAACGCAACTACAAGTGACAAGTGAGTAATTAAATATATTTCCTGATCATATCAAAGAACTTAATTATAGTATTTGATATATTCGTACCACAAATGTTAAAAACAAAATTGCAATTTGCCGAAAGAAAAATGATGGTTTTTTCAATGTTCCAAAAAACAAAACAAAATGGTAAGGCTTACCCCTTACCATTTTGGTCAATTTTGACGACTTTTTGAACTGTTCAAAAACTGTTTTAAAATGCTAAAAATGGCTTCCTAAGACTAATATCTTTCATTTTAGAGCACATTTGGTTAGTTTATGGAACATTGAAAAAGTCGTCAATTTTAACAAAATGGCAAGGCTTACGCCTTACCACTTTGGTAAATTTTGGTAAGGCTTACCCCTTACGATTTGGTCAATTTTGACGACGTTTTCAATGTTCCAAAAACTAACCAAATATGCTCTAAAATGAAAGATGTTAGTCTTATGAAGCAATTTTTAGCATTTTAAGACAGTTTTTGAACACTTGAAAAAGTCGTCAAAATTGACCAAAATGGGTAAGGGGTATCGCTCACCATTTTGGTCAAAATTGACGACTTTTTCAATGTTCCAAAAAGCAACCAAATATGCTCTAAAAACAGAAACATGCTTGACCATTTAAACAGCGTTGTTATCTATATCAAAATATTTGATATCATAACCAAAGCATGGTATATTGTTTAATGTTTGTATATGAGCACAAAACATGCTTGCAACTTTACATAGGACAAGCATTTGACCATTAAAACAGCGTGGTTATCCATATCAAAATATTTGATATCATAACCAAAGCATTGTTATACTGTTTAATGTTTGTATATGAGCTCGAAACATTCTTGCAACTTTACATAGGACAAGCATTTGACCATTAAAACAGCATGGTTATCCATATCAAAATATTTGATATCATAACCAAAACATTGTTATACTGTTTAATGTTTGTATATGAGCACGAAACACGCTTGCAACTTTACATAGGACAAGCATTTGACCATTAAAACAGCGTGGTTATCCATATCAAAATATTTGATATCATAACCAAAGCATTGTTATACTGTTTAATGTTTGTATATGAGCTCGAAACATTCTTGCAACTTTACATAGGACAAGCATTTGACCATTAAAACAGCATGGTTATCCATATCAAAATATTTGATATCATAACCAAAACATTGTTATACTGTTTAATGTTTGTATATGAGCACGAAACACGCTTGCAACTTTACATAGGACAAGCATTTGACCATTAAAACAGCGTGGTTATCCATATCAAAATATTTGATATCATAACCAAAGCATGGTTATATTGTTTAATGTAACAGATAATATATAACATGAATAATTATAATAACTAAAATTGAATAATAATAATTAAAATAATAATAATTCTTATTAAATTTGACTAATCAAAATTTACAACAAAATAGGTTTGAGAAGAAGTGCTATTATATACAATTATTAAGATTATAAGACACAGTATCTCTCTCTATATTATGTATTATCTCTATATTAGTGCTATATACAATTATTAAGATATCTTCTCTCTATATTGAAATTAAAAATAATTATAATATTATATTAAAATAATAATAAATATAATAAATTCTAACTAACGGTCGCCAGGCTGGCTACGCCACTGTTAACTTGTTAATTATGGTAATTTGCAATTTGTGAATTTTGCTATGGCTACAAACAAGTGTCTAAGTGTGTATTTATTTTGTTTTGTTCAACTTTGTCAAGACAGACAGGACATTGTACAAACGTTTTTGTTGTTGTGTTTGGTGGCGTCTCTGCAATTACAACCACAGGCACTTTCTTTTCCCCAACTTTTTTGAAGGAATCGACAATTGTTATGTGGCTTCCCGAATGTTTTTTTTGTCTTTCAATTTTGCTAACAGTTCCAGTAGAACTCCAAAAGTTGATTGATTTTGCATCCTTGTTTGAAAATTGCAAACCAGTAGGAAGCACAGTCTCTGAACTTTCGTCTGCGGTAAGGTTTATGTCCTGTACAAAATCATTTTCATTAATATCAAAAGAAATGGCTTTGGATTGATTGGTACTCGGCAGGATAGGAGTATTTTCAGTGATCTTATTTCTTTGCTTAGGAGCACCAAAGGTAGTTCTTGACTTGCTGGAGCTTGCTGAGCTGTCACTTTGAGACTTAGAGCCTAAGACATTGCCTTTTCCAGTGAAAGGTTTAAAAGTGTTATTTATTTTTTGGACATCATTCTCTTTGCCGCTGCTTGATTCATCTTCATTTTCGACTCTCCAAAGCTTGTTTATTCCTGTTGTGCTGCTCGTTGCCTGATTAATATCTCCCTTCGTCGATGAGGATGTTTCTCCAATACTTATTCCACTTTCTCCACCACCAGTCTTCTTCCAGAGATCATAAATTTTTGGCATCCCTTTTGTTTGGGAATCTCCATTAATTTTCTTTTTACCATCTTCTTTTTTTGTTTTCGGTTTTTTCTTTCCATAGTCCTCTGGCTCACGGACCTTGTGGTATGTCCCACCACATGTTCGCTGGTGGTCGGACCACCATGAGTCATGCTGTGATGGTGCTCTGTTCATTGCTCGACGCACCATACCGTAGTATGGTGGCCGATTCTGACAGAGCCCATCACAGCGCCACCAATGCTGTCGGTAGATGTTAACCTGCAGAGAGAAAAGTAACTCAATAATGGTGTAATTTCAATTATGTAAAATAAACAGTGTAAAACTAATAGGGTGATGTCAATGGGGTAAAATTATGTAAATCTAATGCGGTGAAATCAATGGTGTGAAATAAATGATGTCAAATGAATGGCATAGAGACATAGAAGCAATGTCAAAGCAGTTGGGTTTAATCGATAGTATAAAATGAACGATGTAATCTGATCAGGTATAATCGATGGTGTAGAGTCAAAGGTGTAAAATAAATGGTGTAAAATGAATGGCATAGAGACATAGAAGCAATGTCAAAGCAGTTGTGTTTAATTGATAGTGTAAAATGAACAATGTAATCTGATCAGGTGTAATCGATGGTGTAGAGTCAAAGGTGTAAAATAAATGGTGTAAAATGAATTGTATAAAATGAACGACAGTTTTCATTCTTAACTAAGAAATGAAAGGCAAGCAAAATGGTAATCTAACCTCATCATGGAAATTGTGGTAAACCTAAAAAAAAATTCAGAAAAAGTTAGACACTGCATTGCATTTTACAGTAATCCTGGAGTGGAAGGTAACAGCTTCAACTATCTTCTAGTGTCTTATATCAACCTATGAAACATAGCATGCCTTAATAAAAGATAGTTACCGTGATGTTGGCGCCACTCTGTTTGTTAATTCTATACATATGCTTATGAAATTCTGGTCCATGAGCATTATGGTCCTGTAGTAACAGAATCAAGTAAGTCTATTGCTAATTTTTTAACTATTCAGAAACATAAGTAGTCATATATAGTCATAAAAGTGAAATAGATATTACATGTTTTTATGTTGCATTAAGCAGGCAATTTATGGATCCTTAGATGGTAACAGTTAAAAATTAAACAGGGTAATATAAATTGAGGGCAAAATTAGTACCCTCACTGTCACATTCTCAGGGCCAGGGTGGAATCCATGTTACTCCCATGTTGGTTATACGCCATATCATTAACAATGACACGCCAAGGTCGTTTGTTAATTATTTTTCTTTGCCGTTGTTTGCGCTGATGGAAATACTACTTAACTTGGTGAGGTACATGTGCAAAAACATACAGTATAGAAAAAAATACATCATGTACAGTACCTGTTATATAAAATAATGACAATTTAACAAAAGAACATATTAAAATAAGATCTATTTCATATTTGAATAATTTAATGCTTATCACAAATACTTGAGAATCAGAGAATGTGTTAAAGATCATTTTCATTAGAGATCATTTACAAAACTGATATTTTCTCGTGTTTAAACAGTAGGCTCTTTGAATAAAGTTTTGACACAAATAAAAGCGATATAAAATTTATTATTTCACAATGTTTCGATGCTGTATCTCGCACCATTTTCAAGTGATAAAAATACATTAGTGAAGCATCAATATATTCAATCGTTCACAGCTCATTAACTAATCATGTTCGGATTGTTATAGAAATTAAAAATTATTAAAAATTACTACATTGTTTTTATGTGCATTAATTGCAAAGGAATTTAAAAGATTTATCTTAATGTGTGGCTTTTGGCACTTTCTTTTAAATTCCTTTGCAAACGTTGTGAAATAATAAATTTTATATCGCTTTTATTTGTGTCAAAACTTTATGATATTTTCTCAACGGAAATAATGTAAAACTAGATGCAAATTAAGTGCCCTACCTCATAACCTTTCTTGCAATCTTGCCACAATCACAATTAATGCCACTGTAATGCGTGAAGGCCATGTGCCTTGGCCCGCGTCACTCACAATGAGATCGAATTATTTTAAACCAATCACATTACAGCATTCTCATTCATAATCGAATGATTGAAAATGCATATTTCAAATTCAGCAAATAAACGATTTACAGAAAAGTATCTCAATGCCGATAGTGGTGAACTGTTTTTATTATATTAGGTTGATTAACTCTTTAACACTTGGCTGCATGCTGGCTATATTAATATTTTTTTAAATTTTTGTATTGCGCTAACATAGGCTTTGCCCAAATTTCACACCGACTTACTGAGGCGCTCATGTGCGAATACTATAACAAAGAGCGAAGTCACGCCAATACGTCGACGATGATACAATTCCACGCCGGATATATCCGGGATTTTCTACATGGATTCCACCCTGGTCTCAGGGTGATGACCAGTTTATGATGAATATTTTAGCTTTCAGATGTATTTTACATCCTGTTATCAGATCTAGCTAAGTAAAAGGGAATTATCAACAGATACAATTTGTTTACCTTGTTGTTGTTTGTAACGAAGAGATATGCATGTATCATTTCATGCTGCAGAATGTAAACAAATATCAAAATTAAATGAAGTAGTCAATGAGATACGAGAACACCAAATAAAGTAGTCTTGAAAACTTACAAGTAACGTTTGAACGAGATCTTTCCTGGGTCGTAGTTTCAATAGGGGCATGCTAAGTTTGATGGAGCACAACCCCCCACGGCCTTCATAACAGCAAACTCCGGCGCATCTAAGAAATAAGATCAAATGTTACGGCGTTAATTGCTTCACTTTTTGTCACAGCAAATAATTTAACCTCGTATTTTCACTTACAAAGTCATTCGCGGGGCCCACTTTACTTCACAACATGAAAGCTTCCCTTGAAAATACGTGTCGTTATACTGTAGAAATAGCTCTCTAATATCCGGTGTTGGGTCTATCGTTTCCCAGCAATCGTCCACGATGGACGATGGCTCTAATTTTCTTTTCACACTGGTTGTTGCTGTTGATATTTCACCATCATTTCTTAAAAATTCGTCTTGAAGTGACAATGCTAATGCTAAATCTTCGTCGGCCATGTTGGATCGAATAAACCCCCCCGGCCCAGTGAGCTCTATATATAGAACTCACTGCCTCTCCCCCCCAGCTTTTCTAAATCCAATCCTAATTCTAACCTAATCTCATGACCCAAATCCTACCCTAATTGACCCTAATTCTACCTTAATCTTTAAACCTTATCCCAACGACATGGGGGAGAATGTAGACCGCCAGTCCAATACATATTTCATCATTTCACGGACCCAAAACACCGCGAGTGACCGAGTTCCTGTTTACTGCATGTGACTGTCATGTCTCTCGTGATTTCCGGCAAAAATTAGCAGAACATTAATTCTATTAATTCATTTACCAGGAATATTTTTAACCGCATTCATCACTTCAGTATAAAAGTGAGGAAAACTGATTTGAATTTCATATCATATAATTGCTCGTCAGTCGTCACAGCACTAGACGGTTCAAAACTCACAAAAGTACAGAGCTTCCGGCATTACTTAAATCACAGAAGAAGCTGCACTTTCCTAAGCCTCCGTTTCCCAAGATGAACAACAAAATCTTCACAGCTGTACTTCTACTTTGTACAGCACATCAAATCGTATCTCGACCGGCAAATGATCCAGCTGAACCTTGCGATCCAACGAAGTGCAAGCTACCAGATTGCCGATGCTCAAGTACCAATATACCCGGCGATATACCAGCATCGAAAATCCCACAGATTGTTATGGTGAGCTTCGATGATGCGGTCCAAGAACAAAATATGGGATTTTATCAAACGTTATTTCCCGGAAAAGTTAACCCAAACGGTTGTCCCATCTCTGCGACCTTTTTCCTTTCCCACGAATATACAAATTACGTGATGGTAAATAAGCTCTACCATCAACGCCACGCTGTTGTCGACCACACCATCACTCATCGCACGCCAATTTCATGGTGGAAAGACGCCAACTACACCCAGTGGTACGCGGAAATTGTAGGTCAACGTGAGATCATAAATAAAATTGGGTTTGTTGCCTTGGAAGACGTGAAGGGCTTCCGAGCACCTTTCCTACAAATCGGTGGCGATAACGAGTTCAAGGTGTTGTCTGACACAAAATTTCTTTTCGAATCATCAATGCCGACACAAATGAGAGATCCCCCTTTGTGGCCCTACACCCTCGATTATCGTTCAACCCAGGAATGTACCATCCCACCATGCCCCAAAGGTAAATTGATACATTGTGCAAACCAGTGCGCAGAATAGTTTCGTTATGAAGTTGAAGTTCTCCTCATTAAAAGTTGGGTATTTTGAGAAGCGAGCTGGAATTTTGTTTGTTTCGATACAATTATTCCTAAATAGAGCTTTTGTATTAGACAGTCATTAATCGTTAAACAAAATTTTTGTTGTAATTCAAAAACATTCGCAGATTCCTACCCAGGTCTTTGGGAGGTACCTATGGTGGACTGGTTGGACCTGTCAGGGAAGCTATGCAACATGGTTGACGGATGCACAATACCGGACAGCGAAGACGGAACTCTGGAGCTTTATATGAAGAATTTTCAGCAACATTATACAACCAACCGCGCACCATTCCCAATGTTCTTCCATGCAACTTTGTTCAAAAGTCATTCTTACACCTTGACAGGTAATAACATTTCAACGCACGCATAACTCAGTCTCCTTTTGACGTTTTCTTTGATCTTCAATCCTGTATTTTGAATTTTAGCTCTTGAAAAGTTCTTCCAAAAAATTCTCGCAATGAAAGATGTTTGGATCGTGACCATTCCGCAGGCAATCGAGTGGATTCGTCATCCGACTGATCTCGACCATATTTCCGATTTTACACCGTGGAAGTGCGACCATCCCGCGCCACCATTGCAGTGTGACGACTCAACTCAAACCGTGTGTGGCTACGATGCAAACAGGAGACTGGTGCAGCCTGGGCAACCAGCAACACATTATCTGTTTTCGTGCTTGAAAGAGTGTTTAAGATGTTACCCGTGGGTTGGGGACCCTAGTGGAACAAAGTGTTGAACTGTATCGACGAACTGTATCCGATAACTTTCTTCATCTTGGTAGCCAAGTTTCATTGTAGTTTATTTTTAGGACTTGAATAAATATAGAATAGTTTGATTGTAATAAATAAAAAGCGTTATTAATGGTAAATAATTTACAAACATTCATTTCTTATGTACACGGAATCTCATTGGTAATAATTAATAATATTTTTTCATTTTGCTACACAGTCGATATTTTTTCTTTCGAGAGTTGAGAGTTATGAAGTTGATCTTTTGAAGCGCTGGTACGGCAGTCAATCACTCTTTCAGGACTACTCGAAGACGACCTGGAAAATCAGGTAATGAAGAATATAATCAAACCTCAAGAGTGAAGACTAGGACAAAATACCCAACTTTCATTTTTGGTTGTATTATACCCGCCGTTAAACGATAAACGCGTCTTCTTATTCGCTTACCTCGTTTTGGAAACAAAGAAAAATCTCACAGCATTTGTAAAACTGTTTCTTTTTCGCAACTTTCTCTTCGTCAACTCTCCGTCGGTTTCATGTAAGCTTTCGTCATGGTTATTATTACTCATGACGTCACCTTCGAGCCTCGACGTCAGTGGGCTGTCGGGATGTGACGTAGAATCGTCGGAATCGCTATGACATTTTTCACGCAGCATTGTCAAATGTTCACGTGATTCGTTACAACTTTCCGTACTCGAAGTGGAATTAAGTCCCTCGGAATTTTTTTCCTCGATCAAGTCGCTGTCTGATTTCGAACACTCGTTCAGTTCGTTAAAACTATCGTCCCCAGGACTCGTGGGTCGGCGATATTTCGATAGAGTCGAGCGACATTCATGTAGTCTTTCTAAAGAGAGGTTTTTGTCGAGATTTTCATCGCTAGATCTAGGCCTTCTTCTTAAACTGCCAAACTTGTGACGAATCATACTGCGAAATGAAAAAGAATTAAATTTTAGCGAACAAGAAACGCTAATGTTGAACCATAAAAGCAAACTTGTGCTGCAATTATTGTGGTGATATATATAGTGCAATAAACTAATACAATCTTATCTGATCTTCACCAAACATGTCCAAAATTATCATAAGTTATCCCACCTTCCAATGCTGTCTCGACTGACAGATCGTGTTAGTTCATCTTTAGGAAGAGTTTGTGAATAATTTTTTTTACGAATTATTTCCACTTCAGTGGTGCTAAGAGGTCGTCGTTTGTTCCTCTTCGACTCGCTGCTATTTCTGAGAATTACTTTCAGGAAAGTGTTTTTCGGCGAAGTCGCACCGGTCGGGGATGGGGATCTGGGCTCTGATGGCGTCTCGCTGTTTGTAAGCGAGGCATAGCCCGAGGATTTCTGATCAGCGGTTGGTGAAGTAGTGTCTATGGTCAGCGGGGATAAATCTTGCGCATGCGGAGTTGGTGGATTCGAGGCTTCGGACCACTCGGAATCATCTGACGACTTTCTATGGGAGGAAAAAACTAAGATTAAGCTTAGGTTCTCTAGAGACGAACAGTTCAGAACTGGTAGGGCCGGTTATCCGGTGAAAATTAGTTCAATGAAGACCTTTTTTTGCATTATATCAAATATTCCTTGTTTACCTTGGACTTCCTATATCAGTGTTCAAGGTTTCCTTTGGTTTAAAAATGCGGCGCTTTTTCCTATAAGAAAAGCACAAAAATAGATTATTCAAGACTTGATATCAGAAACCAGCGGATGAGACAATGTCGTGAGGTCATATGGATGGACAGGAATGAAACCGCGGATCATCTTTACCGTTGTCGCGCCGTGCGTCTGGGATTTGCATTTCTTGCGCATCTTGTGGAGTTTTGTATGGAGTTGTTCAAAATATTGATAATGTGGATCATCTTCTCCAGGGAGATCTCAATATGAAAGCTATCCGGATGGTTCGGGTCAGTGTATTTGGCCAATTGCTAGAAAAAGATAGAAACACTTGTTTAGGCATTTCCAGGTCAGGATTTTGTAAGAAATTGCAGCTTTGTTGTGAAATTGAAAGACTCGAAATGACAGATGAAATTACAATGATGAAATTACAATGGCAACTAGTTCCCAACTCACCCGCAGTAGCAGCACGTATCTGGGTAAGCGTTGAATGGGAGTCAGGAGGAAGGCTGAGATGTTTAGCCGCTGACATCTTGGATCGTTGGTGCATTTCTGCAAGAGAATGATGGAAATTAGGTTTCGTCTTCTCTCTGATCGCTTCACACTGGATAACCTGGAGTGGAAGTTGTCAACCTACCTCGAGAAATCTTTTGAATTTTTGCGAGTTTCTCGTGTACTTGTTGATCACTGCAATAGCTTTGGGGAAATTATTCACGTACTCGGAGTAAAGAGTCATAAAATCAACCTTGGAGGAGAAAAAAAAAAGAATTAGAAATTGTTTTATGAAGAATTACAAAGAAAACATATCATAATATGAAATAAAAAGAAATCAAAAAAAGAAATCGAGAAATACAACTACAAGTGAGTATCTTCCACTTACGTGATATGAATTTCCCAGCTTGGCAAAAATATCCCCCAACACCCCCTGCCATTTCCAGTTGTTCAGTCTTTCGTCCAACTCGTTCATGAATCTCTCATGACCGTGTTTCATCGCGAGTAATTGCTTCGGAAACATAGTTTTAATGTCCTTTTCTGGGATGACACAAGAGCTCTTCAACGGCTCTGCAAACACCTGAATTGCACAGAAACGCATAAGAGGCTATAAAGAAATGTCAGAACTCTACGAGATATTCATTATAAATCTCACCTCATGTAATGTTTCCAGCGCTGTGATGTAATTCTTTTCAGTCTGAAGAATTTCACGAGCAACCATTAATCTTTTTTCTACAAGAAAAACAATACTTTCACACATAGGGGAAAAAATTACTTCAATTTAGATCTCTTTACAAAATGCAGAAAGGGCAAAATATTCATCAATATGATTGATTAACTAGCGAACCTTCTTTCTTTTTCAATGCCATAATTCCAAATCCAGTGTAAACGCTCTTTCGTCGAGAAATCTCGCTGTGTTTTATCGAGACATTTTCAGACCATGCAGACAGCGACAAAGTGGCCAGCATTTCGTTTTTCGCCTTCAAACACGAGTTGTTTAGGCTCTGATAATCTGTAAACATAAACGTTATTAGACCAACTTGCAGACGTGTTTCTCATCAGTCAAACTGGAGTCTAAAATTTAATCCTTGCCAAATTAAAATGAGCAATATTTCTTCAAAGACATCCCGCTGTCAAGACGCTAAAATATTACCTCACGTCTGAAATTCATTTCAAATTCGAACTACAAAAACAAGCCACAACAAGGACTATTACCAGGCTTATACGAGGATCAAAACTTGAACAAATCCAATCCTTAACTACGGATACTGTTCAAGAAATACTGTATGCATTGTGGACGATCTCAGAAGAGCTTTATCGAGTTGAAATTTAACGAGACTCCGTTTAAAATAGCTAATAAATATTGCTGAAAATTACATTGTCCCGGCTTCTTGAAAGGAAAGCGCATAAGTGGTTATGCGTTTCAAACAAAAGTGGCAATTCCGTATGCACAGCTCTGACGCAAAAAGGACACGTATGGCTAAATGACAACCCACGTTAAAGTGCTGATAGTGCAAGTACTGTAGCTAATAACATAAGCCGTTGATAGCTTAGACACTAAGTTGAATATCTTTGACAGTAACAAATATAACTGGCTCCCTACCGATTTTTTCAATTAACCGCTGACAGTTCGAATTCAGGCCTGAGGTATCCTTACCGACAACACCGGTTGAGTTTTCCGTGTCACCGTTAAAAATAAAATACTTTTTTCTTCCGGTCCGCGAAGGACTGAGAACGAGGACGACATTAGCCGTGCTATTCTTGGATCGGAAAACGAGATTGCATATGAAAATACACTAATACAGCTGCCGTTTGTTTTTCTTGGACTTTCCTTGTTTGCTTCCAGGGCTTGAACTTATCTTTAATCAGTTTTTTTACCGGATTACGGCAGAAAAGAGTAATGAGTTTCACGAAGTAAAGAAAAGGCACATGTTGAAGGTGATTTTATCAGAGGATGTTCATATGTAATGAGTGTAATGAGTGATGCAACATGCATCAAATTACGCAACATCATATTACGCGGAATATTTTAAACAAGGAAGTAACTGTAAGAATCTTCAATTAAATGTGAAGCAGTAAATCTATTTTTTAAAAAAAACGCGCAGGAAACTCGCTCATGAAATAGCCAGTGAAATATACGTTGTAAGGCAGGAATTGCTCTGAAAACGTGCAAATATTTCTATCTTAATCGAATATGTGGTGTCAACACGCTTGCAAGGAAGAAAGACTTAAAAGGTTAACAAAGACTGTCGTCAAACTTGTTTGATATTTCTAAACTGATGCTTGTGTTATGAAAGCTTGCTTACAACGGGAACCTTTTCAGTAGAAGATTTCAATCACCTCATTTATAACATTTCCGTGACTGTTTTCCCATTAACTTGAGATCTTGATTTTGAATGTATTACATTCGATCTTACCTTCGATAAAGAAAATACCTTCCCGATGGGATGGAGTGTAAGCAGGTTTTCATAATACAGGCAGTTTGGCAGCATACAGTGAGATTTTATATGCACGAATGAATGCATTAATAGCCTTTCTGTCATCCAAAGTTTGAGGCAAAGCCTTTATTTTTTGCAAAAATAACATGATAACGATCCGATTCATACCTGAAGCGTTTCCACCTCTGGATGTTCTTCGGTTGCTACGTCGTAATCCCAACGGCAGAGACAGTGTGTGGGGAAGATTCCTACGCCGTGTTGCCAAAGTTGACAAGGCTGGAAGCTAAAGGAAATTGAAAGGAAAAAAGAATTTTACCAACCAGACTCTATTATCGCAACACATTAAGACAAGATTTGGAGACCTAAAGATGGAAAGGAGGAATTAGAACAACAAAGTTTTTATCATCGGCGTTAATACCTCACGGATAGGAGTGCAACCGTTCCTTAACACCCTTTCTTTACAAAAGAATGCTCAGTTTCTCTTTAGTCGGCAGAGTCAAGTTCAATTTGTAACGCCAAGACAATTAAGTCAAGCTATTAGGTAGAAGTTATCGAGCTGAAATCAGGAAAAACTAATTTGAAATTCGTAATTAACTAACTGTGAGTCCATTGCAGTGATTGGTTCCTAAAACCCTATCTGCCGATAATAGCCTCAGATTTTAAGTCTTCGGAATTATTAGGAATTAAAGCTCTCATGCATTAAGATCAAATGGGAAGTACTTTGCTACAAGATTTCCTAGTTGTCAGGCAAGTGAATATATAAAAACTGCAAAAACGTGGTTCCTCTGAAAAGTCATGTTATTGGAACTTCAAATGAGGCTTTATTGCAACATTCATTATCAACATAAGATTAATAATATTTGCGTGGGCTACATTCTGAACTATATATAACTTCCGTTGTACAGTATCTGTAGCAATTTATAGACAGAACTTTCTATGGAGAGCCTTCAAAATCATCCATTGTGATCTAAAAATATCTTTGTCCAAAGTCCGGCACGGCATGAAACAAAAACATTACTTCATGCTAATAGAATTCAAATAGAATAATGTATTTCGTTAGAAATACATGCAACTGATGCAGTTTTTTCATTGAGGGTAAAATATATAGTTACTAAGTCAGCTGTGAATATACAGAGTAGATTATTCGTGGCTACAAACCCATAGTCAACTTCCTTTCTTTACAAATTTACGGTTCAAATTAAAAGAACGAAAAATCTCTACTAATCACTGTTCCTCGATGAGCCAAACAGACAACGCAACTTTCTTTTATTTCAACGTATTCAACAATTTAGTTAAACAGTAACTATGAAACCAGATCAAGATTTAATAGCTCGCGCCTATCGCTGCCCTGCCCAAAATAACCTACTTAACTACACAAGAACTTAATGAAACCGAAGAACGTCAAAATGAGAAGATACTGAACAGTTAATACCTCTTCAACTGCCGAATCACGTCTCCACAGCCCAGTTTTCTGCAACTCATCGAAGACAGAAAACGTAAAACTTCCCGAATTCTCACCTTCTTCGCTGACAAACATGTTTTCAAGTCAACACAACAACATTTAAGCACAAAACGATTGTCAAATTTGCATGTTAAATTGCTAGAACCTAACCTATTGTCTTTTCGTTATTTCAAGACCTCCACAGGACGTCACTTGATATTCAAATTAAAACCACAGAAATGACAGGAATCAATGTTTAAAAAAGAAAATGAAAATCAGTGGTTTAACTCCTTTGTACTGATGGAAAAAACAACAGAAGGCATTCCGTTTCGATGCAACAGCTATCTACGAACAGAATCCTGCACGTTTGTCAACAGAACCAATGTTTTGCTTCGCCATTTCCCAGCCACACGTTTAACAATGGTGGGAACAGCATCAGCAAAACAAACAGAACGAAAATATTTCAGATGGTTGGTTAAACTATTTAATGCACATCTAATCCAAACGATTCGAAAGTATTTGCTCAAGGCTTGCTTGGTTATAATATAAAATGATTTAATGACGGTCGATAGTTTGATTAAGAGCGAGGTTTGCAAGCAAGATTCCCACAAATAGGCATTCAATAAAAACGGCGGGGAACGTGTTTACGACATAAAATGCAATGTAACTGCATATATCAAGTGGACCACTTGCGGGAAACAAAAGTGTGTTTTTTTAGGCTAGGACTTGTGCTGCCTAAGTAATACAAGCCTGTAATCAAGTTCTGAGTTTGTAAACAAGTTAAGCCCCAATCAAACAAGAATACGACCGAGGAAATTTGATGGAAAATACGATTAGATTGATGACAACCAACTTCCATAAACTCCTATTCTCGTCTCAGATTTTGAATACGAACCAACCAAAGTTTTTGCTCGTTTGAACGGAGTGAGAGTTGCATGCAAGTTGTTGAAAGTTGTTGACAAGTTTTGTACGGCTACAGGGGTTCCAGTCCACTTTGTAAAAACAGGGTTAACAAAACGGTCATATCCGGTTAATTACGATCAATTTCCGATCAATCTCCGATCTTTTGCACTTGTTTGACCGACATTGAAAGTTTTAAAGTCTCGCGCGCTTGTCCATGTAAACTCTCTTTTGCCAACCAGCTTCAAGCAGGATTCTCAATTGACCGAGCTCAGTTCAATGTTCACACGATTCTCGAGACTAAAGAGGACTAACGAGATGATATACTTCCCTTTGCTGAACTGTTTTGAAACCGTAACTAGGCTGAATTCATGCTTTTCGCATGAGCATGTACGACAAATCAAAACGAATCAATCTCGTCAGTTTATTCAATCTATTCCAAGCTACGAAGGTTGACCTGCATCACTACAACTATCTTCAGTTCCTGTTTTTATTATTAGTCACTTAATCCTCGGGGTCGGAGAGGCTTTTGAGATATTTAGCTCACCTCCTACAAAGGGCTTAGCCAAAATTCATTTCGAAATTATGGAAAATTCCAAGTATTCCTCTTTAAATTTTGAACCAATATTTAGTGAGTTAATATTTAGTTGCGAATTCAAATATTTTTATAATCTTTGAACACAAAAATGCAGACAGCGCCACAGTGGGGAGACTCGTCTGAAGAATAAACTGGATGATCTTTTATATATTTTTATCATGGCAAAATTATGTGAGATAAGAAAACGATCCTCAGAAACCATCCCACCTCTAAAGCGAGGTTGGCTAACGCGTATTTTCGAACGTACGTGCGGTTTGGCGCGGCAACTCTCTCGCGTCAACGATTGACTGAAGTTACGCAAAGTTCACCGCATTCGTGATCGCTCTTAACTGGTGACGTCATTTCGAAAGCAGGCGCACATGGCGTGGGTCAATGGCGTGGGTCGACATGGGTTTACCCAAAAAATATTCTAAATCAAATCCACTATGTTTGCTTTGCGATAGCTCGACACGAGTGGACATCAAACAAACGCAATGTACTGTATTTAAAAACACTTTTTTTGCACGAAAATACCTCGCTTTGCGCTTGAAATATACTATATATGATTAACTTTCGCCCACTCAGTACAATATCTATACTAGAGATCGATTAATCGTCTGGACACACTTGGGAAAAGAAAAAAGAGTTCGTTTGATATCCTCGTCAGGACACAAACAAAACAAAAGATGAATTTTCGATCATCACCATGTTTTTCAAAATATCATTGTTTTTCGTCCAAGTTTGTCCAGACAGATTTGATCTCTAGTAGAGCTTGAGCGATATTCAAGGCTCAGACAGGCTTATTTCAAAGAATTCAAACATACCTCGCTCATTCGTCGTTTGCTCAGAGATATCGACTTGTTTATTTCGGTATTTATTGAAGGCGTTCGTGCCCAGGCGCTCTGCCGTCGTCTTTGATTCATGTTCGGTGAATGGCGAAGTTGCTTTGTACAAGAAAGACGTTGTGTACTCTGTTCACAAACAAAAACAAAATAATCTCAACATATGGCGAGCTATATCTGTCATCAACAGTCGAATACCAGCCTTGGTTTATATATTAAACATTTCTGCACACCTACTTTCCCGCCCTAAACGTAGCTATATTTGTAGATATGTAAAACATGGTTAGCAGAAACCATCCACACCGACCACACGTAGCCAATACGCAATGCATGGGCGATGCAAAAAACGCGTGGAATTTCTTTGCCTATTCTAGATCCTCTTATCATATAGATATAATTGACATAATGGCACTGTACGCTTCAAAATATCCACAGGTACTTTGTATCGAAGTGTTTCCAGTCACATTTCAAAGGTATCGATTTTATTTTAACTATCAACGATATGTGAGATTAACTATCAATAATCAATCAGTCATTAGCACAGGTCCACAGGACATTAGCACTTGCCGGTGAAGAATACACAAAAATATTGAGGCTACACTTGGTAAAACAGCAAGCCCTGGACAAATTCATTTGATTAATATAAATTATAGAAAATAAGTCCAATTTCCGAGGCAAGGAAGTGTTTATGAAGCACCTCTCGAGTAATTTGATAGTCTAACATTCAATAGCGACTTTTGAAACACATTCTAACAGGAGAATTCAACATGTTTTCACCCCCAAGACAACCTTGACGAATGATGGTGTTTTATTGATCAACTCACCTAACAAATGCTGATTTATCAACGAAAGAATCCTGCACAAGACTGCCTGATTTCTCGAGGCGAATAACAAAGTGACCAAGTCTGGTTATTATAGTTCAGTCTTTTAAATATGATAGATCCTCGATAAACGACGTTAACTCGCTGAGTAATCTTGTTTACAGGGACGTGGAGATTTAAAAAGGATCGTTGACATAGCGGATTTACGTCAGGATCATGCCCCGGGTATACGGGTAGGTCATGTTCACCATCATGGCTTTTATTTTTGTTCGCTGTATAGTGTATACTTCCTAGTTCCTAGTTCCTAACACTCCAACACTTGAATTAAACATGCACTATTAAGTGATCATTTGCACCAATCCATATTAACACATAATCATGCTTCTTTTTCAAATAACACAAAGCCAAAAATACGATTTCATTGAATATATGTGTTTGATGTAAACCGATATGTATGAAATAGCATCGATTGAGGTCACATAGGTAGCGAGAGAGGGTTGTGACGAAAGCATGTTTTTGACATAGAATGTCAAAGATTATTATCACTAGTGTCTAATTGCAGTGGCCCTTTGTGATTTGATTTGTGGAGTATAAAGAAATTTTAGGAGGAATACATTTTTAGCCTTTGTTTTTTGGCAAAGATTTCCTTTGATTGACATGAACGTTTAGTTTATGCTCTTATTGCTTACGTGCTGTCGATTTTCACATATTCTTCGCAAATAAAAAACGAAAATCTTACACAGAGACATTTTCAAACTATTTATAAAACACTTGTTATCTGTGATAAATCACACCTGCATGGTTGTGTTAACTGTTGTCCACTTGAACTTATACGTAATGAAACTCTTTCGCATATAAGCTAACTTAAATACGATAGTGCTGCCTGCGGTCCAGAAAGAGTCTGTTTTGTTTAGCATTGTAATTTACTCGGTCGTCGCCGCTTTATGTCGCGAAGAAAACGAATTATGTAGCTATATTTATCACACGATAAATATTTCAGTAACGAAAAGGAAGTTTTTACGTGGAACCGGGTGAAGCCAGCAACTTAAACCCTCACTTCCCCTCTTGTGGCAAGATAAAAATTGTCTATTACACCCTCAATGATATGGCAATTAGCTGTTGCGGTGTCTCTGCCAAATCTCCATGTCGCGTCAATCATAAGTGCATGTAAATTTTATGTTGTAAAATAACCGGTAAAATTAGGAATATAAAAATAAATCGCAGTCAATAAAATTTCATTCATCGGCTGAGCTGTTATATGAGTAATGTTAACTGGACCAACCTTGACTGGAGTTTCCAAACTGACGTTATCCGTCTCATCTGATTCTTCAAACAACGAATTATCGTCATTCCAGGCCTGTTCAGCAATTGACACTGTTGGAATTGGCAGACTGAGTCTTCGTTTAGCGAGATCATAAGATGAAATCTGAGTGAAACACAAATAACAATTAGTTGGATATGCTTTGGGGTAATAGAACTGGAACTGGATCACAGGCTTATTCACAGCTTTTAAATAGATTTTCAATAAGAGATGATCCTTACTGGATCTCTAGGAAGAACAGTTTAGAATTGAGAGAGCTATCCAGCATAAATAAAGTTAGTTTAGTTTAGGTTTCCTCCTGTAGTAATACTGGATCAATAAGAGATGATCCTTACTGGACCTCTAGGAAGAACAGTTTAGAACTGATAGAGCTATCCAGGATAAAAAAGTAGTTAGTTCAGAATTTTTTAATAGACCTCTAAGAAGGAATGTTTAAGACTGAGAAGCCGTTTAGTTAAAAATAAAGTTAGTTTAGCCAAGGTTTTCTTTCACTAAATTAGTGGCAACGGAAGCTAAAGTATTCTCTTTAATAAATCTCACGCTATGCTTTATCAAGCGCGTATATTCAGTTCTCACAAACGTGACATATATTGGCTTTAGAATCTGACACGCACTTTGGCAGATAATCAAGTATATTACTGTTCTCTTTTCTTAGATACTTTCCCTAAGGCACCGGTACGTAGTATTAGCTTTGATCATTGCAAGTATATTCATTTGAGGGTGAGAAAACGGAGAGTTCTCGCAACATCAGTTCCCTATCTCAATATTTCTGACGGTGTTTTCTACTTGTTGGGCAGCGCCGAAATCACGAGAAGTCTGCATTTATTTCTGCATGGGTTCGTATATCAGAAACATTCTCACAGCTCGTTCACAGCTATTTAAAGGGTCACCCTGAGGTGAATATATATAAATACATGGAGTAAACAGCACTACATATAGACTTCGCTCAACCGCCACTCTTAAAAATGCAAGCTTGCAAAAAAAGCTCGAAAATGACATATGCAAACACAACTATATATTTTGTTGCAAGCACGATAGCGTTGGCGAGCCATCCTGCCGGTGTTCACCCTCATTTGAGCAACCCACACAATTCGTTGAGGTAATTTACACGCCTATAATCGTATGAGGGTTTTTTAATCATGATGATGCGCGTGATAAGGCTTTACTTCCAGACGTTAACACTTGACATTAAAAAACCACGACATAACTTTGGCCCTTAATCCGCGAGATATAATTGTTTTAAAACTTTACTATCTCAAACTTCAGGGTGCCAGAATAGATAGATTTTCGAGACAGAAAGGTTGTGTGATTTGAGACAACGCTAAAAGACCACCGTTTAAACGAAGAACACATCACATTGTCTATTCTAATTATAGTAGTAGATCTGATTAAATGATTATGATTTGACATGCTTTTGTCCTGCCAGGTCATGATTACACGATTTCGCTCCTAAATTTGCCACGCCATATTTAGTCATTGACCAGTCTAACGTTATATCCAAATGACGTTCAAACGAAAACGGCCCAACTCTTTACAAGGTCATAGTTTTTGTAAGGTTCGAACGATTACAAATTATCATTAGTTCTTGATACTGTTCAACAAATATCGAAGCTACACACGAGCGATGCCGGTCCTGAGTGTTAGAGCCTGATAAATTTCGTTAACCTCAGCGCTTCAACCATGCCGTGGAAAATTATCTGGCGGCAGACAAAATACAGAAAGGGATCAAAGGGTGCAATATAAGATACAATATGATACAACCGGTTAACTTTGTACTTACAAGAAAATGTTCATCGCTGGAGACGTTCTTCTTCAGATCTTCATCCCCGTCATCCTCAGAGATTGTCACAGGATTTATTTTATTGATATCTTCTTCCATTTTTCCCATATTCGAAATGTTCGTCTCCTTATTTAAGTTGTTCCTGACAAATTCTCTCATCGGGCAAGGATCCGTATTACGATAAACTAATCCGGGTCGTCGACGACGGACGGTTTCTTCCCCTCTCGTTCTCATACTTGAAGTTTCCTCGACTGGCGAGCTACGAAGAAAAAAACATGTGGAATTTAAACACTTGTACAGCGCTAATTAGGAACGGAAACATCGCCTACGCTTGGTTTACACAGGGAATGTAATATACACATGTGCAGCGATATCACACGATATTGAGAGAATCACCCAAGACACACTACCGCAGTTTTGTCTTGACTACCTGAAAATATGATCATTTTAACACCTCGGTATTTTGAACGATGATGTTTTTTTAGTCAGGCATGAAAGGGCAAGAAAGTGTTTTTATTCCTCTCTGTAGACTTGACTCAAGACGCAAATTACCGTCATCGTAGCATATTCGTACAAACAAGCCAGCTTTTTGCCGGTTTACTGCTCATATTTTTACGCGCTGAATATTTCTTTAGTTCCTTATTGGAAGGATACGTCTAACACTATAAAACTTCTCTTTCTAAAACACTTGCATGTTCCATCAACTGTGTTCCTCCTATAGGGGTACACTGAGGGTTATAACGATCAATTAGGAATAGAATAACCGAAATTCTCAGAGATTAAACTCTGCACTTATTTGTCCAATATAACAGGTGTGTTCCTCCGCATGCCACGTTATAAAATCAGACAAATGCATATCGCAAGAACCTAACCTCAACCTAACGTCAGCCTCAGAGGGTGCCCAATCATGAATCTACAATTGTCCAACCAATGTAGGAGCGATGATGCACCTGTGCTACCAATGTCAAGGAAGTGAAAGATTATTGAGATCACGGGGGGTAGAAATGTTCGTGTCATGTCGGGCTTATTACCGGCATTCATATATTACGCTGGGGGGATTAATATTCGTAGCACAGGTTAATTAGAACAGGCATGACAAACAAAATGTTTGCAATGAAAAGCCTCGTTCACAGCAATGTTGACAATGGTTGAATTTTAGCGCGTTTTTCTTGTTTTAGTTCCATGCATTTCAAAACTTGGAGAGCTCTTCCTGACCGACTAACTGCATGGTAATGCTTCTTCATGCGTCTTTCGTTGCTACGACCTGAGTCCATCCTAAAGCTATGCAGCTTTTTCAGGATGGACCACGCCGTGCGAATGCAAGGACGTATTCACTACTACTACTAAAGACCTCTTGAGACAACATCTCTAAAACTAACAGGCTGCACAAAACTCGTTGCTGCTCTAACAAAATCAGTTCTAATGGAATAAATTGATGTCTTTGAGCTTACCTTGATGATCTCTCAATCACATGATCGATCTTTCTATCCCTCAGAGCAATGGAAGCATCTTTGTATTCCTTACGAAGGCACCAAATATCCGAGCTTTCTTCACCGCTGTCCTCCATTTCCTATGAAAGAACAAACGAAAAGTTCTTTATTGTCTTCTGGATAGTTCGATCAGTTCAAACCTGTTTCCCAAAGAGGCCTAGATCTCAGCAATAAACAGCCAATGTCATCTAGACTGTAAAGTGTAAACAGACTAAATATAGATAGCTTTAGACAAAATATCGGCATCAAGTGCAGATCAGTCTTCCTAAAGTTCCACATGCAATTAAATCATCGGTTCAGTGAACAAAATTTGAACATCAATGTGGTTGAAATATTCACATTTTACGTTTCCCAACCAGGCTATCACATTCCACAAACACAGAGTGGAACCCACCGACTGTGTCAGTTTCTGAAGAGCATTAAAATTCTCCTCACAAGGACACAAATATCCTTCTCTACAAGCAACTGACGTGTCGATGTTCAAGCTGGCAACTGCACGATTGTGTTCGCTTTACTCAATTACGACAATGGAAATTTTATACACGAAAATGATATGCCACAACTCCCACTACATACGTAAGTTTCAAGCTCTCATCGCCAAAACAAAGACTCTGAAATCAAACAGTGTTGAGAATCTACGATCCACAAGTAGATACTAGATGATAAAGTCAGATAGCTACCTCCTATATTAGTGAATAACTTGATGTCGATCAACGATCAGTTGTGAGTCAGATCTGGTATGTTGGAATGGCATCTTAACTTTCTTTTATTGACATGATATTTACGTATATTCAATTAATCTCGCAATCGAGTGATTAGCATGATCTAACAATCTAACAAACAACAAATGATCCTGGTATCCTAATTAAGTCGTGACTTTTGTCTGAACTACCAGAAATAGACATCTTAAACGTGTTGGTCTAGTGTATAGGTAGTATTCTACAATAAGTTGTAGTGATTTGTGTCTGAACTACGTGAGAAAGATATCTCAAACGTGGTGGTCCAGTGTAGGTAGTATTCTACAATAAGCTGTCGTGGCTTATGTCTGAACTACCTCAAACGTGGTGGTCCAGTGTAGGTAGTATTCTACAATAAGCTGTCGTGGTTTGTGTCTGAACTACCTTTGAGAAAGATATCTTAAACGTGGTGTCCATGTAGGTAGTATTCTACAATAAACTATATAATATATTTTATCTTCCACATATCCACTACACCACCTTGTACTGGACCACCTGATGTACCTGGACCACCAGGATTTCAAGTAGACACAAACCACGACAGGTTAGCACAGAATATCACCTGGCACTGGACCACCAGGTATAGAAACCTGAATCCCAACCTGAACATTCCTCCCCTGACATCCCGCCAACAAGGCTTTTAATTTCGCCAACAAATACATGGGACTCCGCATTATATAGAACAGTACTTCACGTGTAGCGTGTGAAAAGATTTCAGAATTAGACAACACTTGACGATATTTAACCGTTTGCTAGCGCGTTCTAGTGAGCCTATTCTCAACAGCAATTCACACACATTGTGACACTAAAATTTCCTGCAACACGTTACAAACACCCAACTACCAAACCACCAATTTCCCGTTTAAATCACTCAATTTAGTCTAATTGCCTCACTTTCTACATACATTGTTTTTGTGATCGTAAAGACAGAACCTTATTCGGAAATTTTCCAAAGCATTTAACCCAACGTGTACTTCAATTCTTTCACTGTTTGAGGAAATCAACTATTTTGAAAGGCGTTTGTTGTTGCAACGAAAGTGATTAATCTTAATTATTATCGAACCACATGTTGCTTTTTGACAAGACTTTTGTTTGCCTCAAAAAGGCGCTGCATTAAATGTAACTAAAATATCTCAAGAAACAAACATGTAACGTTGATATTCGTGTGACGTTCAATACTTTCTGACGATGAAAACTTTCTGGGCGATTATCAAAGTCATAAGAACTGTTATACGACATGCAATGATGTTTGAAGATATGACACAACATAGTTTTTTACTTTGTGGTAACGAGGAAACATCACTCTGTGCCTGCCTCCTCCCTCCCCCCCTCCCCCCAAAGTAACACCCGGAAGTGGAAGGTGGAGGGGCGCGTCTGCACGAGGTTAGCGCGTGGTACACCGCTCACTCGCCCTGTGGGGCGGGCAGAGTTTTCTCTACGGTCTCCCTACTGGTCTACGGTTGCACTCCAGGTAAAATTCTCAGGGACAATTGGTAATTATCGTGTCGTAAACTAAAGCAGCAGTTCCTGTGGTCTTCATAGTTTCTTAAGAGCTAGAAGATTACAGCTCAACGGAAATGCACAGGAAAGCTTTTAAACTCGTTTTGGAGTGAATATTTGTCACTTCCTGAAATACAGGGAAAGGAGAAATTTCGATCAACCGAAGCTAACAGTTCCACTCGATGACTGAAAGATGTTTTAATGATTTAGTATTCCTCATTGACCATTCATGACAAATACATAAATAAAGTCTAAAACCCTGTCAGATCCTTATAATAAAACCAGTTCAATTGAATTCTGTTTAGTTGGGTTTAACCAGGTTTCTGCACAGTACAATACAGCTCAACACAAGTCAGTTCAGTAAGTTAAATTGAGTCCAGTCTAGTTTACCTGAACACAGTCCAGATCAATCCAGTTAAAACTGTGCCCAGGTAAGTTCAGCACAGCTAAACTCAATGTAGTTCAGTGCAAAACAGTCCAGTTTTGTAGTGCTAACCTCAATATGTTCAGTTCAGTTCAGTCCAGTTCAGTTCAAACAAGCCCAACACTTGTTCAGCGCAGTCCAGTCCAGCACAGCACAGAAGCTTACTTAAGTTCAACTTCAAAACAAAGCTCAATTTAGTTCATTTAAAAGCAAGACAAAATGCACAGGAGTGTCTTCAAAAGTATCCAAAATATTTCGAAAACACGATAACATCTTTGCGAAAATTTCTTACAAAAAAAAACCTTGTTACAAAGTCCGCATTTTTGACATAACTCGTGCTTTCAGGACGTAACCTGCGCTGTTTGCAGGAAGCTGGAGTATTATATTCGAATAATAAAGCACTTAAATCACTGCTTGATATGACAATATGAATAAATTACTTTGTATCATTCAGTAAATTATTTTCCCAATCATGACGACCGTGGCTATGCAATTGAATATCATCACACAATATGACAAAACAGTTGCTGTGTATTGCGAAAACTAAGGTGACAGAAGCATACACGGAGGCATGCGACAATACACGATTGTTAAAATTGAGGCCTTGTCTCATAAAATGCACTAATTTACTGCTAATAACGAGAGAAAACGAATACTTCACATGTAGTTTGCTATCAGGAATAAAGAACGGTTTATCGATAAATCTCAAGGGAATATCTTTTATAGAACAATCCCACTTAATCTGAAAGGGTGACTCCTTCCTGGATGTATATAGAATTCCTTTCTACCATGTGGAAAATGCGGAAAATAATTAACTGTAAAACAATCTCTTTTTTCCATACAATTCCTCCCAATCACTCAAAACACATTACGCAAAATTGAATGTGACGGGCATCTAGAGACGTCTTTGCAGGAATGCTTTGATAAAAGACCTCCCCTCGTGAAAATCATTTGGTAATATTGACATTTGGTCTTATGGCGCAGTCAACAGTAACGGAGTTAAAAATTGCAACCGAACACGATTCCGATTAAAAAAGGAACTTGAATCGATACAGAATGCACAAGTCGTGTTTAAGGTTTCGTTCTACTTGTGCTGGATAAAAAAACATACTTTTCTTGTACAAACGTGCTTGGATATCATGCTGTTTTCATGCGGTAACAAGCTCAACGGAGAGCATTTAATTCTTTGGTAAATAATGCCAAAATATTAACATAAAAATTAAGCTTAAAAGCACACACACAAATTAACAATATTCGAACAAAGATTCCGACTTTTTGTGCAGAAATTCCTCAAGAATTGGCTTAAAATTCCATTTAAACACCGAGAAATGCAATGAATACAAAGTCATTATGACTTTGAACACTTGATTGATTTTTAAAGAAATTTTGCAAGAAAGGAGGAACTTTGCTCGAAGGATTAGCTGCGAGGTGCTAGAAAGTGAATCCACTTTAAGTACAGTTTAGTTTGCATATTAAATTAACGATATTTCCTGTATTATCTCTACATAATATTAAGTGAAAGTTAATTTTACCCCCATAGGAATCAAAATAAATGCTTCCTTTGCAACAAAGACTAAAATTGAAACAGATTAATCGCTCGCTGTGAACTTCCATGCACTATAATGAGATTTCTTTCTTTATAAAATATTACTTATATTACCCCACTTAATGCCGTCGCCAATCCGATATATTTAAACATTCAATTTTCTAGTCCAATTCATGAATTCAAACATTTAAATATACATAAAAAAACTATATTTTATACCTTGATTTGAGTCGCTACCATTGCTTATAGAAGTTTATTCTTCTTAACGTGGCTACTATTACTAAATCGACGCGTCTTTCAATTCCAACAGGTATATAGCAGTCCCGTAAATACTGAAAATCACTATTATTAGCCAAAAATGGAAGCCTTTAAGATTGGCAACTTAGTACAGTTTGCCAAAAATGGAGGCTACTTGTCACAACTAGCGGCGTTGCCCAATAGCTCTCGACAGCGAGTTCACAAACTTCACACGTTCATTATCAATTGTAAGTTTTTCCGGTAGTAATGATACACATAAAATGTACCCTCTTACCTAGACTGGCCACATTTTTCAACCAGCCATGGAGATATTAACAAAGTATCACTTTCAAAAGCTTTCAATCTTTCACGGCGCGTTCTTAACAACTTTTGTTGAAAACACAACTGTGTTCAAACAAATTCTTGGCATGCAACTAACAGGTGAACTTTAGACTATGTTGTTTCACAGAAAACCATATCATTCGCGATTGTTGTTTCCTAATTTCCCACCACAAAGCGTTTCCTGTAATGTAAAAAAGCCGAAATACCATGCCTCGTGCTGTTTCGTGGTCATAATGCGAACAAAACTATCTCATAGTATAAACAAAACGGACAATTATGAACCCAATTCGAGGTTTATCTATATTCAATGCTTTCGGATGTATAACGGAAATTGAACTAACCATAATATGGATTTAATATGGGTGATTTAACTTGCAAAACATTTTAACTACGTGGTCTCTGTTGAAAATTATCGCCAATTATCTGCTCAAAAATATTCGCTGATCGCGCCATTTCGTCTATCTTTAGGTTATCTCAGAGTCCTATTGACTTTATTGTGACTATAGCAAGAGTATAGAATAGATTTAAAACATTTAAAATCGTTGTTATTGCCTATGCATTGAAGTCTAAACAATATTAGCTGCAATCAAAATTCAACATTCTTTTACTGTCGTTCTGAACGACAAAAACAGCATGTATTAAAAAAACAGATGGAATTTTGTAACGTGGAATTTTGAATGTGCAAGCTAATGCATGAGACGGCAGATTTGAACTAGATGTATCTTCCTAGCTATATACAAAACGTAATACAATGTATACGAACAATAATTGCTATCCTGCCCTGCACCAATCTTCAGTCTATATCTATATGAAATTGATACTCTCTTATCGCAAAAAGCACGTTTATAATTAATTGCTGCTAAGTGTATTTTTCACAGAACAACCATAATTAAATTCAGGTCTCATAAATCAATTTGCCGGATTAGACAGTCGAAGTTTCTAAAAGTTTAGACGATGCCGTGTAACGAAAACAAGGCGTTTGTCATATTTCTAATCCCAAACCGTATTCAAGAAAGCAGAAAGCGCGTACACAAAAAATGTGACCTCTTAAACAGCGGTTTAAAAAATCACGCAAGAATTAATGATAAAGTTGATTTTAACACCTTAAGGTAACTTTGTAACACCTCCAAAGATCGCATGCAGACAACCTGTCACACCGGACAATGTTCTTGCATTATATAAAAAGGGGGAATGTTTGGTATAACGGTAAAGATATTGAATAGGACACGCAAATATCTCTCACAACCGGTGCATGCAATCGTGGGTATTATCTCATACACGTCTAGCGTGTTAAAAGGTGTTAAGATCACAATACGCTAACAAAAATGCTGTTCCACTTGTACAAAAGAGATTAAATGTTCTAACAAACCTTATTAAAAGCTCCTTTAGCCATATCAATATCATCACCCTCGCGTCCATCAGCTACATCCATACTTTTGAGCAATTCCAACGATGTTTGCGTATTTTAGTTAATCCACTGGACACACACTCACACAAGCGCGGTATTTTCCCAGTTCCTACACAAGATCACAAGACAAACAAATGTCAGCAGAAACCAAAGCTCAGCGTGGCTCTAAAAGCCCAAATCTCACGCTGTGCGCTGAACAATGCGTATATTTCAAAACACACCTAGCACTAAAAGAATGTGACCACTTTATTTTCAAACACGCCCGTTCGGTTCTCACAACACAATCAAAATTAAAAAGAAAGTTATGCGATGTTGAACAATAACAAGAAAATTCCGATTCCCCAAAGTTCCTGGGCGACCTTTAATTAACTGTCACCCTCACCAGGAAATTGGATTTGGAGCCTTGTTGATAATTCGTGATGAGATATTTCTTCTTCTGTTTCGTTCACACAACAGCCATATATCTACAAGTCCTGTCAAATGGACAATGAACCTGTCGACGTCACTACAAGAACACAATCCCCCCCGATGAGTAGGTATTGATTGTACCAAAGATTAAATGGTTTATTTCAAAGTGAATAAACTCATTATCACTGCACGTGAAACGTTGTACATTTTTGCTGACTTTAACACTTATTCATCTGGAGCGTTGGCGAGGATAGCAATAAAATATATATAAATATTATGATAGTATTTAAAACATTTTAGGTTCTGTAATGAGTGTAATTGTCCTATCCTGTAATTGGTAAAGAAAATTTCACCATATTTCCATAAAAAATATCATTACAATAGAACATTTTAAACGTAAAAATATGTCTACCATTTTCAAACCGTTATTGTTCTATTATCACTGCGTTTTATAATTCGCGTTAATTCTAATAAACCCCTTTAAAAAAAATAGCTGTGACCCAGTAATCCTTTGTAGTTTCTATGTATATTCTTGTCTATTCTCGGATTTGAAATCATAAATCATTATAAGCTCTCATCCTCGTTATTAATTTTAACGTTACTTGGTTTATTAACACTACATGAAGTATTGCTTTCACTTCCCTGTTTATTGGCTGAAATATTTCCCGCCTCCTGAGAGTACCGCTGCGGCGGTGTGCCCGCGATGCAACTCAGCTGTAAATATTCTAGTTTGTGACTCAAGGTTTGTCTGTCCTGCATTAACTCCTTTTGTTTCTTTAAAAGGTTGTAAATCTAAAAAGGAAATATTGCTCAATGCTTTCGGTTTTATAATAATTAAGCCAATAACAACGTTAGTTTAGTTTAGGTTTCCTCCTGTAGTAACACTGGATGAATAAGAGATGATCCTTACTGGACCTCTAGGAAGAACAGTTTAGAACTGATAGAGCTATCCAGTATAAATAAAGTTAGTTTAGTTTAGGTTTCCTCCTGTAGTAACACTTCATCAATAAGAGATGATCTTTACTGGACCTCTAGGAAGAACAGTTTAGAACTGACAAAGCTATCCAGTATATATGAAGTTAGTTTAGTTTAGGTTTCCTCCTGTAGTAACACTGGATCAATAAGAGATGATCCTTACTGGACCTCTAGGAAGAACAGTTTAGAACTGACAGAGAGCTCACCATTTTTAAAGCTTTTTTGTTTTCCTGCTTTAAAAACTTCACTTTACCGACAAGATCAGTATTCACTTGAGAAAGCCTTTTTTTCTCAGACGTTATTTCCTCGTTCTGTTTACGACTCGTCTCTAGTTCTCTCGTTAACAAACTCGACTGTTCTCGCCATTTTTCCCTCTCCGAACTACACCAATGAAAATTACATGTAATATCTCACGATAGACGCGAAAAAAAAACACAATCATATATCCTCGATGTCATATTGCAGTAGAAAGAAAAGTTGAATGAAAACATTGATTCGACTCTATACCTGTGATTCCCTTTTTTCTCTTCTAATTTCAAAATCAATCTTTTATTCTCATTCTTTATCGCCGAGGACATTTTCATTTGCGTTTGTAACATTTCACCCAGTTCTTTTCGTAATTCAGCTACAATTAAAAACAAGACAAAGCTTAACCTCTTCTCCCCATTTAAATCGTTTCCAACTATATCTCTTTGCTGTAAACAAAAGATGATCACTATGCATAATATCATTCATACCATGCTTTTCTTCACTTTCTTGTAAAGTTTCGACAAACTGCTGTTCTCGCTGTTCGTCTTGTTTCTTGCGATTCTCGCGATTTTGCTCATGAGCGCTTTCCAAGTTTGTCTTCGTCAGAGTCAGCAGATGAAACTGAAATATTTAGGTTAATAGGTAAATGTGAAAGAGGGATCAAAAAATAGTTGAAGTGTCTCATTAATTGTTACCCATGTTTAAGTCTATACCAGGGTTTATGCAGGAGAAAAACCTATTCCCAATAGCAGGGTTAATCATAACCAAGTTAGATTCCCTGGGATTAGCGCCACAAACCTCATTCTCAAGTTGTTTTAATCGTTCCTCAGTTTTCATATTTTCCTCCCGTGTTTCCAACCAACCGCTCTGGGCTTCCGCCAGACGGTTTTTCAACGCTTCATTTTCGGTCGTCAGTGCAATTTTTCCCTGCAGAAATTGTAACGAGATAAGTGGAAAACCTGAGGAAGATCCAAGAGTCTACAGGAGTAGTATCAAGAGTCTGTATGGAAGAGAAGAACAAGCAGATATTTCATAAACATTACATGACGTTTCTCCCAGTACCCGTTCATAATCTTTGAGTTCTCGTGCGTGAATGTTCTTTACATGAAGTAGTTCTTGTTGGGCTTCAACGCGTTCACGAGTGCAAGCAGCGAGGTCGTCCTTGGCGACTTCTTTCACCTGTTTATTACGAATAATATTGAAGAATAAAAACCCAAATAAAACATTGAAACGACTAAAATAATGTAAAAATGGAAATCGCATTGAAAAAAAAAACACGCATGTAGGTCATTATACAGCCATACTAAAAGTGAAAACGGAGAAAAAGTCCAAAACAAGTATTATGTTTCATTTTAGAAACGACGTCATGCATTACAACAACGTTTACAGTTAGTTATATTACCTTGTCAATATCGACATGGGAAACGGCCAGTTCTGTTCTTGAATGCTCCAGGTTCGATATTAAGTTCACCTGTTCAGAAAAGAGCCTTATTTTGCTGATCTCGCAGTGGAGAACTGGATGTGTCCAGGTCCGTCGCTAGAAGCTTAGCTGGCAATGTAACCCAGTTTCATGTATTCGTCTTCTTATGCAAGACTGTTTTCTTTCGATAGCGAATGTTTTACGCTCATTTTAACATGAAAATACTCACCAATAATATGAATATACACACCCGAATTTAGCTTCTAGCGAAGGTCCTGCATGCGTCATAAATGCAACTCACTTTTTCACGGATTAGTTTCTCCAAATGATGATCATTTTCATCGCATTTCTGAGTTAACAACTGGATCTTAACAATAATTAGAAGGTCGGTTATACACTGAAGAAACATCGGTGGTAATTTTGGAAACAAACAATGAATTATTTCCCCGATTTCACAGTTGTTCCTGCACGTTGGGTCTTAATTACAAAAAAATTTTACGTTATTTTCCAAAGAGCTACAGCCTACCTTCGCTTGTAAAGTCTGTTTTTCCTTCTCGTATTTTTCCTTTGTATCATCGCGTTCACGTTTCCATTTTTCCTGCGCAGAGGAAAGCAGCGATTCGTGTCTTTTTCTTTCTTCATCCATACCACTTTCCAGCTGTTTAATCTTTATAATGGCCTGGTAAAGATCATGTTTAAGGTTAACTGAATTGTGCTTCAAAGAAACTCAGATACTGTAACAATTAATAACAGTATTCTTACAGGTAAGGGGCAGGGACCATTCACCTTAACTCATTCTCTTCCCACTAGCCAGGAATCACCCAACCTTGGCTTGTTATTCTCTGACAGGCTGTGGGCAGAGATCCACTCAACTCAGCTCACTTCCCTTTGCAGGCCAGGGACTTTCTCACAAAAGCTGTATTTCCTCTCACAGACCAGGGTCAGAGACCCACCCACCTCGGCTGTATTTCCTCATGGGGGCGAGGGGCAGGGACCCTTTAACCTCATTCACCTCTGACATACTGTGGGCAGAGACCCACTCACCTCTGCTTTTTCAAGTTTAGCATTCTCTGCAGTCTCAGCGCTGTTCTTCACTTGCATGTAAGCTTCAAACTCACGTTGATGACATTGTTCTAACAGAGACTTATGTTTGGTCAACGTCTCTGTTAGTTCATCTCTTTCCTTCGTGAGTTTATCCAAAGTTTTCATATGCACCATTGATGGTTGTGAGGCAAAGTAGCTGAGGCCACCACATTTCATGCAGACATTGTCCTGATTCTGAAATTGATATTGAGTTGATACATCGGTCTGAAAATGCCGAATATAAGGGCCACAAAGAGGGGTAATGGGTAGTATGCCATTGCTTATGTACTCCCTTCTGAAAAGGACTATCAATGGCCTTATATATACTATTAACAGTCTTTTCTTTCTGTCCTTAGAAATAATTTTACTGCTACGTAGTTAATGTCAATTGGATAAAAACAAACCTGTTCACCATCATTTGCCATTGACCTGGAAGAAAAATAATTTATCACAAATTATGAAAAAATACTGTACATAGTTGCTGCCTAGGGTATCTTAGTTCGCAGCTAGCCTGGGCCTGCCTAGGTTACTTTCCAGATCCTATGTTATATTGCAAGCTTAACGATAACACTGTATATCTTGAAACATTCACCTTAGTTGAGATTGAAGTTTTGAAACTCTTTCTCTATAAATGTCAAGTTCCTCTCTAAGAGAAAACAAATATTTCAATTATTAGCAGCGAAAGTTAAGGCTGAAAGGTATCTCAGCATGTCCCCAACGTTACGAACCTAGTGGACTTGATAATTGTCTCTAACTGGTTCGTCTTCTTTTGATTAAGTTTCTTAACATCATCCTGTTGAACAGACATGAAACCGAAGAGACTGAATTATCAATAAAGCTTTTTGATTCATGTATTGAAATATGCAATGATTTATTGACCTACCAGTTCATTCTCCAGTTGATGAAGGTAATGTCTGTCTTCATTTTGAGCAAACTAAAGAAAACATCAAGATTTAATTGAAGCCTTTTACAAGAACTGCTATTCAGATATACTGCATACAGTTTGTCAAAATATTTACATGGACTGTTGAGTGACTTCTTGTAGCATCATCTTTAAGTGAGTTCTCTTTCAATCTTTCATGAAGCATTTCATTCTCAGAAACTACCTGCTCCGTTCTGAACTTCAAACCAGCCAGTGACTCCTATAAACAAGTACCAAGCAATATTATTAAAAACAAATCGTCCAATAGATCTGTGACTGTTCTTCCATTGAAATGGTATATTGTGAGTAAGCTATTACCTGATAAAACACGAGCTGGTCTTTCAAACGTTTTGTCAAAACATCGCTTTCCTGCAAAAGATGAACCACGTCTTGCACTGACATGTTGAAGTCCCCTTGAAATAATCGACTCTTAGACAATTTCCTTTCTTCCAACAGACCTCTCAGCTTGCTCGCTGAAGAAAAATTATGCAAATAGTTTTGCATGAAGCAAGAAATGTGGATATATATTCTGATCATAGACATAGTCATTCTGTCAACCAAATGAAAGATTTTGAAGATCTACAAACCTGAAGATTCTTGCAGGTCTTCAGAGCTATCTCCGTGACCTGGAATCTCTTTGTAATTGTGTTTTGGTCGACCAGATAACTTCATGGTTTAAGTCAATGAACTTAAACGGGTTTAAGCCTTGTCGATTTTCGTTTATTTTATATATTTTTGTCCTAATTTTTGCAACTATTTTGTTGTTGTTTTACAATGAAAAGTGAACCAAATCCATTACAAAGACATGAAGTATTTCAGCATTCTCTTGATGTGGTCGTCCTCCGTGGGCTCAAAATTAGAATGAAATTTTCACAGATTGAAAATTGTGTGATATGTACTGCAAAACAAACCAATTTTCCTCAGAAATAAGCAATAGACAACCTCAAAATACACTGCACTAATATAAATATAGATTTCTGCACAAAACAGATAAATATGATGGTAAAATTTTATGTTGATATTTTTATTTTACTGATGAAGATAATGAATATCTTCTTCTCCAAAGCGGAAACAGTTCATGTCCACAACCTGTTCGCAGGTAAAAATGACTGTATATTGGAAAATGTTTTGAGGAGTGACAAAATGAGTGGCAAATACAGGGCGGTTTTCGACGTTTTAACCGGCTTTTTCTTTGGAGCCAGTGCTGTAAAAATATACTATGAAACCATCAACACGGAGGAGGCCAACGAGTCGTTTATATTTCGAAGAAATAAGAAAAAAATTGACGAGATTCGTGCCTCGCATGAAAACTTGAAAGTTGGTCAAAGCGAGAGAGTGATACAAAGCGATAGAAATCTTAAGAAAGTCAAAACTCACGAAGTCTTCAGATTTGGTAAGCCACAAGGGACGGATTTATTGTACTATAAGAGTCACGTGTTGGCTTATGACGCGGCGAGGAAAGTCCCACTCTGGGTAGCGGAGCATCTGACGAAGGAGAAGTTGACGATGGCAGATAACCAGGCTGAGAGGTCCAAGTCGAGTTTCCAACCAGACCCAAATATACCAGAGATATTTCAAGCAAAGAATGATGATTATTTTAAAAGTGGTTGGACACGAGGGCATATGGCCCCAGCAGGTATTGTTACGGTCGTGATTCCAGCTGAAAATCTATGAATTTATCTTTAGAGCAGATTTACGAAAATGGTCCGTTAAGGTCTAGGTCAAACGTCGTGCTTCGCGCCGAACGCATCAAAAACAATACGCGAGGCTTTTCAGCTGATTATTTATTGTTTTCAATTCGTTCGGCGCAAGTGAAAAGTAATTTTCGACCAAGGTCTGATATATATTATAACGTAGGTGACAACAAATTTGACCAAAAGTCGATGGACGAGACATTTCTGTTGTCAAACATCCTGCCTCAGAATTATGAAAATAATGCGAACTTCTGGTACAGAATGGAGGTGTTCTGTCGTAATCTCACGAAACAGTTTACCGATGTTTACGTCATCTCGGGTCCACTGTGGTTGCCATGCCAACGGAATGGAAAGAAAATTGTACAATATGAGGTGAGCAGTTAGGAACTATCAATCGATACGTATCATTTACCTAGAAATCCCACAAAACAACATGTTCTTCTTTCACTCTTCCAGGTTATTGGTGAGAACAATGTCGCTGTTCCAACTCATTTATTCAAAGTCATCCTAGCGATTGATTCGACCAATGGTGCTGCGATGGCTGCTTTTGAAGTTCCCAACGAACCAATCACATACGAGCAAAAACTAACAAATTTTCAAGTTCCGTTGGAGAAGTTGGAACGAGACACTGGATTTCGTTTCTTTCAAGAAACACGAGATTTTAAGACCCGAAATTTGTGTGATTTTACCGGATGCAAACTGATCTCAAAAGAAACTATGGAAAATATTCTGTCACAGAGAGAGACGAAAAACGCTCAGAATACCAAAACAAACGGAGTGATTTTAGAAACAGCTTGATAAAGATTTACTTCATGTAAAGATTTACAGTCCAACTTGCAATATTTCACAGTAAATTTGATGAAAACCACAAGATATTACGCCATATTGTCAAGAAACTACGCACACAATTTATCACTGATATTTACTACATTGTAATTCTTAAAACTTTTTCATATTAATATAATATTTAGGATAGCAGTCTACAGCAATAAAATATCTGGGAATTTACAGCGTAAAAAGTGTCTAAAATATACTATATTCTATAAAACGTATTTAAAATAAATATTTTATATTTTTCGGCTAATATTTTCCTTAAAAGGAATCTCTCCAGCTACAAACAAAATCGCTCTCTAACCACATTAGATCATAATTTACGATTGCTTGTGTATAATATTTGCCACCTGTCGACTTTGAGTCTTCCTGGTACAATTTTAGAAATTGTTATTATATATATATACTGCTTGGTCAAACATATAGATATATATATGCAGTGTTATCTGACATACTTACATTAAGCAGTGCGCACGCGACCTACACTCAAATGGTCAGCCATTTCCCTCCTATATCATCCAATTCACAATTAGGAATCAGAATATTTTCGCCGATGACATCCTCGTTGACAACAACGTTGTTTATCTCATCTGGCAACGCAGCCAACTCGTGTCTGCTTGCCGTTCATTGTTTGCTATATGATGCAATATTTCGTCCCGTGCAACGAGTTATCCTCGTTCGTGATGACGCAACCAGGCTCGTAGATCTCTGGCCCGTTATCAATCAACGTGCTAAACGAAAAACCCGTATCGTCTGTGGATATTTCGACAATTCACTGAAAAGCCAGTTCACAACTCAATATGCCCTTCAATTCCTTTCATACAAGTCTCATTTCAGTCTTACCTTCGAGAATTCTGCGAGGGTTGTAAGGCCACTGGATTTAAAACGATCTCCGGGGACTTTTTCTTTTCCAAGTCAGGTTTCGACGGATTATTATTATTTAAAGCAATGCCATTGCTCTCCACACCATTCCCAGCCGTGTAAGATGGCACCACGCAGTGGTTCGCGACGATCCCCGAAGGCGGTACGTTGAATGTCGCGTGCCTCCGATGTCGTCTTCGTATCAGGCAAACTATGACACTAAGAAGGAGTACAACTAGGATGCTCGACAGAATGTAGATAATGCGGTCAGTGTCTAGAAAAAAAATGATGGGAATATAAATAGAGTTACATAAGAAGCCATATAGCTCAGTGGTGATAAGTTTCCTGTGTGTAAGACCAGCATTTTTTGCAAGAATTGCAATAATTTTGCAAAGAGTTTTGGCCTTTGAGGTCGTCACACATGAGCGTTTAACATCATAAAGCATTAAGTCGATTCATTTTCGCTTTTCTTTCGAGGAAAAAAGGTCGGGAGAACATCAAAATAGCCTCAAATTTTCAACCTGATGTCGACTCTTCTGTTTCAACTGATACAGTGTTACCACAACGCGAGCTGTTGTCTCTTGAGGAACATCCTGGGAAACAAGACATGTTTTTCATTAGAACATCGCAATTAGCAAACTGGAGGAAATCTTCTGCTGAGAGTTATCTGCGGTAGAAGTATTCCTCTCGCCCAAGTCTGAGGTAAAACTATGCAGATTACAGAAATCTCTTCTAGTTACAGAAGTGCACATGAATTAAAACGCTGCATTACCAAATCAAATCATCTTCTACATACTTATTTTACTTGTGTTGCAAAATGGACCGGTCCAGCTTTCGTTGCACAAACACTCGAACGGTTGACGACAGAAACCATTCACACAGGATGAATTTCTAACACATTCACTGCAATTTGGGCCTTTCCAACCAGCGTTGCATCTAATAAAACATTAGTTTGAACCATTTGTTTGCATTTTTAGCTAAGAAATGAAGCAACCGACTTTTGAAAGTAATAATAAAAGGTTAGAGGTCGAACCTGCACTTGCCATCTTGACAGCTACCACGGCTTTCCTCGCACCATTTTGGACAAGGAACTACAGCTAGACGAAAAAAAACCTATTTTATCTTGCAAAAACCGATAATCGACCTAATCTGGCTAAACAAAGGACGGTTCCTCCTCTACACCGACCAGTGTAGGTTAAATTAAGCTTTTCTAAAGTATGCAACACTGCCATACCTACAAATTGGCAATTTCGTCCAGTGAATCCTCGCTTGCATTCACAACTATAGTTGCCCTTAGCGCCGTCCACGCATGTGCCGGCGTTTTGACATGGATTCCGCTGACTACAAAATGATTTAGGCACTGTGGTCTCGTTGCAATTCTCTCCTTTCCAGCCCTCTTTGCAGATGCACTCCAAAGGTTTGACACAATATCCATGCGTGCAGTTGGACGATGGTACGCATTGGTTGCAATCTGGCCCGGACCAATTATCTTTACATCTAGAATTCAACGTGTAGAAACTCATTAGCATAGAATAATTGCATTACCATCAACTCATTAACGTATACCAGTACTATTGTAACAAAATAGAGTCTTACTTGCACTGATTCCGTTTTGGGCATTCCGCGTTACTGCGATTGCACGACCGGGGACAGAGAGCTGAATTAGAAAACAAAACACAAGGCTTTAAAAATAAATTAGGCGAATTTAGATTGAAAACGGGAACGTTAAAGACGACGTGGGCCATATTTGGGCGCATCACGCCCAGGGCCGTAGCTAGACCGCTTAATTGGGGGGGTGTATATTCATATATTCATGTTTATATACCATAGGAACAATAGCATACAAAAGAAATCATTCGGGCATAAGACGAATATATGAATATGCACCCCCCCAATTAAGCTTCTAGCTACGGCCCTGATCACGCCATTTATTCTTCATTCTCAACGCCTCTGACGTTCCCGTCTTCAATCTAAATCTGTTATTGGCCTTCAGAAGACGACACTCTAAATAGTTCTTTCAGAGTAAGTTAAAGAGTAAAAAACCGTAAAGAAAACGGGTTATAGGAACCTCAACGTACTACGAAGCAAAATGATTGTTTTTTTTTCAGAGAAATAAAACTTACATTCGTTGCAATTGGGTCCATCCCAATCGGGATAACATCGACAAGTGAAGTTTTTCTCGTTGTGGTTGAAGCACTCGCCGTTGACGCATGGCGTGTAAATTGAGCAGTAATTCATTACTGTAAAAAAACACAGTTAAAAACATGCAGGGATTAATGATAAGAGATTACTTCTCATTGCAGAAAGATGTTTACATGTTTCCTCTAGAATTTAGACTCCGTGAATAAATAAATGCAATATCATTTCAAAAGAGACCATGCAAATATCTTGCAAGCGAAGTGAATTCCTACAAGTGGAAAGCTAACCGTCCAATCATCCAGACATGCACGAGCCTGCAACGCGGTCAGGAATAGACTAAGCTTATCTATACTTGATTTTTTTCCCTGACTGACAAACGTATAGATAACTGGGGGGTTTTTATAGACTCGCTTCTGGTCTGATTTCTGAGTTAAGCTGGAATGCTGGAATGCTATGTAACTCAAGAAGGAACTTGTGTCTCTACTGAAAAGCATAGTTACAACTTACATATATCACAGCTTATTCCTGTCCAATCTTTCTCGCAGTTACACGGCCCCAATGGATGATCACAGGTTCCATGGACGCATTTATGAGCATTTATACAAACTCTACACAATGAACCATCCCATCCATTTAAACATCTGTGTAAAAAGTATAGACATGGATGAGAAATGACCTCCCCTTGAAAGGTTTGTCAACACCAGTGCCTATATACGAGATGAAACTACGTTCCACATTTGGCTATAGAATAGACTTTTCATGGTCGTTGGTCTAAGATTCCCCAATATGGATTAAATTTGTTTTACGATAGACGGAGACTCTATATATTCTGTAATTTGTAATTCACAAGTTAAGTTACCAAATGTGAGAATATTTTCGTAATAGAAGCAATATGTTATCGTTAAAATTGATATAATCGTACTTGCAAAAGCCAGGACTGTCACAAGTTCCATAGGGAATTGTGCATTCTGGTGAACAGATTGCTAAATATCAAAACAAGAAAAAAATATTTTTATGGTCGATTTTAGTAAACATTCATGAAGTCTGCTGCATGGGGACTGGGAAGGCGATATAAACATTGCAGCTTTGGACTTTGGAGCTAACATCTTTATCAAAGAGTATCCTCAATCTGTCAATTTATCAAAGTCATACCGAACGATGGGCAATTTAAAAACTGTTTTATTCGGTGGAATATGGCGCTATCCAGCATTCCAGCTTTCGTATATACAACAAGCCCCTGGATAGTTTGTTAACCCGTTAGTATTTCTAAATTGAGGATTCTGCTTAATAAATGTTGACTGAAAATCTTTAGTTTTAGTGCTTTGGCAGACATTTTGAGTTTTGACAACGCTTAAAAATCACTATCCGGCGGATATAGCGCTATACAGCTTTCATACAACCTGCCCCTGTTGATAACTGCAACCCATTGCTGCAATCTAGTATTATTTAAACATAATATACCAGGTGAAACACTTACGCGTCGTGCAAAGATCACCTTTCCAACCAGCACGACAGATGCGCGTCCCGTTTGCAAGACATTTCGTATGACCAAACCTGTCGTTTCTCTCGCTGCAAAAAGTGTCGCATTGCTCTCCATAATAATTCTTACCGCACTTTAGGCGATACAGAAACTCGACTGTTATATTATTCTTGGAGAAATTTTGGACGGAAATGGAGTTGATCGCCTTTGGTAATGGACGACTAAAGTTGACGATGTCTTCATAAGACGATCGGTTACCTGCACAAAAAGAATTCGCGAGTAATTAGACATTCGTTTAAGATCTTTGACATGCTGCACGCAGACAATATTTTAACTAGGTGACCTTTTGGGGTACGTTAACTAAACGGATATTTTTTGCCAATAAAATGCCAAATAATATTTTGACCTATCAGCTATCATTCTTTATGAAACTACTAGAAATTCGTTTGTGATTATGTTTAGTTATAAGAACAATAGCTCTGACGTAAATTTGAAACTGAAATAAAGTTTATTTCAAGAGATATTAATTTGTTTCAACTAAGAAACGGGTTTCTCTTTGGCTCTGTTTTTATACTGGATTCGCATAGTCACGATATCAAAACTAGCCATATCAAAGGGAGCTTTACTCCCATAAGTATGATAGCATGATTGCTTTAACATGATCTCCCAAATGAAAAAGTGTTTTGGGAGGACTGAGATACCGTAAAACAACTTAAACTGATGTCGTCATTGTCGTGACCACAAGAATCCGGTATAGTGAAGTTGGATAGTGTATGTTTTAGCTGGGGCACAGGTATCCCATAACAGTGTAAAACGCGCGACAAACTGATACTTACCAAGGGAGGGAGATCCATCAATTGAATCGTCGTCATAAATAAGTATTGTAAATGAAGCATCGCTCTGCAAAATAAAATTTGAAATTAAAAGTTTAAAATAAGATGAATCTCCTAAAATGAATCATTTTTTGCAAGCGTTAGTTGGGAGTGTGTGTTGTTAGTACTCCGTCGCATTTATCATTGATGGTGGAGCAAAGTTATTGCAACAAGCTGATAAATAATAAAAATATATATTTGAAAAGGATGTGCTATTTTTATAGCGTGGTTTTTGAATTCAGAAACAGATGCGAGCAAATATGTTAAGGTTTAACTTTATGATTATCTTTAACCTAATCACCTCAGAAATTCAGAGAAAAATGAGTTGGTTTACAGTTTAAAAATAGCTATTTTCTACAATCCTATTTTCTCAATTTAATGACAAATCCTATTATATCTTTCATTTTCCGTCTGTGGAGGAACATTCTCCAGGTACAAGCTACGGTTGACCTTCGTCGGCCTCTGTAGCAACGCAGCTTCGGCCTGGAAACGGGTATAATCGAAATTCAGAAGAGGTAAAGATCTTACCCGGAGATTTACATTCACTGAAACAGAACTGCCAGCGAAGCTTTCGCTTGACAAAGAAAAATTCTCGTGCGAGGATGTGAACTCAGAGGTATTGCGTAGAATAACGCTGGACGTACGACATCTTGCTCGAACGCAAACGGCGAAGAAAACATCACAACTCCTTGTGCAATTCAGAGCGTCCTTCCTGCCATCGCAGCATTGGTTTAATGCATTTCTGTTGTGCGGATTGGAAAATCTTGTTAGCAGAACCTCCAATTTCACTTTATTGTCAAAAAGATCAACCTGAAAAGAATAAAAATTTAGCAAGCATGCTTGCAAGGCATCTTGTTGCTTTGCAAGCGAATCAACCCATGGTCTCTTCAAACCAAAGAAAATTTGCAGCAATGAGGAATTCAGTGCAGCGATGAAATGATTCTGATAAAAATCATTGCTGATGACGTGATAGAGTCATGTAAAATAATGACAATGACAAATCAGTTCATCTCTGCCCCCAAAACCTCACGGTGACTGGACTAAAGCTAGAGTCGTTTATGATATCGCTATCAGGATAACCGGTTATGAAAACCAAATGTAAAACACTATTATCTGCCCGCAGATGAAGCAAGTCAATCTCATTGATGAATCGATATACTTCAGAAGCAAGTTATGTAAACTATAACACGACTTCTGCAAAGTATGAAAAAGAATTTGACAGTTTCTCGACGCTGATAATCACAGGTCGACCTCTGTCTTTAGTACGCCATCCTAACCTAATCTACAAATACACGATATCTGTCCGGGCACGAATTAAAACCATTCGATAAGTTTTAAAATAAAACAAAAATAAGTCGCTTTGTTTACCAACCTCGTCGATTAGAAACCAGCAAAGCAGAATGAGTATGAATGAGTTTGAGAAACGGTGCAACACCAGAGCCATGATCTTCTCAGGACGCCCAAAGACTAAACTTTATTTGCGGATATCAACGTTAAACCATGCTATACTGGTCCGGATGCAAAGATCACCAGCAAACAACCAAGTCTAAAAACACGAATCCCCACATTAGCGGAAGGAACGGCAAAAGCCAAAGAGAGGTTTTGAATTCTTTGATAGATAATACGAAGATACAAGTGATACGCGAGTGTTTTGATGCAGACCAGATGCTTGCGTGACCGCCGAAAATATCACTTATTTGACAACCTAACGAGCTATTTTGACTTCGCAAAGTATGCGTTCTCATGTGTTTTGGCTTTCGCTCTGATAGCTTCCGAGGTTTAAGAAGTTTATCTACTTAGTTGAACTCTTAAGTCCTTGAGGCCAAGATTACGACATTCCCCGGTTTCGTAAGATCGAATACAGCCTGCATGGGTTGTTTTGGCACAAGGATACGCTTTGGGGAATGTAAAACAGCCAGGTTAATACAAGAATTCTACGACGACCAAATATGATCAATTCGTAACCGGCTCCCTCTCTCCTGATCCCGGGCATTGCTTTGACATTTCACATTTCTGCCAAAGTAAGGTTAACGAGAAACTTCCCGTTGGGTGATGGGAAATACCTGGGCCCCCGCCCTCTGGTCCTGGTATCCTAATATAGGGTGATGGGGGTACAATAGCTGTGTAAACACATCGCATGAAAATATTCAAAACTCGCTGATTCATCGTTGTTTCTACCATAAAATATTTAGGTAAAATAGCGAATTAATTTGACAATGCCAACATATCTTTACAAGGACAACAAACTGAAAAAACAGCGGCGCCAAGTTGATATTTGGTTAAGCACTCGATATTTTGTCTTTCCGAACATCGTCTGCACGTTTATTCGGCAAGTAAGCCGAATTATTTGTCTAGAATCTAGATACTGCTTTTAACTAACTCCCGTAACCCCGAGGGCGACGTTCATGAGCAAATGTCAACTGCCTGATGCTCTTATGATGGTGGAGGAGTGGAGGAAGGTAGCACGTGGCGGTGTGCCTATAGTTAATCGGGGCATTATCGGATGAAAGAATGGAATTCTCGTATTACTATCTGCCATTCTCTGCCATGTTCTACAAACACTGTAAGACAAACAGTTTACAAAGATGCAATAACACCACTAATTGAAAGCAAACAAAAACTTATTCTCAAACCTATTCCCAATGTAAACAAGGGAAAGATGCCATATATACCTCACGGCAATGTATGTTTGCCTTCCTTTTTAGATCTTTCCCACGAGATTATATTGAATTTCAATGCAAGCACCTGAATATAAACTCTGTGGTCAAACGAAATATCCAGCTTTGGCTCAAGAAACGGCAGTCTTAGTTTGGATACACATAAGAAGCAATTAGCTTCGTCATGCTTACGCTAAAATGTCTATTCACAAAATTAACCAAAAAGTGGTTGTAATTAGAATTTCGCATTTTTTTTGTTGCTGTTGATAAGAAAATTTATAGCCCCAGTTCATTAGACACTATCGAGGAACGCCATCTGCCTGCCGTTCGGCGTTTGACTGAAATCTCACCTGTTAACCAGCTTCGGTTCGTTTTAACAAAACAATAATTTCGTCGTGGATGCATGCAGGTTTATGAATGAATATTCAGCCGAAGTCAAACCTCGAGGTAAAAACCACAATATGTCATGGTTTATTTTTAAAATAATATAAACAGTGACCATGCCACCAGACACGTTTTAACCGCTGTGTGAGATCGAATTTATAAACTGTATTTATATCTATGGAGTACTTCCTTAGTCTACGGAAGGTAGAGCTTTACTTTGGCATCGACATGACAAATGTTTCTCGTCGCTAAAAGATCAAGTTTTCGGAACCAGGGGCGTATTGTGACCACCCTGATTCCATGCTGTTTGTTGACACTGATGCGCGGCACTGACTGAGCGCTTACAACAAAACTACCATCGCCTCATCTCTAAACCCCCTTAAAACCGACGTCGGTCATGTTGTCACCAGGTGCGTGAAAATGGCTCTTATCAGTTCTAACCCATCTCATTTCAACTACAAGTCTCGGCAGGTTTTGGGAATTGATCTAATATTCCATGCCGTCTGTTAGCAAGTATATGATGATAACAAGCGTAAACCTTTTGTTATTGGTTTGCAGGAGACACAATTCCTGAAAACTCTCTCCTACATGTTGAAGTCCTGGAGGCATGGATAAGCTCCTTTGACACGATACAAGCACGATATTTAAAATGAATACCTAGCGACTCCCTTTTTTAAAGATTATCAGCCAATTAATTCCCAAATATATTAGTAAATCATACTTGTAGTTTACACTTTATAAATCTTCAGTATTCCTTCACTCACGACAGCTAGTCTGTGACACTTAAGGTTGGATTTCTGCAAGCGAACATTCGTTAGAAACGGAAACAAAAGGCCAATTCGCCTCTTTAACTATCGCCACTGCAAATAAGCGAGGAATATTTACCCCGAATGCAGTTGAAGCCGTGGGAAAATGCGTTCCAAATGGATATTGCGTGGGTTATATTTGGCAGAGGAACTTGTCTTTCTATATAACTTAACATGCCTTCGTCTGATTGTGTAATTGATTTTACGTCAGCGCATCGATTTGCCTTAAAACGAAATGATGTAAATTCTAAATTTAACAAGGATTTCTAAAAAGTTTAGCGACTGAAGTCAGTCGTATTCCTGGTGGCCGTTCTGACGTGATAATCTGTGATCCCGTGTCAACTAACCTAAAACCGTCCACGATATCTACTTATTAAAATATTGTAATACGATTTTTCAAAGATGCAAGTTCTTTCTCGTTGCAAGAGCGCTTTTGAACTGGTAATTAAATGCTGAAACGTAAAGTTCTAAGTCACGAAAGGCACTCAAATACATCATATTATATTTCATCAGGTAAGTCTTACAACAGCATTGTTGTCTTTGCTTGAGAGACTAAGTAGTATACTGTCAGCGCATGTGCAGTTAACACCTAGCTAGCTTATATACCTAAACTTGATACTGTTCTTGTGTTTGACCTCTCAAGAATGGAGTAAAGTAGTCCTCCGACAGAAATAGATAGGACAATTGGAATTTAAAAAATCTAGTTAAAAAAATTAGTTGGCCTCAAACAGTCTATGTAATGATGTCATTCACGTATTCGTGGTAAAAAACACGATAAGGTTGCGATGATTTTACGAAACGAATGTTCGAGTCGGAATCCGCATTTAATTCTACAGAGACTACTATATAGAGATATGGCAGTTTAGAACTGATAGAGCTATCCAGTATAAATAAAGTTAGTTTAGTTTAGGTTTCCTCCTGTAGTAACACTGGATCAATAAGAGATGATCCTTACTGGACCTCTAGGAAGAACAGTTTAGAACTGATAGAGCTTTCCAGTATAAATAAAGTTAGTTTAGCTTAGGTTTCCTCCTGTAGTAAGTAGTAACACTGGATCAATAAGAGCAGATCCTTACTGGACCTCTAGGAAGAACAGTTTAGAACTGATAGAGGTATCCAGTATAAATATAGTTGGCTTAGTTTAAGTTTCCTCCTGTAGTAACACTGAGTCAATAAGAGCTTTTCTGCATGGGTCAAGTTTTTCTGTTGAGCGTTTTAAAGAACACCCTTAAGAATCAAGATAAGGATTCTCAGACGCCTCTTAAAGTTCTGTTTCACCTTCTTTGATAAAATCGAATTCCCTGAGTTCGATAATTATCTCACAATTGACATTTTTGTTGATTCTTTGACAGATTTTTGTGTCGGGCATTTTAGAGGGTCACCTTGACTATACTTTTATGTAATGACTACAGAGCTATATTGTCAAAGTGCTTAAGAAACTATAAATACAAGAAGAAGCGCGGGTGAAGAGGGGGATTCCACTCTAGGCGACCTCTCGGCCTTTCCCCCACCTCTATATATATAGTGCTGGTCACAAACAGGTCACTTTCCTCAATGGTGTTATTATAGACCAAACTTTGCCTTACCTAAATGTCTCTGACGATTCCAGACTGACCGTTCTCTAGTGGCCGCATGAAATTTTACTCTCAATAGCCATGAGTCAGATTTTTAAAATATCCGGAAAATGTACTTATAGGGGCTAGGTTATAACCAGGTACGTATTGACAGCAATATAAGAACAAGTTAAGAGGATTTATCCTGCCCATGCTTGCGGTCATGACAGTGTGTAGTGACAGTAGACATTGCTTCACCATTGAACATGCTTCACTAACTAAGAAGTAATGTTATTTGATTACAACGTGATCGTGTGTTTTGGGATAAAAACTGCGCGTCGATCTGTCCTGTCCACATACATGCCCAGCGATTCAAACTTCACCGAAAGTGCCGAGCGGAAACGTAGACCAGAACGTTGACCAGGACAACCAACAAATCAGTTCATCCTGTCGTTGGACGGAAATTCGACTAGACTTTATTGTAAATTAACTGCATTAATGCGAATAATTTATTTTGCGGTGAAACTTTGGAAAACGCGCTTATGATTGTTCCGTTATAAAATGCGTGCTTTGTAGCTGCTTTAACTGGACAGCATATTTGTACGAAATATCTTCCTCAGGTAGTTCAGACACAAACCACGACAGCTTATTGTAGAATACTACCTGAGAATACTACTCGGTCGTCATGCAGACTCATGCAGACACCCCTAATTTCCAATAACAGCCGCACTCCGTAGAACCTTTCCATCTCGTATGGAAATATGTTCAATAATGTTTCAAAGACGATGAAAAAAATAACGCTACTTCGCTAAATCACGCTACATGCAAAAAACAGAGAAATCCCTCTTAAAATACTGATTAAATGATATGTATAGCATCACACGAATACTTAAATCCCGCATCGTCTGCTGTTGATTCCAAAATCCTAATCATGCGATGACGCAGCCTTTCGTTTGGAATTTTATCGATATTAAGCAGACATCGATCCTGTGTAGCGTGCGAAAAATGTAACAGAACTAAGGCATGATAATTATCAAGTATTTTAAAATGTCACTCAATTGTAACTAGAACGAACTGATCTGCGGCAAAGCCAGTGTTGCATGGTCGCTAAAAATCAGATATGGCTGTTTTCCTTGTGAATATACAAAGCAAGTATAATTTGATTCCATTTGATTTATCGACTTTTGTAGCTATTTCCTTGGTAATATGCTTAACACATAAAATATAGTTTTAAATATGTCAATTTAATCTTACTTAAACGTTAAAAGAGAAATAACAAGTCTTGCTACACAAGTTCATGTAATCATGTATGTTGCAACGCGAAAATTCTCGTTCACATCAATTTTTTTGATACACAAAAGAAGGAGTTTCGAAGGGGATTCAGGATGGAAAAATTTGTTATTTATCGTAATGATACTAAGTTGTTAACATCACACTTAAATAACTATTTATAAACTTGAAATGAAAGCGTGCAATGTAATCTATTGTCAGTAGGGGTCTCTTCGCCGGAGAGAAAGTTGGGAATGTGTCTATTATTACAAACGAAAAACATCGATTTCAAGCGACTTGAAACGTCCACGAGTTGATAATTTCATTGTGCCTTTTCGTTAGTGGTTTGTGGTTTCGTTTACAATAGGAGGGCTTCCTATAGACCTCGCAATACAAACACTTGAGCTTCCTTTTCCAAACTCCCGTATCAAACTTCCTGAAGTCTCAACAAGTGTTTATATACAAAAATTCTCCTCACGAAACGGTTTACATCCGCGTCAGTGAAAATTCGGGCCGCCGAATTGGTCACGAATGTACGAATGATAGCAAACGTGCGCGCACTATGCTAATTCGGCAATCCACGATAGCCCGAAGATAGCTAGATATTAGTAGCAGGACACACTACATGCCATAGGTCACCGAATCAGCGCTAAATTACCACAAACGTGAACAAAAAGTCAACCGTAAAACACTTGACCATGTTTAATAATTGTAGACAAAAATTTGTCGTACACAGTTTGTGTTCCAGTGTAATTATGTGAAGATCGTGCCTACCAGACGAGACATAAACAAAACCAAAGTAAAATAGAAATGAACTGAGAAAACATCGTACGCTTACCGTGGTAGAAGTTTGATCGTGGTTATATGACCATATATAGAGCATACACAATATGACCTGGTGGCGACAAGATTCATATGTGGATTATCGTTGAGAGCTTAAACCTTTCTACTTTTCGCTCGCATCTGTAAATGACATTAGAAGGGTGACATAATGAGACGGTAATCGACGTGATCGCTAACTCAGTGGGATATCCCGTATTTAATCTTCAACTTAAAACAATTTGTTTTGGCCCGAGTCGTATTGTACTGGACGCATATACGAGCTGGAATCTGGATTGCTGCATGATTACTAGAGACTTCCCCTCACATTCGCAGGGAGATGCGCGTATATATACTACGAAATACAACAGTAGTTTTTGTTTAATAAACACACGAAGTCGGTTGAGTCTATGTTTTTTCCTCTTAAATTACTCGCCTAATGAAAGGTTTCCCCAGATAAAGCTTTCTATATAGAAATACAAGGCACTTTGATACAGCGTTGAAATAATAAATTTTGCAAACACTGATGAAGAATTTTCACACATTGCGTGATAGCTCAACACAGTTTTGAGTTAAATTGTCTTGACATGATCTGGGTCAAGGTCTATCACACGGGTCTATCTCTCTGATTGTATGAGTTTAAAAGAATGCTAGACTCTGCATGTCAAAGTCCTATGACTCTTATCTATCCCATGGTTCCAGGATCGTCGCGATCGCATTGTGCATGGTAATACTAAACTGAACATCCTAAATCTTCCATGAATTTCCCCCCGCATTTTTACGGAGCGTGGGTAGTTTACGAGCATCCTGTGCAGGGCACGCGATAGGTTAAAAAGTCCAGACTGGCCGGCATATATTTGTCTTTATTTGATATTTCTATGCTTTATATATGTAATACACGTAGACCTCCCGCAAACATAATATGCAATGAAAAGTTGCAAGCGCAGCAAAATTCATTCCCGAAGCCCTAGAAAGACCTTTATGTATATTACGGGAATTTCTCGCCAGATCACAAACTGCAAGAGGCTTCAAACACAAATATTTTATTTAAATCTGATTTCAAATTGACAGGAATGATCATTAAAACAACAGATCCGAACAGGGTTTAATTGAAATGAAAGATGTGTCACTAAGACGGAGTTAAAACTGATCGCATCTTCAATTCTTCGTATCGTTGTGGGAAAGAAAGATTACGCAGGAATTCACGCTACATTCACCGGCTGCTAGGGTGCTAATGAGGTGGTATAAAACGTGGTACATCTGAAACTAACACAATTGTAAATTGAAAGAAAATACTTTCCTCTTTCATGATTTCGATTAACGTAATAATGCAATCCAATTAGGCAGAGTTCAAATTTCGTGATAGAAAGCATGATTGCGACTTACGAGTAAGAACCTTAGAAAATTGGTTATACTCAAGCTGATAATTCAAAATATTTGGTGAAAATAAATCACGGACAATGAATTGAAATGGATCACTTTGACCAATCACGAATTACGATGGAATTACGATATATATCCACACAAGTAGCATAACTTACGCTTCATCTGAATGTAATGTTATCTGATCATTGAGCTATTGTTTTGTAGCAAGGTTAATTGACAAGGAGACAGAGATTGTATTTGTAGGCAGGGTACATATAACGCGGTTCATTATTATCAAATTGATGGAAAATCCTTTCCCATATCAACATGTTCATATCAATGAAGTTCACCAAAGGTTAGCGCGCAGTTCATGACCGCACGACTGAGATTATCAAGTGCTGAAAATGTACTAGCAAATCCCACGTCGTCACGGGACTCATCACGGCTATCAATCAAAGTTCTATGAACGCCAGGCAGGGCGCGATAGACCAGCGTAATAAGCGAGTGAAAAGCTGTCGAGACAATGACTGTATCACAGATTTTCAGCATGCCTTAATCGGAGTACTTTTTAAAATCACTATAAATATAAAATAAACTTCATAATAATGGCGTTAAATTACTTAAATAACACGCTGCAATTAGGTGATTTTGACTGATTTACTTTATCGCGCGATATCAAATGGTCACAATTTCTCGATGGACGTCCATTCCACTTTTCCACTCTGATTTAACGCGGGAAAACAAAAAATTGCGAATCTTATTACTGTGAACTCATTTCTATTTTAAAAACTGTTTTGTTTTCTAAATGTTTGTCAACATTTCAAGATGTCGGAAATTAGCTGGAAACAACGTAAACACCGAATTATTTGCCAAACTTGAAGAGCAATCATTTATGATAAAAAAAATCATTGAAATGTATCCGGTGTCAAGATTATTGTGCTACTTAATAATCAGTTTAAATACGAATTTGTATATTTGCTATTTTTAATGCCGCGTAATCGTTATTAATTTCTTCAAAAAAAGCAAAGGAACTCTCATTTACGCATTATATAATCGCGTTTTACTTCAAAAATTTCCCAAATCCTTTAACCAATATTTTTAGTTATAGCTTCATGAGCAAATTGGTTATCTGAGACGGCTAATTAAAACGGGTAATTAGTGGAAAATGTAGCTAGTTTTTTTCATTATACGGTTTAACGTTGTTGATGTGTCGTTGTGAACAAAATGATAAACATTTTCAATACTTTTGGTTACAGGCAGAAGAAGCAATAGTTATAAGACAACATCAACGGTACGGGCTATAATTCCAAAAACAGAATTAATGTATGCCCACCATTCAAAATGTCTGAAGTAGTGAAGACTAAATAAAGAAGGGAAATTTGCATTGCCATTCAACTGTTGTTTTGCACGAATATATACTATCCTCAAACAGTCCTATTCATTCAGAATTGAAATCACTACGATTGATACATTATGTAAGTAAAACTGTAAAGTATCAGAAACTTCATAAATCTTTTGGAGTTTTATCGTTAGAACTTCACATGTATTTGTGGTAAACACACTGAGTATCCATTCTATTCAACAGTATCCAAAATTATATCACCTTTGGCGAATCAATATGGCGTCAAGGATATTATACTTATATACTGAATACTGAAGTAAAGAAAAAAGCCACAAACCTGAATTAATGCTCCTTTTTCACTTTTTTTAGTAGCTAAACTGGTGACGCATCATACGGCTTATAGATCGATGAAACTTCAGGTTAATCGGCTTAACCTTATAGTAGAAATAAAATATTCACACTGTCCAACATCGAATTAAGAATTGTTATCTTCCACTGAGTCAGTTACAGCGAGGAAAACAAAAAGATGAGAGAAACTCATTTAAAAAATCGTTTTCGACTTAAATGAAGAATCTAGATCATTTGCCAAACTAAGGCCAACTTTTACAACTTATATAACTATCATAACAATGAACAATATGCAATTAAAGTAAATTGCTTTTTCATGTGTTAAAAGATCGTTGAAATCCACCCCAATTATAGGTTTCAACGCGTTTGGGCAAATGAGGTATATCCATTTCATTCTACGATTCGACCTAATAGCGTTTCTGCGTCAACCAGATTGCCACATGCCGTTAAATACAATTATCCATGTACCAATTCTGCCTCCTATCACTTTTCCTTCAATCTTGTTATATTCTACATCAAATATTACAAGAATTCATTATTCATGCATCTTTAAAACATGACATTTCGCCCCTTTTTTTGGCGCAGTTGAATAGAACTGGTGTTTTGTGTGTGTGTGTGTGTGTTTCGTTACAATCGGCTTAGCAAAAGCCCTGAACTGAGTGACCTTTTTTAGGGTTTGCCTTTTTTCCTCTAAAACCAGCCATTTTCTCGCGGTAAAATTATATATCGTGTTGTGGTTTTGTATGGAGAATAACAGGATATGATGCTGTCAAAATTTCACATATGTTTCAGCTATTTCGGTTAAGACTGTTTAGGGTTTCCTGTTTATAAGAATAGTGAAATTTAAGCCTTGCACTACGGGGTAACTACACAATTGCGCGAAAGAATCCGACACCATCCGACCAATCTGGGGTGGATCCTGCAAGCAATCGACAGGTGCCCTCAGCGAGTGATAAATTATGGTCTCAAATGCAGTAAGTTAAGAAAGATGAAGACTTAATATACACTCCACCTGTATTACAAGGCTATAAATATCATTGCTACAGAAGATACAAAAAGCAAAAATGTAGCCAATTAATGCGATCAAAAAGCGCTAATACGATTTGTCCAGGAATCTCAGGGAAAATTTGGAATTTACACAATAGCCGTGAATATTATTGCAATGTGTCGACGGATCGTTTAAGGGACTTTTCTGTACAGCGTTATAAGAAACAGCGTGAAAGATAAACGTTTTCGACATATAATCGCTTGCATCGTTTTCTCGACTCTGTGTGTATCCAATTCTCGCTAGGCCAAGTCAATGCTACAGTTTGCAAGCACAATTTCGAAGCCAGTAGGTTTTGACTTTTGGCTGCTCATGAAATATGTATATCTGCACGCGGGCCGTAACGAGGTCAATTTTTGTCCGAATTTTTTTGTCGAAGGTTCACCGACTGTCGGTGACCAAAACACAAACACGCAAACAAACAAGTAGAAAGAAAAGTAAACAAAATAGAGGCGAGCAAGCGAATGAAATCGTAAACAAACCAAAAATTATTCTCAATTCAAATATCTGTAAAATAAAAAATACTGAATGTCTACCCTCGTAGATAAACTTTGGCCGTTCAACGATTAATTGTCAGTAAAATAAGAAGCAATTTCCCCAGAACCAATTCCTGCGTATAAACCATATACTGCCGGGTTATCTTTCCACAGCGTGAATTATTTACACTTGTGTGACTGGTGAATGTGGCAAATCCGTCCGAACGCAATCAATGGCCGATTTCAAGGTCGTATTGCCGACAGCGTTTAAAATCAAAGCGTCACGACCAGACAAAACGTGTCTACGAGAAATGATCTTAATGTTCTGGAAGCAATTCTGTTGTCGGGCCTGTTTCCGCTGAGTGCCGACAGTTCGCTCAGAGAGCATCCGTGAGAGCTTAGGAATTCAAAACTGCAGATGATTTGCATTCCTGGTATTCCAGAGGCTTGCAGAGATCGTTGGAATTCTCACGAAAATTAACTTGGCCGCTGTTGTGACTGCGTGGTCAAGCGATTTTGACACAGACGCATCTCCGGGATAGCAACGAATATCTCAGAAGGGGGTGTCTACAGGTCGAACTATAAGAAACTCGTCCTGACCCCGGCTAAAATCGTTTGTTTCGAGTTACTTTTTGGACCTGTGGCCTGATAATACTGTTCGCAGGAAAACTGTATTTATTTGTCCGTAATCTTTGAACAACAAACCTACCTTGAATATGAGTTTTTGCCATGCAGGAGCATTCACTGAGGCGGTGAACTCTCCACCAGTAAAATATCCAGTAAACATGATTCAAGTTTATCAACCATACCATGCGCACAGATATATGCCGTTTTAAAACTCCAAAAACTTCACAGCGTCAATGATAACAAAAATCTGATCACTTTAAACGTCGACAAATCTTAAGAAAGTTTGCTTATATTCATATTTCAACACCACTACACCAGGTTGAGTAATTCAAGGCGTGATCACTCAATTATGCAATTGTCATTCTCGTGAGTAAACAAGTCAGAACAAAGGGAAGAACAAAGATTACACCTCCATCTTTTGATTGACCACTCTGAGGGGACTGTTCACATGATCCCGGAGATTTAACGGAGCGTAAAATGGACTTTGAGGTATTGAAAAAAGTAAATAACATATCCTGGCAGTCATCGCAACAATAGCATGTGCTTGTTTTCTTTCAAAAACTTATTTTACTAAACTTATAATATGTCTGTCTTCTACGTGGTATATTTAGCACGGATATATGGTATACAGAAAGCTGACACCACACATTGAGCAGTGAAATTCGCCTTTTTGCAAAGAATTCCCGGAATGAAATTATGAACTCAATTTTACGCAGAACTGAATATTTTGACTTTACTCGTGTCAACCCTCAAACAATTAGCGTCGCTTAATGGGACGAATACTTGATGCTTCTATAAATAAAACCAGTGTCAAAACAAAGTAAAATAGTTTTGCATCGGCATGGAAAATATTGCTAATCACGTACGAAATATAGACAGCATGGGGACATATGCAAGTGTAAACTTTGAGATAAAGGTCGCTTTACAAAAAATGGGTACGCAATGCGTCCGAATATAAAAAAAGGTACGCGGTGCGTACAGGAATATGACGGAAATTTGGAGTAAAAGATGCAAGTTTTTTCCGACAAAATTGGGTTTCTTTTATTTGCGAACTGAAATCAAATATCGATGTTTGTATTTTTTGCATTTTCTACAAAATATAAAAGTAATTTGCATTTGTAGTGGTACAGAGTACTTATTCAAAATACAGGGTGACCAATGGTTGCTCAGTCAAGCCAAAAGTTCGGTCATATTTCAATAGCGATTGCTAATCATGGTACATCCTAAATTGTTTGTATGTCCACAGATGCAGGGGAAGGGTTCTTCACAATTCATATCTTCTCTCCCCTATTTCTCACGTTTCCCTTTTCAAATTCTGTTAAAAATATTTTAAAATTACTTCAACGCACACATGCAAAGGTTTCTGTGGAATACCGATAAACAATGAAACGGAAATAGTAGGAAAACTGATCAATTTTCATGTGGAACAAACCTGAGATGACTTTCCACCTCCGAATATCCTCCCACCAAAGAGACCACCCCACTGGCTGCCTTGCTCTTTCTGTTTCTGATTTAGAATTTCTTGTTGTTCACGAAGTTTCGCTTGGTTTCGCTTGAAAGCTTCAACAACATCATCTTCACTTCGATAATAATCCAAAACTGTCCGCACATCTTCAACTTTGGAAGTTGCAATCGCTGGTGAAGAAACGTTGAGAATAGTGTGACAGACAGGACCTTATATCCCCCACCTCTTCCCCCACCCCTTCCCCCACCTCTTCTCCCACCTCTTCCCCCACCTCTTCCCCCACCTCTTCCCCCACCTCTTCTCTCCACCTCACCCCACCACTTTCCCCTACCTCCCTCCCCATCTCTTCCCCCTACCTCCCCACCTCTTCCCCACCTTTCATCCCTACCTCCCCTCACCTCTTCCCCGCCTACCGAAGACGAAGCATCCTCGCTGCAACCACACCGGTACCACCAACACGAATACTTACCAAGCAAAAGCGGAGTTAGATCAAACAGGGTCCGATCCGATGAATCCCCGGTCCATTTCTTCAACACAATCGTATTTCTTTCATAACCAACGGTTGCTTTTGCGTCACAATCAATCATGATGACCTTTGACAAATCTCGATTCAAACTGCCCAAGTCCTAGGAATTAACAGTATTTAATCGTAGATAATCAGTTTTCTAGGCAGATAACGTAAAGACATGAAACATGTCGAAACTAGATGTCGAAACAGCACACAACACACAGCCCATTATGCTCAACGACCGAATGTTGTTATTGCTTAGTTCCGTCACAGAATACCTAACAGAAGTAGAACTCCTGTACTTTTTTCGTAAGTGTGATTCATCATGATTCGTCACTTAGCAAGTGCATTTTTTTGAGGTAGTCACCCCCCTGCCAATACTAAATATGGGTTGACGAATCACACTTACGAAAAAATAGTATAGAGTTCTACTTCTGTTAGGTATTCTGTGGTTCCGTGTCTTGAACCGTACCTTGACGTGGGTACCGTTTGTATATTTCGTCGCGTCACGAAACAAACGATACGTGATGAAACCATTTGGATCCAGTCCTTCCAAAATTGGCATAGCTCCCTGCAAGTAGATATACTCGTTCTTCTATAACTTTTTTTGCGCGAATTTCCTCTTTTGAGAGATGTAAACGAGTGGATAAGTTACGGCTGCGCAAATAAGAGCACTTATAAATCAGAGCATCCGTAACTGTCCACTCGTTCACATCTATCAAAAAGAGAAAATCAGGGGTTGCAAAAATCAAGAGTTGCAAAATGCTATAGTCGAAATTGTTTCGTATTTTAACAAAACTTACAAATCCATTTTCATGTGTGTATACAACGATTTCAAACAACGGAGTTTTACATTGAGAAAGAAATGCGTCCACCCCAGGTCTTTTGCGAAACCTCCAACCACTTTGGCGCTAAAAAAACCTGAAGTTTAGAGAGTTGGAAAAAACACCAGATTCTCAATTGTACATGGGGCCATTACTTTTACCCAACAGTGCACCCTGAATAAATAAAATTATTTATGCTTACATCATACTCAGGATGAATAAGGACATCAGTCATTTCCAGGACCAATGTGTACGGTGGTTGATAATAGGGTTCTGTGAGTGGCTCTGGCAGAAGTATTTCACTGGATGGTTCTGAAAATAGCTTTTTAGCACAGATTGAAAAAATCCTTAAGGGCATGAGAAATTGTACTGGATCATATTGTGGTCCCCAAGGCACCTCAATCTTTGTAACCAATGATTCATTTCTGGTTTTGAGAGTTAACTTTGAATGCAAAATACAGACTGCCAATCTAATTTGTTTTTAGATTTCAAGATAATTTGGCTTTAGAGTAAGATACATACCTCCCATGTTTCCTTTACTATGTCTCTTGCACGGTACAGATATGACTTAGGAAAGGGCTCTGAAAATAGAGCATTACTCAGAATTTCAGAAAGTAGAAAAATAACACCATAAAAACCCATCAATCTCATTATTTCCATGATAAATGACCCTAGTAAGTTCCAAGATAATCAACAAACTCAATAACCTACCATTACTGTAGGCAACTGGACTCTAATGAAACAAAATAAAGTAATTCAGATCAATTTGAAAACAATAAATAGTTGGATATATTGCCATGCAAGGGTTTGACAATTTTTATAAATTTATTGAAAATCACCTTTCCATCGATTCCTGTATCTGGCCAGCCTAAACATACCAAATGTATAACAATTTATCTCAGCAGTCCGAACATGTGAAATAGGGTGAGCATGCGTATCTTGAGGCAGGAAATTTTAATGAAAGTCCAATTATTTGTCCCACATCCATCACCTCAACAACATTAATTGTGCCCCCTCACACACCCATGGGGAGAGGGGTGGGAGTAAAATCACACCATTTCATTAAACACAAATTGTTATGGTACACTCACCAAGGTAAATAACAGCACCAGCGCTCCCTAATATTAAACCAGCACCGACATACAACCATGTCTTCAGCGAGGGACCTTTTCTCTCCTTCGCCTTCTCATAGTACCTCCCATACTGCATATAACGTGGTGAAAATCTCTTTAAAAAGTTCACTTTGCTTGCTCCCTGACCCTGGACTGAAAATTGACGGAGATGTTCTGACAATCCAAGAGGTTTAATGCAGAAGAAACGTCCTGTATGCCGAAAACAACAAGATTTTATTACTTCTGATTTGAAGACACGAATGGCGAGCCTGTTGACCGCCATCTTGCTTCGCCCGATTCGAACATTTTGTTTCGCGACTGGCGGTAAAAAAGTCGACGATTTCGCGCTTTTATTCCGTTGCACCGCAAATGGACACTCTCATGTCTACCACCTATGTATGGTATTACAGTGGAACCACGTGATAATACCTCCTCCGACGGGACAAAAATGCTGACCCTAATAGGGCGAACAGACTGCATTTATGTCGAGACGAAAAATACGATATAAACATTTACGTCTTTGGAAAGAGCTAAAACGAGATTATAATTCTTTCATTGAAATATACTTTTTATTGTTAATCATGTTGTTGTATTTTATTCTTGTTATTTCGTCCAAAAGCTACACCATTATTGAAACCTACATCCATTACTGTGACACTGGTTATATGCCCACCAACCGAATTTCCTGCCAGGTCTAATACAAAAAAATACTAATCGTCAAACGATTTATTGATTACATTTCCATACGATTTGATTATCGAATTTATCGCCTAATACAATTCTACTTATTTACTATCGATCGACGCGCGTCCTGAGTATTAAAGTAACGGTCGAAAGCGTCGCTGCGTTGACGGGAAAAGCACGAACAATGGCCGTACTCAAGCCACGGAAAAACACAGGGATTCCCCCTGATTTATACGTCTGTTTGAGGCAGTCGATCAGTCCGACGTATTTTCCATTAAGATCTGCCTGAAAACGCGATTTAACGACATCAACGGGGTATGTGAAAATCCAGGAGATGGAGCCGGTCACACCTCCTGCGACCAACAAGTGGAATATGCCCAAATGATGCACGCTTTCGCGAGACCTCGCCATTCTTGAGCAGAGCGCGTGGTAGACAGCAAAATAACATCCCATTCCAGGCCCTTCTCTTGCAGCCGTAGCGATGAACCCTCTGTAAACACCTTTCAAACCACCGTTTATAAAAAGTTTTCTCAGACAATCCCATGCACCATTAAACCGTAGCATCTCGTCCGGGGTATGTCTGATAACGTGTTTGTATTTCATGCCTTGACCCTGTAGTTGCAGTTGTGTTTTCACCAACTCCATGGGTGAAACAATGAGCGACTGGGTAACACCAGCTATGGTACCAGACAAAAACAGGCTCTTCCAGCCTGGTTCCATGCGGCGATATGTCAGCCCTTGTACACCAAAGGTTATTGCATTCATAGCTGCAAAACCAGCAAGAGGAGGCAGTAAGCCTTTGTAAAGACCAAATACCTGAAAAAATTAAGAAATGAACTTTACTTTTTGGTCATTTTTGGTGAACATGCAGAATAGCAGTGGAACTGTCCTCTATCTCAGACACCTCTGCACAAGGTTGTCCACTTTCAAATACACTTACCGATTCTTCTCGGATAATTTTTGAGAAACATTGTATCATTCCAGAATAGCTACTGGATGGCTGTGTCTGCAACCTAACCTAAACATTGGGACCAGTCGATTAGAAAAAATAAGGTTTATATATAGGTAGGTGGTCATGTGTTAGAGTGAGTGTGTGTGTGTTGGAATATGTCAGTGTGTTTTCTAGGGGTCTTTGCACTAGAAATGGAAAGAGGAGGGATGCACCCTAATAATGATAATGGCTGTGTGTTTTCAATTTGTGTACAAGCTCCCTTCCCCATTGATGTTGCAAGCTAGGCCAGTTCATTATTTTAAGGTCAGTTCTCAAGATCAAATTTTGTCAGATCCAATTCACTTCTGATCGATGTTTTATTGTCTGTTGACTTGCAATGTATATTAGGCAGCAAATCAGCTGAAGCCACTGCAGTATTTCTTTATCAATAACAGGCTACATTCCATACATTAGAAGTAAAATGGATCCAACAATTAAACAAAGTGAACTGGCCTTCAGTGAATTAACTACTAATCATTAAGGATGATTTATTCTTACTTTAACAGTGTCAAATGGATGTCCCACAAAAACACCAGATATACCTGTGAATTATAAAATGAGAAATTAAACATTAATATGTTCTTTGAAGTTTTGCATGGTGTAATTAAATATAGTTGTATTATAGTTGTATATTATTATAGTTGTATTATGATAGTTATTATTATAACTTAGAAATTAATTATTTACATGGTGCAAATCACAAGCAATTAACAAGTATATTTAAACAACATTAAACTCATTTTATTTCATATCACTGAGACACTGACAAGTAAAACCATTTGAGGCTACAAATTTATAAGCATAGCTGGCAACCAAACAGCCATGGGTTAACATTGAACAAATGGTGTTTGTTAATTAATTGGTGAACAATATCCAATGCGTATAAATTGGAAGAATGCTAGTTATATAAATTATTCGCTGTTGTGACGCGTTCTCAAGAACAGACTGAGAGCTTCCCACTTAATTTTCTCCTTCAATGATTTCCAAGATGCAAGGCATCTTTCCCAAACCATGACCTTATCCTTTGTATATATAAATATATAATAAATATATATAATCGTCCAGCTTGCTCTGGTTGTTGTTTAATAACTTGCAAGGCATTTACACGTATTTAATCTTTCACGGAAATTAACACTTGTTCTATTAAACCATCCATTCGCTGGCATTAAAGATTTGGATATAAGTAGGTTGATGCATGTGCGGATAAAAGATAATAAAAACCACAATAGTCATGATTTAATAGTGTGATATGATAGAAATCATTTTTTCCCTTAGAGAAAATGCTTTAATATATTAAACAAAGTAATCTAAACGAACCACTTGCGAATACTTTCGCCTTGATAAATTTAATCTGATTAATAAATACACTTCACTTTAAACATTAACAATTGTTTACATTTATCAAATAGGTTCTTTAGCACATACAAACAACGTATTACGGCTCACCCCCGATAGAACCGGCGAAAAAATCGAGTGCCATTTTTCTATTTACTTCGTCTTGAAATGCCTTCGTAAATATTTCATGAAATCATTCAACATCCCCGCTGTAGCATTCACAGAAAATACCCACGTGTCAAGTAAAAAAAACACTTTGATATTGGCCGTTGTTATTGCTTAAAATGTTGATTGTTTGGCATTTATTAACGGCAAAAAACGACGTCTAGATTTGTATTCTTTCGGGACATTTATCTCCATTCAATTTGCTGAAACAAGGCCAAAAAAACGGAGATGTGGGCAGTAATTTTATTCAAAATCGACACGAAGAATTGCCTGGTTACGTTATGCTAGGGGAGTGTGAAGGCGTGACCATTTGAAAAACCGGCAGAAATATTCGGCAATTTCCGGTGAAAGGAGGTCATCCATTTGGTGGATTTGCCCGTTTTGGTCATCCATGACCAGTCATGGATTTTATCTGAATCCTAAACCTGATCCTAACCGATTACTAACACTACATTTAAAGGATTTGAGTGAGGATTAAATTTGTGGATATTGGACATGGATTTATTATTGAATTTTGGATTAGATTAGGATTAGATTAGTATACTAACAAATCACTAACAAATTTCTTAGGATTTGATTAGGATCAGATTAGTAAACTAACTATCTAGCTAACAGATTTACAAAGGTAATTCTTCTGATAAATTTATGAATAAGTTTGGTGAAAGAACAGTACGTAAAATTTTAGATATCCTATTGGCGAATGGATAAATTTTCGGCTTTCTCTCAATACATATATATTAAATTTAATCTCTAATAATCAACTGTTGGCATATATACTGAGAAAGAGCCAAATCTTTGCCAAAATTTTAAGAACTAACTACACTATAAGCACAGCAGGCTTTCGCCAACACTATGCTACATCACCACATATCATTCTCATCACCGTATACAAGCCTTGCAAACATTACGACAGCACCAAATGTTGCAGCATTGACAGGGAATGCCCGGATAATTGTTGAATTTATGCCCTGAAAAAACATCCGCCAACCTTCAGCTCTGTAACTCTTAATTGCACAATCTATACTGCTCTTGTATATGCCATCAATATCTGCTTGAAATCTGGACTTGATCACATCACAAGGGTAGGTGACAACCCATGAAAGGACACCTGCAATTCCACCAGCAACAAGCACAGTTGCTGGAGAAGCTTCATCCTTCGATTTGGACCTTGGTCCAAGTTTGCATAGCTCATCGTAGCCATAAAAATACACTCCAGTGGAAGGAATTTCTCTTACTACAGTGACGCACATTCCTTTTGAAAATCCTCTCAAGCCTTCATTTCGGAATATTTTCCACATGCAATCAATTGAGCCAGTATACCTCAACTTTTTCCTCTCAGATATTGTCATTTTCCGAGGGTCCATCCCCTCGCCCTGCACTTGCAAGCGGATCTTCGCAAGCTCCAGCGGGGCTGTGACGATGCCCTGTGCAACACCAGCAACACAGCCAGCCCAAAATACAGTATATGGGACATGTTGCAAACGACGATATGACTCACTGTAAACACCGAATACACAACCATTGATGAATGCTTGTCCAGCCAGTGGTGATGCCATTCCTTTGAATAACCCAGTAACCTAAATGAATACAATTTATTACTGTGTATCGATAATATGGCTGAAATATCAAATTATGATGGTCTAGATTTAAACAACTTATAGTTTGATAACAGAAAAGAAAAAGGATCTATAGGTATATAGCATTGTTAATTCATCATTACATAGGTTAATATCACATAATTATATAATATTATTGATCATTATAATACAATAGCTACAAAGCATAGAACACTCACAGATTCATATTTTACTATCCTCCAAGCAGAACTGAAGACTCCGCGATACACACGCTCCCCATGCTTCTGCATCTGATGTCGAACCTGCCAATGGAATTGAAAACGATATACATTTGAAAGAGAAAAAACTCCAAATAGAAGCTAAAGGTCTGTCAGCTCAGCTCTTGTGCAATATATTCACTCCTGGCGTATGGAATGTTGTGTGTTATTGAGAAAGAAGTACTGCATTGGGTTTAGTTAATTTGCTGCCCAGAAACATTGCAAGTTAACACACAATCATCAAACATTGATCATACCTTCACCGTATCAAATGGGTGACCAGCAACGGTTCCTGCCATGCCTATTAAAAATTCAACACACGTTCATTTTAACTTTTACTTTATATGATAATTAAGTGGATAATTGCTACTATGAAATTTTAGTAGCTTTTTTTATACCACATTGAAACGAAAATTAAGTTCTTTGTTTAGTCTCAAAGGTGGTATTAAAATGCAATGAGAAACGATAAAATTAGAGTCTTTCGCTTGGGTCTGTCCTTTGCCGTCAAGGAAATTATATAACGCAATGAATAATTAAAATTCTTTACTTTACTGTAATGCTACCTAGCACAATTTATTTTATGAAAGAAAGGCTTTGTTTTCACCAGGCTTTTCAAGTAAAATGGAATTCATTGTACACGGATTTATGGATTTATACTCGATATGTCTTTCGCAAACGCAAAAAAAAACATGTACATAGTACATTCCTAGAGTTGTGTCGACATGAAAATTATTTCCAGCCGGCGTTTTTCCCAGATGGGGCTTTTAACTTTTTTACCCTAAATATTTCCCGAAGTATCTTTTGATTCTTTTCCATACGAAAAATACACGGATTGGCATTTAAGAGACCTTTCGCTTGCTTTGTAGAGCCAGGATTTTTATATTTGTAGTAAAATTTAGGCCGTGTAAATGATGACCCCCTATAAGAGAGTCCCACGTGTAAACAAAAATTCAGACAAGAGCACACATGATGTCAGGAATTCCAACAGTCTTGTGTTCGTTAAATGAACGATTGCGAAAACGAAAAGCTATATTTTCAATACCTCCAAGACAGCCACCAACGAAATCCACTACATTTTCATTCATTTCTTGGTATTTTTGCTCAATAAGAGATTAAAATTCAAGTTCCAAAGGTTACCGTGCTCCGAATGCATTTCCCGCATTATCTTGTTTACGTTCCTGCGAGTTACCGCTGATCTACGCTACCGCGTGTTCATATCTCGAACAAAATCGAAAGCACCGTCGCTGCACCAATCACCGCCACTTACTTCCAGCCAATGCGAGGCAACGTTCGAACACGCCAGCCAATCAAAGCCCAAAGACTGAATAAGCGATTCAGTTATGAAATATTCTTGGAATTCCAAATAATCTGAGCGCAAAGCAATAAACTGTATTGATCTAGTACCGTTAGATGAGGTTGCAGATTTTATTACAGAACTATGCTATTGAATTACCTTAGGCAAAAAAACTGGTTGAGTTACATCAAATGAATAGACTCGACCTTGGATAATCAAAATAGAATTATCGGTCTTATTTCTACCCTTTTATGAGATACATGCTGTGCAAAAGTAATATTGTTCTTTTTCTGGGCTATTCAGATACAAACTCCCAGAGCTTACAAAGTCTTTCTACAAAATGATATGATTAAAGAAAAAACTGCATACAAAATATTATTGGGAGGTTTTAAAATTGTTCAAGAAATGTTAATAAACAAACATTTGAGAACCGAATGATTGAAACTTGTTTAGAAAATTCTCATATCCTCGTTTGATGTGGTGGAGACCAGTGATGCGAGTAACACCACGTCTTGCAAGAGCTGCCAAGATCAAAGCCGCGCCTGCCCGAATATCGCTGGCCTCAACATCGACTAGATCCTGAAATCGGAATAATGCAATTATATTATGAGATTCAGGTCTGGATTGGATTAATATTAGATTAATTGCGTTAAGTAGCTTTTGTTTCGACCAAAAAATTTGGCTCAATTCCAAAACAGGCTCTTTTCAGGTAGATTTCCAAACGTTTAGATCAATAAAAATTTGATCTGCGATCTGCGAACTGGTTTGATAAAATAATGGGCTCCGTCTAGAATTTATGAAATTACCTCATCAAATGCCAGTTCTTCATTTCCAATAATATTCACTTTTTTTCGGTCACGAGAGTCGCGATGGATATTCGCGCCCATTTTCCGCAGCTGTTCCACGTAATAAAAACGATCATCAAAAATGGTCTCTTTAATCCACGACTGACCATTGCTGAAGCACATCAGTGCAGCCCACTGAGGGTGCATATCTGTGGGAAACCCTGGGTAGGGCTTGGTCACAACGCTTACGGGGGAGATAGGTAACAAGCTACGACCTCTGGAGTCTCGTTTTCGCGAGATGCGAACAACTCCTCGTTGTGTGCGAACGACGTCCGCGCCAGCTGCGAGTAAACGCCAGAACTCGGATTCTAACAGTTCCAATATAAGTGGGTCTGATGCGTCCCCCATTCTCAATTCAATGCTTCCACCTTTGAGCGAAAAAAAATTCTAATCAAAAATATGATTTTGGCACGTAACTGACCGCGTAAGAATCTCACTTTTGAGTGATTCAAATTTCAGATGTATTCACTGATCTATACTAAAACTAAAGGCCAGTGATTGGGTGTGGCCCAGCTCTAATGTGTTCATGAGAGTCCTATTCATTAGAGGCTTAAATCTCTAACGAGCCCCTTCTCTAACGAACCCTTTTTGTTTTGGTGCTCCCATTCGTCTCTCCACTGATCCATTCTTTAGCTCTTTTGTCCGAAACAATAGGACTCATGAGACACATTAAAAACCGAATATGATCAGAATGGTTACCTGTAATCATTGCAGCAATAGCATAGGTACCAGCTTCGATTCTATCTGGAATTACTGTGTGATTCGGCACGGTATTTCGACTCAAATCACTCCTATTTTTGCCACGAATCGTAATCTTTCGGTTAGCTTTGTCGACATTTATGTCAGCACCCAAAGTTTTCAAAAATTTCACCAAATCCAGTACTTCAGGATTAACCGAGGCATTTTCAATGGTAGTTGTTCCCCTCGCGACACATGCAGCCGTTATGGTGTTTTGCGTGGCTCCAACAGAGACCTTCGGCAAAGTCAACGCTCGTCGAGGAGCATTGAGACCTGTCAATAACAAAAAAATATCGAGTTGAATCAACCTGAAAACAGACTTTTCTTCCTTTGGTAACTTCACTGGATCAATAACACATGATCCTTACTTGACCTCTAGGAAGAACTGTTTGGAACTGATAGAGCTTTCCAGTATAAATAAAGTTAGTTCAGGTTTCCTCCAGTAGTAACACTGGATCAATAAGAGATGATCCTTACTAGACCTCTACGAAAAACAGTTTAGAACTGATCGAGCTATCCAGTATAAATAAAGTTTAGATTAGTTTAGGTTTCCTCCTGTAGTAACACTGGATCAATAAGAAATTATCTTCACAGAACTTTCTTACGAGTAACAGTCCACTGTAATAATTATCTGAGAATGCTCAGCTGAAATAAAACAGGGTTAGTTAATCTTAACGAAACCGTTTCATACTTCAATATCGTGAACAATATAGAAAGAATAAAGAAATATTTAAGCAGACAATTTACCAGAAGGTGCAAACGCTTCAACATATGGGGGGGTTGCAAACATATTTTCTGTCACGGTTGCCCCCAAACTTCTCAAATTTGTTATATGTATATCAATGGGTCGGCCTCGGCTATCAATTGCATCTCCGCCCGGCAAATATACCCTCGCATGGCCAAGCCTCGCAAGCAACGGCCCGAGCAGTGAAACTGATGCTCGGAATTGGCCGCTAATCGTCGGATCGTTGGGAATTGGCCGCGGATCTAAGGCCTGGATCGCAACTTCGAGTTCACCAGACCATTCTCTCACTTCGACGGCGACTCCGTGACTCCACAAAAGCTTTTGCATTGAAAAAACATCATCAATATTCGGCACGTTTTTAAAAACGACAGGCTTGTCGGTTAGTACAGCGCTGGCCATCAATGGCAAAATGGCATTTTTCGCTCCAGAAATTGTGACAGCCCCATTTAGAGGTGTCCCTCCTTGAATTTGTAAAACCTGAGTATCGGACATGATTTGTCACCCAAAACAATGCTATTATATGTCCTCGCTCCGAATTTAAAAGACTCTCAAAACGTGGGGGCCCTTTTATACCCTTCATTTTTCGAAAATTTTCTATTTTAAAAACTTGCGAAATGGCTATATTTTTAAAGGAACTTCCCGCAGCAGTTTTATACTTTCGCCACATCATTAGTTTTTCTCGGTTTTCCCCGGCAGAAAATGAAGAAATTTCCTTTTGTGCTTTGTTTCAAACTTGCAAACTGCTGAACTTTTCGCTTCTTATCGCCCTCGTGTCGGAAATACCCGATTTTATTGCGAGTCACGATTTAGTTTAGTCAGGGAAATTCCCTGACAACATTTGTGCAAACCTTTTGTTAATATCGCTAGCGACCGGCTTAACTTTAGCTTATAAACTAGTTCTAGGCATAGTTAACACGAGTTTACTTTTAAATTTGGATTTTTCATTCTTTAGAAAGAAATTTACAACTGCATATGTGTTTCTATACGACACAGCCAGTATCTGATAGCTGTTATATGATTTTCTGTGTATGTTATATAGTTATCAGATGGCATCATTTACACAACTATGACGCAATTGGCATTCATCGTTAAAAAAACTTAGCACAAACTCAGCTCGCTGTAAGAACTCTTAGAAAAACTTCAAGTTTCTCGTTCGTCATAAACAAGGAAATCTTGTTGCTCATACAGACAAATTCAAATCAATTTGAAAGAAATGTAATACAACCCATTCATTAACACTAAATTAATTCGTCACCCGCTTGCATGAACACGTTATTATCGAGGGTTTCCCCTGAGACAGTGTGCGGTTTTAATATCAAAACTTTCATCTATTCAAATCGAAATTAGAACACGTTTCAACACTAAAAATCCCCTGTTTCTTCGATATATTCACAATAATTCACATGACTCGACAGAAATGAACTATAAACTAAAATTCCCTTTAGATCATCACTACGGTAGCTCTATTATATCGGTGACAAAATGCCAAAAGAAAGAGGAAAAAAAAACGTTTCGATCGGCTAAAGCGATAAGCTTGAGTCGAAATTTCGTTGCAATTTTCTCGCGTATGGCTTAGGAAGTCAATGCCAAGGATACTAACCTTACATTTCTTATTTATTTCAACTTTGCTTGTGTCGTGATAATTTGTATTCTTCGAGCTTTATTGTATTTCTTTGTTGAGTCTTTTGTCTTCATGCCTTGTGCTTTATTATTCCACTCTTAATAATATATTTCAAACAAATTCATCACAGAACTGAAGTGTCTTGTTGATACTTTGTTTGGTTTAATATTTGCTGCAATATTTGAAGTATGCTGTGTATAAATTTTGAACTAAAAACAACAACATATAATATTATATACACGAGCAGTATAATTGAGAGATAGATGGATAAAACGCTGGCTTGTTTAATACTTGGGCTTGTTACTCGCCTTTCTCATGCGATTTATAAAAAGATTTTTTGTACTGAGACGATTTAATCTCAGCAGGTTTTTTAGATAACATGAAATATGTTTGGCAAACGGGCAACTCCCTAAAGGGAAGAGGAAAACGTCTCGATTTTTCGACCTGATGTTTCGAACATGTGGGAAGAATGCGTTAACAAAGGCTCTTATGTCGAAATGACGAGCCGTTTCCTTGTGGATTTTAGTATTCCATGAGTTAATAATGTATGAAAATCTTTGATGTCTTCAAAATCGAGTTTTCGGCTTCTATTTTAGCAAGACGCTTTAGGAACCAAAGTTATATTTCAAGAATATCTATTTACATTTTACCTCATGTATCTAGGTTTAATATTATGATGCGCCCCACTAATTTTCGACATGACAATTCATGGCTCGCCTATCAATGAATTTCTTAATCTCTTCCCCTTGTTTTTTCCATATACACTAACTTGGACATTGGGTAGGCAGAACCTGGCGATCAGAAAGCGCCCAGATACACACAAGCTTTCATTCGTGACTTTTACAAAATCATATCTTGTAAATTGTAAAACAGATTTGGTTTGACTGCGAAGAGCAATGCAGCAAATGACGTAATGTAGTTTTAAAATATGCGGTGTCATATGTCAGAAATAAACATGTCCTGACACGTGAGATCCGAGGTTTTTGGGGTTTCCCTAATAATATATTTAGCCGTAATTCAAATAAAATTTCCTCAAGAATATCCCAACTTTATCCTCGCCAAAAAATGCACAAAATGATTCTCCTTTTGAGTCAAAATAGCCACGCAAGATGCCTAGGTTGTCCTGCCATATTTTTCACGAATTCTGCTCGGTTTTTTTAAATAAAAACCGAGTAACTTCGCCATGGTTTCGGCTACGAACGCCGCATGTCGTGAGCCGACTTGCGGTCTAAAAATAGCCACATGCATCATATCATAATTTAAATCATTACATGAGCGGGTGATTTTGAAATACTTTTTGTCATGCTAGCAAAATAATTTTCCTTAGTCACGAAAAATCACATCGAGGTTTCGATGAGTACAGCAAAAACGCCACAAAAATAACTTTCCCCATGAGTCATTTCCCCTCTAAAAATAAAATCCTGCAGTATAAAAACCGCGATAGTTTAGTCACAATCACAGTCGTTCGTAAGCGAGATATTACAGACAAAGCTAGCCATTCAGAAAACAAGATGCCTAACGAGGAGATCATGATATCTGGTGCGGGAAGTTGCTCTGGTTCTATAAAGATATCAGGAGCTAAAAATGCCTCCCTACCTTGATGGCTGCCAGTTTGCTTACAAGTCATGAGGTTACACTACAAAACGTCCCACAAATTAGCGACATTGACGTTATGAAACAACAGTTAGAATCCTATGGCGTGCAAGTGACCAAGAACGGTTCGACATTGCGTGTACGCGCTTCCAGTGCGACACGAACTTCGCCAACAAGCCAAGATGGTTCAAAAACAAGAGGTTCTTTCCTTGTCTTGGGGCCCCTCCTAGCAAGGTTTAGAGCAGCGAAGGTCTACTTCCCTGGGGGATGTCAAATTGGTAGAAATGGTCGTCCTGTTAACTTTCATATCGACGCATTAAAACGCATGGGGGCGACACTTGAAGAGGAGTCTAATTATGTCTCGCTGAGGGCTGACCGAGGCTTACGCGGAACTCGAATTCACTTTCCACAAGTTTCTGTCGGAGCGACCGAGACCGTGATCATGGCAGCGTGTCTTGCAGAGGGACAGACTGTGATCACAAATGCAGCTGTTGAACCAGAAATACTTGATTTGATTGACATGCTGAGCGAGATGGGAATGGGGAGAAATATTGGTGTAGATGAAGGTGAAAAGAAGATTGTCATCAATGGAACCAGTGGCCGACTTCTGAATGGTTGCACACACACAGTCATTCCAGGTAGGTGTCATTAGGTAACAGTTGGCCTCGGTAGCACTAAAAGGTTGGGGAAGTTAGAGTGGAAAAGTAGATATAAGGATATGACCTTGGTTGGTTCTAACTAATTTTGAAAACAGTGAAAGTCTAAATCATCGAATTTCATTCGTAGATCGTATTGAAGCTGGAACATGGGCGATAGCGGCGGCCATTACCGGTGGTTCTTTGACCCTTTTGATGGATCCTGAAATTGGCAAGAAGATCATGGTGCCTGTCGTTGGAATGTTGCAAAGAGCTGGAGTAAGCTTGCAATGGAGACGCAATGGTCTGGAAGTTCAGCGACTTGGTCCAATACAACCTGTGAATATTATCACTGGACCGTTCCCTCAATTCCCCACTGACCTTCTGCCACTGTGGGTCATCTTCATGGTGTTTGCTATCGGCCCGTCAACCATCGAAGATACCATCTACGATAACCGTTTCACACTTGTTTCAGAATTGGAAAAGATGGGTGCACGTTTCACACGTTTCTCTGACAGGAAATATAAGGTCCATGGTAATGCAAGACTTCGCGGTGCCCACGTCGAAGCCTCCGACTTGAGAGCTGGTGCAGCTTTGATCCTGGCTGGATTGAAAGCAGAAGGAACGACAGTGGTTAAGAATTTTCACCATGTTCTTCGAGGCTACGAAGATATCAAAGAGAAGCTGAGACGTTGGGGTGTGCGTTTCCAGAATCTGCCTCAATCTCGGTCAGGATTTCATGGTGGAAGTCGTACTGAAGTTTCCCAATCTCATCACCGACGTTAAAAACTTTCCACTTTTCAAAACGAGTCATTCTTTTCATAACAGCTCATTTATTTTACGTAGAATATTTTTGTTCAATGTTAAATTGGTATTTGATATCTAATTCAGTTGATAGCGAAACTTAGTTACGTGATGATTTATTTGTGTGACGTTCTTAATTTAAATGATTTGTTTGCAGATTGTAAATCATTTAGCAGAAAAATTAAAACTTGTAATTTGTTAGTGTAATGTAGGAAAAAAGACAAAACAAACAAAAAAAACGCACGTTAAAGATTAGAGAAGCCTAAAAGCTGACAATTGGGAAACATTTTAGCACAGCATAAAGCATAAAGAATAAGTAAACCATGAACTCGTTTTTTAACTAGTAAACCATGAACTCGTTTTAATATTATCTGGAATTACTGTGTGTCTGCTTCCGTTCAGAGAAACAACAGCATCCGTCAATGCCAATCATATTTTGGTTCTTGTCTACTCCAGTAACCTTCACTATTGGCCACTTTTCCCAACCTTTCAATTGGATTAAGAATTCCTGGTTCAACCGCTGCATTTGTGATTACAGTCTGTCCCTCTGCAGGCCACGCTGGCGTTAGGTTGATTTCGATATGCAACGTGTTTCAAAACACAATCTCCCTGACAGCACCTCAGGTATCAACAAAGCCAAGTCCGCTGTCCAGTTCTCTCATTCCCTTGGGTCACCATATTTTCTCCCAGCCGTCGCTCTACCCCCCTCCCGCTACCCCCCCCCGCTACCCTCCCTCTAACCTCTCACCCGTTCGCACTTACCTGTCACCATCTTTCATTTTTCACTCTCTCCCTTCCTCTCTATTTCTCTCTCTCAACCATCATCCTCTCTACCTTTCATCGACCCGTCATTCTCGCCCTCCATCCCACCCATTGCCCTCTCCGACCCGTTACCCTCTCACCACCACCCACCTCTCACCCTCTCTCCTTCTCTCCCTCCTCATTTTTAGCCCACTCGAAATCAAAGCAGTTCTGATCTTTAAATGTTTATTCCAAATACGGAGACAAGACTCCTTCTTAATCGACTTTTTCTAGAAAAATATTGGGGAAAATTGAAGGCGAGTTTCTTTCCTTTTGAGTTTCCTCAGAGTCGCCACAAGTCGCCTAGAATGTATCATATTATAATTGGAACTAATTACGCCACGAAATTAGCGGGTACTTTTGAAAACTTTCTCTATCTTAGCAAAATATTTTCCCTCATTGATGAAAAATCACCCCAAAACCTTGCATGATAACAGCAATATATCCTAAAATAACTCGGCATTATGAGTCATCTTTCAATAAAAACAAAGCCAATCGGTAGAAAAACTCGCCGTAGTGAAAACAATAGATTAGAAGTATCAAAAAACGTAAGGTAATAGCTGTATAAAGTCCAAGCCAATTCTAAAAGCCAACAAGAAGCGAAATGTCGAGTCAAGAGGAATCCGAAACAATTATGATATCCTTCCCCGAGAATAGTCCACGAGGTTGTTCTGGTTCTATAAAAATCTCCGGTGCAAAAAATGCAGCTTTTCCGTTGATGGCTGCCTGTTTACTGACAAACGAAGAAGTAGTTTTGAAAAATGTCCCGAAAATTACGGACACTGATGTCATGAAACAGCAACTAGAGTGTTACGGTATTCATGTAACTGTTGATGAAGGTTCGGGAGATTGGAAAGTACACGCCTCGAACCAGTTACAACCATCGACATCCAGAAATGTTAGCTCAAAAATAAGAGGTGGGTTTCTTGTTTTGGGTCCTCTCCTAGCAAGATTGAAGAAAGCGAAGGTGTACAATCCCGGGGGAGACAGAATCGGTGATCGTCCTGTTGACTACCACATCGAAGCATTAAAAGCCTTGGGAGCGACACAGCCGACACTTGAAGAGGAGTCTGATTGTGTCTTCCTGAGGGCTGACGGAGGGTTACGCGGAACTCGAATTCACTTTCCACAAGTTTCTGTCGGAGCGACCGAGACCGTGATCATGGCAGCGTGTCTTGCAGAGGGACAGACTGTGATCACAAAAGCAGCTGTTGAACCAGAAGTACTTGATTTGATTGACATGCTGAGAAAAATGGGGATGGGGAGAAATATTGGTGTAAATGAAGTCGAAAAGAAGATTGTCATCAATGGAACCAGTGGCCAACTTCTGAATGGTTGTACGCACACACTCATTCCAGGTATTTCGAACTTCTCTAACAATTAGATCTTAAAAGTGAGAATAACATGGCTCGAGTGCTCTCTCCTAGGCCTTATCACTAAAGTTTTGGTTTAACCAGCTAACACACGTTTCAAGATGGGGTTACACTTTATATGAAACCACAAGCACAGTTAGGTCGTTTTTTTGGTCGTTTTTGACCAAATTATTTATCATCTTCCTTTATTTGTAGATCGTATTGAAGCTGGAACATGGGCGATAGCAGCGGCCATGACTGGTGGTTCTTTGACCCTTTTGATGGATCCTGAAATTGGGAAGAAGATCATGGTGCCTGTGCTTGAAATGTTGCCAAAAGCTGGAGTAAGCTTGCAATGGAGACGTGATGGTCTGGAAGTTCAGCGACTTGGTCCAATACAACCTGTAGATATTATCACTGGATCGTTCCCTCAATTTCCTACGGATCTTCTGCCACAGTGGGTCACCTTCATGACACATGCAAACGGCACGTCAATCATCGAAGAAACCATCTACGACAACCGATTCAGTCATATTCCACAGTTGGTAGACATGGGCGCAAGTTTCACATATATCTCTAACAAGAAATATAAGGTCCATGGTATAAAAGAGGTCCATGGTGAAGCAACACTTCGCGGTGCGCTCGTCGAAGCCTCCGACTTGAGAGCTGGTGCAGCTTTGATCCTGGCCGCATTGACAGCAAAAGGAACGACAAAGGTTGTGAATTTCCACCATGTTCTTCGTGGTTATGAAAATGTCAAAGAAAAGCTGAGAGGGAGTTGGCGTGTGCGTTTAGATGATCTGCAGCAAACTCGGCCAGGATTTCATGGTGGAAGTCCTACTGAGGTTCGCCAATCTCATCACCGACGCTAAGAACTTTCTTTTTTAAAACGAGTCTATTTCAACAGTTTTTTCACTTTAAGATATCTTATGATGACACTAGACTTATATTTGATATTTTAGAAAAACACAATGTACTAATTTTTTTTAGATTTTCTCCTGACACAAATACCGGGTTGCGAGACAGCCTTGAACGTCCACAACAAACTAATATCATCGGACTATAAGGGCCCGTGACACCAGAGTTATGTGCTGAGCAAAAAGTCATTCGTGGCCATTGGTTGCTCTCGTGTCTGGGCGACTTTGCTGGCAACTTTGACCACGAATGACTTCTTGCTAAGCACAGAGCTCTGGTGTGCGCCGGCCTTCAAGTAATGTGCGGCATTCCTGCCTGTTGGGATGGAAGATCTTAGAGCTGTGCCTGCTGCCATGAACTAGCCGTGTTTATAATAACCCACAGATCTATGCTCGCATGATTACAATTTTCGTAATACCAACTCTAAACTGTGTTGAGGAAATAGCAGGGCAATTATTTTACACTGTACATGATAAAATCTGTCGTAACAAACCTCTATGTAGATGACGCCACTCAGGGAAAAACCCAATGCTGAATTAAATATTCGACATGCATTGGTTCCGCATGTGCGTTGCGTGTTCAGGCTCAGCGCCGAATCCTCTTTCGTAAAATCATAAAACTTTATCCAAGCGAGGATGTCATAAGCGAAGAATAATAAGCACAGTTCTAAAATCAAAATACCAATATTTTAGGGACGAATAACTCTGTCTTTTTCTGCTTTTTAACATCTAAATTATTAAAAATCTAGTTTATTTCAATCGTGCTTAATTATTTATATATAATGACGTTATGTATATAACACAGCGTGACATAATTATATAATGCGAGGCAAGCATTTTAAAAACGTTTTACTGAGTCACGCCAGTCGAACCAAAGAAAATTTCCCTCCGAATTACATTTTTCACTAAAATAGCATCTTTAATAATTTCTTTTGCCTATAAAAGCGAGTTGTCATTGTAAGTAAACCCATACTGTAATTTCGAAAGGCAAAGAAGCATTATATCAACGCAATAGACATTACTGTAGACACATTTTGAAACGAAAAAACAAAATTTGCCAAGATGCCAGAGCTCAAGGTGACAGGGAAACGTCCTCTCGAGGGCAAAATCACAATTTCCGGGGCGAAAAATGCAGTTTTGCCGCAAATGGCAGCGAGTTTATTGACAAACGAAAAGGTTACTTTGACAAATGTGCCTGACATTACAGATGTTGGGGACATGAAACGCGTACTTGAGGCGTACGGGGTTAGGGTGAATTGGAATCGCAGAAAGAGTACTTTAGAACTACAAGCTGGTATGTTTTTGAGGGTGTATTTCTGCCTAAACAACGTATTCGCTATATAAATAGTGCGCTATTTTCGACACTTGCAATTGAAATTTCCAGAAAACTTCAGTTTTGCCGAGTTTTTCAGTTTATGAGTTATATGCATTTGAAACTATACGTTGATGTAGTGATTCTTAGCAAGTATTTCGATGAAACAAATTAAAGATGTTCGCAACTGAGAGTTGCAATTTTCCTCTTTTTAGAAAATCCAACTCAGCGCCTACCAGGAACAAATGTGGGGAAGGCAATTCGTGCATCATTTCTTGTGTTTGGCCCCTTGTTGGCAAGAAACCGCGAAGCCAACGTATATCGTCCAGGAGGATGTAAAATTCAAAAAGGCGGCAGAAAAGTTGATTTCCATATAGAAGCGATGGCTGATATGGGAGCCAAAAAGATCAGAGAAGATAGCCCAGAGACAGAAAATGGCGTGATCTCGATGAAGGCTGTAAACGGCCTAAAGTCAAAGATAATTACGTTTAAGAAAAGTTCAGTTGGGGCAACAGAAACTGTTATGATGGCAGCCAGTCTAGTGGAAGGTAATTCCTGCTAAATCAACTAACTAATTTTTGACTTACTGATTAGGTAATAACTCAGCTATGTCTTATTTCATTGTAAGATACTTAAATATGATCGAGAAATTCTAACCATAACTCATTGCAGACATTGAATTGTGGATTGATTGCAGATCTACACACTAAATGGACAAATGATTTAATGATGAACTTCTTATTGTTAACAAGGGAAAACTGTAATAAGACACGCAGCAATTGAACCAGAAATTTGCGACCTTGCTGAGATGTTGAGAAACATGGGCGCAGAGATTGAGATTGAGGAAGACGTGAAAATCATTGAAGAGATCACACAGTTTGGAATAACAGAAGAGATAGAAAAATGGAATGTGATCAGGGTTGAAGGGCAAGAGTCTCTGACAGAGGTAACTCACAAAGTCATGCCAGACAGGATTGAGTTTGGAACATACGCTATAGCTGCTGCAATGAACAATGGTAAGCCTTTGTGAAAGATATACCTCAATAATTTCATCATTGTTAAACATTTTTGAAAAACCACATCCCCTTGCACATGTGCCTCCAGTGAGCAACCTCAGGAAGTACGGAACGCTTGCCTGAAACTAATATATTAGCCAGCTCTTTGTTTAGTTTTGTCACGGGCTAACGAACTAACATGCTTTAACGATCCTTGCTTAGGTAAAATTCAACTTGAGGTTGAAGACGATATGAAAGAATCTATGCTAAAAGCAATACGCCAACCTCTTCTTGATGCGGGAGTTAAGATAGATGAAGCAAATAGTGATATTGTGGAAGTATCCCTCAAGAATAACGTTATTACTCCGGTGGATGTCCAAACGGGTCCATACCCAGCATTTCCCACCGACCTTCTACCCCAGTGGGTCACATTCATGACACAAGCTCAAGCTACAGATATCAAAGCACACACCATCATGCGTGACACAATCTTCCACGATCGTTTCAAATTTGTGAAGGGTTTGAAGGAGATGAAAGCAAAAATTGACGAGATCAAAGAATATCAAATGGAGTCAAATGAAGAAATTAAAAAGCATCGCATACATGCAGGTACAATTTCAAATTTTTTCTGGATTTCGGTCGTGATCATAAAAGGTTATAGTGTTAGCAACCGAAAGAAGAACAATTGTTGTTAGATCCTAGAGTGTCGCGATCCGGGAGGACATTAAATGAGTTTTGTCAGAAATCTGAATCAGTTTTTCGGGCATAAACGCACAAACCACAACCATGCATGTATGCGTGCGTGACACAAGCTCAATTTACCAGACGTGAAAGATAAACCACCATAAGTTACAAAATCTATGATGGTCGTTTCAATTATGGCGGCAAACATTGAAAAAAATCAACGATAAAAAGTATCGTATTCATACAGGTAGAATTTCGCGTTGATTGCTAGATCAGTGTTATTGTTACCCAGGTTATATCACTGTGAATTGACAAATGAGGGAAAAATAGTTTTTAGTTTTAACCGATATTATCTTTTTACCTTATTCTCAGTCTCCCATGATCCTAGCTAGCGGTTGAATCACTATCCCTAATCTCAGGTAGGTATATAGTATGTGAACCATTTTTCTACTCTCTTTGACAGGTTCAGCGCTGTCTGGAGCTCGCGTCCAGGCTACTGATTTGCGCGGTGGAGCTGCGCTGGTTCTTGCTGCCTTGGTTGCCAGAGGCTCAACTGTTGTAGAACAGTTTGAGAACGTCAATCGTGGTTATGAAGATATGGTCGGAAAATTGAATGCATGTGGTGCCAAGTTGGAGATAAGCCTTCCTCAGAGCCGTCCTGGTCACGATGGTGGACCTTTATAACTACTTTTTGAACACTTCCTATGACTTGCATGCCAATTATCTTTTAACAATATAATTTTTGTTCTTCATCTTAACTTTTTGTCGCACATTTTAGCGTACTTTAGCACTATCGTTTTATTGTAATTTTTCCAAATTTCCTGGAATAAATTTTCATTTAATAAAGAATTATCACAGTCAGTTCCTAAATATGAGCCTATCACCTGATATTTACGACATACAGTTCAAATGAATTCATTCCTTTTGAAACTACACTTTAACACTCCAGTTATATGAAGAGTCCGCTCGCAGCTAACGCTCCAGTTATATATAATGAATTCACATGAAAGTTTAAGCGCTCAATACAAAACTGGAGTGGATATGAAGGTGATAATCTGTCAGTCACGGTATTGCTTATTTAAGACTTTAAAATTTATTAGATTTGCTTCTGTTCTTGTCAAAAATATGGAGGATCTTGTCGTGAAAGATATGAAAGTTGTTCCTTGCGTGAATTCAAAATATGTTCAACCATCACGCCTTCGATTTAACCAAGTATAAGAAATAATTTTATTCTGAGAATTTATTCTGGAATAATTCTTAATTTATTGATATAGAAATAATAAAATGCTTTTGAAATTTAATGTTTAGAACGGAGTTAGTCGAGAATGGGATTACATTAATGTTCATGACAGGTAGGGTAGTACCCTTTTCACAATCCCAACCCCCTCTTGTATTTTCAAAGATTCCCCCTGCATTCCTCATCCCCTGGGGGATGTCAACCTGCCCCCTAGGCACAAGTTGTAGTTAATAAGACACATATTTAACTGGTGAAGCTCTTCTTAAAATTTAGTGTGGCTGCATTACTGCTAAACACAACAAGAAATGAATTTATTTTGGTGAAAAATTTTAGACCGGGTATGTACTGAGATGCTTTTCAAAATATGCTTGGCCCGGCATGAAATTGCTTTCACCATGTTCTTCGAGGCTACGAAGATATCAAAGAGAAGCTGAGACGTTGGGGTGTGTGTTTCCAGAATCTACCTCAATCTCGACCAGGATTTCAAGGTGGAAGTCCTACTGAAGTTCGCCAATCTCATCACCGACGCTAAGAACTTTCTTTTTCAAAACGAGTCTATTTCAACAGTTTTTTCACATTAAGATATTTTATGATGACACTAGACTTATATTTGATATTTTAGAAAAACATAATGTAGTTTTTTTAGATTTCCTCCTGACACAAATACTGGGTTGCGAGACAGCCTTGAACGTCCACAACAAACTAATATCATCCGACTATAAGGGCCCGTGACACCGGAGCTATGTGCTGAGCAAGAAGTCATTCGTGGCCATTGGTTGCTCTCGTGTATGGGCGACTTTGCCGGCAACTTTGCCACGAATGACTTCTTGCTAAGCCCAGAGCTCTGGTGTGCGCCGGCCTTGAAGTAATGTGTGGCATTCCTGCTTGTTGGGATGGAAGATCTTAGAGCTGTGCCTGCTGCCATGAACTAGCCGTCTTTATAATAACCCACAAATCTATGCTCGCATGATTACAATTTTCGTAATACCAATTCTAAACTGTGTTGAGGAAATAGCAGGGCAATTATTTTACACTGTACATGATAAAATCTGTCGTAACAAACCTCTATGTAGATGACGCCACTCAGGGAAAAACCCAGTGCTGAATTAAATATTCGACATGCATTGATTCCGCATGTGCGTGTTCAGGCTCAGCGCCAAATCCTCTTCCGTAAAATCATAAAATTTTATCCAAGCGAGGATGTCATAAACGAAGAGTATTAAGCACAGTTCTGAAATCAAAATAACAATATTTCAGGGATGAATAACTCTGTCTTTTTCTGCTTTTTAACATCTAAAATATTAAAAATCTAGTTTATTTCAATCGTGCTTAATTATTTATATATAATGACGTTATGTATATAACACAGCGTGACATAATTAAATAATGCGAGGCAAGCATTTTAAAAACGTTTTACTGAGTCACGCCAGTCGAACCAAAGAAAATTTCCCTCCGAATTACATTTTTCACTAAAATAGCATCTTTAATAATTTCTTTTGCCTATAAAAGCGAGTTGTCATTGTAAGTAAACCCATACTGTAATTTCGAAAGGCAAAGAAGCATTATATCAACGCAATAGACATTACTGTAGACACATTTTGAAACGAAAAAACAAAATTTGCCAAGATGCCAGAGCTCAAGGTGACAGGGAAACGTCCTCTCGAGGGCAAAATCACAATTTCCGGGGCGAAAAATGCAGTTTTGCCGCAAATGGCAGCGAGTTTATTGACAAACGAAAAGGTTACTTTGACAAATGTGCCTGACATTACAGATGTTGGGGACATGAAACGCGTACTTGAGGCGTACGGGGTTAGGGTGAATTGGAATCGCAGAAAGAGTACTTTAGAACTACAAGCTGGTATGTTTTTGAGGGTGTATTTCTGCCTAAACAACGTATTCGCTATATAAATAGTGCGCTATTTGACACTTGCAATTGAAATTTCCAGAAAACTTCAGTTTTGCCGAGTTTTTCAGTTTATGAGTTATATGCATTTGAAACTATACGTTGATGTAGTGATTCTTAGCAAGTATTTCGATGAAACAAATTAAAGATGTTCGCAACTGAGAGTTGCAATTTTCCTCTTTTTAGAAAATCCAACTCAGCGCCTACCAGGAACAAATGTGGGGAAGGCAATTCGTGCATCATTTCTTGTGTTTGGCCCCTTGTTGGCAAGAAACCGCGAAGCCAACGTATATCGTCCAGGAGGATGTAAAATTCAAAAAGGCGGCAGAAAAGTTGATTTCCATATAGAAGCGATGGCTGATATGGGAGCCAAAAAGATCAGAGAAGATAGCCCAGAGACAGAAAATGGCGTGATCTCGATGAAGGCTGTAAACGGCCTAAAGTCAAAGATAATTACGTTTAAGAAAAGTTCAGTTGGGGCAACAGAAACTGTTATGATGGCAGCCAGTCTAGTGGAAGGTAATTCCTGCTAAATCAACTAACTAATTTTTGACTTACTGATTAGGTAATAACTCAGCTATGTCTTATTTCATTGTAAGATACTTAAATATGATCGAGAAATTCTAACCATAACTCATTGCAGACATTGAATTGTGGATTGATTGCAGATCTACACACTAAATGGACAAATGATTTAATGATGAACTTCTTATTGTTAACAAGGGAAAACTGTAATAAGACACGCAGCAATTGAACCAGAAATTTGCGACCTTGCTGAGATGTTGAGAAACATGGGCGCAGAGATTGAGATTGAGGAAGACGTGAAAATCATTGAAGAGATCACACAGTTTGGAATAACAGAAGAGATAGAAAAATGGAATGTGATCAGGGTTGAAGGGCAAGAGTCTCTGACAGAGGTAACTCACAAAGTCATGCCAGACAGGATTGAGTTTGGAACATACGCTATAGCTGCTGCAATGAACAATGGTAAGCCTTTGTGAAAGATATACCTCAATAATTTCATCATTGTTAAACATTTTTGAAAAACCACATCCCCTTGCACATGTGCCTCCAGTGAGCAACCTCAGGAAGTACGGAACGCTTGCCTGAAACTATATTTAGCCAGCTCTTTGTTTAGTTTTGTCACGGGCTAACGAACTAACATGCTTTAACGATCCTTGCTTAGGTAAAATTCAACTTGAGGTTGAAGACGATATGAAAGAATCTATGCTAAAAGCAATACGCCAACCTCTTCTTGATGCGGGAGTTAAGATAGATGAAGCAAATAGTGATATTGTGGAAGTATCCCTCAAGAATAACGTTATTACTCCGGTGGATGTCCAAACGGGTCCATACCCAGCATTTCCCACCGACCTTCTACCCCAGTGGGTCACATTCATGACACAAGCTCAAGCTACAGATATCAAAGCACACACCATCATGCGTGACACAATCTTCCACGATCGTTTCAAATTTGTGAAGGGTTTGAAGGAGATGAAAGCAAAAATTGACGAGATCAAAGAATATCAAATGGAGTCAAATGAAGAAATTAAAAAGCATCGCATACATGCAGGTACAATTTCAAATTTTTTCTGGATTTCGGTCGTGATCATAAAAGGTTATAGTGTTAGCAACCGAAAGAAGAACAATTGTTGTTAGATCCTAGAGTGTCGCGATCCGGGAGGACATTAAATGAGTTTTGTCAGAAATCTGAATCAGTTTTTTCGGGCATAAACGCACAAACCACAACCATGCATGTATGCGTGCGTGACACAAGCTCAATTTACCAGACGTGAAAGATAAACCACCATAAGTTACAAAATCTATGATGGTCGTTTCAATTATGGCGGCAAACATTGAAAAAAATCAACGATAAAAAGTATCGTATTCATACAGGTAGAATTTCGCGTTGATTGCTTAGATCAGTGTTATTGTTACCCCAGGTTATATCACTGTGAATTGACAAATGAGGGAAAAATAGTTTTTAGTTTCAACCGATATTATCTTTTTACCTTATTCTCAGTCTCCCATGATCCTAGCTAGCGGTTGAATCACTATCCCTAATCTCAGGTAGGTATATAGTATGTGAACCATTTTTCTACTCTCTTTGACAGGTTCAGCGCTGTCTGGAGCTCGCGTCCAGGCTACTGATTTGCGCGGTGGAGCTGCGCTGGTTCTTGCTGCCTTGGTTGCCAGAGGCTCAACTGTTGTAGAACAGTTTGAGAACGTCAATCGTGGTTATGAAGATATGGTCGGAAAATTGAATGCATGTGGTGCCAAGTTGGAGATAAGCCTTCCTCAGAGCCGTCCTGGTCACGATGGTGGACCTTTCTAACTACTTTTTGAACACTTCCTATGACTTGCATGCCAATTACCTTTTAACAATATAATTTTTGTTCTTCGTCTTAATTTGTCGCACATTTTAGCGTACCTTAGCACTATCATTTTATTGTAATTTTTCCAAATTTCCTGGAATAAATTTTCATTCAATAAAGAATTATCACAGTCAGTTCCTAAATACGAGCCTGTGACAACCTGATATTTACGACATACAGTTCAAATGGTTCATTCCTTTTGAACTACACTTTAACACTCCAGTTATATGAAGAGTCCGCTCGCAGCTAACGCTCCAGTTATATATAATAAGTTCACATGAAATTTTAAGCGCTCAATACAAAACTGGAGTGGATATGAAGGTGATAATCTGTCAGTCACGGTATTGCTTATTTAAGACTTTAAAATTTGTTAGATTTGCTTCTGTTCTTGTCAAAAATATGGAGGATCTTGTCGTGAAAGATATGAAAGTTGTTCCTTGCGTGAATTCAAAATATGTTCAACCATCACGCCTTCGATTTAACCAAGTATAAGAAATAATTTTATTCTGAGAATTTATTCTGGAATAATTCTTAATTTATTGATATAGAAATAATAAAATGCTTTTGAAATTTAATGTTTAGAACGGAGTTAGTCGAGAATGGGATTATATTAATGTTCATGACAGGTAGGGTAGTACCCTTTTGACAATCCCGACTCCCTCTTGTATTTTCAAAGATTCCCCCTGCATTCCTCATTCCCTGGGGGATGTCAACCTGCCCCCTAGGCACAAGTTGTAGTTAATAAGACACATATTTAACTGGTGAAGCTCTTCTTAAAATTTAGTGTGGCTGCATTACTGCTAAACACAACAAGAAATGTATTTATTTTGGTGAAACAATTTAGACCGGGTATGTACTGAGATGCTTTTCAAAATATGCTTGGCCCGGCATGAAATTGCTTTCACCATGTTCTTCGAGGCTACGAAGATATCAAAGAGAAGCTAAGACGTTGGGGTGTGTGTTTCCAGAATCTACCTCAATCTCGGCCAGGATTTCAAGGTGGAAGTCCTACTGAAGTTCGCCAATCTCATCACCGACGCTAAGAACTTTCTTTTTCAAAACGAGTCTATTTTCAACAGTTTTTTCACAAGATATTTAAGATGTTGACACTACACTTATATTTGATATTTTAGAAAAACATAATGTAGTTTTTTTAGATTTTCTCCGGACACAAATACCGAGCTGCGAGACAGTCTTGAACGTCCACGGCAAACTAATCTCATCCGACTATAAGGGCTCGTGACACCAGAGCTATGTGCTGAGCAAAAAGTCATTCGTGGCCATTGGTTGCTCTCGTGTCTGCGCCGGTCTTGAAGTGATGTGCGGCATTCCTGCCTGTTGCGATGGAAGAGCTTAGAGCTGTTCCTGCTGCCATGAACCAGCCGTCTTTATAATAACCCACAAATCTATGCTCGCATGATTACAATTTTCGTAATACCAACTCTAAACTGTGTCGAGGAAATAGCAGGGCAATTATTTTACACTGTACATGATAAAATCTGTCGTAACAAACCTCTATGTAGATGACGCCACTCAGGGAAAAACCCAGTGCTGAATTAAATATTCGACATGCATTGGTTCCGCATGTGCGTTGCGTGTTCAGGCTCAGCGCCGAATCCTCTTTTGAAAAATAATAAAACTTTATCCAAGCGAGGATGTCATAAGCGAAGAGTATTAAGCACAGTTCTGAAATAAAAATAACAATATTTTAGGGATGAATAACTCTGTCTTTTTCTGCTTTTTAACATGTAAAATATTAAAAATCTAGTTTATTTCAATCGTGCTTAATTATTTATATATAATGACGTTATGTATATAACACAGCGTGACATAATTAAATAATGCGAGGCAAGCATTTTAAAAACGTTTTACTGAGTCACGCCAGTCGAACCAAAGAAAATTTCCCTCCGAATTACATTTTTCACTAAAATAGAATCCCCTTGCCTATAAAAGTGAGTTGTAATTGTAAGTAAACCCATACTGTACTTTCGAAGGCAAAGAAGCATTATATCAACGCAATAGACATTACTGCGGACACATTTTGAAACGAAAAAACAAAATTTGCCAAGATGCCAGAACTTATGGTGACAGGGAAACGTTCTCTCACGGGCAACATCAAAATTTCCGGGGCGAAAAATGCAGTTTTGCCACAAATGGCAGCGAGTTTATTGACAAACGAAAAGGTTATTTTGACAAATGTGCCTGACATTACAGATGTTGAAGACATGAAACGGGTACTTGAAGCGTACAGGGTTAGGGTGAATTGGAATCACAGTAATAGTACTTTAGAACTACAAGCTGGTATGTTTATGAGGCTGTATTTCTGCTTAAACAACGTACTCGCTACATAAATAGTACGCTATTTTCGACACTTGCGAATGAAATTTCCAGAAAACTTCAGTTTTGTCGAGTTTTTCAATTTATGAGTTATATGCATTTGAAACTATACGTTGATGTAGTGATTCTTAGCAAGTATTTCGATGAAACAAATGAATGATGTTCGCAACTGAGAGTTGCAATTTTCCTCTTTATAGAAAATCCAACTCAGCAACTACCAGGAACAAATGTGGGGAAGGCAATTCGTGCATCATTTCTTGTGTTTGGCCCCTTGTTGGCAAGAAAGGGTGAAGCCAACGTATATCGTCCAGGAGGATGTAAAATTCAAAGAGGCGGCAGAAAAGTTGATTTCCATATTGAAGCAATGGCTGATATGGGGGCCAGAAAGATCAGAGAAGATAGCCCAGAGACAGCAAATGGCGTGATCTCGATGAAGGCTGTAAATGGCCTAAAGCCAGAGATAATTACGTTTAAGAAAAGTTCAGTTGGGGCAACAGAAACTGTTATGATGGCAGCCAGTCTAGTGCCAGGTAATTCCTGATCTTCCACTAACTAAAGATTAGGTAAACGTCATTGATAAAATCTAACTCCAATGCGACAAACTCAATCGTGCTTCATTTTCATCACTTATCATCGCAGATGTCTGTTGGTTAGTTCGTAAACCGTTTTTAGATTTAAAATAATTTTCTTATTCACTGATAAAGACAGATTAGCGATAAGTAACAATATGAAAATCAGAAAAGTTGTAAGCCATTAATAAGGAATGATTTTTTATCACATAGGAAAAACAGTGATCAGAAACGCAGCGGTCGAACCAGAAATCTTGGATCTTGCTGCAATGTTGGGGGAAATGGGTGCACAAATCACGGTTGACGAAAACGTGGAAATCATCGAAGAGATCACAGAGTTTGGAATAACAGAAAGGATAACAGAATGGAATGTGATCACAGTTGAAGGGCGAGAGTCTTTGACAGGGGTAACTCACAAAGTCATGCCAGACAGGATTGAGTTTGGAACATACGCTATAGCTGCTGCAATGAACAATGGTAAGCTTTTGTGAAATATATACCTCATCATGCTAAATTGTTTTCCAAAAACGATTCAACCTAACTTAGCTTTTACCGAATGAAATACTAAGTTAACGTCACGACCCTTGCATAGGCGAAATTCAACTCGTGGTTGAAGAAAATATGAAAGAATCCATGTTGAGGGCAATACGCCAACCTCTTCTTGATGCGGGAGTTAAGATAGACGAAGCAGAAAGGAATATTGTGAAAGTATCACTCAGGGATAACATTATTACTCCGGTGGATGTCCAAACAGGTCCTTACCCAGCATTCCCCACCGATCTTCTACCTCAGTGGGTCACATTCATGACACAAGCTCAAGCTACCAGACGTAAAACTTACACCACCATATATGACAAAATCTATGATGGTCGTTTCAATTATGTGGATGGTCTGAAAAAAATGGGAGCAAAGATTGAAAAAATCAACGATAAGGAGTATCGTATTAATACAGGTAGAATTTCGCGTTGATTGCTAGATCTCTGTGTTATTGTTACCCAGGTTATTGTTACCCAGGAGGGAAAAATAGTTTTCAGTTTTTACCGATGTTATCTTTTTACCTTATTCTCAGTATTCAGTCTCCCATGATCCTAGCTGGCGGCAGAATCACTACCACTTATCTCAGGATAGGACGCAAAATATATAATTTTTCTACTCTCTTTGACAGGTTCAGCGCTGTCTGGAACTCACGTCCAGGCCACTGATTTGCGCGGTGGAGCTGCGCTGGTTCTTGCTGCCTTGGTTGCCAGAGGCTCAACAGTTGTGAAACAGTATGAGAACGTCAAGCGTGGTTATGAAGATATGGTCGGAAAATTGAAAGCATGTGGTGCCAAGTTGGAGATCCTTCCTCAGAGCCGTCCTGGTCACTATGGTGGACATTTCTAACTACTTTTTGAACACTTCCTATGACTTGCATGCATTATCTTTTAACAATATAATTTTTGTTCTTCATCTTAACTTTTTGTCGCACATTTTAGCGTACTTTAGCACTATCGTTTTATTGTAATCTTTCCAAATTTCCTGGAATAAATTTTCATTCAATAAAGAATTATCACAGTCAGTTCCTAAATACGAGCCTATCACCTGATGATATTTACGACATACAGTTCAAATGGATTCATTCCTTTTGAAACTACACTTTAACACTCCAGTTATATGAAGAGTCCGCTCGCTGCTAACGCTCCAGTTATATATAATAAGTTCACATGAAATTTTAAGCGCTCAATACAAAACTGGAGTGGATATGAAGGTGATAATCTGTCAGTCACGGTATTGCTTATTTAAGACTTTAAAATTTATTAGATTTGCTTCTGTTCTTGTCAAAAATATGGAGGATCTTGTCGTGAAAGATATGAAAGTTGTCCCTTGTGTGAATTCAAAATATGTTCAACCATCACGCCTTCAATTTAACCAAGTATGAGAAATAATTTTATTCTGAGAATTTATTCTGGAATAATTCTTAATTTATTGATATAGAAATATTAAAATGCTTTTCAAATTTAACGTTTAGAACGGAGTTAATCGAGAATGGGATTACATTAATGTTCATGACAGGTAGGGTAGTACCCTTTTGACAATCCCGACCCCCTCTTGTATTTTCAAAGATTCCCCCTGCACTCCTCATCCCCTGGGGGATGTCAACCTGCCTCCTAGGCACAAGCTGTAGTTAATAAGACACATATTTAACTGGTAAAGCTCTTCTTAAAATTTAGTGTGGCTGCATTACTGCTAAACACAACAAGAAATGAATTTATTTTGGTGAAACAATTTAGACCCGGTATGTACTGAGATGCTTTTCAGAATATGCTTGGCCCGGCATGAAGTTGCTTGTCATAGGATAGTGCAGACAATGCTTATAGGCATTAAGAAATAAAGAACGACTAAACTTGAATTTCTACATTTTTAAGCGGTGTACATGAGAAAAAACAGACAACTAAATGAACGAGACAGTGATAATACCAAGATAAACCAAGAGTCATCTTCAATTGCTTTCATAGCGGATGTAAATGAGGCAGTAACATATGAATTGTGCGCAGGCATTGTTGATAAGAACATTCCTTTGAAATCTGTCATGAAAGAAGAGATCTTGGAAGAATGTGGTTATGATGTGCCAGAATCACACATTGAACGTGTGTACTCAGCGTGGGGCTCAGTTGGCTTTGCTGGAACTTTACAAACATTGTTCTTTGCAGAGGTTACTGATGATATGAAAGTGAATGAAGGAGGGGGGAATAGGTCAGAGGGAGAGAAAATTGAAGTGTATTACCTACCCGGAGGGAAAGTGCTCGATTTTTTGTATAATGAAAGTTTGCCGAAACCCCCATCACTTATCGCAGCATTTTTCTGGTATTTAAACACCAAAAAACTGAAATAACATTTGTGCATGATTATAGTTGATATTCAAATAGGTATTAATATGTGAAAATTGTGCAATAAATCAAGTGCTTAGTTTAAAATGAGAATTAGTTACATATTTAATAAATTTAGTCAAATTTTGCAGGTTAAAATTATGTTGCAGGCATGCTATTTAAAACGGCATAAAAGTACAGCTATGCTGCTGGTATTCTGCATTTCAATCTTGCGGGTTGTGAAATCAGAATATAATTTTGAATAATAGGACTGATGGATATCCATTTCTTTTGAAATATCCTTCAAACTTGCACATCAATCTATAATTTTGAATAATAGGATTGATGGACAACCATTTCTTTGACAATATCTTTCAAACTTGCACATCCTAAACAAAACAGAAACAGCTATAATAAAATGCCACACTTGAATTAAAAACACACAGAATCAAAAATAAAATGCTCAGCCACCAAATATTACCTGACAGACCCATTGCTACTCTAAATTCTTTCTTTAAAATCTGGAGAACTTTATATACGCCTTCCTCTCCCTAAAATGCAGTCCAAAATCAGATGTTATCCACAGCTGGTTGCTTCAGGTTGGCACCCCTTTAGCTAGCTTGCTTACTTGATATGTTAAACCCCACAACACAGGCCGTCCAACAAAGACAGCTCTGGCACCCAATGCTAAAGCTTTGAAAACGTCTGTACCATATCTAATACCGCCATCCAGATAAACCTCACATTGACCTTTCACTGCTGACACAATCTCTGGAAGCACTTCAATCTAAAAGTTAAATGCAAAGAAGTTAATCCTGATGAATTTGTGAATTCAAGCATGAGATCTCAACCACAAAATCAATGAGGCATTTAGTACACCAATTTGACCACAATTGACCATTTTTTGAACTCACAGTTGCTGGCACACCATCTAGCTCGCGCCCACCATGACTGGACACTAGGATACCTTCAACACCATGTTGTACGGCCAATCTTGCATCTTCTGCTGTCAAAATTCCTTTCAATATAATTGGCAGTTTCGTTACGGACCTTCATAAAGTAAGGCAAAATGACACCTTTTTAACTCACATACTACATGTAGTTACAGTTATGTTTTACTTTAGTATGATGTACCTAAACTAAATTTTGTAATGCTATAACTTTTCAGGCATAATAATGCCCTAGGTGTGGTAACCATGAAAACTAACAATTTTATAATTCATACAAGATTGTTGAAAGTGTATTAAAGTTATGGAGAAAGGATAATGAATACTGATATCTATCTTAGTTCACCAAATCCCTGCAAACATCTTTCTGTAGCATTTACCTCAACCATTGAATCACATCCCATGTCAATTCAGGGTTCACGCCAGCTATTTCTTCTCTAGTTGAAGTGTCGGTGTGTTTGAGAATGTACATGTACTCCTTTGAGTTGACATACGAGACATGAGGAGGCAGTTCCAATCGATGGTGGCTATTTCCTCTATAAGGTGCATCTACCGTAGAACAAGTGCTTTGTAGCCCTCTCTTTCTGCCGACGGATGCGATTCAGATTGTTTTCCTCATTTGTTAAAAGATACACATGAAACCATTTCAAGCCCTGTCGAGAACCTTGTGCAACTTCCTCGATTGTTGATGATGCCCAAGTACTCAAAACCATGCAGGTACCAGCACGGCAGGATGCTTTATAAGACAAAACAATAATTTTTAACCAACCATTACAATTTGATCATGGCCGTAACTTCACTTATGGCCTGAATGACAAAACGAAAGACTGATGATGTAATTAAGTAAGATTGTGTTTTCGTTTCCAAATTTCGATCCTTTGTTTCAAAGTTATATAATTTAATTGCTTTACCTTTTGCTGTGGCAACCTCTCCATCGGGATGAGCTAGCCTTTGCACAGCAGTTGGTGAAACGCAAATTGGAAACTCAATTTTATCTCCAAGTATTGTAGTTGACATGTCAATGTTGGAAACATCTCTTAGAATTCTAGGACGCAACTTCAACCTGATATACAGAATTGAATTTAGTGTCTGTACTGATGTGGCCCATAAATCAACTGCAATGGATCGCAGTCATCAAAGAACAAAAACACTTAGCAGACTTATGATGTATGTTGCATCAAAACTACTGCATACACACATGCCTCAGACTTGTACTTTTCATGGCGACATGTATCCACAAGGACGGGACGGTAGAAAGGCAAGCTTACCTTTTAAAAGCATCCTTCGACTCTCTAAGAGAAATCTCTGGAAAAGATCCTTTAGAATAATAGTCCCAGTATGACTTTGGTAGTTTCCTTTTTGCATGCTGCTCAAAATCATCCACACAAACGGGTTCGCTGTACATATTTGAAAAGTGCTCAAATACTGTGAATTTATCTCGATTCCCTTGCGTTTTATAAAACCTGGTTGAAAAAATCTAAATTATGGAAAAAATGGTCGCGCACTAAACTCCAATTATAGCCGCTAATATTGTTAATTAATAACCAATTTCTGTCAATTAGAGTTTAATTATTAATCAAGTTCACCCTTAAAAGCCGTAATTTTGATAAATTAGTGTCTACGACCACACCACCAGTAAAAAACCGGTTCTCGTCTGATCACCGAAGTTAAGCCTGGTCGGGCGAAGTTAGTACTTGGATGGGTGACCGCCTGGGAATACTTCGTGTTGTAGACTTTTTGTAGTATTTAGAATTATTTGCAATAAAGAAATACTAACACTATTTATCCTTCTCTATCGTGGGGAAAACAAGAAGCATTTTTTTTCAAAACTTGAAACATTTGGATTGACACCGGGAAAACTTCCACACTTTATAGCCAGCCTCGTTTCCACACTTCCTAATATAGGCGCTGAGTAAAATTATTTTTTTGAGACAAACTTTTCGCACGCAGAAATCATTATTACAGCTCAAAGTCAACTACAGTTTATCAAGAACTGGATCCAACAGAAAAACCAGTCACCAATCAGTTAAATTGTAACTTTGCAAAAACACACACACGAAGAAACAAGCTTTTTCTTGTACTATCTTTATTCACCCTAGCACTAAATTAACTAAGCAATTCGTTGACAAAAACCCAAATGTTTTATACGGATAAGCAAAAGAGCGACAAGAGGATAGGGCAAACGTTAAATAATAACAAAAATGAGATAACTTTAGTATTACATTGTTTTTTAAAGATCAAATACGAATTGCAAGATTCTAATTACGACACGATGTCTGTGTTATATGGGACAAAAGCTAGGTAAGCAAAAATAGCAATTTGTTGGCGAAGCGTTTGAAAGAGTTTCCAATCATTGTTTAATCAACTTCTTCCATTTTGCTCGAATCTTCATCCCCTCCTTCTTCGAGAGGTGGCATGTCCTCTTCAGCCCCGGCGGCATCTAAAAAATGACACAGAAATTCTTAGGACCAGATCTCTTAGTCATAAGATCTCACTGTCTTGACATCTATCCGAGTGTTTTACAACTAACATGAATAAATAATAAACACAGGTATTATGACTGATTGCATGTGTTGTGTTTCGCCCATATTCTGTGATTGTACTCTATTCCAAAAAGACATCCTCACCTTCAGTCGCGTCTTCGTCAATTCCAAGACCCAAGTTGATCATTCGGTAAATACGAGCCGAGTGAACTTGAGGTTCATCGAGCGTGAACCCAGACGAAAGCAAGGATGTCTCAAACAACAAATGAACTAAATCTTTTACAGATTTATCATTCTTGTCTTCGGCAACCTTCTTGTTTAACGCGATGATGATCGAATGATCCGGGTTGATTTCCAAATGCTTTTTGGCGGCCATGTACCCCATGGTGCTGGAATCACGAAGCGCCTGAGCTTTCATAATTCGTTCCATGTTTGCAGACCAGCCGTACTGGCTCGTAACGATGCAACATGGCGATGAAACCAGACGGTTCGAGAGAACGACCTTTTCCACTTTCTTGTCCAGGATCTCTTTGATGAGCTACGTAAAATAACAAGTTTACACGTCACAATGAGAGTAGTAATTCCCTGCTCAGTAAATCCACGATACACAATTTAATCCCTCAGATTAGGATTAGGGTTAATTCTAATATAAACCTAATCATAATAAACCATAGTCTTATCTACAGATCAAACTACAATACAAACCTTGCAAAGCTCTTCAAAAGCGGCGTTTTGTTCTTCGCGTTTCTTCTTTTCTTCTTCATCTTCGGGTAGTTCGAGGCCTTCTTTGGTCACGCTCACCAGCTTCTTTCCATCGTATTCCTTCAACTGCTGAATGGAGTATTCATCAATGGGTTCGGTCATGTAGAGAACTTCGAAACCTCGTTTCTTCACACGCTCCACGAAAGCCGAGTTAGAGACCTGATCCTTGGATTCACCGGTGATGTAGTAGATATCCTTCTGACCCTCCTTCATCCGCGAGACGTACTCCTTGAGCGAAGTCATGTCATCGCTGGACGAGGTGTGATACCGAAGAAGTTCGGCGAGTTTTGCCCGGTTGGTGGAATCCTCATGAATGCCTAGTTTGAGGTTCTTCGAGAACTGTTCATAGAAGGTCTTGTAGTTATCCTTGTCTTCGGCAACTTCGTTGAAAAGCTCCATGCATTTCTTGACGAGATTCTTGCGAATGACTTTCAATATCTTGCTCTGCTGCAAGGTCTCACGAGAGATGTTCAGCGGCAAGTCTTCGGAGTCGACCACGCCCTTGACGAAATTCAGGTACTCGGGGATGAGATCGTCGCACGTGTCCATAATGAAAACTCTTCGGACGTAGAGCTTGATATTATTCCTCTTCTTGCGGTTTTCGAACAAATCGAACGGTGCACGTTTTGGAACGAAGAGAATGGCACGAAACTCGAGTTGACCTTCGACTGAGAAATGCTTGACAGCAAGATGTTCCTCCCAGTCGTTTGTCAGACTCTTGTAAAACTCAGCATATTGCTCGCTCGTGATATCCGATGGATTTCTCATCCATAATGGTTTCGTCTTGTTCAGTTCTTCTTCATCGATGTACTTCTCCATTATTTTTTTCTTTTTCTTTTCCTCACCTGACAGAGAGAGAGAGAATTTAAAGTCAACTAGTCAAATTTTTGTGATTATGTTCAGTTATACGAACTGTAGCACATTTGGAATGGAGATATATTTCAAGAGTGACATTTATTCCATGAGAAATAGCTTTTTCTATGAAAAAGTCCTAGTCCCTTCCTTCTACTTCAGATCAACTGAAAATGAAGGAACTACAACAAGAAACTATACAATACCTTCTTTCTCAGCATCCTCATCAAGATCTTCAATTTTCGCCTTCTCTTTCTCGCCATTTTCTTCAGCTTCACCATTCTCAGCCTTCTCCTCCGCATCTTCCTTCTTGTCTTCATCATCCTCGTCATCTTCGTCATCACTGACTTCCTTTTCCCGTTCTTTCTGAACCTAAATTGATCATGGCAAAGTCAAAGACGATGTGAGAATGGTGAATAAACCACATTGGTGACAATTTGAGCAATCATGCTGCTTTTTACTGCTGATTTAGGTAGACCTTTAACCTCAACACTCTGCTATCTTTGTTAGCAATGTTTTAATTTTGAACATAAGCATTAAAGCCACAGGCTAGCAACATGTCAAAATCCTCCAAGAAATGTCATCTAGAAATGGTTAAAATGAACGCAACAGCTATTCCCCTTTTAACAGTCTACCTGAATCCGCAGTAGTTCAGAGCATTCAGAACAATATTTTACCTTCAAGATGATGGGATAACCAATAAACTGGCTGTGTTTCTTCACAATGTCCTTCACTCGTTTCTCCTCAAGATATTCAAGCTGGTCGTCTTTCATGTAGAGAATGATCTTCGTGCCCCTGCCGTACATTTCCGAGTCATCTCTTGCAACAGTGAAAGAGCCACCAGCCGAGGACTCCCAGACGTACTGTTCGTCATCATTGTGCTTCGTGTGGACGACGACTCTTTCTGCCACCAAGTAGGCAGAGTAGAAACCAACACCAAATTGACCGATCATAGAAATATCTGCACCAGACTAAGAAATAAACAGACAGGTATAAACACCACGAACTTTTGGTAACAAAACTAATTTATCTCATCTAAGTCACAGTTGTCTAAATTACAGTTGTGACAATTGAAGCAATCTGAAAAATATTAAGAAATTCATTCGAAAGTCAATAGGGATACAGTTAAAATACTATGCCATCACTGTAACAAACTACAGTTCCTGGAATGATTTCAAGATAAAAATTCCAATACTGAATCTAAGAACATCCTAAAACCCTACTCCATTCATACCTGTAATGCTTCCATGAAAGCTTTCGTTCCAGATTTAGCAATTGTTCCCAAATTGTTGACAAGGTCAGCCTTGGTCATTCCGATACCAGTATCAATAATGGTGAGGGTATTGTCATCCTTGTTCGGAATAATTTCCATCTTCATGTCTTTGCAATTATCAAGCTTGGTGGGATCTGTGAGACTCTGGTAGCGAATCTTATCCAAGGCCTGTTAAAAATCAAAATAAAGTGTTAATTTCAGCCAGCTGAGATACAATCAGATGTTTAATTACAGATGTTTTTGATCTGCAAACTGGCTGCATTGCATGTGTTATGGTCACAAAAGAATTAATTGACCCCAAAAACATAGAGCCAACATAATATATGATACAAATATATGCATTACAATTAGAACTTTGTCAGAAGTGTGAAACAGCCTGAAATCCTACAGTTATACTTTTTAATGAAATAATTAAATGGCAAGCCGCCCACATGACAGCACAGCACCAAACATTGTTAACAATTGCTGTCATAAACTTGCCAAACAACCACATGTACAGACCATCCTGCCTAACCAATTAGTATTATACTCACAGGAATAAAACCTACACTTATAACTTGTCTGATATGGCTGAAGCATATCTAATGAAGACCAGACCATTATTTAGGCATAAAATATGTATGGGCTGGGAACTAGTCAGTTTGACAATGGACACCCCTGCCATAAATTGAAACCAAGGTATATTTCTTTTTAAAAGGCTAAAATTTCACATTTTTTTGTCACTATTCTTCATACAAAAGAAACTGCTACACAAAGTTTTCAATAATAACATTCAGGATCGATTTTTATCCGGTTTTTGAGGCTAAAAATCTAAATCCACAATGCACGTGGTCTCGCCGACAATGACTTTAAAACGTTTAAAATCTGTACATTTAAACCTCCTTTAAACGAGAATTCAGAACTATCTGTGTTTTAAACCTTGGTAGGCCTACAGATACAACAAGTATGCTCTCAGACAGCGTTTAAACGCAAGAATAAACTAGTCAATATTATAATTTGCTCAGCTTTCTGAATATAAGTACACGCTAACTATGGTTTGTACAAACTGTTTGGTACCTGTTGAATTTGGGAAAACGCCTTGTTTACAGATAAACATATAGAGTAGTTTTAAGTATATTATAAAGGGCTGACTTCGCTAAGTATTTCTAACAGAAAGCGAAAGAATCGCATGAATTATTTGCAAGCTTTGTGTCGTGAAGTGAAATTGTGTATTACGACACCGACAGACTAGCAACAAATATGCTGATTTTATTCACCTAAACACATATGTAAGTTAATAAAACAAGTCATTTAACTACACAAGACGTTTTGTACAATATTTTAGGCTAAAAACAGCAAAAAATGTACAGGGTGGTGTCAAATTCATTAAATTAAACTTACATCAGACGAATTTGAAATGAGTTCCCTGAGAAATATCTCCTTGTTGGAGTAAAAAGTGTTGATGATCAAGCTCATCAACTGAGCAATTTCAGCTTGGAAGGCGAAGGTCTCAACTTCGTTGTCTTCGTCCATTGTTTTTATCTCACTTTCAGACATTTTTGAAGGAATGGTCCTCACTTCTTGTTCGTACAAGATGCAGATATCTCCTAATCACTCACAACGTGGTTTCAAAAAGGAAGAAAAAATTTAACGCATGTTACTTACTCATTCAGAGTCAGATAAGCCGAGCTTGCTGATTGGTCGCAACGTTGAAGTGTTCCCTTCTCATTGGTCGGCGTGAAAGACGCATCATGATTGGCCGAAAAATACTTTTTTCCTCGTATTTGTTCTATATTCTGCAAATGAGCGAGTATTTTTTCGTGGAAAAGCAAAACATTTACAATTTCAACTTGAAGCCAACTCAAAAACGCGAAAGAGTAGACTCCAAAGCAAGACTTGGGTTACAAATATGTGCCATCGACAACTTAACATTTTTTTAACTTCTTTTATTTCTTTATACTTCTGCATACAAGCGTTGGTAAACATGACCGGAAATTGTGATTTGAACTCGTGATTTTCTCTCTCCATGGGGCAAGAATGACAAAACCTCTTCAGAGAACCAAGAACCAAACCCTCTAAATTCAATTAGCTCATTACGCATGCTTTTTTTCATTCTCTGCACTTTATATATTTAGATCAATGTGCGGTATGCCATCCAGCCAATCAAAACAGTGGTCATAGCGTCATGCGTCAAAAATTGACGGAACTGTTCTCGTACAGACCTCGTACCCAGGTCAGATGTACCCGGAGCCTTGCGTGCAATGCATGCAGCATTTTTAGAAACCGTTTTGCTCACTGGATTGCTTCGGTAATAGGTAAAACCATTCACGCATGCGTAACTAGAAAATTAGAACAAATAAAGCCGTAATCAGGCAATTCATTTAAACCGTAATTTGTTTCATTTTTGCTACAAGCTCGTTAGGAATATAGTTCAGACATGATTTGCAATTTTCATGTGCGATTTTGACGAGCCTCTAATAATTAATAGTGGTTGTTTATCAGTTTTTATGGATGACAACTAATTAGACAAGATACGACGTGGAGATTAGATTAACATAAACATTTCACGACATGAATTGAAAATGTTCAAATGTTAGAAGATAGATCAGTGAAAATGTTAACAACTAAATACAGCTCAAAGTAATGTACAACTCAGCGATTTGGTGAAATAAATATGTTCAAAAAGGTCCAAAAATGATGATTGAATGTCATATGCGCGTTTAATGACACGTTGTGATTGAAGAAATTGATCTGGTTTGGATGGCTGTCGGTAAATCGATGATAAACGACGTCCTTGAATGAAACATGAAGATGTGAACGTTCGCATATAATGAAAGAAATGTTCCTGAGTTGATTGGTTTTGAGTTGGTGGTCTTCAATGGAACTGTCGATGTTATAGATTGTGCAGACGAGAATTGTGTTGATAAATCCTCGCTCTCCTGAACAGGACGAATGAACGCAGCTGGTGAACTTGAGCGAAACATTGTTTGAAGATGGAACATGGTCATGGATGATTCGCCAATGATGAAAATGAATTGTAGTGAAGCCTGTATTTTGCAAGGTGACAGAAGACGGCTTGAAGACGTAAAGAAACGGTGGAACTAGGAACCGCTAGCTTTTTACATACTATGAGTAAGTGTATTGATAATGGCTGGACTTAAGATGTGTTTTGGTATGATATGATTGGTAAAGCCTAAATCTCCCTGAAATCTACGCCCAATATTAATATAAGGCCTACAAACTTGGCCATACGGACAAAAAAAACCCGACTTGGAACAAAGAAACAAAAACAAGCGGTAATAAAAGTATGTTGTATTATGTGAATGTAGATCCTAACTTCGGTGCCTCTTGCATGATTTTCTGTGATATTAAGAAATATGCTGTCTGGACTGATGTAGGGTCACCAGTTATTACAACTTTCCGGTTCGTAGTCCCTGTTATAAACTCTCCTTTGTGGGATATAGTGATGACGGCATTACTGAACTGCATGAACTCGTTCAGAGTTTTCCCGCCCTTACCCAAGATGATCCCGACGAGATGATCGGGAACAGACATCTCATAAGTGGCAGTTGTTGTGATTGCATTACCGGGGGAGGTGCCACCCAAATGTTGCATGCCTAACATTGCGCTCAGTGGATTAGCGGTCGCTAGAGGATTGGACGAGAGTGGGTTTGATCCAAGAGAGTTGGAGGCTAACATACTAGCTTGAGCAAGAAGGTTCGCATTTGAGGACTCTTGGTTAGCAGTTCCAAGGCCTAGGAGGGTCGAGAGATTCCCGAGTGCTCCAGCCATCGAAGTGCTAGGACCACTAGAGGACCCCGGCGCATTCCTAGCGTAACCGGAGTAGTTAAGATTGGTGTTGACACCATGCTCCGGGTCGTCCTGACATTTCGTGACCACAGCTGTCGCGGCCGCCTTTACCTGATCTGGCTCCCCGGTTATCGTGATCACCCTCTCAGCGGGGATCTCTAAATCTTTATGAGAAATTTGTAGCTTCGCTCCAGTCTCTTCCGTTATGCCTCGGATGAAACAACCTCCCTTACCAATCACCATGCCAGCCGTAGAATTGGGGATGATCAACTTGATCATGTTGCAGCGTTCCGGGTTAGACGGGCCACCCCCCCGTCCGGGTAACTCGCTACGAATTTTCTCGGTAATGAGATCCAGCATCGCCAGGATTTGGTGGAGTTCACCCAGGATGACGACCACGCGTTCAGAGGTGCCGGGGTAGAATTCATTAGCCGACGAAAGCTTGAGTTTCGCGCCTGTCTGTTCTTGCAGGATCTGTATCGTTTGACCCTTCTTCCCGATTATAGAGCCGGCGATGTGGTTGGGCACCATTGTTTTCAGCATTGGGGACTTGGCTAAAATGGTAATTGACGTCGTTATATATACAATACGTGGGTGAGGGGGGGGGGGGCATTGGCTCTCTTGGGTGACTTTCCTAACCTAATCTAACCTATCTCAGTATTTTACCTTCTCTAATAGCAGATAATAAGTCATGTTAGTAACCATATTGAAAAATTATCAAAGTCTCCCATCAAAGTGTTTGACTGTGATGCACCCAGGGGCCTTCCCTCACTTTTGCCTTTACCTCCTCTAACCCCAGTCCCCAGACCATTTTCCCAGCCAGTCATGAAACACGGCTACTATTCATCAAATTGAATCTTGGCAACAATGTCAGGCTATTTTAATTCAAAAAATTCTTTTAAGAAAACACCTGACAAGATCCTTTCTAAATTCTGGTAAGCAGAACTTTTACTACAGGACAGCATGAGCAGGTAACAGTTCACCAAAGCAAACACTGTCATTTTATTTAAATGTAATTCAATTAGTCAGACTGAAGTCAAAACATGTCTGCAATTCTGCAGGTCTAAGAAAATATTGAGAAAACCTGTTGTTGTATACACTTTCACCCCAGAAATAAATTTTTAGCCAAAATAAAAGCGTAAAATGAGGTCTGTTCCACTAATTTAACCATGCAACAGTAATAGGTTGAGGCACTATAGCAAAACATAACTCTAACATTATGATAATTGAAGGATAGCCGTCCTGATCTGTGTACATACAATAGTAGCAATTTAGACTCATGTCTTGCTAAGGTTTCTAGTATGAATGAAAAAAGAATTATATTCCATCTAAATTTTACCAGATTAAAAGGCATATTTCATATAAATGAAACAGGAATCACATTCCACTTACAATTGGCATTTACAATTATTATGTGTAATGTGTTGATACATTTGTTATATACACATTTAAACTTTGGCTTAGCACTTAGTTAATGGTCTTTGCAGTTCAGATAAGTGTAACACAACAATGCACTGCACTGAATCAAGGTCTAATGCCTGCCAGGGGACCTAAAGTTGCATGCTTCATAACTGTCTTTGGTAGTTCTAAAAATGGTGTTTATTTTACATTAATTTAGTCTATTTACAAATACCTTTTATGATTATGTTGAATGAAAACCTTTCAAATTTGCATCTACTTATTTCTTTAATAGCATTTAGCATGACATTTGAATGATTACACAAAGGACAATTTAAATGAACAGAGATGACCATGTTCAATGTCCAAAATATGATAGCTAAAAAAGGTAAATTCTGACCAGTTCAAAACAAGCAGAGTTTTAAAATTTTTGATCAAATTTTTCACACATTTATTGAAGCTCTTGACATTACAATGTCCAATATGATCAGAAGCATACAAATGATATAATCAAATGTCAGGTTAGTTCACACAGCTTCAGCCCAACAGCTGCCTCTAAGCAGATGTTTGAAACCATTAATTTGCCGAAATTTGCTGGCAATGGAAAGTAAATATACAGTGTTCAGGTAACAAATCGTCGCGAACTTCGGTTAGAATAGATATAAATGAATACGTTTATAAGAGGCCAACACGACAGGCAGTTCATTAGACTTAATATCTTCTAATAAAAGCTAGGATTTTATATGAAATATAGCCCACAAGACACACATTTATCAACAAACCTCTGGCCTGAGACGTGTACGCGACATATAAAGGCCGTTCTGCCTGCTCTAAACTCTCGTCCATTAAGCATAACTTCCCTTGTCGCTAGTGCAACCTTTTCGCGATATTGAATTGTTAAAGTGCCAAAGTGGACTTTAGGAAATGCAATTGAATACCGATGCGGGCTGAATTCAATGCCCTTGCATGTTTGTCATAAGCGAACTATCGCAACGCGAATATGATTAAAAGCTGCCTAAAAACGCTCTAAAATGCTAGCCCTATTACTAAGAAGACAGATTTTTTGCTGAGAGCATTCACTAAACCCCTAACCCGACCGACAGATAAGCACAGACGAAAATGATTCGCATTCCTTTGCAAGCAACCGCATATCAGGATTGCACCCTAGAGAATATCCAAACACATCCGGTCGCAGATAGCCATCGTGGAAGCGCGCTGAAACCAGCAAACTCAAATCACCCAATCTCTCATACCTACCGTTGAAATTAGCCCTCTTAGCGCTCACATAATCTTCCTTGTCGTTTTCCAAAGCTCTCTTGTGCGTCTCGTTGCCTAGATTGTTCGTTGCTTGGCTGTAATCGGCTGCTGGCTCGCCTCGGTAATAAGTTCCATCGGCCATCTTTATTTTGGAACCCGAATGCATGTGTTCGTATTGCGCATGCGCTCGTGGGTTTGACCTTTCATGCCGACGCCAATTAACGACTTTTGATTGGCTAAAAAACATCAGATTCCTAGAAATTAAAAAAATATTTAAGTGAAACCACATGTACATTACTCAATATGAATTATTTGATATCTCTCTCGAAAACAACATTTGCATCTTTTTTACTACCATGAAAATAAAAGTAATATATTCATACTGTAGTATCAATTTCCAAATTCGAAAGACCATTAGTTAAGTGTGCATGAATTGCGGCATAACAGCTGCCTAAAATAGACAAAAAACGTTTCTCGGCGTTTCCATGCAGGGGGCTTCTATTCAATACTGAAGTAGTCAACAATATGGTTTTTTAACACGCATAATTTAATTCGTGCAAAGTTTATATTTCGACTGACTGACAGACTGACTGATGCGAGCTCTTGTCACTCACCAGTCACCACACTACACCACAAACCTCCCACTGAAAACCGAACAAATAAGTCTACATTATTAACTTCTTTTGCCTCATACATTCACGTTTTATGCTCGCGAGATTAGACCATTTTACAACTCTTTGAATATTCACAGGCAGCGTTTAAGAAGGTTCATAAATTAAAAAACTTTCCGAACAAATATGAAGAAGTATAATGAGTTTCTTTAGGCCATAGTTGGCATAGTCTTTAGACGTAATTGAACTTCAGTCTGAGAAGATATTTCATGTTCACTTGAGCGACGTCATACACTATATATCTACAATTGTTTTAAGAGGAAAAATAACAAAACAATTTAAACCGAAACTTTAATGCTTTATACGGAAGAAACTGCGTAGTTTTATTTGGCCTGAGTCCAGTATAAAATTGCAAAATGTTCACATTCTAAAGGCCACTTGGTTGGTGGTAAAAATACTAATACTGGATCATCTTCTAGTGACACAGTGTTACCACAAGAGAAACTAGAACTCCTGTAAAGTGTAACGAGATGGAATATGGAACACAAAGGATACTCGTTGTACAAAAGGCTTGACTTAACGACGTTTGTATCAATGCCATTTCCATAGGGAACAATGGTGCCGTCATCCATCGTGTGATCATCGCTTGGGTCAGGTGCTGTTCTACCACATCCTGTATGAAAACCAATGTGAAGCCAGTTATAAACTGTCTTGGACTCAGAGCACACAACAGTTCAGAACTGAAACGAACCGGCTGAAGACATTTCTACCTTTGACGCTGTGTTTACCCGCTGGAAGTTTTTTGATGTAATTCGCCGCTGTCAACTCGTGCCTGGGGAAATTTAAAAAATAGGATGAAACCCTGCTCAGATGAGGGGAAAGAACCCTGCTCAGAGCGTGTGCATGACACCCACTGACGCGGTAAACCTGAATCCCATAAAAATATCAGATACATGCTTATAAATTTCTATAGTAAAACTTCATATTAAAACAACTTAAAGGCGAAACAACTGCATTTCTAGACAATTATTACCAAGGCGGATTATTACTTACATATTTCCAAGAGCAACCTCACAGAGAAGCATCAGACCAGTTGGATTACTGTATGACGTGTTACAGTAGTTTGCAGATTTTGAAACCATGTCTGTGTTGAAATTACAATAAATACGATTTGAATAAGATTTTATATCCGGGTATATTCAGCCTTGCACGAAGTTATCTTACCTGCAAAATATATTCCCTTTCCGAACATATACCCCGTCTAAAAGTTTTGAAAGAAAACTGATGGTTTGTGACTGAACTACCTGTGAAATATATCTCAAACGTGTTGGTCCAGTGTAGGTAGTATTCTACAATAAGCTGTGTAGTCCAGTGTAGTTAGTATTCTGACTACAATGAGCTGTCGTGGTTTGTGTTTGAACTACGGCTGAGAAAGATATCTCAAACATGGTGGTCTTTAAGATAGCATAACTTCACTTACGACTGGTGCTTCGGGAGGAGCAATTCTTAAACCTTGCGACAATATTCCAGCAAAATTAGTTGCACGGGAACCATGCCAGAGAAGTTTGCGATTTGGAAGCTTTTTGAATGGTTTGTATCGTTTCTTCTCCCCATCACGCTCGATCCTGAAGATCTGTCAAACATGCAAAGATTACCACGCACAGTTGCCCCTCTTATCACTTATCATTATCACCTTCAATCCACCACAAACACCACGTACCTCTTCAACCTCCAAGTCGTAATGCCTGTGAGTTGACGCATGCGTATTTTTGACATATTTCTCAATCATGACAAACTCTTCCTCCTCCTTAGCGATTGGCTAAAAATCAATGAAAAATATGTAAAATGTTGTTTGAAAACGGGCAGAATAAAGCCACTTACAGTATTGGAGCTTCTGCACGGGAAACAATCATCAAGATCGGCTACTTGAAATCTACCATATAGCAATCCTAATCTCAGCAGAACCCACCTTAATGTGAGTTTTTAATTTCTTGTAGTAACTATCGAGTGGATCTTCGCTATCCGATGTCTCCTTAATCAAACTATAAGCCACTTCGATATCCAGTAAATTATCCAACATTTCCACTTTACTCTAAAAGAAAAATCAAGTCAGTTTTAGACAATACAATCGAAATGAGTTCAGTATTTTATTAACCCAATTGGTTGTTTGTTGCAGGAAAAAGTTGTTCAAAACGTTTCATGCGAAGAAATAATTTCAAAACTCGTTCAAAAATACCTTGATTAATTCTAAGTTATCCAATAACGGCGGTTTTTTCAATCCAAAATCGTGTGGAATTAAAGTGTAAAATCTGTTTGAAGCATCAAGTATTGAACCTTTGCTACCACTGTCTTCAATAAGCTGCGGAAGATATTTTTCAAATGTTGACTATGATAAGATAATGGCTTTCTCAAAACGGAGAACAACTCAGAAACTGCTAGAACAATGTCACTAGATTACCTTTTGAGCTTCAGTGAGAATTGAATACGCGCTCTCGATCTGCTTTCGAGAAAGTTTTCCCAGAGGCATTTTCTTTAAGTCGATCTGCGCATGAAAAAAATTCGAAGAAAAGAGACTCGTCATGAGAACATGGAAACACTTGAGCAAGATTTCATTGAGGGTTTTCATAGGTCACGAGCAACGATTTTCTTGTGCGTTACATAATCTTACCTCGAATTCCAACAAAGCATTCTTCATCGACTCGATGTCAAAAATCATTCTGACCAACTTCTGCACAGCAAGAGGCAGTGTTGATTTGCTTCCCGCGGCGATAGTGGTCTGAGCTTGAAGGTTATCATCATCCTGAGGAATTCATCAAAGCAAAGCGGTAAAGCACCAATTCAAAATTGAAAATTATAAAAATGGCTTTACAGCTCTAAACTCTCTCCTGCAAATACCACATTTCACATTGAAACAGAAGCGTTTCAGTTGATTCAAATTTAAAGAATCCTTACCTGACCATAATCTATGTCTAATGGATAAAATCTGCTGGCTTGCTTGACAAAATTCTTACGGTTCAACCAATGGTTTCCTGAAGAAATATTTGTACTAAAGATAGATACCATTCTGCAAACCGGTTCTCAGATCAGTTCTCATCTATTTTATTTTGGAGTTAATACAAACAGGCAGTTGACTCACCGGTTTTTTCGTAATACATATCTGTAAATCGGCAGATGGCAGAGTCCGAGCAGGAACCACAATCCTAAAGAGAAATGAATGTTGCAAGAGTTTGAATAGCACCAAGTCTAAACTATTTCACCGCACCAAGTCTAAACTATTTCACCAGGAGGTCCTATCAAATCTCTTTTTGATAAGGATCATCCCATATGATTCCAGCAAACCTACTTTGCCTTTGGATACAGTTTTACTAAGGTCAAGAAAGAATACCAGGATATATCTGTAATAAACAACATACCTCAAGTTTATTGCCACCAATCGTTGTTCCAACCCTTCCCCATGAACGGAAGAGATAGTACCTGAATTAAGGTGAAAATACACAGTGTGAATGAAGCACATTGCATAGGATGTGATAAGATTCAAAACAACTCCGATCCATAAGTATGAATTATAGCTTGTAAGTACACCACGTAAGTATTTAATACTGCAATTAGGCTTTCGGTCCGTTAACCCAAAAATTAGTAAATTAGATTAAAGTAGTAGTAAATTAGCTTGTAGCTAATTTACTTATTGATGTCACCATCCAAACATGCAAGAATTTTATTAACTCTGATCTATCCGCATAAAACAATTCGAATCAATCTGTAGCACTCGAGAGACTAGTCGTTCGAACAAATCAAGACACAAACCGCTCGCTCTTGTCCTTCTTCAAAACTTGTAGTTTGTAGTAGGAGTTAGTTCCACGAGTGATATCAACCATACCAAGAACAGCGTTGTACACCTCGCCTTTCACGTCAAGAACATGCGCAACGTCTTCTAAACCTAACACGCAATGAAACACGATCCTCGATACACGAACACATGATGTCTGGAAATGCTCACATTTTCTAGCTAGTTTATCTAATTACACCTTGGAGAATAAATAAGAAAGGATTATATCTGACTCCCGAGCGACTCAATCTGAATGGATAAAGTTTAAAATTACCAGAATCCGGATCCACGACAGCTCCACCTTTCACCGACATTTTCACCTTCTTTTCAACGACCTTGCCGGAACCTGTTTTAGGTACATCAAGGAATAAAAACTCTTTGAAATGTGCGTCAGGTTGAATCACGCTCTCACGACTTTTTTCATATATGATAGTTTCACTTAGAACCAGTACTCTGATGTAATGGGATTTCACTTAACTATCGTGCAACTCTTGTTCTCAGGCGGAGGGTTTCAAAGGTAATTTAAAAGAATACTGGCGATAAAAGAGGCATTATACATGAACTGAAATGGCAACATTCAATCCTCACCTGTGGTTTTCCCAGCTTTTTTCTTGCTCGGAGGTCCATCAGCGACGTCAATTGCTGCAGTCCGCTTGCTATTTGTCCCGTTTCTTTTCTTTCCCCAGGATACCAGGTTGTGGTTAACGATGGCAGCAAGCGCTCCTTCCTTCTCGACGGCTTTTAAATAATCTTCAGACACAACAGGAATATCGTCTTCCTTCGCACTCTGCATTTTCTTGCTGTTCTTCGCTACTTCGCCTATATCAAAAACAAACAAAGACAAACTATATATACTTCTTGCGATCGATCGATGATAATTTGCCGCCAAAACTGAAGACATTGACCGACATGCAAGCGCGTGTTCACCTGGAGTGCTAATGCAACAAGTTATTTCCGAAGAGATTTTGTCCTTCAGAGTTCCTCCAAGCTCCTCAATTCTGCTCTTCGTCACTGCTTTAGTCGTTTTGAGTTTTCCAATAATGCCCAAGGTCAAGCCGGAGAGAGGCTTTCCAGGAACAACCACAGGCCTTGAAGACGTCGAAAAATGAAAAATAAAAGTACAAGTTGGATACGGATGGCCATCGAAAGCTACCTGATTTTCGTGCATATTTTTGACATGCAATACACACTTTGTATCTGTTTCATCTTTTCCCTGCGAGATTGTGGACGTTGATGGAGCTTCTTTCACTGCTGGGAAAATCCTCTTGCCTTTCTTTAGTTTGAACTTCTTCCTGTAAATGCGACAATCGATGATTGACCGAGGAGATTATAAGGGATTTAAGGCTATTCCTGAGAGAATCGTTCGCCATTTGGATACTTGTGTGATATTTTTGCGACTGAATTTTGCAGCACATTTTTTGTGAAGAAACCTGTTGTTTTCTGATTAGATTGAATGAGCCTAAATGAGCAACACGTACAGAAAATTACTTTCTTCTTTCAAGTCTTTTGATATTTTCCAGGCGGTCCTTTCAGGATCTTTGGTTACATGTGTACATTTTGTCCACTCTGTTATATTTCCACTGCAGTAGTAACCATCGTTCCTGAAAACATGGGAATATTAGGGTTAAGTTTAAAATTTATTACACGGACAAACTTTATTTGTACTTTATTGAAAACTAAAGGCGGTGTTACACTATGCAATTTTCCTTGCAACTTGCCAATGCAATTATAATTCTGAGGGATGTTATTTTGTAAAAAGTGTTCGAAATGCTAAGAGAACGTTAACAGATCGTGAAATGTTCGTATTTGACAACTTTAGATCCCTCAGGAGTAGAATGGCGTCGCAAATTCAAGGAAAGTTGCACAGTGTAACTTTCCCGCCTTTTTCGCTTTTGGTGTTTTCAAATTCAAAATGGCTTTTTAGTTCATATATAAAACGAAATTAGCGTTGGAAATAACAATTAAAAGTACACAAACGAGGTAATATTTACTATACTTTTTTACTAACACCATTATTTTAAGAAAACTCGATCGCTTTGATGTTTTTCGAACTAAATTTTTGTATCATTAGTATGATGACTTTAATAGTTTGAAGTTTGAACAATAATATGATAATAACGGGGTGGTTCTTACTTGTAATTAAAATGTCCACGTTTGCATTCACTGCAGCGTTTCAATGCCCCAAACGCCATTCCATCAGCACATCTATCTAAGAGCTTAATGCGGACAGGAAAATGAACTATCGTTTAGCCGGAAAACACAACATCCGATAAGCAAGTCCCATGCTGATGGACGTACATACCACGCTCTCGCCGCCAAAATCAGACTGATCATTCTCGGCCAGCATGTCTCTTAAATCATTCAACGTACATTCATTCTTCAGAGCATCTCGTATCTCCCAGATTCTCTTATTTTGCGCCTAGAATAAACCCGAGAACCATCACAGGATTTGCAATCAAGACCTTGTCTTGAACGCCAGATTCGCTTTTTCTACCGTTCTACGAATCTTTCACGTAACGTTAGAACAATTTCTTCGTCAGTCAAAACACAAAGAAAACCAAAAAAGCATGCATCGAAATAACAATGACCACAGGGTTTCAACTTGTCCCGGAATTTCAAACCGAGTTAAATGTATTATTTCAAACATATTTTTGTTGTTTATTATTTCAAACAAACAAAAAGTGAAAAATACCTTCAAAGCTTCCTCCTCTTCTTTTTCATTTTCCGTCTTCTCTTTTACTTCTTCTTTCATTTTTTTGTTCTGTTTTACTTTCGCTTCCACCGTTGCACTTCCTTTCCGTTTTTTCCCGCCTTTTTTTCCTTTTGTCCCGGACGTTCCCAGCTTCTCCTGTAGCAACGCTTGATCTTCTTTCGTCAATGTCGAGAACCCGGGAAACATCTCCGCCGTAACATCGTATTCAACCTCCAAATCTAACCTGAAACATTTCATTTTAGTGCACTTTATTTTTGCCCAAAAAGATGACGATTTAGTAGCAACAGAGATTTCTCGGGTCAATCCTCAAGGCCCGCAGAGCGTATCAGAGAGAGTGTGTGTGTGGGGGGGGGGGGGGGGACAAAGTCCTAAACAGAACCCCCTAGTAAAATTTTAATTTTCTATAAATAACTCTTTAACACTAATTAAAGTTGACTTTGACAAAAAATATGTGGGGGGGGGCAAAGGCCCTCCCAGCCCCACATGCCACCCCCCTGTCCCCCCCAAAAAAGCAAATGAAGCTCACATGAGCCCAACTGTGACTAAACTTTGTATTTTTTAACAACCTGACAACAGATTTGTCAGTGGTAGCTTATCGTTAATTGTACAAAGTTCCATATGCCATTCATGATGCTTTACCTCTTTTTCACAAAACAGTCAACATGAAACCAATGCATCATCATAGACACTCTCCCAAAAGCAGTTGAGTCTGGGCTTGGTTCCATGTTTTTCCCAACACGGAGATCACCCTAAATATAGCAGTCCTGATTCTGGCATAAATTGTAATGGCTTTAAAGCCTTACAATAATTACAGTTTGAAGAGTGATTGAATTGTCTCACCTTGTCAAACTTATCTTCACAAGATTTACAAGAGCTTCTGCTGGATTTTGCATACTCAACCGCCAATGAGTCATCCGGTGCTGGGCCATCAACCATACTTGTTCCACCTGCCTGTGAGCCCCCTCCTGATAATTTGCCCCTAATCTTTTCCTGGTCGTCCCATCTGAGAGAGTCAAAACCATTCACTTCAGAGACATTGGAAAGACCAAACTTTTTCTTAAAAAAGCAGCCGTAATGAAACCAATTTGGGATCTAAACAACAAAATAATAATCCATTGGTTCTGCTAATACCAATGTGATGTCCCAAGATATAAATTTTGCCTAAATTCTTGTTTATTTGTCTTATCTTTTATTAAAGTGGAAGTCAAGTCCGTTCTGCGCATAGGTTCTGCTCATAACAAGTGTGGGCCCTCTGATGTGAAAATTGCCTAAATTTCGCATGTTTCTTACTTTTTCTTAGCATAAACTCTAGTTCATATCAATTTAGAAGTGTAACGAACCTAAATAGTGTTAGATATTCAGACAGCACATCGTATTTTAAAAAATAGTGAAGTTCGAAATGTAAATAAACCGTTTGTTTACATACGGACTTGACTCCCACTTTAATAAAAGAGGATTTCTATTAAGACTTAAAATTGTTTTTTATTGTCTTTTATTCTTTTCAACAAAATAATTAAGTAAATTAACAAACTTGAAAGTATCATCTCAAACTTATGATCCTCATTTATTGGAAATAGCAAGGAGATGCAAACATTTTCTCACCAAAATTAACTCAAACTTTAACAGATTGAGGCATGAACACATTGAAAAATTTAAAATATATGCAAAATTTGAAATTATGTTAAGGTTAAATTTTTTTTTGTCTTTTAATGAATAAAAGAAAAAAGAAGAAAAATTTTTTGGGAAAACCAAAACTTTTATCCATCCCTGTATATTTTACCAGCATGATCCCGATCGGATAAAATATAACAAAGAATATAAATATTCTGATATTGTTATTAAATAATAATTCTTGTTTAAACATTTATATTTTAAAAATATCCACACTCATACCTTGCCATCAAAGTGCGAAGACTAAAAATAAAGAGAAATACTTTATTGAACAACCAGGAAATTCAAGTATGAGCAATGAGTTAGTATACAAAAATAAACACGTGCGTTGAAACTAATGAGCAATCCTATCTACGACGCACACACAAATATGAAATAAAAAGTTAAGAATTACCTGCCGCATTCGGACAAAATATTACTTAGGATGTCCTACCTGAACCATTCTGGCAATCCGCAACGAATCCTTGTCAATTTTTTCCTTGCACGCTTTGCAAGAAGCCCGATTAGATTTCGCATACTCCGCCTGGAAAGGCAAATCGTCCGCCATCATGACAACGTATGGACGAGGGGAGGAGTCCGAATTAATTAAGGTGGTTAGTGTGAGCCGAAAAAATTACAATTTATAATTATACTCCGTATTCGACCATGATTGAGTGATTTGAGTCTTCCGGAAAACGACGTTTTTCGTTTTCGACCATGGTCGAGTCGGCCGGAAAACGGCGTATTCCACTATGGTCGAGTGTGCCAGAAAACGGCGTATTCGACCATGGTTGTTTCTGCCGGAAAACGGCGTATTCGACCATGGTCGATTCGGTCGGAAAGCGGCGCATTCGACCATGGTCGAGTCTTCCGGAAAAGTGAAAACGACGTTTTCGACCATGGTCGAGTCGGCCGGAAAACGGCGTATTCCACTATGGTCGAGTGTGCCAGAAGACGGCGTATTCGACCATGGTTGATTCTCCCGGAAAACGGCGTATTTGACCATGGTCGAGTGTGCCAGAAAACGGCGTATTCGACCATGGTCGAGTCTTCCGGAAAACGACGTTTTCGACCATGGTCGAGTCTTCCGGAAAACGACGTTTTCGACCATGGTCGAGTCTGCCGGAAAACGACGTTTTCGACCATGGTCGAGTCTTCCGGAAAACGACGTTTTCGACCATGGTCGAGTCTGCCGGAAAACCCGTGCTGCACCTGGCTGCACCTCATACCCATTGCTTATATACCCCTACATAGCCTTCCTTAGCCTTTATTACTCACTGTTATCACCCTTTGGAGAGGACTGGGGAGAACAACGTTCTGACAATGAATACAATCATGAAAAATCAGTTCAACATTTACTGAAAATTTTGGCTTTTTTGGATGAAAATGGAGAAACAACTTGCAGAATACCGTGCGAAGAAGGCAAAGGAAGCGTCTGAACAAAAATGGACAATCTCCAAGGCATTATTTTCAAGTAGAAATGACACTTGTAGACAAGAAACATCGCTTGATTCAAGCCAAAAAGTAAATAGTTCACAGGAGTATGTTGCCTTGTATCCACGATTAAGAACGTCCTTGAGGGTAGTTCTGTGGTGTTGCTGCTTCGGTTTTTTCGTTCAGATCGGGTTTGGTTCTGTATTTTTCGTTGTGTCCTTGTTTTATTTTATGTACATAAGCATGAAGACTGGCTCACGTCGTTCTTGGGAGCCCAGTGCTTATTCAGTTTTCAATGAAAACTGTGAGGCAATTGAAGGAACGCTTTCCGGAGAGCAGTTTGATAAGGAGTTAAAGTTCGGAGCTGGTTCAGTCCGTTAGAAGCATATGTTTGGTCATACCTGTGTTTTAATTCTTCAGTGAATGTGCAGGTAACCATATCTGCAATGGATTTCCCAAGGCCAAGATGCATTCCGTTAAAGATATGTCAACATTCCACCATGCATAGATAAAAGATAATTAATACGTATTCTGTGATTCCACCATTCATCCATTACACCACTACCCAAAATTGGACAATCTTGGACAGTCAAATCCATGTGAGATAGCTTAACACTTTGACCGCCAAAGACGGAGATTTTCGCTTTTTTGATCGATTATCATTTATCATGTCTGTGTAGACCACTGGCGGTGAAAGTGTCAAATGAACTAGATTGAAAATAAATAAGTAATATATAGTACACATTACTACATTTTTGATAATATATGGCAGTGGACATTATAAAGAGTGAATAATATGCAGTACGTTATACCCCATATCTTACCAATTATATCACAAATGAAGATAATTTCTTCCCACTAAGTCCCTTGCTTCGAATTGTCCGTCCCACTGACCTTTGGTAATGTTTAATATGCTGGCATGTACAAAACAATTAACTACAATACTCATGTCTATCACTGTTTTATTAATTCAATTCTACGGTAGTATTTAAACTAAAACTATACAACAAGTCCTGTATCTATCTCATGAAGATGAATTACTTGGAGATGAACTTCTAGCATTTTCTACAAAAGCAACCAGTTTTTTGTACGAAGAAACTTTGTCCACAGGTATGCCAAGAGATGATATCTAAGAACAGTGAGAGAGGTTCAGAGTGCTTCTACCTTATCCAAAATATTAATTTGGCATCTATCTCTTTAGCCAAGGTGGGAGGGGAAGAAGGAGTTAGAAAGGTGAACTCTGGTATATCCACCCAAGAAAATTACTCATTACCTGCTTTCCAAATTCTTCTGCATCTAATGCAAACTGCATACGAATTTTATCATCGTCTGACATCTTTCCTTTCTCTGTCGTCGCAGGATTTGTGGATGGATTATCACTTTTCTTGATTCTTTTTAACCTCAACAAACTGTCCTCAGTTCTCTTGATTGAGGTCAAAACATCAGAGGTGACATTGTAAAACCTAAACAGGTCACGATATAGAATTTGTTTGCTCTGTCTTGACTGCCGTGGCACTAGCAAGGGGAGGGTGGGGGGTAGGGGCCGTGGCACTAGCAAGGGGAGGGTGGGGGAGGAGGGGCCGTGGCACTAGCAAGGGGAGGGTGGGGGAGGAGGGGCTGCCCCTACCCCAATGATTTTTAGAATTGGCTTTCACATTTAGCTAAATTCAATCCAAAAGAGGGGGGGTAAATATTTTGATGTTTCACTAACGTTAGAGATTAAAAGTTGATTCATGATTTTTTCATCGACCTTCTAGATTTTGCCCCCCCCCAAAAAAATGGAATTTCTGTAATTTCTGAAAAAACGTTTACACTTACTTGTCTGAAACGCTTTCTGATATTGCCACAGACCATTCCAGTAGTTGTTCCTGGCTTGCGTTTTTTCCATGATTCACTTTTAGCGCCCGGATTGGATCGATTAAATTTGTTATGTACGCGGACGGTTTTAGTGGGGCCTGAAATGAAATGGAAGATTGAATTTGTAAAATTATATACCACTTCAACAGCATTGCAAATTTAAACCGTCCGTGATGTAAATTCTATATCTTGGTTTACCATTCTGGGGCCGGTTGTATCAAGCCCGTTTAGCTTAAACGGTGCATGGATAAGTTCAAAATAGAAAGCAAGTCTGCTGTTTTACTCAATAAGCGAACTAAATGTTTTTAACCTTAATGCAAAGATACTGTCTACAACTACATATTCAGCGCGTTTCAAGTTTACTCATTCAAGGGAGATGTAAGAGCGTTTTTTAATTTTCACTCTTAAGTCACCGTTTAAGCTAAACGGGCTTGATACAACCGGCCCCTGCACATTTAAATGGTCCGGGAGTACTATTTTCGCGCCATTACATGATCCAATTTTGTCGGACCAATGAACCTCTGATGGATGTGTTAACGTCTGTTGACTTGCAATGTATAGGGGCAGCAAATCAACTAAAGCCAATGCAGTATTGCTTTATCGACAACAGACTACGTCTACATTCCATACGCCAGAAATGAGTTAGATCCGTAAAAAATTGGATAGCGTATAAAACAGACCTGAAAAACGTCTGCCTGCTGTTGTAATTGTTAAACTTGCTGGTTCATTTCTGAAAATGTCTTGAATAGATGTCCTTAAAAGTTTACGTATAATTTTCACTGGTCCAAACGTTTTCAGTACCTCACGATTCGTTCTTCTATAAAGTCTGGGTATATTCTTTGCTCCATCCAAACAATTAGCGCTCAGCGTGCTGACGTGATCGACAATAAGCGACGATAATTGAGGTAAGGTTTGTTGTAGATCACTGCAGCGTTTGTTAATCAATATATCTATAAAAGAATTTGTCTGAAGTTTGAACATCTCGTGTAGGTAGTGTAGTATAAGTTGACGGTTTGAGTGAAAGGTTTTACGTGTTGGGGCAAAATGATCTTCACCTTTTAAATTATCTTGTTCTTGCGGAGTAATGTCTGGCAGTTTTGGAGAAATTATATCTTTCCATAATTCTGGAATCTGTGAAAGTTAAAAGTTAAAATTAGGATTAGGTCTTCCCCTGATAATGGATCAATAAGAGATGATCCTTACTGGACCTCTAGGAAGAACAGTTTAGAACTGATAGAACTATCCAGTGTAAATAAAGTTAGTTTAGTTTAGGTTTCCTCCTGTAGTAAAACTGGATGAATAAGAGATGATCCTTACTGGGCCTCTAGGAAGAACAGTTTAGAACTGGTAGGGCTATCCAGTATAAATAAAGTTAGTTTAGTTTAGGTTTCCTCCTGTAGTAACACTAGATCAATAAGAGATTATCCTTACTGGACCTCTAGGAAGAACAGTTTAGAACTGATAGAACTATCCAGTATAAATAAACTTAATAAAGTTAGTTTAGTTTAGGTTTCCTCCTGTAGTAACACTAGATCAATAAGAGATTATCCTCACTGGACCTCCAGGAAGAACAGTTTAGAACTGATAGAACTATCCAGTGTATAAAATAAAGTGTAGATTAGGTTTTAGGCATTGAGATGAATAAATAAACCATTGAGGTTTCTTCGTCTCAATGGTTGTAGGTCACTGCATCAACAATAAGGAAAAGTGTTTGAGTGAAATTTCTGCTCCTAACTTGGTATACCTGTTTCAGGATATGAAAGACATCGGCAATAATATAAACAAGCTGTGAGACGGTCACGTGACTACCGTCACTTTCGCCCTGTCCCTCGGTAGTCTCCGCGTCTTGCCCTGCGTTTGGGAGACCGCTGGACACTTTACTTTTGACAGGAACGGTCTCAAAAAAAGTAGATAGGTAGACATCATCATATAAGTTGGTTGGTTTTATGAAATGGTAAAATAGCTTGAATAGTTGAAACACAACTTTAATACCTCTTGCAATTTTAAACCAGCAAGCCATTTGGAGAGGCGAGCAATAAGCTAAAAGACAATAATTAAATACTTCATGTTACACCGTTCTCATAATGACGTCAAACGCGCGGGCGGGAAGACAAAACTGGAAAATTTAAATGAAGTTCTTTCACGAAGTTGATTGGCTCTTTACTTTGGCGGAGCCAATCAAACTTTGAAAATATAAAATTTCGCGAAGTTGATTGACTCTTTACTTTGGCGGAGCCAATCAAACTTTGTGTAACACTATAGGTACCTGTAACGATAGTTTCCAAAACCGATGACATAATGCGGATAGGAAAATATTCTTGTGCCAGCACCTTTCCAAACAGCTCCAAAACTGGCGAGTGACGTTCACGTGTAAAGGTGCTTCATCTGCAAAAACATTCAGTTGCAGACTGGTAACGAGGGTGACTAAAATGTCCCTTTTGGGGATTATTTACACCGTGAGTGCAAGAAAAACAACAATAAATGAGCATTTTATCACCTTCGTTTACTGTGCACTGTGTTAACATCGATGTTTCTAGTTCCCCGGCTATTTCTTGAAATCTGTGTACAGAAATCTTTTTGTTATTTTGAGTATATCGCAATAGACTTAAACCTTGCCGGATGTAAGTCATGTACATTAGTCAAGCATGTGAAAATCACGTTTGCCATTGAATATGACAGAACCAATTTGTTTTACCTTATTTGAAAGTAGACAGGCAGACTCCAACGTGAAATGAGTGCGCCATAAGATGGGTGATTACGAAGTTGTTTAATATTCTCTTGCGAGCGACATTGCTTCTCGAACTCTTGTACGAAATTCATGGTTATCGTGTATTTCTAAACAAAAACCAACCAACCAACCATAAACTTCATTTTCTCCAAAGAAAAATGTTTGGGAATATTGTTGTCTCACTCAAGTAAAACACCAAACAAACCATTTAATTTTAAAACACGAAAAACATGATTGTTCTGAATTATCAAACCAGAAACCTGGACTGTATGCTTTAAACCTTATTGATATTAACGAGAAAAATAACTGGTAAACACGACAGACTACCAATTGTCATACTTTCATGAAGTTGAGCCAAGCCAATGCTCATAAACAGTAAAGTCTGGCCTGGTTTTTTGACATTTCGTTTCATGGTTCAACTTTTAGCAAAAAGAACGAAATCTACGTCGGATATGTGGAAGAACAGAAGTAATTATCGCGCTCATTTGCAAGACAGGAATCCCTGTACATTTACTTGTATTTACTCTATATTGCTATTGGCAAAAATACTCAGTTTGTTCACTCAATAATACCTAAAGTTCCCCTCAAGAGATAGAAGTAAATCTGTGGAGAATAGAGTAAAATATTCTGGCTCGTTAATGTAAAAAGTATTTAAGTAATAAACTAAATAAAGTCAACATTACGAAACGTCGGCCATGTTTGAATTTGGTTGATTACTCCAGTAGACCTATAGTGTCCAGTGGTCAGATTGAACCCACCTACCTTATGAAATGCATCAGGGTCTCCAGGTGCAAATATCGATGTTAAATTATTCTGGACTGCTGATGCAATTTCCGGCCAAACAGAATTCACAATGAAATTGTATCCCTTGATGCTTTGTGTAATATTTCCCGACACCTCCACACTGGGGTCCAGTGTCTTGCCAGACGTCACATCAATAAGTTTGCTACAGTAGTTTGGTATAAAATCTAGGACATTTTCATATAAGCCTTGAAGACCCTTGCTATTTGATTGCAAAGCTTGTTCTGTTATAATCTAGAAATGTAATTGAAAAGAAAAAGGGAGTCATAAAATTGAACACGTCTGAAGTTCTAGAGCTCCAGTAAGGATCATCTCTTGTTGATCCAGTGTTGCTACAGGAGGAAACCTAAACTAACTTTATTTATACTGGATAGCTCTATCAGTTCTAAACTGTTCTTCCTAGAGGTCCAGTAAGGATCATCTCTTGTTGATCCAGTGTTGCTACAGGAGGAAACCTAAACTAAACTAAACTAAACTAACTTTATTTATACTGGATAGCTCTATTAGTTCTAAACTGTTCTTCCTAGAGATCCAGTAAGGATCATCTCTTATTGATCCAGTGTTACTACAGGAGGAAATCTAAACTAAACTAACTTTATTTATGCTGGATAGCTCTATCAGTTCCAAACTGTTCTTCCTAGAGGTCCAGTAAGGATCATCTCTTATTGATCCAGTGTTACTACAGGAGGAAACCTAAACTAAACTAACTTTATTTATGCTGGATAGCTCTATCAGTTCCAAACTGTTCTTCCTAGAGGTCCAGTAAGGATCATCTCCTATTGATCCAAGTTCTAAAGAGTTCCAGAGGTTTACTATTCCTATTTTTTCATTTACTTTTAATCAAAACAGTATGTCTCAGTACCTTCATATATGGCTTAACAGCGAAGGTCCTGAACAAGTTTTCAGCGTAGGAGATTTTATCAATGATAGCATATGTCCTTAAGCACTGTGTGAGTGTCTTTGTGTCCCCAAGTTTTAGCCCTTCTTGAAACGAAGCCTCAAGATTCTTCTGAAGGGTGCTAGTAATACCTGATATACGCTGGAATGAAAGAGAGGCATTTTTACAGCTGATATTGATCATAGGTTGGTAAAATTCTCATCCTTCAAGCATCTCACATACTGATCTTATCTTTTCCACCAAAGGATGGCCCTGGCATTGGGTTACATAAAACTGAAGTTGGTTAAAATCGCTGGCAACTCTTTCAATCAAATGCCCTGCCTGTTCTGAGCTGCAAAATTAGTAGGAATAATGTAAGATTAAATTTCATCAAATTTTGCAAAAACTAATTGAGTGACACTTCACATTGGAACCAAATGAATGGAGGTTTGATTAAGTAAAAAGGAAGGGCAAACACAAAAAGGATATCCTTGAGTATTTATCGTATCTACAATCCTATGCAATATAATATGTGCCACCATGAGTTTTCAATATTGATCCCCCTTCCCCCTATCTCAATGTTGTATTTTAACAGTTAATGAAGACTAACACCTCGAATAGTGAAAACCATCACTACCCAACATTGAAACAGGGTGCGGGAGTATGTAGTGTCTCGTTAATTTTGCATAAGATTGTAGTTACCTCTCTTTGTCTGTTTCCTTTTCCCCATCTCCTGATTTGAAAACACGCTCAATTTTCTCCATGCAATGGGTGATATTGAGCAGATTTTGAGTAAAAACCTATAATTGTCATTGGTAGGTTGTGAAATGTACAAATATAAGGCATATTATTTATGTTATAACTGTGACAAAACACCTTTTTCTCACGCAACTCCGCTCTCTGTTTCAATTTGTTCTCAACTGATTTAATTGTTGAATCAAGATCATTTTGGATTGACTAGGAGAAAATTAAACAGCTGTTAATTTGTGGCATATAGTAGATTTGATGATTGATGAAATTTATTCAAGTAAAATTATTTCTCCCCACCAGAATTTCCTCTCTCAGTTGACCCAATGGGATAGTAAGATTATTAATAGCTTTGTCCATTCCAACCTTAAAAAAATAAACAGTTGATTTTAAGAACTAATCTGTGTTTACACTTTACACTTTCATAGCTTAATTAGTACACATTCTGGCTATAATTACAGTGTGCAATATGATGTATGGTACTCCCCTAGATTTCTCTGCTTTCCTGCCTTTCCAGTGTGGCGAGTTTAGTAGTACGGAGACAGTGTAGAGAGTTTAGTAGTTAGTAGTACGGAGAAAGTGTAGAAAGTTTAGTAGTTAGTAGTACGGAGAAAGTGTAGAGAGTTTAGTAGTTAGTAGTACGGAGAAAGTGTAGAGAGTTTAGTAGTACGGAGAAAGTGTAGAGAGTTTATTGGAAGGAGAAAGTGTAGAGAGTTTAGTAGTACGGAGAAAGTATGGAGTTTACACAGAAAGGCAGTCGAATTAAGAATCCTAAGTTTGAAGTTTCTAACATCAATTCTAAGGCTTTCATAAACCACGTACCAGGTTCGTAGACAGGTTAACAAAATCAGCATAGTCCTGATTAATGAGCTCAATGAGTGCATTCTTGAGCAGCCTCAAATAATCGTCCAGCTCTTTCTTAAAAACGTTTAAAGGAACAATCTTCTTGCATTCAGCCACAAACTTATCCACCTGAAAGTCATCCTGCATAAAATCATTTCTACTAAAGCAAGAGGACTGAGGCTCCACCAATATCTCCTTGTCGCTTTCACCCATGACCAGACTGCAAGAAATTACGCATCAACTTTAAAGAAATTGGAAATCAAGTCGAATAATAAGAAACAATGTAAAATTGTCGACGTGTTTTGGCCGCCATATTGGTAATTTCATTCGTCGGATATTGTCGGAAACGGTCGTGAAATTCCGAAAGACGGGCCGCCAGTTTTAAATTTACCTCGAATCTTCTAGTTTTTTTCATTTTTAGCCTTCATTTTATTATTTTATTTAATGGAAATCAAAATAGCATTTACCGAAAAGCTCGACAGATTGACCTGTGCGTCGCTTGTGGTTGAAACTGTGAAATATCTGTTGTTTCACCGCTATCAAATGCCTTTGCCATTCGACCAACTCAAGGCCGAAGATGAGCGAGACAGGAAATCTGAAAATGCGAGACGTTCTCCTCGAAATCGTCCGCTTCCATCGGTGTTGAAGAAAAAGCGGCAACTCATTTCCGATATAGAAGAGTTATTGGTGAATATTTACAAAGTTTATTCAGAAAATGATGTCTTTGAGGTGCTGTTGTTGTTCGGGGCAACTGTTGTCAACCCAAAAGAGACGTATTCAATACGGTTTTACAATATTTCCCGGACAACTGAGGCAGATAAAATGAAAGCGGCTTGCTTAGCAGGCAAGGAGAACAGCATGAGTTCCCGCTCCAAATTTGTGGATAAGTGCTGTCGGAAATTGGCAAGGACACTCTTCACGGACCCTTACCTTAATGAGCGGGGGGAATTGGGGTGCACCTCTGTACATTGCTTCATCCACACCTCGAGATCAGTGGATGTGTCCTGGCTTATGCCCAAGGCTTCTTTCAGAGTACCAAAGAAGGGGAAAACTTGTGAGATTGGAATTTCTGGTGGTGACGATAGTCATATTGGTACATTGGGTGGTAATGATAGTGAAGATGGAACAGCACAGGATAATAATGATCAACTTGGAAGTTCAGATGGTGATGATGTTGGGACATTAGGAGACAATCATAGTGAACAGGATACATTATGGTTCAAAACACCAGTGGTCATTAAGGGATACAAAGAAGCATTTAAGGAAACAACGGAATCGAGCATGTGGAGAAAATAGGGATATGTGAGAGATTAGACTTAGTTAATTACCTACACGTCTGTTACCTTCAATCATCAGGATGCAAAGAACTGTAGTCCACAATTCCTCTTACACAAAAACCTAAATAACATTTGTAAAATGAAGATCACATGCGAACAATAATATTCTGTCAATGAATGGTATTTTACTTGTATGCACTTTAATTATTAAAAGAAATATTTCAGCATTGTAGGAATAAATAACTTTTAAAAATAATTTACTATTTATTATTACAATTGTATAAATTTGTTTTATAATTTAACCATCAATCTGTTATCTTCTGTGGTGTACTGCATGGGGAAAACGTGTGATTAGATTCTCCTGAAAAAATATAGAATGGATCAGAAATTCTGCCATTTTATTCACCTGGGCCGGTTGTACAAAACTCTTTAACTACATTTTGCATAGTTAAATTCTAGTTAGCTCAGAAATATACAACTCTGATTCCCCAACTCTGTCCTTAACTACAATTAAAAGTCTTTTATACAACTGGCCCCTGTCCACAAACTTCAGGCCCAAATTCAAAATCATTTTATTTGTCAGTTCTATGAATATACACAAAATTACCAGGTTCTTTGCAACTTCATTATTGTTCACAGCTGCTATGGGTTTACTGGCCTAAAATTAAAAATCTTTGTAAAAACAAACCAATTAAAAACTTCATGACAGGACTGCTATCAATAGTGAATCTCATTGTGATTCAGTCAACTTTCCTAAGAGAATACTTACAGCATAAGTTGTTCCTGTGATAGGATTGGTCAACCAGGATGAGCTATTCACTGCAGGAGTTCGTAACCGTTCTGGTTCGTCAATCTGGAGGAAAATCTTAGCTGTGTTAGTGTTACATTATGCAATTTTCCTTGCAACTTGCAATGCAATTATAATTTTGAGGGATGTTATAGTAAAGGGTCTTCGAAACATGCTTCGAAATGGTAAGAAAACCACTAAGAAAACGTTAGCAGATCATAAGAAATGTTCATATTTATTAACTTTACATTCCTCAGGAGTAGAATTGTATTGCAAGTTGCAAGGAAAGTTGCGTAGTGTAACACCGCCTTTGTGGCCCTCAGAGAAGTATATTTGAGCAATTGACGCTCCTGTGGGGCTCCTCATTAGGTAACATTGATACTAGACGTAAAAAAGGGGTGACTGAACCCCAACCTCGCCCCCCCCCCTACGAAGGAAGACCCTGGGTATGAGGTTGACTGACTCCCCAGATTCGGGCAGAATTGTTGACAATTTGTGCTTTTAAAAGTCGGGTAATATTTGCTACCGTTCAGGCTCGTACACCCGCCATATTTGCACGCAACAAGCGAGGAACTTACCTTGTAAACAGGCAGAGATCGGAAAACAGCGGCTGGATCATTCACACGTGATTGGCTGCTGTCCAGATGGAAATTATAATGCTACAAACGAGACAGGAATCCATACGAACTTAAGGATATGACTTTAAATTAAAGTATAAGATATCGCGACGTCGCATTGTTTCCACTAACCCGTGGTTTTGACAGAGAGTGGAAGAATTTTTTATTATCTTGAGTGCTTCTTGTTTCGTCTTTTGCTGAATATCTGAACGGTTTCCATCTGGGTAAAATAGGCAAAATAAATAGGCAAACACGCAATGCATTTGTCGCTAGAATCGGAGATTCGTTGTACCATTTTTGACTGACAAATCATGAGTTTATAAACCAATAACCACAGACAAGAAATGTCGCTTATCTCTTAGGACAAGTGAGAACAACTATAGGTTACCTTTCATCGTCAAACGCCAAAGGACAATCTACAGTTTCATTCGTTTTTGGTTTGTTTTTAACCAATTTTGTTTGCCGTGTCAACTTTTTTGGAGCCTACAAATGTTTAAAACGTATCACATGATGAAAATCGACTACTTCCCATTTGAAGTGTCCGAGTGCTTTCAATGGCAAAAAAAGAATGGAGGACAACATATAGAAACATGAAATTTAATTCCTCACGGCACTAGCTTAGTCTTTCGTCTAGTGTCTGTCCAGACAGAGATATGCAGTGGAATTTTCAGACCCAGGGCATGTTTCTCCCTCTTCTTTTTCTCCTGCACCGTCCCCTCCCCCCTCTCCTTAACTTACGGCCCGATGGAAATTGCCTCTACCCCCTCTGAGAGGTGCTACATACACCCCGGCATAACGTCGAAACAGTGGGTGCTGGGACAAAGTATGCAGACACAAATCAACAATAAGTGGAAGAAATTATCACTCATCACCTCAGAAATATCGTAAGGTCGTAATGGTGTCGAGGGTATGGAACTTGCATTGGGAATATTCCACAATCTTGGTTGACCAAAGAACCCAATAAAATGACCGGTGCCTTGGTGCCAAACCCTGCAGAGAATTGACACATTCATTAATGACAGTTCAGATTATTAACTCAGATCAGAGGGGGGTTCGTTCTTACCTGACCGAGGAGTCGACAGAGGCGGTAATTAGAACATCGCTATTTTTGACCTGTTCCATTGCTACAATTTTATTGAGATGCGCCCGCCAGTAGATCACTTGATCGACGCCTCTCTAAAAAGAAAGAGAATTAAAAAAACTGTTTAGGAATATAGAACGCATGAGATGACAAGGAACACATTACTTACCAAACTATCGTTTGTCCCATTCGTGTTTCCACACAGATGATGAAGGAAATTTTCAATATCCCACATCATAACGTAACCTCCTGTCGCAAGAAGCAAATTACGTCATGAATGGGACACAGAGAACGTCTTTACATAAACAGTATTCTTTCTCCGAATCAACTTACTGACATCAGATGTTATGAGCAAGTTGGAATAAGGTTGATAGGACAATGCAGTGACTGAAGATGATCGCTGATTCACCGTCATTCTTACTTCGGTAAAGAGAGTGCCCTAAAATAGTGAAATCCAATTATTGTTCAATCGATTGCTAATTGCAATTATTGATAATCTGTTAATCAATAGTTTGATAATTATTCCTAATGGGTTAATTAGCTTCTTAATTGATTATTTTATTAGCTCCTGGTTTGATCGATGGTATCATTCATCGATCAATAACTCGTTCAGCAGATTAATCAACTGACCAGTTGATCGACGCTAAATATATACCTCGTAGTTCCAAAATCTAATATAGCCATCATGATGGGCGGAAATAACGCCAAGATTGTCAAGACTTTGTTGAAATTGTGTTTCTTCATTTTCATGAAATTTTTGATCATCTTCATCGACGGCAGATTTTCTTTCATCATCCTCAGACATTCCTCCATCACTGAACCTCGAGGCTTCCTCATCGATGTTTACATCATCGTCAATTTCTCTTTCATCGTCAATCTCGTTTTCATTCACTTCAAAATGTTCGTCTTCATCTTCGTTTTCTTCGTTTTTTTCCGTGTCAGTCGTGCGGTCATTTTTGTCACTGTCAGGATTTGATGTAGCTTCGATATCCACGTTGTCATCCTTCTGTGCTGTCGTCCCAAGCACGCTGTTGAAATATTATTTAATGATTTATATTATCTAATTACGTAATTACGTATGTCACAGGCTATCTATTTTACTGTAGAAGGCTATTAACCAATAATGAAGTTAGTTTTTTAGCAATGATAGTAATCCTGTAAAAATCATCATAAAAACGTTGTTTTGTTACATCTTGTTCAACTAACAAACGTTATTTCTTAACAACGTTGCACGACATTGAATTGGGAAAGAGAGGTCGATGGATAAGTTCGTTTTGTTTTTATAAATTTCCTTGTAATATTGCAAAAATTGGGATTCTGTCTTATTCGAAATTTAGGTGACTTCATCTCGTCACAACCACCTTGTTATTCCACGCGAAACGCCAGATTTCTGGCATGAAATGATCTTGCAAGCATGAACCAACTTGTACTCTGAATCATGGCTGTGTTTCGACGTTCTTCTGCTGTTCCCGCCTCGGGATTCCGCTCGTTCAAACCTTAGAAAGGAATATTCTCTCATCATTATGGATAGTGCAGATTATGAAGATTGCATGATTCCTACAACAAGCAACCGCCCTATTTTGCGACAGTTTCCTTTAAGGAGAGAAAGAACGATAATTTCCTTTTTTCCATGTGGAAACTATGGTGTTCAGCATGATCAACACCAGAGTACCACGAGACTATCATCACTGGATGAATGGCAGTTCAAAATTGAAAGAACTATGCATCAAATGGAAGTGAATGACAAAGGAAAACAACGCTGACCTCCGAATGACCTTGCCTTGCTCTATGTCCCACAAGATAATTATTCCAACCGTTGTGCCCGCAGCCAGAAGACGAGGTGAGAAATAGTCCAAACACGTGACCTGACACGTGGACAACAGGTTCACCGCCTAAAATCGATGTTTGAACAGACAGTCAATAAAACTATCAGACGCATGGAAATGCTAATTGTGAATACTTACGTCATCCTCAGTTGCAGCGAACTCTGTTGTTTCGCCTATTGGTGGCAGCGGTGCTTTCGAAGTGAATACTTCATCTAAACGCAAATCAGCTATCTTTGATTTATCTCATCTTTGAAAACATCTTTAAAATTAGCATAATATTCAAAAACTACCTCCATTGCGGACGACTTTGGGTGTTGGTGGACAAACATACGCGTCTGATAAACTGAGAAGAAGTTCCAAAGAATCAGAGCTGACATTGTCCTGTAAAAAAACCGGTATTTTAAGGTTTAACTGCCTCTAAAAGAGGGAAGAATCTGGACTTTCACATCCCAAACACAAAAAAACAATATGCTCATGAATGAAATGAATCCCAGTCACTGGTGGGATTGCAACTGGGACATCAGTCTTGTATCTAACTCCTGTCAATCGTCTGTTTGGTAATTTGTTATTTGTATAAACATATATGTTATTGTAATTTACTGGCGAATTAATTAAACCCAAACCTAAACCACTCTGTTTTTTTACCTCGAACACACGGATGGTATGACCCCAGCTTGATACAAGCACACATTGTTTACCATTCAAATGAAAGTAAACAACGCCGGTGATTGTGGAATCTTTAATATCAGAATCTTTTAAGGAATGGTGATAAGACTTGTGAAGCTGACCGCTGCCAAAATCCCAAACTTTCATGGAACCTAAGACAGTAGTATCATAACGAGTGGTATAATAATTTCGCGGGTCGGAAATATAGCCATGTTTCAGGGATATTTCGACAAATAGAGTTTTTATGAAGTGCTTTCTGTGAAGACGGAATCTTCCTTTAAAGCAACGTCATTTGAACTGACAATGTCTGGAAAACGAGTACTTCTACTGATGAAAAATATATTTATTTACACAGTACCATCGTAACCGCCCGTGATCAGTCGGTATCCCGTCGTGTTGACGTTGAGCGCCGTAACTTCGTGCCCAGGACCGTGAGGTTCTTGTATATGATAGACCAAGTGACCCGTCTCCATCTCCCAAACCTTTAAGACACGGAAGAAAAGGAGCTAATTAGATTCGAAATAGCCATCCAGGACGATTAGTTTATTTTAGGTTTCCTCCTGTAGTAACACTGGATCAATAAGAGATGATCCTTACTGGACCTCTAGGAAGAACAGTTTAGAACTGATAGAGTTATCCAGTATAAATAAAGTTAGTTTAGTTTAGGTTTCCTCCTGTGGTAACACTGGATCAATAAGAGATGATCCTCACTGGACCTCTAGGAAGAACAGTTTAGAACTGATACAGCAATCCGGTACAAATGTATACGTTGAAACAAACGTTTATGTTACCTTCAACACTGGTTCGAGACAAATTGTGACAACCTGATTCATTTGACTGTTGTACAGGACTTGAGCCAATGATCTATCGTGAGTATGAGGTAACTGGAGTGAATCCTGTATAGCCCTGGTTAATGGCCACATCTCAATTGAGCCACAGCCTAGATGATGAAATAAGAAAAATATTCATAGTTCATTGTACTGTATGTCCTCCTGAAGGTCAGTTGTGGTTACCTGTGATCAATCGGTCTCTCTTGGGATCGTAGAGCATCGTGCTGATCCGTTTTTCGCTCGGGTTGGTGTCACTGCTTGTGAACACCTAAATAATGATGATGTCTTAAAAATGAGTTGCAAATCTCGCAGTCTAGCTGCAAAACTGTGCGAAAAGTTTAATGATAGTTTGGATTCATGCGGGAAACGTCCCCTTGAAAATCAGCTTTAGCTGAAGGGCTACCGTGTTTAAATAAATTTTTAATAATAATAATAATATCCAGTCAACTCTCATGCAAATCTTGCTCTCGAAGATTAAGAATGCCCCATGCAAATCCTTCCTCCCCTAACTCCTAAGTCTTAAAATAAAATAAAAAAAAAGTAAAACTGTAAAATACGCAACCTGTAAACATGTTAGAGTCTGAACATCCCATATCCTAAAAACCTTCAAAAAGTAAAAAAGATAGCATTTGTGAAACAACAGACTTCATAACAATCCAATCAAATAACAGAGTGTCTCTTACCCTAGCCGTTGATAAACTGATCAAGTGTTGGTCGTTTTCGTTCACCGTCAATTCTGATATTGTGAAAAGGTGTCCGATTAACTTGCCTGAAAGTAAACAGATATTATACATTAGTATTTGCTATACAGTAAAGAAATATACTATACACTTAGAAGTTGCTGATTTGATTTCACTCACCGGTTGGCCTCGTGAAGATTAATGGATGCCACATTCGGATAATCTTGTCTGCACCTGAACGTTTCGTGAAAAGAATGTAGAAAAGCATATAGAAAAGCGTGTATTTCTCACGAGAAACATTTCAACAGATCGTCACTGAATAGCGGTGATTATAATAATAGCGGTGATTATAAAATGTACAAATTGAATAAAAAACTTTGTACAAAATTACGAAGATATCGCTTCGTATTTTCCTAATCTACATCATCACTTTACCTGCAGTAGCGATGACATTCGCCCGGGCACAATAATCAAAACAATTCACTCCTTTTGGAACAGAGAGTTCACGTAACGGCCTTTATCAAAACAAAACAAAACAAAACAGTGTTTAATATAAGATTCCGTGTGCGAATTTTACTATCATAGAAAGAGTAATAGTTCTTTATAATTATAGCGAGATTCAGAGAGATATCGAGAGTATCACTATTGCTCCCAAAATTCTTTGACCTTACTGTTGGGCAAGAAGTTTATCCAAATCTCCAAGAACGAAAGAAGTTGTGGAACAAGGTGAGCAGGAACCGAACAGCTCCAGTTGTGGAAAATATTTCACCTACAAAACGACATTAATCTTCATTTATCAACATTTATTTACACTCTCCAGATGGTTCTATCAGATCTGAACTGCTTTTCCTCGAGGTAGGAGGTACAATACCTTGATGACCCAATCATTGTGAACTTTTCTTCGTATTATTTCACTAGTAATAAAAGGAAAGATTATATATAATTAGCAATACTGGCACTGGGAAATATCCTGGGAAATCCAGGAAAGAGCTTGAAAGTGTTATACATACTTGGTAAGTTTTGAAGGCTCAATGATCATCGTTTGAGCATCATTTCCGGCATTTTTCATATGAAGATCCTTCGAAGATAATCTTAGAATATTTATAAAACCTGAAGGAATAGAATGCGACACAGTGAAAAAAAATAAATAGAGAATAGAACGGAAAGTTTAAGTGGAAAGTTTAAACGTAACTGACCATGATCATCACCAAAAAGGATGCAGTCATCTGGAATGTTATCCAACCTCCGTGGTACATAAGTCATACAGTGGATCATTTGTTCCAACGGTTTGATCTGGATGATATTCTACAAATAAATATCAAATTAAAACCTATGTTTTGTGCGCACGGATTTATGCAAGCATCGAATAGCACTGATAAGTGAAATGTTTCTCGCAAAGATATCATGGAAATGACGTCTGATTTTGATCAAGATGAATGGCCCACTTACGGATTGTTTTTGTTTCGCTCGGTAATCCCATATCGCAAGAGAACGTTCGCAGGTTATCTTGAAAAAAAAACCATTTTGTCTAATTATCATAGGTCCTTTTGTGATTTGACAATGTGCGTATAAGTGAAGCAAGTAAACGAACGCTTTTTCGTGGATTACTCACAATAATTCTCCGTAAACCAGGGCAGTAATCACAACCAGTAATCCAAGATGTCTCCTTGAAAATATTTATACAAATTTATATGAGAGGTTTCGAGGTTTATTACGAGGTTTATTACGTTGGAATACGTGGTCAACAATGAGACCCAAACTTACATTAATATCAATACAACTTTGCAAGCGAAACTACGAAAAAAATATATGAAAAGTTAACGTCTTGGACAGACGGAAAATTTATTAAAATATTGGCAAATTTTTTATTTTAATTTGTACCTTGCTGCTCCACTGACAAACAATTCCTTTTTCGGATGAACTGATAAAGATATCTAGCTTTGGTACATAGGTTATGTTGCGAATAAAGTCACGTCGTTTTTTGTCACCTTGTGTAAAAAGAATATGGAGAAATATTGGAAAAAATTGATGGTGGAAGTCCAGAAGAAGCCAAAAACACGATAAGCACCTCCTGCATCTCCAAGATATCTTCTTTTTGAAACCGTAAAGACTGAAAAACCTTCGTCTGCTAACAATTGTTCCGTTTGCTCTTGACCAGTATTTCCAATACCAAATAACTAGGTTGAAAGAAATGCATAGAGATCAGGCATTACGACGAATAACACATTACAAGTATTTTTGAATGCATGTTTTTTAGACGTCAGTGCCACACAATTTAATTAGCCATTGATATACTGTGTACATTTACTGTTAGTAATTGGATAGTTACAAAGTGGCTGAGTGGGAATATAAGGGCTATTTTTATCAGGGAGTTGCACAGAAGATTGCAGTGTTGCACTATTTGGTCTAAAAATAACATAAATATAGTCAAAAATTTCAGCATGCATTGTTTAATAGACCTTTCCTATAATGACATCAAATGCGGAAAGTCTGATGTTACACAAAATTTGATTGGCTCCACAAAACTATCAAGCCAATCAAACTTGCTGTGGCAAGCTATGTCCATGTGATATATATGTATATTACCCACATGTTGATTCTTACCTCACTCCAATCTACTTCTGCTTCTGGATTGGCTGCGATCTTTCTAAACAATGCCTTAACATCATGACTATTTACATCGGCACCAAATAAACTTTTGATTTCTGCACAAAATGGTTCATATCCTAAACAACACCAGCAAATTATCCCGATATCAGAAATGACACCATGCTTGAGTGCAATAATCCAGCAAGTACACAGATGACCCTCCACCCTCTGAGCTAGGGGTGCACTCCCCACCCAAGTTCATTGCCCACATGCACCAGCATACATTTAGCCTTTTGTAGAAAGTTTGTTGAAAGGCACTTGATTCACCCTACATCTATAAGAATCAGCGATCTATGAAGCTCCTTTCAGACAGACTATAAACCATCTCATGCAACAATGGATGATGAATATGGATTTGACTGTGGATAATACCCAAAACATTCCAAGGGCAAGGCCAAGTATGAACCTGGCCTAAACATTAGGTGCATGGACGTCGTCGAATTAGGGGTCAAATTCAAACCTCCCCCCCTCTGCACACACCCTTGGGAGAATTACCATTAGTTAATCGTTCTTGCAACTCCAATCGTCTTTCCTCCGGATTCAGCTCTTCATCAACGTGAGTGAATTCCTCAATAAATCTATCAAATAATTCCAATTTTCGTCCAAAACTCCCGACAGTAAATGGTCTGGAGCTTGTCTTTCGTTGCTCCATGGTAAGCCTCTATAAAGAGCAGTTTGTTTACAGAATACAACATTTTTTAGTAGCCATTTGTTGAAAGTAAACAAACGGCAAAACGTTTATTTCAGCATTCTTTGCTGCGATCAAGCTCGATTTTACCAAATCATACGCAATATTTTTGTCTGATCTGTCGTAATTTTGTGTAATCTCGCCGATCGGATAAAAGAATTGACAAAACAAACGAAATTTGTTTTAATAAATTTAAAATATTTCAGAAAATCACGCCGTATCTATGGCAGTCAAATGAGCAATCGATGCGGATTTGTTGATGTGATTCTGACCAATCAGAGGGCAGCATGTTGTTCCAGAATTGGCCAATTAAGATCGTTTATTATGGCGGGAAAACCGTCGAGAAAAGGCGGGAATCCACGGTATTTATATACTGGATTTCACAAGGGGACTCGGAAACCGTTCTTCTGGGGCACAATTGGTCCTACTCGCGAGGTTTAAGATTCCGAAATGGTAAACTAGCTTTATTTATACTGGATAGCTCTATTCCTAGAGGATCATCTCATATTGATCCAGTGTTACTACAGGTGGAAACCTAAACTAAACTAACTTTATTCATACTGGATAGCTCTATCAGTTCTAAACTGTTCTTCCTAGAGGTCCAGTAAGGATCATCTCTTATTGATCCAGTGTTACTACAGGAGGAAACCTAAACTAAACTTACTTTATTTATACTGGATAACTCTATCAGTTCTAAACTGTTCTTCCTAGAGGTCCAGTAAGGATCATCTCTTATTGATCCAGTGTTACTACAGGAGGAAACCTAAACTAAACTAACTTTATTTATACTGGATAGCTCTATCAGTTCTAAACTGTTCTTCCTAGAGGTCCAGTAAGGATCATCTCTTATTGATCCAGTGTTACTACAGGAGGAAACCTAAACTAAACTTACTTTATTTATACTGGATAACTCTATCAGTTCTAAACTGTTCTTCCTAGAGGTCCAGTAAGGATCATCTCTTATTGATCCAGTGTTACTACAGGAGGAAACCTAAACTAAACTAACTTTATTTATACTGGATAGCTCTATCAGTTCTAAACTGTTCTTCCTAGAGGTCCAGTAAGGATCATCTCTTATTGATCCAGTGTTACTACAGGAGGAAACCTAAACTAAACTAACTTTATTTATACTGGATAGCTCTATCAGTTCTAAACTGTTCTTCCTAGAGGTCCAGTAACGATCATCTCTTATTGACCAGTGTTACTACAGGAGGAAACCTAAACTAAACTAACTTTATTTATACTGGATAGCTCTATCAGTTCCAAACTGTTCTTCCTAGAGGACCAGTAAGGATCATCTCTTATTGATCCAGTGTCACTACAGGAGGAAACCTAAACTAAACTAACTTTATTTATACTGGATAGCTCTATCAGTTCTAAACTGTTCTTCCTAGAAGTCCAGAAAGGATCATCTCTTATTGATCCAGTGTTACTACAGGAGAAAACCTAAACTAAACTAACTTTATTTATACTGGATAGCTCTATCAGTTCTAAACTATTCTTCCCAGAGGTCCAGTAAGGATAATCTCTTATTGATCCAGTGTTACTACAGGAGGAAACCTAAACTAAACTGACTTTATTTATACTGGATAGCTCTATCAGTTCCAAACTATTCTTCCCAGAGGTCCAGTAAGGATCATCTCTTATTGATCCAGTGTCACTACAGGTGGAAACCTAAACTAGACTAAGTTTATATTTTTATCCAGCCTCCATTGAGTACGGTGCACATTAGTTTTTCCACACACAAAACATTTTTTTAAATAATTTTCTACATATATTTTTCAACTGTAATTTAATCATATAATCATCTTATGGTTTAACTTAAAATACCATGTACAAAATATATATCAACTATGCGAACAAAATAGTCATTTCTTCTTCATTTTCTGTTCATTAAATTAACGGCAATGTTCAAATCACTTACGAAACTACGTTTGGGCGACCACAAAAACTCCTTAGCAACGAAATAAAAGACAGATCTGGTTGGATATCCTGTTGGGATCGACTAATTGAAAGAGATACCTTGTTACGATTGTATTTGATTATATAAACAAATTGGAAAACCCCGAGATTTTAATTTGTTTCACGTTCATGAATTTGTCCAGGGAAAATCATGGATGCTCTTTACAAAATAAACCAAAATTTTGTAGAAGTCAAGTATTTCAAGGACGTGAATGATGTAAGAGACGTAGTTTTAACTTCATAGCTCTTAGTTAGAAGTGATACCATCACCGCTGACTTGTCGTCACTATGAGCCTAAGCTGTGAAGTCAGACGTAGTGATGTATCAGACCTTGTTCAAAAAAATTAACGATTTTTCTTTTAAATTGACGAAGTTGTGTGATCGCCGTATTACTTACTGATCGTCAGAGCTTGGAAACAAAAAAATCTGCATCAAAGTTAACATTCACTTTCGCAGTCGTGTCGCTAGTTTCTAATCCTCCCCTCGGATTCACGTGATTTACCAATGAGTTGCCTGTACATTTGGACAGCGTCTTCCGATTTTTGTATTTCATTCGCGCAACGAGCGAGTCTTGCTAAGCGGCATTTCACTGCAGATGTTGTTCAGACCAGACAACTCTTCTTGTCAGAGCAGTTGAATGAAATAGAGAAAATTCATTGCTTTGAATATTATAGAAGTGGCAAGAATTTCTCAAACTGATAATCCATCTGCAGAGAAATACCGTTTGTTAAAACCCGACGCTCTGCCAAGTCCTTCCTATTCGCTCTCTACTCCACGCAATCTATACCAACGGTCAGCGGACGCTGTTTCAACGGTCACACTACCATTTCTACTTTCGGTCGCTCTCTAGGAATGCCGAGCTCTCGATTCTACGACGAATGAATGTCTACAACCTGTTGCGTCATCGTTTCCGGGGGAAGTATGGACGGCGACACCGATTGATGAGTGGGTGTGATGAGCTGACCGTGAGCTGTAGGGTACTGGGCATGAGGGTGACCTGCTGGTGACATGATCATTTGATGGCCAGGTATATACATAGCCTGCGAATGTACTTGTCCAGCGGGCACTTGCGCTCGATACGCATGCGCCTGCATCTGGGCGTGCATCGTATGAGGTACGGGTGATCCACCCAAGTGACCGGGCATAGCTCCGGGCGACGGTTCCCCGCTCGGAATATATCCCCTGGGTGAGAAGTGCGGTGACTGTCCTGATGCAGGGTCTTGCATGTGGTAGTTGGGGTGCATCTGTGCATGATGTTGATCCGGGTAGTACCCGGGTGGGGTTGGGTGTCCTGGTCCTGTGGGGCCGAAACGAGGTGGGGATGGTATCCCCTGGCTTCCGTTCTTACCACCGCGTCGTCTCGATTTGAAAACTGTCACGACCGGTGATTTTCCTGCCCGATTTGAAGCGTCGATCATCGGTTGAACAATACGTCTCCTTGCATTGATGAACCTGTTGGTAATAATGAAAGTGTTGCGTTATTACTTCATCGAATGTCAAAGCTTTTGTTGCATTTGGACGCCACAAACAGCATCTTCCATTTGGAGAATCTCAGTAGACGAGATAACACTGTCAACGCGATGCGCGTTTTGAAAACCCGAAAATCACATTTCATTAAAGCAACGACCATTTTTCATTTCCGTCCGTCAGCTAATCCGTCCGTCCGCGTATCCGTGTTTAACTTAAAGCCTGTGGCAACGCCAAATTAGGAAATGATGACCCGTGTTTGTCATCGAGTACGAAATGCACACGTTCGAATGAAATGAGATTCGAAAAGAAAGAAACGCACGCACTAAAAATACGTGTTGTAAATTTGGCAAACTAAGAAGATTTTGGTTTTGTAATCACCTGAGCACTATCTGATCGTTACAAAGCTGGGACGCATTCCAGGTCTTCGTAATTATACATCCGTCGTCACGCACGTTAAATCATTGTGAAATTTTTATTATTTATTATCAACGGGGAGGCGTAGACAGCGAGGAAGCGCAAATTAAATAGTTGATTAACATACGGTGCGGCGCCTGTAATGTAAATGTACAGGACAATGTTAAATACTTGAATAAAATAGAAACCGCGATTGAAATTAGACTGTTACAATTGAACGCAGCTTTCGTACTCGACAAGAGGACAAAACATTCATTTTTTAACGCCAAACACAGCGACATGCTGCTTGCATATCTATTTCATGAATTCGAAGTCACAAAAAAGTCAGTGATTACGGTAGCATTGCCAGATCTTGTTCTAAAGTGGTTCAATCAACTTAGATCATCGTCATAACAAACGTGGCATCCACCTCGTATTGAAAATTTTCAAACATTTTAGGAGCAGACTTTTCTAACCACAAGGTTAAGGTTAATTTTATTCACAAAAGGTGGACATTTGCGCAAAAATGCAGATAACAAAGAGATCAAATTATCCTGTGCGTCTAGTAATTACTCTGGTATAGGAATGACAAAGTTTCATTGGAGCATCAAATGTAACTACATGAGGAAACACGAAAGAATGACGCGCGTACTTTGGTATTTCAGGCTAAATTGTTGAACCGAATTCACCCACAAATGGATATTCGCAATGAAGCGTTGAAAAGATAATACAAATCCTGTTAAAAGGCAAATACTTGGCGTAATTAAGCTTAATTATTTTGTGACGCCATGCCGCGTTTATCAGCGTCGTGTGTCTGTCCATTAGGTGCACTTGCGCTCTTGGTGATAAACAAAGTGCTGAATGCTGACAGAGATATTGCACATGTGTTGCGTTAATAAAGCTAATTTCAAGTGCCCACCTTAGACACACGAAGATGCAAGTGCTGGCCCGTTATCAAAAACTATTGCGTGCAAAGCGCGCATATTTTCATGTAAGTACCCAGAGATTTCGAAATGCTTGTAGCAAGCAACTGTAGCCGGTGTTTCGCACCGAAAAAAATCGGGTTGCAAAACTGTCGAGTGTCGATGGTCGCAAAAGTCCTGACTAGAAAAATCACGCAAGCAAATCGTCTGAAAACCCCAGAAGTAAATACTTGATAACACCCAGAATCATATTAAGCTAAATCCACGATAAAAGCCTGTGGTAAAATTACAAATACCAAGCTTTATGCCTGGAACAACCCACTTCTTCTATTGCATCACGACATTTTCTAGCTCTTCTGAAGTGGCTCTTAGCCAGAAACGCCGAGAAGGGTTTTAATACATATTTCACACAGTTGTTCAATCTATTTCATGAGAAAATATTTCACGTTGCTCTTTGGTTATCTTGAAACGTTTTTATTGCATGTTAAATTAAGGTATTCATCCAGTTTTATCGGCTGAATCTTCGCCTCGAACTTCGAAGAACATGCTGGAAACGTGTTTAATCCTGCACGGTCGTGATAGCCAAATTGTTTTGTTGATAAAAGACATGATGTGCGTGGGATTATAGATTAACTTTTTTTATTTCCACGAACTCAAAACAGGCGAAATTGAACCAACACCCAGCTTATTGATGTTTCATGAGGTATTTACGTTCACTTGTCAAAGTTTAATCTTCATGAAGGGGTTAATTATTGTGATAACTTTTTCTTGCTATCTGTTTTACGTTGAGGTCAAACGTGGCCTTAATAGGACTGTGCACATACGACCACAGCTATAAGATCGGATTTTTCCAAGTGAACTCAGTAAATTTCTGTCATAACTTTAATGTCCACTCCCCTTAGATATTCCAAGATAAACTCTTAAAAATACACTTGCATTGATCCTAATCACCATAGCAATCTGTTACCTAATCAATTTGCTAGCCATTTCACGACTATAATAAAGTGATATACTGTTTTACTCCTTATTCCTGCCTTTGAATTTCACAGTCTTTTCTGTCCATTTCATATTTATATTTATACTAAAACTTCCTTATGTTTTCAAACGCTTTGAAGGAGCCGATATGTAAACAACTTAGTGATTTTTTAGGTTCTATTTATTGAGCGACGCATGTGGGAAAATATAAACAAGAAAATTGCTATTTGTTGACCTACGTCAGCTCGAATATCATCATCCAGCGCCCAACGTACAACTTATGCAATCATAAACAAACGTTTCGCCCACACAGATAAGAATTTATCCACTTAGAAGACTACGAGTGGTAAGAAAGCCCGGATTTGGTTACATGTTCGTTTCAGCAATGCCGTGATTTGCTATTTCCTACATCTAGAGATTAAATGCTCTGTCTACAGCAGATGACTTCACATAAAAAATAAACCATTAGCTAAGGTTTTGTGATATCCCTTCGTTCGTTTAAAATGATATGGATGATACGGAATTACTAATCTTTTAGCTTGGACATCGTTTGGGGAATTAAAGGCAAGTAACGCCACTGAACAGTTGGATATTTTTGTGAATTATCTTGACGACTCTTGTAAGCAAATATTCACACGCAAACTGACAAATCTCTTGAGGATACCCTGGTTTCAGAGGTTTCAACACCTGAGGTCTAAAAACATCTGGAGTACCACGGTGCACAAGTACTTACCAATTGTTGACTTGCAAGATTGTTAATCCCGTCTCTTGAGCTAGCGTTCGTTTTTGCTCTTCTGAAGGGTACGGGTGCTGCAATAGAGATAATCACAAAATATTACCACACATTGTCCATTGTTAAACTTACAACGACCGTGTTTGTTGAAGCCGATCAGTTAGTAGATTCTCCTTACGTTGCAACCCTCTGTGCTACCTTCAAAAATGGACCAGCAACCAGTTTGACGGGAGGACAAATACTGTCCTTTTTTATTTTAATCTTATGCATCATAATGCGTTACTAACGCTTTGTTTTCATCTAAAAATGTTTCTTTATATTCTCGTGAACATTTTTAGCTTCATGAATTCATAATAACATGTGCACGCATAATTTTTGTGACAAACTTTGTCTTAATTTAAATATAAAAAAAGAGGAAGATTTTGGTGTTACAACCTTTGAAAGACCGAAAACAAAAAGATTTGCCCGACTCTCTTTTTAGACTCATGGTAGATTTCGTTTTCAAGAGTATGTTATAGCTAGCACAGTCTATTAGTACAGCTACAATAAGATTTCGGCAAAACATAATTATATTTCACAATATTATATAATTTGTTTCGAAGTGATTGTATTAGCAATATGTATACTAGAATTATGGTCTTATCTTGTAATCTACAAGTCCAATATAATATTTTGAATTTATTGTCGTAGCGTCTCGCTGTCTCGTCTGACGTCTGAATGTCGAAGTAACAGTTTCAAACTGATAAATGTGCATGAATTATATTTTCAAATTAGATCCAAAAAACATATATTACGCAGAGTTTAAATTTTATAACCCGCCAATCGTCTTGTTTGCTCATTATTTAGGATTGGAATAAATATTGCATCAACTCCAATCAGAGTAACTGCGCGGTAAACAATCTTTCTGAAAATTAAGATTACAAAAACATTTTAAGATATTGTGATATATTGTTTAGAGAAACTGTGTTTGTTTAGATATTAATGAATAATGTTTAATCTTTGGAGATTGGTCAATTTTTGAAACCAAAGAAAACAAATAGAGATAGGGCATTTTCGAGATAATGCTGGTTCGATGAATCAAATTTGAGTTGTGTGTTTGAGAAAGAAATACTATTAAATCATTTTCAGGTGTTTTGTTTGCTAATACAGTTGAACAATTTAAACAATTAAAAGCTAAACAAACGAACCACAACCAACATCGTCCGGTTAGCTGTCAAAAACATTTTGCCATTTCTTTGGGATATGCTGGTTGAACAGCACACGTTGAATAAACACATTGATTGTCATTGTGTCCACTATTCAAGGTTGTTCCTGGTATGATGAGCGTCATACAAACAGCGAAAATGACAGTTTCAAGAGGTTGGTGTTGCAAAGTGAATAGAACACGTTGTTTTAGCTATAACAATCAAGGGCCTCAACCACATGGCACCTTTAATGATCAGGCTATGTTAGCAATCTTTTTATAGATTTTTTGCACGAAAATATATATATATCGCGATACGCATTACATTTCGTCTTTGAACAACCTAGCCGTGAACACGGTCATATCATATACAGGTAACTTCACAGCGACAGGAAGTATTTTCAATGCATAATTACATACTTTTTTCCATGTGTAAAACCGTCCAGCATTCAGATAAACAAGTGAATTATTTTTATAGTAATCCACACTTAAATGGTCATTTGCGATGAATTATGAGATATGGTATAGAAAGGTGAAGTATAAATCATCCGGCGCTAAAAACTAAATATCTTAAGAGCTTATCCTTACTATTTATACAGCGAGGGAAGTTTTATAATCTCGCCCAACTTGGCTGAAGTTCAGAGGAACGTTTGACGCACATGGGGGGGATAATCATGGGTCATTGATAAGCACAGACATTCTCTTTGTTGCTTCGTTATGAGTGAAGTATTCTCTAATTATCCCTCATCAAGTCCCGATAAGGAAAAATACATTAATAAAGGCAAATATCCTACGCTATTCCTTGCATATAACGTGTTTTTTTTCATTTCAAATGATAATTTTTTATTTCAAAAAACATATGTACTCATTGTTGTAGCACACCGCGGGCTCTTGTGACGAATGTCGTCGATTATACATGCAAACAAAATGTACAAGATTTCTACAAGAAGCTCACCGTTAAGTGCTGAAAGAGCCATGCTTTCATGATATTGGTCGCAGCTTTGGGAAATATTCCGCGTTTTTTCTGTTTCTTTTTGTCCTTATCGTTGTCATCTTCGTCGAAAACGCTGTCATCGTGGCCCAACGGGGCATGAAGGCTTGCATCCAGACCTAAATTTGAAAACACAAGACTCTCTTCATACTGAAATATTCGAGGAAATACTCATTGTGTTTGAGACTAAGGGACTAAGCCGCGATTTTTGGTTCACTGCCAGTCTATAGTTCAATCAAAGTTACACCGACAGTCCCGTACTTGGTGCTTGAGTATTGGCTAGAATAGTTGTACTCCCAAAAGTAATGTACATCAACACTCGCTGAGAAAAAGATTTGTGATGGCTTATATTTAGTCCACGGTGTTCCTCGTCCAAATTTCACCCAGAGTACCTTGTTTATTTTGCGGTTTTACCCAACATTTTACAAACATAGTGTGCATTGACCAAGTGCATGGGTAAACATGAAATACTGGGGCCGGTTGTTCGAAAGGCGTTTAGCTTAAACGGTGGCTAAGTTCAAAATGGAAAACAGAATGATCTATTTATTGAACAACTGAGCTAAACTATTTCGATGTAAATAGTTTAATTGTCAATGAAAGTACATATTAAATGCATAAGATGCAGGTTCAGTCATTCACAAGATCTATCAGAGTATTTTTAAACTTTGGGCCTTTGGCTTATCCATCGTTTAAGCTAAATGCCTCTCGAACAACCGGCCCCTGATAAATACTCAAATACTGATAACCACCCAATAATTTCCTGTGCTTGTAGAACGAATAAAATATAAAAGTTTGGCTGATACCGATAGGAATCGGTGGGTATATAATCAAATCACAAATGCAAAAAATTAAAGAAATATCGGCGCCCAAATTAATCATTGTTTTGTCTTGAGCAGTCGACATCTATGAAGATCTTGATCGTAAACTTCCGAGTGATAAATGCATGATTTTACATTTATTATTTTTAAAACATGCGTGCAGTAAAATGAGGTCTTGTAACGTTTGCAAATTCTCCCAAGTATTTGAATATTGCGCGCGCAACATCTATTTTTTCTCATGTGATGACACAAATAGTCAAATACTATATAAAAAAATTTGAATTTCGCGAGGGATATATATCTCAGTATTTCACAATTATCTCCAGAGCAAACTTTGCTGTTTTATTCCGCTTAGTGTAAGATTATAATTTCAGTTGTAATGTTGTGCTTAAAGCATTGATTATAGTCAACACATCAAGCTTGCTCAAACGATTATATGGTGATAATTCCAGGCATGTGATAATACTGATATACTTCGCATAGACCAGAGGTGAAAAAAATTGTAAAACGCAGAATGACCCTTCTTTATTAAAGCGTGGGAGATATCTCAAACCATCTGCGCTTCATTAACATAATCGTCTCCGCGATCTTTGGCTGCCCCCAAAAGAACTCGAAAATATTTCAGCAATTTAACTTAGACATAATAATAACAGGGTTTATCTCGAGGCAAAAACCAACAACACTCCCAAATGAAGGATGATTTTTCCGGTTTTCATAGCCATTATCATTTCTGTCGAGCTTTTGTGCGGGTGATAAAATCCCATTTGACTATTTATTATTAAATTTAGATAGCCGCTGGCGAGATATCATTAAAACGCTTCGAAGTCCGAACGCTTTTAAAAGTACCGTTTAGGGAAAATATTCTCAGCTTTTGGCCCGCACAAGGACCAGATTTTATCTCTGAATCATGCTGCCTGTTCTGAGTTTCTCTTCTGTCCTCCACACAGGCGATGCTATCATGAATAATTGTTGGGCAGTTGCTGCGCCCCCTCAATCCCCAGCCTCCTCAATGTTATCTACGCCCCCCCCCCCCCCCACAAATTCAAAGATGTTTTCCTAGCACTATCGTTTATCGATAGCGTCTGCAATAAACTTGGCTCGTTCGTGCTGTAGCGAAAAAGTAAAACAGAAATAATCGGGTTAAACATTCTTGCCCGATATAGTTGATGTGAATTATTCCTGAAAGCGAGCAGCAGCTGCCCAGATTGCAAGAGGGCCAAAGGCAGTAAAACGTTGCTCGATCGCAGATGAGACAAAACATCCGCAGTAATAAAGACAATCAACATTGATTCTTTCTAAATATCCTCTTTAATGTTAAACAGGCAAACATCGTTGGACGTCCATTATCTGGCTTTCTTCGCCCGACAATTAATCAAAATGTTCATAATGAAATCCAATTAGAGCCAGCAATTTTGTGAAAACAAAGCATGCAAATAGAAAATCGTGCCGAAAATAACCGCAAGAAACGCAAGTGTGCCACGGGAGAGATAGCTTGGTACGGCAACGAATAGCGAACGCTTTACTTAACGAGTGGGAAACTCGTCACACAAAAGGACCGAGCCTTTGGTAAACACACGTTATTTTTCACATCCAAAATTGAAATTTATTTTGCAGCTGTGCAAACAAACATGAACTTTTGAACGCTCAAATCGCTTTTCCTATTTGCAAGCGCGCTCTTAATGAAAAGAAAAATTGACGCATGTCGTATGGAGCCATCAGAGAACGCGTTTTTTGACATATGGAGAATATGATATTTTGACATGAGAATTGAAGTAAACTTGCGTCCTTCCCTTCCCAATTAGAAACACCAATATATCGGTTGATTGTAATAAACTGTCCCTAATCTTAAAAAAAAACTCTTCACTTGCAAGGGAAGGCATATTTAGAGATAACGTGCTAGAAATAGATGACAATTTCATGAAGCATGACTTCATAAAGGAGACCGGACGAGAAGGGCTTATGTTTAGTCCGTTTGCTTTCCGTTTTTGCATGTTAACGAGCCCTAGAATATTCCAAACAATTATTGTCACGAAAGCGTTCTTTCACTGTGCGAAATCCTGAACATGTGATAAAAACTATGTCTAGAAATCGATTTAGGAAATTATACCCGAAATTTCATATGAAATAAATCTAAAAACTCTGAAGAAAAAGATCGGCTATTTGTTACGATTTTTACATCTAGTTATATAAAACCTACAACATAGGTCTGGTTATATAAAACCTACAGCTATATTTTGAGTAGATAAATAGTTATTAACGCCAAACTACGCGATGCTGATTAGTTATTCTGTCACTGGATCTAACTACAGTTGCAAAAGTTACTTCAAAAAACTTGAGTCCCGTAAGGTAGGTTTGCAAAATATAGTTGTCATGATCTGTTTTTGTTTTGGTACATAGAATGTACATAGTAAATTAGGTGTGGAAATGGCTGGTCTGGTGTGTTTCATTTTTACTTGACTTCGAGATATATTTTTCCCTACCTTCAGGAGAAGAGGTGTCAGCCCCTAAAGATGACTGCGAGGTCATGGATGCCCTTGCGTCAGCGTGTCCTAGATCCAAGCCCGCATCATGAGACCAACTAGGCGTCTCGCTTGTACTCTGGGAGGAAGAAGAGAATTTGGGAAAGATTTAGCATCGGCAGCAATTATATCCTTGGCCCAGGCATAAAAACAAAAAAGGCATAAAAACACGGCTTGACATTGTAATCACAAACAGTCATTTAGTCAAGGCGCGAAGATCGATCTAAATCCTAAATCGATCGGACGATCGCTCGCCATAATGACTGCTAATTGTTCCGAAATAGCTTGAATGTCTGTTCAGTCTACTAAACCGCTTCAAAATAGACAAGTTGTGTCAGCGCCCAGCCGTTGACTTGCCCATCAAATCCTTCGACTGGTCGGGGCTTCACGCGGTTTCCGTTTATCCAAAAACCGATTATCATAAATCCTAACTGAACACATTTATTCAATAAAGATTGTTTATACGCGAGTGCGGCACCGCAGCGATGACCCAATAATAGCAATGTCGCATAACCTGCATGCATGCAGTCATTTCTGTATTGTGATCGCTTTCAATGTAACCTATATTGCCTTGTATACATGGATGCGATCCTATTTGAGGTTAACAACACTCCTTTTACTTAATTACCTATGTAACCGTGACAAAATTTCGCACACAAAGAGGCCTTTTTGAAATTTACGAGTACAAATATATATATTTTAAGCGAAAAGATGGTTCCGGCGTAGTCACTAGCATACAAAATAATACGCGTACATGGGTGGACGAATATGAATTTACATGAATACACCAGCGTCATGACTTTAATCTTGATTGAATTTGTTTTATCACTGTTTTTTATGCAAAACATCGGTTCATTCTGCTTGCGATTTTCCAAGAATGAATTCGAAAATTGTAACAATTAGTTTTTCGAACGGTCCCCTCTGAAGCTTCGAATATCGGGCGTATTTCTAAGCAAACGTAAACAATGGGGTCAAAAAGCGAAACGGAGAAGAATATAGATACTTATTGTGGGGGATATCTTGGCATTGCAAGCCCGGCGAATTCGCTTGTCATTTCGTAATCTTTATCGTTGTCAATTTCACAAAACAAAAGCGATTAGACGCACTAAATGTCAATTTCATGTAGCAATAAGGCCATTTAGTTGTCGATGTCAATTGCAGGAACTCAACGAACGCATCACACACGCTTTATGTCTTCATATCTGTCTATAGGTTGTCCAAAACTTCGTTAAATATCATGACACGAGTGCGTCAAGATGAAAGGACAATGATATAACATCAACAAGACGTTTACCTGATTATTTTCGGAGCTAATACCGCGTGTCTCGACACTGTCGTCGGAGCCAATGCTATCTGCTCTTGATTTACCCTCGCCGTCTCTTTCTTCCATAACTAAATCTATTGGCATCTTGCCTTTCAAACAGGAAATGTACCGTTTGCAGAAGTTATCGCATAACTCATGCACCTAGAGGGACGAAACGCAAGACATTGTAAGTGGATGATTATATAGCAACAACTGGTCGTGCAATCTTGATTTTGGGGCTTGTTTGGGTGGATTTTTTCTCAAAAACACTAGAAATATGAATTTTTACATATGTGTATAGACTGTAATGGTTTTGCACCCGCGGAGTCTGTGGGAAGAAGAGTTGTGAATGCACGATGGCTTGTTTGGATTATTTCGGGAAGTATTACAAATTATATTTCAATACAAATTTGTATTAAACAGGAAACCTTTTGTCAATGTACCTCGCATATATACAGAGAAGCATTCATATGGCAACACGTATTGTCGCTTATATATTTAGTGGATATGTAAATTCAAACAGAGAAGCATCAATTCGAAAAACAAACATCGATTCAGCCGGGTAATTTCGCTGCAATATCGTAAGCAACAGAGGCGCCCTTGTACGCCATCATTTATACTACACGAAAACAATAACAAATAGATCAAACGCTAGATAGACTCATTGTTATGCATTGTAATACCTTTTCCAACTCTAACAAGTGGAAGCGAAGTACTTGTATTGCTTGAACCATCTATATAAAAAAATAAGAGTAAAAATATAGGCCATAATTGTTAATTGTACGGTTATAAAGAAGAAAAAAGTGACCTGTTTGTAGCTTGTTATGCAAGAATGACACATTACAACAAATTAGCGATAGAATAGATCCGTTCCTAACGCCATATGAAGGCCAACCCTTTGGATCATATTGTGTCGTTTAAATTCAATAACCTTTAATTTCGATTAATTTTACTCTAATATACTTTTGCCAGCTGATGGCAACACTTTGTGAGTGCGAAATTATATGATTATTTATAGACGCACATATTTTGTCACGAAAATATACAGTTTTATATAATATTTAAGACATACATACCAAACTATCAATCTCATGATTCTGACTGAACAACGGTTTTTCGCTTTTGAACTGCGTAAAAGAAAAATACGAGTCGATATAAATTTCAAACGTGCGATCGTTTGACGGCTAATGCGGTCGAAAATAACTTGCTAAATACTGAACCAACAAGATCATAAGATGCTATAAAATTATTAACGAGCTACCCATGGTTTGCTATTGTTTCCTAGACAGGCAATAAAATACAGCTACCTGTTTCGCAAACACCGTAATGTCCTCGCTAAAGGAAGCCGAGGAACACACATCACCCCCAACAGCACCGGGTTCACGAGGAGTACAAGTTGCGAGCTCGCATTTCTCAAAAATCAAAGCAAGCAGAGGGAATAATGGATGTCTATAATAAAAGAGAAACAAAAACATACAATTACGACATACATAATAGACCCCATATAAAATATACTACCCGGCTTCCCGTGTACTATCAATCATAACCTGTGTGTTAACAAACTATATACCCTATATAATAATTCCGTAGGAAATATTAAACATTAAGCGACGTTGACATTTCTTGACAAGGAATGCAGTGAGATCTCAGCTTGAGTTTGCCGGAACCATGAGATATTGTTGATGTGAGTTCAGACCGTGCAACATGCGGAGAAATCTATCGCTGACTTGATCTTGTGCGTATAATAGAGGTGTGATGTTCCTGTCAAAATAATAATGTTGAGTGACTTCTACTTACCCATAGATTAATTCTTTATCCCTTTTATGAATATCCGAAACAGCGCTGATTACAGATGGAACGTTTGAAGCTGCTCCGTGAAAAGCGGCGTTTGTTGGGTTTGCGAACGGAACGTGTTGACCTGCGACTAAATGCATTGCTCCGGCCGAATTTGGAAACTGACTCGGGTTGTATATGGACGTTGCGGCTCCCGCGTCCATTTGAGCATAGCCAGCCTGATCATCATACGGCTACATTAAAGAGAAATTAATTTCCAACTTCATTGTTAATGCAGCTGATTGTATAGCAACATTATATAAAAGGCTTTGAATAACTAGACGCTTGATGCGCTACACTGCACGCGCGAGTTTAGACGTCGAGCAAGCGAGCGGCAACACTGTTCTTACCCTCTGAGCCATACGCTCCGTATGGGTCGATCTTCCGCGATGAATGAAGCCGTTAAATTAGGGGTTTTTTTAGTGATTACAATAATGTTTCACTATGTTGTCAGTTTAACAGACCCAGCTCAGTAGGACGGCTCTCTAAGCTTACAACCCGTCAACCAAATGAGAACCCATAGCATATTCCCCCGTCATCACAAGTCGTAACGAATTGTCAAGGTTTGTATCATGGCTGCCTGCCATATCTCCTGTCAATCAAACTAAAGTTTCCATAGAGGTTTTAATTAGTCTAGGTTGGGAGAATTGAGCATCTCATATGGTTACCTGTTGGATGCTAATGACCGCACGTTTGGTAACCGTTTGAATTTTTTGAACTACAAAGACAGGCTTTACGTTCACTGACGTACGAAGAAAGCTTCGAGGCTTAAACGAAGACGCTTAGGATGCTTTTTTCGTGGATTTTAGGCCGTAAATTGGCCCGCATACGCGCTGCGTTAGTCGTAAATTCTTCGAGATCCACTCATAACTCGTAGCTATCGCGTAACACCACGGAATAAAAACAATTTAGGCTCTCGGCCAATCAGCGTCGTGGCTTTATCGATGTGAAATAATAAGTTCAAACATTTCAACTCTCGCATTGTCTGAGTAATCATATCATGTTATACATTCGATGCAATAGGCGTGTCTGTGCTTTCAAATCTCATAACTGAAACACTAGGCAATGTTGCTCAGAAAATGACAGCCGATTTCCTCGATTTGGTGAAGCAATAAAGTCCGTGTGCATAGCGAGTTTAGACGAACGTGAGCCGGCACGAATTCACACCTATGTTAATTAAAACGCAAAACAATTTATAAAGCGTCTAGAAATCGCGTACACCAGGGCTGGAATCATGATTGACAAAAACCATACGTCACCTGCTGGCAATAAAGTCTTGGCCGTTTGCTTTCTAGCCCCATGCATGCTGTATTCAAATAGTAAAGTCTGCGGGTTATATGTATCGTTTTTGAAGGCTCAGAGAAGCCCGAACGGCGATTATTGCCAAAAGGTATTCAAAATAGCGGACTCACGTGCGATGAATGTCGCACACGGAGGAAAACGACGCACAAAGAGCATGTTTTCACGAGCATTTTCAAGGGCTAGACTTCGCAGCGTGTACACGGTGTCGTATTGCGGAATTCATAAGGTTTTGTTTATTTGGCAGACGACATGCTGTCTTGCAAACGCCTACGACCAGGGAATTTGACAGAAAGGCGGGCAGTCGCACACAGTATTAAAATAAAACATGTCTCCATGTTTGCCGCGCATAATTTGACCTTAATGTTTTCAAAATTGTCATTGACTCCGCAACAATCGCTTAATCCGAAATGAAATTAACGCCATTATGAACACTGATTTACATCACTCTAATTGCTAGTTTAGCAATAGGAATATATGCGAATAGGGATAAATACGGCATAATAACCAAAACATGTCTTTACCTCAAGTTGTGACACGACAATGCTATCTCACTGTAATGTTGACATTGTTTTCGCAACAGGTTGCGACGTTGATTATATGTTTTGCCGTAATTATGACACAGGATAAATCCCAGTAGCTATTAGCCGTAAATTGTACTATGACCTGCCATTTTGCCGATATTTATGATCGCATTAGTAAATACGCTTGACGATGGCTCCCTTCACAGTTGACGTGGAGATAAGGAAGTATATTGCTATTATAGATTTAGACCGCAGACAAAATCACAGAGCTTTCATTACCCTTCTCAACACAGTAATTAGACATAGGAGCCTGAAGTGGTCTTGTGTGTTTTTAATAGCTTAAATAAGTTTTGTAATTGAGCGATAGATATCAGACTATCAACAAGCTACCGTGGTTTTTGTACGAACCACTGGTCTCAACTGTCCTGAACAAAAATCTTTGCTGTATTTTTCGACCGCAAACGGCTCGAAACTACTCCTGAATTGCGACGCAATGTATATTCTAAATATATGACTGATGTGCATAATATTTGTTATGCGTTTTTCTAGGTATATTTACTATAAGGAACCCAAAACCTAAATTTATATCTTTCATACTTGAGATATACATGTAATCTCGGAAACCCAATACAATATTTTGTCATTTCTCCCGAGATATATCATCTTACAAATCATTAGTTCATGTTTTCACAAATCATGAACTGCACTTTTTTCTCGTGATAACCTTCAAGCAATTTCTCACGAAAAACATATTACATTGCGAAACTGTGATGTAATGATTGCAAGTACCTCCTATCTCTTTAGGGGCGGAATTAATAGCCATTAGCTAAAAGCGAAGGGAAAAAATCTACGATAAAATGAATGCGATAAATTGGATAATTTAAGGCGTGATTTTACCGATGAAGAATCTCGACAGCCGCGTTGAATGAAAAAATGCAAAACGAAAGAGATTTTACAACAATAATATCGGAAGAAGCCTTGCTGAAATTCGATATTTAAAAAAGGGAATAAACTATTCACCCAAAAGTTATTGTTTTCAATTCCTCAATTTGTGACTCCTTGAATGGTATCCAAACCATTTTGCGTCATATTTTAGACGTTTTTCGCCGTGTGGCCGATATATTAAAAATGCCAAACAAAGCATATCGTATTCGTTCATTGACAGTTGTTCAAGCACCGATATTAAACACGAATGAAAATAGTAACATGTTATCGTAGTAGATGTATCTCAGATGCTATTACCTACGATTAACGCGTTAATACCTATTCGCGCGATCCGTATTTCTGTTGAACTGATCAAATATAAGCGCTCTTGTCACTTGTCCAAAAGCATTGATGTCGAAAATGACAGAAATGCGCTAATATCACTCGACAGTCGACACACGGCGTACGTTTAAAATTTTGACGCTTGTCGGAAGGGTATATTTGGGCAGTTTGACTAAGATACATAATAGAATAAACAGGGTATTAAGTTATGATAGCACACGATTACTAGACGCGACAAGTACGGCTGTGCGAGTGACGGGTTTCTAACGTTCAGATGGCGAGCTCACTTAGGAACGTTGATCAGTAGTTTTTTTCCATTCTCTTCATCACGCGCCCTCATGCGAAGCAAAAAACTGGACGCCAACTTGGGAATATATCGGACCGTATAACATGTGGCAATGGATGAAATTCGAACCGGTACTTTTAAACGCATCATTTAGGACTTCGCATCTATGTACATGAGGGAAATGCTTTTTTTAATGCGGTTTAATTAAAAGAGTTCGAAGGACAGGAATGCGTTTTTCAACCAAGACCATAGGGTCGCATATGTACACGACTTTACGGCTGGTTTCATTGGTGACGTTTGACCCCACCACTAACTGTCTAACCACAAGTTCACAACTGGTTTAACTCTCAGGCTGACATCTCTAGCTTTTATACTGGACGAAGGAATTTCCTTATTTAATCTCTTCAGCATGAATATGATTGTCGTGTTATTTTAATCCTGAATGTTTTTCTGGTGCACGTTCAAATAAACATGCCACGACTGTAATTAATGCAGGTTTATAACTAAATATTTGCTCTCGTCAATATTATGGTTGCTATGGGAACGCCCACGCTTCTGCACATGCCCAGTATATGCATCGCGTGTACTTGTCGGAACAGGACAACCGGTTTATCAACGGTTTAAAAAATACTCAGGAAAACATATCGACGTCTTGACCTGAAAAAGTCGCCGCTTATTGATCTGCTTGTCAGAAAATATCAATCTGTTTTTCCACGGTAGTATTGTTTTGCCAACGATCTAGATTATTGTCCGATTAAGAACTTTGTCAGTTTGAAATACTTTTTTCACATCACTCATTCCCATTCTTCCGAAACACCGGCTCGACTTAATCCCCGCGGATTTATGAAATCCGTCCGGGCGTATCACGAAGAAACAGTGGATTAGAAAAGCATCACAGTGCGAAATGAAAGTTAATCTAAAGCGCGGAAATTGCTCAATGAACTGTGTCTGAATTTACTAGAGTGCAAATGAAACAGAAGCTTGAAAACGAGGCAAGGAATATGATCTATTGTTAACAGAGCAATTTTCATTGTCAGATTGGAATTTGTCTTATCAATTACCAGTACTTTCATTACAAGAAGAAAAGGAATATAGTTAGCCAATCCATAGCGGAACTAATTAGGACGTTGAACTGGCACTTGTTGAGTTGTGGAGGTTTCAAAGTTTTTTCCTGGATGGAAAACGTAAATTCGACGCAGAGGTCGAGAGGCCAGTAATAGTTCGTCTCTCATACATCTTCCGTTGCCGGGAATTTCTCAATATGTACAAGGAATGTTTTTCTCCTTATCTTAAATACTGATTTCAATTATGGTACGTAACTATAAGTTAAATAAAAGTTAGTTTAGAATCACGAGGTAGCTCCCATGTGGTAAATGTAGCCGTAAAATCCTTGTGATCAGTTGAAAAAAATATGAAGAAAATTAAGAAGTTCGAAGACCCAAGAATAGAGACGGGGTTTAACGGAAGGACAGCGAAAGTTTAATTGTTAATTTCTTTTTACCGACCCATTTATAGACCATGTGCCAAGTTGCCATCGCTCGACCATATAAAGAAACACAAAACCTTGCAACTAAAACAGTCCCGTGCATGAATTCATGATTAGTTGGAGGTAACATCAAATAAATTGAAATATATTTCAACGAAAGACAACGACAAACAACTTGACAATTCGTACTGAAAACTTATTGCTGCTCTAAATCAGTTCTACGTCCAGTGAAAAGTATTAGAGTATAATTATACATATATGATAAATGAAAACAGAAAGTCTAGGAAAAAACGGAAATCCTTACTTCATTTTCTGCGGTAACTTCTTCACTTTTCGTCTTTGCTGTTTCCCTCATCTTCTCACAATAAAATCGAATTCAAAATGCACAAACGTTTTCGGTCGAAAAACTTGAGATGGTTGATAATCCTGTGCACACAATACTCCAAGGTTATCGCCAAGTATTTGCAGGAATGGCTATCGCTGAATGGATATTGACATCTGTTCGTGAAACATGGGCAACTACCAAACTCCGAGCTTACAAGGTCATAACTTGAATGGCATAGTTTCGACGCTAAGCTGGCAAATTATAATTCAAACTTAGCTTAATTATGCCACAGTTCGATAAGACGTTTGAATCCTGGTTAATTCACTACACAAATAAACCATTTTTTATCGAGTTAAGGAAGTCACAAGGATATTCCGTGTAAACACTCTGATTTCCTGAGAAAGCTGATCTTGGAAAATGTAAAACAGTTTCTGCTTAATAAGCTCCTAAACTGGTCCAGTAAAATCTACCATATCGATCTCGTATTGGATCAAAATGAAAATTGAGAAAAACCTATGATGCTAAGTGAATTCAAACCGCGGCATTTTCTCATATGTGACAGAGGCGTAAATATAGAAATCAGGCTTTTCACGTGACCAACGCAGTTTCTACCCAATCAGATCACAGCACTCTTTTGAAGCGAAATCCTTGCCTTTCAATACACGAATGGAGAGTATTTTATCATGAATCATTTCTGTCTGTATTAAGCTTGAGCAAACATTAAAAGTCGGTTTAATTAAAACAGCAAATATTCGACAGTCGCCTAATCTTCTTTAGCTTAGAAACAAATAGAACAGGCACCATTATTCTGCGGCAGGTTGCGTCTTATGACTTGAGCGATGTGAAACTAGACTGCCTAGCACATGATGTTTATCAAAATACGCTACGGCGATGATGAATTGCTGTTGTGTAACCCACAATGCAGTATTAATAATCTTCTTGACAGCATTAGAGCCCGCTGTGGCTTGAACACTGCTGGGAAAATACTGGATCTCTCAGACGAATCAGGTAGTACGGAGATGTGAAGTTGAAGAGCCCAAGTGCACTGTCTTTTAGGCCGGTAACTCGCACATCCTGCGGAAACTTATTGAAGAATACTGTCTTCCCTTCAGTGGCTGCCTTCTTTAGCTATCAGTTTATCAGTACTAGATCAGTTACCCGAAATACAACATAGAAACGATTCTAACAAATACTCTTCTTTCTCTGTAGGGTTGGTTTTACGGTTAAATGATCATCGGGAAGAATATGCAGACATTTATCTTAAAAAATATTCCTCGTATATATTGATTGAGAAACTGGAAACTAACCCGCCACCTGCGGACGAAGTGCCCGTCTTTGAAAATCATCCAAACATCCCCGTGATCAACTATGTTCCCCTCCTTGATAATTGTTCAACCCTTTTGCCAAAGTTTAAACTTCGTGTCGTCATGGATACTGCGGGTCAGCACACCCGCCGCAACGCCAAAAGTCCTCGGCCTTCAAGCCGTGGTGCTGCTCATCACAGTCATGTGACCACAAAAACACCAAATAAAAAGAAGAGGCACGCTTCGAAGACAAAGACACCGAAAGACAACACAAGATGATTAGGGTCAGCAAGGAGGAATTTCGTTTTGAACTAATCGCCATATTTGTTTACATTTTATAGGCAAAGCCAATCAAATTGCCTGTATTTCTAATACTTCATGTAAAATTATTTATATTGTAATTTAACTTGTGGGTACACCACGTAAGTATTTAATACTGCATGCAAAGCTTTCGGTCCGTTAACCCGGGCCTTCATCAGTGCAATTACCTGAATACACATTTAAATTACTTATCGACTGTCACCATGCAAACATACAAGAAAATTATGATATATATTGTACTTTTAATCAACTGAGTTTATGCATTCTCGTTGGGTTACTGAAAATGTAAACAAATCCGCTGATTGGTCAAAAACAAAATTTCCCCTTTCGTCAACTTCGTCAGATGATAATAATAATGTTAATAATAATAATTGGAATTTCTTCTTGTGTATAAAGTCACAACAAAATCTGAAAAATGAAAGCAAGTTTTTGTCTTGTCCCGTTTTCCGGCCATATCGACCATGGTCGCATTCGCCATTTTCCAGCCAATTAATTCAACCATTGTCGTATTCGCCATTTTCCGGCCAATTCGACCATGGTCGTATTCGCCATTTTCCGGCGGGTTCGACCATGGCCGAATTCGCCATTTTCCGGTCAATTCGACCATGGTCGTGTTCGCCATTTTTCGGCCAATTCGACGACCATGGTCGTATTTGCCATTTTCCGGCGAATTAGACAATGGTCGTATTCGCCATTTTCCGGCCAATACGACCAAGGTCGTATTCGCCATTTTCCGGCCAATTCCACCATGGTCGTATTTGCCATTTTCTGGCGAATTCGACCATGGTCGTATTTGCCATTTTCCGGCCAATTCGACGACCATGGTCGTATTTGCCATTTTCCGGCGAATTAGACAATGGTCGTACTCGCCATTTTCCGGCCAATTCGACCATCTTCGTATTCGCCATTTTCGGACGAATTCGACCATGGTCGAATTAGTCGTTTTCCGGCGAACTCAACCATGGTCGAATTAGTCGTTTTCCGGCGAACTCGACCATGTTTGAGTTAGTCGTTTTCCGGGGAACTCGACCGTGGTCGAATTAGTCGTTTTCCGGCGAACTCGACCATGGTCGAGTTAGTCGTTTTCCGGCGAACTCGACCATGGTCGAATTAGTCGTTTTCCGGCGAACTCGACCATGGTCGATTAGTCCCGTTTTTAGTCCCGGCGACCTCAACCATGGTCGAGTTAGTCGTTTTCCGGCGAACTCGACCATGGTCGAGTTAGTCGTTTTCCGGCGAACTCGACCATGGTTGAATTAGTCGTTTTCCGGCGAACTCGACCATGGTCGAATTAGTCGTTTTCCGGCAAACTCGACCATGGTCGAATTAGTCGTTTTCCGGCGAACTCGACCATGGTCGAGTTAGTCGTTGTCCGGCGAACTCAATCATGGTCGAGTTAGTCGTTTTCCGGCGAACTCGACCATGGTCGAGTTAGTCGTTTTCCGGCGAACTCGACAATGGTCGAATTAGTCGTTTTTCGGCGAACTCAACCATGGTCGAGTTAGTCGTTTTCCGGCGAACTCAATCATGGTCGAGTTAGTCGTTTTCAGGCGAACTCGACCATGGTCGAGTTAGTCGTTTTCCGGCGAACTCGACCATGGTCGAATTAGTCGTTTTCCGGCGAACTCGACCATGGTCGAGTTAGTCGTTTTCCGGCGAACTCGACCATGGTCGAATTAGTCGTTTTCCGGCGAACTCGACCATGGTCGAGTTAGTCGTTTTCCGGCGAACTCGACCATGGTCGAATTAGTCGTTTTCCGGCGAACTCGACCATGGTCGAGTTAGTCGTTGTCCGGCGAACTCAATCATGGTCGAGTTAGTCGTTTTCCGGCGAACTCGACCATGGTCGAATTAGTCGTTTTCCGGCGAACTCGACCATGGTCGAATTCGCTATTTTCCGGCCATTTTTTAATTTTCAGTCTTGAGTTTAGGAGACACATTTTTTGATTTTTTTTTACTTTTGTTTTTTTTGTCAATTTTCAGGTACTTTTTTGAAGCGAAGAATCAGCGTTCAAATGCCTCGGCTCTCAATTTTTTTTTACTTCGTATTGAAAAGATTCTTTCTACCATTCGAACCAACGGCTGTAGACGTACCAGATATGAAAAGACAAAAACCCATAGCGTTTATGTATGTTTTATAAACGGTAAGTGTTCTTTTTCATTCACTGAATTTAGTACAAGCTATAAAAGTAAAGCAGGTAGCAGTTTAGTTAGGAAATGACGGGTGAATGAAGAACATTTAATCAATTCATGCAATTGTGCACGAAGAATTGTGAATTGTTCAGATGTGTTCCTTCTAACTAGGAAAAGAACTAGTTAACCTTTTTCGGAACGCTTCTGTTGGCACCACTGAGCTATATAATTCCTGGAGGACCGGCTCGTCATTTTTCGGTAACTTCGCCGCCATCTTTTTGTCCGCAAAAACATGGCGGACTTCGCCCTTCTGCGCAACCGCAGAAGCTCTGCTGACGCCACATGGTTCCTTTTGGCCATGGTAGTTACCACTGACCGGGCTCAATTATGAGCCCACTACAAGGGTGTTCTCCCCCCTGGATTTAGTAAACAACAGGTTCCAGGAATTATTATATAGCTCAGTGGTTGGCACACGACTGTAACTGACTGTGGCCATGTTTTTCGCTTCACGTTTTTGGCCCAAAACATTGGGAGCAAGCACTGAACCATGTTTAAATTCCATGGAAACAATGAATAAAGTGGAAAATAGTGGAATAAATCTATGCTAAATAGTGGAATTTTTATTGCTGAATAATGGATATTTCAAATGATTTCAAATAGCCCGCCATCTTGAAAAATTGAATTTGACCGAGGGTAAGCACTGGAGTCTTAACTCATAATTATAATAATTTGTAATATATTATATTATATTAATTATATAATATATTATATTAATTATAATAATTTTAATTATTTAATGTCAGTAAATATAATCATCAGTAACAGTCTGACAGAATGTCTCAAACGGATAAAAAGCGCGCGAGAGATGATAAAATAGGAAAACTGATGGGAGAATATCTTCTAAAAGGATATAAAATGCTTGGTTCTACTTGTAATGTTTGCGGAGTGAGTTTTTTCAGAGTTTAAAGTCAATATGATGAAGTGACCATAACTTCTGTATTGTTTTCAGATCCTACTTCCCCCCCCCGTTTTCACCCATCCAAAATAAAAATACTTAAGAAAAATACTTAAGCAGAATGCATAGTGACATGTAGACTCTATAAATTAGACATTGCAGTCTAAAGGCAAAGCTAACTTCTCTCTGAACAAAGTTTAGGGATTTTATTTTACTTGATTTAACCCTCCACCACAGAACCACTAAGTGTCAAGGCATGGTGCGTGCCTGCATGCATTTATGATTGTAGGAGATCAGGTAGAATATATAAGTATATATATCTGAGAGTCTTGATGTGAAAGGATGAATTTGACCTCTCTCAACTCAATTCTTGCAATCTTGGTAACCACATTTGTTCCTGTTCACCCTTTTAAATTCCACCAGTGCCTTGTAATGTGACTACCTGTTTTAGCATTACTGTAAACACAGATGTAAGTGCTTGTTGTCAGTTAACAATTTCCTTACCTTTTAGACGATATTGTTGAAAGACAGGCAACAGCAAGACTACTGTATTGGCTGTAGTGAGCTTGACAACCACTTGCCTGTGACCCACACACACTTTAGTAAGTCTGACCAAAATGGATTGCATGGTTTTAAACTTTTGTTTCAAAACAGCATCTGATCAAAAACTGCCCTTACCCCAGGTTTGTTAGAAATAAATGCTTTGTCGGAAGGTATGCTGAGTAAAGATTGCTGTACCAATAGTGAGTTTAAGATGCACCAAAACTAATACCACTTTTACTTCCAGTTTCTCGGCAGGAATAGAAGGTTTAGACTCCTTTTGGGAAAAACATTTGGAAAACTCTTCACTAATTTACATCTCTTAAAAGTGGAATTGCATTGCAAGTTGCAAGAAAAATTGCACTGTGTAACAGGGCCTTTAGAAGGAGCTTAAGTTTAAGATTACTAGGAGCCTCCCACACAATGTTTAAAACCAGGTTTTATGCCAAAATCATCATTAGCATTATGTCAAATTTACTAATACAACAATCATAATTAAATACAGCCTCACAAGTGCAACCAATGCCCTCCTATATGGCACAACAAATTGGTACCCAACATGAAAGCCAAAATGATGAAAATCCAGAGCATAATGACAACCACCCAGGAAGTGGAGGCAGCACCTCCCTTAATGAAGATCGCACCACACACTTGATATCTCAAACCAACCTTAAAACAGTGGATGAGGCAATGCTGAAGCTGGAAAGAAGGCTGCTGTGGGCAGCTAATCAACTAGGCATGGCAAGCTCAGTGGAAATGGACATAAAACTATGTGAATTAATTTGTCATTGTGGAAACGCTTTAAAAACATTGAAGGAGTTAAAATAATAAATTGTTCATAAAAATTTTGTTAGAACAAGTCCTTATCTTTATTAAACCTATATAACCATCATATTTGTATAGACCAAGAAGACTAGAGGTCTACTTTCTTGTCAATAGCTCTCACATCATCTTGAGTTTACAAGATGTTATTCTTCAGCATGTTTTTTCTTTTATTTTGAAAACTAAACTGACTCACAAGTGATGTTTTTAACTGAATCATAAAAAGCATATATTGCAGTACAATTGAAAATTGATGAAAAAATACTCAAAATAGGAAATTTTCACGCCAAGAGAGTCCATAATCACTACCCTCGAGAATAAAAAATTACCATTGTGTTACAATTCTGTGTCCATTTTTCTAACAGTAAAAAAATGTGGAAACTTGCACTTGATCCTTATAATTTTAACGTGGCATAATGCAACTACTAATTCCACTTGTAAATAATGTTTAACAAGCTTTTTTGTCATTTGTTACTCAAGTCTATATTCTGAAAAACATGAAAACATCGACCATACTACAAATCCTTCCATTTTCTATTCTATGCATTTTCAGGTTTATCTGCAGTCATTCAAAAAGGATTATTAATGGAAAATACAGGTTTAATGGTTGCTGCTGTTAAGAACTAGAAATATTAAGAGCAGACATTACAAACTGTTAACAGAATTATTAAACAATTTTTTATTATCAACTGAAAAAAATGTATGTTATAGTTCCAAAAATATTGATCAATATAGCTTCTTTAGCTAATGCTGCACGATACCACAAATCAGTGAAATTTATATTCATATCATTAACAATGTCTTGCATGTTGTGAATACACCTACACTTTTCTGGACAGCCTGTCCAATTCAGCCTCTGAAACTTCATCAAGATCACTTGCTTCAAGAGGCTTAGAACCATCAAATGATTTTTTTACTGCATCCCAAGTACTTGCAAATATCATTTTTGCTGCTGCTTTTGCTGTATCTGGTGCCCTGGAAAATTTATGAGTACTAAATGACAATAACAATACTAACAAATTTCAACTCAATTCTGAAGTCAACACTTACCACTTAATAAGGATGAGTTTATTTGTTTTTTTGTGATCATAAAGAACATAGAAACATTTATCTTTTTCCAAACTCGAGAAGAATTCTACTAGTTCTTCAGGAGTACAAGTAGCCCTAGACATGCTCTCCTGCTTAACTATCCTTTTTTTGTCATCAGAGAGCTGCATAACCAACATCCCATAGACATTCTTCTGTTTCATCTTTATAAAATCGTCTTTTAAGTCACTATCAACTTCTATACCTGAAGAAGCCTAAAAAGAATATATGCACAAATTACATCAAGAAAAAAGGCCATATTCTACAATACACAGCTAAAAATGGCCAAGTTGCTCCCAGATGACCATGTGAAAATCACACTTCATGGTTAACCAATGCATCTCAATCTGTAAGGGGTATGTTTTCACCATGAAATTAATAATTACATAATCAAATACAGCACCTTGGCTCAAAATGCTGCGGTTCTTTATATACTTTAAAATAGTTTATCAATGTATTTTTCAGTAAGCTACTTGTATTGGTTACCCATACCCCTATGTGTTAAACCATTCACAACATAATTAAATTGCATATTACTAGTGCTTTGCCAAAGCTCTTTCAGGTCAGAATAGAAATAGATGGGTGTACATTACACTATTAAACGAGCCGCATTAATTGTACAAAACTCCAGCAGCCGGGGCAATATTCCATCTATACTGGGTTACTTATTAAATAAATTATAGATTTTAATATGTCTTCGGTGATTTTGTGCCAATTTCACTTCCGACTTTCACACGATGGCTTGGTATTCGCTATTCAAAGTTAAAAATATGACTTGAAAAGCCACAAAGAGCAACTCTTCAACTAGCAAGGGAGCAAACACTTCTAAATGATGGACGTAATTGAATATCATCGTAATATTATTAATTCGTCTAAACGTCTAACAGCATTGAAGAGTACAGTTTTTGATATAAACAAGTAAGCGAAAACTAAGGATATTTGGTAAAATTCTTTTAAGTGTGAGATAGTGACGCTAAACTAAATACACTACAAGATACTGAAAGGGATATACTTCATTTTAGTCCAAAACACATACCATTTTAAGTTGTACAATTGAGCAGAAGGCGTTGACAATTTCTTTACACCGAAGACGCACCCAGACGAGAGGCCAAATGTTTGCAGAGAAAGGCCAAGCTAGTGACGTTGGCGGCCGAGCATCGCCTTCTTCCTTTTCCGAATCACGTGAGCTTCGAGCGTTTTCCTGCAATCCCATTGGTCAACAACAACAATCGGATAACCAAATATGGCGATTCTGACGACTTGCCTTATTTGGGTAAACGCGTTTATTAAATAACGCACACATATAAACAGTGTGAACAAAATTATAAAGTATAAACCCTCCTACACAATTCGGTTTCCCACTAAGTATGCAAATTTTGTTTGCACCGGTTCTCAATTCGTAACAAAATTCCCCTCTTGAAAATAGAAAGCGATTTAACTTTTTACTTCATCGCTTTGCATCGGGCGAACGACACTTACATAGGGCGAGCATACACAGGGAGAATTACTCCAGATTTATAACAATATAGAGTCCACTTGCTTTAGTTGCGTAACATGGCGGCGTGCTTCCATTATAGAACGCTTACGTAATATCTCAATAGATATTTTATCTATGAATATGCCGTTAAGGTAAAGAAAGAAGAAAATCAAATCAATTTTGACGAGAAAAGAGCTTAGTGTTTGTTAAACTAAGCTGCAGGGTCGTAGCTTCTAGAAGCTTAATTGGGATGTGCATAATAATATTCATTTTAATCTTACACCCAACTGATTTCTTTTGAAAGCAATTGTTTCTACGGCATTTAAACATCGCCTCGCCTTTTGGCTTTTTAAAAACAAATTATCGACAGCTGTTGAGAGTGAAGACAGTGTATGATGATTAGACAGTTTTTTTTCTCAATTAGTGCAATCACGCTGAGGTGAAATTTCTAATGAGTTTCTTAGTTTGATCTTACAACTTTTCTCATTTCAAGCGAACAGGAGTTCATTTTTAATATAATTATTCCACAACTTAGTAATTTTTTCAAGAAAATCCAAAATCAATTTTCAGTTACTTCAACCAAAAGGTCTCCCGCCTGAATGGTCTCTCCATTACGGACATTAATGTTAGCGACCACGCCTTTGATCGGTGACGTCACGTTCGTCTCCATCTTCATAGCGCTGAGTACGACAAGCGGGTCCCCCTTCTCTACCTGTTGTCCCTCCTTCACCCTAACTGCTACCACTTCTCCTGGCATGGGTGCCCCCACCGAGCCTTTGTCGTCCCTGTTGGCTTTTGATCTTGTTGCGACTTGCTAAAGGAAAATAACAAAAGCAATTCAGCTCGCCGAACTCAACGTCAGGGGTGATATAGTTGGTGGTCGGATAGTGGGTTTTTCACTCACCCGTGTTCGGTGTAATTTATTTCGAGTGTTGAGATTCTCTTTGAAAAGTTTTTTATCCCCCTTCCTGATTCCAGATCGGTAGATCAAACACGATAATCACACATTTGTTATTATCATGAATAATATCGCTTTTCAAAATGGCGGATTCGTCAATAAACCACTGTATATTCTATAATAAACCTTAGTGTTCTCTCAAAATCTATCCAACCTTCGTACAATCAGCTCCAGAACTTGATTTTGCAATTGCATATTTAACCTGGAGCAAATAATGCCTGCTGTGATAAAAATAACTTTCATACCTCGACGCCAGTTTTGTCTGTGATAAAAACAGCTCTTAGCTGTCCATTCATCTCACAGAACACTTCCCTTTGTCCATCAGGAAGAAGATCTCCTATTGCGAGTATCGTGATATTCAGCACCTTGCCTTTCTCAATTTCCACCTGAAATTGCTCACCAATTTCAGGCCCCGTCAGATACAATCGTGTCGGAAGAGGTTCCATCGGGCCAAACTCGTCTTTGAATCTCATGTAGTCTCGGAATACACTCGGATATAATGCCGCGCTAAGCACATCGCATTCGCGAATATTATGATCTCCTGGAAGGAACAAACCGATGTTACATTAGTCTGTAATTTTGCAACAAGAAATGACTCACACATTGCTCTAACTTTTCCTCCCTTTTTTGAAAATAAATTTACTCCGAAAGAGCTGTGATTCCTTTCCTAGCACTGAGTAATACTGGCTCAAAAAATGTCGGTTATTGCATTTGAGTTTAGAACCAGGGTAGTTATCTAAAGTTATGTTAGTTTAGGTTTCCTTCAGTAGAAATAACGTTGGATGAAGTAAAAAATGATCCTCTTTGGCCGTCTAGAGAGAAGTCTAATTTGATCCACAGTTATCCTATACTACCATACCGTGTTCCTCTTTTAGTTCTCTTTCCAGTTCATCAAAGTCCAAATCTTCCATACTCTCCCCAGGTCTTCCATCAATCGTCGGCTTTCCTTTGAGAACCTAAAAAATTACAATGGTTACGATCACGTCATACACGTCCAGTACTGCCTCTGCAAATGATAGTCATCTAGCGGTATTCAAGTTGAAAAATCAATGAATATCATTTGATAATCATTTGATAATCATTTGATAAGCATTTGAAATCATTTCATAAGCATTTCATAATCATTTGCTGGATATTAAGAAGTGTTGCATTTATGAAGTTGATCATAATTTTCAGTGCGGTAAAGATGCAGCTACACGGGTGATTTTCTCTTTCTAGCGTATATTATTGAGTGAATAATGTACACAGTTGTATAAGCTTGGCGGAGTGAAGTAAGGTAATCCGTTAGATATACTCAATAGCATACATCAGGAGGAGAAAATCGCTGTCAATCGCTGTCAATCGCCGTCTGTCGCTAACAGAGCCTCAATGGCCTATACAAACCTGCGTTCTGAGTGGCTCCGGGAACCCTCCGTGAGGCTGACCCAGTTCACCTTGCATAAACCCGACGACAGAATTTGGGAAATCCAGCTCGCCAGCTCTTGCCAATACGTCATGTTCAGCAAGATTATTCTGGACCATGAATTGTGCCAGATCGCCGACGACTTTCGATGACGGTGTTACCTTAAAACGGAATTTAAGTAAAAAGGAATGCGATGGAAATGAACACAATAAGAGAAGAAACATTGACGGGTTTTGCCCCAACTGCGATGCAACTAAGGAATATTGAACGGTAAATCAAAACCAGAAAATCCATCTTTATGAGAAAAATAAACCAGATAAATCTGAATTTTCCTCACCTTGATGATATCACCCAAGAGACGGTTTGCCATCGTATATTTCTTCTTCACCTCAGTAAATTGCTCGTTGAGGCCCAGGCTAAACGCTTGAAACTGTAGGTTTGTGTACTGACCCCCCGGTATCTCATTTTCGTACACGTCAGAATAGCCGCTTTTCATCGTCGTGGTGCATTCAAACGGCGCGTACAATAATCTGGCTTGTTCCCAGTAGCTGCTGTAGTCAAATACATCTTCGAGCCGTATACCTGAAGAAAAAACTCTACTTAGACCAAATGAAGAAATTTTGATTGCTCCAGTTGTATATAAAGAGTTCATTCGCCCTTACCCGTATCAGTCTCTTTATTCTGTAAAGACGCGACCAGAGCGCCCATACTCGGCTGTGACGTCATTCCTGACATGGAGTCGACAGCAACGTCGACAACATCAGCTCCTGCTTCAGAACATGCCAGCATGGATGCGATCCCGGCGCCCGCTGTATCATGGGTATGGACATGAATGGGCATGTCAGGGAACTCGGCACGAAGAGCCCCGATTAATAACGTCGCCGCTTCTGGGCGAAGTAATCCAGCCATGTCCTGGTGAAGAAGGAAAAATAAACGATAACTACAAACTTTATTCATCCAGGTTGTTTCTATCAGTTCAAAATTGTTCTTCCTTCAAATTAAGTAAGGATCATCTCTTATTGATCCAGTGTTACTACAGGAGGAAACCTAAACTAAACTAACTTTATTTATACTGAATATACCTCTATCAGTTCTAAACTGTTCTTCTTAGAGGTCCAGTAAGGATCATCTCTTATTGATCCAGTGTTACTACAGGAGGAAACCTAAACTAAACTAACTTTATTTATACTGGATAGCTCTATCAGTTCTAAACTGTTCTTCCTAGAGGTCCAGTAAGGATCATCTCGTATTGAACCAGTGCTATACTAGAAAATAAAGTACTATACAAAAGAAAAAGTGTAACGAAAGAGAAGCTGTACCTTGATACAAAGAACATGAGTGCCAGCTTTCACAAGTTCACCTGCGAGATCCATGTAGTACTCGATGGTGTATTTGGTCTTTCCTGGATCAGCTACATTACCGCTGTACGATATCGCGGCCTCAACCACACCCCCTGCAGCGCCGGCTGCCTCCATACCAAGCTACAAGTGCACAGTGGGAAATTAAACTTCCTATCAAGGTTGGTTGGAACAAGGTAAAGTTTATGGAAACTTCTGCTTAATATGAACTTTCTACACCCTCGAGCTTGCAACTTCAACCTTTCTTGTCTTTTACCTGGAGATTTGGCAGGTAATTCAGAGAATCGAATACGCGGAAGACATCCATCCCATGTTCCACAGCGACCTTACAAAACTTGTAAACAACGTTGTCGGGATAGCTGGTGTAACCTACGGCGTTCGCTCCACGCAGCAACATCTGAAGTGGAATGTTAGGAATGTCTTCTCTCAGCTTGGCCAAACGATCCCAGGGGCATTCGTTTAAAAATCTCATTGCAACATCAAAAGTTGCTCCTAAAAAGATTTCAATTTCACATAATTCGAGTGTTTAGCAAGCTGCTTTGCAATTTTAAAATATTTGGCTTTTCGTCAAAGTCTTGAAATTTTCACATCGAAAATTGTTTTATTTTGCTTTAAAACCGAGTGTTTGAGATGAAGTATTTCAGTTCATGACACAAAAACCATTCGGACTTCAAGCAAATATTTGCATGTTTAACAGTAGTTATATTATTCCAGTTGTATTTAGAGTTCATCTGCGTAAAATACTTGCCTCCCCAGCACTCCAGGCTGTAAAGGTTTGAGAAATTCGTCGAGACAAACGGTGCAATCTTTCTTAGGTCAGTGGTCCGAACGCGTGTCGCAAGGAGGGATTGATGAGCATCACGGAATGTCGTGTCCATCAGCAGAAGAGATTTCGAATTTCGAACTGCGCGCGCATATCCCTCGGGACCTTCATTGGTGAGAATATCCTTGAAACCCGCTGGACGATCGCGGGTGCTGTTCGTGGGAATCTAGCAAGACGTAAAAGATCTGCAATCGCGTGTATCCGGAAAGATGAACTCTCGCTCAAAAAAAACCTACTCTACGTACTTTCGGTTCTATTTTGCTCGGTTTAATGGTGGTCGCTAAAGGTGTAACTGGACCGTTGATCATGACGTTGCCCAGATAATGCAGCAGTTTTTGGGCTCTGTTCTGACTCGTTGCAATGTGAAACAACTGAGGATTGTCCTTGATGAAATCTGTGTCCACTGCACCGTCAACAAACTCGGAATGCTCCAAGACGTTCAGGAGAAATGGGATGTTGGTCTGGAAAGAAATGGAAATGTTTCAACATGTTGTACAGCATTGGCAAACATAAAATGCTATAACATACCATACCTTCAGAATACCAGGTAAAGTACCATACCTTGTACCATAACAATACGTTATATACCACGTCATATGACACGTCTTATAACGTACCATGCTATAACAAACAGTATGGGCTATACCTTATACCGTACAACTTATGGTACACTACGCCATATACCACACTATTATACCATATACCATACTAATATACATCAATCACCATGTCATATACCATACCAATATACTATATACTATGTCAATGATGTCATATACCATACCGGTATGCAATATGCTATATCAATCTCCAAAATATATACCACAGCAATATACCATTGTCTACGACATATACCATTTCAAACCATACCTATGCACCATATACATACCACAACCAACACGCTACAACTCCACGAACTACGAAACCCACCTTAACTCCACGAACTCTGAACTCTTGTAACGCTCGGTACAGTTTTCTGGAGGCCTCGCGATGGTTGTTCGCATGACTGATGACTTTGACCAGCAACGAATCGTAATGTGGTGTTATAACAGCACCAGGAAATGCTGATGCGCTGTCCAGCCGAATACCCATCCCTTCACCAGCTCTGAACACCTTTATGACAAATCATGATGATAAGTAAATAAATGTGCAGGCAGTGGCTGTAATGATGTTCACGTGAGGTGAACTAAGCATAGAAAAACACAGCTTGACTTGGTTGAGCCGAAAGCTTGTTGAAGGCGTCTTTAGCTGTCGATTTTCTTCCTTTGACAGATGCAAACGAGTGAATTGTTATGAATGCTCTGATGTACAAGTGTCCTTATTTGAACATCCGTAACTTGTTTACTCGATCACATTCATCAAAAGACGAAAATCACATCCAAAATAGCAGCAAATATTTCCCGCGTGTAAATCGGCCTTATTACGTCATTTTAGGAACTCAACTACTCTGAAATAAGCCAAGATTATTATACAGTAATGGCCTGACTTTCTCTTGCGTACAATGTCACTCTCACCTCAATCCTGCCAGTATCAGGTGTGAAGTTGTTTGCAGGATCTTCCGTGGTTACCCTTGCCTGTATCGAGGAACCTGTCACTTTGATATTCTCCTGAGATAAGCCAAGATCTTTAAGACTTCTTCCTTCAGCAATACCAATCTGCGTTTGAACCAAATCAACACTAAAAAAACACGATGCAAGTGATGATAGCATTCAATACAAAATTAAGTAATGAAAGTACACGGGAGCAATTTGTTTCCACTCCATCCAAGTATGACTGCTAGTCACGGGAACTGTATGGTGTCGCGGGGCATGTACCATACTCGCTGGTCACGACATATTCTCTACTGTCATGGTGCAATGGTGATAGAAACAAATAGTTATATTTCTGACACAGAAATGAACACAGCGTTTCCGATATACGATTACAAGGTATGGCCCGGTTCAGACAGCTAGCAATGTAAGCCTAGCCTGTTCGAAACCCAAATGAGAGTTTGAATCAGAAGCATAAATTCTTATATCGCAATCAAATAAACAATTGATAAGTGTTCTCATCGAGAAAGGTTCTCATCAGGTTTGAAAATTGCAAACAAAATGTAAGCAAGACCTGAAAGGCTTGTCAACGAACTATACTCACCCTGTGACCTGTTCCGTTACTGTGTGTTCCACCTGAAGTCTTGCATTCACTTCAATGAAATAATAATTGCCTTGTTCGTCCAGGAGGAACTCCACGGTTCCGGCGTTTTCATAGCCAACGAAATTCGCGAGTTTGACGGCATCCGCTGTGATTGCATCTCTCAAGGCAGGATCTAACACGGGCGCTGGAGCAATCTCGAGTATTTTCTGATGTCTTCGTTGCACAGAACAATCTCGTTCGTGAAGATGAATAACATTGCCGTAACCATCGCCGAGAATTTGAACTTCAATATGACGTGGATGCTCTGTTTGGGGCAAATTAACGAGAAATACAACTTGTTTAACCCCTCAGCCCAAAGCTGTTCCCATCTGTTAAATTTTCCAATCAATAAACCGTTGTCAACAATCAATAAATATCGATAAATAATTCGTATATGATATGACTGAGCGAAATGAAATATAGGTTTCACTTGAGAGTTGAACTGGTTAGTGTGAAGCTTTATGTGGAAAGAAATTATCAACCAATTGATCAATTGAGAAGAAGCAAACTTCGGTGACACAGCATTGACTGGTATTTAATTTAACAGTGAAGCATTTGGAGGCTAGGAATATTACGCTCATACCTAGTGATAATTCATAAGACTCTGGCGTAGTAATTATATATATATATATATATAATGGTGCTACTCTGCATGAGTTACTAAACTAGTAAAATAAAGGTTGCATGTTCAAATACCATACCAATAAACTTCTCAATGAAAAGGGAACCGTCGTTGAAGGCAGCCAAAGCCTCGCTTCGCGCCAGATTGAACAACTCCTCCAGTTCATCAATGTGGCGCACAACCCTCATTCCCCGGCCACCCCCCCCGTATGCCGCCTTCAGCATCACTGGAAACCCAGACTGATTTTCACAAAAGCGTTGTGCTGTTTCAAGGTCATCCACAGGATGGTCTGTTCCAGGAATGACTTTGATGCCTGCCTGCTTGGCCGTAGCCCTGGCTGCAATTTTGTCACCCATTGTTGACAGGACATCGGGCGAAGGTCCGATATATTTAATACCAGAACTAATACAGGCACGAGCAAAGTCAGCTTGCTCTGAGAGGAAACCATATCCTGGGTGAATTGCATCTACATCACGTTCCTGAAGATCAGAAGAACCATTTATTTTTCTCATTTTACATGCATACACAACAAAAACAGATCTCGAATAACTAGTAATTGAACTGGTATAATATTAAACAAAAGTCGCAACAATGAATTTAAAGTACCTTTTGCAAGGCAATTAATAGCAAGGCAATTTAGCGAGGCAATTAATAAGGCATTGTTTTCTCATGTGTCCCAATTAACCATTAAAAAATAGCCAATTCACATTACCTTGGCGACACGAATTATCTCTGGGATATCCAGGTAAGCTGCAACAGGTGCGAGGCCTTTTCCTATCAAATATGCCTCATCAGCTTTCTGTCTGTGCATATGATTGACATCCTCCTGGGAATAAACTGCTACCGTTCTGATGCCTTTCTCTGACGCAGCACGGAACACGCGGATTGCAATCTCACCGCGGTTAGCCACAAGTAGTTTGTTGATATTCGTCACCTCTCGTCCAGTCTTGCCACCATCTTCGGCACCATAACGAGGCCTTGTGGTATGGATGTAACAGGAGGATTGTATCCCAGTAATCCGAGAAAACTGTTGGAAATTAATGCGCTTGATCTGACTGGTTCGTAGACGGAACATCTTCAGCGTTCACTGAAACAAAAACCTAAGTTCAGAAAACCCAAGTTGAAGGGAAAAGGTTTCTGTGCACTAGCTTAGTAGCTTTGCTCATGGAAATGACGGGGCTAGCTGATTCCAAAACTGCTCAAATTTCTTGTTGCAAACTTTTATGGATAGAAACTTTAGCCCACATTCTGATTCATTTAATTAAATATATCAATATATCACTAATTATTTTCACCCTCAGTTTAAATGTAAACAAAGTGTAATTGTTTACATTTAATAACCACTATACAACAGTACCTTTAAAAACAAGAGGAAGTTTAATTGAATTAGGCTAGTATGGACTTGTTTTTCAAGTGGGAAATTGCATAACATTTTGGGGGAAGCACTGTCCTTGGGGAATGGAAAGTCAAGTGTTTACTGCACCAACCTTGAGGGAATAGCACGTGCATTCGATCGACTCCGACAACAAAGTTAACAATATCGCGGAATGTTTTCGATTATTCTTATATTAAAACAATATCTCTAAAAACCAATGTTTTCCAAAACGTATAATTTACTGATTACGTTATCTGCGTGAAATTTAGACGTGTACATAACTCAAACTCGTACAAATTACAATTAATCTTAATGCATAATTTATAGTAACATTTTTCAACTTTGTATATCGAACTATTCAAATGAAAACGATTCCCCCAATATTTCGCTATCATTAGATAATTACGATGCATGATACGAACTTGTTTTATCCAGAGACAGTGTACGATCGTATTAAAATATTAAACGAAATTAATTGTTTAGAATTATGTAACGTAAAATTATGACCGCTATGTTTTGGAATTCCAGACGGCACCGCACGCATGTGGTTCGAAGAACGTTTGATCGTTCGATGTTTGGTAAAATCAAGTATGAACTAAGTAATCGTTACCGTAAAATGTAAGAGAAAAGACTGCACCTTTAATGCAAAAGTCGATCGTTAATCCCAAGTGGGAACCATTGATCCAAAAGTGTACAATCCAGATCTTTGGACGCGACCCTCCACGTCTTATGTTATTGTTTACTTATTTCCTCACGTACGATTGGGCGGCGAATTTCACCGAGGAAGAGCCGAAGACGGTTAATTTCACCGAGGAAGAGCCGAAGACAGGGTAACGGTTTTTATGCTAACGAGGCGCGTAATTCGAACCCGAAAATCCGCCAAAAAGTTGTAATTCTCGATAAATATTAAATATATATGTCTATTGCAATAAATTACTTTTATACTTCAATATAAAGATAAAATATAAGTTAAAATCCTCCCTAAATTTACACGAACAAAAAGCGTTTGATCTTCACATCTTTTCTACAGACATTTCCAGACAAAAACGCTACAAAAAAGAAGAGAATTCAATGAAATGGTATTGGTAGTTATCTATAAGTATTTAGAATGGGTCTTCCTTATATTTCTTACCTACAGTCATCCCCACCAGTACTCAGTAAGTATCTATCATCGTGACTAAATCGGACATTGGTCACATGAGCCGAGTGACCCACATATCGTTTACATGGAGCCTAGGAATGACAAAAACACAAAGATAGCAAGTGATAATATAAGCGCCAAATTCACTGATGCCCCTTCTTGAAAGGGACCAAACTTGTTATAGGGCCTTATAGCGTACGATCAAAAAAAACAAATTGTTAAACGTAAAATACACTTACAAATTTCTCGGTCACTGGGAATTCAAATAATTTGACAAAACCGAAATCATCTCCAGTCGCTATTGCGTTGCCAGAATGGGAAAGATTGGAGCAGTTCACGTCGGCTTTATCAGCGTTACGCGGCCAGACACCAACGACCTCCTTGCCCAACACACTGAGAAATAATTGTGAATTGTTTTAGTCATGCTGAGGTTCAACTGAGAGCAAAAAAGTTTCAAATCGGTAAATGTCATTTATTCAACGTCCGATAACTTCACCGACCTTGTCCACGATGCCCACGTGATTTGATCTATCTCCTGTGGCGACGTCACAGGTACTCCTTTGGGAACGGTGAATACAAGTTTTTCATACGAGCCAGTCGATACCTGTAGTCAAACGGTTGAAAGTAATCATAGAAATTGCGCTACCTGCTACCAACTGCAGTGCCCAGAAAACAAGAAGCATGCAAGCGCAAAGCCGTTTACATGACGAAAACGTTTCATTTACATACAATCGTGTCACCTGTGGCCTCACCACAAACGTAAGTAGCGAACAGTTCAAAGCAAACTTGTACCAATGTAGTTTCAAGACGTTAGTCTGTTCTCCGCTATAAACACGTCAGTCTGTTCTCAGCTACTTATCGACTCTTGTGACAGCTTTATACTAAGATGATAACTCATAACTTGTCGAAAAACTCGTACTATAGGGAGCCCATACTGACTACATATCACAATAAAGACTCCCGCTATACCTGCACATGCTTCCCGTCAGCAGAGAAATCAATCTGCGTAACAAAACTTGGAATATTCTTGCAATATCCAACCCTGGTCAGCGGCCGGCCAGTGATTACTTCATAGAAGTCAACAGCATTGTCATCTGAGCCCACGGCAAGATAGCGGCCGTCTGGACTAAACCTGAAAAATTAATTTGTCGTTTTAAACCAGCTTCAACTGAAGTAGTACGAGAAAAAAATACCAAAAAGGGCATATCTTGGCGGATTCACAGCCGATGGGGCTAACAAGATACAAAACAGATTGTTCCCCTATTATATCTGTTATACCCTCATATATCAACGTCGCACCACGAGCCTCACCTTATATCCTGCACTGCTTGCTTGCGATCTCGTTTCTTAGCAACGGTTTTTAGATTGGAAATATTCAAAATGATGAACTCTCCATTCTTACATCCTGCGGCAACCAGTTCTCCATCAGGTGAAATACACACAGACCTTACTCCAACCTCGAACGAGACCACGTTGATCAGAACCTAAACAATTTCGAAAAAAGCCCGGTGTAGTTCTTGGTAAACTTGTTGCTGCAGACAACAAACGAATAAGTAAAACACCCAAAAAACTGAATTGCTTTTTAAACTATCGCTTGTATAAGTCTAAAGTTTTCCTCCTGAAACAAACAAACTTTTCAACGGAATGCCATCATGTAATGTTCCAGCAAAAGCATCTTGATGAAAACAACACTTACCTTCTTGGTTAGATCCCACAATCTAACCGTCTTGTCGTCGCTGCCTGTGACAAAAACATCTTTTTCCGGGTGAACACACAAACCCCAGATTTCCCCCTCCGTGTGACTATTCACGACCACCTGAACGACACAGAATGCTCGTGTTCATTTACAATCCAAACAGCGTTGATTGAATTGACCATCATCAGTTGCTAGTCTCTAAACCCTCCCCCCCCCGAATGCTGGATAATGATCGATCGTGGTAAATTCGAGTTAGTTCCCCCCCCCCTACCTGGGAAGACGATGACTTTTCAGTGATTTCATAAATATCTCCAGACTTTGTTCCCACCAAAATATTTCCCTGTCAAAATATAATTTATGTTTACATTGCAGCACAGCATTTTCAAATCTAATTTTTAGCATTTGGTCGGCGCTTCTTACACGCGATGTTTTTGTATTTGGTGAAGCTAAATTTGAAGGTTTGCAACAAAGGATATGAACGAAAAACATTTAATAAAAAACCCTAATGTTGTCTGAAGAAAAATGGGAAAATATTGAATAAAAATATGGAGGATATATAGATTCTTGTTTTGTGCTCGAGTTACCTTCTGCCTACAAACAGATTTCACGACGTCAACTGCCGATCCACTTCCGAGGTTGAACGAGCGACATCTCTTCATCTCCTGATCCCACAGTTTTACTGAACCGCCATCTTTTAAATTTCTGAACATATCAAATGATACTAGTTGGAATATTTGTTCGACAGAGCTCTTGATGTCAATCGCATTCCTTACCCTTTTTCTTTCCCCCCAGAGACAATAAGTCCATCAGTGAGAGTGGTAAACAGGGTGAACACTGGACCATTGTGAGCTTTCTGGACCAAGCGGAGCATTTGATGATGTTGCCAAACGTAAACATCACCGCTCATTGAACCGGTAAATGTTACGTCATCCTGGAAGAAAGCATTTCCATCAACCAAAATTCAACATGGCCTCATAGTTTATATCTAACTACGATAAGCTAACTTTATTTATACTGAATAGCTCTACCATATCAAGCTGTTCTCCCCTAGTGGTCCACGAGGTTCATCGCTTTTTGATCCACTGTTACAACCGGCAAATCCCTAAACTAACTTAACTTATGCAGGACAGTTCTGTCAATTTTCAAGTGTACTCAAGAAGGAATATCTCTGCTTGAATGCAGTGGCGTAGCCAGCCTGACGATTTTGTCCCGCTATGTAAATTTCGAGTTATTATAATTATTCATGTCTTTAGGAATCTATTGTTTTCAGAGTCAGTGAACACTAAAATATTAGCATAGCGGGAGAAATCGACAGGCTGGCTACGCTACTGCTTGAATGCCTCACAGTATACCAGCACAGTTGTCACAGAATACTTTGCCAAATCAAACGAATACTTACTGCTCCAAAAGCGACTGATAGCATTGTTTGCATTTTCAAGGTAGTTTCCTCATTGTCTCCCTCAGGTTGTTTCAAAACACCCCTCTTACCAACCAACTGTCCCCCAGCTAGGGTCCAGAACGCGACATGCTTCTCGCCACAGGTCACGAACTTTGAATCAGAATCTGGCCGAAACTCCGCAACGAATATCCTTCGAGTGTGCCCTGTTGCACTGGCAAGTTTCAAGCCTAAAAACAATAACAAGAGCTTCCGTGGACATAAACGAACCAGAATGACAGCAGTTAGAAAAGCACACCACCCCCGTCCCAGGAAGGAAAATCATACCCCCCGTCCCAGGAAGGAATATCATTGCCCCCATCCCAAGAACAAAAATCACCCCCCGTTCCAAGAAGGAAATCACCCCCCCCCCACACACACACTCTCTTACCGAACACACAACACACAACAGTTTACTAACCTTCGGCCCACCTCCAAATGGTAACAGTGTGATGGTCGTCCAGTCCTACCGTCAGCAACAACTTCCCACTACAACTGAAGTTCACACTGCAAACACCCACAGAATGAGATGTCTGAAGAATGGACAAGGTCTCTTTCGATTCGCTGTTCCAAACGTGTACGGTCGGCTCGTTCCCAATCTGCCCACTTGCAACGACATTCTGTGAAAAGCAAAAAGCGAGATTAACACCAGTACAACAGGAACGACATAAAAAACAGCAGCATTCATACAGAGATAATTCATCCACAAACTACTACATTCTCCTGTATCTAAGCCTTTCTTATCTTATCGGACGAAAAACAACAACATTCACAATCCTGGTTATAAATCCAAGGATCTCATTCGCATGGTAAAATTGCACACCTCTTGGGTAACATCAACAAGTTTCTGACACACATTCAGATATTTCAATCACAATGCACGTGCCCCAGTGACCAAAGGGCTCCCCCGCCCCTTATACCTCAGAAAACAGGTGGGAGAAGATGTCTATAATGTTGCATCAAGAAAACAACAATACCTTGAACTTCGGGTGTCTATTGACAGAGAGACAGACGATATCGTCAGTATGCTCCAGATAAAACGACTGCGTTCCGTCTTTGAGGTTATGAACAATCCCCAACGCGGCCGTATGGTATACGATATCTGCATCACCAAGGTTGTGTACATTATTCCGGGTATCGAAACCCCGGTAGCCATGAACGTGTTCCAGCGTCAGATCCTGCACGTTCTTGATTCGTTTACGTCTGTCGCCAGAATCCTTTGCGGGTTGGCGCACTTTTGGCGGCAGCTTTGAGCCACGACTGAATACGGCCCTGTGGAAAAATTATGGAATTCACTTCACACGAGTGACAATCGTGTGTTCTGGCTGGTACAACAACATTGCTATACTTAAGGAGATTCCTATGAAGAAGGAGAGGTTTAGGCCTATGTATGAGGCACATATACAAATCCTGACCACAAGATCGCAATTGTGGGGCTCAGAGCCTTCATTCCGCGGCCCTATAATGTCATAACTTTTGGAGAAATCTTCCTTAATTTAGGTCCTTTTTTAAATCGCGTTGGGCCCTCCCCCTGCCCCTCCTCTCGGTGACCCTGCCTGACGATACACTCCCTTACTTTTCCGCCGTCTTCTCCTCCTTCAAATGCGGTTTCGTTCCAGTGGTCTTCCTCATGGGATTCGCATAAATCTTATCTTCGTAAGTTCTGTTCTTCTCCACTTCAACATCGCTGTCAAAACCACCCTCCTCTTCGCTGTCTGTGTCTGAATTATCACTGTCGCCTAAAAAAGGCAAGATGGTCCGTGCTTCAGTCAACTAATCTCTTCATGATCAGCGCTGTCACTGCTAAGGTCTCAACCCGGGACCCAAGCGAGTGACTTGCTTGAGAAGAGCTATGGTACATTGCAACTGTTAACTCAAAATTCTAACCTGCATAATGTCGTCGTTGGTTAGGACGATTTCGTCGCCAAACCATCAGCGAGGTATCATCACCCCCCGTTGAGACCAAGTGCCCGTCGTCGTATGTCCAGCGGACGTTCGTGACATGCGCAGAATGCCCGTTATATTTCTTGTGCTTCGCGTTCTTACCCTTTGAGAAAGGATAGAGAACATCTCAATGGTAATGGCTGACCGTATCTAACTATGGAATCCACGACTATATTTACCTTAACGGGAAACTGAAAAATCTTCACGTATCCAAAATCATCGCCAGTCGCGATGAGATTTTTATCGCTGGTAGTGCACGTTGCGTTCACGTCCGTGATATCGGAGTACTGGGGCCAGATTCCCTCCACTTCCCGCCCCAAGACTCCAGTCCATGTTGACCACTCCAGTTTCTCTAGTTCTTTCAAAACAATGGCGTGTCGTTCGCCTCGAGGTGCTTCGAAAAACAGGTGTTCTTTTGCGCCAGAATTAGACTGGATCAGTTTACCTTCCGGAGAGGAGAATAAGGTATAAATGAGGGTAAGCACTCGCATCTATAAGATCCGTTCTTAGATTGGCAAATTCAATTTAAGAGCGTACAACAACAACAACAACAACAACAACAACAACAACAACAACAACAACAACAACAACAACAACAACAACAAACACACAAACAAAAACAACAACAAAAACAACAACAACAACACTACAGCAACCTTCTTACTTCCCTACAACTGACCTCTACTGTCCCAATCGATATGAGTGACGTAACTGGAACTTCCTTTGCCAACTCCGACTCGCTTTCCGCTCATGACGTTATAAATGTCGACAAAATTATCGTGAGAGGCGACCGCCAAATATTTTCCTTGGCCAGGCGAGAATTTAATGTCGGATATCTCCTCTTTGCGATGTTGAAACTCGATGATATCCTCGAGGGTCGAGGAATCGACAACGACGAAACTTCCTAGAAAATGTGTGTATCGAAATGATCATATTTCGTGACTCATTTTGTTTCACGTTCTTACACAGAATAAAAACCACTCCAGACAACAGTTTATTGCAGGTTTCAGGGCAATTTTCTGCATGCAATAAATTGTCCTTCTGTACAGTACCAACAAAGCGACATACCATTTTTCAAACCAACCGCGATGGCTTTTCCGTCGGGTGAATAACTGAGCGATCTTGCTGGATGTTTCAAAATACGACCGTTGCTGACGCGATTATTCTCTAGATCCCATACCCTCAGTGTCTTATCGTCACTCGCGGTCGCACAAACTTTCTCTGAAGGATGAGTAGCTAGGCCCCATACCTCCCCTTCTCTGTGACCCTGGAGATAGCGGGACAAGTCACAATAAAGCAAATCTCAATTCATGACAACAATTTTTGATAAAACAGCAAGTATTTGTGAAACATACCTGAATGAGAACTGTTATTGGTCCAGTTTTGTCGATCTCAAGAATCTACAGAAAACCCAAGTGTTGAGTGAAATTAAGTCGCCTCACATGCCGTACAGGCAAACTGTTTTATTTTTCTTTCAAGAATACAAACCTCACTGTTCGTGGTCCCCACGAGGATCTTTCCTTGACCCAGAGATATCGCCCGCACAGGCGGGGAATCAGCCAGCAATGAACAGGAAGAAATGCCTGAACGAAGGCTATTTCGCGTGATCTTGTACGTTTTGAGACAACGACCAAAAGATTGATCCCAGAGACCAACAACGCCGTCTTTTCCACCGGTCACAAAACCCTGGTACGCAAGGGAAATTAAACTGTCTTAAACCATAAAATATCCCAAGTGTTGAAACTCAGACTCGGTTGTATAAAAAGGGTAGTTAACTTTTAACTATAGTTAGTGAAAGGATTTTTAAGTTTACAACTCAAAATGCTGTTAAGAGTTTAAAAAAACCATTCCTACACCGAAGAGAATGTCAGTTGATGAGAGTTGATAGCAGTTGATGAGAGTTGATAACAGTTGATGAGAGTTGATAACAGTTGATGAGAGTTGATAACAGTTGATAAGAGTTGATAACAGTTGATTAGAGTTGATAACAGTTGATAACAGTTGATAACAGTTGATGAGAGTTGATAACAGTTAATGAGAGTTGATAACAGTTGATAAGAGTTGACAACAGTTGATGAGAGTTGATAACAGTTAATGAGAGTTGATAACAGTTGATAAGAGTTGACAACAGTTGATGAGAGTTGATAACAGTTGATGAGAGTTGATAACAGTTGATGAGAGTTGATAACAGTTGATGAGAGTTGATAACAATTGATGAGAGTTGACAAGCGACAGTTGCACTAGATGATCAAGAGGCAATTCTTAAACTGCAATCTTTCCAAACTCGAAAGCCTCACCTTCTCCAGCGTCTGCATCGCCATAACCGTTCCTTGATGAGCTTCAACCGTTTCTTTCAAAGTATTTCCTTCCCAAACAAACACTTTGCCACTCGTTCCACCAGAATACACTACCTCGGCTGTCTTTCCGTACGTTACACAAAGCATCGTGTCTTGTTTTGCAACATTACCAAATATTCCACGTTTCGAAGTGAATCCGCCACCGGTCTGAGTCCAGGGGCCGGTTGTTCAAAAGCAGGTTAAATTTAACCCTGGGTTAGTGCTAAACCTGGGTTAAAATCCTTAACCCTAGGTTAGCTAAACCTGGGTTAAAACTGTGTTGTTCAAAGCAGGGTTAGCGGTAGGGTTAGTTAACCCAGGGTTAAAATATTTAACCTAAGATTAAATGTATTTTAAGGACTAAATTGGATATAAGAACGTTTTCGATTGGTCAATAAACGAGCGTCAAAACTTTACCCGACGAGGATATACTGTCAGGCGAAAGATTATATGCCGTGAGGGCAAGGTCGCAGGGACGTTGTTTTGAACAGCAATTTCCGTGCATGGAATTTTGGAAAGATTCGAAATGAAAGGCCATTTTGTATGATAAATAATGTCGATGTGAAATATGTCGATGTGCAAATTATATATAAACAATCTATAATCTATTTTAAAATTTTAGCCATTCTTTGATTATTTAAAATTCAGGAACAAACGTAGCCTTACCACTTGCTGCCAATCAAAAGAATCGAATTTTGGCATCCGAAACAAATATTTCGATTACGCTGTTTCAATTTGTACGGTCGTATTCATTTATCGTGTATTGCATTGAAGCGAAGATAAATAAATCAATATGTCAGCCGAAACCGAACGAAGTCGAACTTAAATAATTCTTTGCTCTCGAAATTATTCGTAAAACGTTTCAAAAGTGTTTAATTCATGACGAATTATACGTGTTTACATGTTTCAGCTCCTTATTCATCCATTTTGAATCGAAGTTAACCCAGGATTAACAAGTTAACCCACCTAGCTAGCAGGGTTAATTTTTTATCAATTTTAACCCAGGGTTAACGCTAACCGAGCTTTGAGCAACGCAAATCAACCAAGGTTTAAAATTTAACCCTGGGTTAGGCATTTTTAACCCTGGATTAGCGTTAACCGGCTTTTCAACAACCGGCCCCAGAACTTTATATGTTTTATACCGACCGTTACCAACTGGTCCGAGGAGAATGGGTTCCACTTAATCACAAATATCTTCTCTTTGTGACCTCTGTAAAGGGAATATTAGATTTGGCTGTTAACTGCATAGTACTTCATGTTTAATACTACGAGCTGTCAGCCTGTCACTGCCTAACTGTGCTAATGTCCTCGTATCTCAATGTCCTTCATAGAAGAACTAGTCTCTCTTATTTCTGAACTTTCCCACAATACCTTGTTGTAGCGAGTTTGTCTCCTCTCCTCCAATCCCAAACCACAATAGAATGTTCATTATCCAAACCCACACTGGCGATTTTTTTACCATCGCCTGGAAACAAATGGTTGACGGATGAACAATGACGATTACTCTACGTTGGAGAACTGGGTAACTAAAAGACCTCGCAGGCCTGAGGCCTGGTTTATCCAGTGTTACTTTTGTCACAGTTTCCACTAGGGTACAACTACAGAAGCTCTCATTACCTGAGAAATCAACAGCACAAACACCTCTCTGATGTTGACCTTTTAGGATCGATAAACACTCCAACTTTTCTGCATCCCAAATATGAATACACGGATCCCGTCCAACCTGAAGGAGTTAATATCCACATGTTCAAAATGTCAAGTCTCAGTAGTCATCCTTCGATCCATATCTATCCCGTAGCACTGATCCCACGACTACCACAGCTATAACGTAACAACCCCCATCTAACATCCCTACCTGTCCTGTAGCCACGACATCCTTGACCGGGTGAATTGCCAAACATAGGATATCGTCAGTATGACCAAGATAAAACTTCTGAGAATGTCTGTCGCGATTATACACGATGCCCACTGCAGCCACGTGATAAACAATCTCGCCATTTTGCAAGTAGAAAAGATTGTTATGACAATCATAACCACGATAACTACATTGGGAAAATACCGAGTTATATTGGCAATACGAAACAATATACTGTATGACCACACATATTTCACAGACATGGCGGGGACATCTCCCAAAGCAACACTGTGAACGCTTTAAAAGTGCAACTCGTTTCTTCCAGGTAGATTTGAATTCAGGAGTTTCAATTTTGGAACATTGTTCTCGCTACTAGGCCACAGAGAAAGTGCACGTTTTGTGACAGAGATTGAGGACAGAAACATCAGAGGCGACGTGAAAATGGCGAATAGAAAGTCTATATATGGGCGCATCTCCCGCATCACGCCATTTATTTGCCATTTTCACATCGTTTTTAACGTTGATGTCCTCGTGCTAAATCTGCCTGATATCCGGGCATCGTGGTGGTGCAAACGTACCCATGAACAAACTCCAACTGCAGTCCCTGGTTGGGCGGTTTCTTCTGGGCACTTCTCGGTACTTTGTATTGTTCCTCTTTCGCTTGAGACTTTAGTTTTCTTTTTATTGCTGGAAGATCTTCTTTATACAAAGTCCTGTCGTAGTTCACTTGTGCTTCCTGAAAAGAAATATGACAAATGGGTGTGCGGGGTATGGTACAGTGTGGTATGATAAGGTGCAGTGTGGTATGTGAAGGTATAGTGAGGTATGTGAAGGTATAGTGGGGTATGTGAAGGTATAGTGAGGTATGTGAAGGTATAGTGTCGTATGTGAAGGTATAGTGTGGTATGTGAAGGTATAGTGTGGTATAATAAGTCATAAGAATCTCACGTTTTCAACGTCACTATCCAACTCGCCAGCATCAGACGCGTCCGAATCACTCAAGCCATCATCAGAATCCACATAACCCGTAGCAGCTTCGGAGAGACTCTCGGCGCCGTCTCGGAAGCCATCGGGATTAAATCGCCACTGAAATATCGACTGATCGGCGCCGCCCGTGGTAATGACCTTAGTGTGATCGTGATTGAACCTAACGTTGGTGACGTGTGCTGAATGACCAACATATTTCCTGAAGTGAGCGCCTGGACGAAAAAGTTTTCCGTTTTTGCAATAAGAGCAACGTTTTAACACAAAATACATGAAAAAGGGGGTTGAAAGAGGACGTTTCTTAGAAATTACTAACATTTATTAATCTAAAACTTGGCTTTACCTTTCTTGACGCAAGGAAAACGAAATAATTTCACTAAACCGAAATCATCGCCGGAAACAAGAGTGTTGCTAGGAAACGACGTGTCGGTGGCGTTGATATCATTTGTGTCGGTATATTTCTCCCAAATCCCGTTCACTTCAGTGCCCAGTACCCCCGTCCACGTCGACCAACTGATGGCTTTGATTTCTTCCTTGTTTGTCACCCGCTTGCCAGCTGAATAACAGGAAGATATGGACTAAGAAGTTGTGACATCTGGGATGATACAGTATGGTATGGTATGATACGGTGTGGTATGGTAAGGTATGGTATGGTATGGTATGGTGTGGTATGGTATGGTATGGTATGGTAAGGTATGGTATGGTATGGTGTGGTATGGTATGGTGTGGTATGGTATGGTATGGTATGGTATGGTATGGTATGGTATGGTAAGGTTTTGTATATGGTATGGTATAGTATGGTATGGTATGGTATGGTATGGTATTGTATGGTAAGGTTTTGTATCATATGGTATGGTATGGTATGGTATGATATGGTATGGTATAGTATAGTGGGATAATCAATTGTTTCAATCACCTGGTATCTTGTAGAACAATCTTTCCCCAGCCCCAGAATTAGTTTGTATATATTTACTATCATCCGACCAATCTAAATGAGTGATAAAACTTGAACTGCCTTTGCATTCGCCGACTTTTTTGTAGCGTTGAGAAGTTGCGTAGATATCAACAAAATTGTCGTTTGATCCGACGGCCAAATATGCGCCGTCTGGTGAGTACTTTAGTTCGTGAATGACTTCCGTACGATCTTTGCTTTGAAGAACTTCAGAAAGATCCCTGAAAGAGAAGAATGGCCACGTTTGAGAGATCTTTCTCAGGTAGTTCAGACACAAACCACGACAGCTTATTGTAGAATACTACCTACACTGGACCACCACGTTTGAGACATCTTTCTCAGGTAGTTCAGACACAAACCACGACAGCTTATTGTAGAATACTACCTACACTTGACAAGCACGTTTGAGAGATCTTTCTCAGGTAGTTCAGACACAAACCACGACAGCTTATTGTAGAATACTACCTACACTGGACCACCACGTTTGAGACATCTTTCTCAGGTAGTTCAGACACAAACCACGACAGCTTATTAATACTACCTACACTACACTGCCACGTTTAAGATATCTGTTTCAGGTAGTTCAGACACAAGACACAAACCACGACAGCCCTCTGTGTAAAGTAACTACACTACAGTGCTCTCTCTTTCATGACGAGCGATATGCCAAGCCTGAATCGTAATCAATACCAACTCTGTTGATATAAAGAAATATTTTACCTTGATTTTAGAACCATGAACGAACCATCCGATAAACCAGCTGCTATCTGGCTGCCGTCAGGGTGAAATGCAAGAGATCGTATCTTTTGTTCCAAATCAACTCTTGCCAACAGATTTCTGTCTGAAAGACTCCATAATCTGTTTTTTAAAAAGATGAAAAATATAAGTTTGGTTTCACCGCAGTCCTGGGGGGGGGGCTATGTTTGGTTATGCAGATTTGTGGGAAGAAAAATAAACAGAAAACAAGCAATAAATACCGTATACTATGGTCATCACTTCCTGTGGCAAACATAGCCTTTTTTGGGTGAACAGCAAGGGCCCAAAGCTCGCCTTCAGCATGACCCTAAAACGAATGTCACACTCTATGAATCACACACACTTGATCTACAAAATTCAGTACTCCACGATGCAATACAAGCACTTGTAAGCAGGTTTCAAACAAGCTTGTTGCTTGCTGACATTTCCTGGAACATATTTACCTGAACTAAAGTCCTGGGAGATTCTTTGTTCGAAGCAAGAACCTCGTATATTTCGCTGCTGTTTGTACCAACCAGGATTTTATCAGCCGTCCAGCAAACGCTGCGTACAGACAATCCTATTCATCAAGCAGAACAATACTCGGTTAAAACGATATAAACATGCCTGTGCGAAAAACAAAAACTTATAAACGCACCTTTATAGCCGATAACGCTGTTGAGAAGATCGATTTTTGTTATTGGCTTAAAATTACCATCCCATAGAATCACACTGCCGTCTTTTGAACCACTGGCAAAACCATCTTCAGAGTTGTGAATGGTGAAGACAGCTCCCTATTTTAACCAACAAATGATTAAATGATGGATGAAGAACATAGATGAAAAAAAAATTCTATTTACCTCATGTCCTTGGATAGTTCCAGTCAAGTTATTTTTCTCCCATTTATAAATATCTCCGCCCAGTGTCCCTGCATAAGTGATTCCGTTTGAGCCAAATGCCAGACACAGCATTGTTTGAATTTCACCACCTTTTCCAAATACTCCTAGAGCGGTTGAAACACAGACATAATTCAAGCAGCGGCTTCAGAATGCAGCTATCAGTCAGTTTATTGCTACCTTTCTGTGGGTTCAACAAATTCCCTTGCCATTTCCAAAATTTGATATGCTTCACCCCACATGAAACCAACTGATTGTCAACATTTGGATTAAAGCAAAGATCAAAAATCTACAAAACATTAGAAAATAACAAACGTCAAATTTTGAATGAAACTGGATGAATAAAGAACACATAGGGTATATTGCAGCATGAAATCTGTAAAGATATCTCTTACCCTATCTGAATGTCCGTTTGCTGATGCTAACAAACGACCTCGCTTCCAATCCCAAATGCAGATCAGGTAATAATCCTCCAGGCCAACAGAGGCCAAATGCTAGACGAAAAAGAAATGAGGGATTAAATTTGAGACTCAATCTTCTCATTTCACCAGTTTCTAAAATTTATAGAACTTACAGTGCCGGCCGTATTGAATGCCACACTTGCAACACCTCTTTGATGGCCATCTTTTAAAATCGATACGGTTTGACAATTTTTGGTGTCCCAAACACAGATGTATGGATCTTTTCCAACCTGGCCTGTTGCAACTAACTGCTTTTCTGGATGCAGAGCCAAGCTTGAAAATATTGAGTTATCAAATAAATTTTTATAACCACTAGTTAGTTAACTCTATAAAAAGAAATATAAATATTTTCTGCAATGAAAATTAAAATTCCAGTGCATCAAGGACCATGTTCACTTGGAACAGTGATCAAGGAGTGAAGAGGGAGTAGGAGATGAGGGGGATGAGGGATGAGGGGGGGAGGAGGGAGAGGAGGAGAAGGGAGGAGGGGGGAGGAGGGAGGGAGAAGGGGGAGGAAGAGGAGGGAGGAAGAGCAGGGAGGAGGGGGAGGAGGAGGAGGGAGGGGGAGGAGGAGGATGAGGGGTAGGACAGGGAGGAGGGGTAGGAGGAGGGAGGAGAAGGAGGAAGGGGGAGGAGAGGGGGACTATAAGTTTTATCTATTGATAAATGTGAACAAGCAAATCAATGACGAAAGATCTGGTTTTACATGTTTAGAGAATATCTCACCTAAAATCACAGGGGAGATTTAAATGCAATGTACGATTTCTATGATTATAAGCAGGATTTCTCAAGGGTTTGAAAAAGAAAACCACAGATGGATTTTCTAGTGGTGCACTCCAATAGCACTGCTAATTCAGAATTATTAAGTAGTATATATTGATATTTTGACAAGCAATTCTGTGGTGACAGCTAGATCGAGGGAAGGATAGCTATCCAAGCAAAAATATTTGCACCTCAGTCATGATCTGAATTCTGGATTTCCCCCTGACAAGCACACACGAGTCTTGACAGTTTGTATGGGGCAAATACAGAATTAGACAAACTGTCTTGCAGTATACCAGGCATGGTTCTTTTGCTAGGATCAGTCGTACATACATATTGCAATATATTATTACAGTGGGTAATCATGATAAATCTTGCAGACATTTCATTGACACAACTCTCTGACATGCAGGTGTTCAGAGCTTATTTTTAAATCTCAATATCCAATCTTCAAAAAGCAATCAGAACTATTAGATATGCAGTCTCCAATCTTGACGTGTTGATCAATAATTAACCAAAATCACACTTTATTATACAAAAACTGATATAAGAAATATTTGCAGTATTTGTTCTCATCTAATATCAAAATATTGTGCAGCTATAAATGCCATCTGCATTCAGTTCAGTAAATGCTGCAGTATTTACACGTACTTGAATGAAATTTGTATTAAAGTCTATGTAAACAACGATCCTATGGCCATGTGTGTGCATTTAGGGGTGTGCCGTGAGCTGAAATCGTCGAAGAGACTTTGCAGCAATATGTTTAGTTTATACAGGCTGGATCTATGAAATGTGGCTGCAAAGTTCGACTGGCAATCCAGAAAAATAACCTCATTTTGCACAGAGGGTCTGTGTAAAATGTAGCTGCATTGTAAACACGAAAGTTGCAAAATGCAAAAACGTCCACTTGGCTAAAACGCGCTCAAACGATCGTGTGTTTATCTGGTCTAAAACAAAGTCACAGTACCTGATTATATCATCGTTATGCCCAAGAAAGAAGCGCTGGGAATTTTCCTTAACGTTGTAAACGACCCCAACTCCAGCGACGAAATAAACGACCTCTTTTGACGATGTAAAATACAAGTTATTCCTACACTGATGTCCACGGTAACCGTACACCCATTCTAAACGCAACTGCGATTTTGGAGCTGTTCTATCGCTCATGGCGCCTTCCCAAGACCGCTCAAGACTTGTACTTTATTGAATGTCTTTTGTTTTCACCCGATCGTCCAAAATTCATTCATAAAATGATTGTTTTGTTTCATTCAGATATTGTTTTCACCTTTCACTATAGCGTTGTTGTCGTTGTCACGACCACAGGTCAGAGGCGTGGAACGCGCGAGGGACATCCACGCAATAATTTATTCATTTAACCCTATATTATCCAAAGTGCTTTATAGTGGCCTAAAAATTATTTATTCATGTTACCTCACTATTCTTGGACCAAATAACAAGATAATAAAAAAAATTTTATTTTTACCCTTTTTTCTAGGAAATTCTATGATGTAGCATATTTGCTACATCGGCTAATAACATAACAGCTTATAAGAATAACTTTCAGTCCAGTAAATCTTAAAATACCCTGTTCTTTCAATACAAAGTCAGGTATTAACTATGGTTTAACTCAGTTGGTAGAGATATACTATGTTCTCCTATTTACTATGATAGGCAAGGAAACAATTACGATTTTTGTTCAGGCATAAATGAACCTTGCACTTCACACATTTGACAAATGCAAATCCCTCTGGACAATTCCGACACCGCTGCCTTTTGTCCTCATAGCTGGGCATATGGCCAACACCATCAAACCGAACATCAGTTACAGGTGCTGGGTTTACCTCTTTCTTTTTCTTGCTCAAACAATCGAGTGATCGACGCCCACGTTGGGACTTTTTTACATTGCATAAGGCTGCAGCAACCATAGCTTGAAATTTCCTCAAGGGCATTACGCGAACATCTAAGGCTTTGCAATCTCTTCTGTACAGGAGCCATGCATTCACCAGAGCAATGGTTAGGGTGTGGTAAAAGATATAGAGATACCATCGCTTGCTTCGAAGTTGATACTTGTAAAGTGTGCACAACATGTCCATGAGATCAACTCCACCCATTGATTTGTTGTAAACCCCGATAAGAGATGGACGTTCAACATTGACATGCTCCTTTTTTGACCTATCATATCTTCGCACAGAATCAACTTCTTCAGCTCCAATATAGGACGATATCATAGTGACACACTTGTTATCAAACCAACGAACTAATGACAAATTTTTTGTTGTCTCAACAACGCTGTCATGTGCTCCTCTACCTTCCTTTTTCAATTCTTTCTCTGACTTCAGTGGAGCTCCATGAAGGCGATTGCTATTGATGGTGCCAACATAATGCAAACCTCGCTTTTCCAATTCACTCACCATAGCGAAATTTGAAAAGAAGTTGTCAGCAAATACCTATAATGTAATTTATCTCAATTTATTACAATATGCTATAACAGTCGCCCCAAGCTAGGTTTATTTACTTTGAGTAAAATCAAGCAAACAGAAAATATCAGGGAGTTACAATTACAGGCACAACTAACCTTGAAGTTTCTGTCTGATGGAAGAGCTGAACATAATTTCAACACGACATTTCCACCCAATCCACAATCTGGAACATTATCATTATCATCCATTCCAGTGCCTTTGCCTTGATATATGTCAAATACATGTAAAAAACCAGTGGATGAGCATCGGGCCCAAAGTTTGAACCCCCATTTTTTGGGCTTCTTTGGAAGGTACTGCTTAAGAATAGATCTTCCTTTGAAGGCAACCATTATCTCATCAACACATTGGTTTTCTGAGGGACTTACTTCAGAAAAATTTGCATTCAAATCATCAAACCATCGCCTTATCTTCCAGGCTTTATCTTTTTTTTCTTCCTCTGTTACTTTTAAGTTGTCAACTATGTGCAAATATGAAGCAATCCTCTGGAATCGCTGCCTTGCCATTACATCAGCAATTGGGTGATAACGAGTATATGTCTCCCAAAAGCAACCGACTGCTGGCATTTTCACTAACCCCATATGGAAATATAGACCAATGAATGTTTCTATTTCAGATGAGTTTGTTTGTAAAGTGATTCCTGCTTTCTGGTGGGCATAATTATTGGATTCCTCAGCCAAATATTCAAGCATGTTATTGGTCACAAAATACTTGAAGTAGTTGTAGGGTGTGTCCTCCTTTGGCTCGGGTTCAAGGGCAGCATCAACAAAATCAAGATTTGAAGGTGGAATAAATCGTCTTCGCTTGTTAAAATTGTATACTTTTTTCTTCTTTGCAATAGAAGCAAGTGGCTCATCATCACTAAGTAGCTCCTCGTTAATGGCATCATCACATTCATATTCTTCATCAATACTGTTATAATTAGGCAGAGACTGTTCATAATTTATTTCATCTGACTCATCATCACTGGATAATTCATCTAACTCACTATCGGAACCAGTAACAGCCTCAATAATTTCTTCAATGGTATCATAATGATGTGGTTCCTAAGAACAGAAGCAATATTTCAGATATTTGTCAAAAATGTAGCAATATATTGTTACCAATTTACAACCTATAGTTTCTAATTCAAAGGGGTCATAGGTTTAAAACAAATTTAACTTTTATTTACAATTTTTTACAAAAAAAAAAGCCAGGAAAATGAGATTATTCAATATTTGTCATTCTCATTAATTTTACTCTGTGTTGACCAATGTAGCTTATGTGCTACATTGAGTTCTACTTATAAATTTCGAGTGTTAAAAGAGATGGTTTTTGAAAAAAATACCGCCCAAATGATCTTTAGAGTTCCTAATTTGAAAATATTAGCAAAGAATTAACAAATTATAACGATTGAATACTAAAATTAAATTTAGAATTACCTTGAATTCTGCCAATTCCTTCACTCCTTGAGCCGCCATTTTTAATTAATACAAAAACTTCACAACCGGGGGGGATGGAGGGTGTTATGAATATTAATGAGAAGTACATGTAGCAAATTATCTACAATGGTGTAAAAGTTGAAAAAATATTCCAAAATGAAGGCAAAATGAGCCTTGATTTTCCAGTGTAGCATATCTGCTACAAGGGATAATATAGGGTTAAAGGCCCGTTATTACACTTGCAACTTTCTTCTTTTGATAGATGTGAACGAGTGAATTAATTACTAATGTTCAAATAAGAGCTCGTATTAATCAGAGCATTTGTAACTAATTACTCGTTCACATCTATCAAAAGAGGAAAATCGCAAGTAAATAAAACATATTGTTACCACATTTCGGTTATAAAATGGACTTATAACGAGATATTGAACAATTCAAAGACGTATAGTATAAAATGAACAGAAACCAACAGTCATTAAAAAACCGAGTTTCTTTAATTTTAATTTCGCTTAACCAGAATATACTAACTTTAATATGAACAGTTTACAAGTATTTGTTAAATACGAATTTAGCCGTTCTGACCGCAAGTGAAAGGCCTGGGGCAAGCATGAGAATAAAAAATCTATTTGCTATCTCGCCAATTGTGTCCATTCATTATCATTTAAAAAACTAGAAAGTAAATGTTTAAGAGAGAAATAAAACGTGCATCACGAGATATTATACGGTAGTTTTGCAGTTCCCATTTAAAACTAGCTCTAGACCCCTCCTTGCGGTTTGAAACTTTGGATAATTTGGTAACATAACGTATACATAACACTTGTAAAAAGCTTCAAGGTTACTCTAACGAAACTTTGTCGAATGATGAGCAGGGCCCTCCTCAACGTCGCAATTTATATAGTATATACACACAACACAAACACAAATACAGTCGAACCTAATTAAAAATAAACTAATTTGCTAATTTCATACTTTCCCTATAGCGCACTTCCCCACAAATGGCGTGTTTTTATGTACCTCGGGTTACCATTAGAAGGCAACCTCACACCCTCCAATCTTCCCCAGTGCCCCGTTTAACATTTATTGATAAACATATTTACGCTGCACGACTGATGATCTCCAAATATGAAAAAATATAAATTGGCTTGTTTTCATGAGGGTGTGTGGTACAGTTAAATACGTAATAAATAAACTAAAAGATTTGGTTCATATAGCGAGCCTTTGTCAATGATTTTAACGAACACCATTCATGAGAAAGCACGCACTATGATCTTACACTAACCAGTCTTTCAATCCTGGTAGAGAGTTCGCTATGTCTGCCCGTTCATGTTACTGCACGGAACCGCCCGTCAGTTTGAAGAACAGCTCGTGGTCGACAGGTTGATTGACATCTTTACGCATTGAGAGGAATATATAACCGCCAATGAATTCGTGGATGCTTTTGATGTCCGAACTGGTGCATATGAAGCGAATTCTCTCGCCTTCGCAATCGATGACCATTTCCTTCGTCTCCCAGTTGACATTCCAGGATCTCATAACGCTGTAGCGCCAGCTGTTCAAGATCTTCCCGCTTGTCGCGTCGATCTTCGTTATCTTGTTGTCTGCTATACCCAGGATCTCCTAATATAGACAAAGTTAACGTTTATATTTCATTCTCTCATATACTTTATTTATACTGGATAGTTCTATCAGTTTTAAATTGTTCTTCCTAGATGTTCAGTAAGGATCATCTCTTATTCATCCAGTGTTACTACAGGAGGAAACCTAAACTAAACTAACTTTATTTATACTGGATAGCTCTATCAGTTCTAAACTGTTCTTCCTAGAGGTCCAGTAAGGATCATCTCTTATTGATACAGTGTTACTACAGGAGGAAACCTAAACTAAACTAACTTTATTTATACTGGATAGCTCTATCAGTTCTAAACTGTTCTTCCTAGAGGTCCAGTAAGGATCATCTCTTATTCATCCAGTGTTACTACAGGAGGAAACCTAAACTAAACTAATTTTATTTCTACTGGATAGCTCTATACGTTCTAAACTGTTCTTCCTAGAGGTCCAGTGAGGATCATCTCTTATTGATCCAGTGTTACTACAGGAGGAAACCTAAACTAAACTAATTTTATTTCTACTGGATAGCTCTATAAGTTCTAAACTGTTCTTCCTAGAGGTCCAGTAAGGATCATCTCTTATTGATCCAGTGTTACTACAGGAGGAAACCTAAAATGTGGTTTGAATGCGAAATGACTTACGTCCTTCTTTGAGACTTTATCTGCTCTAAAGCGCACGCCATAATTTGTAATTCCAAAGTCAGGCAGCTCCTGCCATTTTCGGATATAGTTCATCTTCGCCTCCATCACTGTCATCAGATTCAGAGAAGAATGAGCTTCTAAAATCCTCGCAGCGACCTGGTAAAATAACAAAACCTCTTGAATCCTGTCTACCACACACCACACCACACCACGACGAGGTTATCGCGGACCAAGCCTCACCTGTTTCGCCTTGTACTTCTTCAAAACTCGACCTGGGACAAAATCTTCGGGTTGAATTTGAACCTAAATGAAGATAAGGGTAAATCAATTGTGATTTTTGGCACTTCACTCCATGCACGTAAATTCTAGAGGTTTAAAGGGTGTTAATTTCGAGTGGAATTATACACACTTCAAATTCAAGCCAGGAACAGTTGAAGGAAAAAATGAGTCAACTATAGGTCCTCCGGCAGGAATCGAACCTACGCTTTTGGATTGCCGGTGCTCTTGTCAGCTACCCCTGTAGCTCAGTGGCAAGAGTTAGATTACTGCCAGAGGACTTATAGTTGACTCATTTTTCTATCAACTGTTCCTGGCTTGAATTAGAAGTGTGTTTAATTCCACTCGAAATTAAGACCCTTTCAACCCTAAATGAAGATGGTTTCAACATGTTTGAAGAAGCCACTTTTGGACGTCACTAATGCAAGTTGTATACTCACACCCCCCGGTGCTGTCGTATTCTTGAAATTATCCTTATTTCTTTGCATTGCCAGGAATGCCTCAATGCCATGCACCTCAGATTCGTACGAACTGTCCGCCATAGTTTTCCCTTTCGATGCTAAACGGAAAGCTCCCATCCACTTGGAGTACTGGCTCTCCTAAAAAATCCATTTTACTTCACAAAACGTATTTCTTGGTCGAATGCGTGAATAGTGAGAAATGTTTAATCATTTTACAGGGAGGGAGGTTAAATCAATGAGGATTGTCTCGGATATGTATAATTATGTAGGGAAATTTTTAAAAGAGTTTTATAGGCCCGTTTATACTAGCAATTTTTGCTGCAATTTTCTTCTTTTGATCGATGTGAACGATTGAGTTAGTTAGTGATATTCAAAAATATATTATACATCAGAGCATTCGTACCTAATTACTAATTCACATCTATCAAAAGAGGAAAATCGCACATATTTAAACGGCCTTAAGAGTCATTTTACAAGAAAGATGATCTCTAAATACATACACTGGACAAGCCGAGTTCAAGATCACTGATCTCGTCATTGTCTGGAAACTTCAGTTTGATGACAAACTTTTCTTTTTGAACATTGACTTCAGGGTAAACTTCACTGCCTGAAATGAAGGAAGATGGCAATATTTAGCCTGCATCTGGACAGACAGTGTCACAGTAATTGTGTTCATACAGAATACATACCTCGCAAGTCAATTCTCTGAATAGGAGCACCAGTTGCTGCCTCATTCGACTTGTAATAAGAGAAATATGTGTCTGTAGAGAAACACAAAGTTATGTAAATATGGATTTGGTGGCAATTCTTTAAACAACTTTGTCCTATTGATACAGAGATGAACTTATTGTTGAGGTTATGCACCCATCTTGAACAAACAGCTGGTGCTTCTGCAGGCACCATCCCCTACAAAACTAGAGCCCACCCCCCCCCCACAAAACTAGAGCCTACCCCCCCCACAAAAATAGAGCCTACCCTCTCCCCACAAAACTAGAGCCTACCCCCCCCCACACAAAACGGGATTCATCCTTGTATAAATAATACCCCACATATTGACAAGTCTTGTGAAATATGCTTGATTCCTACCTCGAAATACACACCAAAATTTCTTCTTTTCTTTCATGCCCAACATTTTGTGCCTGACGAAACAAAAATACCATTGTGAATATGGCAGATGAAGCCATCGAAAATACCTGAGCCATCTTTCCTATACTTACTTTATAAGAGTCAACCAGTCACTTAACTCTGGCATTTGAGTCAATGTCTATGAAAAAAAAAGGCAAGAGTATAGCAGACCATCATATTGAAGTATTGGTTTGGATTAGATTTGTGTTTGATGTCTTAAAATCTAAATGCTTGTTGGAACCTTCAAAAATGAGTTTTGATCAATTTTAATTAACGTTTTTACAAAAAATCCTGAAGCTATCCATTAAGTAACATCATTGATTTATCACCTTTTGAGAAGCTGGAGTACTTGTTCCTTCTAATGTTAACTAAAATAAAGAATATGAACTTAGGACATGAACTAATGGTACCATACCAGATGCATTGACTGACAGCTGAGATTGACTGGCATGAAACAGAATAAAATATTTCTTCAGATCCGCTATGAAGTTAATGGCTCGATGCTATTGTAAATGAGTAGATATTTACTTGTAAATCATTCAAAGCACTGGCAATATCATCATCCTGGGCAGGTTTGCTTTTCTCTTCCATAGGGGGAGATGATGCTGCAATCTTTACTTGAAACTATACGTGTTTAAAGAACAAAACAACAAAGGAATTTGAATGTGCCCTATCAATTCTCACAAAACACAAATCCATTGCAATAATCGAACCTTTTCCCTTTCAGTTTTCAAGCGCGCACTGCATGACAGTAGCTGATTATCAAGCAATTTTAGGTTACGTTATTGCTCTGCCTAAAAGAGATTTTGTTTGTAAGAAAACCTTGCTGATTCTTTTTGCTTTCTGGTTAAACTAAATCACTCTGGAACATGGCGAAATCGCAACCTATATTGACCTCGATAATCAACTACCGTCACATATTGCGTGCTTGAAAGCAAAAAGGGGAAATGTCTATTAGCCAGATCCAGCACCATAGAAGTCATTTCACTAACCTGCAGAGCAGCAAATGTCATGACCTCTTCCTCAGTGCAATCAACTTCCTCAGCCTGGACTGACCATTTGGCTTGCTCATAGATCTGATTGATTCTCACTTCATCAACCTTTCAAAATAACATACAAGTTGCATAATTATATCTAAAAAGATTATCTCCTTGCAACATATCATTTACACACACAAAACACACAAGTTCTAACAAGTCTGAAAAACATCAACTTACTGCTGGTTTGAGATCAAAGAATGAATAATATTTAAATCTCAGCATCAAGTGCTCATCTTCTTCAACATCCTAGAATAAAATAAATAACTTAAAAACACAAATCCTTGTTAACTTTCTTTTCAACGTTACAGTTTGTCAAATGAGTGCTGCATGAAATGGTCTCACTGACCCTGTGCATTGAATCAAAATTTTAAAGTGCACTATTAAACTGCAACAGTCAATTTTCCATTTACCTGTTCCATAAGTGACCTTGAGGAATCAAGCCAACTAAAAATGTAACATTTGTTAGCATTAGTTTATTATGAAAATTTACTAGGCTGTAGAAATAAACATTGAAATTTTCTACATCAAGTTCAGTCAGCATGAAGATATGCCACTGTGAATATAAAATATATGAATAAAATGGCAGAACAAACTACACCCATATTTAGTAATTTCAATGGCAAAGGTTATCTTGTTCCAGACTGATAATGCTGTTCAGGTCAAGGCCAAGTATAACAAGATGGAATATATCCTTGATAAAATTGTTCAAACAAGTTCCCATTGTAAACTCATCCACAAAAATAAATAAAACTTGTTAGCTTTTAGCAAGTGTTGTCATCATTAAAAAACTGCTAATGCTAACATGCCATATGAAAAGTAATAAATAATAACTCCCATTAAGCCGACTTAAGTATGCCTGTACTAAGGAACATTTCTAATTTGAAAGTCTTTAATTTTTAATTCAGCAACAAAACAGAATTACTTGCTGACCATTAATATGGAATTTTTGATATTGTTTAGTATTTCAGGCAACAAATATATGACACCTTTGTGTCAACAATAGACTTGAAGCTTTGTAAAACTGAAATTCAATATTTGTTCAATTTGTACCCTGCCAGCAGGGCACAATAGGCAAACTAACTAAGCCCTTTGAAATAGAAGGCTGTTGTGCAATATATATTCTAAAGCTAAATTTGCGACAGTAATTGCAACAAGTATGTAATTAGAATGTTCCAACTAAAATAATTGCAGCATAATTTGTAACAAAAATATCTGGAAATTGGACAAAAATTTCTGGAAATTGTAGAAAATCTGCGAAATTTTAGCAAGAGAAGTAACATTTTAGACAAATTAATAATTTACGACCATCTAAACGTGTTAACATTATTGAAATGTTTTGCAACTACATGGGATATTAAAGCGAATTATTTGGTGCAAATGGTAAAATAAACATTGATAATTAAAAAAGTATAACGCCATTTCCAAAAGCATGAAATATTGGCAGAGCGCACATACCCAGCATGGAAAAGAATCTTTTCAGCCAACGATTTCGCTCTGTAGATGGTCTCCAAAACCTCTTGAGAATGGACGGAGGGACTCGAGGCCAAAATATGATTTTCAGAATCGTAACTGTCGAAAGAGCCATGGCTTTTTGGAGACCCAGGTGTCGACGCGCTATGCTGAGACCCTCCATCGATACTTCCCGCTTTGCCAGGAACTGCGAGTCGCCCGTCTGCGCTGACAGCCGTTTGTATCTCGTCGGAATTATTACTATGCTCCGAGCCTTGAGATCCTCGCCGTTTGCTTGAAGACTTGCGAGGCGTTCGTTTCTCTTTCTTCTCCCGAGCAGGAGGCCTCAGCAACGAAAGCTCTTCTGGGTGACGAATGCCGAAATGCGAGCAAACTTCGGTGACTGCGTGGAAGACTTTCTTTGAAAAATCTACTGTCGTGTCGACGAACTGCAAATCTGGCATTTGAAGATGTACATTCTTGTGTTTTGGCGTGAACTGGAGCTTTGAATCGGCTTGAACGCCGCAAACGTCTAGGGTTACTCGTGATCTAAGCAACCATGTTTTGCGTTGTGGCCACCAAAGAGCATGATCAGACCAATCTCTTGCAACACCTTGAAAAGTTTACATTTTAAGAACTTGTATAAACACAATACAACACTTCATTTTCGTCTCTAGGAATATTTCATCCCGAAACGTCGGTAGTTATTAAAATTAACCGCACCTAAAAATACGATCTTAAATTTCAAGCCATGTTTGGGGCGAAGAGCTCGCTCAACGAACCGTTGGGTTCAAATCAAAAGTCATCGTTGAAGAAGGCAGACATTTTGGCCACAAATCAAGTGCTCTAAAGCTTATTACGATAAAAACAGTCAAGTCTAACAATTAACATACAAAAAATACTGAGACTTAATCATGTAATCTAGCAACCATTTATAACAACATTTGCCTACCAAGTCTGTTTACGAGTTCGACCATTAAATTGCCAACAAATGTTTGTCCAGTAACTTCCAAAGTCTTCTCCACGTTTAAATCAGACACGTAGATGGTAAGCAGCCATTTTTGTTGGCGAGACATCTTGGAATACGCTTTGAAACGTCAAATGTTCGCACACAAGTGCCCCACTATGTGTGTTCAAAAGATCCTGAACTCCAAGCAAAAATGTGCTTCGTAAACCAGCGACGAATGCAGTAATCCCCCGTCAAATGTGTTCAGAATTATGAAAGGAGTGTCCCTCAATACATCTCAAATGTATATCCGATTTTTTGTCAGCAGAATAGTCCAAAAAAACCGCAATATAAATATAATATTATTAAGCGTGACTTCACACATTCGTCTCTCGTTTATACGATCCAGCAAGGGTGGGCTTCCGGTGCATGCCCACGTGACTCCATTTATCGCCAGTTGGAATTTGAATAATCGTCTTTGTCGTCAAGAAAATACCGACAAATTATTTTCCCCGTTTATACGTTTATACGTTAATTAATAACAGTGTTTGACATAAACAAAAACCTCTACATCATATACGCGTTGAAATCGTCATAAATACGCCCATGGGTTTTTCTACCGCGCTAATTGAAAGTAAAATGCCAGTAAAACGTGCAATCGAAAAGTTGATAATTTTAGCCCCTTATAAGGACTTTGATGGCAATTATAATGTTCGATTGTGTTCGATATACCTTGAACTCGGAAATAATTAATATTCACGTATGGATACAATCAAATAAAAAATTTATACATTGTACAATAAGTTGAATTTGCATTAGAATATAAGCACTTACATATTATTGTAAACTTCACAGATGAACGCCATATCTCACTAAAATATTATTTTGTGAGTTGTGAAATTGTGCAAAAAAGGAATATGGAATGTTTATCATTAGGAATATTTATCATGGCAATCATGATTTAAAATCCCAAATGTTTTCAGTATTTTCTCGAATGAAGAAATGGATCTCGCCTAAGGGCCCAGGGTGGCAGGTCAAGTTTGTAGCCAAAAACTCTTCCCATAAGGGTCTACCTTAGCAAACAAATAAGTGACATACATGTAGTGATGTTGAAGAAAGTTTGCGATAATTTTATACGGAAATAATTCATGGATTTCAGTTAACTCTGAAACCTTAGCTAGTTTTCATTCGCGCAAAGATGAACTCCCAATCATTGCGAGTGTTGCCTAACGGAAAACAGCCTTTGTTTCGGTGAGAAGTAAAATTTCAAAAATTACAATGATCTCAATTCTCCTGGCTGTGGATGGCCTAACGACAAACGTCACGTGAATGAAAGACCAGCGTCTTTACGCATTGGGAACTTCCAATTGCGTCAACGAGACGTGACATAACTGTCGAGTACTTCAGTTTCAGAAGTAAAAGTTCATTCCTATAATAAAGTTATTCTTGAAGATTCCTTCACGATAGTACATTTTTTTACATTTTTTACATAAGATTTTTTACAGAATCATTAATTTGCTCCAGAAACTAGAAACACGACTAGAACATTACCACGCTTTCGGCTGAATTGCGTCCGGTTTGTGTGGGCTGAGAAGCCCGGAATTACTCAGAGAAAACCCTGTGAAAAGTTTACAGCATCCAATCGCTTTGTTAAATCATGAAATAACAAAGAATTAAAAGGGATTTATTAATACAACGTGGTTTGCCAAGGGCTTGGTTGTTGGAATGCGGAAAGAGGCAGATTCACCACACGTGCTCCGAGTATCTTTGTAAAAAATGTGTAAAAATATAGTATTTTTCATGCGTCTTAAAAATAACTCAATTTGCGCCTGTGACAGTTTCTGCGCTTTTTTACCGGGAAGATTGCGACGGCGCCATCTTGGTTGATTTTCGAAACAAGTTCATGATTGGCAAATCATATTTTCTTTTCATATAGCTGAGATATAGCTGTCGTATTTGAAATGGGAACTTTTGAACAGTAACCAATACGACAGACATTGTAAGCATTCACAAAACTTCGCCTCTCTTGAAGAACAAAAGTTGACAAGCTTGCACAGAGACAACCAAGATGGCGCCAGGTTAGGACGTCAGATGAATTAACGAATAACTCACTGATAGTCCTCTTTCCGGCAAGAAATGTGAACGAAAAATTATTACAATCAAATATTAAAATTTAAATGTTGGATATATGCTTTGTGTCCTCGAAATTTCTATGCATTAAAACTCTCTCTACGGGATTCGTTTTGACAATTAAATGACGCCACAGTCAGTGCAATCAATATCACATTCTCAAGTCTATAGAAACGCGAACATTGAGATGCACAAAATATTTTGCATAGGCAGCATAGCATAATACAATATTGTCCAAAGACGCCCCACGATCAAACTGAAAGGAAACACTGAGGTAGCCGAAGAATAGTTTTACTTCCATAGTTCCAGCAGTGATTTTTGTTGTTTTAGCCATAACACTCCAAAGATTTGTTAAAATAATGTTTATTTTATTATTGTGAATGCATTTAGGTGACATTAAAAATGCAAAATATGTTGTGAAGTGTGCGAGGATGAAGAGTCATCAACAACTCTTGAAAAAAAAAAGCGTTGTTTTTTTTCAACTGCATTTTTTTCAACTGCATGCCAATTTTGGAAAAAAGTTCAAAGCTAAAAAAACAAAGGAAATCTTTGTATATTTAATATACTTCATCTCCAAAAAGTTATTATTTCCATATTTTAGTTCAGCATTGCTTAAATCATATGTATTTTTGCTGAAGTGAAAACTGCTAAATTTAGGCCAATATGCAAGGAAGTGGACTTTGGCCAAATGGGCGGACAAAACTACTTCATCCAAGTGGCTCTTTCTACTGGTCCAATATGCTTTTACACTTTCTACACGAAAGTTTTCCTCCCGCGGATAATATTTGCCGAGTCCATTAGCTCCAATCCACTGTCATTTTTATTTTAAATACCTCGATGTTGAACATCCCATATGTGGTATCTTTGTTCCCAATTCCCCTCAAGTTCTGCTCGCGCCATCCTCAGTAAATATACTCAAATAGTGACTTTAGCCATGCCTTGAACAGTTCGGAAATTTATCAAACAAAAATGGTACACCCAATATAATAAAAAATAAAAAACCGCATGAAACGTCATAGGTGCTTCTGTCTTATAGATCATTTTACTTCAATTCACAATATAACTTACTTACCATGCAATCATGATTTGTGTCAAAACACAGAGCTCAATATCTCAGCCAATTCCTTCTCGTGTACTTGGCTGATTCCCACGGCTGGGGTGGCCAGGGTTCTTCTACCAATGTAGCGTAACTACAATAATAATGATGATAATATAGCTTTCCACAATAATTGCAGGGTACATTACTTCGAAAAAACTGATCGTTCCGTTCGGACAAGGCTACCTTTACACCAAGGAGGTTTTCAAAGCGAGGATTTACAAACGTCCAGGCGCCCATGTTTCTATGTTCCTCTTGGCACCAAATAAAATCTGAATTACATAGAAAGATTGTATGAGTATATATTGCAAGAACTTTAGTAGTTAATGATCTTTTTTGAGACAAATAGAGGGGGGCACACCCTCGCTTCAGCTCGTTCCTTGTTGAAGAGGAGGGTGAAGATTGTGATCTTCCAATGACGCAATGAGGATTAGCAAAGGGACAGGGGAGGAACCTGAACTGCCTCGTTGGGGGAGGGGGAACCCGGACCTTCTAGCTGAACGCCCTTAATAGTGAATTAGGTGGGGAAGGAACCGAAACTTCTCGTTGAGAGGGTGGAACATGAGACCTGAACTTCCTCGTTGAAGGAAGGTTCGACACTCCATTAGGGAGAGAAATAACTGGAGCTTGCCCCTTGAAATTTAGATCCCCAGACCTCTTTGTTTAAGGCGACGAACCCTCAACCTTGTTAGGGACGAGGGGGGAGAGGGGTAGGGAACGAGCTTTGACGATGGTCTGCTTCCGCATGTTCGCTGGCTCACCTGAAGCATTTGAATACTTCTGAATTTCCTGCTTAATTGCTTCGGCCGGGAATGGCGTCAATGCCTGCGGTGATAAGAAAAAACGGGCAGAAACATTAGAAAGTATATGGATAATAATCAACTTTAAGACACAATTATCTATATTATGAACCCATGCATGCAGTACAAACCTCAAGACGAATGATGGCGGTATCTTGAATATTTTTGTTTTCTCTTTCCTTCGCCAGAGAATAGTAAAACTTCCCGGAGCAAAATATAACACGTGATACTTGACTTGGCTCAACGTGATGATCGCCCAAGATTGGTTCGAAATGTGTCCCAGGAGCCATCTCGCTTAATTTTGACACAGCAACCTTGAACAAATTTAAATACGAACGGTTAACATAAAAGGTCACAAAGTCACATTATACAACTGGTTCCTTCCCGCTAAAAGTAATATTTACTGAACCTAGCTCTAGCCTGAAGAACAGTTTAGAACTGATACAGCTATCCAGTATAAATAAAGTTAGTTTAGTTTAGGTTTCTTTCTGTAGTAACATTGGATCAATAGGAGATGATCCTTACTGGACCTATAGGAAGAACAGTTTAGAACTGATAGAGCTATCCAGTATAAATAAAGTTAGTTTAGTTTAGGTTTCCTCCTGTAGTAACACTGGATCAATAAGAGATGATTCTTACTGGACCTCTAGGAACATAATTCTTTCATATTTAAGTTATAAACTTACCGGTGACCTCAGGAGAAGTTTTGGTGAGGCAACAATCAAAGGTTTTCTAAAGTTTCGAACAATCTAGATGGGAACAAAAAGCCGGGTAATATTAACTACTACAACATGCATAAGCCATTTCAAGCCATTTCCTCTAGAATCCCTTTTTTATTTCAACGAATGTAACGTCATTGTCTTTGAGGAGAACCTGGCAGGCTGGCACAATATACCGACCTGACGTCGTAATAAATGAAAATACTGTGCTGGTGTTGTAGGGTTGACGATATGCATGTTAACATCATCACCATCAACTTCATCTTCTGTGCTGTCACTCAACTGGTGGGAAAATGATTGGAAAAAGATTAAAAACACAAGAAAGAAACGCACAAATCGATGTGTTTATTGTTGTTCTTGTTTGCTGCTGTTGTTCTTGTTTGCTGCTGTTGTTATTGTTGTTGTTGTCATGGTAGTTGAACATCGCTGTTTTATTCAAAACATTCCTTGCATTCCTTCACGAACCTGTAGAAAACGTTCAATACGACAAGAAGAATGCTCAGGACCCATTCCGTCCATACCATGAGGTAGTAACATCACTAAACCACTTTGGAATAACCACTTGACTGAATAATATAGAAAGAAAAAGGCATGCAACTAGGCGGACAATTTGAACTGGGCAGGCCAGGTGATGTAATGAATAGGTAGAATTATTGGATCAATGCTGTATTGATGGAAGAAGCTTCTTCAAACTAATTCTTTGCTAAACAAACCCACCAGAACAGCAAACTACACTTACTTTCGCCAGAAGACACAAAAGTGTCGATGATGACTTGAGCGCCATTAAAGAAATCACCAAACTGAGCTTCCCAGATAATCAAGTTGTTTGGATCATCGATACTCATTCCGTATTCAAAAGCTAAAACAGCCTCTTCTGAGAGTGGACTGTTGCACACCTGTGAAAGTAAAGTACATTCCTCTCTGTTCTCTTGGAAGGAACGGTTGCTCATGTTCTCAAGATCTCACCTCGAGAAATGATTTCTGGATTTGGTACAAATGATTCTAAGGAAGGGCTGCACATGTTCCCAAGATCTTACCTCGAGAAATGATTTCTGGTCTGGGTACATATGATTCAAAGGTACGTAAATCTTGTCTGAATCCTGGCAGACCACCATCACATGCCGATGACTGAATGTTCCTCTACCAACATCCTGACCACTGATACGCACATTGTGTCCTACGCAGGTATAATTCAGTATTAATGTACTGGTATGAACTGGGGTTTAACATTGACCCAGCATTACTACAGGAGAAAAAATAATGAGAAGTACTATCTTCTCAAGATATTCTCACAAATCCCTGCATCACCTCACATCACATCACATCACCCTATATTCACCTTGATGAAGCAGCGAGCCAAACGCAAGGGCCTCGGCACTAGCCCAGTCAATTTTACTGTCATCTCGAAGTCTCGTCATCCTGGGTTCACAGAACGTTTTACGTAAATGAGCATGAACTGTCACTTCAGGTTCAATCTCACAAGATTTGGCACCGACAAATAACAGAACGTTCAAATCGACCCCTTTGAAAGAAAAAAGTGAAATATGAATAAAATACAAATGTTAGAAAGACTCAGAAGGAGCCCTGGTGACTAGTCACCAATCTCCAACCCTTACCAGTATCATAGTGAGTGACTACGCCTTTCTGTGCAGGCTGAATCCCGGCCCATTGTTTGGTAAGATGTGCTGCCTCTGGTACATGCGTTTGAGCTTTCTTTATTTCTTCTGACAAAACGTTTTTATACGCCTCGAGTTCACCATCGATATCACCAACGTCGACACCTTGCTCAGAGACGGTCCGAAGGTAGAGGTCTGGAACCCGATCACGTGATACGATGTTGCTGTACATTGTTGGTTGAGTGAATGAAGGCTCGTCCATTTCATTGTGACCCCTATGGGTAGAAAAATGATCCATAAAACAATCCTTGATTAGATGAGAAATTCGGAAGAAATTTTTTGCTGGCAAACCTCAACTATTGGCAAGCTTTCTGTAACTCACTAAGCTCAGCTTTGAGGAGCTTACCATCTTCTATAACACAACATGTCAACAATCACATCTTTTCTGAACTTCATTCGGTAATCCATCGCTAAACGGCACGCCCGAATCACCTCCTGAAATGCAAATTCATATTATTTTATCACTGCTAACTTCAAGGCACCATATTATTCCATCAAATTCACCCACCTACCCACCAAAGCCTCTTCTACTCATCTCTTCTCCCCCACTGAAGCTCCATCACACCCCACCGCACTCACCCCTTCTCACCCACCTACCCACTTAAGACCCCATATATCCACCCTGTGCAAGGAAAACTCTTACCTCAGGGTGGTCACCATTCACGTGGAACACGGGACATTCGATCATCTTCCCAACATCACTGGAATATCGCGATGACCTGAAATAACATTTCAAACAATCATTACCCATGAAACTTTCTGGGAACAATCGTGGGCCAAAACAAGGAGACTGAGGAGAGCGACAAATACCTTCCTTGTTCAGGGGGGGTTGTAAAACCGAGTTGATTATTGATAATCAAATGGACTGATCCCCCGACACTGTAGTGAGGAAGGTTTGCCATACACAACAACTCCGCGACTATCCCCTGGAAGAAATACAAATACAAATACTAGTTCCTTTGTCGGTACCAAACTCGAGATATTGAAGTGTCCTATTTTTGTGATAATAGGGAGCTTTAGCAGTGACTACGAGTACGACTACGAGTACGAGATTCGTCATTCTTTTGCGTTGTTTGCTTACGCCATCAGCCAAAACTCGTAGTCGTTGGGCTTTTGAGTACGAGTTTTTTGATAAACTTCGTACTCAAAAGCCCAACGACTACGAGTTTTGGCTGATGGTGTAAGCAAACAACGCGCGAGAATGACGAATCTCGTACTCGTAGTCGTACTCGTAGTCACTGCTAAAGCTCGCTAATGATTCAAGCACTCCGCACTACAAGCGGTCTTCTCGGGTTCTACTAAAAACCGCCCAAGACCGCCCGGGAGTACTGAGGTGAAATTATAATCTAGAAGTGCATATTACTGGCATTGAATCTCGCAGGGATGAAAGAGTAGTCACCTACATTGACTAGTAGCCTGGGGTACATAGCTGAAAACGATCGATGAGATCTAACCTTCAAAGATGTGGAAATACAATTACTGTACCTGGGCAGCAATCGCTGCATCCCCGTGAATTTGTAAGCAAAGGGTCTAAAACGGAAATTTAGAAGACAATTAGAAACAGATTAACAGAATTGTGACGTTGTATGTAAGTTTGAGGATGTACGCTTCCTGATATGTTAGACATTAGGGACTGAACTTTGACGCTCTTTTGACTGACAGAAAGAGCCCAGTTTACATTTATTTCTCATATTGAGCGACCCACCGACCTTGTCCCCACATCGACTGTTAGGATCGCTACTGTAATGTCCTTCACGTGATCGCAGTTGTTTAGCACGTGTCTTGCCACACGCCACCGGGTCCTGGGCATCGAGATGAGAGGGGTTTGGTAAGAGGCTAACGTGAAGTGGTCTTTCTCCACCATAGTCCAAATCAGTTGATATTGCTGAATTGAAAGAAAGAAAAAAATCGGAGATGAAACTCTCAACATCATTTAGCCAAGGCTTTGATGAATTGATGGTACACTTACATAAATGTGTTGCTAAATCCCCTGTTCCAAGATTCGCTGGATATTCCGACTTACCCATAGCCTAATGTATATGGAAAGATAGTGAAATGATATTTAAGTTTTATACATTTTTGTAAAAGCCAAGACTCTATAAAAAGAAAGCTTTACCACATCCATCATTCCTCTCTTCTGCACATCTCCACAATTTCTATTAATTTTTTCTTCGAAGAATGAAGAGCTCTGATATACTCACTTTACAAAATATCGTCGCTGGAGGAAGCCCGAGAACACAAGTTAGCAATTCAAGCTTTCCTCTGTGAGCCATGGCAATCACAATGTCCTCAATTCCATATTCTGAAATATGTGAGACAGATATCTCCAGATTAAGAAGTGCAACACATGTCACCATGCTTCAAATCACCATTGAAAACCAACACCTTCTGGTGTATGATATATTACAACGAAAGCTCCGTTACCAGCAGATGAAGTGGAGAACAACTGATCAACGAAGGCCAAGGCACTTTCAGCACCAGCTCCACAGTAGCGTTTATACGTTGGAAATTTCTTTGCCACAAAATCATCAAACACCTAGGAGATCCAAAGGGCAGAATAAGACTGGGAAAGCATTAGGTTGAATTAAATTTTTGATCTGTTAAACCACTAAATAGAAATCCAAGAACAATTTTATCTGTAGATAATTATAATCAGCCAGTTTTCGATTTGACAAAGTTGTAATGCCTTTAGAGCATTTGACGCATGCAAAATGCAGGAGTCCGGCTTACAAAAATATGCAAATATCACAATAATATTACAAAATCAATCAAACCTTTGCTTTCATAAGAAGTCTGGCAAAATGCTTTTTTTCTGCTGCATTTAAAGAAAATGTCATGCTTTCTTCTACTTTCCTTGCAATCCAGAGTTTTTCTTGTTCATTCTAGAACAAGCATTTACATTTTTTCATGTGTTTTGCATATATAACACAGGCTGATATTGTTTCTCAGATACTGAAGTCAAACTTACTGAGATGTGATTCACTTCAACAGAGAGATGTCCACAATATGTCCTTTCAAGACCTTCAATAATTTCCTCTATGGTAGCTGCTCCCTGTTTTGGCATATGAAAAATTCCTAAAGTAATGGATTATTGAAAACTAATTAGATTATAGAAGCCTGTATCTCAATACGCAACCAAAAAGACAATTTAGGAAAATAAATTAACCTGATAAATCATATCTCTCATCATTTTGAGATCCAATCAATATTGACAAGTCATTTTCAAGCTCTTCTGCATATCTATATAAACACAATTTATTAACAAATTAATGCTATTTTCTCCAGCTAAAATGATGAAAAAAACAAATTGCCTTTTCCAGGTAGTGGACTTGAGGAAAGCAAGGAGCACCCTTGTGACCTCTTTGAATGCACACAGGCATAAAGTAACTGTTGACCATAATGTGAATAGTATAATAGGGTATATTGCAAAAGAGGTGTTAACATGTCTACCTTGGCAGTTGTTTAAGTGGATCTATAAACGCTTTCTTATGACCATAGTCTCTATACTTTGAAACCAGTTCAACAAGATTATAGTGTTCAGAAGCAATTCTTCTATCAACTTGAGATGTTGCATCTAGAAGTATTTTCAATATCATATCAATTAGTATGGTCATGTCCATCAACCTACTGTCCATCATACAAGCTAGGTATGGTCCACTAATCTCATAGTGCAACCCAGGTAATTGGTTGGGTTGTACACTGGCAGACACTTTGACCTAATAGCTGGTAACCTAATAGCTGGTACAATCATTTCCTGAACGAGTTGTAGAAAATCTGGTATTAGGTGGAATATTATCATGGTTTACTGAAGCATAACTTTCTGCAATGCACATAAAAGCCAGCTATATTTCTCACAAGTCAGTCTGCTTGATGCTAAAAACAGACCATACTGTGCTTATTCACACAACATATACAATTCCAAAGAGTGTTATGATAAAGTAACATACATGTGACACGTTTATTAACATCATAGTATGAAATAATTCAAATTCATAATTAGTAACAATACAACTCAGTGAGCTTACCCTCTTCCAGCAAGGTTTCTTTATATCCAAATCTATTAGTTTTTGCCTTATATCCACGCGAAAATACACTCCTAGGAAACACTTTTCGGCAATATCTTAAATTTAACATCTTTTTAGAAAACTCTGCTTTTAGTTTTGCTCAAAAAAACGTTGATACGTGTATTTATTTAACATTCCTTTTCGCCCCCGGCTATTCTATCTGAAAGTACCTCATGAGGTATAAATCCGGGGGGGAAACGGCGTCCTGCAGAGCTTTTTTTTAGTCTTTGTTTGGACGAAATTGTTGTACAAAATAGGTCGAAAGATCGATTCAAAAGTAAACAATGGCTGATGAAGAAAACTACGAATCAAGTGAGACTCAGGATAAAGAAGAATCAAGCACGCGCCACTCAAGACTTCAATGGAAATGCCTCGATTTTGGCTGGATTATATACACTTGGCCTGGTCGTTTTAAATTGGCCGAATTCCTGACAAGCCTTTTAGGATTTATATGCATTGCTTCCGTAAACGCTTTCGACGAAGAACCACGCTATGAATTTTTCGTATTCGTTGGCATTTTTAGCTGGATCATGGTTTGCATACACATAATTCTAGGAATTCCACATCTCATTGAAAAACTACCAGGAGTTGTGACACAACCATTAGTGTTCCTAGCTTGCTGTGGCTTGGCTGTGCTAGCATGGTTGATTGCATCCAGTATCATTATGGCAAAAGATAAAAACGACACAACAGTGCAGGCAGGAGCAGTCTTCGGATACATAACAATGTTTCTGTTCTTTTTCGAAGCTTTGTATTATATTATTGTGTGGCGCAGGGGCCGTTCTGCGTCTCGGGAAAGGGAAAATAAGGAGATGGACAACCCAGCAGAAGCAGATGACTACGTTCAACCTGAGGATCCAGCATACTAGTTAAACGTGTTACCAGACTAGTGAAACTTGTTTCCATATAAAAAACTAGAATGAATTTTTGACAATGACCTTTTTTGATATCATTACACCGTTATGTACAAACATACATTTCATAATAGTCTAAATTTATGAAACTAATTGCAGTGATGAAGCAATGCCATGTATTTGATATGTCAAGATACATGTCAAAAATGTCAGTGATAATAAGTGTGTGATTATGTGTAACATGTATTGAAGCCATTGCAGTTGAATTTGCAAGTCTGTTATTTTGTTGATTACAACGTCTGATTATATTATCCTATTGATCAAGTGTAAAATGCATTAAATACCATATTTATATTAAGTTGGTTTAGCTTAGTATTTATGACCATAGTTGTCAGTAGAGATTCATATTGAACTATCAGTAGAATCATTTCATGTCACAACTGAAAATTATAAATTTTTAACTTGACCTGTTAGGCTTAGTTGTGGATAATAAAATCATTTTATTAAAATGTGATCACTTGATAAAATTTGCTTCTAACTGATTGAGTCATTCATGAGAGTGTCTAAAAATACTAAAGATATGATTTCATCAGCTTTTACCAGTATTCTAGTCTGCCAGATGATTTTCCAAATGATAACTGAGTGCTGCTTTCAATAGTACTACGTACGCATACGCACCTATTTTTATGCAGGTGTTAAGGCTATTATTAGCCTTTCTCAGGATGACGAATATCCGCCATTTTTGGGGTACTTTCAATTTTCTCAAATGCGTTTAAACAATAATAGCAATGTAAGAAGAATTTTTTAAGAGTCAATAGAACATTTGAGCAATAAATTAAGCCTAAAATTAAAGACAGCCGCCCTGACAAGGTCTTGCGCTCAAAATTTTTTAAAAAAAGTACCCCAAAAATGGCGGCACATTCGTCATCGTGAAAAAGGCTAATGCTCCATTATTAAGTAACTTGGGTCATTGTGCTTGGGTTGTGTCTGGATTGAGTTCTCGCCATCGCTGTAGGGAAAATTCTTTGGCAATAATTAAAAAAAAACAGCGAATAAAATTTGCCATTTCATTGTCTTTCTTCGCGCATGTCAACAAATCCTGAGCGAAGTACGTCACTGTCAAGAATTTCAAAAACATGTGCGGGGTATGACGCAATTTGAACAATAAAAAAATTATGTATGTGTGGGTTCATGGTTACATTTCCTTCCTGCGTTCCCAGTAAACTCCCTCAAATGTAGCAAAAAGCTTCGTTTTCGAAGAGAAAGTTTCGTAAAAGGAATCCTCCTGTAATATCAACGTCATGTATTGGATGATATCCAATTGCATCTGAATGCCAAAACTGCCAAAAGCACAAACGATGTTTTTGCATCATTCCAATCAAAGATTACATCAGTGAGTTGAATTCAGCTCAACGAAAATTATAGTGTTTGGCTTCAAAAAGACACTTCAGACCTTTAAAGTTACAAGAAAGCAGACTAGTGTATACCACAGGTAAGTTCACCATTATTTATCGCTGACATTTTTTGGTCCATCGACGTGCTGATAAAATCCTTTGACCCGTAAGTTTTCCGTCTGTTTTTTGCCAACATTGGCCCGTGTAGAGAAATGAATAGCAATGTATTTTTTTGTACTTGAGCAATTTGTTCTAGATTTTATTGAACACCGGCCTAGCCCTTAGGCTTAGGGGTCTTAACAAACTTCTTAAAACTTCGTAGTCCTCTCTCTAAAGTTCTCTCTCTAAAGTTCTCTCTCTAAAGTTCTCTCTCTAAAGTTCTCCCTCTCAGTGTCCTTCAAAGGGTAAAGAATAAAGGGAAAACGGGGGCGGAAGACGTTCATTCAGACTTGTAATTTGTAAACTTAGAAATTTAGTTCTGTGCGAACATTTAAGACAAAGGAAATCATCGGACTTGGATAGGGCATATAAGGTTATAACGCTTCATCTCTTTACTTTCCTTACGCCGAGTCACCTGTATTTACTAGTATTCTAGTATACTACACGCTCCATAGTTCAGGCGCTAAAATATATAACGTTGCATTCGGTCGTTGTATAGAAGTCAGCTAAAAAAAAGCGAAGCGAGCGCGGGGGCCGGGGGGTGGTTTTGTTTAGCACCGGCGCCCGCTCGTTTTTTTTTCAGCTGACCTCTATATAATAACTGAATACAACGTTAAAAATACTTTAATATTAGAGCGCCCGGGTACGAGGCTGATAGAAAGGCCCTGGGTTTGAGGTACTCTGGGACGAGATTGCGACCTTGCGGCCGAGAATGCCGTCGTAATCCTCGACTCTCATGTTCCATGCCACAGTGATAGGAAGAAAATAACAGTTTACCAAATCACATTGAAGAGTTAAAATTGTGAAATAGCAAAACGTCTTTGGTGAGTTTTCTCCGTTCCGTTAAATTAAACTTTAAAAAGGGCAACTTCGGCAAAATTCACTTACATAAAGAAATTTTCTGTTTATAATAATAAACATATCAGATTGCAACAAAGAGTTCTGTCGAAAGTTGCCACATTACCAAAAGCTCTGAGCTTGTTGCCGAATGTTAATGGTTGAAGTTTAGAATTATGATTATAGAATGATTATACTACACGACCTTGTATAGTGTTAATTTTGTGGTTCGCTATATGTTTACGCTATAATTTGTCGAACTTTTTTGGTAGTTAAGAAATAATAACAGTAATAGCGAGTAAACCTTCAGGCAAATATTAAAATGAAAATTGGCAGAGAAAATTTAATTGTTTAACTTTATTGCGTGACCATAGCACAAAATTGTTGCCATTTCTCTCATGAGCATTTTTGTTCGCAAGTAAATTAGGGCTAAAATGTTGCCGCCTTGCCGGTGATAAGCGGCCATCTTGACCTGAAATTGTTTACGATAAATGTCTACCATCCTAAGGCCATATGTTCATATGAGACGGGCCCTGACTCGCTTTTGCTGGCCAGCTTGATGTTTTCATATGAGCCCATAAAGGCGAGACCTCGCTTTGTTCAGGCCCGGTTCCATATGAATGCAATTTTACAAACATCGTGAAATAATATGTGAAGTGAGATCCCGGCGTGAGCCCAGCTAAAGCGGGCTGGCCCGTTTTATATGAACAAGCCCTAAGTCGGGTTAACGTTCAGACTGGGTTAGACCAGATAGGGAAAACATGACGGTTTTTCAGTTTTCACGTTTACATTGTAATGAGATTAATTCTGATGGGAAGAACTATACCGCATTGCGTGCCTGTGGCTGTGGGTAAAACGACACGTCACGATAATACTTGACGTGTTTTCATGTAATTATGATATACAAGGTGTATAAAAAAACTGCAACACTTCATCATGCATTCTATTCAATAACAAAAGATCGTTGGCCGCTGGGCTCTGGATATTATTAAGGTTGGAATTTTTTTATACACCATGTATATAATATATTATGATTTATGCTGAACAAGGGCCGCGGAAAATCGTTAAGTGATCGGGCAAATATTCAATATATTCATGTTAGCAGAGCGTAAAAACAATTAATTTCAAAAGAAGGTAATAATGCTGCACGCGAATATATGAATATACTTGAAGCTATGTTACTGTGAAAATTCTCTATTAGGTGCTGTTTACATGAGCCCGGTTACCCGAGATTCAACGAAGCGTGAGATGATTTTGAGGTATTGAAATAAGCAGATAACATGATCCTGGCAGTCATATAATCACCACAACAATAGCATGTATTTGTTTTGTTTGGTGTCGTAAAGACTTATTTCAATACCTCAAAGTCATCTCATGCTTCGTTGAATCTCGGGTAACCGGGCTCATGTAAACAGCCCCTTAGACAAGCGTTGGATAAAGCTCAAGGGTACTTAGAAATCTTGATTGCACCGGCACCTGTCCTTATAGTTTCTGTATTTCAAATAAACCAATATTAACTGCACACTCGTAGCAGCACTCTAATACATCATCCACATTGACATGTTCACAACACTACGTAAAATGGGGCCCGCTCTAAGGTTCAACTATAGGTTAACCAGCCTTCGTTTGTTACCTGTCCTTATCCTAACCGCGCGTATTGTGTATTATACTTATCAACGAAAACTATTTTACAGAAAAGTAACTCAAGATGACAGCTTCTGTAATTGCCAGAGGTTTTTCAAGAGCACCCTGGTACAAGACCATTATGATGTGTCGACCGACGTTTTTCGATGTCAAACACCGTCTTTTGAACGCCCACATGGAAATGAAAATTGAAGTGAAGAAGAGTTTAGCGCAGACCCAGTGGGAGAATGCGCACAGCGCCTTGCTGGCGAATAATATCAAAGTTGAACTGCTAGAGCCGCAACCAGACCTCCCCGATATGGTCTTCACCGCAAATGCGGGCATCATTCACGGCAATAAAGCAGTGGTGTCGAGCTTCGGAGCCGTCCCGCGTCAGCCTGAGACGCAGCACCATATACCGTTCTTCAAAGAACGAGGTTTTGAGGTGATAAACCCGCTTGACGACGGAGTTGAAATTGAAGGCTGTGGTGATTTTATGCCAACGCATGACGAGGAAAACTTCTTTGTGGCGTACGGATTTCGCAGTTCTTTCAAAGCATATGCGTACCTCAAAGATGTCCTTTCAATCCCAAAAGATCGTCTTCATCACATGAAGCTGATGGATCCGTATTTTTATCATATTGACACGGCGTTGATGAGCCTCACCCGTGGACATATGATGTATTACCCTGGGGCGTTCGACAAAGAATCCGAGCGCAAAATATTAGACGTCGGTGGGGATAAAACAATCGCAATTGGACAGGAAGACGCAATGTATTTTGCATGTAATTCGGTCAATTTCGAAGAAAATGGACAACATGTTATTGTTGGAAATAAGTTCACTGATGCTCTTCGAGGTAAATTGACGGACTTTGGGTATAAGGTAATCCAGATACCTTACGATCAATTCTTATTGGCTGGTGGAAGTATTCGATGCTCTGTATTGGATATTGGCAAGCCTGAACACGCCTGAATACTGGTTATGAGGTACATTTGTGAAAATATCACATGAAAAGGAAATATCATATGAAAAGGAAATATCATATGAAAAGGATGAAAGAGCAATGTTTCGGAAGTTGGAACTTATCATGTGCTAAACCATGAAAAGTTTGACACCTAAAACAGGCGTTATCAAATGGTGATTTGTCATATTGTTGTCTATGGTTTTACATTCAAGAACTTATATTTATATTCATGAGGGCATATTGTTATTAATAATTTATTTGAATTTGAGTATAATTGTGATATGTTTATGTCTCGTTTACGTGTATGCATGATCTTGGGCCAACAAAACTTTTTTGTGATGAGAATACCAGGACCATTTGTCATTATACTATTCAACTTTAAATTATACCAGCATGTGTCACATTGTTGACAAAATCCTGCGACTTCATTCGCAAATATCATTTCCCGAGTCAAACTGACGTAACGACAGTTGATACAGAACTTTATTCACTAATTATTTCCTAGCCTAATTCATCCGCATCAATAGACTTCTTGGCAATATTTAAATCCATAAATTTTACATCCTGAAAGATGGAAAACTAATTCATACCGGAGAAAGAGCACATCACAGCTTGGCAATGCTTCTGGAACTAAATGGATACATACCTTTGATAGTAGCCGGGTTATTGAGGTTTTATAGAAGTTGAATATGTTCTGGGCACAATCACAAGATACTAGTAAACACCTTTCATACTATAAATAACATGAATTATCAGTAGAAAATACCAGTAAAAGTTGTAATATCATGTTAAAGAATCAAAAATGGCTGCACAAATTCTCCAGTCAAAGTTGATAATAAAGACTAAGGAAATATTTCTACCTGCTGAACTGTGAAGACTCCTTTGGTACTTGATAACACCACCTCTTTATTTACGGACTCAAAGGCAAACGTCAACACAGCCTTCGCTTCCTAAAGAAAAATCAATTCGAAAATATAATAAGTTTTTTTTGTTGCTGGTAGTGAAATTCCAAAATAGAACTGACAACTATGTTCCAGACAACTATGTTTCTGGCAACCTGGGTGCAACTAAGGATTTTATAGCAATGATAATGAAATTATTTTGATAAACATGCTCCTGCATCTACCTGCTCTTGTTTTGCCTTCGGATCGGTGCATATTTCACCATCCTTAAGAATTGCAGTCGTAATTGCTGCCACTAAATACTTCATTGGAAATCCTGCGTTCAGCATTCCCATGCATGCGCCATTGATGCAACATGAAAGCAGCTAAGAAATTGTCAAGAATTATTACATATTTTACTGTACAAGCCATTGTGCAGGACAACACCTAGGCTCCTAAATTTTGACTATTTTCTGGACAAATCTTCTAAATATTTTTAATTGGATGAACTTTCTAGGGGGTGTACCCCCACCATGGTGTACCCCTACCATATGGCCCTGGCCCCATCCCCTAAACCTCACACCCCTATCATCTACCCCACTATCATAAATTTTACAAGGATACAGATCCGTCATTACAGACTTCCTGTACAACTATAGTCATGGCTGATCGTGGATGCAATGTAGTTATAATTGTCGAATCACATGTGTTTCTTATCAGTCTTTCCATTGCCTTTTCTGCACAACCTGATGGCAAAAAGAGGGTTTATTTGAACAGTTATAAAACTAGTGATAAAAATAAGCTAAGTTCTTCATTAAAAGCAAGTCTTTTGCAAGGCCATATACCTGGAATTCCTGTTTTAGGTCGAAATACAACCTCCACAGTCGCTTTATCAACAATTTCCTTGTTAAACCTCACTTCAGCGGGACCATAAACACCGACCATGACTGACGTGTTTCCTATAAAACAAAATCCAGGTACGCATTTACATATGAAAAAATACCAAGTACAAAAGTATAAAAAAACACAACAGATTATTGTACGACTATGGCCATACTGACACATACCGTGCGAGAAAAGAGCAGAGCCATCAGTGTTATTTAAAAGCCCTAATTCACAGCCAAAACATCGTAAGTTTACAAAATTTTGAGCAACTAAATTCTGCACTTCCTCCGCCATATTGAGTTTGAAGCGAGGTACGTCGTGTTAGGACAGATAAAGTGGTTCATGGTTACAAAGAGAATATTTCCAACATGGCGTATTTAATGAGAAATATTTTGTTTCGAACGCAGCTGACCAAGGGCTGCAAACGGGTCCTTGCTGTGGGATCAAAGGTTAGAAATGCTATTCAAATAATTGTAAATGCTTATTCAGTCATATAATAGACATCGGAGGCTTAAAAAGCGGTATTAATATTTACAGTATTTACTTGATACAAGCTTGAGTGTTGACTGTTGACCCCGAGGCCATCTGGCTCGAGCCGTTATTACCTTAATATTTAACCTCCTGTATTATGAGGCAGACTGTTTTCCTGGGTCTTAAGTACTTGGGATACAAACATACTCTGGCTGATGTCAGATTATGGTTACAATACCAAGTATTTTTATATTGGTACCAGAGATACAGTATACTGTATAAGGTAGCCAGTGCAAAATAACTGGGGGTCTAATCTCTATATCAAATACACAAGTGCTACATCTGATTGATAATGTGTGGTAAGACATGATGGCTGCACTCTGATCTAGGTGCTCAGCGGGGGTACCTGGATCATCTTATTTTTACCCTATGTTATGCCGGTGCACTCAAGTTGGAAGCAATCAAGTCTATACCCCTCCCCCGCTGTATAGTTTAGCATTACCAGCACATGTTCTTTTGATGGGAGAGAGCCAGGCACTTGGCTATTTTCCTGACGTCCATGAAAATACCTGTCCTTTTAAATTTCAATGTCACAGCTTTATTAGTAGAAACAAACAGTGAAAGAAGAATTTGCGTATTGATAGGTTATCTTTCAGATGAAGTAGTCCCACCATGCACACTACCATAAACTACCAGGCCAGACTAAAACTTAATCTCAATAATTGCCTCCCATAGCATTTCTCAAGTGCATCAGGTGAAGGCACGTTAGATTCTGAGGATGATGATGTTCCTCGTTTTCCTGGTTCAAAGTCCAAGTTCACTGATAAATTGGAGTTTGTTGATGTGGAAGAGGAAGGCCTCATTCCAGTTTATCGAGTGATGAATCGCAATGGCGAAATCACAGATAAACAGAACGAACCAACAGTATGTCATGCCATTATCATCATATAATTGCAGCAACTTTAAGATTTGTCATTTTTGCTTGCACTATCGGACGATACTCATAGAAGTCGAGTTTAAACCTTCGAGTTGCTGACAATTTCGTAGCCAAAACTCAAAAGTCCAACAACTTCAAGTTTCGTCAGATGACGTGAGCACCGTGTTTTGCGCGGGAATGACGAATTTCGTATTCATATTCTCTCCTGAAAAATTATTTCAATGATATACTGACCTATTTTTTCCCGCAGTTGAGCAGAGAGGTTATTCAGAAAGTGTACAGAAAAATGACATTGTTAAGCACCATGGACCGAGTTTTATATGAGACCCAGAGGCAGGTAAGTAACTCCAGATTACCGATCCCCATACACAAGTCAAAGCCGAGTTAAAAGGATGCTCGATTTTGAGTAATGAAAGAAAAAGAAGTGAAAACATTAGAGCTAAATGCAAATAAAGTTTAAGCAAGTTTAAGCGAAGGTAGTCATTAATGACGTAGTACTTTTCAAACAATTCAAAGAAGTGTTAAACTTTTAGGGAAGAATCTCATTTTACATGACAAATTACGGTGAAGAAGCAGCTCATTTCGGTACGGCAAGCGCTCTTGATCCAGAAGATTTGATATATGGGCAATATCGAGAAGCTGGTGTGTTGCTCTGGCGCGGTTTCACGCTAGACGACTGCATGAACCAGTGTTTTGCAAATGAAATGGACGCAGGAAAAGGCAGGCAAATGCCGGTGCATTACGGCTCGAAGAAACTTAATTTTGTGACGATTTCGTCGACTCTAGCAACACAAATGCCACAAGGTACCTTCATCGCAGCATATCTCCTATAAACTTATTTACATTTCTCGGGCAAGACCAGTGTTTTCGAAAGAATACTTTGTATTTTTCAGCCCCAGGTGCAGCGTACGCCATTAAACGTTCAGGCAAGCCTCACTGCGTCGCTTGTTATTTTGGAGAAGGTGCAGCCAGCGAGGGAGATGCGCACGCAGCATTCAACTTTGCTGCGACCCTCGAAGTTCCAGTCTTGTTTATATGGTTAGTAATGATGGAAGAGTTTGATGAAAAATCATTTGAATAAAGTCGGTCTTCGCAATAGTTGCTAAATTACTGATGCCAAGATCCGGTCTATACAATCTTTGAACGGCACTCTTCATCTTCTTCATCGCCACAACCTTGCTTCTCTTCTTTGCAATGTCAACAACATCAAATCTTCTGATATCTTCATTTGAGAACATGATCACCTCTCCTTTAACTTTTCTCATTGCTGACTCATCTCAACATTGTTTCCCTCATTCTTTCCACAATACCTCCCACCTCTCATCTGCAAATCCACCCTTCCATCCATGAATGTTCCTAATCAGCCCTCCATCTCTTTTTATTACCCTCCACATTATGTCAACATTTGTACCTGGTTCTTTACAAGATCAATCCACTCTCGTATCTTCTAGTCCAGTCATTGTAGTGCAATGTTCCTAACCATCTCTCCCTCATCACTTGTGATATTCTTGATCTATTCTTCCTTCCTCATCTTGTGTCAAGTTGCAAGTATTCACTTCTCTTTGCGTATTTGTTTTCAGTCGAAACAACGGCTACGCGATATCCACACCAACCTCAGAGCAATACCGAGGCGACGGAATAGGTAATCAAGAGTAAAATATCGTAATATAGTAATCAATAATGTATCAATCAATCAATAACATATCTATCAATCAATCAATCAATAACATATCTATCTATCAATCAATCAATCAATAACATATCTATCAATCCTAAACAGCTCACTCGAGGGTACAGTAAAGATTATCCAACAATTCTCAAACTGTCAGAAAACTGCATATTGCATGATACAAACATTTTTCTCTCAGAAAGACAAGTATAGTCAGCGAACTGATCATCAGTAATTTTCCTTCAGCCGGGCGAGGACGTGGTTATGGTATTCGTACAATTAGGGTCGATGGCAATGATCTTTTTGCTGTTTACAATGCAACTAAAGCAGCCAGGGAATACGTCGTTCGGGAATCAAAACCTGCTCTTATTGAAGCCATGACATACAGGTGGAGTTTCCTTATTATTTTCCCAACATATCGACTTCGTGATAATAAATTTTACTGCCCAACTAGGACCTTGAGAGAATACAATATAATTCAAATACTCGCATCATGGTCTAGTATTCTTTTGTTTGAATTTTATCGGTTTTCATTAGGATTGGTCATCACAGCACCAGTGACGACTCAACGGCGTATCGTTCGCAAGATGAAGTCAGTTCCTGGGATAAACTTGACCATCCTATTGCTAGACTAAGGTTTGTGGGCGTAATCTTGTTTTTATCCTGTTCTATCAATTTTAAGGTATTGTGATTCAACTCTTGATGTATGTGATTTACTGGATCAGCTAACCTAACTAAGGCTATTTATTGGCTCAGTTCTGCAAGAAAGTGCAGCTGTTGCCTTATTGTATAAAATCACATACGTCGGAACGAGAAACGGCTTTCTACGATTTTCAATATCGTGTTCCCCTTTTAGACGTTTCATGATCTCGAAAGAGTGGTGGGACGAGGAACAGGAGGAGAAATGGAAACGAGATGCCCGTCTGCAGGTCATGCAGGCCTTCGGCAGGGCCGAGAAAGCCGTCAAACCGCCGATGAAGAATTTGTTTACGGACGTGTACGACGAAATGCCACGAAACTTGTCCGAACAGTACGAAGAATGTCGTGCGCATGTCAGTAAATACCCAAACGAATATCCAATTGACGATTATGCAAGCAATGAATAAAATGTAGTCAAATAAATTGAATCGATGTAGTATATTTTAATAAAACTTGAATCTTGTGTCATCAAATGCATAAAAATTATTATAATTTAACTATAAAACACACTGTTCTATATTTCAAACTGGACTGTCTAGAAAGTTTCACACAGAAAGTAGATTAACACAGAAAAAATGAATATGACCGAGTTTTAAAAATCTTAGTTTATGCATCTTCGTAACGTTCCTTATCCTCTGACACAAAACTGGATAGTTTAGGTGAGTTTGGTGTAAGTTGGGACCCCCAAAGTGTGCAGGGATGATAAGGGATAATTTTGCTTCGCAAAAGTTCCTCTGCTTGTAGACAGGGTTGCATTGCAGTTTGGTACATCGAGGAACATTGTGGATTCATCGAGAAAACTCGGTCAATTTTTAACCCCGATTCTTCAGGTCTTCTCTGCTGCGGTGGAGGGGTAATCACGGGCACTCGGGGATACAATGGACTGTTGTGAATATTCCGTCTTAAGAGGTCATAATGGCTGAGCTCAGCATGTCTTGAATTTGCCTGAGAGTGGACGGTGGACGTAGCGACGTCGAGGCCAGAAGCGGGCTGTGAGTGTAAGGGTGTGGTCGAAATCCTAGCCTGCGAATGGGCGGTTACTTGGATGGCAGCCTGTGAATAAGCGGAATAGGCAGCTTGCTTACTTTGAGACCAAGCTGACCAACTGTTATGGGTGGTTTTAGGGTTGTGTGATGGTTTAGACACTTTCCTAGTTGTAGACTGTTTATGGCTGTTGCTTGATCTAGAAACAGCGGCCTCTGAACATTTCTTTTTCGCGGAGAAGTCATTGCCAATTTGACGATTCTGGTCCAAGCTCTTTTCCTCTGTATTCATACTTCTCCCAAGATTCGTAAAAGTCCAATAATTTTGACAAGGTTCTCCGAGCCTTACAAAACAATTGCGAGTCGATAATGTGCGGACAATGCTCGCTTTCAAACTGCCTGGAAATGTTTTGAAGTAGGGATAAATCTCTGCAATGTTCGCATGAATCTCTGCCACGGTTAGAGCCTTATTTGGCGAATTTCGTATTGCCATTGCTATCAAGGTTTCGTATGTAAACTGTTGTTTAAACGTTGACAGGTTTCTTGTCTTTTCAACAGCGCCAAGAGACTGGCCTTTGGCTTTGTGGAGGGTTTTTATTTGGTCACGCTTCATCCCCAAATTACAACCGGGTTTTCTGTACTGTTCGTAAGTTTTGTCCAGGAGTCTTTGTTTGGCATTTTGGCGAAGCAGGCTCGACATACTGAAGAGGTTGACAATGCACAGTAAGCTTGCAGATTTCCGCAAGCAAAGTTCAGTCAGCGATGTTCAAACTTTGAAACTGAGAAATAAACAACCCGACAATTTAACTCGGTTTTGATCGGAGAACAACCCCTAGTTTGAATTGCAAATTCGAGAAAAAACAAAGCTCCTGTGGCCGTGTTGTCAACGGGTTTTTTTTTACTTGATTGAACAAATATGGGAACTTCAATTCAACTAATCTCAAGGGTGATTATGCGACACTTAGGGAATTTTTCTTTTTTATTGCCTTTTTTTTGAGGTGTTGAATGAGAACAATGATAAGACAATAGAATCGTTGTCTATCGTGCACTTAGCATACAAAACACTCAACAAAGTTGCCACGCAAAAATCTCGAACCCCACGCACTTTCCACGCAAAGCAATACTCCCCCCCCTGAAATAACCGCTACAACATCCGTTTTTGTTTACTTCTAACGATTTTCGTGAAATTTCTTGTAGTGAAATGGTCGTTTTTATCAAGATTTTCAACCAACAATGGAGTGTTTTAAGTTTTGATGAACAACAGGAATGTTCTGGATATGATATAAAGCAGCGAATATACCAAACAAAGGTTTAGATGAAAGCATTTTGTAGATATTTTGGTTACTTCAATACTTCAGTGTTCCATTCATAGTTTTAATCGGTTCATAGTATCACTATAAATCTAAAAACAATTGTTATTATCCAATACACAATGATTTGTTGAGGATTTTCACAAGTTTATTCTTTAATATACATCGTAATGATCGTATCATACAAGTCCCATGAATTCAATTTGAAACTTCCATAGGGAATTCCTGAGGATAACATCTATCTTACATACAATGGTTACCTCATGGGGAACCAGTCAAAATTCAGTCTAAATCAGGAGGATGTATTTGTCCAATGTCACTTTAAACTTCCCGGGGGCAAGGGTGGCTTTGGTTCGATGCTTCGTGCAATTGGTGCACAAATTGAGAAAACGACCAATCGGGAGGCTTGCCGAGATTTGAGTGGCAGACGGATGAGAGATGTTAACGATGAGAAAAAGTGAGGAAATATTTGATTTCAGAACTATAAATTATTTCTTAAATTAAGGGACAAAAACAATTTGAATGGACTGGCAATGGTAGCCAAATTAACTTCAAAGATGATATCTGAGCTATTGTTGTTGCAGTTCTCACATAGAGTTCATTGCTATTACTTTTAGGATTGCTGATTGGCTGTCAAAACAATCTGAGAGAGATCAAGAAAAGGCAAGACGGAAACAAGAACGGCTTGAAAGACTCAAAACTGCTCCAAAACATGTTTTTGAAGATAGCACAGCGTACGCCAGTCAGATACAAGAAAATATGGATAGCATTGATGATGCCTTGCAGAAAGGTTGTTATGCTAGGTCTTTTTATGTTGGATAGTTTTATCAGTTTAAATTACTCTACTAAAGTCCAGAAAGGGTCCCTTCCTCTAACCTGAACCCACAAAACACTGTATTGCTCACACTGAAAAGCATTCAACTTATGACATATTTTGTTGCAGGTTTAAAATCCAGCACAAGTGGTCAGTCAAGTTCTAGTTTTGGAAAACGAAAGTTTGATGATAAGAAAAACAAAAAAGGACACAAAAAACGAAAGCTTTGGTATGTAAGAAACATGAAGGCACAGATTAACACCCAGATGTCTCACTTCTGACTCAAAAGCGTAAGCGATTCGTCAATGCGCATCGCTTTCTGCGCACGCTTAGCAAGTGACTAGAGGCATTCACCCCTCCGAAATAAAATTTCAAAATGGAGACGAACTGAATTGAAGTGAAAAACTGCACGATGTGTCAAATGAGTCGGAATATATGTACATTTATTGATTTGTACAGGAAGTTCCATTCAATGTAAAGATATTCAAACACTTTTTAAAAGAAATATGTTTGAAATTATGGAGATTTCCACTGCTTATAATTTTCCGCTCCTACGACAATCGAAAAAAGATAAAACACTCGTACAATATTGAAAACGAGGTACTCTAAACTCACTTTTCCAAAGCGCGTATAGATGATGATGGATTCAGACACAAACTTAACTACACAGTCGCCTTCTCTAGCAAATGAGAGGAGTTTTTTTTCCATGTATAAAATAGTTCGGCTCCATTTTGAAATTTCGGGGGGGGGAATGCCTCTAGTCACTTGCTGAGCAAGCGCTTACGCTTTTTTAATCAGAAGTGAGACATCTGGGTAATCTGTGATGACGGTGTCTAGCTAAGAGAATACAGTTTACAATGACACCTGACACAGCTTGTCAGCTACCATAGTTCACCACCATTGGTGGCTTAGCTTAACAATGATTGAACTCTCATTTCAGGGTCAATATTGACGAGGACTTGAGCAGCGACAGCGAGGAAGAAACAGACGCAAGATCATCTTGTTCATCAATGGCTGATAGCGACTTCAGTATTTCTGAAAGTTCCGGGAAATGCTCCAGCACATCAACAACAACCGACAACCCCCCATCCGGAAACATCTCCGAAAACGAATGCAATATCGACAATCCCTCTCGTGAAAGCTCTCACGCTGACCTCACGATCAAAATCGTTGCTAACGAAACAAATAATAGTGAAATAATCGAACAGGAAAAACACTCAGCCCCGTCCATTAACACACAAACCCTGACACAGTTAGCTACACCTAACAGTGAAAATAAAACAGAAAGTTTCAGTACTAGAAACGATAAACAATTAAATGAATCCAAAGACAAAGTTGGAATGAAAGAAAGTCTCCTGTCGAGTAATTCAATCAGTTCCACCGATGATACTGAAAAAAAGTGCGAAAAACCCAGCAGTGTGCAAGAAGAGACTTGTACTTCGGTTGGTTGTTCGATAGTTCTTTTAAAACCACATGATTTTTAGTTAAACGCGTTTTCATTCAGGTTTATAGAAAGACGGTTTTGATCTGAAGGGTCCCTCGCTGTATATAGAAGACGGTTTTAACAGTTCGCAAACATATTAAGTGTGAACGCATGCATACACATATATAGTCTATGTAGTTATAATAAAAAGCGAAAATAATATGCATGGGCCATTAACTCTGGGAACAAATTGTTTTTCCGGTCTAAACCCGGCCGTGTCTATTTTCTTAATTCAAACGTACTTTGGTTTTTTGTTTAGGTGACCGTACCTTTAAATTTGGACGAGTACAATTCGATACAGGATCTGGAATCGCTTGGTCTCGATGTTCTCAAATCAGCGTTGATGTCGTTGGGTTTAAAATGTGGCGGGACTTTGCAACAACGTGCTGAAAGACTGTTCTCCATCAAAGGAATACCTCGCGAAAAGATCGACCCGTCGCTTTTTGCTAAACCGTCTGGAAAGAAAGAAAAGAAACGATGAAATTCATATCAAAATATGTGCATGTATACTGACGAGTGTTAAAAATATGGAAGCTTTTCATTTGGTATTGCTTTTTACTTGCAAAACTTCTTTTCGAACGTATAACTATAAGCATTCTAAGATTTTGTAATTCAAATATTGGGAAAAATATTTAATTAAATAAATTTACAGTTCTCGTAACCTTGTTTTCATTGCTTAAATTATTTTCGCACCTGTCACGAAAAATACCACAAAAATAGCGGGCTTTGATGTTCATAAAGAATTTAATGATCACGCTGGGAAAAATATCATCTGTGGCATCACTGCATGTTCTTATTAGGCAGATAATTATAAACAAACTTGGACTAAACCCTCAAACGCCAATTTGGTGAAGCACACGATGAATTGTACAATTTGAAACCGAGACTGACAAATTGTTAAGTCACTAGAATAATGGACATGCAGTTTGCATGCACTTTAATTGTCGGGACAAATCAGGAGAATATCGATTTGATTTCCCCCTCTCCTACAAAATTTTCCGTCACAGAAAAAAATGCTTTTCCGATCTGTATATAATTTAGGCCACTAGTAGCTACTATATCTGGATCTACAAACTGGATCTCTTAACTCACTAAAAATAAAAGTTTTATTTACTGGATGCAATCAATTAATTAATGGCCGAACAGGACCAATGATTAGAACAAGCTAAATATTTGCCAATTATGTGGCTTCATCGATAACAAAATAAGCCAAAATAATTTTAAAAGCTGGGAACGCCATTAATCACGCAGCTGCTGGGGTAACTTATTTGCTATTAGACTCGCATATATAGTTCAAACAGTTTAAAATATTCTGGTATAAGAGGTATCTTTTATAATATATTAATTTACACACATCGAATATCAGGCAATCATGAATCATAGTAGAGTGATTGATTGAGTAACTCCAGTGTTTTCTCGGCAAACTATCACTTATGTAAGTTATGATTGGTTTTCGGATCTGTGGCCTCCTAATTCCTTCTATGTCCAACTCAAACATCATCAAAATATATCCATGTAAAGTGTAAACATTCCAAATAAGCTTTCAAAACGCATGTCGCATCTGCTGCGGTCATAAGGCACTTCTCCCACGAAAATGTTATAAAAAAACGTGGCAAATGTTGAAAATATTCATTTCCATGCACGGTGATCTATCAGCGAAAACAGAAAATGGATTCTTTGGGGATAAAAATTCTTTTGGTTCTTTGTTGGATCTGGATATGTCCAGTGGCTGTTGTGGTAAGTGGCAGGGTCTCACTAGACTAGAACGTGTATGCGGTGCAAAGATTTTAAAATAGATCTGAGCGTTTCAGGCTTCGCCTTTAATAAGTTATCTTAATTTGTTTAGGACATTACGGATATTGACGATTACGATCCTGGAACGTGCGACAGCAGCAACGCGCTTCAAATATACTCAGTAAACGACAGGAATGACAGGAAAAAACTGTGGGTTTGTAGCCCAGAGAAGGGAGTATACGTGTGGAAACCAGTCGATGGTTTGTACTCTAGAGTTTTGAAACACGGAGACGATAGACAACTATACAATTACAATGTTCAATGTCTAATAAATTACAACGCAGCCCGGCTCGCATCCTTTATTGTTTGGTGGGGTTTTTTTCGGAAGGAAAGTAATAAAACTAAACTAACTTTACTCACACTGAATCAGTCTATTACTCCTGAAATTCTGACTATAGATATACAGATAGCCACAGGAGAAAATAAGTTAGGAGAAATAGTTAATATAGTTTTATAAATTGTTTTCATTCGATGTCGAAAGTGCATAGCAGTTCAAAGTCTGTTTTCCACTCGTTTTTTTTTATGCAGGCGTTGAATTTTATGGTGAATACCTTTATCCTGGTAATGATTGCTCAGATATTCTCGACCACGAACCCGATGCAGAGGAAGGATTTTACTGGATTACACTAGGAGGTCCAAATAAACGGAGAGTTAGTATGATACGTACACATTATGATGAGTTTACCTCATCAAATACCTTGCAATTAAGATCGGGTTGCTAATGATAGAAATCCTGTTGGCACGACATAAAGAATTGAGTTCAGTAGTGGCAGGTTCCTACCCTGGGTGCACCGTAGTGGCAGATTTCCACCCTGGGTATACACTATACAGTAGTGGCAGATTTCTACCCTGAAATTGACTGGATACATGCATGCATCGTAAGAATTGATGTAAAGATGTTGTAGGCTCGAATTTGAGATTAGAAATGAATTGTTATTATGCATGAATGATTGTTCGCTTTTCTTTCATTTTCATGCAGGTATGGTGTGATATGAAGACGGACGGGGGAGGTTTCATGCTCGTGGCTCGAAAACATGCGATTGCCTGGGATATTCCTTCGAAAGACGAACCAGTACATCCGCTAAGCGATGAATTGTTCTGGACAAGTCAGCTTGGAGATGCTCCTATCTTGGATTTCAGGATTCAGTTATCGACAAGCAAGCATTTCAACGGCACCAAAGCGCACTGGTAAGAAACGATTGGTAAAAAAATAAATGAGCAAAACGTAAAAGATGTCCTCTATGATTAAGGTTGGGTTTCATTGACATTAGAAAACCCCCGTAGGCCCGTACATCGAACTTCTTCAAATGCCAGCGATTGTCTTCGGCACTGACTACTGATTAATCTGATATATCTTTATGCTACATCATTTTAGTTCAACAATACCGTAGCGGCATGTTTTACATCTTAGGTCTTACCGATTCAATAAGTCAAGAACATTGGGGAATTTGTTGATCACAACTGATGGATGTGATACTCTCAATCCTGGCATTGGCGATATTGCTTATGTAAAAGATCTGCAAACTGGGAAAATTGTCACAACCACATTCGCTTGCTCTGTGTTTGGTAGTGCAAAAAGTGACACGATTTATAAATCTGGATGGGTATGTGAATGGGGACTCTTGATTATTCCCTTTGCATCAGTGATAACTTTCTTTTTTCGACCCAGAAGGCTGACTATTTCCTCTTCTCCACCAAATATGAACGTTGACAATGCATGTACAACTTTCCACTGCTGATGATGTAATTCATTACTTTAACATTGCAGCCAATGATGAACGAATGTCTGAAGAAACCTTGTAAAGGATCAGGATATCTTCATATACCAGGAATTCCAGCAATACAAAATGACCACACTGGCGTATTTAGGTACGCCGTCGTTTGTCCTTGAGGGTCTAGTATCATGATGATATTGAAACGGTGATAGAATTTATTTTTTACAGCTTCAGCACGACAGACTCGACTTCTGGAATCAACAACGATGCGACTGCATATGTTGGATGTTTATTAAACAGCGTAAGTGAGTAAAGTGACCTACACCACCAACCATGCATTACCCCCGGGCGCTCTCTCCCCTCAGCCCTTTTTCACTATTAGGTGATGGTTGAATCGAGTTGAATGTGCATGAGGGCTGAATTCATGACTTTGTAGTACAATTTATACATTATTTTCCGCTGTTGACCTGGTGTGACGAGCGAAGAGATCAGTCATTTTATAGGAAACATAGCATTCTATAGTTGAAAAGGATTGGTCTGAAAATATCAGCTTTATAACATATGAATTAACTCGTTCAAGAGAGCGGGGAAATGTCAAACGACACAAACGCGAGAGAACGATAAGCTTCGATAGCGACAAGCTCCAGCTTAGAAAATTCTTCGTATCATGTTCAACCTCATGCATTCAATATAATTGTTTATTACGCTAGTGTTGTGGATGTTATGGTCCTGTTGGCGGCACAGCGAACTACTGCACGCCTCAATGTACCGTGATTAACGGAGGCACAAAAATTGACGCAAAGAACGTTTTTACCTGGGTTTGGGTGAGAACGTCCCTACCAAAACACATTTGGAAAAGATGCATGGAATACCAAAAGAAAGACGATAGCGGTCAACTGCAGTGGTACAATTTAATTGGTGATTCCACAATTCCTGAAAAGGTGCTATAAGTTTAATCTACGATGCGACACTTAGTATACGTATAGTTTAATTCAAGTCCTGCTTTTAATCTTTTAAAGGGAAGATGTCCGAATTCAGAAAAGCTTCGCCTAAATACTGGGGTAAGCCAAATATCTAGAAATTTAGTTAGGTATATTTGATGTACCTTTAATTATGATATGGCTAGCAAACTAAAGGTCGCTGGTTTGATTCCAACCGTGGTCGAGCTTATTTTTCAGCTTGCCTATTTTTGATAACTCGGAGTATTACTATCAGTCACAATATTGAGTATATAGGACTAAATTATTGCTACATTAAATTGTTTAGATTGTAGTGCTTCCAGATGGCGCAGATGCTGGTAAGGTGCCCGCAATACCGGGAATGCTGGAGTACCGTCTTGATAGCAAGAAACTCTATGTAAGAGCAAACAAAACATGGAGCCCGTTAACCCAAGAGAAGGAGGTAAATCTCTTATCATTTTGCAGGCCTTGGAAATCATTTGCCCTTTGCTATAAACCTGCGTTCGCTTACGCATGCATGTTCATATTGTCTGAAACTTTATAAAACATATTTTATACCAGGCAAGTAAACTGTATTTCCCAGTCACCATTTTTGTGACACTATTTTTCTTTAATTTTTAAACTGACTTCTAGTCTAAAATATGTTTCTAGTAACTGGTCTAAAATTTTAGACCAGTTCTAGTCAGTCTAAGGGCCGCGGGACCGATTATCGCATGCATTAAAATGTTGAAAGATGGTTTAAAGTACAGGTGTATGGTAAGTTGGGTAGTATATGAGACGACTTTTAATTTGAGTTACCTACATCTTCATGCATTACATACCAATACCCTATTTAAGAAAACTCTTCATGTCTTTAGCAAAACTTTTCACAAGAAGTAAATTTGTTAATTTTTTTATTCATTTGTCCCAAGGCACAGGTGACAGGTCTGTCTGCCACTTTTTATTAGACGCCACTTTTTTGTAACCATCCTCTGTTTATTAAAAAATATCGTGAAATTCATGACAGCGATTTAGCAGGATTGCATATGAGCAACAATTTTGATACAAAGAGCCAGCCATTTGTTGAACTTTTAAAAATCTTTAAAAATCATTTGGCAAATATCAATTTTCGGTTATATCTGCATGATTAGGTGAAAGGCAGGTTGTTACAATTGGAAAAACGCACGGATGAAAGATATATGGAACTCAAAGAAGAAATCAATTCGACCGATACAGACCTGAACAGGAAGATAGATTATGAACTTGCTGAAATAGAGAAAAAATTGCGCTTTTTTTTCGGATCAACTTACAAAGGTAAGTAGACCTTACCCATTATGACGTTTTATGAAATTATTTATTAAGTATCAAGACCGTGATACATTGGTTTTTGGTTTTATAAAGACTTATTTCAATTCTTCAAAAGTCATATCACGCGCTTCCTTTAATCTTGGGCAACCGGGCTCGTGCAAACAGCCCCTAAAGCTTGTATGGCAAACGAGTGATATTTGAAAAGAGGCTTTATTCACTTAATATTTCAGTATGTACCCAGTACAAATGGTTAAACGAGTCCGACAGACGTTACAATTACCTTGGCGGCTCCAATAAATGCGACAATACTATCGTAAAAGCATGGTACAGATTCGGTGGTGGTGCTGGATCCCAGATGTACACTAGTTGTCGGAGCTTTGGCTATTGCAGTGCTGGGGCTCCGGGATATTTGAGCGGCAGTCATCCAACCTTTGGGGAAGGAATTGTTTCTCGCACAGTGTATTTTGCTAACGGTAGATATTCATGTTACTCTTATAGCGACACAATCAGAGTTATCAATTGCGGTTCGTACTACGTGTATGAATTAGTTCCACCAAGCGGTGGTTGCAACCTACGATACTGTTCGTATTAGAAGTTAGAATGAAAACATTGAATACAAGGAAATCATGTTATTAAAACAATCAACATCATGTGATTTAAATAAATATTGGTCAAACAAACACGTTTGCTGAGAAGTATTTTGTTCTGTGATTTGACCTCCTTCCCGTGAACAAATAGTCATTGTATCTTTCCAGGCACATCCCTATAATAGCCAAAAAGTAAAAAACGCGTGGTGCATTTCTTCAGAACTGAAGGTCTGTACATGTTCAGTATTTTCATGTGTTTGGTCTCCAGATGGGACACAAACCTAAGTTGTTCACTGCATGATAAAATGGTATGTGTGATGATTTCATACATAACTAAAGGCAAGCTAGCCAGGTTGTTTAGCTAGACAGTCAGCAGGCTGTTTGTCACAGCCATCTGAAGTATTTTGCGCGCTGCCGACTGCCGAGCGACAGTTTACAAGCTTATCAACCATCTATATGCTGTGCATGACAGCACACGTATTTTATTTTGCCGACTCGATCTGTTCTCCCTTCTAATCTTAGGATTTCAGAATCGGTTGTATAAAATGAGTTCAGCCGAAAAAACCACACGCCTTTAGTGAAATACTTTAAAAAAAGACTACGTCTTTCAAGATCTATTTACTTACCAGTTCAGACTGTGATTGAATGCCCTGCCATGTATTAATAAGCGAGTTGAGATTTGAGAACAACGCTAACAGGTTCTACAACCGTAACAAACACCACAGACCCGACTTATCTCTTCCTGAATCGATAAGTAAATGATACCGTCAAGCAAACAATATGTAAACTTTCTTTTTATAAAATCGCATTTCTTTGCTGAATACTTGTCCTTCCATTAAAAGCCGGCGTTTTCGGCCATTATTTAACACGATATTTCAGGTATGAAACAGGTTTAGAAGATAGCTGCATATTTGAGGCCAAACAACATCACACTAGTTCTTTGTTTCCTTTGTCTTTGCCTTTTGTTTTCTTTGTTTTCTTGATAGCACTAATGACAATTTGGCCTCAAATTTTTGCATATCTACCAACTCTGGTATGAAATACGGCGTGCATTGCCTCATACAATATTCGGAGCGATTGAAGATTAGCATTCAGCAAAGACAATAGACAGAATTCAAGTGCTCCTGGCAATTAAAAATTCTATTCAATTGTTCTTCCCCTTTGGAGGCTGGTATTGTTTTCAACTCTGAATTGCAGAATTGTCCCGTTGATTAATTAACACATGCAGCATTTTTAATCTTTTGAGTATCTCACAAGCGAGATATTGGATTTCAAGACAATAGAAAATATTTATTTTTACGCAAGTAAGCGGGTAATTTTTTTTTGTAATTAGATCAGAAACCACAAAAAAGATTAGTCGAAGTTTTTAACCATATTTTTCAATATTGGCCACATGAATTCAATGCAAGTCTTGATCACAACGAAATCATCGCTCAGCCGAACTTCACCCTGCAGTCGCCTCAGGATAGAAACGACTCCAGTCAGCCAGGAGAGATCGCGGCCAAAACGAAAGCTCCCCCCCCCCTCCCAAACACCAGGCCTGACTATATACGGACTCCATAATAAGTCAGCTCGCTAATCTCACAAAACTATATTGAGTCAAATGAGCAATGAAAGAAAAATGAAATACAACTTATTTTAGTAAAACATTTAAAGCAAGTACTAGAGCTAGGAAACTACATTCAAAGTATAGTAAAACATTTAAAGCAAGTATTACAGCTAGGAAACTACATTTAAAGTACATTAAAACATTTAAAGTAAGAAATAACAGTATTAAAGACACTCGGACAGTCAACATAAAAAATGCGTGAAGGCCATCATCAACTTAAGCAAAAAAAAATCCAACGGCGACCATCAAGAACAGGCCAAACTTCGCCGCCATGACACCCGTGGCACCGCTGGGGGTAACGGTATAATTGTTACAATTATTTGTTTTGCAACAATACGCGGCGCATGATTTCAGCTTGAGTTGTTTGGTTCGTGCCTTGCACGTTGCTTCGGCATCCGGACAGACCTTGTCTGTAGCATTGTTGCAACCTCGTCCAAAATTTTCGAGGCCATTAACGTCAATGTAGAACATTGCGTAACAATACTCCGAGGCGCAGTTAACAGTCTTATTCCGGCAATTCTGCTGGGCAGCGGGTGATTTTGACGTGTATTCGCAGGAGTTACATATCAAGGCACTTTCTAGAACATAAACAATCAGGGGCCATAATATTCTTGTACGTTTGCATGGTGACATCAATAAGTAAATTAGTTTGTAGGTACACCACGTAAGTATTTAATACTGTAAAGCTTTCGGTCCGTTAACCCGGACCTTCATCAGTGCAATAATGAAGGCACATGAAACATGCAAACTGGTTACTCGTAGTTCAAAGGATGCATGTAATTCTCCCGTAGCTTTTGCTCAACCCGATCACAGAAAAATTTGCTGAATTGCCACGTAGAATTGACTAGTTTAGCACTTTAGTAGTTAACTTTTAACTGTAGTTAAATAAGGACAGAATTGGCCAATCTGAGTCTTGTATTTCTCAGTGAACCAGGATTTAAAGTCAGTGAAGAGTTTTATACAACCGGCCCCTAGTGTCCCATTATTAAAAAATATCACTTACCAATGGCTGAGAAAGCCAGCACAATTGTAATCGCGAGGATAAAACGACTTGATGAAAGCATTTTGTTATAGAATCTTACGTCGGATGAACTAGACGGATAAGATGAGAAATACTTAGAAATATACACGAAGAACTAGATAGAATACAAAATAACTCTAAAAGTAAAATATAATACCCAGCTGCTGTGCACTAAAGCAGTTTTTAAATATTAAACATTTGTTAAACAAACTTGCATTTAACAATAATTAATTTTGTCCAACTGTAAGGAAAAGGCTTAAGGAGTTAAGGCTGTTTTCCACTTACGCGTTTTTCATACGCAGCACGTACACGCACGTAAAAGTCTAAATCCTTATACATGTTACCTTTGAAAAAACTAAGTGAATAGATCGAAGGACCTTAGTTTTCTGCATATTTTAGTATGCATTAGTTGACCTAGATGTTAAATAATAAAAATTTGAAAGCATTTAAAATTTTCCGTACGTGTACGTGCGTATAAAAAACGCGTAAGTGGAAAGCAGCCTTTAACCGCCCACAATAATGCAATGAAAATAAATGAATATCCACTGAGAGCAGTAATGAGCGTCGGTAAAGCCAGGCCTAGTTTCACTGGAATCATGCATTTGGTTACTACAGTCAATAAACGAAACCTCAAAAATGGACGTTTTTATTGAGGAATACTATATTAGCTGTAGTGAATTATGAATATCACTACATGTAATAGTCGTGTACACCGTCTTCTTGCTACGTTAGCACAAAAACTACATGCCGTATGTGATGCTTTGTGCAAATAAAACTATATACATATAGCTGCAGTCTAAATCAAAAATAAATAAATAACGCGCGTACAAGTATTGCAAGGTCTCAAACATAAACCAGAGGCAGAGTAGCGCGGGCTTCCTGTCAGATATTTGTGAATTACAAAACGGTCGGGTTATCTGTTTCAAGCACTTATGATTTCCCCCTGTGAACGCGGAGAATCGACCAAATTTCCGTCAGATTTCATCGTGTGAACATGCAGCTATATTCAAATTCTAGCAAGACCCTGAATATCGATAGTTTCGTATGAGCGCGTCGTCTTCGATGTCTCAAGGAACGTCAGCTTATACAATATAACAAACCGCTTCAGTAGCAGCTTGTCAAGCTTAAAAAACATGCCGAAAAGAAAAAATTGGAAGTAGAAACGGCTTTCACCCACCTGAAAATCTACAATTTTTTATCTTCTTGATCGGTACTTCGCTGTGTGTCAACTCGCTTTGGGCAAACAGAAAGAAATGCGTCGCTATAGACGGCGTCTCCTATTGTCTATGACAAAAAAATCCATGAAAAGTCTGCGCCATATACGGATGTGATGACGACATCGCACTTAGAATCTCTATTCCCATTGGTCAGACACTGCATGGATGTCAATAAAAAAATTCGCTTGCTCAATGAAAGCAAACAAAGCCGGCTGTATTTCACAGAACGCACTCCATCACTGTCACGCAACACCGCAACAGCTGAAAGTGTCAATAAAAACTTGTAGTAAAGTTGGTTGCCTACTATTCTAAATATCTATTTTTACGCAAAGTAAGCAGGTAATTTTTTTTTGTAATTAGATCAGAAATCACAAAAAAGATTAGTCGAAATTTTTAACCATATTTTTCAATATTGGCCACATGAATTCAATGCAAGTCTTGATCACAACGAAATTATCGCTCAGCCGAACTTCACCCTGCAGTCGCCTCAGGATAGAAACGCCTCAAGTCAGCCAGGAGAGATCGTGGCCAAAACGAGAGCTCCCCCCCCTCTCAAACACAAGGCCTGACTATATGCGGATTCCATAATAAGTCAGCTCGCTAATCTCACAAAACTATATTCAGTAAAATGAGCAATGAAAGAAAAAATGAAATGCAACCTATTTTAGTAAAACATTTAAAGCAAGTACTAGAGCTAGGAAACTACATTTAAAGTATAGTAAGACATTTAAAGCAAGTACTAGAGCTAGGAAACTATATTTAAAGTATAGTAAAACATTTAAAGCAAGAAATAACAGAATTAAAGACACTCAGACAGTCAACATAGAAAATGCGTGAAGTCCATCATCAACTTAAGCAAACAACAATCCAACGGCGACCATCAAGAACAGGCCAAACTTCGCCGCCATGACACCCGTGGCACTGCTGGGGTTATAATTGTTACACTTATCTGTTTTGCAACAATACGCGGCGCATGATTTCAGCTGGAATGTTTTGGTTCGTGTCTCGCACGTTGCTTCGGCATCCGGACAGGCCTTGTCGTTAGGATTGTCGCAAGATCGTGCAACAACTTCGGTGCCATCAGCCCCAGTGTAGCGCGTTGCGAAACAATACCCCGAGGTGCAGTTAACAGTCGTATTCCCGCACTTCTGCTGGGCAGCGGGGGATTTGGACGAGTATGCGCAGACGTTACAAATCAAGGCACTTCCTAGAACATAAACAAACAGGGGCTGGTTGTACGAAGGCTGGATATAACGCCATCCACCGGATAGTGATTTTTCACTTGCTTAAAGACTCTCTTTCATAATTTTTCTTTCCAAAGCTGGAATTTTATTACTTTTCAAGCACTTTTTGCCGGTTGTTCGAAAGGCGTTTAGCTTAAACGGTGGATAAGCCAAAGTTTAAAATTCCTCTCATACATCTTGTGAATGACTAAATCTGCATCTAATAATGCATTAAGTACTTCCATTGACAATTAAACTATTTACATCGACATATTTCAGCTCGGTTGTTCAATAAATCGATAATTTTGTTTTCCATTTTGAACTTATCCACCGTTTAAGCTAAACGCCTTTCGAACAACCGGCCCCAGGTCGCTCACTATAGGGGACTGTTTACATGAGCCGGATTACTCGAGATTTTACGAAGTACTGAATGATTGAGAGCCTTCACAAAAACTCTTTTCAAAAACCGTTTAGCAGGAAACCCCTAAAAGGTCTTATTTTATCGTACTACACAGAGGAACTGAAGTTGCGCCCTCTTACGAGAGCAATACAGGGGACGGTCGTTCAAAAACCGGTTAACCCTGGGTTAAAGTAAATCTTTACACATTAATATTTTGAATCGTTTGTTTACAAAGATGAATATATTTTACCATTAATATTTTCTGGACCGATGGAAGTCATATTTTCGAAAGTTTTATAACAAACAGTGGTTCAGAATCGCATTTTAAGAAGTAAAACACTGGATTAAAATTTAACCCTAGTTTAGGTTAGCGCTAGCTTTGAACCACTTACTGACCCCATGGTGAGAAAATCTAACTCTTATAAAATCGAGGCTTCTCCCTTGCGCAATATCGTATCTGAAACATGCAAACTCGTTACTCGTAGTTCAAAGGATGCATGTAATTTTCCCGTAGCTTTTGCTCAACCCGATCACAGAAAAGTTTGCTGAATTGCCACGTATAATTGACAAATGTGACCGGCGATAATGATCTTATTGATCTGGAGACATTCTTTTAGACTAGTAAACTTTTAACTGTAGTTAAGGACAGAATTAGCCCATCATGCAGAGTCTTACATTTCTCAGTGAACCAGGATTTAACTATGCAAAATGCAGTCAGTAAAGAGTTTTATATACAACGGCCCCCTAGTGTCCCATTATTAAAAAATATCACTTACCAATGGCTGAGAAGGCCAGCACCATTGTAATCGCGAGGATAAAACGGCTTGATGAAAGCATTTTGTTATGGAACCTTACAGTACGTCGGATGAACTAGACGAATAAGAACAGAAATGCTTAGCAATATACATGCATGGAGAATAACTAGATAGAATACAAAATATCCCGCTGTGCAGTAATTCCACAATATTAAAGTCTTATTAAACAACCTTGCATTTAACAAAAATTAATTATTTCCAACTGTAAGGAAAAGGCTTAAACCGCCTACAATAATGAGCAATAAATATCCAGAGAGCAGTAATGAGCGTCGGTAAAGCCAGGCCTAGTTTCACTGGAATCATGCATTTGGTTACTATAGTCAATAGACGAAACCTCAAAAATTGATGTTTTGAATATCACTACATGTAATAGTCGTGTACTGTGTGTACACCGTCATTTTGCTGGTTTGCACAAAAACTACATGCCGTAATGTGATGCTTTGTGCAAATAAAACTATATACATATACCTGCAGCCTAAATCAAAAATCAATAAATAACGCGCGTATAAGTATTGCATGGTCTCAAACATAACCAGAGGCAGAGTAGGGCGTGCTTTCTGTAGAATATTTGTGAATTACAAAACGGTCGGGTTATCTGTATCAAGCACTTCGGATACAAACCGCCAGGTCTTATGATTTCCCCTTCTGAATGCGGAGAACCGACCACATTTCCATCAGATTTCATCGTGTGAACATGCAGCTATATTCAAATTCTAGCAAGACTCTGAATTCGATAGTTTCGTATGAGCGCGTCGTCTTCGATGTCTCAAGGAACGTCAGCTTATACAATATAACAAACCGCCTCAGTGGCAGCTTGTCTGGCTTAAAAACATACCCGAAAAGAAAAAGTTCGAAGTAGAAATGGCTTTCACCTACCTGAAATTCAACAATTTTTGACCTTCTTGAACGGGTACTTCGTTGTGTGTCAACTCGCCTTGGGCAAACAGAAAGAAATGCGTCGCTATTGGCAGCGTCTCCTATGACAGAATCGATGAAAAGTCCGCGCCATATAAGGATATGATGACGACATCGCACCTAGAATCTCTCTTCCCATTGGTCAGACACTGGATGCCAATTAAAAAAATCGCTTGCTCATGAAGCAAACAATGCAGTCAAGGCTGTATTCTCAGTACTAACTCCACCACTGACAGGAAACAGCTAAAGTGTCAATCAAAACTTGTAACAAAGTTGGTTGCCACTATATTGAGTATATTCTTCTGCTTATTTTGCTTAATCCACTATTATTTGACACTATTTCATGTATAATCATAAAAATCATTTTGAACTATAACAAAACTTGTATAAAACTGTGGGATATTTTGATCAGACAAATATCCAATGGCAATAGTAGCAGGGAGCTTTGTTTACACTGCGTGCAATCAATTCCTACACACCTCACGAGGCCAAGGGTAAACGGGGCTGATTAAGCTTTGTTTCAAAAGATTTTCTTCCCCAGTGATCACTGACAATAGCCTTCGTTGATTATCGGTGAAGTTTAAGAACCAGGCTCGTATGTGGTATAACAACTGCCTAAAATAGACAAAAACGCATCTGGACGTTTTTTACTTAATACCAGCCGTCAGGAGAGTTAATAGAATAATAGTCAAATATTAACTCTCCTGTTAGGTCGAAAAGTTGACGCGAAGTTGTTGTCGGACTGTATATGTGTAACCATATTGTTATTCAGTTATGATTTTTGGCACTTCACTTGATGTAGGTAAATTCTAGAGGTTGAAAGGGTCTTAATTTCGAGTGGAATTATCAATTATACACACTTCAAATTCAAGCCAGGAACAACTGATGGGAAAATGAGTCAACTGTTGATAGGTCCTCCGGCAGGAATCGAACCTACGCAGTTTATTGCATAAGCGTATAGGTTCGATTTCTGCCGGAGGACCGATGTTGACTCCTTTTTTTTAATGAATTTGAAGTGTGTATAATTCCACTCGAAATTAAGACTCTTTCATATTGTTATTCATTTCAATGCCAAAATTTTAATTTTCGAAGCTGTATGCAAAGTCCACAGTATTTATTAAACGAAATTGATTAACTAATATTGATTCAGAAAGCGGCATCACTCGAATGCCTTTTATGCTATTAAAATCAAGCCCCGAATGTAAATATTAAACAATGCCATTTAGCTCGGAGGAGAGATTTTTGTCGATGTCTAGGGAATTTTTTTTTCTCAAATGACACTCAATGAGCAAAACACAGATGCCGGTTCGTCGTTAGTTCCCCCAACAACACGTGTAATTCTGACAAACCACATGTATAAATTATTCAGTCTTGCATTATGCATTATAAATTATGCATTCAGCGCGGAATTTTTGTCATTCCTGAACGAATTAAAGTACCGTCAGTTTAATTAACACCGTGAGATAGTGGAAAAAAAACTGACAACAAATAATATCAAATACGGCTTGCAAATAATAATATTGTTAAACTTACCAGAAGTATATATGCATGTCATATGGCAAAGAATGTCTGGATCACTTTCACAGTTTGAAAAAAAATCAAAAAGTCGCAGATATTGAACCCGTGGTGTCAGTCTGATCTGATTGCCGTCCCAGTCCATTCCGTCGCGATGACGTGATGTAAAACCCTCACGCCCACACTTTCATTTGCAACATTTATGCAAAACTCTTCGCCATTTGTGCAAATTATAGCGAATGATATTTTTCAATTCTTAAAAGTCATTATATTGGCATATGGTTTGACGAACCCGTCAAACCATTGTTAATTTTTTCTCAAAGAGAGAGAAACTGCAAAGCTGCAAATGCAAGTTATTTAGATATATGAAATTTAACTTAGCATCAAATGTGGTAGGTATAACAACTGCCTAAAATAGACAAAAACACCTCTCAACGTTTCGACCTGGGAGCCTTCGTCAGGCCAGGAGTTAGTCTTACTTTTGTCTATTTTAGGCAGTTGTACCACATTTGATGCTAAGTTAACGTTATTTGAAGTCGCTATCACGCGCTGCTCTTCAGTAATATGAAATTTAGCTTCAAGTTATATGACCCGTGGTTGTATATCCACCGTTTAAGCTAAACGGGCTTGATACAACCGGCCCCAGATATGTATTTCTTCAATTCAAAATCATGCATTATAGTCAAAATTTATCCGTGCACACACATATTTGTCTGACTCGTGTTTATCAGTAAAATCAGTGGAAATTATAACTCTTATCTTGCAAGAAAGTCACGTCATGCATCATTTTATTAACTCTGCTATTTGTTAGTCCTCAATATTAATTGCCCTATAATTAAAGCGATTACACCCCCTGTCACCCAGTTTAACATTCACAACAATTTCAAATTGTGCCAAAGTGCATCAAGCACAGTGCTAATTATTTCAGCTCTTAACATTTTTATATAATATTCACTTACTGCATGAACAAAAACTAAATATGTTCAGAATGACTGGCATCTACTTCCTCTACTTGCACGAGAACTTGTGAGGCCTAATATTATTGTTCATTTCATATATGCATAAATATACAAAGGTGAAAAAAGGTGTTTCACACAGCATTTTTTAACAGCAATTTTTACGGAGTCCAGTGTGGTATAAAGTGAGCCGATATTGGGATAATCGCGCAAAGCAGATACACCATTTGGTTCGTCTTTTTTAAAGCTAAAGTTCGGTGACTTTTCAAGTCCAACGTATCAGAAGCGTATAACATATGATACCACGATATATTTTGTAGGTTTGAGCCTACATTGTGTACGCCAGAATGAGCCATCGACTGCATGGCGCAGGTGCATTGAGCAGATTATAGTCAGCTGCATGTGCTCTGCAAGATAAACAAATGCTTCGCTTTACATTATATACTGTCAAGTACTATTTAGCTTGCATCTGAAGGGAAAATATTTTGCGACAGATAATAACCAGATTTACGGGAAAATTCCTGATCAGCTTTTAGCTTTTTTTACCCATTATAGGCACTCCTCTCATTGGCCCATCATTTTATTGATGATGATTTGATAAGGAAAATTTAACGATGATTTGATAAAAAAAACAAGTACGGATTGTCGTCTTACGAAATGTATAACGTCATCTTTCTTCAAGTAAACAAAACAGTTAAAATTCCACAGTCCTTTTAGAAAAATTATAGTTTTATCGACGCACAATATAGGATCGTTTAATTTGAGAGTGCCATAGAAATTGAGCTAATTTTAGTAATTTAATGACGCCATGCAAGAATGTTGCGTTTCATGGATTCTGATCACTAGCATGCACAACTAAATGGTAAATTGCTTCTTCAACACGGAACTTTGTGAGATTCTATCTAGCTACTTGATCAGTTTAATACAAACCTCCAAGGCGGTTGGTGGGTAAAATTGGTATAGAGGTAAGATCGGTATTTTTTTCTTTTTACAGATACACATGTTTAGGATATAGCGTACTATCATATTATTCGACGAAACGACGAATAAGATATACTACGCTGCAAGGTGTTAGAAATTGAAGTATGACTTTTCTTATGTGAGACGATGATTCAATAACAATGGCAAATACTACCAACAATTATACTTGTTGCAATATGATATATCAATCCTGTGAGCTATGATGACACGGCAATTAGGTCGTTCAAAAAACCTGTTCAGTTGATTTTCTTTGACGCACCTTTCAAACACATGCATGACATGCGCAAAACACGTTTATTTCGCATAGCGTTTGTACAGAGAAATCAACTTCAAGCTCTCTATTTGGTCATTCACTTCGGCCAGGTTTAGACGTCGAAGTTTCTCACTGTGCCGAGCCTAATGTTAATAAGACAAAGTCTTTGTTTTGGAACATGAAAAGTGAAACAGGGAGTTACTTCGCGAGGAAAATGACCTGTGTGTGTATCTAAAACAGTTATACGTGTGTATTCAAAACATGCAAACGTTTTTTTATAAGATTCTCTTATTTTTACACGGATTCTCTTGTTTTTAGGTCAGCAAAAATACACGAGCTTAGTCATGCATCAGAAATTACTCTTCGCATTTGCAGTGGCCGTGTTTCTTGCAAAAATAGGTTAGTTATGCTAATGGCTACAACACTAAACCATTTGCTCGTCCATGGCGGAGTTTTGAACTGCTTTGTACTCGAAACGAATGTTTAACACGATTCCGATGGCGAAAAGGTTACTATACCTTACTGAATAGCACCCCCCCCCTTCTTCGATGAACATGATTAAGTGTTGATTATTGATTGTTCTAAAGGTCTGTTCACACCATCCAATTTTGTTGGATCCAATTCACTTCTGATGGATGAAATATAGTCGGCTATTGATCAAACTGTGGTGCATTGGCCTCAGTAGAAGATTTGATGCATCGTGTGAACAGCTCTTAAGAATTCATTGTTCTAGAATTCAGCATGATATCATTGAATTTTCTTGCGATGTCGACCCTGCTGGTGCTATTGCACTCTTTGCAGTGACGATCGAGCATATATACCGGTTAACAGATAACATGACAATCTGTAAACGTCCAAAGACTACCTGCTCGTCAGCAGGGAGTTTGATTGCGACAGTCGATAACATGGTATTGACCCGGAGTCCGCAAAGCCGCAAAGCAAAGAATGTGCATCCGTGTCTGAAAAATACGACAATAAGCCAGGGGCAGGTTGTATCAAGAGGGTTTAGCTTAAACGGTGGATAAGTCAAAATTAATTAACCGACTTTTACATCTCTCTTGAATCAGTCAATTGAATATTATGCACTGAATATGTAGTTGTAAACGGGAGCCGCGCGAGCAAATCAAGCCTTCAAAAGAACTGGGGAGAGTGAGAATTCCGTAAAAATCGTATTTTTTGGCAAAAAATTGCCAGAAAAGTGCAATTTTTATTTGACCACTTCAACTTTAAACAACGAATTTACCCTTTTTGGATAGACCTAAGTAATCCGCATCATCTTACTGTAAAAACCGGCGAGGTACCAGCTTTGTACTTGAAATATTTAAAGAATTTGAACGGGCCGAAGAAAAACTTCGCCTTGCGACAATGTAAAAAAACTTCGTTATATAACAAGCTCGTAAGGATAAGATGGGATAGAAGGGTGATAAGATGGGATAGAAGGGTGATAAGATGAGTACATGAGAAGACATTACGGTTGAAGGGACATTGATAACGTGAATATTACGTGTATATATATGACATTGTATATATATCACATACGTTGTTACCATTGTTGCCTGTCCTAAAGGTACAATCCTGGACATAATTGATGTGGGCAGGACAATTTATTTGCAATATTTCAGGTAAACCTGAAAATCTTGCGTGTGTATGCAGATCCCCACTCCCCTCTGTCAACGTTGGTTCCTAATGTCGCATGCATCTCTTAATTCTGACAAAGTTGAGAAACATGAAATTGTTTCGGGGGATCAGTTATATTAGGGGGGGGGGGTGCGATTTATGACCATAAGCCTTTATTTTGTTCAATTAAAGGCATTGCGAGGTGACCTCTCCAAATAGTTTTATCCCTAATTGTAGCTACATCTGTTTAACGCTTATCTGTTCTGTCAGTTCCTTAAATATTGCATTTCAAATGTTGGATTCTGACCGATAGGAGACTCAATGGTTAAGTACTTTTCCAACACGGGCAAAGCGGAACTTGATGTCATCCTATTCCTATCTACTTAAACTTCCAAGCGACTGGTTGATAAAATTGGTAAAACGGTAGGATCTGTAAAATACTTTGTGTTTTTCACAGTACAAATGTTTAGGATATGCCGGGTGTCAGTATTTGACTAAAATACGATCATATTAGTACGCATTTAGTTTTAATTTTGACATTTTGAGGTATGAAACACGAATGAAAAGGAATGCCACATATTCCGGCGCGCGGCGCGTGACCTGCGCTGCAACATGTGAGAATTTGAAATATGAGTTATCGTATGTGTGTGTTTTTGATGCTATACGCCTCATACAACAAACAATAAATTATACTTCATGAAATATGGGAAGATATCAAATTTGTGATATGACAATTAGGAACACAATAGTAAATTTACGATCTAGCATTTCTAGACGTCGCTAGACGCTAGGCAATTATTTGGGTAGAAATAAGCTACGGGAAATTCATTATGTTGCCAGGGCGTCTTTGAAATAATCATACGAACGTTTCAATTAGCCTTTCTCACGAGTATGTTTTTGGGGTATTTTCAATTTTCTCAAAAGGGTTTAAAAAGTTATAACGACATGAAAAGCAATTTTTTTAGAATCAACAGACCATTTGAAGAATAACTCCAGCCTAAAATTAAATACTGTGGTCGTTATGAGGTCTCACACTTGCGCTTTTGAAGAAAAGTACCCCGAAAACGGCGGCATATTCCTCATCGTGAGAAAGGCTAATTGTGCTAAAAACCTCAGATGTCTGGTTGATATTACAGTTTCATATAAGCTATTAAACAGCTATCACGTTGCAATTGCTTTCATGTTCGAGAGGCGTAAGAATACCTAATTTGAGGGCGTAACCTCCATAATTAGGTCGTTCGAACAACCAGCAGCTTTTTCGTGACACGCACCTAATGTTAAACCCCCTGTCACCCAGTTTAACATTCACATCAATTTCAAATTGTGCCAAAATGCATCAAGCACGGTGCTAATTATTATCAAACAAAAACTAAATATGTTCCGAATGACTGGCATCTACTTCCTCTATACTCTATGGAACTTGTGATGCCTAATATTATTGTTTATTTGTTATATCAGTGCATGAATATACAAAGCCAAAGGTGAAAAAGGTGTTTCAATTCGACAATTCCATTTGGTTAAACCATTCCTGACTAGCCTTCAGTTCTCTTTATCCATTAAAGACACTCCCGGCTTTCATTGGCCCATCGTTTTGTTACAATTGTAATCTCGACCGTGCATATGGAACGATGATTTGATAACGAAAAACAAGTACGGATTGTCCTTTTAGGAAATGTATAATATCATCTTTCTTCAAGTAAACAAAACAGTTAAAATTCCACAGTCCTTTTAGGCAAATTATAGTTTTACCAACGCACAATATAGGATGATTTAATTTGAGTGTGCCATAGAAATTGAGCTAATTTTAGTAATTTAATGACGCCGAGAATGTTGCGTTTCATGGATTCTGATCACTAGCATGCACAACTAAATAGTAAATTGCTTCTTCAACACGGAACTTTGTGAGATTCTATCGACTTGATCAGTTGGATATAAACCTCCAAGGCGTTAGGAGGTTGGTTGGTAAAATTGGTGTAAAGGTAAGATCGGTATTTTTTTCTTTTCACAGATACAAATGTTTAGGAATAGCGTATATTTACAGTTATTCTGTGAACTCGAGTCGTATATGAGCTGATAGCCGACGAGGCGCGAAGCGCCGAATTGGCTATCGGCCATATACGACGAGAGTGAGCTGTGAGGTATGAGGTATGCTGCAATTTCATTGATATAGATATGAGGTATATGCTGCAATTTCATTGGTTGACTACCAGACAGATATTAGCTCATATCTGTCTAGTTAGAGAAAGTAAACAAAATGCTCATATACGGCTCGAGTTCGCAGAATAACTGTTAATTATTCGACGAAACGACCGTCATATTTGCCAGATACAGAACTTAGTTGCATGGGACTTTGACATTCTGACGTGAGAAGACGGGAATGAGATTAGAACGAGTCCACACCAAACGTATATATATATATACATGCCACGTATTCTCTGTAACCTATATACTACGCTTCAAAGGGTTGGAATTTGAAGTATGACTTTTCTTATGTGAGTCGATGATTCGATAACACTGGTATACGGCATATACTACCGTCTACCAACAATTATACTTGTTGAAATATGATATATCAGTTCTGCATGTGAGCTAGCTATGATGACACGACAATTAGGTCGTTCGAAAAACCAGTTGCTTTTCTGTGACACTCCTCTCAAACACATGCAAAACACAAAACACGTTTATTTCGCATAGCGTTTGTACAGAAAAATCAACTTCAAGCTCTCCATTTGGTCATTCACCTAGGTCCGGTGTAGACGTCGAAGTTTCTCATGTGCCGAGTCTGATGTTAATATAAGATAAAGTCTTTTTTTCGGAACATAAAAAGTGAAACAGCGAGTTATAAAACAGTTATAGTATATATAGTATAAAACAGCTAGTATATAAAACAGTTATACGTGCGTATTGAAAACATGTCACGTCCTTTATAAGATTCTCTTATTTTTAGACTGATTCTCTTGTTTTTAGGTCAGCAAAAATGCACAAGCTTAGTCATGTATCAGAAATTACTCTTCGCATTTGCAGTGGCCGTGTTTCTTGCAAAAATAGGTTAGTTATGCTAATGGCTACTACACTAAATCAGTTGCTCGACCATGGCCGAGTTTTGAACTGCTTTGCACTCGAAACGAATGTTTAACACGATTCCGATGGCAAAAAGGTTACTATACCTTACTGAATAGCCCCCCCCCCCTCTCTCTCCGATAAACATGATTAAGTGTTGATTTTTGATGGCTCTAAAGGTCTGTTCACACGATCCAATTTTATTGGATCCAATTCACTTCTGATGGAAGAAACTATAGTCAGCTATTGATGAAGAGTAGTACATTGGCTTCAGTGGATTTGCTGCTCATATACATTACAAAACGGAATCAGCTTAGAATGACATAAAGAACCATCTTCTTGTTTCAGGAACTGCCCTAAAATGCAACGAGTGCTTATATGATTCAACACAGCCGAAGAATTTGCAAACATGTGAAAATAGAACAACAATCAGTGTGAACTGCTCAGGTTCCTGTCTTACTACAATTGCGACAGATCGTAACGGAACAACGCTTGTTTTTAGAGGTTGCGTCGCTAAAAGCAAATGTACCGATGTCAAAGAAAGATGTAGCACTGCATTAAAGAATGGAACCTTGACGTCTTGTCACGTGGATTGTTGTAAGACCGATAATTGCAACAATTACACCCCCAGCAGTGCAATTGGCGTCATGGCAACCAAGATTACCGTCTTCGTGATGATGTTTTCATGTTTTTTCTTTACTTAACTTAACGGGCTTTGAATTTTGCGAAAGAGACAGCGTGGTTTAGCCCTTTACTAGTTCTTCTTAGGATGATTTAATCATTGTTTATTAAGTTGTCTCAAGAATTTGAATAATCACTTGTTTAGACTTTAGTTTAGCCATGGAGTGAGTACTTCTCTACATTTGATAAAGTGTTGAAATATTTAAATCGCGATTATTACGATTTCTGATTTTCTCAAAAAGTATAATAAAGTAGTCATAGGCGTAAGAGGAATTCTTATAATAAATATGAGAGCCCAATATTTACAAGGTGTTATATAACAAGTTCGTAAGGATAAGATGGGATAGAAGGGTGATAAGATGAGTACATGAGAAGACATTACGGTTGAAGGGACATTGATAACGTGAATATTTCGCGTATATATATGACATTGTACGTTGTTACCATTGTTGCTTGTCCTAAAGGTACAATCCTGGACATAATTGATGTGGACAGGAAAATTTATTAGCAATATTTCAGGTAAATCCTGAAAATCTTGCGTGTGTATGCAGATCCCCACTCCCCCCTTGTCAACGTTGGTTCCTAATGTCGCATGCATCACTTAATCCTGCCAAAGTTGAGAAACATCAACATTGTTTCGAGGGATTATATTAGGGAGTGCGATTTATGACCATAAGCCTTTATTTTATTAAATTAAAGGCATTGTGAGGTTAACGCTTATCTGTTCTGTCAGTTACTAAAATATTGCATTTCAAATGTTGGATTCTGACCAATAGGAGAACTCAATGGTTAAGTACTTTTCCAACACGGTCAAAGCAGAACTATATGTCATCCTATCTATACTTAATTAAACTTCCAAGCGACTGGTTGATAAAATTGGTATAACGGTAAGATCTGTAAAATACTTTGTTGTTTTTCACAGTACAACGGTTAAATTAGATGACAATGAACGGGCCACAGGATATACGAACACATCCATGCAATAGATACGCTCAACTATAATTATCTGTACATTGATTCTTTTGTTTTTAGGTTCACAAAACGCTTCACGAGCTTACGTCATGTATCAGAAATTACTCTTCGCATTTGCAGTGGCCGTGTTTATGGCAAAAATAGGTTAGTTATGCTAAATGAAATCTACCCTGAATCAGTTGTTCGTCCCTGGCCGAGTTTTGAACTGCTTTGTACTCGAAACGAATGTTTAACACGATTCCGATGGCAAAAAGGTTACTATACCTTACTGAATAGCGCCCCCCCCCCTCTCTCCGATGAACATGATTAAGCGTTGATTATTGATTGTTCTAAATGTCTGTTCACACGATACAATTTTGTTGGATCCAATTTACTTCTGATGGATGAAACTATAGTCGGCTACTGATGAAGAGTAGTACATTGGCTTCAGTGAATTTGCTGTTGATATACATCACAAGACAACGGACTATAAAACATCCATCAGAAGTGAATTGGATCCAACAAAATTGGATCATGTGAACAGACCTTAATTTCTAGAATTCATTGTTCATGATGTCATTGAATTTTCTTGCGATGTCGACCCTGCTGGTGCTATTGCACTCTTTGCAGTCACGATCAAGTATATGCCGGTTAACAGATAATATGACAATCTGTAAACGTCCAAAGACAACCAGCCCGCCAGCAGGGGATTTGATTGCGAGAGTAAATAACATGGTATTGATCTGGAGCCTGCAAAGCCGCAAAGCAAAGAATGTGCATCCATGTCTGAAAACTACGACAATAAGCCAGAAAACTGAATCAGCTTATAGAATAACATATAGATTATAGAACCATCTTTTCGTTTCAGGAACTGCCCTAAAATGCAACTACTGCTTTTACGCGTCAACACAGCCGAAGAATTTGCAAACGTGTGAAAATAGAACAAAAATTGTGAACTGCTCAAGTTCCTGTATTACTGCAATTACGACAAATCGTAACGGAACAACGACTGTTGCGAGAGGTTGTGCCGCTAAAGACGTATGTCCCGATGAAAAAGCCAAAAAAAGATGCAGCACTTTAATAAAAAATGGGACCTTGACGTCTTGTCACGCGGAGTGTTGTCAGACCGATAATTGCAACAATTACACCCCCAGCAGTGCAACTGGTGTCATGGCAACCAAGATTACCGTGTTCGTGATGATTTTCATGTTTTTACTTAACTTCACCTAACGGGCTTTGAGTTTTGCGAAAGAGACAGCGTGGTTTAGCCCTTTAGTAGTTCTTCTTAGGATGATTTAATCGTTGTTTGTTAAGCTGTCTCAAGGATTTGAACAATCACTTGTTTAGACTTTAGTTTAGCCAAGTAGTAAGTTCTTCTTTATACTTAATAAAGTGTTGAAATATTTAAATTGCGATTATTACGATTACTGATTTTCCCGAAAAGTATAATAAAGTAGTCATAGGCGTAAGAGGAATTCTTATAATAAATATGAGAGCCCAATATTTACAAGGTGTTATATAACAAGCTCGTAAGGATAAGATGGGATAGAAGGGTGATAAGATGAGTACATGAATGAAAAGACATTACGGTTGAAGGGACATTAATTGATAACGTGAAGATTACGTGTATATATATTGCTTGTCCTAAAGGTACAATCCTGGACATAATTGATGTGGACAGGACAATTTATTTGCAATATTTCAGGTAAATCCTGAAAACTGTCTTGCGCGTGTATGCAGATCCCCATTCCCCCCTGTCAACGTTGGTTCCTAATGTCGCATGCATCTCTTAATTCTGCCAAAGTTGAGAAACATTAACATTGTTTGGGGGATAGGGGTGTGATTTATGACCATAAGCCTTTATTTTGTGCAATTAATTAAAGGCATTGTGAGGTGACCTCTCCAAATAGTTTTTCCCTGATTGTAGCTACATTTAACGCAGTTTCTTAAATATTGCATTTCGAATGTTCGATTCTGACCAATAGGAGAACTCAATGGTTAAGTACTTCTCCAGGCGGGTCAAAGCGGAACTTGATGTCATTTTATATCTACTTAAACTTCCAACTTCCAAGCAACTGGTTGATGAAATTGGTAAAACGGTAAGATCTGTAAAATACCTTGTTGTTTTTCACAGTACAAATGTTTAGGATATGCCGGGCGTCAGTATTTCACTAAATTACTATCGTAGTAGTACGCATTTAGTTTTAATTTCGACATTTTGAGGTATGAAACACGAATGACTGACAACAAATGCCACATATTCAGGCGAGGCGCGTGATATTGGAATTTGAAATATGAGTAGTTATCGTGTGTGTGTGTTTTTGATGCTATACGCCTCATACTACAAACAATAAATTAAACTTCATGAAATATGGGAAGATATCAAATATGTGATACGACAATTAGGAACAGATTAGTAAGTTTACGATCTAGCATTTCTCGACGTCGCTAGACGCTAGTCAATTATTTGGGTAGAAATAAACTACGGGAAATTCATTATGCTGCCAGGGCGTCTTTGAAATAATCATACAAACGTTTCAATTGTGCTAAAAACCTCAGATGTCTCGTTGATATTACAGTTTCATATAACTTATCAAACAGCTATCACGTTGCAACTGCTTTCATGTGATCGAGAGGGCGTGAAAATACCTTATTTAAGGGCGTAACTCTATTCGTTCGAACAACTAGCAGCTTTTCCGTGAAACGCACCTAATGTTAATAAATCCTAGTTTGGCACATATGAAATAATGAAAAGTACGATGTCTGAGGAATATATATACGTTAGAAGTAAAGTGATCGAAACAGCGTTTAAACAAACAGAATTTAACTTATTTAAGTAGTACATCGCTAAATCGGACTTGTAGTAACAAATCGTCATTTATTTACCCATGCGATCACTCACGAGTCAGTGTTGCTGTCATCCAGTTGTACATAGGAGATTTCAAGAAATACATATTCCTATAAAAATTCCTTATTTCGGTGATCTGGTGGTGGCTGATTCGTATCATGACGATGATGCAAGTATTCAACTAATACAGGGTGAGTAAAATAAAACTGACACCTTTGAAATTTAAATTGGCCGCGAACTTATGGCTGGAATTTGACAATTCCCAATTCCCATTCAACAGGACGTGGTTAATTAATGCGAAAGTGTTTAAACCAATTGAACTAATTCTACGTGGCGCGTGTACTAGAAAAACGATTTGATAAAACTGTTCTTCTTTATTTACAGAGCTTAGAATGCATGTTAACTCCCAAAGGGAACAAACTTTATGTTTCAGGTTTATTAATGGGGTTCACTTATTTGATACTTCTGTCGCATTACAGCCGCTATGCGGCTAAATTCAATTTCAAAGGTGTCAGGGTTTTTTTACTCACCCTGTAGTTTGGGTCGGTTAAATTAGATGACAATGAACGTGCCACAGGATATACAAACACATCCATACAATAGATACGCTCAACTATAGTTATCTGTACATTGATTCTCTTGTTTTTAGGTTCACAAAAACACTTCACGAGCTTACGTCATGCATCAGAAATTACTCTTCGTATTTGCAGTAGCTGTGTTTATTGCAAAAATAGGTTAGTTATGTTAAATGAAATCTACCCTGAATCAGTTGCTCGTCCCTGGCCGAGTTTTGAACTGCTTTGTCCTCGAAACGAATGTTTAACACGATTCCGATGGCAAAAAGGTTACTATACCTTACTGAATAGCGCCCCCCCCCCTCTCTCTCTCTCTCTCCGATTAACATGATCAAGCGTTGATTATTGATGGTTCTAAAGGTCTGTTCACACGATACAATTTTGTTGGATCCAATTCACTTCTGATGGATGAAATATAGTCGGTTACTGATCAAACTGTGGTGCATTGGCCTCAGTGGAAGATTTGATGCATCGTGTGAACAGACCTTAAGAATTCATTGTTCTAGAATTCAACATGATGTCATTGAATTTTCTTGCGATGTCGACCCTGCTGGTGCTATTGCACTCTTTGCAGTCACGATCAAGTATATACCGGTTAACAGATAACATGACAATCTGTAAACGTCCAAAGACTACCAGCTCGTCAGCAGGGGATTTGATTGCGAGAGTAAATAACATGGTATTGATCCGGAGTCTGCAAAGCTGCAGCACAGCAAAGAATGAGCATCCGCGTCTGAAAACTACGACAATAAGCCAGAAAACTGAATCACCTTAGAATGACATAAAGAATCATCTTTTCGTTTCAGGAACTGCCCTAAAATGCAACAAGTGCTTTTACGCGTCAACACAGCCGAAGAATTTGCAAACGTGTGAAAATCATAGAACAAGAATTGTGAACTGCTCAGGTTACTGTTTTACTTCAATTACGACAAATCGTAACGGAACAACGGTTGTTTATAGAGGTTGCGCCGTCAAAGACATATGTACCGATGCCGAAGAAAGATGTAGCAATGAAATAAAAAATGGAACCTACACGTCTTGTCACTTGGAGTGTTGTCAGACCGATAATTGCAACAATTACACCCCCAGCAGTGCAACTGGTGTCATGGCGACCAAGATTACTGTCTTCGTGATGATTTTCATGTTTTTACTTTACTTTACTTAACTTTAACGGGCTTTGAATTTTGCGAAAGAGACAGCGTGGTTTAGCCCTTTACTAGTTCTTCTTAGGATGATTCAATCGTTGTTTATTAAGCTGTCTCAATGATTTGAACAATCACTTGTTTAGACTTTAGTTTAGCCATGTAATGAGTACTTCTTTATATTTGATAAAGTGTTGGAATATTTAAATTGCGATTATTACGATTACTGATTTTCCCGAAAAGTATAGTAAAGTAGTCATAGGCGTAAGAGGAGTTCTTATAATAAATATGAGATCTCATATTTACAAGGTGTTATATAACAAGCTCATAAGGATAAGATGGGATAGAAGGGTGATAAGATGGGCATATGAGAAGACATTACGGTTGAAGGGACATTAATTGATAACGTGAATATTACGTGTATATATATTGCTTGTCCTAAAGGTACAATCCTGGGCATAATTGATGTGGGCAGGACAATTTATTAGCAATATTTCAGGTAAATCCTGAAAACTGTCTTGCGCGTGTATGCAGATCCCTAATCCCCCCCTGTCAACGTTGGTTTCTAATGTCGCATCTCTTAATTCTGCCAAAGTTGAGAAACATTAACATTGTTTGGGGGATAGGGGTGTGATTTATGACCATAAGCCTTTATTTTGTGCAATTAATTAAAGGCATTGTGAGGTGACCTCTCCAAATAGTTTTTTCCCTGATTGTAGCTACATTTAACGCAGTTTCTTAAATATTGCATTTCGAATGTTCGATTCTGACCAATAGGAGAACTCAATGGTTAAGTACTTCTCCAGGCGGGTCAAAGCGGAACTTGATGTCATTTTATATCTACTTAAACTTCCAACTTCCAAGCAACTGGTTGATGAAATTGGTAAAACGGTAAGATCTGTAAAATACCTTGTTGTTTTTCACAGTACAAATGTTTAGGATATGCCGGGTGTCAGTATTTCACTAAATTACCATCGTAGTAGTACACATTTAGTTTTAATTTCGACATTTTGAGGTATGAAACACGAATGAACAACAAATGCCACATATTCAGGCGAGGCGCGTGATATTGGAATTTGAAATATGAGTAGTTATCGTGTGTGTGTTTTTTTGATGCTATACGCCTTATACTACAAACAAAAAATTACACTTCGTGAAATATGGGAAGATTTCAAATTTGTGATACGACAATTAGGAACAGATCAATAAGTTTACGATCTAGCATTTCTCGACGTCGCTAGACGCTAGTCAATTATTCGGGTAGAAATAAACTACGAGAAATTCATTATGCTGAGCCTGCTTTGCCTGAGGACGTCTTTGAAATAATCACACAAACGTTTCAATAGTGCTAAAAACCTCAGATGTCTGGTTGATATTCCAGTTTCATATAAGCTATCAAACAGCTATCACGTTGCAAGTTACAACTGCTTTCATGTGACCGAGAGGGCGTGAAAATACTTTGAGGGCGTAACTCTATTCGTTCGAACAACCGGCAGCTTTTCCGTGAAACGCACCTAATGTTAATAAATCCTAGTTTAGCACATATGAAATAATGAAAAGTTCGATGTCTGAGGAACATATATACGCTAGAAGTAAAGTGATCGAAACAGCGTTTAAACAAACAGAATTTAAGTAATACAGAGCTAAATCGGACTTGTATAGTAACAAATCGTCATATATTTACCCATGCGATCACTCACGAGCCAGTGTTGCTGTCATACAGTTGTACATAGAAGATTTCAAGAAATATAATTCCTATAAAAATTCCTTATTTCAGTGATCTGGTGGTAGCTGATTCGTATCATGACGACGATGCAAGTATTAAACTAATACAGGGTGCATGAGTAAAATAAGACTGACACCTTTGAAATTCAAATTAGTCGCGAACTTATGGCTGGACTTTGACAATTCCCATGACAGACCCATGTGTACAATCAACAAAACGTAGTTGATTAATGCGAAAGTGTTTAAACCAATTGAACTAATTCAACGTGGCGCGTGTGCTAGAAAAACGATTTGATAAAACTGTTCTTCTTTATTTAGAGAGCTTAGAATGCATTTTAACTCCAAAAGGGAACAAACTTTATGTTTTAGGTTAATTAATGGGTTCACTTATTTGATACTTCTATCACATTACAGCTATGCGGCTAATTTGAATTTCAAAGGTGTCAGGTTTTTTTACTCACCCTGTGGTTTGGGTCGGTTAGGTTAGATGGCAATGAACGTGCCACAGGATATGCGAACACATCCATACAATAGATACGCTCAACTATAGTTATCTGTACATTGATTCTTTTGTTTTTAGGTTCACAAAAACACTTCACGAGTTTACGTCATGTATCAGAAATTATTCTTCGCATTTGCAGTGGCCGTGTTTATTGCAAAAGCAGGTTAGTTATGCTAAATGAAATCTATACTGAATCAGTTGCTCTACTTCTCACGACACAAGTTCTGAACTGCCTTGTATTTGAAACGCGCCATGTTTAACACGATTCCCATGACAAAAGCCATTTCGGTACCCAAAATCTTGGATAGTCGCAAAATCCCAGTCCCAGTTGGATTTTTTCATAAGAATCCCAGCCTGAGTTGTAAAAATCCCAGCCTTTAAAAGGAACAATTCCCATTCCCATTCCAAACACATCTTCCCAGCGTTAAAAAGGCCAATCCCAGTTCTCGTATTTCCCCTTAAGGACTCTGTTGATCCGAACAGGAGTTTTTAAAGCCGACCGGCAAAGAATCTGCTCCTGCCAATTGCAACAATAAGGAAAACTGAGTCGGCTTAGAATAATCACCTTTAACAATCTTTTCGTTTTAGGAACTGCTCTAAAATGCGACGATTGTAGCTACACTTCAAAGGCTCCAAAGTATTTGCAAACGTGCAAAAATACAAGAAGTGCTGACTGCTCAGGTTCCTGTTTCACTTCAATTTGGACAGATCATAACGGAACAACGACTGTTTATAGAGGTTGCAATCGTGAGGACAAGACATGTCCCTATGCCCAAGCACTGTGTGACGCTGAAATAGAAAATGGAGATGTTAAATCCTGTCGCGCGGAGTGTTGTAAGACGGATAATTGCAACAATTACACCCCCAGCAGTGCAACTGGCATCATGGCGACCAAGATTACTGTCTTCGTGATGATGTTTTCATGTTTTTTGTTTTCTTAAATTAACGAGCTTTGCATTTGTGAAACAGCCTTTGTGGCTTAGTCTTGTATTAGTTTCTTTAGAACGACGCAATGTTTATAACATTGTAACCATTTATATATCGTAATTAAACTGTGACTGATGCCTAGTGGTCTTGTGTTGACTTTGTACACGTCATCAACGAGAGTTGAATCACGGATCATAGCCAACTCAATGAACGTTATCAGTTAGAAAAGTGGCTTGGCTTCACAAGCTCGTTCCAGCTCTCGCAGTCTGTTTACTTTAGGCGTCGATGCACTCTCACTGGTCGAGTGGACTTCTGCTTAATCAATCAAGGTTAAAACTTGCTCACAACTTAAATACTCATCTTCATCTTGTAGTAAAATCTTCAAACAGTTTCTATCAGAATAATATCTTAAAATTAAACCCCCAAAGAGTCGCTCACAACAATATTAATTTTAACTTACTCGAAATCGGTTCGCGTTTCAGACTTAAGTTCAAAAGAACCTAAAGATATTGAATAAACTCAAGCATACAACTTTAAACATTTTATTTTGTTCCATATTTTTTACTAATGCTTTCAGTAGAAATGTCCCTTCTTGCGCCTTCTGAAATGTTCGCTCTGTTCCTCTCCTCATGTGCAGGAATAAAAATTGCAGCCATGAAAAAGGTGTGTTTATTGACTTTATTCACATGAATTTGTATATAATTTCATCGCGTGTCTATTGATTTATTGTTTAAATGAGTGTAACGAAATCTATGTAAAAATAGTGCAAAGATTTTCAGTGATTGTAAATTTACAATACACAAATTTATAGCCTTGTGCAAAATTCGGATTACAGTGTTTATATCAGTAGTGTTCAATGACATAAATAGAATGTATCTAAAACGTTTATGCAAAAATTATTTTAACAATCACCATCACTAGGATACTGATCTTTGCGACCACAGCGCATGCTCTACTGCGCGTGACCGCTTGCGTGGATGGGGTTGGATCGACAGGAGTGTAATTGTTGCAGTTATCACCTTCGCAACACTCTCCCACGCAGGTCGCTAAGTCGTGAAGTTTGCTATACGCTTCGCATCCTTTCGTGATATTTGGACACCTGTCAACAGCACCACCACCGCAATCTCTCAAGAAACCCACATTCCCATCCTTATGGGTGTACCTTGTTGTGTAGCAATATTTCCCGGCTGGGCAGCTCACTGTGGCATTTGATCTGCACTTTTGATCCGCATGTGGACCGGCCTTTGGATCGTACGAGCATCTGTTGCATATTAGAGAACCGTTTGACTTTCCCGCTTCTGTACCATTGCTGGTAGGCCTGGGAGGAACTGTTACATTACCAGGACTGTAATTGTTACAGTTATCACCTTGGCAACACTTCCCGATGCAGGTCGCTAGGTTATGAAGAGCGCTGTACGTTGCACATCCTTTGGTGATGTTTGGACAGTTATCAACGAGAGTGCCTCCACAGTTGCGTAAGAAACCCACTTCTCCATCCTCGTGAGTGTAGGTAACAGTGAAACAATATTGTCCACCAGGGCAGTCAACTGTAGCATTAGGACTGCACAGGTTGTCCGCATGAGGGGTGACTTTTGGATCGTATGAGCATCGATTGCACTTCAAAGCACTCCCTAAAAGAACAACAACAAGTTACATCGCATTCGTTTTTATGGTTGAAAGCCATGAAACCCCGAGGGGAGATGTTCACCCAGGGGTTGCCGCAAGGCAAGGTGCTCGCATTATCAGAGACAATATTATTATTAACAAATCAATTTATGTGTTTATTTCGTTAGTAGTGAAAAACTTTCTCACCCGAAGCCACAATGGCAGCAAAAACTCCCAGAGCGAGAAAGATTTTGTTCATCATCTTTCAAACGCTTCAAAACTATAAATGAAATTAACCAGCATAAATTAGAGATTGACACACCAGAGTGAACACAGTTGTTGTTACACGAGCCAAAAAAATTGCTAAAAACGAAACGATAAACATCTAACGCTCGTGCACGTCTGATATTATTCACTGAATTTGTGAAAACGAGAAATGAATAACTGAACCTGGGATAGTAAAGGCTTAACTTGGATGCCCAAATATACGCCTTTGAAATCTTACGACATCATGATAGCCAGCTAGACTATCTGAGCCTGAAATATTTCGTCTAGTGCATGATGTAAGTAGATTATATCAGGCCGAAAGCTTAGTTCAGCTTATGTGAATTTAGTACTAACTGTATACGTTTTACGGTAATGTTACAGGCAACTACAAGAGGGAAACACCACATGGCTGTAGTCTTTTAATATCTCGGTTACTTGGGATCCTATAGCTGTCTGAGTATGATGAAAATTTAAAAATGTGTCAAACAACTTACCTGTGAAATATAACAGAACGAATACTCCTCAAAATTCAAGAGAATAAAAAAATATATCCGAAGTTTGTTTGGGCTATAACGTCGCTGTGGTCTTAGGGCGGCGAAAATTTGTATCACTTGTGAACGCTGATGAACGCAATGGAATGCCTGCTTGCATGTGTAGAAATTATCATAACGTCATAAACATGACTTTTTATTGGCTAGGAAGCCATACAAAAATGGCCCATTGTCTGTACAAAGATGCTCAGAAAAAAAGATGCTCTTACAATATTTCTAACATGGTCTATGGACAATCGCAAACAGAATGAGAAAGTTTTCGTAAAGGTATAAAACGGACGTAGCTACAATGCATCTAGATCTCCGAGCATTTTTCAAAATGTAACAAAGTACGATGAACGCACAAACATTAATATTCTCCATGCATTCTGCATCACCTGGCGAGGCATGTTCAAAAAGATTAATCCATCGTCTGGTCAGGTTAATAATGGCCGTGCCTTCGAATCATTAAACATCATTACACATCAAAACTTCTAGCTAGCTACTGACCGATATTTCCAAGCAGAACAGATCGATCATGAGAAGGTTCACACCTATTAACATTATTGTTGGTCGTATGGTATATGACCAGTTCAACGTGGGGTGCTTCAAAACTATGTGGCTATAGAAATCAACTTTTTGTTCATAAGCATTGATTATGCATATGATAATTTAACTACGTCAACACGCCTCTTGTTGTTTTTTAAATCGGTTATAACAAAGAGACCTGTTTCTATAGGTTCTATTTATGAATTATTTTGTATTCATAGGAAACGAGATGATGTTGTTACCTAGTGTATTACGCTTGTTCCCACAGTGGCCACCAGACTCGCTGTCACGTCAACATCATATTCGACAGCTTAACAGTTTAAGACTGTCTTGAATATTTGAAATATACAATAAAAGATAAAACGTGAAGTGGGAGGCGACATTTATAAATTGTAACCGGCAAACAAGTCTCGAGCGAACGGCAAAGTGATCGTGACCAGAGAGCTCAGCCCCTAAGGCTAAGGGCCTTTTGTACATTCTTGGGTATGCGATCATTAATATGCGCAGAGGTCTAGGAACTAGGCTGAATCAATCCGGGCAGTGTAATCAGGGATCCTGGGACCGATTTCTACAATGCCGTTATATCCACGTCACCCTTGTAAAGAAAACCTTGATCGAGATTATTAAAGACATAAGATTGGCGTCTACCGCGGTAAAGCCACACCGCTAACGAACTTCGTGACTATTTCGTTAAATCATAAACGCTCTATATATAAAACTCGTGATATCCAGAAGTGTTGTAAGGTCATTGCTATTTGCTAATGTTAATACCCAAACAGTAAATTCAGCTTTGCAGTTCCGTGTTTCACGTTCGCTGTAAACATAAAACTTAGGAACCTTAAGATTGACGTTTACGGCACACGGCTAACAGCAAACGGCAGATTTCAAATCGCTTTTGGGGGCAAACTTCACAAGTTTTTGATTTTTTGCCCTCCAAGTAGCAGCTAATTCATGCTTCAGTTTTCATAGATAAACAACCCTAAACTTCGAACAGCTAACAGTTGGCCTCGAAATATGATTTCAAATTTGGAGTTTGCGGTTAGCCGTGTGCCGTAAAAGTAGTGTAATGATAATTACAAATGGTAAATTGCATGCAAACTACAGCGGTCGAGTTACGGTCAAAACTAACAAAAGAGGAGACGAAACTATAAATGTGGTTCATCGAGTTAAGCGAACAATAAACAAATAAAAAACATCCAGAAAACTGCAAACTTGGTCGCCATTACGCCAGTGGCACCCTGACTAGGTGGAGTATAATTGTTGCAATTATCGGTTGTACAACACTCCACAAGACAGGACTTCCATTGTATTTCCGCGTCACATTTTTTTTGGCCCTTTGCAGCAGGACATAGCTTCTTCTTTGCTTCGCTGCTGTCACAATGTCTGACAGCCAACATTTTTCCAGCAGTATTGTTAAAAATAGCAGTCAGGCAATAACCTGTGGTACAGTTGACAAGCTTATCTGTGCACTTCTGTTCGGATTCTGGCATCTCTGACGAGTACATGCAAAAATTGCATTGCAAAGCTCCTCCTAATGACGAGAATAAAGTAAACTCTAGACAATGACTTGGATTTTAAAGCGTCAATATCATGTTGTTAGTGTTTTTCAAGCTCAAAATCTTGGGGAATTTTCTTTCATATAGACTATTCATAATCATCCTTTGATGGTATATTATTGATTTTCGTCTGGATGGCATTTTAGCTGCATATAAATATCTTAGTTCTGGCCTGATCTTAATTCGAAAGAAAACTGTAATATTTTCCAAGTGAGAAACTTTTCTGCAAGTGAAATCCAGCCTATTATATGCAACACACTCAAACTGACTATCAAGATTCAAGAGCACATCACAAGTTCCGACTGTAGTGAGTGTTTTTCAAAAATTCAATCATTCCTACCCAAAGCCGAGATAACGACCAAAACTCCCAACGCGAGAACTATTTTGTTCAGCATTCTGACACAAGTTTTGAAACGAAACTATGAAGAGATAAAAAAAATTAAATTGCAGTTAGACGGCAAACTCACGAGACATCCGTCGAAGATGTCATGATAAACACTTAAATATATAGCACGCTAGCTGGTTTTATGAATTGTCATCTCGCATTATGTGGTTGACATCACATTCGCAGTTAACGTCAGCAGAAGTCAGTGCGGTTTTGGGCGGGAAACGATACTTTGCCAATATATTCCTCATGCCGGATACTATTAATTAGCTCTATTTGAATGGTTAGTCTGTCCCCAAACAAAACACAAAAATCAAGATGAATTTTTGGAAAGAGCCATCTTTATACATCGCCTTTTTGTAGTAAAAACATTACGGAGGACAAGTCGGGGTAAAACTGAGCATGACATGTCTTAATAGACCTTTCCCCTTTCAGCTGTCATGTGTGACGGTAGTTGATTGTCAACGTCAATTTGAGTTGTTATTTCGCCAAGTTCAGGAGCGATTTCGTTTAACAAACAGGCGAAAAGAATCGGCAAGGTTTTCTTACAAACAAAATCGCTTCTAAGCAGAGCGATATCGCAACTCAAAGTTGCCTGATAATAAACTACCTTTTGCATTGCGTGCTCAGTGAAAGCTAAAAGCAGAAAGGTCTATAACGTTGCGTCAGCTACTGCAGACGTGTATGTTTTCTATGACTGTATGGCTTGTTTAGCTAAAAGTAATGGAAAATTGTGTGAGAAAGCGAGTTTAAAAAGGTGAGATTAGCCGCAGAAAGTTGATTAAAACACTCTATTTTACCTGGCCAAAATAAGATTTTTGTGGCAAAAATACGGCTCGAAAAGTCAGCATTTGAAAGCATTGATAACTATATATAAAGGCGAAACTATTCATTTTACATCTTAGTATATATTCTTATTATTCTACACTATTTTGCGGTATTATGCATCATATTTACAAAATGTTTGTTAATTCAGATTACAATGCGAAAGATGTAACTATAGGTGGAGATGTTGATTCAAACTACGTTCTCGTGCAAGCAATGTTATTGGTATTTAATTGAAAAAAATAATTGAATTGAAGCTATGCGAATGTTTGATAGTAAAATACCTTGCAAAAGATATAATATTGTTTACTGATTGACAATAAAATGCCGGAATCGTTATTGTTACTGAAAGTTATTACTAAAAAAGGAAAGTTTTTTGGTACCTGAAATTTCTGGTCCTATATAGATGTACCTTGTGATGCAAGATCTTCAGAATATATATCCAGTTATCGGAGCTGTTTAGCGAGATGGCGTCGAGTGGCAAAGTTGATCAAGCTACCTCTGTCTACAGCGAGTGAGGTCTTGTTATTATATATGTGTGGTTACGGTCTTGGGTGGAGACGTCAGACTTCGGAAATTTTACACCGTCACATTGCACACTGATGCTTGACGGTTGATCAGCCTAGACAGGTAGGCATTGAAGGGATGTGCATGTGAGTTTTTATAAGATGATTGATCTGCGGGTTTGCTGTGAAATAAACGGCGATTTTCGCGACGCGTATATGAAGCAAGATCAAGGTTCAGAGGTGAAATTTTGGCTTAAAATACAATATAATTAAAAAACGCACCCATTTGTAAAACGAAGCATGTTTCCGAGTCTCATTCATCCTGTACGCCTTCAGTTGTATTTGCATTTATCTGATTGACACGTTCATTGTCAGTTGTATAAAACTCTTTAACTATATTTGGCATAGTTAAATCCTAGTTAACTGAGAAATACACGATTCTGATTGACAACAAATAAAAACACTTTATTAATAATCAAGCGATATTTATCAACTAAACCAGTGGTCAGTATTAAAATTTCCCAGACACCTCAATAAACCATTACGACAAGTTCGGAAGCAAATAAAACTATAGTAAAAGACTAAACGACACTGGCTGTTGTACAAATCTTAGAGTTCGAGACGTTGACCCAACAACTGACTGATTATCAGGAAGACGGTAGTAAACTTTGTCGCCATGATGCCATTTGCACTGCTTGGGGTGTAATTGTTGCAATTATCGCTCTGACAACACTCCACGTGACATGATTTTAAACCTTCCTTTTTTATTGCTTTGTCACACGTTTCCCTCCCTTTTTTATCAGGACATAACTTGTCCTCAGGATCGGTGAAATCACAACCTCTTCCAACATACCTTGTTCCGTTTCTATCAATTTGAATACCTGTGTAACAGTACTCTGTCGTACAGTTGACGATCTTACTTTCGCACTTCTGTGCGGATGGCGGGTCTTTCGACGAATATTGGCAAAAATCGCATTTTAAAGCATCTCCTAAAACGACAGGAATTTGTGAATTGCGATAATCAGCTGAAGCCTGAGGGAAAGTAAAGGCCTATTTAGACTACACGATAAGTTGTATGCAAGTTATCTTTCTGACGAATGCAACTGACTGACTGAGAGGGTCTATGCCACAATCTTTATTCAGTTCTGTTCGGGATAAAATTGAAAGTGTCACGTTTGTATATAATTAAATACAGGATAAAAGTAGAAATAGAGGAAAAAAATGCCTCATTTCCTACCGAGAGTCGCTATAATGAACACGATTCCCAAACAAAGATAAAATTTGTCCAACATATTGGTAGCCGCAGTGTCGTAACTAAACAAGAATGGTAAAGAATGAATGTTACTGGTTTGTGCACGGTGTGATACCACAGCTATATATATTACGAATTGTAAATTAATAACACTGAAACTTGGTATAGTCATGGCCAACAATAACAGGATGTTGCGGTATTCAGTCTGACGGACTGGACTTCTTTTAATCTTTTTCATTCGGAAAAGAATTCCCCTCTCTGTTCTTTATACTCCTTAGCTACGCTATCAAATGCGTGCGTATGTTCGTGTTTTTTCTATTATTTTCCCTCCGTCCAAATGCTGTTATTATATTCAGCTAACTTTAAAATGAAACAGATACATGAATACACACGGTTATACAAGTATAATACATGACAATTTTACAGATGCATGAACATGATTTATGAGAAACGACACTCGGAATTGTTTTCAAAGGAACTGTAAAAAAGCTTGTGCTTTGAGAACAAAGTTAACCTTATTCTTGGGAGCTTTCGAAGTATTGCTTTCCTTTAGGCTGATTTCGTAGTTCAAATTAACCTTATACTTGAGTGTAGTTACTTGAAAGCAAGCAATACGAGATTGGAACTGAGGTTGTAAAGTATAGATTTAGGGCGATCATAATTTCTCATGGAACTTGTGTCAATCGGTTGAGTAAAACCCTTAAAATAACTGTGAGAAAATATTTCAGGTGCCTTACATGGAAAGGTTATCAGTTTATCAACATCAGTTAGATCGAAGCTCAATTTAATTAATAGGGCAACAGTTGAAAAACATTGTTCATTCTCTGCTGTTTCAGATTAATACGAATATACTTATGCTATATCAATATTTCAATGAGCAACTGTTGAAAATACTCAGTTGAACTTTTCGACTTTTTGACCTAACGCTCCTTAGCTTTCTGCATGTGAGTCTCATGGTACTTACTAAATATATGTACATTATTCGACATGTATGGTACATATGGTACCTACCTTAAGTTAATAGTACTTTTGTTCAATATAGACCAACAATTAGGCGTTGTTGTCGATGAAGCAAGATGATGAGTTTGATGGCTTTTAAAGCATTCAAACTATGGACCACTTATCTCCTGATCACGTGGTTCTTTTGAATGACGTATATATCAGTCTGCAACTATCGTATATTCGTCATGGATTTCAGCTCAATATCGTGAATAAAAAAGTACGGAACCTTTCAATAACGTGCAGTCATGGGCGAAAGTCGTATAATTGTACATCACTATAGCAAATATTCAACATATAAAAGTGCAAGCGAAGTATTTTCGTAACAGACCCTTTTGACGGACCTATATCATGAAGGCTGATATATAATTTATATAAAATTTATAACGAAATGATCGTCAATCAAAATTAGAAATGGCAAGATGTTTTTGTTCAGTTATTTTCACTAATACATTCCTCGCTTTAGTGACATATCCTAACATAAAAGATATATTTAATGGCTCTCAGATAAAACCTGGATTTAAGACTTGGACTTAATTTCACATTACGCACAATATTGACTTGTCAAAGTGATGACGTACATGTATATTCGGTATATCACGTGGTCTGAACGTGTTTTATTATTTTGACACTTCGCTGTCATTCTGAAGGATATCAAAAACGGGTTGTTTCGGGTAGAAACAGTATCGACAAACGAACAAATTTGTAATTCGTGATATCAGCTTCTTGTGAAAGTTTTGGTTTCTGAAACGTGCTCGCCACACGACCCTCGAGAGTAATAAGTACGATGGAAACCTTTTCAGTTCTTGCAATTATATTTAAAATTCCTTTTTCATAACTTTTCAGTAAACAATGCACGGTAGTCTGTCTGCTTTCGCAATTCGCAAAGCGTGTTTATCAAAATTGAGTTCCTCAATCTGAAATGGGGGAAAGGAAACATAGTTCCATCGGGTACCCGGGCAAAGCTGCCGGGTAATAAACTCCGTCCCGGAGAACTCTACCCTGACGGAGTCGACTCATTCGAGCCCAGTCCTTTTTTACCACCAACAGGACTACAGCAGATTCATTGACAGGTTCAACCCTGTTTTTTGACGATAATCTATCAGCGAGCTGCTGATTGTCATGGTAACAGTGAATGCACTTATTCTTGCTCAATAATTTAGCATTGCATCAAGAAGACACAAGATATCGAACAGACAACAAATAAAACACTTTATTCTACTGATAATAAAAACACTTTATTCTATTAATGATACCAGGAAACAAAAACTTAAGGAAACCATAAACTAGTAAACATTATAACGAAGAGAGATAACTTGGTCTCCGCGATACCATTTGCACTGTTAGGGGAGGGGTGGGGTGGTGTTGGTGGTGTGTTGGTGGGTGTGGGTGGGGGGGGGGTGGGTGTATAACTGTTGCAATTATCGGTCGTACAACACTCAGAATAACAGGATGTAAATTTGCCTTCTTTTATTACTTTGTCACAAATGCTTTTGCCTTTTTCATCGGGACATTGCTTGTTCGCAGGGTCGCTTGAATCACACCCCCTTCCAACTTTTTTAACTCCGTTAGGTTGAACAGTAAATCCAGTGAAACAGTAACCCGTGGTACAGTTGACCGTCTCATTACCGCACTTCTGTTGGGATTTTGCAAATTCTGACGAGTATCCGCAGTCGTTACATTTCAACGCGCATCCTTAAACGGCAAAAATTCATGAATGCGCTACGAATCACTGGAAGTTGTGATTCTGTATGCAACCTATTTGGGTTACTGAAAATGTATTGCTGCTTGGTCTAAAACGAAATTCCTACTTGTTGTAGGTATACAATGCAAGAACTTTACTTCGAGGTCACTTCTTGAATCGGAGGAAGGTTATGTTATGAACAGCATGCATGACTCGTTAAAAATGTAGTTAAATACAGGAATAAATTGGGATAGAAGAAATAGGTGACAGGGCTGGACCGTAAAAGACCGATTATGAAAAGTTTCAGTAGTATTTCAGCTAGTTCAAAAAAATGACGAAAGAAATAAAGCAATTTATCACAACAAAAATAATGAATTTTCTTTCGGTCGCTATAGCTGCAGGTCGTTTCCCCTCGGTCAGATTAATCATCCTGATGTGAACTAAATATCCCGTTTTTCTTACCCAAAGTCGATATAATGAACACAATTTCCACAGAAAGATAAAATTTGTGCAACATTTTGACGCCAGTGTCGAAACTAAACCAGAATGGTAGAAACATAAATGTTACATTGACAACCTAGGCACATAGTTCAATATATTTCGCGCAAGATCCCGTGCATTGTAATCAAACATCGCTTTCTGAATGATAAAAAGGGAGAAATAAACTATGTATGGATCCGTTTTGAAAATACACTAAAGTAATCATGTTGCTTTGAGAACTGTTGATGCCAAACACTTCCTTAAAACCAGCACCGCATTCAATTCGTTGCTAAACTGGTACTGAATATTGAATAACTGACATTTCTTTCTTACCCAGACCGTCTTGAGCACTTGATACTTGTGTTGATATTTAGTCACGTAACTGCAATTATCACCAAGAAAATCTTAATATTTGATATTATATATGTGTTAGCCGACAAAGAACAACTGCACGAGATGTTTTCGTGACACAGCTTCGAGCCTTGGCCTAACAATATCATCGGGAACGATCAAGTACCAGCCTAAGATTCCGGACGTTGGCACATATTTTTGTACTTGTTATGACAATTATACTACGATCCGATTGGCTGTTTAGAATGGAAATGCCAATATACAAACTGAATATGCAGGCAACAATATAAGATACGTGTATGAAACGCAATTCCTAAATGTAATCCGCTTAAAAAGGTCGCCAAAACACAAAGAGTTCATTGGATGAGCACCATCATCACAAAACATGGTTACCTGAGCTAAATTCATTACAAAATTGCTTTACAGTATGTTCTCTTAATTATTGTAGCATTTATCAAAAAATTTCTTTCATTTATTTATTTCCTTTATTTTAACTTATAATTCCTTTTTCATAATTCTTCGCCGTACAATTGACGGTAGTTTGTCTGCTTTCGCTATCTGCAAAGCGTGTTTATCAAAATTGAGTTTTTCGATTTGAAACGGAGGGAAACATAGCTCCATTGGGTACACGGGCAGAGCTGTCGGGTAATAAACCCCGCCCTGGGGTATAGGGCTAGGTAGTGGTGACGTATTTGCTGACGTGAAGAACGTCTTATCATTTAGATACATGACGTCATAAGACGACGAACCACTCGAGCCCAGGCTATCCTCATCATCTTCTCGCTGCTCAGATATAACTGGATTGACGAGTTCGTTAACATGTTCAAACCGGTTTTTCGCGGGCAATTCACGGGGCCTTGCCTGTTGTCATCTGGAATACCACAGTGGTTACTTTTATTCATATCTGGAGTGATATCAACGGACGGCCGTTTCCTATTGCTAATTAATTTGTGTTCATTAATCATCGAATTGGTTTGAAATTTGTTATCGTATTTGCCAATTGGAAGCAAAGATACTTTACCCTTGTGTAAATCGAAATCCGTTTTAAAGGAGTAACCTTGTAAACGCAAATTTGACCTGCTGTTTTGCATTGTTATTCTAACTGCAGAGTTGGACGTCTGCTTGGAAACGCTGAGTTCTCGCGATAGACTGAAAATCTTATCAACAAGCAATGCGATGCATTTTGTTTGCGGCGAGGGCCTGAAAATCATCGAATTTTCATAACAGTAGACGAAAACATCTCCCAAAGTCAAAGGCAAGTTACAGGTCTTTCCAAAAACGATGCAGGTTTGAAACGGACCGCGTTTCCTTGTCTCCATCAAGATGCGAGTTTCGTACAAATGCTTCGCGATAGAAATCTCCGAGAATTTTAAATCCGTTTCTCGGATAACAGCGATCGGTTTTCGTAGAACAAATGCCACGCCGATTTCGTAGAGGAAGAAGAGGTTCTGGCAGACGTCGGCGTACAAATAGACCAGAAAAACATCAGAATCGTGTATCAATGCATAAGCCGTTTCAGGATCGTCGCTCTGTCCCACGATAGCCACGTGACGCGATAAGGATTTAATCATGCGCCAAGCAGCAGGTGACAATGTGTGGCGTCCAGAAAAATAAACAATCGGTTGACATTTCATTTTAATCTTTTTGTTACCGCAGTCAAATGTTAACTGAAAGTGATAGTTTTGTCGCACCTTATTTGGAACCCCACGAAGTATGTGATTTCTGCGGTAGGATCACACGTTTCGGAAGATAATACTCGATACGAAATTGCCAGTTAGATACCTTATTTATTTTTACGAAATTTCGCGATGTTTGAAAGCAAAAGGTTCCTTGTTTGGACTACTGGGTCGTCGTCTCACAGTACAAACACAGCTAAACGTTCTTCGTATCCACTGCTCAATTCAGAACGAGATCTTTCAATATCACAATGTTCGACTTTGCCTCCACTCCAATCAGAAATTCATCAGTTTCTTGAAAGCTTTATTGAACGTTGCAAAGACCGGCGCGACTTCTCGTAAATGTAAACTATAAATACCCTCATTTGCTTGGAGCGGATTTCCGGCGGACTTGTTCAGACCGTATTATGTTCAAAACTTTAAAATGATCCCAAAACTTCTGTATTAAAATGGCATTAACCAAAGATTTTAGCTAATTATTGAAAACATTCTCAGCCGCAATTCCCCAAACTCTTTCTCCACTAAATACAGTTATGTCAAAGAGGATATTCTGTGCGCACAAATTCTTCCAGATCACAATTCTTCAACTTGGCTTTTCTTCTCGTACTGATCAGAATAGAATTTCCGTTCAACATTAACCCATTCTAGATCACAAGCTTTGGATAAGCGTCCGGAGGAAATTCAGCATCGCTTTTTTAACTTATTTTCTAGACTTTCTTCAGTTGACTTAAAACTAAAGCAGGAACCGCTATTTGAAAGTGAACATTTGGAGAATATCTTACGGCGCCTTTCCTCAGTAAATACCTCAACAATTCCCTTTAAAAAACGAGGATAACATTGAACATAGCTCCTCATAAACACATATAGCCTCAATTTTAGTACTTCGATACGAGAACACGCTGTTTTGCGGCCCGAAGTGCTCGTCGCCACCAGTCAATTCTCGTTAATAAAAAAGTGTAACATTTTCAATGATTCTTATTACTTTCCTATTGCGATAGTAGATGAAGAATACGTAATACGTCAATAAAACAGCGTTACCATAACAACAAATTTGCTAACTCATTAAGCAAAGTTTAAATTCATGTTTGTCTTCATCACAAAGAATTGCTAATTCAGAGACCAAACTGTTTCAATACAAAAAATGACAACGCTATTCAACGCCTAGTTCAACACCTTGAGACAATAGCTTAAAAAAATACCTTAACTTAGCATCGGCGTGCGATGCTTTGCGACTAAGATATTACTTTCTCCTGTCGGTTTCCTATTGATTCAATTTATTTGTGATCAACATATTGCAGTAAGCGGCTAATGATATTTTAGTGTTACCAAATATTTTCAATCTTCAAGTTTATAATGAGATATGAAAGGTTTAAAGCGGATTAACTTAAAATTGGATGGGAGAAAAAAAATAACCCGATCATGAATATATATAGCAGCTGAGGTGACAGAAACATCTGGCAGACTTCACTCGAGGATAAGGCACGTGATTTTCCTGGCTAGAACCTAGGCGCATCCCCGGCACTGGCGGCACATCAATCTCATATCGCAATAATGGCAGGAAAAAACACTGCCCACCGGCAAAGAGTCATCATAATTTTCAACAATTCACAAATTTCGTAGCAGTCGCATGAAATGTCTACGCGTTATTTTTTTATCTTGTTGCATTCAAGTGCACGCTTTGTATTCAAATTAAACTCATAAGGATCACGTATTCACAAGTGCAGGCTGATCAGCTGATGGCAGAAATCCGTCAGAATCAGTTTTCATACTGTTTCGCTCAGCACGCCATTTTTAAAACCCTAGCGGTTTTCTCATGATGGCATTCAACATGAAATCCCGTACCGTTTCAAAACTCCAAGACTGAAATCTAGCATCTTTCTCTTCGATACCTGCGCGGTGTACACGCGGGATTCTACACGTTGCGCGCGTGGCACGCCACAGAGAACACGTGCAATTGTGACGTCATTAATATTCGCATCGATGTACCAGATTTGAAGTTCACTCGGAATCTCGGAAATGGAGAAATCTTTGAACGACGAGATTTCAGATGAAAGTGAGCCGGCACGGGATGAAAAAACGTACGGCTATGCGTTGGAATTACCGTATTCCAAGCAGAACTTGAACTTCAAATCAAGGGTAACGCGCATTGGACGAGACCTCATAATAGTCGGACTCATTGTGTGTTTACTGCGGACAGGATACGTTTCCCAATGGATAGCCAGCCATACGACACAGACTAAACAAGTAAGTAAAGTAAAAAACCAATTCAGAAAAGACAAGACATCTTGATAACTCAAAATATGATTCAAAAATGATTTATTTCGAAGTCATCTTCAGTTCGGAGAGAATGAAATAAAATACTTTGCAATACGCGTAGCTATATACAACCCCGAAAGAAAGAAATTGTCGATCATGTCCGTGGAAGGCTATTAAGCGAAACAAAAATTGATATCGTTACGACTGCTTGAAGAAAGGCGAGGATGTCATAATTGTTAGATTTAGTAATGTGAAGAACTCTGTAGATTTAAAAACTAAAGTTTTCAATAATAGGAGAAGAGTTACTCGTAGTTGAAGGGTGATCGTTACGTAGTGAGAACTGGTCTTGTAGATGGCAGAAAAATGTTGGCCTACGTACTGCACAAGAAGAGAGCCTATAGTAGAAAGCTCTTTCAAACGTACAGACAGGCACCTTAGTGGGCATGCCAATGTATATCTCATGAGAATAATACCACCAGTTGTGGAAGGAAAAACCTCGCAAATTTAATAGAAATCTATGCATTTGTTCCATGAAAGTTACGTTGTATTTACAATTAACATGCACCCAGAAGCTACATTCATTATTCCCGCGACCAAAGTTACCAAAATCATTTTTGCTTTGGGCCAAACTGATATTTAAAGGAAACTAACTTTTTTTAAAGGTTCAAAAAGGTTGGTTTAAACGCTTGTTCTTCCATGACGCCAAGCAAGAGCCTAACTCCTGGTCTAGTCATCTGACAAGACACCTGGTGTTGATTTCGAAAAGGCTACCTGTGTTTGGACACGTAATGGAGTCGTGCTACTGGATGGTCGACATTTTGAAAGTATTCACACAAAATTCCATCAGTTGGCTTCCAGTGCTCGAAGATCATCTTCCGGACGTCGGTGTGTCCTTGTTCGTGATTGGTGGATTCCTGTTCGTGATGGGATCCACCTTGATACTGAGGGATAACTGGGTATCATCCCTTACAAGCCCCTCCTGTCCCAAATGCTTGACTGATGGAGGAAGATGGAGAATGCCAGACGTCACAAGAAGCGACACAGCCTTGACAAAAAGGAACATTGAATTGTCGATTCCTATCTTTAAATTCGTCAAAGTTTTCCCGTTTCACAAAAGATTTTCTGGAACCACGGATTTTTCTATGAATTCCGTGAAAATGAGGCTCGTCATTCAATTCAATCGAGCCACACAAACTCCCTGAAGTTCCCCGAAATTGTTCTTGGAATATGCACCATTGATGAAACACCACTAAAATCACAAAATATTGCAATATCGTTTATATATCACTTGGTGCAAATTAATTATGAAATTTAATTATGATAATTATTATGGTTAAAGTACGTACCGTTGTGTAGGCCTTGAAAATAAATCGAAATTTGTAAAATACTCTTCAAAAAAAACATGAGGAATACAGAAAATAAAGACTAAACGAAAAAACATATCTAGCATTGGAAGGAACTTAAAACATCCGCCATATTGTAAATAATGTGTGGTCGAAGTTGCTTTTTTTAACGGCAATGTTTTTATATACGTGTAGGTCTGGTTTAAAATTAGATCAGTTCGTACGCGCGTTTATGGCAAGGAATTATTATCACATCATCATTCCATGTGTCCAATAGACAGGCCCGGAGCTACGGGGGGGGGGGGGGTTTAGGGGGTGTCACCCCCCCCCCAGAAAGTTTATTCTGAGGTTTAGTCGGTAAAATTGCTATTTTAGTCGGCAGACAAAAATATTTTTGACACTATAGATAAAATAACACATTCTGCATGACTATTGCATGCACCTTCGAGGGACATGCATTTTGGGAACATGACTTTACGCTTTACGTGTTGAAATCCGTTTTAATAAATATATGTTACACTATACAATATCATACATGTATGAACAATGCAAAAATACGTGCATAAAACGACGACACCATGATTACATTTGGCAGACGATAAAATACGTAAACGTGCGCTGTTAATGCGCTTTACGACAAGAAAGAGTGATCATGCATTATAACCTTGAGAAATTAGACTTCGGTCGAAGGCAAAAGCAAAGGCCTGATTCATACAAAAGACGGACCACTCGTTTGCACATCATTTAAGGCTAAGAAAAGACAGTTTGTCGATGAAACATCTAAACTTTTCTTTACCCAAATCCGTCCAGACGAATACATCCAAGCTAATTTACAATTGGCAATGATTTATAGTTTCATTCTCTTGATTTTTTTAACTATTAAGCAACATAGCATCGGGTGGTTTGCCGCTATATTTCATTGCCAAGCGCATAAAGTTTGTGTTCCGCATACCAAAAGCACAAATCGTTTCAACACAGAACGGACTGACCTGAATTTCATCAGTAATAGCGTATCTTCCTGGTTAATGTTCCGACATAAACCCACAGTGATAACACGTTGTTTGGATATGGATGAATGTGAACCGCCAAAGCAAACTCAACATTTGCATCCTCTGTTAGATGAACTCCAGTACTATGAACCGTATCGATCACTGGTCTGATGTCCGTGAACGCCATTTGCAGAGGAAAACCAGAAAGCTATGAAGAACCAGAACTCGATTGGTTTTGCTAAAGAGCCATTCTCAATTAGCTAATTGACGTTAAAACAACTTGCCCATGAAAATGAAAGCATGAAATATGAAATATGCTCTCGAAAACCTGCAGGGTTTACTTTTAAATGCGAGTTAAATCCTAGTTAACTCCGAAATACACAACTCTGATGGGCCAATTAGCACAATTCTGTCCTTAACTACAGTTAAAAGTTAACTAGTCTTTCATACAACCGGCCCTGATGAGCTTTTTAAAAACAACCACTGACATACCTTGTATGAAGATAGGATGTGATCTAATTCGGTTTTGTGATTTTGCGCAGTTCTTTGACGATATGTTTGTTCCATACTAAAGATAGGATTACGGTTCGATTTAGGATTATGGTTAACACTAATCAGCCATAAAACTAATCTAAGACCTGATCCTAATCTGAAGGATTAAATTCGTGTGCCAAAGGAATTGGGAACTAAAGGATTAACGAACAATCGAATCAACTTACTTTGCTAGTAAATCTCGAAATGATTGTGAACAATATCTAAACAAAGAAACTAATGAATATTTACTTAAATTGTGACAAGCTGAGAAGATTGTATCTTTCTTTTCACCTGTTCCATCTTGTAACGTAACGCGGTCGCCATTCCATTATTTTATCTCGAAGCAATCTTTCAATTCTACGAAGAAAGTGTTGAAGCATTTTGGAAAATTGGATGGGACACAGCTAGGGAAAACTAGTTCAAGGTGTCCCTGGATTTCCTCTTGTAAAATCAGCTTTTAAGAAGCGATTTAAATGCATCGCACTTACTTTTCCTGGAGTTCGGTGACGTACTGAGGATCCGTCCTTGTATAGTTCAGAAGAGGTTTCTGAAATATATTTAACACTCTGGTGAATTCTGGTGTGAAGCGTTAAACTTTGAAGTCCAGATTTCAGACGAAGACTTCGCATTATTACCTGGACACTGGTCAAGCCCGGGTTCGGATACTTCGTTGTGAAAAACGGTTTCCAAAGCTTGGGTTTGCTGACATCGAAGGACATGCGGTATGGTTGACCAGAATGCTGGATATTTGCCCAGATCTGGTAAAGAGAATGAATTATGTGCCATCACCTCAACAACTTGGGACAATGTTGTCATTTGATAAGGGGCTTTTTTAATCACAACTTGTAGACAAATTCTATCACAAAGGCTGTGAAAAGTTATTGGAACAACTGGTAAAACTAAGTTCGTCAGATAAAGAACTTTCTGAAAAAGCTGGGGCTAGCATCAGTTATTTCCTTGCTATTCTGCTTGAAACCTAATAAACAGTAGATTCGCCAATCTTTGCACTTACATTTTCAGCATTAATCAAACATGCGATGTTCTGCAGAGGGCAATAAGCATCACCAACTGGGAATTTCTCTCCGGTATGAGCATTCCACAAGTGGTACACGCCTTGATGACAGGTCAGCACGTACGTTGTTGATCCTTCAAAAGAAAATCAACGAAAAAGAGTGAAGCTGTCGCGATATTTACTAAACAAAGTAAATGAGAAGCCTTTGACAAAGTTTCTCTTGCATGGGATGTGTTTAGTGGGCTCATATGTTACTAGAGAATAATTCTCCTACCCTCTGGTATTCCTGTTCCAATAACAAGCCAAGCCCTTTTGCCAAGCCACAGGAAATAGTTACACAATAAAACAGCGTGTTCCTCTTCGTCACCAGCCAACATCTGGAGGAATTGCTGAACGAGAAAACAAACAAAACAATGATAAGGTCCGCTACATCGTTCATACTTGCAATTCATGCTAGAATTTTCTCTTTATGATGGATGGGAACGAGGGAATGTCAACAGCGGGGACTGGTGATCACTTACATCAGAAGTGCTCCACAAATCACAAAGATCAGGAAACGCAACAGAGTCTGAGATATACGGAATTAAAGAAACGAAGCGAGAGGCAACATCCTGGAAGACATAATTCGATGCAGTGAAACAAAAATATGACATTGACAATACTGAATTTAGTATTCGCAATACTTTGAATTCGCAAGACTCACCATGGCATTGGGGGGCGGATTCGTTGGGTCGAAACCAAAACTAGGGGGGAGATTCTGTTCTCTGATGTATCGCGTCAGAAACACTTTCTTTCCATTGAGATCAGTTGCAAGAACCTGGCGAGATCATATGGTGTTTAGAATACGGAAAGACACGAACTCATTTGAACGACGATGAAAGCAAAGGTAACGATATGCTCGTATTGTTTTTGAACAGAACTTTATTATCAACGTTGTTTAATCAACTAACCTTAAATTCTCGCTTTGGAAACTTCTTTTTCAATTCCTCGAGCCAAATGTATGCATTGTTAATCAATCGTTCATCTTCAGATGATTCGAACTAAAAATGTTTATAAACGTTTAGTCCAAAAATTCTGCAGGATCAAAAAGCGAGTCCCAACTCTTGAGAGATCAGTTTAAGACAATCTATCCTATATTATAAGGCAATCTATCCTACAAGACAGCGGTACCTTCTCTGCCAAAGGCTGCGATGGTTGTAGGGGTGGTTCGATGGTCACGAACAGCGTTAGGAAGGTTTGATCGCGGGCACCAATACCAATATCAGGGGCGCCCTGGACACGAGGTTGGTTGTGCTGGTAGCCAAGAAGAACGGCTGGTGTGCTGATCTTGAAAGTACCATCAACCTGAAGATACGGAATGGTTTGGTGTTGATCACATCCACAGAGGCCGAGGAAACTACGACCAGGGGGGGTAAACTTTATGTAACAGACGGGGGGGATTCCCAATGGGATCCGCCCATGTGTAAAACTAACGAAGCTTTCAATTTGTAAAACAAACCTTCGTGTTAAAATACACTGTTGAGAACGGCAGTTCAATGCTTCCGAGCCAATGTCTTTCTAAGCGTTGATGAATGTTCGTGGCTCGTGTTTGCTCGTCCTGGGGAGAGTGTGTGATACATTAGCGATGATAACAACATCCTCGGGAAACCTATTAGAGATTGACGATCGTGATTTTGCAATGACATAAACATAGTCTTAAACGTACCTGCAAAATGTCCACAACAACTTCGTCAAAGATATTCAGATAGATGACGTCATTTACTGTCTGAAGGTTGGCCGGGGAATAATCATCATTTGGAGGCCTGGAAACACAAATAAACACCGTCAATTACTTAGGACAAGTATTATAAAACACGCGTCAATTCTTGGTACAAACAAACACACAAAGAAATGATGATTAATCCTCACCTAAACGGCAACGTCAGTTCTTCATTCCAACTTGGATTTGGACCATCTGCCACCGACGTTCTGATGAAATTCCCTTGAAAAACGACTTCGACAAAAGGCCGAACCATTGGCTATAACAAAGACAAACCACAGCACGTTAACAAAGCAAGAAAATTAATGCCTTAGCATTATTAAATTTCCACTACATACAGCAGGATTGGTGACCGTAGGTTACAATGTTTGCTGGACAATGAAAAAATGCATCTCACCTCTCCAAGCGGGTTGGTCCTGGCACCAGCGGGTCTGTTTTGAGGTGCATCCCCCCCGAACGCACTGGACGCAGTGAAAACGGATTGCGCTCCAGTACTAGCTTCCAATGGACGAGCTGAACTTCGCGGATCCAGAGCTTGGGCACTAGTATAAGGAGAGTGATTGTATGCAAGAGTTTGACAGACGGATCATTTTGAGAAACGACAAGCAACAATGGTCACCATATTTTACACCATCAGTGAAAATAATTTCGAACCTTGTCTGAGGTTGAAGAACTCTCACGGGGACATCAAAAGCACGCACGGCATTGACAAGAACACGCACGTTTGTCACCGATAAATTCTACACAAAAAGAGGGGTTTGTTTCATAACAGAACTTATTAACGTAATTAATAAGACACGACTGTAAATGGCTTCATAACCAAAGTTCCAAACCTGAGCACCAATTGTTTTTCTTTCGCGTCTCACTGGCTTCAGTGGTCGTCTTGGAGCAAGAAGTTGAGCGATACGAAATCCCAACGAACTGAAAGAGCGGAAAACGAAATGAAAAACGGTGTGTTTGAGTTTTTCCGATCGAGATTTAGGTGGAAATAGTAAATACTTAATGCTGTGTTGTTCGTCAAAATAAAGTTATATTGAAATGCTGTGTTTGGTGATGATTTTTAACACTTCAGCTGAAAGGACATGCTCAAAAAATGAAAGTTGTTTTGTAAAATCACCAAATAGAGTTTTTGAACAGTTTAATTTGAGATCACGTTTTCTACTCAAAAGTGAGAAAATATATCTTAGTTGCAGGCTGCAGGCTGATATACGCATGTTTATCGCCAGTTATCATTCCAGTTATAATATAGATCTCATTGTTTCGTACCCAACATCAGGCACCTCGTCCTCAATCACCATGTCTCGTAAATCTCGCTGTCGCTTGGCAACCAATGATCGCGCAATCACTTGCTGACGAACCTATGACGTATCGATCAGAAGGCAAACTTAGCGTTGTGTTGTAGTGTTGTATTATCTGAATATCATATATCTATGTATTATAACTCAATTAGTGAAAGGTTGAATTGAAAACCTTGTTGAGAAATTTTGTGACCGCAGCGCGATGTGCTCCGAAGTCATCGTCCGTGTCTTCCTCGTCAACGCCATCAATCCTTCTTTCGTATGCCTTGAAATTTGTAAACAAATACACAACTGCATGTAAACAAAATCTACAAGTGATGTGCTCCGATACAATCTAAATATTACCTGGAAGACATTATCTGGAATATCTTTGTCACGAATTGGAACTGCCTTGAAATTTCGAAATTCAGGAACCTTGAACACAACGAATTGACAGAGAAAAATATATCAGTTCTCTCAGAGATTTCTTTACGGATTCCATCCGTTTAAAAATAATAGAAGTGTCAAGAAAACGGCCATACTAGTTCGTTTCTGAGTTGTAAAACACGGAATCTCTTGGAGTTTTTCAACTCAGCTTTGTCAACAAAACATGTTTCATCTTCTAACTGATGAAGCCTAAAATATTTCGGTCCACCATTAACGCTATCTGACGTCGTATGCTAAAAGAAAAACGTAAGGGAGACGACATCATCAAATGGTTACGAAAAACGCCTTTTACAACACCATTATAAATAACAAATATAATATTACAGCAACTTAAGAAAGATATGAAATGGATTCGCCTGGATACGCACCTTTACCAAGCTCATGATGTCTGCATTTGCCGGATCGTTTGGGTCAAGATTCGATTCACCTTTGAAAAACAACAAATCTCACGTTTATTTCTCGATAATACAGGGGCCGGTTGTATCAAGCCCGTTTAGCTTAAACGGTGGATAAGTTCAAAATAGAAAGCAAGTCTTTCGTTTTATTCAACAAGTAAACAAAATGTATCTAACCTTAATGCAAAGATACTGTTTACAACTACACTTTTAGTGCACAATATTCAAGTTGACTCATTCAAAAGAGATGTAAAAGTGTCACTTATCAGCCGTTTAAGCTGAACGTGTTTGATACAACCGGCCCCAACACCTTTAGCTTGGCGCTTAGCTGTTGGTCGTATTGTATTGGTTAAGCTAAAGGTCACTAATATGAAGGGTGGTTTAGGTCAGACATACTTATCCACTGAGCTAGCGTGTGAACATCCATCATCCCAGCCGCACCAAGGGAGGCCAAGGCATCATACTTTAACATGTTTCTGCAGACAAAACAGACAATAATACTCAGATAAACTAAATTACAGTTAATTCTATAATCCAACCTTGTCTTACTCATACGGTGTCGGCTGGGTCGCCGAAGACTGAGGTGGAACCAAGGGTTTGCCTTCATGATCCAAGCCCCAACTTGAACTGCAGAATATCCTGCCGGAAGTGAGATAGGTCTGGACAGGAGATGCGGCCGCACTCTCGTTGTTCGGGCGCAGCGAAACAGCAAGACCTAGAAAATTAGACATTAAAGAATGCAGCTTCAGGTCTAAACAGGACGCCCAAGTTATTTCACGTACAAGCGAGAGTCTTAAGGTCTTCATGATTGACATACCACTTCCGACACCATCGTGCTGGTAAACAACCTCGGCATTGCTGCTGAATTCAACGGCGTCTAAGTTGGCCTGCGCGCCCGAAACTTTACTGGCTTCAGGTATGGGGATAAATACTTCGGTTAGTAGTTTGTTCTGTAACCCGGAGCTCTCGTGAATCTAACAGAAACGAAGAAAGAAAGGCCTTTTAAAATCGACGTTGCTTTCGACTCAATATTTTTGCAAAACACGTCTTTTTCGTGTCGTTGACTGATTATAGTGCTCCATTGTGATGAGAGTTCGCTCATGACGTTGGTTCTTTTGCTAAACCTGTGGCACAGAATATCTATCAGAAGAATAACTCTATACTATTTTTTCGTAAGTGTGATTAGTCATGATTTGTCACTTAGCAAGTGCATTTTTTTGAGGCAGTCACCCCCTGCCAATGTCTAAAATCAGACCATTTTTAGTATTGGCAGGGGGGTGACTGCCTCAAAAAAATGCACTTGCTAAGTGACGAATCATGACGAATCACACTTACGAAAAAAGTACAGGAGTTCTACTTCTGATAGGTATTCTGTGCCTGTGGCGGCTATACCTTGATTCAAACTCCATGCACGGAACTCAATGAAAAATAGTTCTGGATGTGAGAAAGCATTTCTTATTTGAACTTTACCTGTAGTTTAATACTCTCAGGCCATTGAAGAATTTTGACTGGATGTATTTCACCGAAATGGATGGTAAAATCAGAAGGTAGAAACCTAACGAAGCACAACGATTCACAAATCATCTTATGTTAACCGGGGACTATCTAAATCAAGTTTCGAAAGGTTTTTTCTCACTTGGTCAACGTTCGTGAGACTTCCTTATCATTAAACATGATTTTTACAAACGCCTGCCATCTTTGAACATCTTTCCGTCTTAGTTGCTCAGCCCTTTGGGAAGAGATGAAAGACAGCATGACATTGTAGCTCTTGTACGAATCAAGGATTTCATATTTTCATTAAAAACACAAAGTTATGCACGGATAATGTCTTGATATACAACACTATTTCACCTGGGGCATTGCTCCACAGCAGTTACATTCGCTGCTGTCTGTAATTCCGGTGTCAAAATCGGTTCACCTGTTTTCAAATAAAAGCAAATATGGACATTTGTTGATATTTCAAATATCGGAGCGATTGACCAATGACCTGAACACAATAATAGTCAGATTTCAAGCCGCGAGTTAAATTTATAAAATCTTTAACCCACCCGGTTTTCGTCTCGTCCTCTCAAACTTCTCAACTATAAGTTGATATTCATCTTCTTCGTTGAAGTTGTCGGGTCTTTGAGGAGCTGCATCTACAAAAAAGCATACGACAAGATCATCCCATCGCTCGAACGGCGGGCAGAATAACCAAGCTACTGTACAGCCAAAAACTATACCTTCAACATCGTCAACTAGTTCACTTTGTTCTCCATGTTCTTCATCTGTTGCACGCTTTTTCTACAGGAACAGAATTCAACTTGTCAGAAAGGTATTCAACTTGTCAAACTAAATACAAGCAAGTCACAAAACAGGAATTATGTACTCTTAATTTTTTCCGTTTCTTCCATTCCTTCATTTGTAGTTTATATTCCTTCATTCTCTCGACGAATTCTTGCTCAAATTGATTCCTTAAAAAATGCAATAAAATAGGGTCAGCATCAGACAAGCACATCGGTCAATCACAAGGTATAAATTTCTGGTCAAAAAGATATCAAAAAGAATGATCATTAATCTAGAGGCCAAAACTCTAATTTATTTACCTTCTTTCTTGAAGTTCGTCTTGTATCTCTTCTTGGTAGTCAATTTCATCTTGTTCCTTATTTGTGACCTCCCTGTTCGAACATAACATTCACAAGTTAAGGTTTGAACTTCACGAATTACACTCTCTTTTTGTCTTGCATACAATTTAACATACAATACCTGAAAATAACAAGCTTTGATGGAGTGTTTGTGTAGCCCTGTTCCTCACGGAGCTGTTTCAAATCATGCCAACATCTTGACAAAATAAATGCGAATGATTCTTAATGGCTTGCTCAGTTTACTACACGAATGGTTTTGAGAAAACTTAAGAAAACTACTCACTCGAGGATTTCTTTCAGCAGTTTGCGATCAGTAGTGCACTCGGTGTCTCTTTGCTTTCTGGTTTGCCTAAAAGATAGTTGTTGGAACTAAGGACTGGCATATCTCTTAACTAGGGAAGTTGACGAGCAATCTCTCGTGGATAATCTGGAATTGACTTGGAAAAATATCATAAAACGTGCACGAGCATTACTAACTTCACTTGGACACCATAATCTCGAATCCTCTTAGAAAGATCGTCAGGAATGGGTTTAGCTTTGGACGAACTCTGATAATAAATAAATCACAAAAAGGATTCATTCAAAAAAGCCCTGTATTCTGAAATAGCAACTGAACTTAAAGTCAGCGAGTGGACGATTTCAATTACTTATTTTTTTGCACGTGTCTAAGAGCTTATTCTCTAATGTTCTAACTTCAATTTCCCCATCAATTAAGAAAAGACTACATTCATTGATTAAAAAGACCGGCTGTAGTTTTTCGGGTTACACCTTTTGAAGTACATGCAGGCTCAGGCTATATGAAACGTTTACAAACCGATAGTTGCATTTCTGCAGCTTCGTAGCACTGATTCAGGGCCATTTTCAATGCCGTCAGCTGAAAAAATTTAAAAAGAGATCATCTAAAACACATTCTCCACTAGTCTATACGTACGTCTTTCTCCTATTGATCTCGTCTAATTGGGACAACGCACACCAAAACTTGCCTTTTCAGTGAGATGCACCGAGAGTGCTTGCTGCTTGCGCCTGCAATAGTTGCTGTACATTTCTTGTAAACGTGACTGCAGTACGTGCTCCTTACTGAACAGCGGATGATGTGTGAACGAGAGGGTGGAAACATCAATATCAATCTGGTACCATTTCTCTCCTGGAAAAATCGCAGTTAGTGAAATCCCACTCTAGCGAGTAACTGGTTCTGGGCTCGTATCCTACCAGCTACCAGTGAAACTTTTTGATGTTACAAAGAACGAAGCAATAAACATAATAAAATCATTTTCAATTGATAGTAAATTGTGTGTAAAGATAACCGTATTTCATAGAAATGACAATCCAACCTGATCTGTCAATAAATCTGTCATCGAATCCTGATATCTCGGCCTGAAAGCATTGAGACGTTAGGGAGGACACACGAGCAAATATGCCAAACTTTTTTGAATTGATGAAGAACTTGCCTGTATTCTCAAACACAGTATTCTTTCTTCAACGCAAATACTAACCTTCGCCCATGATGTCTTCAACTGTGGATCCAGTTCATCTGCAGCCAACATCAAAGGTCGACTGGATTTCTCGCGTAGCGGATCAGGAAGACGTTTCAAAGTTGCATCCTCGCCAAACCATAAACCGTTCTAAGAAAATGAAGATTTTACAAATAGATTCAATCGATTTGTTGTGAGTAAATCTTGAAGAAAAACTTCGACAAATCGTTTAAATACACCCAGCCAAGTTCAGCTGTTGCTGTTGCAAGGAATTGCTATATACCTCGTTAACTTTTCCAAGTATTCTGTTTTCCATAATGTTTAAATTTGCAATTGATATCGGGGTCGGTTTTCCAACGTAAAAACCTTCGTCTTCAAGGTACCGTGGATTGGCACCTTCCGGAATCTTGTCTGAGACGTTGGCTGAAATATTCAAAAATACACAAGTGAGATGGTTGTATCGGTCCTAACAACAACAGCAACAACCAGCAACAACAAAAACAAATTCACGCTCACCTGACAGAACACTGGGAACAAAGTAAAGCTCGGCCTCTGCATTCAGTCTCTCCGCGTTCGCCATGTACGGATCTTTGCCGTGAAACGTCAGCTGGCCATCATCCAATAGGAATGATTCCTCTTCGATGACGTCATCGGCTGCTTCGACAGGCTCAGTCTCCGGCTCCTACACGCGTAAAAACGCTCAGGTTGATGCAAGTTGATACAAACAGGATGCAGCAATGTTGTGCTGCCCACATTGTTCAGAGTTGTTATCAATATTGAACAATATTGTTACACCCGATTCAGTTTCAACAATATTGTTCAATGTTGATAACAACTCTGAACAATATGGGCAGCACAACATTGCTCCATCCTGTTTGTATCAACTTGCATCAACCTGAGCGTTTTTACGCGTGTAACAAGTAAACAACAACAACAGTCCTGCAAACTCATGTAACATCGCTCAGTGTTCCTGCATAAGTATTCCTTCAGTGTCATCAATAGACCTTTTTCATAATGACGTCAAACGCAGAAAGTCTGATGTTACACGAAGTTTGATTGGCTCGATAGTTTTGTGGAGCCAATCAAATTTCGTGTAACATCAGATTTTACGCGTTTGACGTCATTATAAGAAAGGTTTATTACTCATGGGACGGATGCGGAACAATCTTAATTCATAGAGACATATATGAGTGAAATATATTATTCATGTTACTCACCGTGGGTGGCTGAGGAGTCTGTTGCGTCCGATCATCCTCATCAATATCCATGCTACAGGTGAAGAATTGGTACGCATCCTCATTGGAAGGAATTGCCTGTGAAATATAGAAATATTTACATCACCTTGTCGATTTGAAGGATACTAATCTCTAGCTTTTCCAAGACCCACGTGCAGTGCTATGGGACGTATATACTTCCCTCCTTTGACGGATGTGAAAGAGTGAATAGTTATGAATCCTTTGACGTATATGTGCCATGACGTGAACATCCATTACGTACTCACTCGTTCACATCCATCGAAAGAAGAAGTCGCACCAAAGAAATAAGCTAAAAATAATTTTCCCGCCTTTTTGACTAGTTTTCTCTTGCCTCTGATAGAAAGCCTGGGAACGAGGCTGACTCTGACGTCAAAATTCCCTCAGTCACTAAATTAGGTTAAATCGAAGCTGATCTATAATAAGATGAATAGTTTACTGGAATGTTATACTCACTCTGTGTTTAGGACGCGCAATCCCGAGTGCCTTACGTCGGGAGGTTGGACTGGAGTAGCCGTTCTCATCTACTCTGTACTCTTCATTTTCAGCCAAGGTTGACACCTGAATTGGTGAAAAAATTAAAAATACTTTTCAAATCAAGTCTGAAAACACCGAAAAAGAGAGAGAGAGAGGGAAGAGCTTACCCCAGCTTCATCAAATCGTGTAACACGCGCACTGGATCTCAAACCACGTAATTTTCTCTCTGGAACATCTTCAGTCTGCAACGAAAAAATATATGAGAATTCTTTTCAATGATAATTAGGTCCTCACCCTAACAAATAGCTATACTCATGGAAGAAGGAATGACTTGTTACTTGTTTTAAACTCCTGCAATTACATACTGACAATTTTATAAAGGACAGTGAAACAGCTTTAATTAAATACCTCTTCATCTGTTGGACCAGGTGTTCGTATTTGCTAGATAAAAAAATGTTCAAGTGAGTATGCCATGATTATAGTGGTAGGTATATTGTCTGTAGTAAATACTTGAATCACAAAAGCATACGGCACAATAGACATGCACAGATTGAAGAATGAAATCTCAGCAAAGCAATGGAAAAGACATGAAAAAACAGCAAAATAAGATGCTCTGAGATGAATCACATTGAGATTGTTTGATAAATATATCAAGAACATAAAGCCAATAATATCTTGCCTTCTTTCCGCGAACTTTACTGCGGAGTCGTTCTCTAATTGAGGCATTCAGGTTTGTCTGTTTCTCATCATCATCGTCCCCTCCTGGATACTGAGAGTTCAAGGTCTGAATGGAGCTACCAAGATCTGGGAATAAAATAACTCTAGTTTATCTAGATATATCCATGAAGATTTAGGTGCATGACATTTTATTTAGTTTGCATCAGCCATGGTATTGCTGTCCCAATCTGTTAACCCATGTATTATAATAACCTTGTGTGCTCTGGTTTGTTGGAGTGGCCGCCACTGTCCAGGATCCTTGACCCAACTAGAGAAAGCAACAGAAAAATTTAATGATCATCTTTAAAACAGTCAAATACTATAAATATGCAAACATATGCATTTCATATCAAACAAGCAGCTAGTCACCTCATTTTGTCTCTGCATTCGTCGTGTCTTCAACTCCTCCAACATGTCATCTTGCTCTGTCTCCTCATTACGCAGTTGCTTAAGGAAAGTAAACTCAAGTTGAAACATTCATTTATTACCTTTGAACAATCATTCCCATTAATATAATTTAATCAGGACTGCCGATCATCAATATACATACATCCAGTGTATATAAATAGAGTCCTTCAAAAGTTTACAACAACTACAAATGTATACCTGGATTTCAGTATTATCTTCTTCATCAATGATCTCAACAATGGTACTCTCTCCACGTCCCTATTGAAGACCAGAGAGCGAAAAACTCAAAATTAAAATATCAGGTTATACTGTAGGTTTAGAAGGAGTAATCACTGAGGATAAAGTTGCATCTATCGTGCTAGACTAGCAGCCACTAGTAGCAACCCCACTGTTTCTATGCATAATTGCTAACCTGATTCCTGCTCTTGGGACGTGTGTTATGATCATAATCTGATTGAACTGATCCAGTTTCAGACATCAATGTCATCTAGATAATATAATATAATGTTAACATCATGGCATCACGGTGATCACGCTCATATATTTCTTGCTATAAATAGTGAAAGTTTTCGGTGGCTGACCAGTTTAACTAACACAAAAAGCAGGTACCTCCATTGCAGCTCTTCGTTTCCTCATCTTCTCTCTTAGTGTACTGAAAGGTGATATGAAATATCATTCGAAAATCTTATATTACATAAGAAATGCACGTTTCATTGTTGTATATTTAATATATGTACTGTACAAATCTGATATTTGAACTGAAAAAAGAGCTAGCTAGTATACAACTTATTGCCCAATCAACAGCAGCAATAACTTACTTGTCGTCCATATTTAAAACAGCAACGATCGGTAGATCCTATTTTATATTAACACAGCCTCGATGCACAAAAGGTACTAAAAACAAATGTTCCCAAAGAAATTGATCTGACAGCCTCCAAAATCTTGACATTATAAAGCCTCCTACATCTGCAAATTTCTTCCTTTCTTGCAAAAGTGACCATTGTGGATTTAGATCAAAACAATGAATAGGCCATCGAGTCGTCGATTGCTGTAAAAAGCATCTATTTTATATAAAAAATAGAAAATAATTTCTGAAATTATTTGAAAATGGTGGAATTTGATGCAGCGGTCACCTTTTCGTGGGCTCATAAACACACTTTTGTATGTTTCCAAATATGCTCCATTTTCAAACTAATTTCACTATTAAAACAAAACGATTAAATTGTTAACGAAACTCTATTCCAGAGATTGCGATGCAAAGAATAACCTACAAATCCAAAAATTTTAAAAGGCTTGTATTGCCTAAACTTACAGCAATATTTTGTTTAGTATTTGTATGAATTTGAATAAAAATAGAAATGAGTTAGGAATGAGTATCATGACATAATGGAAACACAAATACCTGGGACGCCATCGTCTGGTTTCCATGACAACAGGTTTAACATTCACTAATCATCATAATTTGACAACTGTAAAAATATTTTACAAATTGGCTCCAAATTAACTCCACTTTTCTTACAATAAGCTATCTTAAACTCTCTTTTTTGTATAAAACGAAGTAAAATTCTCCACAAAATTCTCAGAAATTTTAAAATTTATAACCAGCGGTAGGCGATCGAAGGCTCGGAAAAGTGACATATGCAAATCCGCGAATTGTTTTGAATGTTTTTGTTGGAAACATCAACAAAACGAACAACGATTTCTTTTTAATGTACGCGTATTATGGTAGGTTTTATTGCTCGTTTACAACGTAAAACTCAGCATGAGGTCGCTTCTTCGTCTAAAGTTAACTTTGTAACTCAGTAAATAAAAATGTGATAGTCAGGAACGGCCCGACACGGCCGTGAAATTTATCTGTTAAAGATACTTGTAATGTGCACCTACATACTGTATTTATGTTGTAACAGATGTCAAGGTCTAAAAAGCAACAAGATATGGTCGAAAGTGATTCAGATTGGGACAGTCTTCCTGGGGACATAACGGAACCAAGATCCAGTCCTGAACCTATGAAATCCCCCTCACCCAGAGCACCAACCCACTCCCCTGCCCCCCCTAAACAGCCATATTCAAAGCATCACACATCAACAAAACCGTTTGATATGTACAAGAACTCCTCTACCACTATTCAGAAGTCCGGCAGCGCTACTACATTCCAGGACAAAACTAGTGGTCTTTGGAATGATGACGATAATAATGAAGTCCAGGTGTCGTTTTCAAAAGAGGACAACAACAATGTTAAAAAGAACAAACAAATTATTAGAGATGATTCAACAGCGAAGAATGTTAACAAACAGGAGGGAAATAAGGAACCACCATTTACGGATTTCAGAGGTGCAGATGGAAATATGCTTATATATAGTACCTTGCAACAAAGCAAAAAAGCAAAAGTATCCCCTAAAAGTCTCAAAATCTAAGACTATTGAAAATTTCTGTCCAAAATCAGCTCATGTCTTGATGTTTATCACTTAACTTCACCATTATCTGTTTAATATAGAAGCCCTGAGCTCACCAGCCCCAACTGCATCAAGTCCTAGAGAGCAACACAAAATGGCTGGAGTTAATAAAGCCTACAAAATCGAGACAGGGGACGAAACAGGAGGCAATCGTGACTCCTGGGACGAGAGTGATGACAATCGGTCTCCACCACTACAACAAAACTTTAAACCTGCAATGAGAGCATGCAACAGCTTTAGTTCAAATGCAACGAGAATGCCAGTAGAAATATCTATGGAAACAACACTTCCGGAAACGAAGCCACCCAAAAAGACAATGATTAGAAATGACGTTATTGAAGTTCCCTGCAGTGGAAATTATCATCTTGCCACAACACAGAATTTAGAGAATTGTTGTTTGATTCAAGTTGCTGAGGGAGCCTTTGATGACAGGTTGTGTTGTCATGTCAGTTGTAGAGAGCTCTTGGCAGTTTTTTTCCACGCAAATTGCAAGTCTGTTTACTTCTTTCGTTTCTTTAGACATCGACCTTCCTTTTTCCACGGGAGCAAAAATCATTTTCACATCAAGGAAGACAATCCTCGACCAGCTATTACGGACATTGCAGATAAGTATGTGTTCTGATTTTTCACTAATTGTGCTTCAATGCACTCCAGTACGAATGTTTGTCTCAACTATCAGATTCTGATCTTTTGTTCGTATTGGATAAACAATGTTTAAATTTAAATTTTCAGATCCGAGATGGTCTTTCAAAGATTGTGGCGTGAAGTCTTTGGCGTTCTTCAAATTCTCCTTAACTTCTTCATAATATTCATACTGGAATTTTTCAAAACAATTCTTCAAAGTGTTCGCTACTTGCTCATGGGAATTCTGTACACAACAGGCGATCAATTTATAAAGCCCGTTCTGGCAGCTGTTTTCAATAACATTATTCAGCCAGTCTCTGTGTTGCTGTTGAACGTCTTTAGTATAGTCACGAACCTGCTCCAACCAATCCTGGCGTTGACTCGTGAAGTGCTAAGCCAAGTTGCAATACCACTGCAGGCTTTTAGACTGTTTGTCTTCAACTGGGATCACAGAGGAAGAGAGGAGAGTTACAGAAGAGATATAAAAATAGTTTAATTCAGAGTATGTCAGAGGAAGTTGAAAAAGGGTAGTGTTGACATGGGAGTTGCATCTCATAAACTCTTATATGCCCACAAAAAGGTTTCATGTCACTGTGAAAAACTGTGACACTGCCATGTTATTGTTCTTTAAAGGAACATATAAATGTTTCTATCATATTTGCATTTTGCAATACAATAGAGTATTTTCAGTTTGAATTTGCAATAGAATTATAAAATATTATAAAAGAAAACACAAAAAGAACTACTATGGAACTATTACTTAACATAGTTACTGTTGTAATATTTCTAGAATATTTATAGATCCTACAACATCCAATAAATGGTTGGCTAAGTAGTTGTCATTTCCTATTCTCCGAATATACGCTGCTTCCTTATCCGTGTCTCGTCTCCGCTTAGCCGTTGATCTCTATATGCTCAGAACGCGATTTCTATGGAGTGAGGCTGGTGCCTACGCGAATTAGGTCAGCGGAAATCCTCAATAATTTGTAGATGATTATGCATGCTGAGAATCTTGTGGTTCAGCACTCAAGAGATGGCAACCATACCTTCTGAGGATTGCAAGGAAAAACACAACAAAATCTTATTATTCCTTAGCAATAACCAAGTGCTTGTTTGGGACAAAGAAACCGTGATGACACTACGAAAGCAGCATCACATTGTGGGAGCCTTGGTTGGCTCTTTACCCAGTAAACCTCGGCAGAATTTGATCTTCTCTCTACCACTGATTTTGCTACCTGAAGAGGCAAAACTGCTACTGGACAAGAACATTGCCAAGATGGTGGAAAGCCAGGAAACAAGCCCCTCGCAAGAAACTGTCAGGAAATTTCAGGATGAAAGAGAGGCTAATATGCAGGAGCAAATGGAAAGGCTTCAAGATTTAAAACAACAGAAACTTGCAGACTTTGCGGACATTATTGAAGAAGGTCGTGAAAAAGGGAGCCGTAAACGAAAAAGATCCAGCAAAGATTACGGCAGGAAACAACGACTTGTTGAAAATGAACAAAAGCAAAGTTTCGAATCAAAAATAACAACAAACACTGTGGAACAATCTGAAACTCATACAAGTGACAGTATAATGCAGTCTCTTGACACCAGTGGGTTATTGGAATGCACTGTCGATTTCCTCAGACAGGAACGATCCGAGGAAGGTTCTGATGGTACCAATAAAGCTAATCTGCAAGATTCTACTCTGGTTTGTGTAGACACCAAAGCAAAACATATACAGACCAAAGATATAAACTGGAAATTTCCAGAAACTGAGATTGAAAGAATTCGATACAAAGTTTTCTCAGATCTATGGGAGAAAGGTTATTTTATAACAAATGGCAATAAATTTGGTGGTGATTATTTGGTCTATCCTGGAGACCCATTGAGATTCCACTCACATTTTATTGTAAAGGTTTTACCTTGGGGAGAAAGGTTTACTGGGTTGGATCTTATTTGTGTTGGTCGGTTAGGGTCGACCGTTAAAAAGACAAGTGTTTTAGCATCTGTTGATGAGTCAGGAAATGTAATTTATACATCAATTCAGTGGTCAGGATTTTTGTAAATTTCCAAAGTTAACCTCTGAGTGAAAAATTGATGTGATAAAACAAACTGCATGTGTGAAGTTTTGGTTTAACAGGAGAACATACAGTTGATTTCATAGGTATTGCATGTTTGAATCCCAATATTAAATTGAGATTTTTGATTAAATGATGACCATAGAAAATATGGCATATATTTGCTTATCCAATTGATGCACTAATTTAAATTGTCTATGACAAGGTTCTGGGCTGGCTAACGAATACAAAATTTATACAATATTGTGTACAAATATTCTACAAAATCTTTAAAATATTCTCAGTCCAAAGTATCACCATCCATTGAGGCATTCTATAAAAGGGAAAAAATGAAATAAGACCAATGTTTGTTGTTGGAGTTTCATGGCTGGTTCATACCTGTGCTGTAGCAGAGGGAGTTTTTGTTGCAGAGGCCAGACTTGTCATTAACATTTTGAACACGTCAGGTGGTAACGTCTGTTGGAATACTTGTAGTAGTTGCTGAGGTTGACCACTTATTGCAATGGCATTGGTTAAATGCTTAACACTTGCTTCATATTCCCCTAAAATCCAGCAGAAATTGAAGAAACATAGACATTCGTAAACTGTTGAAAAATGAATAGTAATTAATACATGCACATTCTAGTTGTTTAAAAATCAAAATCCCAAGCAACTTGCTGCAATCCTGGTATCCAGTGTCTGATTGGCTGGACATGTCACTGATCTATATACAGTCCAGTAAAGGGTACACAAGAACATGACCAGCCCCATCTTGGTAATCCTAAGTGGGGCTTCATTGGATGGTTTAATTCAGGTTTACTCAAACCAATGATTTGGTATGTGTTGCAATCATCCTGCTAACCTGCAGCAAGTAATTCTTCTCCCTTCTGGATTTCGTCAAAGAAGAATTTCTGCAGTGCTGCTTGGTCATTGCGATCTGGCATACGAGCCTAAAATCACGCCAAATATCAATGATGTTATGGTTCATGATCATCCTGTAACCTATTGGCTGGATACTGAATTCACAAACTATTTCGTATTAATCTACCTTAAGCTCTTCAGCTTGTGCTGTTTCTTTTTCTCTTTTTGCTTTTAATCTTCCTACAAATGAAGATCGTTTTCAAATTCTTCTCTGCTAGAGCGTAGAAGATTTGCTGGACGATTGGTTTCAGACTTGCAGTCACTATAATTTAAACACTTACTCTCCCTGAGTTTCTCTTTAAAATTAGGATCACTCCTACGTTTTCTGTCGAAGTATATACAATATCCTACGAAGGCTGTTCCAACAGCTCCTAGTATTCCAATAACGTACTTGGAATTCATTTTATAAGTGAAAAAAAGGTTGAAAGTTTGTCTCATGCAATATTCACTCCTTGCATCTTCAGCATGGCGAAATAAAAGGAGCGAATAGTTCGTAAGACTGGGCCTAGTTGCTTCCACTTTGGAATTTCTTCAAAATATCCCTCGTTTCTCTGACTTCGATTGCAAAACTGGATGATGCAAGTATTGAAACACGTGGGCAGTAGTTATGGTGGTGCGGTGTGTTACATACTATGCAACTTTACTTGCAACTTGCGATGCAGTTCGACTCCTAAGGCATCTAAAGTTGTCAAATACAAACATTTGTTACGATCTGCTTACGTTTCTTTAGCATTCGAACACCCCTTTACAAAACTAACATCCCTCAGAACCGTGTAACAGCACCTTAAGTTAAGTCAGCACCTTTTGCGTAACTTCCTACGACCATAACTTTATGCAAAGCTCTTTATTAATAACTTTGAGACAAAGTCATATTGATATCCCAATGTTTCAATATAAACCACATTCCAGATCACTTTTTACCATCTTCATTCAGCCATATCAAATTGAAAAATATATTTCCAATACCTCTCGATATTGCGAATCAATCACGTGCGCTGTTGTGCAACAATCACAAATGCAATATAAACTGCATACATAAATTTTAAAACGACACAAAATTGTGCAATTGTTTAAATATCGTACATGCAATATAATACAAGACTCTAGATATTACTGAAATTTTCTCAACTTCCAACAATAAATTTGCAATATCTTAAAATAGATCTGTATTCTGTACATTATTTGTATCGATAGTGCGGCGCTATATATTAATTCAAAAATTTCAAGTAAGATCTCAATTTCAAATAAATTTAAAAACTCCTCAAAACAACGTTTCTTTTTATGCCAGGAAACACATCTAAAATTATACTTTAAAAATACGTCGACTGCTTCTGAATTTGTTCCAGGAATTTGAAATATAGTTTTCAGGTTCCATAACTGGTAATAGACTGTGTATGTCATCCACAACCGGAACAAACCATCCTGAAATCTGTACTTGTTAACCCACGGCATTAATGCCGTCCCATATAAACGAAGATATGCATTGCGCTTTCTGTGCAGTCTCTTTGAGGGCGCTGACCACTTCTTTATTGGCATCGTAGAAACTGAGGGAGATGTAGCGCACGTCGTGCCGCTCGCAAAATTTCCGGATTTTCTCGGACAGCGTTCGTAGGTAGGGTCGGGAGACCCTCGGAAAAAGATGATGCTCGATTTGGAATTGAAGACCGCCGTGAAAGAAGTCCAGGTACGGGTGACAGTCCACGTTCATCGTCGTCTCCATTTGGGAAACGAAGAAAGAATCGCTTTCGTACGTGCCCGCGGGAAGACCATGGTAAGTCGCCATTGCAAAATGACTGATGGTGATTTGCACGTGCAGGAGTCCGGCGATGAAATGTGACACCAGGACGAACACCACCCTACCAGATGCGCTCGGAATACACGAACACAGCATGGTAAACCAACACCAAAATATACCCATCGTGAGCAACTCCAGTTTTTGTTTGCGTCCAGTGCATCGCGTCAGCACGTGTATGAAGCTCTGTGCGTAAAGGTTGAACCTCGCCACGCCCATGATGGCGTAGTACAACAGGTGCTGGTTGGATACGAAGAATTTTGAAAACCTATCGAAGAAAAAGGTCTTATCGTGATACGCAGAGATGACGGGCTTAAAGAACTTGTCGGTTATGGCGAAGACGGGAAGGTGTTGGATGTCCGGGTCACAGTTCACGGAATTCGTTACAACGTGGTGAGCGTTGTGGCTGCGTTTCCACCAACCGATGCTGATGCCAGAGAACATGTTCCCAACGAAGAATCCGATGGTTTCGTCCGTGTCTTGGTCGTGTGTTATGAGATGGTGACCGGCGTCGTGACCCACGAATGCGATCTGTTGGAAGAAGAAGCCCATGGTGACTGCAGCGAGGAGCAGGGCTAGCGGGGAGGTGGTTGAGGTAAGGAGGTACACCACAAATCCGAGCATTGTGAATTGAACGAGAAGGTTCTTGAGGTAGAAGCCATCTGGGAAGAGTATAAAGGAACATGAATGTTAATTGTGTGAAGAACTTTGACAACTACCATAGTTAAGCAAGGTTTATAATACAGAAGTTGGTTATTTAACAACAGAAGAAATAATCTGAAATCATACTTCGAACATTGAAACTATTGGTTAAGATGGGTGTTGGCATAACTCTGGGCCAGAATGGGCTGGTACTGCTGACACCCAGTCAGCATTGGGGTGTGTTCTAATCAGTATATCATAGAGACAAGTGACTTATACACTCAAAAACTACTTTGCTCTGCAATGTACCCTTTCATCTTAGGTCTACTAGACAGCAATATGACACACAATATTTTAGGCATTAAAATGTTGAATTACAGTGACATACAGTGACAATCACAGCACTTTTTTCAGGACATTTTGTGTGGGAGAGAAAGCAGTTTCAGCAATGCCAAAGTGTCATGTTATCACTACAACTAGCATTGCCTTTAAGGCTCTAACACACCTGTACCAGACAAATCTATGTGTGGACATACACTTGTACAATGATACACTTTCTGTTCACAAGGTTCTGACCTGTCAAGGTTTTCTCTGGCTATTAATGGCATTGCTCCTGCAGATCTTCACACCCCCCTGGTTTGCAATTGTCAATTTAGCCTTGGCATATATTGACCTTAAGGCAATGTTTATTTTAGCCACCAGGCCCACCACACTAGTGTGGGCCATCCGGCATCATAACAACTACCTATAGCTGCAATTTTAGCCGCAATACAATAAGTTTTGGTATGTGTCCTTAAAAGCAGGGCGATATCCCACCAAATACTCTGAAGAACGTTGAAAATCCCCCCCAAATCAGATTACTTTATCAAACAATCATTAAGATGGCCATCTGACACATATATAATGCCAAACTCTAATATTTTTCTTCAAATTATTTATTTTGGAAAGTAAATTAATTGATTCAGTAAATATAGCGTCTTGATAAATATTCTGTGAATCAAAGCATTCTGAGTAGATTCTTAGGGAAGTCTCAATGCCAAATTCGACTAATAGGTTTCCAAGGAAGAAAATTGACTGGATTTGTCGACGCGTGGGTTTTGTAAATTTTGACAGCTGCATGGCAAACACGACAGGTGCAAACACAAATATAAATCTCATCCATGCTACAGCAGACCGTAGTGTCACGCCCTTTCCTCTCGAACTTAACTGTTTTAAACTCGTAGAAAATTTCAATTCGTCAAGGTCTATCGCAAATTTATTGGTTTCAATCAGGGCGCCACGCAGAAAGCGCAAATAATTTGGCCAGCTTGGCTGGGCAATATAAACAAGATTGCTTGTATGTTTAATCCAGTGAAACAACACTCGACGCAGCAATTTCAGCCTTTAAACGAAGCTTTCTTCAGGTTTTGCAATCCCATATGGAAGAAAGTCGATATATAAGACATATATATATATTAATACGATATAAATTACAACAATACTATAAGTCGACACCACACCGGTAGGATAATTATGTGAATGATGTGATTCACTTACAGTAGGTCGTATAGCCACCTTCTTTGACAATTTCATCGTGGATTTTATCCAATTCGCTTGAAATTACAGACTCTTTAGCACTGGCGTTGTCTGGCTCGCATATATCGCCGATATAAAACGGCGGTAAACGCTTTTCCCTTATCCAGGAGAACGGATGAAACGCCTTGAAAACACGGCTGCAATCTTGGCCGGCAGAATACAGTAAGGGCAGTACGCCTCCCGGATGATATTTCAACCATTTACTAACGTCGTAGACTTTTCCATCTATAACAATCCAACAATCCGTGGCCGTATTGTGACATTGAACCTCTTGCCAAGTGTATTTTCGAATTTCACGGGTTTTCCCGTCCATTTGAAAGTTAAGAGGAAACCCAATGCAAAAATGATCTTTGAGCCAGAGCTTTCCTTCAATTGTGCTCCGTCATAATACTGCAATCTGATTGGCTCACGCGCTGACAAAATTAGCGAGTAACCAATCAGACGGCTTGAATAATGGGCTTTCATGGCCCCATAATATAACAGAACACATATGGCGATAGAATTTCTGTTGTATCGATTGCAAAATTATATATTTTCCATTACAGGTACACATTCGAAGCCCTAATCTTCACCATGTGTTCTTCTTTCTTATCTCAACCGCTTCCGATAATATAAGCACATTATCAAAGGTATACGTGCTTAGTGAGGATAAAGGTTTCACTGTTCAATCTATTTCCTTATCACAGCCTTTATTGCACGTGTCAACCACCAGTTAGTTCATTTGAGGACCGAATAATAGGGCGATTTCATTACACTGGGTCGTTGTTTTAGAATCAAATGTAAAGCATGTCTTTCATTATCTCCTATGAACAGAATTTCATTTGAGAAGTATTAATATTGGCCTGCCGCCGGATGAAATTGAAAATATGCCAAAAAAAGGATAAAATTTCTAACAAAATTTACATGAAAAGTATTCAAGATTACAAAACTCCCGAAACCACATTTGAAATTAAGTTTCTTAATATGGAAGAAAGTGATTAAACAAAACCACAAAGTTTATAAACAATTGGTGAACGTACATGTATAAATAGTTTTATAAAAATGATTTATATATATATTTGCATGAACATATAGAGTGAATGACGAGAAGGGTCTGCCCTCTATATGTACATGTTGATATATCCGGAATTGTAACACTAATTTGGAAAACAATCAAATTTGAAACCGGCTGTATGGCTGGGTTAACACAGTCAGATATTTCATGAACACTGTTGGAATTTTGCAAAAGTAGCTTGAAACGAATATCAAGGCGAGATAGCACTGCCAGTCTGCCACTGTGTTAATCATTGGTTTAGTTCTAAATATATCTGGCAAATTCTTTGAAACGTTGAATTTACCTGTGCAAAATTCCAACTGAGATCCCTAAAACAGGCACTGAAACCGAGCAAAACCAATTGGCAACTGGCAAGACTTCATTTCCGACACTTATAAGTTGATAACCGGGCCTCAGGGCTGGGTTATATTTATAATAAAATTTTGTTTATGAGATTTTGACGTGCTAAGTTGGAAGTAATTTTGGAGGCCTTCACCCTCCCCCAGTAAGATTATTAAAAATCTTCCGCCTAAGGATTAGAAGCCTCTACAGAATATGATCCAAACAAAAAATCTATTGTGGTGATAAAACAAACCCAAATATAGATTTTGGCGATCAAAAATAGTGCTACGATCTAAATCATTCATATGTGTTTCCAAAAACTGAAAAAAATTCGACCTTTTATATTACTAGGGCCTACGGTTATTTATCTTGGTTTGTGGTTTCCTGACATTGATCCCATACAATCATTGAAAAATTAATCAACTTTCTGTGACAGTGTGTCTGAATTGACCGACCAATGACTAAAAGTTTCATGAACTGTTCCATATACTACAGATGCTACCTATGGTACTAGGAAGTAGGAACAAGCATGCTGATTAATTTTTCATGTTGCTCGTCAACTTTTAAACTGCAACGAAAGCAAGGGCTGTTTTTAACATTACCATTGCGTATATCATTGTTCTTTCTTAGGCACTCAGCTGGAACACTAATTTTGAAACAAAGAAAAATGCCAATAATGCCACGTTTCAATACGATGCTGTTGAAATGGAAATCAGTAATTAACAAGTTGTATGCGTTTTGCAATGCAGCCAATGCTGCCTGTCTTTCATTCACAAAGAACAACCTGAGCTTTTTTGCTTGAACTCGGGAAAATTTACTCCTGCAACGGAGAGCAATCGCCGCAGCGAATAACGTTTGACACGTCACGATATAACACGAGCGAGGCACAAAACGCGCACGAGAGGAGTTATTTTAGCACGATATCATAGAAAACGTACACGAAGATAGGATGCACGCTGAAAACGACCTTTGCTCGTTGCCATGGTAAAATGGTTCGACTTTACCGGAAATGGATTTCCCCTACAAAGCGGGGAAAACAATGGCGAAACTTCGGCTCAAATATTTAAGTAATTCGAAGTTTTGCTAACGGTAGCCGCGATGAACGGGCATATACGCTTGGAGCATAATCTCCCCGAACCAAATGCACTTACTTTAAGAAATGGAATACAAAAGAATGTTCCGAAAGGCGATACGATGAAAAATGGCTATCGTGTTCAACGTGATGATGAAGACACTCGGAAAAGACCAGTTCACAACGAGGAATTTGAACCGACGCCCCTGCTGATCGCCGTGCTAACGTACATATCCTATGCAATACTTATTATTTTTGGCTACATGCGAGACTTGATGCGTTTTTACCGGCTTGAAAAATCAAGAGCTTACAAGGAACTTGGAAATGAGGTAGGTCCAGCCGCCAGCAGCTTAGTAATCGCATATTTTTTACAAACCATTTGCCTCAAATTCATTGGAGGGCGGGTAAGAGATTATTAGTTAGTTTCTTCTTATTAATTAGTATGTTTCCTGCGAAAAAATATCTAAAAACAAGGCCTATACAAAACCCTTTTCTTTGAAACGTAATATAAACTAACATTTGTAACATATTAATCAACAGTTTGATAATGGAAATTAGATGCGACGCCTTTGCATTTTATTATCTTCCCATATAAAGAATTTCGCCGTTTTTCCGTCTGTCTTTTTAATTATTTAAGTAGAAGATCTTTGGGGAAAAATATAAAATTTTGACATTCTGCACAAAAGAGACATTCTGCACATTCTTGAATGTGCATTTTTGCAAGCATTTATGCCTTGAATATATTATACCGAACGTGTTTTAGATTATTATTCAAAATTTCCAATTAGCTGTTACCGCAATAAATGGCAATATGCCAAACCTAATAGTGCTATGTCTAGTGTTGTACTCAAGGTCTACTACTACTCAAAGTCTATTACTACTTAAGGTCTTCTACTACTAGAGGGGAATTGTCATTTCAAAAGTGACATTTCAAAAGTGACATTTCAAAAGTGAGAAGCATACATCAAGTGTGTTCTTCTATCAATGTTAGTTCTGTTTTTTAGGGTTTTGTCCCACTATATGCAAGCTTTGAGAGCTTTTACACAAGAAATCTGTACAGACGTTCAAATGACTGTTTTAATCGACCAATATGCAGTTTACCAGGGGCGGAAATTGACCTTATGGAAAGACACAGCGACGACTATAACTGGACGTACAGGTATAACAAGTATTTTAAGTTGTTTTGAAATGGATGTCAAAGGAAGGATTGTGTTTAGAATGCTCTAGCAACTCCCAAAACCACCCAATTTACCCAGGAAGGCTACTATAACCCCTCCTAAAATCTGCTTGCTCTGCCATTAGCCACGCCTTGCACCATAAGTATTTTAATTGAAAAATTGTGCTGTTGATTGCTTAAAAACAGGTTTACAGGAAATAGCACAAAGGCTTTGAACCTAGGATCATATAACTATCTTGGTTTTGCCGCAAACTCTGGTCCATGTACAGATGCCTCAGAGCTAGCCATAAGGGAACATGGTCTTGCAACATGCAGCACCAGACATGAATATGGTAAGGTATAATATACGATGACCACACCCTACTTTGCTGATCAATCACAATAATTCAGGAAAGCTAACCAAACACTCATTTGCACTCAGGTACCATGGACATTCACGTTGAGCTTGAGCAACTTGTGGCAAGATTTATTGGCAAAGAAGCAGCGATGGTGTTTGGCATGGGTTTTGCTACAAACTCAACAAACCTCCCAACTTTGGTGGATAAAAAGTGTTTGATTGTCAGCGACGAGCTCAACCATTCCTCGCTTATTTTGGGTGCAAAACTGTCCGGAGCAAAGGTCCAAATATTCAGGCATAATGGTATCAACTTTTTTTCTGGTAGTTAAAATACCATCAAATCAGGCTTAGTGCTGTACAATTAATTTGTTGTTTGTTTTAAAATGTTTCAAGATATGGCACACCTTGAGAAAATACTAAGATCAGCTGTGATCCAGGGACAACCTCGAACACACAAAGCATGGAAAAAGATTCTTATCATTGTTGAAGGGGTTTACAGGTAGATATGTACAGCTTTGGCCACTCTGATGATCTTTAGTTTTCAGAAGCAATTTCAATTATCAATTGAATAAGAAAGGTCTATTGCTTTGCTCTATTACTTTGCGAAACCCCATAATTTATTCAATTTACTCGCTTTCAACATATTTTCATAAGGCATAACAGGAATCAGGGTTTTAAAAATCAGTATTTCAATCTCACTCTTTTAGTTCAAGGATTAAAATATCTTGTTTGTTTAGCATGGAAGGATCAATAGTAAAGCTCCCGGAAGTAATTGCTTTAAAAAAGAAGTACAAAGCATACCTTTACCTTGACGAAGCTCACAGCATTGGTGCAATGGGTCCCACTGGTAGAGGTGTCTCGGAGTACTTTGGTGTCAATCCTGATGATATTGACATCATGATGGGAACGTTTACCAAGAGTTTTGGATCAGTTGGAGGGTACATTTCTGCCTCCAAGGTAGCTAAAGAAGATATGAAAGTTTTATTGATACCTTGCTGTCTTGTTTTAGTGGAATTAAACAGGCAATAGACCTTTCTCATAACAACATTAAATGCAGAAACCCTGATTTTACACAAAGTTCGATTGCCTCTGCAAAGTTGCAGGCAAATCAAACTTCATGTAATATTAGACTTTTTGCTTGGGAAAGGGTCCGTTGCATACATAGAAACTTATGAAATAGAAAGGTGAGATCGCTCTGTTGTTAGATTGTGAATATTGGTGTGTTTTGTTTAGGAAATAATCAACCACATTCGTTCCTCCTCGCACAGTGCTGCTTACGCTAGTTCAATGTCTGCACCCTGTGCACAACAAATTATCTCTTCCATGAAGATCATCATGGGTGAAGATGGTACAGATGAGGGTAAGCAGTGTCTTAAGGGGTGTTAATCTGTGTACTTAGCATGTATATGTGTGTACCTGATGACATTCTCATACCCATACACTACAAACTATCATGGAGTATTAAAATACAAATTGATTTTGTCTTTCATGCAGCTGGTGTCTCAAACTTTACTCATTCTATTTCTATATGCATGCAATAAAGGTCAAAGACGACTTCGTGCTTTGGCAAACAACAGCAAGTAAGTTGTTGTCTAAACTCTAAGTTGTCTAAACACTCCACCCTGTATCGCTAACCTTATCAAACTAAAATACTCGCTTTATTTCCTAGGTATTTCCGAAAGGCATTAAAAAAGGCAGGATTCATCATTTACGGTCATGATGACTCAGTCATAGTCCCGCTACTGCTATATCTTCCTGGAAAAACAACGTTAGTACTTTATGAGCTTATCCCAGCTCCTTGGAAAATTTTTTGTTCTTTTTTTGTATCTATGGTTTTCAATATATTTAGGGATGATTTCAATTGAATTGAGCATGTTTTATTTTTCAGTGCATTTAGTCGTGAGACTCTAAAAAGAGGATTTGCAAGTGTTGTTGTTGGTTTTCCTGCAACAGGAATTGTTGAGTCCCGAGCTAGATTTTGTATATCGGCCGCTCACACCAGAGAACAATTAGACAAAGTACGAGTCATTCCAACTACCTACAGTGCTCTGCATTTGTAAAACTCATGGTGGTTGAACCATCAATACTGTTGCAACTTGTAATAATAATGTGACAATAATGTCAACATATGTTCATGAGCTTACAACACAACATTGTTCACTCCTGATGTAACAACCTGTTCAATTTTCTATTGTGCACAGACATTACATGTACAAAATCCATGGAAGCAACCTAATTGCCCAGGGACATGATTTTAAAGACATTAATCAACATTTTAAACTAATTGTTTCTTTCAGGCAATTGCAGCGATCAACGAAGTTGGTGACATTCTCTGTGTAAAATATCTAGCCTAACGCGAAACAAGGTAATTCAATTTGATTGGTTTTTTCCACCCAGCTGCCACCATTGGGAACAAAATATGTGGCATGACCAGCAAAACAAATTAAAAAAATATGCAATTTGAAATGGAATCAAGATTAAACTATGTTTTTTAATTATTAAAAATCACTTATCAGTGTTGTGATAAAGAATTTATATTAGTTATACAATGTTGTAGTTAGTTACATTTTAAAAGACAATCAAGTCCATTTTGAACAAGCAACCAGGAATGACTTCTTGGTCATCATATAAACCATGATTTATTCACATTTGGACTTGACTGCTGTTTTAAAGCAAAAAATAAAATCATACGAGTGATGTAAACTAAATTAACCCGTTTGCGAACTTTGAACTGTTATTTCTAATTACCATTAAAATGAAATGACTATCATTTAATGTATACATTTTGTAACATTGTGGTGTTCTAATTTAACTAAATTATAACATTCTATTGTGTTTCATATATGTGCAAATGTTAAAATATACTTTTTGTGTATACGTACAAACTGTGAATAAATAGTGCGTTTTCTTGATCTCAGTTTTGACTAAAAAGATGCAACTATAAGTTTGGGTAATCTGATCTTACCTGAATATTGCGCAAATCCTATATAGCTATAGGTAAAAATCGCGATAAATGTAATAGTATTTACAAATATTCGAATTATTTTACAACTGAATAAATAAGGCTTCAAACCTTGTAAATAAAAGATTCTTTCAACTTGACGAGGTAAATTAACATTCCGAACTGTTAGATAAAGATTTTACAGTGAAAAGAGAAAATGAAGGTGCTTTTTGATATTCGGAAGATCTTTCGGACGATTCCGTAGGACTCTCGAGAATTTTTTTCCGCAGATTGTGCATTACGATAAATTCCGAGCTGAAAGCGAGATTTCTCGAGGTCGGGCAGGTATTGTGTGTGTGAACTCAGAATATTTGATAGTTGCAGCCCATTGTTTTGAAGGCAACAAAAACGATGAACGAAAAAAATGATGCTCTTGAAAACCTTTCCAAACGAAAAGGGGATGTAAAATTACACGGGAACGGTGATACGTATTATAAAAACGGCGTAGAAAACGGGGATATGGGTCGCGAAAGCAGGGAGGACTTTGAACAGACACCGATTTGGATAGCAGTAATGACTTACATTGCGTACGCTATCCTGATTCTGTTTGGTTACCTGCGAGATTTTATGCGTTATTATGGCCTCGAAAAATCCCGAGCGTTCAAAGAAATCGGAAATAAAGTTAGTAATGCTATTTTTTATTGTTCATGATTTGTTTTGGTTAACGAAATCTTTACCGGGGGCGTGTTTACATCCTTCCCGAGGGTTATATAAACATTGTATCCTCTCGAAGAATGTTGTCGTCTTTAATAAATAACATAAATTTATTCTTAATAACCGCTATTTAATACAAGTCTTAACAAAACCTAACAGCAAAATGAGCAAATCTTACAGATCCTACATCAACAGGATGGATCTTTTTTTAACATTCATTTTTGGTTTTGTGAGGATTGATATTTTGTGACCTGTAACACTGTTTTGTTAGTTATTAATATATGTATGCACTGGTATTCATAAACACATATCACGCATTTCATGCCTGAGGCTTGAAGAGACTGACCAGCAACCCCTCTTCTTACATGAATTGAACATCAATAGTGGTTATTTCACTAGTTAGTAGAAGCATAGGACTATTATAACCATATCAGAAACCTTGTATGTAATACAGTTTGAGTTGTGGTCAAACCTACCCCCTTTATTACCTTTATGTCTTAATTCATCAATGATGTTCTAATATCTATTGTCAGTGATCAATTAGGTGTACAATTTCTTTCTATAAATAAAGGCCACATCTACATGCAATCACTCTTACAATATGTAAATTACAATATGTTAAAGAACGCCTAATCATAGAAAAATAAAAGTCAAGTTGTACCTGCCCAATTTAGGGGTTTGTTCCATTATATGCGAGTTTCGAGAGTTTTTACACAAGGAATCTGTATCGAAGAATACGAGATTGCTGGAACAGACCAATATGCAGCTCCCCGGGTGCTGAGATTGATATTATGGAGCGATCAAGTACTGACAATAACTGGTCATTTAGGTACGACTCTACAGAATAAAGATTTGCTCGTCATATATTGTAGTGTTTGTTTGATGTTAATCTAGTGTTTGAGTCAATTTGATCAGATACCATTAACTTAGCTAATCCATTGGCATTTAAAAATGAAAATAAGAATCAGAGTGTTTTCGCACTATAGACACACAGGAAAAACAATCAAGGCTCTAAACCTCGGATCCTACAACTATCTTGGTTTCGCTGAGAATTCTGGCCCTTGCACGGATGATTCTGAACAAGCAATACGTGATTACGGACTTGCGGCTTGTAGCACAAGACATGAGTATGGTACGCTCAGTATTCATGTTGAGCTTGAGGAACTTGTGGCAAGGTTTATAGGCAAAGAAGCAGCGATGGTGTTCGGCATGGGTTTTGCTACAAACTCAACCAACCTCCCAACTTTGGTGGATAAAAAGTGTTTGATTGTCAGCGACGAATTGAATCACTCCTCGCTTGTGCTAGGGGCAAGATTGTCTGGAGCAAAGATTGAAGTTTTCAAGCATAATGGTAATTTTATGAAGTGTACTTTTGTAATATTTGTAATAATAAAAGTAATATGACTGTCAACTTGACTGAACCAGCACAAAAAAAGCCATCAAGAAAGCATGCAAGTCCTCATGACCTCATTGATCAATTCTGTGCTTTCATTTTAACAATACAAGACATGAACCATCTTGAAAAGATTTTAAGAAACGCGGTGATTCAAGGACAGCCACGTACCCACAGACCGTGGAAGAAGATCTTGATTGTGGTTGAAGGAGTCTACAGGTAGGTATTTAAAAGAAACGCCTGGTTTTGCTGAGGTTCTTTCCCAAAATATTTAAGGTTTAGTCGATATTCGCTCACACGGTTTTTGCAATTTGCAGCATGGAAGGATCAATAGTGAAGTTACCCGAAGTGATTGCTTTAAAAAAGAAATACAAAGCATACCTTTACCTTGATGAAGCTCATAGCATTGGTGCCATGGGACCCAATGGTAGAGGTGTCTCTGACTATTTCAATGTCGATCCAAATGATATTGACATCATGATGGGAACGTTTACGAAGAGCTTTGGATCTGCCGGCGGTTATATTGCTGCTTCGAAGGTAAATTTCCATTATAAACGGTAGAAGATTCTGTCATTTTAAAACATATAATTTATTAAACATTGGCTCCATTCATAAATCTTTTCGAAAAAGAGCGGGCAACTCATGGCTACGGGGGCCTGTTGCGAGGTAAACGAAAACGAGGCTAGGAAGATTTTTGCCGCATATTATTCAAAATAGTTTTTTGTCAATTATTTGTGGGGGAGAACAGAACTAGAGCCGTATAATCCGCCAAAGGGCGCCTGAAGCCTGCTTGCTAGCCCCTAAGGTGACTTAGGTGAGCAACTTTGACATGACATCACTCAGAGAACTGTAAAGTTCAAGATTTTCTCTGAAAAAGCTATGGTGGGTCACCACCAATGAAATAAACTTTTTTATCACAATTTGCCAAAATAATTACATGTTGCTCCTGTAGGAGATCGTCCATCATATTCGCTCGTCATCTCACAGCGCCGTCTACGCATGCTCAATGTCTCCACCTGTTGCGCAACAGATCATCTCCTCTATGAAGATCATCATGGGTGAGGGGTGAAGATGGAACCGACGAAGGTCGAACATTATTCTATGACCTCATTTATGTGTGATACACTCTCTAACGCCTTTTCCCATCCATCTTGGATGGCAAAAGAATTATCTCGAATATATCTTGTATATATTAGAGTTCACTGAACATAGACTTTTGGTTATACTTCCTCGATGTCACCGTCTCACTGATTTTCCCAAAATATCAATAACATTATGGACTGTTGGAGTTAAGTTAATCTGGTGTTTGCCAATCAGTTCATATCAATATCTTCTTATTTAGGCCAAAGGAGACTTCGTACTTTATCAGAGAACAGCAAGTAGGTTCATCTAAACTTTGTGAATTTCACTGATGTATAAAATCGTCTGGCGCAGCTGAACATAATATAAAATACCAGGTCCTCGACTATGTGTCTCACATGAAACTGTTTCGTTATCAGATATTTTAGGGAGTCATTGAAGAAAGCTGGGTTTATTGTTTATGGTCATGCAGACTCCGTGATAGTTCCCGTGCTAATCTTCTTACCTGGAAAAATAAGGTTTGTTTTGAGAAAGCGCTGGATCCTCGAATATGAAAATCGTACGTTTGATCAGTTAGAAAATAACGCTTGAATGATGATCAGAAAGAAAAAATATTTCAATCAGTTACGAATTTCGATTTTATGTTTTCTATAGCGCTTTGAGTCGTGAATTGTTAAAGAGGGGGATAGCAGGGGTTGTTGTGGGATTTCCAGCTACAAGTATCCTAGAGTCACGCGCTCGCTTCTGTATTTCTGCCTCCCACACGAAAGAACAACTGGATAAGGTAAGATTACATGTGGTAGTGATGTATTTAACGGACCAATCCCTCCCCCTCCCTCCAGGTAGTATTTGATGTACCATTTCCATTGTTCTTTTTTCTTCAGGCAATCAAGGCGATGAACGAAGCCGGTGATATACTGGGAATGAAATACTCGCGTCGAAGATGACGGAGGGAATGAGACCGAATGTTTGATGAGAGCCTTTAATGAGAGTCGTCACTAGGGAAACGCACGTTAATTGAAAGAAAAAAGAAAGATTTAGGAGTTAATATGACATTCAATATGACATAGAAACATAGCCTTTGTAAGCTCGCAGTGTCTGGAAACGATTTCTAAATCTTTTGTTCCGTGTTTTGGGTAGGCTCTGTAAACACAGAGCTATTTTAGCGCGATGGAGAAAAAAGCCAAAAAAATCCGTCGCAGTTTAGTTTTGAAAGCATAAATGATATAATTGCACTCTCGGTACAAAACAGAAGCGTAGAACCCAGCCTGACGATTTACTCCCGACATGCTAGTAATATTTCGAAGATCACTGACTTGTGAAAACAATAAATTTCTAAAGCCGGAAATCTGAAAAATCATAACTTGCCGATTATTAACAGGACTAAATCGTCAGGTGGCCAGCCGGCTACGCCCTTGGTCACAGCCAACATGCATTAACAACTCAAAACTATGGATTCATCATCATCAAATGAATTTACCATGGCATAGAAGATTCCTAAAATGCATATATATTATACCCGTCAGTGGTTTCAGACTGGTCATAATTTATAAAGGCACTCCGTAAATACGCGCTCTGTATGGGAGAATATGTAATTAACAAGAAGTGCTGTTGTATATATATTTTGATTAAGAAATAGCGCATGTTTTTCATATGCTTTTGGCGTCAATTCCTACGGCTTATTCACAACAGTGTGTCATCATAATATATCAAATATTGCATCTTTTCTATATATAAGAATAGATTTAAAAGAATTATGAAAGGTGTTGTTTCACTGCTTTTCTTTTTAACTATCGGTCTTCAGCTGTTGAATGCTATCCAAACAAGTTCAAGGATCTTGGAGCTCTCAATAACCTTCAAAATGATCATGACATTTTACAGTTTTAAGAAGTAGAGACCATTTTTTTTATTTTCGTGTATGAAATATTATTTGCATGCATGGAATTGCTGCCGTAAACTTGGGATATCCTGCATTTGAGAGCGACGCGAATCAATATTGGCGTCCACTATCCTATTCTTCCAAGTTGATCTTAAATGGCAGAAATGAACCATGATTATAGTTGTTAAATCAAATCCATTTCTCTGTTGAAACAACTCAATATCTCCTGAAATATACTTTATCAGTTACGGTTTGAAATTTACACCAGAGCTATATAGAATTCTTATAAAGAAACATAATCACAAAGTTTCGAGTGGTCTCATAAAAAATAAAAAAATATATAATCGACTAAATACTGCTGAATGGATTTCTATTTTGACAAATTTTCTAAACGCTGATTGTCTAAGATATGAACGGGAGACCACCTGGTTCTTAATGGAGCAATATACATGAGTCATCAAGTATATATGATTGGGGGAGGAACAAGCCTAAAATGATAACCCACAATCAAAAAACCTTTTCCCACGCTGGAGTTGACAATACTTTGTTAATATAGAGCAGGCAAATCGCCCGTCGGAAAAAGATGCGCACAAAAAAAAGATGGGTCGTCTGATTTTCTAGAAACTGCGTAGAGAGGTATAGATGGATCAGCGGGCAAAAGACGAACGGTTCAGCCAAGTTGTCACCGATAAAACGGCTTCCTTTTCTGGCCAAGAATGCAAGTTGAAAGTTGTCTTGAGTTGGAATCTGTTGGATGTTAATCTTCTGTAATTTCTCATTACGCAAAGCAGCTTTTTTCGTTAAATTAACACTAAACAATAGGGCTCAACAATTGGCGAAATTAATTTTACGCCTTGAATGATTACCTGACAATTTGTCCAATGCAAAATGCAAGAACAATATTACCCAAATTAGCGTATGTCGATGTACATATATATATTAGGAAGACGATGCAAAAAAGCAATCTAGTTTTCAAGTGTTCCTATTTGAAGACAGTCGAAGAGAATTGAAGAAAATTTCAAAATGAATATCACATCGGAATCAAATGCAGCTTGTTCAGCAGGCGCAGATAACGTCCACCAGAAACGCTGTTCCATGATGAACACCGAAATTTGCGTTAACATCAGTTTTCCTTCTGACGGCTTCGTGTTCAACCATAAATTGCTGTTTGGGGCGAGCGCCGTTTTGACGGTCCTCGTTCTACTGATGAATTTAACGACAGTTTTCACGTTCCTGCGTTCGTCCCGACTCAAGGAAAGAATTTCTCACTTTTTGATCACGTTGCAATCTTTATCCGACCTGCTTTTAGGCGTCGTCAACACATCGTTATTCACGTACCACCTGGCAAGCGAGATACACGGAGAACCCAGTTGTTTCATCGTTTTCGTCAGCGATAAGACGGGAAAGATCTTCATCGGCTGTTCGCTGACCTCATTATTCATGCTCAACCTGGACCGCTACGTCGGCATCTTACATCCACTGGCACATGAAGCAAACTGGACTAAGAGGCGCATGCTCGCCTGCGGCGCTTGCCACTTGCTACCCTGGATTGCGTGCTCATTTGCAGAAATGTATCAAAAAAATGTAAAATATTACTATAATGTTCATTTAACAGTGTATTTCATCGTAGTCGCATACATATACATTCGGATTTATTACACGGTCAAAAGTGGCCCTTTTCAAACGCAGTCTCGGGCTCGAGAAGTGCAGTACAGGGCAGAGACCACGAGCCCAAGTAACAGCAGGAGAAACATCCATTCAGTTCAAGCCAGAAATGCAGAGGTCTCATTGGCTGACAAGCAGAAGCGTCTGAAGGAAGCGAAGCTCGCTCGATCCTGCTTCATGGTCGTCGCTTGTTTCTTCCTTTGCTACGTGCCAGTCGGTTTGACCATTGGCTTGAAGTCGAAGATTCCAGGATTTCTAGGAAATGCTTTTATGTCGTGGGCCGTTCTAATATCTGCCAGCAATTCGTTCTGGAACTCTCTGATTTTCGTGTGGCGAGATCGAGTGCTGAGAGCCGAGGTTAAAACAGTCATGTCACAGTGGTTTTGCAAATGATGTCATGGGTACCAAAGTGAAACATGAACAAAGAAAGTATAAAAGAAGAAAGCGGGGTCAGCTCGAACTCTAGGCCGGACCAATTACCCAACCTTTGCTGGCTGGTTGGGAGTCTTTTACCAAATCACAATGCGCTATTTCACTTTGAATGCAAGCTTCTTTGAAATCAACCAGTCATCTTGCACCAGAAGATGCAGCGAGACAGGTTCCTATAATGTACACTTAGTACTGCCTAGTTACAACCTATAGTACAGTAAGAGTACCTAAAGCGAGCAGGCTGAATTTCATATTTTTGGGGACTCTTTTGCATGTTATGTTTTGCTTTAAGAAAGAAACCGATGTTTCTTTACGATAAGCTGACTTGAGTTGCAATCTTTTTACTGCGATATTGAAGTCACTGAACTGAACGAGTATGATGAAAAACTATATTGATGAAAAATTTAGTTATTTGAGAGGAAATTGCACGTGAATGACTGTAATATATAGTTGATAATTCTGGTAATTATATGTGATAATACTTATACTTTGTACAATTGATGCCGCCGCCAAGGGTGGTGGGGTTACTGGGGTACAATGTACCACTTAGAAGGAGGGGAGGGGGGGATAGAAGGAAGATATATATATATCGGCTTCCCAACCAAAACGTTTTGAAAAAGTGTAGGTTCCTATGTTATACTAAGACAGTATACAGTCATTATAAGAATGCAGTTAAATATTCTTTAATGTTGCATTACATTATACACTTCTCATATTCGGTAAATATAATTACATACATTTACAAATGTATATTCTTCTACAATTTCTGTTATAGAGTTTCATAAACACATATATGCATCCCAAAAATCACCAATTAGCTTTCAAATTCTTGACAGTGATCCGTCACATTCCCGGCCTCCTGCGGCTCACATCACCAGAAGCACGGATGCATTTTTTCCCGTTCAATCCTTCCACGCGTTTACACCTGTAGCCACAGTTGCAATCCTCTCGTTTTCTACACCTACGATTAGGTTGGCAGCCTTTTTTGTACTGAAATTATGAAAGAAATTATGTTATTGGCATTTTAGGTTTTAAAACATACTGATAAAAGCTGTTGTATAATAATTAAATAACAAAACTATCTCAGAACTTAACTGCCACAGAATTTTCAGTCAACTACAGCTATAGTGCAAAATTAAAAGACAAATAATTACCCTTCCAAACACCGAGGCATCCATCGTCTCTGTGAAAATCAGAAGCGCAAGAAAACACAACAAAAATTGAAATGAGATATTCCCCAACAACATTCTGTTCGCAGTTATGAAGACGTACGCGTCTTGAATTGAAAATGATCCAACTTCTCGTGATCCCAAATGCAATTTTCCTCTATAATCGGCAAAACGATGGAAAATATATATGATATCTGTAATCCACTTTTTTTAATTTCCCTTATCCGTTGGTAACCGAAAAATTTATTAATATATATATATTGCACCTTTTACTTAATTTAATACAAAACTAACAGGTTCTGATATTAATAGGACACTGGTTCTGTGTATATTTTGTGTAGCCAATAATGTTAGCTCTTACATAAAGCGATGCGTTTTATGCAAACATGCGATAAATTTCATTAATTTGCGAAAATTATTATCTTTCGTAGCCCACGCTATTGGGATAGAAAACATTTAATAAAATACTGAAATGAAATTTGTGAAACAAAGCACATATATTAATATAAGAAAAAGAAAAGTTACACACAAATTAGTTATACAAGATTTAACTGATCCATGAAAGTCATCATATAAATATATAGACGCGCCTAACAAGGTAATATAGTGAGGGAAATCTAACGTATTAATGTCGATAAAAAAAGTTTAAAAATGGATTTACGTCAGAATTAGCATTATTACCAATATGAACAATTGTTAAGCGCAAATCACTTGCATCGTCAGGACAACTTTTCATCACTTGAGCCTTTCAGGGTTCCTGAAAAACCCTAGCATTCTCCAAGCTGTTTCTGGTCATGAACATCGTCCGATTAATAAATTATCTTTATGTGGTTCTAGCGTTATCCTCAATCGATGTTGATGGACGTCTCTGGAGCGCACGCACAGGTAGGTAAATTTGAGCAAGAAGATCGTTCAGGTTTTCCAGAAAACATTCATACAAAGCATTCGCCAAGTAACTGATATTCAAACCACAATATCAGCTGAAAGTCCCAAGTGCATTTACTGTGAGCTACGCCGGTTTAGAGTCCATGGAAATAACTGATTTTGTACAAAAACAAACATTTGCCATTTTGACGAAAGTTTATCAAATAATAGAAAGAGGTTGGTAGGCCCTACCCCACGACTCCCCCCCCCCCATTCCCAGCTTCCCAACGATGAGAAAAAGCGCAGTTCAGAGAGACTTCCCTAGTTAATTTTAAAAAGCGCGTCTGGGGAGCGTGTATTTTGTAAATTAAATTATTTTTGTCATAAAGGAGGATGTAGTATCGATCGAATATGTAGAGGACCTACAAGTAGCTGCTATTGTAAAGGACATCGTCTACAATGCCTTGCCGTTCCTGGAGGAATATGGGGAATGAAGATCTACAAATGTACTGAAATATCCTATGCTGTCCCACTACATCATTCTTTTGGTGGATAAATTTTTTTGTTGAACTGACTAGTCGAAAATTTGTGATTATGTTTACTTATAAGAACTATAGCTCTGACAAAAAATTTGAAACTGAAATAAAGTTTATTTCAAGAGATATTAACTTGTTTCAATGGTTTCAAATGTGGTTTCAACCGAGAAATGGATTTTTTTTGACAACTAGTCCCACTCCTTTCCCGCCATTTCAGATCAAATTGATTATACTTTATAGCTGCAGTCGTTCAGCTTTCATAGTTGTTTATTCAAGATGATTTGGCGCCGGGTTTTATGAAAAAATTGCACTCAATGAAATATAGAAAGTAAAGCCTACTATATCCTGATATATCGTTGTAACTTGGGGAAAAGTTTGAGGGCATTTTTCGTTGTTTCCACCATAACTTGCTCCGGTTTTAATCCTTTGATTTTCGCTATCATTTCACACGATTTCTGAATAAATTTCGGTTCATTTCGAGCCTAAAAACAAGAACACGCGTTGATTTGGGCGGGAAAGAAGCATGCAGCTGGCGATGACGTGTCTTGGAATACGATTTCTCATTGGACGAGAGAACGTGAGGAAGTTTGTATTAGCCAATCACGTTGCGCAAGAGCGAGTGACGGTAAAAGTTCGCAATTCTTGTTTTCTGACTTTTCTGGATAAAATTAAAAATTTGTTGTTGTTATTTTAAAAAGATATATTGTAGTCATATCTTATTCTTACCTGTTTTTCGACCCCCAGAGCAGGACTGTCTGTCTCAAGCAAAATATTTGACAATGGCAGCACTTTTGCCAGCTTTTGCTTCTAATAATAATAATAAATTTATGAAAGGTGTTAGGTCAGTTGAAAATTTTAATTGAAATGACAGACAGTGCTATTTTCTACCTGTTCTGATCTGATGATACTTGGTGGAAAAGAAAAATAATATCCAGCATCAACACCCTGCATTGCCACAGATGGTTTACCATCGAACGCATGGAGCAATACTTTTGATGCACCATTTTCTTTCAGAAAGTTTATGGTTGGTCTTCCTGCTGATCTTGAATGCACATTTCTGTAGTAATGTTAAAAGATTTCACCAATTACCACTTACTATTAGAGCTGCTAACTGAGGCAGTTTCCACTCAATTTTAATTAGAATAGGTTTTCTTTAAATACAGGAACTGCACTTGTCCAGTTTTAAGAACTACGACTGGCATATAAATATGAATCCCAAGCACTGTAATTCCTGTGAGAATACTTACACAGGAAGATCAAGCTCTTTCGCCAATTCAATCTAGAAGAACAACAAATGTGCCAGTTCCATAAACTACCTGACTTTGAAATTGCAATGGAACAATGATTATTATCACTTTCACCTGCTTTAAAAATACTTCATATTGACCTTCTCTTAGAATATCTTTTTTATTTGGATCAAAGTATCTGGGTGTAAGGTCCAGACCAATCTAAATGCACAGGAGGATGCTTGAAATTTTTGGGTGCCGCTGATTGTTGTGCTTTATTGGAAGTGTTCAAAGACTCAAAGTTGTTGAAAACTGGAAGAACTCAGTATGGCAAATTAAAATTGAGTATGGCCATTAAGAACCAGGTGTGACTTTTCAGAGCTGCATGTACTGGATGTGGCTCCTTACCTCACCTATTGCAAATAACTTCTCTCTGTGCAACCTTATAAATTCCTCCACCCCAACAAGATCCTATACAAAAGAGACAAGCAGTCATGTTCACACTCATATCCACGCAGGTTCACACTGCCAAAAAATTCAGGCTGTAGTAAAGAAAACCTCAGGATTTGCTGGTCTTTGCTTCTTCTTGGGATCTCCTTGTACCGGGTGAATACCAAGGCATGGTGCCACAATGTCAGGAAATCTTATTAACATACAAATAACAACATGACCTTCCTCTGCCTGCAATATGGGAGGCCTCAGGCCTGGCATAAGAATGAACTTTGGATATTTCAATTAAAGCAAAGAAATAAATACCTTTCTGACAAAGAAATCACTTTTTCAAACTCACTCTTGAATTCTGTCACAGCCAATATAGCACCAACTCCAACCTTGTTGTTTAGAAGATAGGTTCAGATAGGCTATATGTTTCTCAACACATACAGTAACGGGTATTTTTGTACATGTCATTTCACAGTTCCTTGTTTTATACTTACTTCTTTCGCTTGACTAAGTACCACATCGATGTCCTAGAAAGATATAACCATTTTAATATAATTTACTATCTCCAAGCTATTTAAAGTGCTCTAGTACGAATAAGTGGCGAATGTTCTTCCAAAAACTTACCTCATCGAATTCATTTGCTGACAAATGTGCGTGACAATCTATATAACAGTTCATCTGTGCTATCAATATATATTTTACAGTGAACTCTACTATATACTGTCTATAGTAGAGTTCACTGTAGATTTAGCAGTGCCGCGGGAAAAGGGAAGCAATTATATCTTTTTAGATAAAGTATGAAAAAATATATCTCAAAAACCGAGAATATTTTCATGAAAACCAGGAGGGAGACGGACTCAATCTTTTCTACTCAAAAGGAACCATGTGATCCGCCATTTCTCGACTGCTTCCGCGGGAAACAGGGATTTAAATTTGTGGTTTCAAATCAAAATGTCTTCTGACTCTTCTCCTGCAAACAAAATGGCACGTTTGGAAATAAAAGAATTGCAAGTCGTTCCTTGCACTAATTCGCTGTACATCCAATCATCTAGGGTCACTTTTAAGCAAGTAAATACCTTGTTTTTGTTCAATACGTGGCTAGAATTTTCCTAAATCAATTTCACTAAAGCAGTGGTTATTATTTACATATAAAAACTGCATCAAATTATTTTTATTAGAATGGGATGAATCGAGTCTGGGATTACATTAGAGTACATGACGGGTAATTATGTTTAATTATGTAATTATCAACTTTCTAATTGGCCTCTTCTGCAAGACTGCAACACAAAAATATTTCAGCTGGTGAATCAATCAGTTCTCCAACTTCTATTTCCAAATATATACTTGTAGTTTCCATTGTTTAGTGTATATATTCTTCTCTACAACACGACTAGACAGGCATTTGTCTTGGTAAAGCAGTTTCGGCCAGGTAAAGTAAAAGTAAAACCATAAACACAGCCTACTGAATGCCTTTGCCTGTATTCAAAGAAAATCCACATATTTTTTTGTACACAAAGCTCTCTACATGACAATAAACCGGGAACAGCACGTGAAGAAAAATGATGTACTACACAAGGAGAATGTTCATACAATAGATAGCAGAGTACCGTACACTGCACCACCAGATTGCGGCATCTCGTATGAACTCTGTGCTGGTATCGTTGACAAACAAGCAAGTCTACAGGAGATTGCAAAAGAGGAAGCATATGAAGAGTGTGGTTATGATATCCCATTGGCGGACATAAGATATGTTACGGCATGGAGGGGGGACCTTGGCATAGCTAGTAACACCCGTACCCTATTCTATGCCGAGGTCACAGATGGGATGCAGATACCAGGTGCTGGCGGTGGTAATTCACAGGAGGGAGAACAAATTGAATTATTTTATCTCCCTGTTGGTGATTTGAGTGCCTTCATGTATGATGAAAATATTGCTAAGGAGTCATCCCTTCTCTTTGCTTTTTCTTGGTGGAAGGAAAACATCCAGAAAGCTGAAAAATCTTGAATGAACCCAATACAGCGCAAAATCCAAATTTAAACAATCGTTTAAGACAAATTTATGCAACTTAATTTAATTAATTATACCTTTTTCAAATGTCTTGTTTTTAAAAATATTAATAAGTTATATATTAATTCTCGATCTCTTAAATTATTATCTTTATAACAATATATACATGAATTCTTGAATATTTTCTTATGGAACTTTACCTTTTGCAATGAACATTCCCACATATAACAACAATGCGTATAATTCTAACAATCTGAATTTCTTTCATTTAAATACTTTCCTTTTAAATAACAGTATGATGTGAGTATCATTCATTAATTGTCACAAATTGTATCATTGAACAGACATTCCTCAGCCTGTGGTTAAAAAGAATTTGGGAGAAGGCATAACTTCAGACACTGCTTTAATCATTCTGGAATATGCATGTAGTACAGGACCAGGGCTTTTTTCAAAGGTTCTTTCAAATGCAAATTTTACAAACCTCCTCAAAACTTGTTTTGTGAATATCTTGGTATAACTTGATAAGTGCCTCAGGCAGCATGACTTTTGTAACATAATCCAAATACTGGTGGATAAGAAAGTTTCAAGAAGTTAATCAGTTAAGAATTTAACCTAGGAGTGCTACTGCATGAGAAGCTATTAAACTATATACCATATATTGATGCTCAGTTGGAATGAACCTTCAAAACGACTGAAATTTTATTGTGTATATGGTGGAGATAGAGTCAGAACAAATTTTGAACTCGTAGCTTATGCTATAATATTGTAATCTAGCTGAAATATGTTGTATATTCTTTAATAACTAACCTTGCTGTCTCTATAGCAGAACATGGCGACCAGTGATGACATAATACATTCATGCTGGTCTTCATTAAAGTGTGCCATTCCAACTTGAAAATTCAGGTCATCTGGATCAATTAAGACACAAGCAAGCAATTGTAAGAACCTCAATACATTTACACTGGAAGCCTTTCCAGCATCTTGTTATTAGAAATGTCTGGGATTATTCTTACCTCGATATTTTCCACCTTTTTTGTAATCCTCGTGTCTTTGGCTATAAACCTATGGCAGGAAAATGAGATTAGAAATTTCAGTGGCACATGACTCTGAGTCAAAATTAGGTCACCAAAACACTTTCTCAAGCATATACGGTACATGTGTAGCATGCACAATCATGCAGCACATATATACTATCTGATCTGACCTCTCCTCGAAATATTGTTCTCAGATAGTCTTCCATTTGATTGATCAAGAATTTCAAGTGATCTTCCTGCAAATCCTCAACTTTGCTAATCAAAAACAAAATGTGAGATATCCAAACTGAATTACATGCACATGAGCGTCAAGTCTCTGGCCTAAGATCCCCGTACACTAGAAAATGTTCTCTGGAAATTATTGAAGATCATTTATTAACCCCCAGAATTTCCCTAATTCTATCCCACATACCATAATTTTTGGACATAGTGAAACCAAGCTAGCCCAAAATGACCAACCTGACATGATTTAAGCCTGCTGGCACTTGCTCAAGGTCAATGACTGCAGTAATCTTCGCCCTATTAGCTGCTCCACCAAGTACAGATTCAGTTAATGGACTATTATTTTTCTCCAGGAATGAATTATTCTCAACAACAATAATCTGTCCTTTGTGGGACACTGGCGAAGCTTGCGACTTGGAGTTCTTCTGGTATGAGGGTATTTCAGTTAGTGCTACTCTAGACTTTTTTGCCCTGAAAATGAAGGTGACATATTAGGGTAAAGTTCTGTGATAATTAATAGATCTTGATCTCAACCAATATTTTTGAAATACTGTACATTTTTCTAAGGGTAGTTTTCTTTCGTTTAACAGATGATGTTTGCAAGATGTCAGTCTGTTCATTGAAGTAACTGCTTGTCGCTGCCTCTTGTATTTGAATGTTTTCTTTCACAGGCTAAAATGAACAATTAAGGAAACTCAAGTTAAAATTTGGGAAGAAATGTATCTCGATCCATTCAGACTGGTCACAATAAACTGAGAAGCACATGCACCTTAATCTGACGTTGAACTATGTTGACTTGATCATTTTCTGATTTGGTTGTGGCAGGAATTCTTCTCACTTCCACTTCCAAAGTTTCATGAAAAATGGGACAACTTTTGTAGCTCACTAGAAATACCAAAAAGGCCAAAACTAAATTTCATTATGGTGACAAATATCCATGCAGGCAGATCAAAAAGCCATTGAGTAAAATAAAAATTGAATGCTTACCATTTTTCTCCTTGATTTTTCTACCATGCAAACAGAAAATCTGCAGTAAAAGAGACAAAAGAGGTTGCAAAGTGTAACAGTGTCTGAAAACAGTATATTTTACTAATTTTAGTGTAGAAGAATAATAAAGAAGATTACACTCTCAGGCTTTGTGGTGACATAATGTTGCCCTGGGGTAGAAGATCTTCTTTTAAAACTGTATCTGACTGTTAAATCCCTCGCTAAAAATGATACATACATGATATTCAGTTTTACACAATGCTTAATAATTAAAAATTTATTTAGAATATGTTAATATAATCAAATTATAAATGCTGTCCTACCTGACTCAAGTTTCTTGCTATAATATTGTTTTGCAAATGAATTTATTCTTTTCACCATAACTTGTTTCAAACTATCAACAATTGCCTTGAACAAAAATTTAATAAGAAAACTGTGAATAAGATCCTTTGAAAGACTCTACTAGTTACGATGAATAAATAGTAAATGTAAATATTTTACCAATAGTTTATCTTCTTTAAACCATTCATATGATTTCTCAGAATTATTTCCTGGTTCCGCATTTGCTGAACTTCTCTGGCCTGTTTCGTCTTGAAGGTATATGTTCACCATTAATAACTGATGACCAACCTGTTTGATAAATGGTGTTTCAGGATTTGCAATTAAGGGTTTCATGTACAAATCAGGTTTGAAATCAAGTGAATCTACAAAGGTATCACCCTTCAGCATATCTTAGCAAAACTGCAAAAGATCGCCAGGGCCCCAGGCCACTTCAGCCGGCTCAGGGGGAGGTTCTTACCCCCTCTGCCCCCTCCCCCCTGCTCAGTTTGTAAACTCTTCAGGCTTCAACCTAAGGCAATTGCCATCAACAATCTTACCATAACAAGGCGCATTATTCTCTTGCTTGCTCTTAGAATTTCTTTAGTCTTTCCAATCTCTGCAATATAAACCTGTTTTTCCATAATTCTTTTCTTCACAGTTCACAGTAACTTTGCATTTGTCCCACAAATATCCATTTACGAGTATTCCTTAAAGGTTTTCAACACATTCCACTTCCAGTCCCTGAATACAACTCAAGTCTCGGCAAACGTGAACATCGCATTCCATCAAAAAAGACATAAAACTACTTCACCCTTGTCGACCCTTTTCATCCTTGAAAATTATCCCGACTAAATGTCCGTATACTTTGACAGAAAACCTCTGTATAAACGGGAAAATTGGTGCGAATTTAAATCAAAACAAACCCCTGCTCAACGCCGTTCTTACAGACGATCATTCTTAGGCTAAAAGGGAAGAAAACGGCTGCAAAATATTTGAAAAGAAACGCAATTGAACAAAAGTTTAAATCGCCATACTGTATTCAGCGTCCTCCTCGGGCACAGGCCCCCTAAAAAAAGTAATTCAAAAATCGCGCCAAATTCTCAATATTGGCGGGTAATAATTGAACAGTTAAATATTGACTGACAACAAATTATCTAAAAAAGGCAATTATTTCACCTACAGGAATTTGCATGCATCATCACCAACAATCAAATGGACATAAGCATGGCGAAGAATTACGATCACTTGTTCAAAGTCCTACTGATCGGCGATCCCGCTGTGGGAAAAACGTGTATTTTATGCCGATTTGCCAACGACGAGTTCAAGACGACCCATTTATCTACTATAGGTATGTACTATTTATTGTTAATACACACTTCAGACCAATATCGCTTGGGTATCGTCGAGTTTTTGGACAACTGATCTAATATGATCTTGTATTATTTTGATCTTAATCTATATAGGCATCGATTTCAAAATGAGAACTTTTAATGTCGAAGGCAGCAGAATAAGAATCCAAATGTGGTAAAGTACATTTCATAAATAAATAAAAAGGATTATGCAAGTTTATGTACAATTTAATAAATAGTATCTTTCTAGAACGAGTCACATGCGTATTATAAAGTATTTACACTAGGCTGTCAAATTATTTTCAAAACTATTTAATACAAATTGATGTAGGTTCATATTTATAAGACTAAACATTTGTGTTTTGATTTTCTCTGTGACACTCGGTCTATTTTGTGGTTATATTTCTATATCCAGGAAGAAATAAAATTGATTTACACTTATTACGGCGAATGCGTTATAAAAAATCACCGTAAATCAGAGCATATTGACGGAGGTGTTGAAAAGCTAATTGGTCATTTTGTAAATTAGATTTAGTTACAATGTTATCCTGTTGTGTGAGTCAAATAATTATGTCATCTACCAGGAAAAAAATTATGACCTTTTGAAAAAATGCCGTGACTCTCCGTGGTAATACGTGGGATGACTTGTGAAACTCACAATGCAAGTCTCCCACTGACATTCTAGTCATTTTTTTAATGGAATTCTACTGTTAACTCACTTTACTGCCAGGTGCTTGTATGATATTTTTATCAGTTTTATTCAAGCTTGTGATAAACTACTTTTTCTAGGGACACAGCTGGTCAGGAAAGATATGAAACTATCACCACACAGTATTACAGAAGAGCACAGGTTAGCACCGAACATTGTCTCCATAAGTTGTCTATGTACCTTAGTAACCTTACTGGAGAAAACCATTTTTGTAGGGGATAATGTTGGTATATGACATCACAAGAAGGAAAACATTTGACAATATACAGAAATGGATACATTATGTGGAAGAAGTGAGCATTTCTGTATCTATCTTAATTCACCCATTGAAGTGAAAATTGAGTATGACATTGATGAAAGATGTGCTACGCCATTTATTCTTTTAGCATGCTGGTAGCGAGGTGAAGACCCTCATCATAGGAAATAAATGCGATGTTGGTGAAAACAAAAGACAAGTTTCCTATGGGGAGGGAGAAAAGGTATGTCCTGGAAATTGGGGATTTTGTAAGGCTTGTGTATTAAATTGTAATTCAATGACAATTTTCTTTGTTGTAGCTGTCACAGAAATATGGGATACCTTTCTTTGAAACAAGTGCTTACTCAAATGTTAACATTGAGAAAGTAGGTACCCACAATGATTGCAGAGCTATAGGTCTATAGTTTACTATGGCAGACAATGTTTCTCGTTAATTATTTGGCTTTTCATATGTCCAGGCCTTTGCAGAAATGTGTCAGTTAATACTGGGTCATGTTGACATACCAGTCAAGGTAAAACCAATCCTAACTTGGCCAAACTGTTTCTGTTTTATTTCATACCCGCCTGTTCATTGCATCTACTTTATCATTTTCTTCTGCAGAATGGTCGTAAACGGTCCGAAGCAATCATTCTTGCACCCAAACCACCAGACAGTGAAGAAAGATCAAGTTCATCTTGCTGTTCATTAAGCTAAAACACTATAATAGTGACTAAAATGATAACATCAAATTTGATGTAAACTGACTGTTGTAAATAATGCATTTCAAAATAATTGAACCTTCCATGGTTCCAGATCTAGGTCCTGTTTTGAGCAGGGTACGATGGTGGATAGCAAAGGTTCTTGTATCAACTCATGGAACCTTTGGTATCTAGGGTACATTTAGGGCTACGAAACACTTCAATTTTGTGACTTGTTTGCCAATAGTAACTGTTGAATCAAATGCATTGAATTGTGCAAACAAGGATGCATTTTATTTCAGAAGTTTATCAAAATGATAATATAATTTAGTCTAAGGTTGTTGATATTCAACCAGTAGAGACAATTCCATTTTCATACATTTTGAAACTATTCTGTTAACTGTGTGTTGTGAGATTTTAGAGTACTTGAAATCACCAAGTGGTTGAAAACCGCAGACAATTTTGCACAGCATGCAAGTGCGTATAATCTACTACAATACAATTCAATAAAAGCTAAATTATTGTCTGCCTATGAGCAGTGGTCTAAATCGTGCTTAGAATAATAAAGAATTTTCAAAAGTGGGCTCATAAATGGAGTGAGTGGGCCATAGAAAAGAAGGGGTTTAAAATAATCTACAATGGTTTAGCAGTTGACAAGATTTAAACAGTCGTATAGCCGGCATAAATACAATATTTATTATAGCCTGATAATTGTATGTTTACATAATGCAACAGTTCTCAGGGGGCATTTGAGTTGGGTCCTCGTCTTTTCCCAAAGGTTTGAACAACGTTGACAAAGCGTCGGTTGTACTGCATGCGACGTTTGGCCCGACCTGTCCTCTTCTTTTTCTTCTCTTGTTTGTCAACCTGGATTGAACAAAGAGAAATGCTTGTAAAAATGATGTTGAATGTTTCACAAGCTTAACACCTCAAAACCACAAACTATTATTATATGATATACCTTGGGTGTTTGACCTTTAACTTTGCCAGCACGAGCCAAAGAACCGTGGACCTTTCCTAAATTGATAACATTTTTAAACTAGGTGCATTGTGCCTAGATGATATCATAATATCTATATTACATGAAATTAGGCAGAGATGTTACACTGATTTATATAGGAGAGAGGGATGTCAAAGGTAATGTAAAAACGGCAGCAAATGCATCAGGTTTCACATCTATATGATGTGCATCACACAGTTCACACCATCACCCTGTCCTTTATCCAAATCTCAACTAATGGTACATTATATACATGTATATATAGAACTATATATGTATGCTTGGTTTTTACTGGTGGAATGAAGATCAAGCCTAAGTTTGACTGACATATACATGCCTTTGACATAAAAGTTGTCATTTACACAATATTAACTTCTTAGGACACATAAATAAGACACTATTTAAAGCCCATATTTTCTGATTCAACAATATACCTCCAAGAACTCGCCCGACGACGTTCAAAGTACATGAATCGTAGATGCCACATTCAGCCAAAGTGGTTTCACCTTCTAAAGGTTTCCCACCGAATGACAACACTTGATCTTCAGAAGAAATACCCTCCAGATCAGTAATTTGATGTTTCAATTCATCGACGGTCAGACATTCGTCTACCGACAAGACGCTTAATTCAGCGCCCCGAATAAACAGCTGCATCGCTTCGATTGTGGACAAAATCTATACAAAAACAACCAGGAATTAACGCTTAACCTTTTGCTGAGGAAGTACTTGCGAAAATGATGAGAAAAACACAAATATTCTATTAAAAACTAACCTCAATTACACGTGATGGTGCAACTAGAATTTTAGAAAGAAAGAGGAAGCGAACTGCGCATGTTTAGTACTTAGTCCCGATACCCGAGCACTGGACTGAAAAGAACTGGAAAACTGGAACGCTGCCCAGTCTTCTTTTCACAGCGCTCTCCATGACGCAACGAGGGCTTGCGGAGAACGGAACTGACGCGGTTTTTTCGCTATTTTTGAATCTTTTTAAAAAACGGTCAACATGCAAGCACTAGAAACATCTTTAGGTGACGTAAAGGGTGTTCTCCACTGGGTCTTACTTGTTACAATAAAGATTGTGAGAAAAGGTTGGACTTGCCTGAAGTTCTCGAAAGATTTAATTAAACATATTACCACCAAATCAAATGCAATTGATGACCTCGTTTGAAAACAGATTTCATTCTTTCTGGCATTGAACAGTGTTCCGGGATTTTAACCCAGAGGCCAAACAATGCATTCAAATGTTGTTTGCATTTAAAATATAGTGGTTTGTAACTTTGTATATCGTGTAAAAGGGGAAGCAAATTTAATACTTTTGTTTGGCCCCACACATGGACACTGTTTTTGAAGCCAAACGAAAAGGAGGGAAACCGGAGTGCCCGGAGAAAAACCCTCCTGGTGGTCTGCAATATAGCCAATCACCAGGCTGTATCATAGGCTACCGTAATACTGCGGTCCGAATTTGATTATTTTGGTTTTGAAATTATGCAATCGCGAGATGGAATGGGACAGTAGTGTCCCCCCCCGGTTTACTGCTTCACGCTCAATGTTCCCCCCCGGTTTACTGCTTCACGCTCAATGTTCCCGCGTAGTGATTCCCGCGTCATATTTTGCCGGCTGTCAAACGCGTCAGTTTAGTCGCCATGTTGATTCGCCATATTTGATTCTCGCCATGTTGTTTTTTGTCATGAATATTTTTAGGCAGTTCCGGCGTTTATATTTCAGTAATTTTTGGTTATTTCAAAATATTCGTCTGACAAATCCCTTAAATTTCAATGCATTTCCGTGGGGAGATCATGCAATAAACCCCAGGAACAGGTCATTCCGATTAACAAGTGGGAAGCAATGTAATTTTTGGGTTTTTTCAGACGATCCTGGTGGTCTAAAGCAGGCTATTTTTAGGTGAATTTAATTGTACCTTCTTTAATACCTTTTAATTTCCAACTGCGCGCTTTTATGAAGGACATTTTTTCATCATATGCGACTGCTTTACTGGAACACTTTTGTTCTCAGAAAGTTTGATGATATTTGAATAAAATGCGTGTATTATGTCATGGATTTGCATATGCAACTCAAAGCTCGTGATTACGTCAATATATAGGTGAATGATGTGTAATTAATTATGCCTCACACTCAGTCCCTTGCAATTTTGAGCAAGGAGAATTTTGATGAAAACCGTGAACACGATTGTTGAAATGGCAACTTGTTTGTGAAATGTTGTCAAGGGAAACTAATGATTTATCGGAGAATAATACCGAAAAATGGAAAGTAACTCATTGTATTCTCAAATTAATGATCACTGGTGAAAATTCTCAAATGTGAAAATATGCAGCCTAAGATTCGCCGAGTGTGTGGTTAAACTAGCAAGCTGTTTCGACAAACACATCATGAATCAGTGTTATTCTTTCATTTAAAACGACACGTAGACAAGATCACTTCTAATCTCCTCATAAAATCATTCTCGAGGCAAATGTTTTCCCAGCCCTGGTGCTTTGAACATTAAGAAAACACAGAAGATAATACCCAATGTACGGGGACTATAAAATTATTATATTAGAAATACTCCCGTTTTGTTACAAAAAGTGATCAGGGTTGCTCCCCTAATACTTAGCTTTAAAACGTCGACCATATTCTTGATTTTTGGATCATCCACCAAGCGACATTTCTTTCTTTTCGTCTGATCAAACAACGTGATAAGGGAGGGAACCAGTCCGTTCTGCGCATGTGCTGTGTAAGGACCCCTCTTCTAGTGACCAGAGCTGACAATCCTGTTGAATTGTATTCGCATACGCCATCATCCTGACTCTGACAACCTTCGAAGACTCAGAACTAAATTATCAAAAAAAAGTTTAGTACGTTCAATACGGCTGTTTTTAAGTTCTTGTTTCGAGTGAGTTATCAGCTGTTTTTGTTGTTCTATATATCATGCACTCATTCAGGTATATTGTTGGTTGTTGTTGTTAACCGTATTGATCTTCGTTTATATCCAGTCATGTTGTCTTCAGCATGCAGGGCACACCCTCACCCGACGCCCAAACCACTCCCACAAATGGGGGGGGAACTATATCTGCATTTACTCAATGTTCAAAGCAACCAGTTGAAATCACAGGGTGGAACGACCGAAGGAAACCGTGAACTTAATATTGAAGATGAGGAGAGTAATAAAAGTTGATCGAGTCTATGCGTGTGAAATAATTGCGAAATACTTTTTCGTTCATACAAGAAAAGCAACAACTACAGTGAAACGCTTTAATGTTATGAAATCAAGCTTACATGTCCTATAATTTGATTGCAAGGATTTGAAAAGTTCAATTTATCTTCTATCAAAGATTGTGTTGTAGCAAAATCATGTGTGGTTACCGTTGTACGGTAATTTAGTGTAATGCAATATTTTACGGTAAGAAAAAATCTATCCTAGATGATTAAATGTCCTTCAAAATTTCCGCCATTTTTTGCCCAACGGCGTTTATATAACATATATATCCGCCTTGGTTTTTAGATTGCACCGGATGCTGAATTAGATCCGACTTTAACGCGCATGCGCATCGCGCCAACCATCGCGTTACTGCTACGTCATTCATCTTGAAAAGCTATCATCATACTGGTAGCTATCATGCACCGTACACATTAAGATATACAAATACATACGACTTAGACCACCAGGCGATCTCGACTCCAGAACAACTAATAATACCATTCATGCACGACTTCCTAACTTCATGCATTCGTAACTTCTACGAGAGTTCTGAAGTCGACATCCATGCAACAGCAATACCTATAGTAGCTATAGTATAAACCTGTACGAGCTTCTTCTTCATTTGACGTGGCCACTCCATCATCGACGCATCTCTCTAATAGTATCTCCACAATCCAAAGGTCACACATGCGTAGATTAATATTATACTCCAGTATCCACCCTGACTATCTCCACCCAACTTGATATTTTTCTTCACCAATCATCGATACACATCCTGCTATTCCACTTGTAGGCTCCTGGCTTTGTGGCTGTGGAGAGCTCGCAAAGTCACTCGCGTCGTACGCAAATGTAAAATTCTTATGTGAAAAAGGTTCTTATGTCTAGCTTTTTAGGCGAAAATCATCTCATGGAAAGCGTAATTTTTACCAGCAATCAATTTATTGCAACTTATTTCATGAATTGTTGCCATACAGCCAAATTAACTATGATATTTTAATATATAGCAAAGCTTTACTTCCGTGATTGATTTTTATTCGTAGCATGAAAACTGACGTGCACAAAACAACACTGAAGTTCGTTAATTCTAATCCTCATGTTGTCAAAATAAATAAATAAACAAATACGAGAAATATAACTCTGATTCTGTGATATTGCCTTTAAATGAATTGCCTTTAGTTAAAATACGCGAATTTTCCCTCTTGACGATGAAATTTTTGAGACAGTGAAATCGTAATCCGAATCAACAATCAATTTATCGCAAATTAGTTTGATAACTTTTACTCATGCATGCAGCCAAACATGCTTATGTTTTAGTTCAAAAGCTTGATGCTTGATTCAAGCTTTGTTTATTTGAAACAATCGTGTCGACAGACAGCAACACTCAAATGTTCTCTCCTTTTAATTTCTCATGCATCTCGAGTTAAATTTTGAGCGCTTTCACAAGCGGCATTTTGCCTATTTTCCGCCTGTTGAATTGATCACAGGAAATACAAATGAGGGGCCCCTTTCATCTGTATTTTCCGTGCTCAAAATCAAAGGTTGGTCCATGCAACTTTACTGTAAAGCAAAAATTGAAAAATAAGGATTGAACGAGAGTGCATGTGTATAACGTCGACACAATAATGATTTCATGAATAATTTTGGTTTTTAAAGCCCGGCAAATGAACTGAATTGAGGAATTATTCATCGCTCAAACTGCAGGATTTATGAGCGCAATTTTTAGAATTGATTTAAGTGCATTTGCATTCATTTAGTGAGTAACTTATACAGCGATTTAGCCCTGTAAAAAAACAGATAAAGATCATTAGCCATTTCGGTTACTAGTATGAACTATAAGTTTACTGGCTGATAATATGTGTAGCAAACACTCGGTTTTATTTTAGAGCATAAAGGATCGAGTTTGAATGTTTAACGACAGGCTGATCATTTCAAAATTGCGAGAAAAATTCAATGCAAGCAGTTTGCCGGAATACCTTTGTTTAATTTACAGCAATTAAGGCTTGCGACGAGTTGTTCAAATTTCGGAACTTTTCCTGGACGATTTTCTTTCTAAAATAAAGAAGAACATTAACACCAGTAACGTCAAACTTTTACGGAAATCTAAGAGCAAAATCAGCAAGATTTAGGGACGAGATTTCGACTAGAACTCAACTGAGACAACTATCGGCACTTGCTAACTGGATTTGGATATACAATTATTGTGAATATATAAAGAAAAGTATTTAAACAACTTTGCCGTATAATCATTGAGCTAGATTCTTTGGGACAGTTTGTTTAACAGCTCTTTGAACTGAAGTCTTTGATACTAACCTTTTCTGCTCAAAATGTACTTCTTTCTCGAAGACGCCTTGACTACAGTGAAGCGTTTTCTCAAAAACATATATGTTTTATAAGTGTTTGACCAGTACTTCAGTTGCCCCCGCGTGGTACATGCATGAATGATGCTGGTCTTTTATGGGTCCAATTTAGCAAATTAAATCTAGGTTAGGCCCAGTTCATGCGTCGCATTTTCGTCGAATGCAATTCAAACAATAGATAATGAGATGATAAACCTGAATATTATCATCTCATTATCTGTTGTTTGAATCCGCGGCGCATTCTACGCGACCAAAATGCGTTCGTTTCCCCAAATATTTTGATATGGATAACCACGCTGTTTTAATGGTCAAATGCTTGTCCTACGTAAAGTTGCAAGCATGTTTCGTGCTCATATACAAACATTAAACAGTATAACCATGCCTTGGTTATGATGTCAAATATTTTGATATGGATAACCACGCTGTTTTAATGGTCAAATGCTTGTCCTAAGTGAAGTTGCAAGCGTGTTTCGTGCTCATATACAAACATTAAACAGTATAACCATGCCTTGGTTATGATGTCAAATATTTTGATATGGATAACCACGCTGTTTTAATGGTCAAATGCTTGTCCTAAGTGAAGTTGCAAGCGTGTTTCGTGCTCATATACAAACATTAAACAGTATAACCATGCTTTGGTTATGTCAAATATTTTGATATGGATAACCACGCTGTTTTAATGGTCAAATGCTTGTCCTATGTAAAGTTGCAAGCATGTTTCATGCTCATATACAAACATTAAACGGTATAACCATGCTTTGGTTATGATATGAAATATTTTGATATGGATAACCACGCTGTTTTAATGGTCAAATGCTTGTCCTAAGTAAAGTTGCAAGCGTGTTTCGTGCTCATATACAAACATTAAACAATATAACCATGCTTTGGTTATGATGTCAAATATTTTGATATGGATAACCACGCTGTTTTAATGGTAAAATGCTTGTCCTATGTAAAGTTGCAAGCATGTTTCGTGCTCATATACAAACATTAAACATGTTGTTTCAGTTTGACGTTTGTGGAATTTTTGTTCAATTTAGGAAATTCCAGCTTCATGGAAATTTCAAATTTGAAAGTGGTAGCACTGCCAGTAGTGATGACCAACCACTGGTAGGAACCAAAGATCTGGCTCTAAATGTAAGCCAGTATTACCAGCATAAGATGTCTGCTTCAACATGTCTCTCCATGTTACGCTATGTGAACAATGTTTGTTTCAAACGGAATCCTTTAATAACAAATATTTGCCTGTCTTGTTGCATGACTGGTTCGGCAGATTACATTGCACAAACTTTCATTCAGGGTTATGAAATACTGGATACCAAAAGGACACGACATATGGTAACGTACAGTTGTACCACAGCACCACTCTGGCATTTATGGTACAATATGGTTGATCGGTATATCAAGCCATCGAAAGCATGGTTGAAAGTTGCTCTGGACCTAACAACTGTCACACCATTAGACTATATTGGTTTCTTTGCCGTATTTAATTATGTCAAAGGCGACACAGTTGAAGAATGTATAACGGAGTTGAAGCGAGTTTACTTAAAGGCACTAATACCAGATGTCCTTTTTTCACCATTTTTAACCTTTATGGGGTACAAATGGATACCATTACATTATCGCTTTCTATATTTTGAATTTCTGGAACTAGTTTGGGACACATTTTTGTCTTATTTGAAATATTCAGGGAAAGATGAGGTTAAACTTATAGAGACTTCCAACAGACATAAGAGTGGGTCTGTGCAAGAAGTGGATTGGTTGCATGAAGCGCTGTTTGAATAAAATATCATAATTGAATAAGAGGTTATACTAAGTATATCACGGACACCATTGCATACAATCATGGATAATGAAATCAGTCTTTTAACTAACCATGATACAATATGATAACCTCTTTCTAACATGATTGAAGTTCCCAATTAAGGCGCTGCTAACTTTCAAAAAAACTTTGCGCTAAAAGATTTGAATCGAATAATAAAAAATATACAGATTTTATAAAATATAACATATACTTCTTCATGATATATTACTTATAAGACCTTGATCTATTTTATAAACAGTAAATATATATATAAACAATATCAACAATATATAAAATTTTATACAATCTTTTGGAGTGTCTCTGGTGATAACACTGGTGAATGTTGATGATATAAATGTGAAAACAAGTATCAAATGATGAACTGCAAACCAAAGTCATGACAAAGCACCTTTAGTGCAATAGAGTTGATACACAGTCTTGCTAACAGATGGGCCAATTTTCCTAAAAAATGATGAAAGTTTTTAGAGAAATGGTGGTAGTGTTAAAATTTGATCACATTTCCACTACAACTATCATTGGAGGAACAAGAACCAATCAAATGCATTGATTCTATCAGATTAGCCAATCACAATAGGTCTAGCTCATTTCATAGGTCTACCTTTTCATCTTGCCAAACTTTATATCACTGAGCAAAGTCTCTTTCGCTTTTTCTGTCGTCTGTTCTTCGTAAGCTTCTAGTAGACTAAAAAAATCAATACCCGGTTCAAAAACTGAAAGTAGACATTCGTCATCTCGCGAGAAAGGCTGATTAATATGCGGCGTGCGTCACAGACCGCAATTACACCTGGACAAAAATACTTTTGGGCTACTTAGGGTGAAATCGGTACATACTCTTTCAACGTCGGATATTGTTCCAAAATACCAACAACCTTTTCGGCCGCCACACCCGGAATTTGTAACAACTGTTTACCAAAAAGTTCTCCAACCGTTAGAATCTAAAAGAATTGAAATGGTTTAATATTCTCGTGTTTTCCACGCAGAGACCTCTACATCACTTGAACAACACAAGTTCTGAGGATCAACTAACTCGGTTCTTGATGGAAATATCATTAAGTTCTTGAAAAGTCATAAGAAACGTGTTTATCTTGTTCTCCTCAATCTTCACATGTTCAATGTCTTCTCTCCTGATTGCATTCAGTGTTTTATTCTATTTCGCGAAAAATATACACTTGAATTAAACATTATTTATAGGAATTATATAACCCATCTGTTATGATTCACCATGATGGCACGTCACTCGCCTCATAAGTCGTTTGTAAATATCTTGTCATGAGGGTCAAATACGCTGCTGAATCTTTGATATCCCGTGTGCGTTTCACGAAGAATTCTTGACCAATCTGCGGAATTAAAGGCATCATCGTTTTTCTTTTATCAAAATCATCGTCCACAAGCAGTATAGCAGACTCGATAACGGTGCATCTCGGCACGACGGTCAATCACTATTAACAATTCACGGAAGTTGATAAATTCAGATGTCAAGATATTTTTCAATACCTGCGTATTTACGATTGCTTGTTCTAAAGTCTGAGCTGGCATTGACATTAGGTTCATTGAACCAAAATCTTCGACCAAATACACGGGATGTTGCAAGCCGGAGTTTAGTAGACGAAACTGGATAAGAAAGAAAATATTAAATATATGAAGTGTTTACAGTAGGTTGAAAGTCTGAACTTAGAAAAATGCTGCAATGGGCAGATGGCCTCTCTAAGGTAAATGGTAATTGTGGACCAGGCTTAGGGGGGTGATGTAAGCACAATAGAAAGAAGAGAGGGTGGGTTGGTGTCTATGGGGAAAGGGCCTCCACAAAGTACAGCACCTTTTGTTCTTTAAATCGTCCATCTTTAATACTGCTGCACAGGTCATCCATTCTCTTTCTTTCAACAATGTAATCAAGCACTAGTTCTCGTCTCTCAGGCAACACAAGCTGACCTATAAGAATTCCAGAAGAATGTTCACGTGTCTCTCACATGTCTCTCACGTGAACACAGCTTGTCGCTGACGCGCGAAAGAAAACGAGTTGATTTGATTCACCCACCAGGAATGGGGAGAATCTTTTCACGCGCAATCCAGAGGAAATCTCCAACATTCAATTTTCTCACATCAAAATATACGCCTAAAGAAGGATTACACATGATTGATTGTGACCGCCTAAATCTTGGTTATATTTGAATGAAAACTGGATGAAAACTTTAGTCATTAGAGCAACTATTTCTTTGGCTGACCGTTCATTCGAAGTTCTTTCACCATTTCTTCTTTACGGCCTGTTTTAGACCTGAAAAGTTAGAAAATATTAGATACTATCTATAGGTAGTCTTTGCCCACGTAAAAACCTCCGGGGAATTCATTAAGTATCGACAGGTCCGAAGTAAAAAACAAATTTGTGGCAATTGTCTATTAGAAAAGGTAAAGTTATACACACCCTCCTGTTGTTTCAATGAAGTCCACACACAGAACAATCTCGTATGAGCCTTAAAGACGTTAAGAAAATCAATTATGAATCAAATTGTTACTCGGGTTTACATCAGACAATCTCACACTATTGGAAGGGTACCATAGCGGTTAATTTTGTAGCGAAGAGGCATTATTTAGGGAAAGATGAAGGGGAGGCTTCAAGGATAGCTTCTATTGCTTCTCGGCCGTGAATATTACCTGGCTTCAATTGAAATTCAGGCACAATTACTTTCTCAACCTTGTTCGACGTCGCACTAGAAATAAGATGAAATAAAATTTTGAACTAAAGTCAGCATGAGGAGATATATTGTTTTCAAATTCTGGGCTTGCTTGCACACGAGTTTCTGCAAGTCTGATAACGAAAATCCTTGATGAAAACTTGCGAGAGCAACCTACAGTAGTAATGTAGTTTGGTTTGAAGACATTTACCTTTCGCTCGAAGGATCGAGTCCCTTTGTTGTCGCTAAAAGACTTATGGATTTCTCCTTTGGTGGTTCTGAATGAGTAGACGTTTTTGATGGTTCTATGTCTAGTGTTAAAGGTTGTTTTTCCTCAGTGTCCAGTGTTATCTGAACTGGTCGTTTTGCCTGAGTTGGTTGTTTTTCATGGGTATTTAATGATTTCGTTTGAGTCGTCATTAAGTTTGTTTCAACAACTCGAGTCGACCGTTGCGTGGTTTGAGATGGCGGTTTTTCTTGCCCAGGTACAGACAATGCCGCTGAGGATGGTTTTAAACCAGTCGTGTTTGATTTTGAACCACTTGGTCGTGATGTTGTTGATGATTTGGCTCGATTTAGTTCAGTAATTGAAATAATTTCTGGCTTTTCAACAGACGAGGATGCACTTGCGTTCTTGGGAAGAAAATGAAATTTCATCTTAATGATAAAATATCCAAAAAAAACAGTATAAATATGTACTACAAAGTTAGTTTAAAATGAAATTTCATCTTAATGATAAAATATCCAAAAAACCCAGTAAAAAAATGTACTACAAAGTTAGTTTAGTTTAGGTTTTCTTCTGATAGAGCTATCCGGTATAAATAAAGTTAGTTTAGTTTAGGTTTCTTCCTGTAGTAACGCTGGATCAATAGGAGAGACAGAATGGAATATTACCGTTTTTTCACAGTCGCTCTGGGCACCAGCGAGTCGTTCAAACAACGGCCTCATAAGAATCTCATCGTCGCTGTCATCTTCTGCTTCGTTCAACATCGTAGTCGTTATGGCTGAAAATGTTGTACAAAAAAATACGCTTGACTTTAAATGCTTTTGTTCAACTGTCACAAAATACAAACAGAACCTCATACCAGACGGTTTCTTTTTTGGCATCGCCAAGGTAGTGGATTCTGAAACCTGTGATAACCTCTCAATACTCTGACTATCGACATACGCAAAAATGTAACCATCTTTACCGGGTCTAAACAAAAATACATTGATGGAGATAGCTAAATAAGATTGATAATTGCATGTACAGCCTGGTAGACTGCAATAATGTGTGCAAAACTGACTATACAGTGTGAGTGTGTTTATCCAGTGAAACCTGGGGTCAGTGGGTGGAAGCCAGTTAAAGCTTCGAAGTAGGAAGGAAGAGTCATTGGGAAGGGTATATGCTCTCAGTCCCCTCCCCTCCTGGGATTTTACACCCCTGTCTAGGGTAGGGGGGGAACCTAGGATGCTTGTGGTATTTACCGTGACTCATCAAGTTTGTATTTTACTTTTGACTTGTCCAGTTCAAGCTTCTGACACTTTATTAAATATCCAAATGATATCTCATCTAGAAATTAAAAGACAAGGATTTGATGAAGGTGGGGCAACATTCAAATTTTATCAACCATCCTGGAGCAACGTACCATCTATGATCACACCAGCCATATCTTGATGGTCAACACACTCACCATCACTTCCAACATACCAAAACTTTAGCGACCTTAAATTAGTGAAATCATTACGCTGTGTGAAATATACAATCATGGTAACTTAGTTTAGGTTTTCTCCTGTAGTAACACTGGATCAATACGAGATGATCCTTACTGGACCTCTAGGAAGAACAGTTTAGAACTGATAGAGCTATCCAGTATAAAGTTAGTTAGTTTAGTTTAGGTTTCCTCCTGTAGTAACACTGGATCAATACGAGATGATCCTTACTGGACCTCTAGGAAGAACAGTTTAAAACTGATAGAGCTATCCAGTATAAATAAAGTTAGTTTAGTTTAGGTTTCCTCCTGTAGTAACACTGGATCAATAAGAGATGATCCTTACTGAACCTCTAGGAAGAACAGTTTAGAACTGATAGAGCTATCCAGTATTAATAAAGTTAGTTTAGTTTAGGTTCCCTTTTGTAGAAACACTGGATCAATACGAGATGATCCTTACTGGACCTCTAGAAAGAACAGTTTTGAACCCATGTAAGACAAGTTATTAAGCTCTGAGCCTTACCCAACTTGGTTTGGCATCACCTCGGTCCCGGATGTTTTATATCTGTATGAAGCCAGGAAATCTTTTGAGGGATTTCCATATGGATATTCTGAATTAGGACTGTCATTTCCAGTCACAACATTGATGCTAGGACTGTCCATACTAGTTATGGTGGCTGAAGGTGTGCTGGGTTTTGGAGTGGCCTGTGATCTAGGCGTGGCTGCATGTGATTTGGAGACCTGTGGTGATCTCAGGGTGGAGGGTGGTGAGATGGGATTAGTTGGTAGTTGGGGTGAGGTTGGGTAAGGTGAGCCTATGGTTGTGTTGTGTGTTTCTGTAGCTGTTGTTAACTTGTTACAAAGAGCATATCCTGCATCTGTTAGGGAAAATCTGAAATGAAAAGGGAAAATGCAAGCTATGAAAACAAATTCCATCAAAACTTACAATCACAGCCACCATATTTTTATCATTACCTTGCTGGGTTACCAGCTTTCATCACAAATCCTTTCTTAATCAATGTTGACATGGATGACCAGGCTGTGTAATAAGAATCTGGCTCTGGCTAACAAAATTTATATAAAATAACTTTATTTATACTGGATAGCTTTATCAGTTCTGAACTGTTCTTCCTTGAGGTCCAGTAAAGCTCATCTCTTATTGATCCAGTGTTATTACTACAGGGGAAACCTGAACTAAACTAACTTTATTTATACTGGATAGCTCTATCAGTTCTAAACTGTTCTTCCTTGAGGTCCAGTAAAGCTCATCTCTTATTGATCCAGTGTTATTACTACAGGGGAAACCTGAACTAAACTAACTTTATTTATACTGGATAGCTCTATCAGTTCTAAACTGTTCTTCCTTGAGGTCCAGTAAAGCTCATCTCTTATTGATCCAGTGTTATTACTACAAGGGGAAACCTGAACTAAACTAACTTTATTACAGAGATGGTATAACTATATTTTGCAATCCTTACAACTGTGAATGATGTATCCGTGAATGGCTGTGCTTGCTGCTGTAATTCTGCCTTGGTCAAATACCCCTTGTAACCAATTCTCTTTAAAATATATCAAAGAAACAATTAAAGTGGAAACAATTAAAGCCTAAAGGTAACATGAATTCACCACTACCTCACTAGCTTTCAACAAAGCCATCATCATAGCATATGGACCACTTCTGTACAGTGGAATATACTCCCTTGGACTAGACTTTCGTTTCTAAAATTAAAGATCATACTTTTGGCATTTTGTTTTCCCACTATGAGTAAGATTGATTGACTTTTTGTTACCAAAATAAAATGATTAACAAATTAAGACAACATTGAGGTCTTACTTTTTTAGGTTTTGGTTCAGTTGACCCAGTTTTAGGTGTACCATTGCTAACAGGTGACGTTTGGACCATATCTGTTGGTAGGGGAACTCTCATGTCGGGAAAATCAACCTCAGCAACATCATCGTCAGCCACGTCTAGTACTACTGAGCATGCAAGATCAAAATGACTTGTTAGACAAAATAAAATGCTAAATCATATATCAAATTAAATGAGAAATAACTGTAGACTATCAATGCCCTAACTTATTCTGTTAACCCATTTTCTGGTACATAACATGTTCAATTAATTACCATTAGCATTTTCCTCTGTTGATATATTGTTAACTTATTTATGGATAAAAGTAATATATAATGGAAACTGATATAATGTTCAAAATGAGCAGAATGAATCACTCTGTTTACCCTCATTTTTGAGTTCCTGATTGTGCTTCTCCAATTCTTCATCCAACCTCTTTGCAATACCAGGTCCTGGTGGTAAAAATCAAGAGTTATTGACACCCATTTGCTGTGAGTGGTACCAGGTACCCATAAATATGCAACTGCATTTTGAAGCATTCCTCACCAACGCCATCCAGGATTGTGGCTTCTTTGCCACTTTCAAGAGGTAGTGGATACTTCTTAAGAGAACTGATTGCCTGGGGTATTCACATTCAATAAAAGCAGAGCTAAATATTATGTTTGATAATAAAAAATACACCCAGGTAAATCAACCCAGCATTTATCTCCAAATGGGAGAGGTGGGATCGAAAATTGGGATTCATATAGGTTAAGCATTACAGCTCTATTTCATACGAGTAATATTGTGACACATTTTTAAAATCTTGGCCGTGGCAGCTTTTCATGAATTGGAGGTGCATATATACACTCTACATCTTCTGTAGTGCAGTGTCCATTGAAGACTTTCGAATCTATATTCTTGTTCATAATTCATTATTTAATATTTACACCTATTGCATACGATTGTTGAGTGAAAACTTTGTATACATTGAGGTATGTCCCAGCAGAAAAACAATCAAAACATCCCAAATTACGCGATAGAAACTACATTGACTTAATGCACATTGCACGTACCTTGTTGTAAACATACTGCAACTTGGAATCTTTTGCCTTCGCTTCGTCTCTCCATCGCTCTAACCATTTGAGAAATAAAGGATTTGGACATTCCTTCACCGTCTTTCTCTTCCTGGTTGCCTTCGGACGCCGAGGATTCCCGTTCATTTTAAAAACATGTGCTTTTCATCTGGAAATATTTTTTGAATTTTGACACCATTGCAAGCCTTGCGTGACGTCATCCACACATCATGTAACAAATGATTGTAACATTCATATCATTATGGTGCTGGTATTTACTGTGTAGTTTGTCCCAATTGCAACTGGTATATCTTTCAGAATGAACGAGATCAATATATGAATTGCTCATAGTGTTTTTGGGTTGCCAATCAAAGCTTATTCAATGATTGAAAGGGTTCTAACAAAGTTGCTTTATACTGTTGGACAGATTGGGCACTTTGGATGTGTGTTGTATGTCATCAAGAACTATGTTGTTGAGCCCACCTTGGTATAATTTTTATTTAATACTATATTCTACTGCGGTGTATCTCTTTCTCCAACTCTTTTCCCAACATATTCACTTGCCCTCAAGCATAATTCATGCAATATAGCTCTTCCCAGTTCCCAGTTGTTGCTGGGTAGAAAATTTTGTAATAATTTTATTTATTCATCCACATACAGTGTTTCGGCACATCAATGCAGCCTACAATAAACTCCTCATCAAAAAACGATGTTGTATTAACTGAGCACTTGTCTTCTCTGCACAATTTAAAAAAGTAAGTGTATTTTGTCACATCAAATGTTCTGTTCTGGGTAATCATACCTGAACAACAGTTACCTCTAAACAGCCATCACTATCTTCTTGTCCACTTCTAGAAATGACATTGTAATTGTCCGGTCTCCCAAGGAACCAGATTCTACAATTTGTAAAAGGATCACTGGGCTGGTAAGAGGTGATACTAGGAATTGGTTGAAGCTAATAACCTCATTCTGTGCATCAACAGAGTTGGATACCTCAATGGATTTTTTTTGGCTAAAAATTGTTAATGGCGTTTAAAGTATCTTTAATCAATCCAATGCAAGCATTTGTAATTTGTTTGTGTAACAAGTTTTAAATGTGTTTTGCTGTTTTTAGGAAGGCGACATGGTTGAAACATATGTGTCTGATTCATCTGAATATAAAAAGATTCAGGTACTAGGATCTATTGAGTTGATGAGCTGATGAGAATGGCTCATTCTGTTAAACGCGTTTTGTGAAATATCACTAAATATCACTAATCAATTTCCCGCGCGTTCGCGATGCGCACCTACTCTTACAATTTGAGATGACAAAGTGGTAATTGTGATCATTGCAGGTTCCTAAAGGACACGTATGGTTGACAGGGGATAATACGAACAATTCAGTGGACTCAAGGACTTATGGTCCAGTACCTTGCGGTCTTATACTCGGTAGAGTTTGTTACAAAGTGAGCTTCAAATTTGTGTTTGGAGATGGCCTACATTAAGTCTGCTAGTTTAGAAAGACAACATCTTAGTCTGACCCTCAGCCACCTTAAGAAAGCTCCTAATGTTTCGATCTAAGCCGAGATTTCGTTTCATACTAACTCCCCTGACGATGCCGGAGTTGTAATTTGCATTTGAAGAGTGTCTGGTGTTGATGACACTTGATTTCTTGATGAAAGTTGAAAACATACGTTAGTTAGAACAGAGAATAAACTTTATATCTTATATTATTCAAACCTTATATTATTTAAGAATGCTCAGGTTTGATCTGGCATCACCAACTGGTACAGATATTTCGGCCAGTTAAAATCATTTGGCTTTTGTGGTGACTAATAGTTCATTTTTATTGTATGAATAAATATCTCATCACTTCTTTCCCACTATTATTTTAGTTGTATCCCATCTCCGAATTTGGTCCTCTCACTTGAAAGTTCTGAAGAAGATACGAAAGATCCAACTAATATGAAAAGAAAGATGAACAATAAACAATATAATGTCAACATTGCGAAATTTTAGAATCCCTTAACTTCTTGACGTAATTGTTTTTAATGTGCCCTTGAGCTTGGAACATGTACCTTAGGAACAGGCACAGAATGGCACCTAATCTTGCTTAGGTTGCATTCACAATCCGGATATAGACACAATAGATAAATCATATTTTCCACACTGTACCACGTACGCTGAGTCGTTTACATATTGACACAAATTTTGTGTTTGAATACTTTGCAATCATAAAAGATCTCGTTCAGTCATTTTACGTGCATCTTTCCTTGAAGTAACAACTCCAAACAGCAAAGAATTTTAGCCTCCCAACGGGTATAATAATGAAATAACTTTGAGAAAATCTTAAAGCGAAAAGGTTGTAAACAAACCTTTGTTCATTTTAAGGCTGCAGATATCTATCATATAGAGGTCCTTCTGGAAAGCCCTGTCCTGATAATATTTTTTTAACTGGTTACATAGATCTGATATCATAGTATTTTGTAAATAGAGTAATTTTCAAATGGATTTTACCGTATCGTCTTGACAAAATATAAACTTTCTACAAAATGTCTCGTAGTTTATTTCTACAGAAATCTCAAATGAAAAAATGAAAAAACATTAACATTGTTTGAAAATTAGATAGACAAAACTACCAGGGATGGTGGTGACCTTATCGTCTAGTGCCTGACGCCCTGATTGGTGAAGTATTTTGCAATATATGTTATTTTTGTGTGGAAGGCTATATTTCATTTTGTACATGGCTATTCCATTTTAGCTTGTGAGCATGAAAGAAACTTGTGTCACTGTGATACAATTCCAGAGCCGCACACTAAAATAGTTTTCAATCAAAAGATAATTCAGTTAGTTAAGTTTAGATATAAATGAACTATTCTGGTGATCTGATCCACTCTCATCTTCATTTTACTTCGATTTTTCCACCACGAGAAAGAATTGAAATTTTTGAGCAGAACTCACTAGAAGTATGTCCCCTCCATTTGCACTAGTTTCAGTTAAGTTGCTTTAAAGACACTTCGCAAATATAAACAAAATCTTCCATGGTCTAGATTATTCCTTTAAATCCAAACGCCTCAGGCCAAAATACAAATCAAGTAAAAGCCTGTTTAAAAACGCACTTCGAAGTAGACAAAACTCGAGAGACAAGACGTTGTGGCCTTGACTCACAATGGCATGGACTTTACACTTCAATATCCTTCTTCGGGGACAAATTCCAGTCACCTGACCAGGGATGGGTTGGTATAAAATCAGTTGTTCGTCGAGGCTTCTGTTAAAGGTTGGAGAACTCGACTGGTCAATATGAAAGTCTTGTGTATTCTTCTCCTTTGCCTCACGGCGGCTGGTAATATATTTCATTTTCATATTTTTATCTTAGATGTATACCATGTCAGGTTTTGTACAATATTTCGTTCCAGCTAACCATCTGAAATAATTCTTTTTTTCTTTTTTAGCGGCCATCCGTCTTGGTATGTATATTCTAAACTACGGGTCGATTCATCTTTCCATGACCATAATAACACTGGTTCAGTTTAGAACTGATACAGTTATATAAATAAAGTTAGTTTAGTTTAGGTTTCCTCCTGTAGTAACACTGGATCAATAAAAGATGATCCTTACTTGACCTCTAGGAAGAACAGTTTAGAACTGATAGAGCTATCCAGTATAAATAAAGTTAGTTTAGTTTAGGTTTTCTCCTGTAGTAACACTGGATCAATAAGGGATGACCCTTACTGGCCTCTAGGAAAAGAACAGTTTAGAACTGACAGAGCTATCCAGTATAAATGGAATTAACTTGCGATTTGGTTCGACTTGGGTATGAATAATATAATGATATCACTGTTGACGCCATTCACTTTCAGGATTCAAACGTGGTAGACGATACACATATGCGTACGAAGGATGGGTTGCTCAGGGAATCGCCGAAGCTCTCGAAAAGGATTTGGCTGTAAAGATCGCAGCAAAAGTTCACTTTGATTACCTCTTGAGTGGCTTGGTTAGATTGACGGTAAGCAATTCAGCTTGTCGATCATTGTATATGTCAAAAATTCCAAATTTTCGATTCGAGAATGGAGTTCACCTTTCTTTATTCCTTATATAGTTAGAGGAAGTAAATCTGCTGAAAATTGCGGACAAGGTTTTGTACAATGATCGACTCGAAACAATCGTTGGCCGAGGAGAGCGTTTGGAAAATGTGAAAACTGCTCTTGTCAAAGCATGTTTAGGATCACCAGTCAAGTTTCGATTCAAACGCAATTTGGTTGAAAAACAGATTATCACCGAACATGGTGTCCCGGAATGGTGTTTAAACATTCAGAGAGCCATTATTAACCAGTTCTATCTGCCGATCAGGGATAATGTTCTGAGGTATCAAATCCGAATAAATGAGGTAAGAGTGATATTGATTATGAGAAGAACGTCGAATAGATAAATTGTTAAAGTAGGTTAGTTTGGTTCTTAAATTCTTGGTTTAAGGGGTTTAAGAGGTTGATTAGGATCGTTAATCAAAGACGTTAATTAGGAATTAACGATTAAGGATTTCAAATGAAGTATATTAACGAATGATGTTGTTATTAAGTGCTCTATGACGAAGGTCGTCGTTTTTTTTTCAGATCTCTTGTCTTGGAAAGTGCCCAACACATTACACGATCATACCTTTGAGGCGCTACTTCAAATACAAAGTAAAACGAGCCATTGGTCTTTCACGATGTTTTTATGTGCCATATATCCTCCGTCTCAGCATGCCCAATACAGATGCGTTCGTAATACCAAAACACGTAAGTAAACATTGCTACCATATTATATTGTGAGGGTCTTTTAGTAAACATTCTTCAAAGATTCTTCGTGCTGTTTTACCGCTGCATTTTCACGCACACATGCCAGCGTTCGTAAGAATTTTGAAAAGGTATAATGAAAACTAAGGGCCTGTTTACATGGAGCGAGTTATCCCGGCTAGGCGAGGTAAAAAGTGCATCAAAACAAAGGCTTAACCTGATTAGTCGTTCATTGTATGCAGTTTTCATCTCGCCAGTGAATTCCAAGCGATCCGCCGCAAAACACAGCAATTGAAGACAGCCTTCAGTTGTTCTAAAAAATTATCAATGGCCAACTCTTTTTATATGCAATCATTACTTAAAAACCCGCGAGAATCCCAGTTCAACTTTTCCAACGTAATTTCTGACTGGTTTTTACACACTTCATTTCTCCTTTAAAAACACAGGGCCGGGGAACAGCGAAAATGTTGAATAACTTCGAAAGAAAGGCGGCGTACATGGACTACGACCTAGCCGGGAACATGAAGGATGGTTTCATCATTTATCAAGTTGTCAGCGAAAACGTGGCAGAGCTTACGTTGAACGGAGATGAATACCAGGCTGGAAAGATTGTAGCAGCCCACTCAAAGTACGAATTCGCTTGTCTCATATCTTCTTATGGGATTCTTAGATTTTGAATTTGATAGAATTCTACTATCAGCTATCAGAATGCATAATGTTGAAAACATTTTTAAAAGAGTCCACGACTAATCGAGGATTCAACACAAAACAGTCTAGATATAGGAGGTTGTTTTGCTAATATTGTAAAAATGATGCGTTCGTTTCTCGTATTGTAAACTTTCACATCCCTACTCTATCTTTCTTCGGAGTCGCGGTGTATTAACTTCTAACAATTTCTCTCGTCTGCAGACAGACTTTGAAGCTTTTGGCCAAACACAGGCGAATTCCACCACAGCCAAAAAGTATGTTTGTGTTCAACTAGGAACCTCTCAAATATTTCTCCGTGTTCATAAATATCACTGGACAATAAGTTGAAATGCATCCAAAGTCAACCGGGTACACACAACGTTTACAATTCTCCATTTTGCTTTCTTGCAGAAATCAAGGTTGAAGTGAAACGCAAAGGTTTGATGTTTGTTATGGATTTGGCAGAAGAACGTATGAAAACTCCAGGTGCCCAACAACGTATTTACGAGAAGGTAAAAACGACCGAGGACATGCTGGGACTGTCTTTTGCGGCTGCCCTTTGCCAATAAATAACAATAAAATATCACTCACAGCCTAATCTTCGTTTTTCGTGCAAGGTTTTCTTATAATTATGATGCTTGACTTTTCGTGTAAAAGCTAACTGATTATTGGAAATACGTGGACCTGTGCGTACTTATTTATTTAAGAAAACCCTTCGTGTATTTGCTAAGGTTGAGTAAATGTTTTCCTTTCAAAAGATCTGCCCCAAACGACCTAATATGCTTCGGGCGCATCCCTGGTTGTTGATATGAAAATGAGCTATGAATTCAGCGTTTCTTTAGGAAAACAAAACCCTCTATTGCTTCCACGACCTTTTCATACTAAGCATAAGTTGGTCCAGCATGAAATATTTACTTTGACAGGTCAGTGCGTACATCAGCGCCATCGAGGAAATGGTCACTGATGATACCCTTGCAGCCGAAACAGCGATGAAGATCACAAGACTGGTGTCCAAGCTCCGACACTGCACGCTCGTCACTTTGAGAAAAGTTGTCTTGGATATCGAAAAAATCACAAAAGAAGACGTGAAGTGAGCCTTAGAACTATCGCTGGAGTGGGAGAGAGGGGGGGATGGAGAGAAGGGTGGTAGGAGGGGCTGATAGAAGGGGGCGGATAGGAGGGAGGGGGGAAGAAGAGGGGGAGATGGAAGGCGGAGTGGAGGGAGCGGTGGATAGGAGGGAGGGGATGGATAGGATGGAAAGGGGGGTGGTAGGAGAGGTGGATAGGAGGGGGAAGGTAGGAGGGAAGGGGGGAAGAGAGAGAAGGGATAGTGGAGTGGGGGATCATGCGAGAAATTAAAACCTCTGATATTTTCATCTGTATTTAATTTCATCTGTAAAGACGTGTCCTGCTTGGCGCTTTGGCTCAAGTTGGAACTGAACCGGCCGGCATTGCTCTCAGAGAATGCGTCATCCAAGGAAAATTCATCAAACAACTGCCTGAAATTACATTTGGTGTAGGATGGGTCCGTGGTCTGAACACTGCTTTCATGAAACACGTTGTGGTAGGTAGACAATATATGGCTTCTAAAATATCACAAAGTACACTATATTGCGCACGTTTTGACGTTTTATTCGTTCTCGCAGGCAATATGTCGCCATCAACATGTCGTGAATGACGCCAAAGCTTGTCGTAACTGTTGGTTGAGCTTCGGTACCCTGGTCAATCGGCTGATGGTTCAAATGAGGGCTGATAAGAGAATGCGTTTCAATCCGCAGTTAATTTTCTTCAAACATCAGATTGCTAAGGTATCTCTTCTAGATCTTGGGCCTCTAGGAAAAACAGTTTGGAACTCGTAGAGCAATCCAGTATAAATAAAGTTAGTTTAGTCTAGGTTTTCTCAATAGGAGATGATCCTTACTGGATCTTTAGTTTAGAACTGATAGAGCTATCCACTGGTTTAAAGGAAGATGATTCGTACCAGAGCTGTAGGACGGAGAGATCAATTCAGTGAATATTAAAATAATTTCGTCAATTTTTTTCTTCGCTTACTAGGTCCTCATAGATGGCATTCTACACCCTATTGACGCCGATGCAAAAGTCACATTTGTAAAGGCGATTGGAAATGCTGGATGGACGACAATGGATGTGTTCAAAGTCGTTCGACATCTTATCATTTGCCCAACGACTCCACTACATATCAAAATACATGCTGTCTGGGCCGTTAGACATATGGTCAGAGTCGTACCAATTCTTGTAAGTATACACCTCTAACACCTCATGTAAGTTTTCTTTCATGGTACCCAGGTGGAAATGGGGGATTTTGCGCTCGTGGTGCCCGTGCATGCATTTACGAATGTTTTCAGCACGAGAGCATTTGACATTTAGTATTGAAGAGGAATAAAAAGGAAAGAATAGAACATCTGGTTTCAGGGATTGAGTCGTTTCCACATACAAGTCGTTTCCACATGATACAAACTTCCTCCCATTCCGTAAAGCAATGTTCTCATCCCGCCGAGGACTCTGACTCTTTAAACTGAATCAATCCGCTGAAATCTCTTTCTTCTAGATTCGTCGAACGCTGTTGCCTGTTCTCGCCAACCCACTGGTAGATCCGGAAATTCGGGCCTCGTGTTACAAGGTCTTAACGCGGGTTGACCTAAACTTAGCGACCTATCAAATATTAGCTGGAGTGCTTGCGCGGGAAGCCATCGCCCTTGGACCTCGCAGCAACCAATTTGTTTCCTTCGTCGTCAGCGACCTGCGAACTTCGATCAATTATGATAACATCGATAGAGTCAAGTACGTGAAGTGAACTGAGAGTTGAACGCTGTGGCGATGGTAAAATCTTTGTTTTCATTGCGATTTTACTTTCTTTCTTTTCCAATCAAGGGCATCTCGTGCGAGACTACTGCTTCGTATTATTCCTCGTGCGATATACTTCAATCTCCTCTCATACTCCAAAGCAGTAAACCTCCCGATTGATGCAGGTAAAGGAAGATTAGTCATTAATTCATAGCGATGCATGAATCCGGCAAATGCGCCTGTGCCGAGCACGATCTGGTGCACGCGTTTACCTTTAAAACCACTTGCAGAAAAGCAATGAATCCAGGCTATCCAGCTCCAGGCTAGATTTCGAAGAAGGCAAAAGAATAGAATCTAACACACCACATCTAGAAAGAGTATCCTGGAATAGTAAAAAAGTTTCCAAAAAGAAGATGCTTAGAGCAGATTCCTGCTTGTAATACAAATATTATACAAAATCGTTCAACCTCGAGCAAGAAGGATCAGTTGTTCGTCGTTCACTCGTGAATCTAATCTTGACAAGAAATTTGTTTTAAACACCGCAGGTAGTAACATGGGTGTTGAGTTGCGACTACACAATATCATTGGAGCACAGTCGTTCATACCAAGACACATTCACACAAAACTGAAGGTGAACATGCCCGGTATTTCAGCCGACTTCTTCGAGGTATGAATATCTATCACATCTTTGAATCGCGTTTTGAAGTTTACTTTCTGTATACAACATACTCAGCATTTTTTTCCTCTTCCAGTTTGGAGTTCGTATGCAAGGAATCCATGATATCCTTCAAACAGTGATGGGACCTAAAGGGAACCGACAGAAGAGATCCCTCGATATCCTTAAATACATCTTTGGAGAAAAGAATGAGAAGGAAGAAGAAGTAGAACCGGAAAACTTGAAATATGCGGTACGCTTCCATCTTTAGATGATCAATTTAAAAATGTTGTGAAATGTGTAAAATAAAGCCCTGTCAACCTCGCCTGCGCATTTCAATGTACTTGCATTAATATCAGTAAAATGACAACATTCCAGGCCAAACGAATTAAGATAGTTTTCTTCAATCAATTTGTTTCATTTGTAGAGGAAACTCCTACCCAGACTGGAAAGTTACATCAAATTTTACGGTTCGGAGGTCTATTGGGGTAAGCTGGGTAAAACCGATCTTATCAACATTATTCATGATGCGCTGTTTGGTGGAAAAACTACCAAAGAAGGAGGTAAGCGAATACAAGAAGATATCTTAAAACACAAGGTCCAATTCCTGGAAAGAAATGAAAACTTTCCCCTGTAGGACGGCAGAGAAAAGGTAACGCTGTAACCACTTCATCTGCTTTATAATATTCCAGGTTGCATATTCAAGGCAGGCGAGATCAGTTGCAATATGCCGTTCATCAGAGCTCATATGGTTAGCGAGAAACGTTACATTGTCCCAACACTCGTTGGCATACCTCTGAAGTACTCAGCGAAGGTCGCTGCAGTCATCAAGACGCGTGTTGTTGCGAATGTAACTGGAACCATCGCCAAACTCGAAGACATAAAAGCGAGAGTCATTATTAAGCCAACGTATGTTTACAGCCTTTCTTTTATTTGGCTACTAGTAATGGGTCAAAGTTTCAAAGTGATTGGATAGTTCCGTCTTTCTGCTGTAGAATGATGAACAGCTATCGTATGCATCTACCACCACAATCATCTCAAAATATAAGATATGCTACACTACAATTCAAAAGCAAAACTAGCTTTCCAAAGTTTGAAAATCTATCTTACAAAGTTCCGTTAATCTACTGAGTTGAATCGTCTATACCTTTACCAAGAGTGTTTGTAAACAAGTTTAATGTATCTTGTGTCGTTTCATTCGTTACAGGACCTCATTCCACATGCACAACAAAGTAGGAATATGGCTGCCAATCTTCGAAACTAGCGTAATTGTTAAACATAAAATGTTCTCGGAACCGAATATTGATTTTGTTCTCTCAATCACACCAAATGGATTCAATTTAGAAGCACCGATCACCACTGCCGCTCAAAAGCTTCTGGTATTGAGGTAGGTTGGTCAGTCCTAGACAACAGCCAAACCCTACTATACCATGTCATACTATAATGCACCATAACATACCATATAATGTACCATAAAATACCATACAACCTTTTTGCTATGTCATACTAGTGATACTACCATATAAAGTGTAATACCATATGTGCAATACATAGTATACCATATACCATGGGGTACCAATATATACCAAACCATAATCTATAACAATTATGATTTTTGGCACTTCACTCGATGTGGATAAATTGAGGTTGAAAGGGTCTTAATTTCGAGTGGTATTATACACACTTCACATTCAAGCCAGGAACAGTTGAGGGGGAAATGAGTCAACTATCGGAACCTACGCTTTTGCGATGCCGGTGCAGAGGACATACTCTATAGCACATCACAATTATACCATCCACATACTAAACCATAAAATACTATTATCATATAACAAGAGGTATCATACATCATCACATTCTTTTCATTCATTATTCAGGCCTCTCGTGAGAGGTTTAATGCGCACAGAAGTCGTTGCTGGAGACAGCCAGTGGAGTGAGATTGATTTGATGTTGATGAAACGTGGATTCGTTACAGTAAGTCGAGCAACTAGAGACCCTTAGCTTGGCGTTTACGACACACCTTCAACCGCAATTCTTAAACGGTTCTGAAGTCTAGAAAAATTGATGCAATGCAATATGTTTCAACATAAAGTAATCGCTGAGGCAAATTTTAGCGGAAAAAGTGCGAGCAAAATCTACCTTGAAATGGGGCTTAAATTACTCGTTAGCGGTTCGTCGTATTGGTTAAGGTTTTTACTATAAAGTTTAGTTAATTCAATGATCATGTACTTGCTGTAATGTGTATGGCGTCTCTTCACAGGTTCCGCAGAAATGTCTTGGCGAGCAGTACTTGAACGTAATGTTGTGCAAGCGAGGTTATATTGTCGATCCAGAATACCTTCGTTTGAAACTCCTACCAACCTTGCCGTATTACTGGCTCAACACCTGGGATGTTGTAATAAAGAAGGATACGGAAAATGTCCCAAAGAAGTTAATTATTGGATACACGACAAACACCAACGATGAAAGTAAGTTTGTAGAATAATATCGATTGAAAATATATTCTAGAACTGGTAAATGATTGAGAAGTATCCGTGTGAGTATTTTTGATTAGATGAGACAGAGGTCGGTTTGCCGAAAAAGGTGGTAAACATTTAACTTATAGTTGGTGACGGAATAGGACAATCTGATTGGAGCTAAGATTATGATTTAAACGTTATGCAAAACGTAGTTTAAGTTTATAAACAAATATTTAAACCTTCCAAACCTTCGATATTAGTAAGGTCATCAGCCGCGAAGCTGTTTAACCCAACTAAACCTTGGTATTCTAGAAGAATATACCGCAATGGGAAAAATAATGATCGAAGGAAAGAGGGATACAAAGGTGACAATGAATCCAATTTGTGACAAGAAGAAATTGACATGTACTACGAATTGGGTGTTCCAACACAAGAAATGCCCCGCGGGCTGCAAGGCTACCACTAAAATTGATTACACACAGAAAAACAGAGTGGAGTTAAACACAGAATATGGCGGAGGCAAGGAATTGAACAACGAGATTTTGGTTCAGAAGCAAGGAAAAGTGTTACGCGTTGTCAACACATGGAATGAAGTAAGCTAGTTTTTTCTCTCTTCAAATGCATCTCTTATCCATCTCAGGCACCTCTTATCCATCTCAGGCACCTCTTATCCATCTCAGCCACCTCTTATCCATCTCAACCACCTTCTATCAATCTCAGGCATCTCTTGCAATATTCCGGGCTGATTCCGGCATAGGCGAAACATTTGTTCCATTGTGCAGAGGTGCCCGACTGCCCGTGGAATCAGGCTTTTCTGCTGTGTTTTTATCCAGACGAGAAAGAATAAATTTGTAAACTAACAATAATTACCGACGTAAACTTGTAAACTTGAGAAATTAGTAAACCTAACAAGCTGGCGGTGACAACATGTTGTATAATTAAGAAAAATTCAAATCAACACGGGCAAAAACAGATAATCCTCAATTCGTCTTGGCATCTATTTCCGGCAACAACTATCATATTCTTACATAAAATCTTTTTCTATTTTAGTTGCCACAATGGTTTCTGGAGTACCTTCGTTTAAACCGCGTCAGCATCATCACATATCTCCACCGTTACTTCGGTATCGAGGAAGTCGAGAACACAGAAAAACGTTGCGACATCCAAGTTGATTTGGTCAACAAATTTCTTGCCGACATCTTCGTCAACACGACAACAATGAATCTTCGTCGTATCAACCAGAAACTCCCGATTGCCGTGGAAGATTTCTATATCCAGAACAGACTTGAAACGATGATGAAACTCTATGGTAAACTTTGGTTTATGCATTGTAAAGTTTTATGCATTTTAAGAAAATACGCAGTCCCAAACTTATATTCACTAGAATTTGAATTCTGCAAATACAAAACCATTGCAAAATGATACAACCGTCCAGTATCTGAATAAAAGCTGATAGATGAAACTGGACATAAGTTATTTTCCTCTTGTAAAAACAAAATGAATATATTGCTCGTATATTGCTCGTATATTGCTCCATTCGTTCATATCCGTGACAAAAGAAACGCAGGCCTTAATCCTTTCTTTTTTGAAAATTAGGACATTGTATGGTCAAAAACACGAATTTTATTAAGACCACAGACGGGGTGATCGTTAAGGCGGAAATACCAGGCCCCTGTCCGTTTGTCCTGGCAGAGGACGCCAGAGGAGAGGAAGTTAAATGGCGAATTATGTTGATGAAGACTACCGCGCGTAGACAGATCTTGATCATTGAAATTGGCGGCATCAAAATTGTTTTCGGAGCAGACAAGTCTGTGAAGGTCGATGGAAAGGCAATTACACTCAAAACTGGCGGGAATGTAATCGCAGGAGGAAAGGTGGTCATGGTGAAAGATCAGTTGTTCTTCCAAGCAAATGTAAGATTTATTAAATGCAGTTATAGTTTGCATGAGAGAATCGAACATGGCCATGGTCCACATGTGAGGACATGCCCTAAATTAGTAAATTTTGCCTTCCCAAATACCGCTTGGTTTTCACTGGAACTCTACGAAGAATAATTTAGTTTTTGAAGTAAATGCTAATGCTCTTACCACTAAAAAGGCAGTTCAAAGATGATGTGTCATTACGAGGTTTTGTGCAAATGGTTATTGGCCAGTTAATAACTATGGCTTTCAACAAAGGCAGATTGTCGCTAGTTTTTAAATGTTCTAAAACCTTTGTAGGCTGGTTTCCAATGTGTGTTCGATGGTACCATCACGATCATCCTATTCTCTCCATGGTATCATAACCGTATTCGAGGTATTTGTGGTAACGACGATGGTGAGCAATGGACGGACTTCCAAACACGACGAGAAACCTTCATGCCAGAAAGAATGACCAGAGCATTCCTGAGAGAATGGGTTGTCGAGGGCACTAAATGCCAGGATCCTGGTAGGTTGTTTCACCTCGTAATCAAAGTATTTCACGCACGCGGCACGTGACGCAGCTAATTCCTGTCCATCGAATGATCGAATCATCTGGCCGGTCCAACTTTCAAACAATGCTCAAGAAAGCCCATGCCTTAAGATAAAGGTGGGGGCAATTTGCCCCTGTCCCAAAGCATGAGGGAAGAGGGGGTGTGGAAGACTATAGCTTGACATAGAGGTGGAGGCGATTTGCCCTTGCTCTAGGTGTGAGAGGGTTTGGAAGATCTATACGTGTAGACCACGTTCTGACCTAGGAACATGGACTTTGATTAGGGCGAGTATGGGAGGGTAATTTCCCCCGAGGATTGTCATAGGAGGGGGTGCACGACTTCGTTCAGTCAAAGCGGCCCTGGGACTTGCAGTCGAAAACCTTTTCGCTTTAAAACTCTTTGAAATCGTTTTCTATTGGTTCAACAGTATGCAAATTGAAGGCAGAACATATCGAGGTGAATACGACGTTGGTTCCAAGAGGCAAAGTCTGTTTCACGAATGGTCGTTTCTTACAATGCATGGCTCAATGTACGGCGGCGAAGACAAACGTACTTCGGGGGACCCCCTGCCACTGTTTCGACGCCGGCGATCCATTGGTCGATAAGATCAAGAGTGGTGACCTCGACGTTGGCCTGGAAACGATGTCTGTCGACCTGTTCCGACCAGTAATCGAGCACGTTGCTTGCCAGTGCAACTGTCAATAATAAACTGGGACCTTCTCTCCCCAAAGGACTTAAATGCATGGACTCACATTAGTTTGATCACCTCGTAAATTTTCATTAATCATCGAAAGAACTCATTCTTTATTCAATTTTATTCTATTTTCAAGGACCTTTGTAATTTGTTTTGTTTCTTTACTTTTTTTATTGAAAATGGCCGATAGGATTGGATATAAATTTAGGTGAAAATTAAATAAAATACAATTTATTGCATTAAAAAAAGGTCTCGTTATTTCATGTACTTGTTCGCATTAAATTAAGTTGAATTTTACGCGAATTCGAAGCGCTTTCATCTCAGCAAGAAGTTGAAATGGACGTTTTTAGATAGTTGAAACAGAATTAATTCAAAATGGTATGGAAATTAGTCGAGTTTACCCTCAAATGGTCTCGACTAACTTGTTCTTGTTCGCATACGTGTCAACCCCAGTGAACTCAAGTAAGACTGGAACGCTAGCTCTCTGACTTTCCTTCATTGAGTGAAGCCAAGATGGCAGAATATGCAAACACTCGTTTGTCTACCCTCATTGTTCGTTTCAAGGCAGTTACATGAATATAAAACTCTCACACATAACAAACTTTCAACAACTCAATGATAAAATAACGTTTTATTAAGAATGATTTAGTATATGATTTAAAGAGTTAATATAATATTGTCTTGAAAAGTGAAACCCCCTTTTCGAAGTGTCGCTAAAAATATCCCGAAAATTCCTAATACAAGCAAATGATGAGAATTCTACACAAGAGCTGAGGCAACTGGGTCGTTGTTAATCCGGCAAAATATAATCAAACATACGAGTAATTTTTTAGTAAATCATTCTAGGTTGAGAAGATCCTCATTAAAAAGAAGCCATTGATTCAGCTCTTATTAAACCTAATAATTAAAAATTTAGGATTTCTTTCGCGCCAAAATTAAGGTATGTTGTCCACCAGCTTCAACATTCAAGACCTCGTGTTCGGTGGAGACAAGATTTTTCCCTTCGACTAGAACTGGGCTTAGAGCATCGTCATCATCACCGCTGCCCAGTTGCAGACATGAGCCCATCCCCCAGGAATAGAGTCGACCCTCTTCGGTGACAGCAAAGCTCACGACCTCGCCACAAGCGACCATCTGGACCCTGTGATCGCTCAAAGCTCCCACCTCGGCGGGTAAACTTTGGTCGCTGGCCTCAGCACCAAGCCCCAATCGGCCGTAATCTGCGCGGCCAGCGCTATAAACCTTACCATCTGCAGTGGAAAATATCGAATGATGTTGACCGCTTGCGATGCGAATTGGATTGTCGTTATCAGTGTTAAGGTTCGATAATGCCTGAGATTTCTTGGGGAAATATGGACTGTTAGTGTCTCCCGTCGCCAGCTGGCCATAGTTATTCAACCCCCAGACGTAGACAACGGCTGAATCTCTTGCAACAGCAAAAGTACAAAAGCTCCCAGCGAAAACATCTTTGAACTTGCTCTCACGACGAAGACGGACGATTTTCGGTACCAGCACAAATTTTAGACCTCGTCTTCCTCCTCGCGAGCTGAAGTACCCTGCTACACGACCAAGTTGACCCTGGTCTGCACAACCCCAGGTGTAGATGTCACCTGATTCAGTCAGAGCAATTGTGTGGTCATTTCCTGACACAATCTTTGTTATCTTATCGTTTGGTACCTTCAGAATTTCGACCGGAGACGATTTTTTTCCATCAGGACGCAAGCCGACCTGGCCGCTTATGTCCTGTAAAAATTTCAGAACCAAAGCTCGTGAAACTTTATGAAAATTTTATGAAAAAGACAAAATGTCACACCAATTAATAGGCAATTTCAGCTATCCAGTTAATAGCTTCATTTACCAGTCATCAATATATATATAACCCCCTATTAACCCCCACTTACCCTGTATGTTCCCCATGCATACACAATTCCTGATCTTGTGACTGCTGCACTGTGACTGTCGCCGGCGGAAACCATGGTGATGTATACATCTTCTGGCAACTCCACTTCCTTAGCCAGCCATTCCTCACCATTGTCTTGGTTAGCCTGGCGACCGAGCGCACCCTCGTCATTGCAACCCCAAGAATATACCTGGAAGAAATTTGACATTGGTTGAACACAAGCTTATTGTTGCAGATTGAGAGGTCTAGGTTAAAGCCGCACTGGATTAAATGACATTGCAAGCATGTTTGCGACAGTATTAAATATTGAATAACACATTTTAAAACTACCAAACCTACCTTGCCAGTGCTGCTGAGTGCCAAAGAATGCATCCCCCCTGCAACCACTTGTACCACATTCACATTGTCCAATCCCTTTACAATACCTGGTTTCTTTCGTTCAAACACCTCATCACCCTGTCCCAATTGCCCAGTGTCACCTTGTCCCATTGCAAGCACAAAACCACTCTTTTGATCTGACTCAACTCTATCTACAGCTGGAAGGAATGCATCTTATATTACACTTAGTTTATGCCCAAAAAATGTCTCTCTGATGAGTGAAATTGTCTGTGAAATGTTAGTAAACATGAGTGCTTAACAGTTGGTTGGTAATGACTATTTATCAAATCTCATTTGGCAAAAGGAATACATTTTTCTTCGAAGCAACTGTAAGGCACAAGGAATTTCTAGGCACGAGCAAGATTCAACATGTGCTTGTATCGCACCCTTGAGTTACATAGGCTTTCCAGAATTATTTAATACCGTGAAATACTTTCATGTAAACCAGAGCCATCATTTCAGTTCAGACGTTAGAGTTCTTGACAAAGCTATTTCCTCACCTTTCTTTTTATTCTGAGTGGATTTCGTTGCAGGCGCTTTTCTTTTCTGTACTCTTGGCATTTTTCACTGAAAATCAGGATGAAAACAACAATAAACAGACGATCGGAAGAAATATGCAACGCAACACCGTACAAACATGTGAGATTCCAGCCAGTTCAAACCGAAACAAAGATAGATTTCATGCCGGATTTTACGAAATCCGGCTCTATCTTTGCATAGATCAAGCATCGAAAGATACGTTTAGATAAACCAAAACTATTAGGATAGATTCAGGAGGAAATCAAAAAGAAACTTACCGTTTTATTGAATGGAAACGTGCGTTGTGAATCAAATGAGAATTTCAGAATATCGCGCCGATCAAAAACTACACCATGCTGTATGTGCCCGCAGTATGTGACGCTGACCAACGGGGGGTGTTCGTGTATTTTTTCAAGGGGGAGAGTTAGTTTTATGGTTTTAGAGATTTTATCTCCCCTTAGGAGATAGGGGGGAGACCTGGTTAGGAGCCAAGATTCTTGGTAGTAAATGTAGCTTGCTTGCGATTTTAAATGCGATTTTCCTACTTTGATAGATGTGAAAGAGTAATTAGTTACGAATGCTCTGGTGTATAAGCAGTCTTATTTGAACATCAGCACTAATTCACTCGTTCACATCCATCAAGAGTAGAAGTTTTCAAGTGTGAACCGCGTTTAGATAACCTCGACGAACAATAGCAGTTCTTTAATCTTTCAGATTAGGTTTGGAGCTACGATTAGGTCTCAGATAAGGTTAATGGTTAATTAGGGCTAACCCTTAATCTTTAATCCACCTAATCTCAAGGATTTAATTAGTGTAACTGAACATGGAATAATCACCCCCAAGGTAGGCCTAATTTAACGACGACGTAGAGGAGAATTAACCCGCGGAAGCAGACCCACGTGAGAGGAAACCCTAAGGAAGGAGAGGAAGCCCGCACGCTAGGTAATCAGCGGAAAATTTTGCTTGTTCGCGCACCCCACTGGGTTCGAGAATGATTGACTGGGATTATAGACACTGATCTATAGTAGATCAGTGGAGTATAGAGCACGAGTGTTTTCGCCAAACAGGAACTAAAAAAGTTCACTTTAACCGTTCACAATTTATATTAACTTCGATGTCTTTACATATAACATTGATTGAGGAAATACACCGTAATATTTATATATTTATAGATTATCAAACACGATAAAAAAACGCGAGGGACCCGTTTATACAGGAAACGTGTGGCTAACAACTTTTATTGTTAGAAAAAGAAGTTATTAATCAACTTTCGACGAGGCGAAAACGTTGTTTAAAAATTTAATTTGTACTACCTAATTTTACTATATTTCTAAAACCGTTTTGGAATGAAAAGAAATGATGTTCCTTCTAAATACAGACATCGTGATTCGTGAAAATATGTTCAAAAATTCTCCTTTGTAACGATTCATATTGCACAAAAGTTCGTTCGACAATTTGCTGACTTCGTTTCCCAAAAGTGTACATTAAGATATGTCATGTCAATATCCATCGTATATCAGTACCCATCATACCGAATATTCCCGGCTGGAAATGGTTCTCTATTTCCCCCCCATGTAATCGTTGTAGCAAGATCAAAGCAATTCTACGTATGAACCAAACCAAATCTTGCATTTCCTTCGTCCATGTCTGAATCCTACCACCGAAGCTGAACACATGAAAAAACGTCTCTCTCCTGAAGAATCTCTTTCAGTTCAAAGTCACAGTTTCCATGAATGACCCCCCACTCTCTTGCAATTATTTTTCACTCCGTTTCGACCAAAATGGATCCCGAAGTCATTTTTGCAACGTTTTTACAAATTTCAAATACTTTGTTTTGTATTTTTTTTACCAAAACTCTCCCCGCTTGCTATTTCGTTTTCCCCTTGTATTTCAGAACAGTTTTAGTCGGATAAAATATGAATTAAAACTTTCGCATTTTCATCATCATTTAAAGTCGCTAAAAAGTTGGCCTTCAAATTTAAAAATCTATTTCTCGCGGTATTTCAGAAAGATCCTCGCAGAGTGCCCCAAACGTTAATCGATCTTCTTTATTGTCCGCCCAACATTTTTCCATCATCTTATAAATCTTCCCAGGACACCCTTCGGGTTTGGTCAGGCGCAGATCATCGGCCACGGAGTGCAGAACTTCCTCATCGGGTCTTTCCTCGTAGGGTAAAATGCCCTCGGTATAAACCTCCCACATGAGGATACCAAACGACCAGACATCGCTCATATCACTGTAGTCATCTTCCAGGGCTTCCGGGGCCATCCATCGTAGGGGAATAAGTTCCCCCTTGTGATTGTAGTATTCTTTAGGATAGGTACCTTGGTTGAGACTGAGGAACGAGATTTTCGCGGAGAATGATTTGTTCACGAGGCAGTTGCGTGCTGCAAGGTCTTTGTGCACGAACCCATGGCTTGTAAGATAGTTCATACCAGAAGCGACCGCTGCACAAATGTTCACTTTCTGGGTTGGGCTCAGGGGTGTTGAGGAATCGCGCATGACTGTCTTTAGGTCACCCTAGGAGGAGCAGAAATATTGAATTTAGAACTGATAGAGCTATCCAGTATAAATAAAGTTAGTTAAGTTTAGGTTTCCTCCTGTAGTAACACTGGATCAATAAGAGATGATCATTACTGGACCTCTAGGAAGAACAGTTTAGAACTGATAGAGCTATCCAGTATAAATAAAGTTAGTTTAGTTTAGGTTTCCACCTGTAGTAACACTGGATCAATAAGAGATGATCCTTATTGAACCTCTAGAAAGAACAGTTTAGAACTGATAGAGCTATCCAGTATAAATAAAGTTAGTTTAGTTTAGGTTTCCTCCTGTAGTAACACTGGATCAATAAGAGATGATCCTTACTGGACATCTAAGAAGAACAGTTTAGAACTGATAGAGCTATCCAGTGTAAATAAAGTTAGTTTAACATTAATCCACTCACTTGTTCAGGATATTCAGAAATCAAATACATGGGCCCTTCATCTTGACAGACGCCTAATAATTTCGCGATATTTTCATGTTTCAACGACAGCATCTCCATTCTTCTCATGAAGTCTTTCTTCACGACTTCATCGTCGGACGTCAACGACTGCACGACGACAATACTCGAGCCTTCGCCCTCGGAGATTTCCGAAGCCTTTGCAAGGAAAACGAGCCCGTAAGTACCGGTTCCGAGCGTTCGTAACGTCTCCAGGTTCTCTCGTGGGTAGTGTGGTGCGTTCAGCGCTTCAGGCCCTTTCACTACCTCAACATTATCAACATTGTCGTCCGGTTTAAGAGGAATGTCTTCCCCGTTTACAACTAGAAAAAGAGTTAAAGTTAGTTTAGTTTATAATAATTCAATGGACGTACACCTTCGACAGTATACAAAAGCCACCAACGGCAAAGAAGTGTTGTGAACTTACTTAATTTATTTTTCGCCTGTCTTGCTCGCCGGCCTTTGCAGTAGATCATTAAACCAACGACAAGAATGATATATGCCCCTGCACATCCTACGGCGATCCCCACTGTCTTACCCATATCGTCCGACTCGTGTTCATCAGTTTCTCCACCTGTCCCCTCGGACCCTCCAGCTGGCAAAAAATAAAGGCGAAATAAGCAAATTAAATGGGATGTAAGATTTGAAAAATCATGGACAATACGAAACAGTAAAACCTGTACTCGTGAAGGTTAATCTTTGTGTGGTGATTACTTTCATTTATTAAAACCAGAGTAGCGATAATTACGATGGATTATATACCTGGTTGCCCTGAACTATGGTATACCGTGGTGAGCCAAGGTATGGTTGGTTGGTTAGTCATTAACTTCAAACCTGTACTCATTGTTAAATACATACGGGGTGTTGTTTTGTCCTTTGATCTAAAGCTCAAATGCGCAACAGCGTCGTCGATATAACCAGCATTTCCAGCCATACACCTGTATTTTGCTGCATCTTTCTTTTGTACAGAATGCAACAGCAATGACCCGTTGGGAAAGATTTTACTTCCTGGTTTATCTGACAATGGTTTCCAACCATTGTCGCCTTTTGTTTTGCTAATGTACCACAGAATCCTAGGTTTGGGTATTCCCGTTGCCTTGCAATTGAATAATACGGTGTTGTTTATTTTGGCAGTTACATTCTTCGGTTTCAAAACGATTTTTGCGAAATCTACACAAAAATATAAGAAGTACAACTCAGTCTTGTTGTGGTTCGTCAGAATGCAAAACAAAAATCTTGGATGAGGTTTTACAAGTGACCAGAATAGAAAAAAAGTTAGCATATAGCCGTAGACATCTTACAAAACAAATCTTTGCATGTTTGAATCAGCTCATAAGAAAATCCTAATATCACATCAATTTGAAGTGGTCTGGCAACTTTCTAACCAGTTTTCCTTTCTGTATGCTCTCGTATTTTTATTAAAAAAGCCCTGAATGGCGTAGAAATTAGTTTTTTATACAAATCCCTACTTGACTAAAATTTCCAGAAGTTACAACTCACCGTAAATGTGGACGGTAAACGTGAGCGATTCACTGCTGAAGGAGTTATTGACGTAACACGAGTAGTTTCCTGAGTCGCTCATTCGCGCGTTTTCAATTAAAAGAGTGGACTCCCGAACCACTTTCATATGCGGAAGAAGTCCCTCCTTCATGCCTTGTTTAACCCAACGAATATGATATGGTTTGGTGCCAGTGATGATCTTACAAATCAACTTCGCAACTTTGCCTTCATCGAATTTCTCCGAGCTGAATGTCTCCAACCTGATTTTCTCTACGTGTTCGGAAAAAGATCTTGGTTATTTCGGGTGGAATGAAGCGCCTTTTCCTAAGGGGAATAGGTCTTTCTACTGAAGAAATCACAAGGTACAAACAACTTTAGTTACCTTTAACAAACAGCGTGGCTTCCTTAGTTCGCTCAGTGACATGCTTCAGCTTTGCAGAACAACGATATTTTCCAGATTGATCACTTTCAGCATTCTTAATAATCAGGACTGAACTGCTACCAATCGTTTTCTGGTGAATGTTTGTTTCAACGGGCAAACTCTCCCCATTCTTTTCCCACGTGATCACGGGTTTTGGGTCCCCGCTGAATTGACATTCTAATCTCGCCGTCTCATTCTCAATGATGGTTTTGTTCATTGGGTCTCGTGTCACTTCAGGGTAAACTAGAATTGAGTTTTCGAAATTGGATGTTAGTATATGTCATCAGCTAGCAGAAATCGAGCAGGAGGGTCGTCCAACGACACCCATCTCCCTTCTTCATGAATGCGATGAAAATCAATACGGTAGCACCATCAGTTAAAACAATTTACTGCTATCAATAGGGGCCCTGAGATTTAAAAGTATTTACATAATATTATACTGAGCTATATCGCAAGATATCATTCTAAAATTCGTTAAAGATATAATTACGTAGCATTATACTAAGTTTTTTTACAAGAAAACAATCTTAATACGATGGTTAAAAGATTCCCAATGCTGGTCCTAAATTAGGAGAAAACAATCCATTCATTAAAAACAATCCATCCATTGTAGGTGAAAGAATGCTTTGTCTAACTCTTACAACATCAAACAATGGTGTCTTTTCAGCCCGGGAAAACCGGGGCCAAAATATTTTTCAATCACATGGCAAGTTTCAGTCCGGGCTGCATTTATGACACGTCAGAATTATTTTAAAATCAGGCTGAAATTTCAGCCTGGGCTGAGTTTGTAAAGGCTGGTAGTAGACCTTTGTCCGGGTTTAAGTTTATTTACGATTACATGACAACAACACCATGCTTCAGCCCGGGCTGAACTTTCAGCCCGGGTAACTCAAACCGGGCTGAAATTCCAGCCGGGGCTGAGTTTGTAAAGGCTGGTAGTAGACCTTAGTCTGGTTTAAGTTTATCTACGATTACATGACAACAACACCATGCTTCAGCCCGGGCTGAAATTCTTGTCATGTAATCGCGTGCGCGTTTTTGTTAGGATTTTATAACAATCCCGGACTGAAGTTTCTCAGCCCGGGCTGAAAACACTCCATGTAATCAGCCCTTACAACGGGTATCGTACATGGTGCAAACGTCAAGTGAAAAACAGTAGCAAAAGATTTTCATCAACAAAGCTAAAATATCATGGCCACTTACTTGCAACAATGACAGCAACATCAACATGACGTTGACCAGCGGCGTTTTCAGCCACACATCTGTACGTTCCCGAGTCTGACTTTTGGGCCTTTTCAATTCGTAAGGTTCCGTCCACGACTGAAATTCTTGCATCGTTTGGTAAGGAACTGTTTTTACGCACAAGCCAAGTGACGTTCTTGATTCTTGGGTACGAGTTACTGGGGGGAACACACGTTATTGATACCGTACTCCCAACACGATTCAAAACATCTTTCATCGCCTTAAACGATCCAATTTCTGCAAGAACAACATGCACATACCAATGAATACGTCGTACCTTTGGTATTTTCTTTTTTAATTATGAATTTTAGCGCGGGATGTTCGGCTGATGCAAGCAATGTTAGATCGTTTCCCGCCCAAAAAAATTCATTTGCAAAATATTACCAAATTCTCAAGGGCTACCCGCTCCAAAGTTAGTCAGGTTTACCCCATCCTAAGCCTTGGGTTAACTGTTGCAGCTACATACGCGTTTCTTCCCCTGACGTATTGAAGTATTCGGTCATGCAGAAAACGATAAAGGTGGATTGGAAATTAAGCAAAGTTAGGCCGAAAAAAACTCAAGAAACCGGTCGCTTTTTAATGTTTATTTGCTTGGTTGCGTATCCTGAAAGGGCAATTCAATTAAACACTCTAGATATACTTACTCGCTTTCACCAGTTTCGTTGTGTATGTTTTTGATTGGTAGCAAGAATCTTTAGCAACGCATTGGTAATCTCCAGCATCTTCAGCAAACGGCGAGGAAAAATAAAGAGCGCCGTTTGGTAAAATCTTCACAAATGTTGTGTTCCTCATTGGCTTATTGCTACCATGATACCAGTTGACAACAAGTTTGGCGTCCCCCTTCGCATCACATCGAACCGTCAAAGGTTTTGCAACAGCAAAAAGAGTCTCTCGCTCAGGAGGACGGATAACCTTCGGTGGAGAACAGTCTGAAAAGAGAGGGAGGTAAATATTATCACAGTCTAATGAGTCTATCCTAACAAGTTGCACGATTCCGTGTGTAAAATTCTCCGAGGTTGGCTACAGACCTTTCGGAATTCGGATGCAATAGACCTTTCTTATGACGTCAAACGCGAAAAGCCTATTGTTACACGAAGTTTGATTGGCTGTCTAGTTTTGCGGAGCCAATCAAACTTCGTGTTAGATCAAGCTTTCTGCGTTTGACGTCATCATGAGTAACGTCTATTCTAGAGTGCAAACTACGTACCATGAAAGGCGAGATTGTGCGGCAAGCTTGTCGCCGTTTTACCACCGCTTTTTACAACACAAACATAGTTTCCACCATTGCTCTTTTGAACATTCGTTAAGACTAAAACATTTCCCGTGGTTTGTAGCACGTTGTTTTTATGTTGCCAGGTGTAGAGTGGGGTAGGCACCGAGGGGCAATTACATGTCAAGGTGACACTCGCACCACGAAATGCATCACCGGAGCTTTTTATCTGGAAGCCATCTTTGCAAATGTCTGGAAAAAATTTTTAAAAATATGAGATAAATAACTTTACTCCAGTAAATAAAACACTAATCCAGGCATTCGTAGGGAAAAGGGGAATAGAGGGAGGCAAGGGGATAGAGGGAGGCAAGGGGGATAGAGGGGGGCAAGGGGGATAGGGGGGCAAGGGAGATAGGAGGGAGCAAGAAGGATAGGGGGAGCAAGGGGGATAGGGGGGGTTAGCCAGAGTGAATGCTGCAATAGGCATTTAATATTCCTATGGAAGTTCGAATTATTGTTTAAATAAAACAAGTTGTAAAGAATCAACTAGAAACCAAAGCAGTTTTTAGGCCAAATGTAATAGTCCGACAGATGTTCCCCAATTGACTGTTGTAGAGACATTGACCTGCTAAAGCTTTTATCAAATAGAGCAAACCATTAACAAGCATTAAGCTGTCCCCTACTATGCAATAATTAAAATATGTTAATTCATATAGAAAAATATCTAATAAAAAAGGGTTTGTGAATGGAAATATTAAGCAGAAATGTTTGTTATTCATTATAGCCATATATCAAAACAGAGAAGCTGTCCATTATCCCAAGATAATATGGAATTTTCAGCAAAATATTATAATTAGACTGCATTTGAACACTGCATGAAGTAATGAAGTCACTTAGGACATGACTTCATATAAGGTCAATCAATGTAAATGAGTTTTTAATCTCTAGATCAGGTTACAACACAGAAGGATGCCATAAATGGAGATTTATGATTGTATCACTATGTTATAAAACTTAGTTTGAACAGATTTGTCTGAATGAATTGTGCTCTGGCAGTCGTATTTCCTTTGATATTGTTTACATATTGGAAACACTTAATATAATTGTTTGTAATGTAAGGAAATGAGGAAATACTGCAGGTAAAACACTTAAATTTGTCATATTTGTCTGGTCACTTATAATGGCTTACCATAGCAGGATGATTGACATCTCTCAGCAGAAACACAAGGCAATAATAAAAATAAAAGACATTGCCAGATAGTTTTGCTAATTGACAGTACTCTTTCAAATGTCTAGTGATATATGCATGGAGTCAATCCATTTAATGGGTAAACCACTTCATACTAATTTACCTTTGAATCTTATTTCCAAATTTTAATTTGTCTAGCTGGCACAGATAACTGTCATCTGTAGTGGTGTTATTAGTCATTTCAAAGCACATGGAAAACTTCTATTCATGTACTAAGGATTTCTAGAAATCATGATTAATTAAAACAGGAGGATTGATTTGAAGACAAAGTCTGAGGTTAAGGATAACCTGCTTTTCAGTATTACCAGATTCTGACTTGAAAGATTATTGATTTTAATGAAGACACTACCTAAGTTTATATGTAAGAGTGAAATACAAAAACAATATCACTGACCTAATGCTTGTAATTTGAAGAAGTTTTTGAAGCAAACTTATTACTTGCAAGAATTTATTAAAATGGTTTGAAATAACTGTTTGTTAAAACACCTTGCAACAGACACCTTGTCTGTCAACTGTTTTATGACAGGTTGTTCTTAAGCTGTAGATCTGAATTGCAGACACATCTTGCTGCCAAGATGTAAGCAATTTTCCATGCATAGCTACTAATAAGGTGGGTCAATGTTGTCCAACGTTAAATTTGCCTAACAATGCCATCTTAATCTTGAACCATTGTCCATGGATGGCCTTAAATGGCCACCCCACTGGGTCACAATGTTTTCAGGCCAATAAACATAAGAAACTTTCAAGCATTTTGGGAGATGAAATTGACAAGGGGTTCCCCGCTGGCCTGCGGTGAAGAACGCCCAGAAATAAGCTTTTTCAATTGCATATGTAAACATCCTTCCCGCACTGCAACTCATTGCAACCGCGGTCAGACAGGGAGAGCTCTCCACAGGAAATCATCGACGTTTTTTCATAGCTCGTTGCATATATATTCCTTAAAAACATCCGTCAACCCACTCAAAACAAATAAAAGATGAACTAAGTTGGCCGATGCCGACGATTACGATATAACGAGGCATTACAAAGAAATTGCAACACATTTCTCGTAATTGATACTTTTTGCGCGCAGAATATTCGTTTAGAATCCGTGACATATTTACCAAAATATTTACGATTGCGGCTTTAGAATTCTTTCATCTTGATAAAGCCAAAGGAATGCGTTAATCTCGGGAATTGCCTGCCGGATAAATTATCACTTGTCACAGTGGTTTTTAAATCTAAAGCATTTCAGGCGAAGGGGGCAGAGATATTTGCAAAACTATGTCGCCATAAACCACTGCTTTTTTTTTCTCTCATTTTTTTTTCAGATTGCGCGAAGCCGCGGGAGCGAACGATTAAGATACGCTCAATTGTAATCGGCGCTAATTTAGCGCTTCAATGAATAAAAACAATTCGTTTTGAAGATCCCTCATTTCGGACACTTCCGACGCTGAATTAAACCCATTGAAAAACGAGGCCGCACTTTTGTTGCGAATATGAAACCATACAAAAAGTTTATCTGTGAGTGCACTCTTGACGATTATAGCACGTTTCCAAAAGAATTTCCTGAATTTTCAATAGCTTTTAACATTCACGATCTAAATAATGATATCCCGAAGGGTGATGCTAAACAAATATTCAAAGGAACAATGCGGGTCCAATGTATGCTGTGAATACTTGTTGCTCAAGTGAAAACAATTTAGCCTATTATATTCGGAAAGGGAATGTTTAAGGTCATCTGTTTTTCATTTTCTTTCTGTCTGTCTTGAACACAATTCATATGGAAAAGTATTCATCGAAGCTGGCACAACCGATTCTGGCATCAGGACAATTAAACAGTATACTATGCTTTGGCTTTGTTTGGCGGCCATATAGCTATCCCTCTGTGTTAGACAAAGCAATGCGAGCTACAATACGATTTAAAACTTACATTTAACAGTCAAAGTGGCTTCGTTACTCTTTAATCCAGTAGACATACAATAATAAACTCCCGCGTCAGGTTTCACTATATTTTTTATCCGCAGACCATCTCTTGTAAAAGTGTACTTTTTGTAGTCCTCTTTTATTTCGGTGTCGTCTTTGAACCAGCGTATTGTAACTACCGTATCTAGTTTACACTTCAAAACAACGGACTCTGCACCCTCATTTACCGATGTATTGCTTGGCTGCGCTGTGAAAGCCAAAGCCTGGACGATGCCTATAATTATATGTATACAAAGAATTACATTTCCTCGAGCAAAACGTCTGTCACACGCAGTATCACAGTCAAATATCGCTGTTATTATCAATACAATTCCCTTTACGAACTCCTTGTATTCAGAACACTACACTCACACGCCTTGCTTTACTTCGCATCAAACCTCTCTTGTCAATTTGTTAGCATATCAAGTGAAATACACAGAGACAGATGGCATAGTTTGACAAAGGCTGTGTGTATACGGCCGAATTCCTATCGATAAAAAGCTTAACATTCAACGCACTTTTGCGCATAAACAATATTCGTGATTTTCGAACGGAAAGCCGGATACAAATAGTAGAAAAGTGGACGGCTTGTACATAAAATTCACACTATAGAACCCAGAGACGTCCTTGAAATATACCTAATACAATACTGACAATTCTTACCTGCTAAAACCGCTAATATTATCGTTAGCGATAGCCACTGTCGAGAGAGGTGTTCAGCCATAATCAGCGACGATGATCGAACTGTATTAGGACCTTTCGTTCGGTGCAAATTCAAGCATCTAAGGGGAAAACAGACGCAAGTTCTGATCTATTTACCGAGTGTTGGTCCGATTGCTCAGCGTCTGAGGACAATACTGTGATGTCACGTGATCCGATTAAAGCGTCAATCACAGCGCGGTGAAACGGAAGCCGGTCGCGCCCTCGACCAATCAGATGTCGGCGTGATGCTTTTTAATAACTATAAGCGCTTGTCTTTGAGTATATAGGGGCAAATTATTTTGCCGCTGAGAAAATCGCTTGTAAGATTTCAATATATAATTGGATGGTCTCGATGCCAATTCAAGAGGTTATATATACAAAGATTTATGTCTGAACTTCCTGAAATGGTTCAAATTACCGCTTTGATTTCCTTCGGGGTTTTTTAACTAAGTAAGCTCTTGCAATAATATTTTCAAATATTGCCAACACTGGACCTCCTAGGATAGGATTATGCTATATATCTTTGCAGGCAGTCCGGATTTCAGACATAAATGAGAACGTCAACAATTTTCTTGAATAGTGTACTGTCTTCAGTTTATCTATCACCTGGGCAAAAGACATTCATGACCCAGTTCATGTTTTCGTTCTTATCAACAGATTTCTTCCTTCCTGAGGTGTGTTATAATCATCTTGTTGTTTTGAAAGAAAAACATCTTATAATCGTCGGGTAAATCAGATTCAAAGATTTTATGACACAATTGTTGAAATTTTTTCATAAATGATTATCTGACTCTATTCTGACTATATTTGCATGAACATTTTCAAGAGTTTGTGAATTAATGCGTTCCTAGCTCTTAAATTTTTGGAAGGGTGCTCTTATTCATCACAAAACAACCGGTTCCGATATGAATGGAATTGATCATTCAGGTGATATCAACGAAGCCTATTGAATCAAATTCAGGCTATGCTACAGAACAACATTGTTTTGACTTTTGATACTTCTATGAACAACTGTATTTATGTTTCCCGGGATATTTAGTCGCATCAATGCTTAGGATTGCTCAGGTTTCTGCCAAAAGAACACAGAAGGCCATCTTTCTTTAGCGCAAGATTAAATTTTCATTCCTCGAGTGTCGAGTCAACGCGTGTGGAGCTCTTGAACTTGGCTTAAATACACTCAGAGCTTCGGTCTCGATAATTCTTGATAATCTTTTCGACGTTATTCTCTTTTTTTTTAGTCTATAATCTATTCAAATCTAATGTGCGATAAAATTAAGCTCATCGATTTAACAATGCTATTTCGGGGAGGCCCGACTGGCAATAAAAACCGTGCGCCAGCGAATGAATAAATGCCAAAGTCGTTAAAAAAAACTATTAGAAAATAAATGACCTCATTAGCACATACAAATTATCCGAATATCAAAGTTTCTTTTCGAAATTACGGAATCACAACTTCATAAAGTCTCCTACAGAGACTTTGACTTTGTAAAATACTTTTCTTAGCCGTAAAAAAGCCGCACAAAGGTAACATTGCACTTTAGTAATCTAAGATGTTTAGGCTATGAAGGCTATTTCTACTGGCTAGATTTCCCATGCCATGGAATAAGGTTCAAGGTGAATCGGGAGACGAAACGATGTTTACAAGACAATTGCTCGATAAGTGTGTCATCCATCCCGGATTTAGGACGTGAAGAAACTGAGAATGTCTCACGAAGAACTCATGAAGTCAGTTTGCTTGCCTTATGACGATAGAAACAAATATCGATCATCTTATATCGGAAACGACGAGTCTAATCGCGTTGCCTTTCACCGAATTGTGGTGAAAAACGGCTCGTTTATATCGGCCCAATTTTAATAAACGTCGATCAAATTTGATCCAACATCATTTTAGATTACCAAAAAAGTCTTCAACCGGTGGCCCTAACATAGTTAACACAGTCTTTAGTGTCGATTTTTAGACGCCATCTCTATCATCACGACCAGGCCTAATCTGAAATGAGCTCCAATTGTCATGAAGACTTAGATGTGTTTCCAAACTCTTCCTTCTCATGTGCCGCAAATGCATCCACAACAATAGATAATGAGGCATCTCAAATGATTATATATTGTTCTTAATGTCTTCGGCTCATGTGAAACACAGCATTTGAAACAGACCTAAACTAATTAAGTAAACATTAATCATGTCTCAATGAGAACCGCGTCGGAATCAGAGCTTACAGACGACTTGACCGCTCATAAAAGCAGTTACGAGTACAGATTAATTGAAAAATTCTTATTGAAACTAGATTCTGCATATCTGGCATTCATATTACCTGATATTACCAAGTGCTCACGAAGTATTTCCACCTTTTTCTCATTAATTTTCGTGTTATAAAAATAACTTGCTTTCGTTGCTTATTATCTTTTTCGAGATTTCCGGGGCAAGTTATATAGAAACTGCTCATATTGAATGCTAAATGGCAGGGAGCAATTTTTCTGTGGGTTGATATCCAATCAACGGGCAGATCACGTAGCACCCGGCAGATCAATAAACCAAACGTTTTTGTTGAAAACATTACCCACTCGTTGTTTGAGAACTCTCGAAAATCTCGGCATGCTATAGTGGACAGCAAGGCCATCCAACGGTGAACATCACATCACAATGCATTTATTTTCACTCATCGCTTCACAGCCATTTAACGTCTTTTTATTTTTAATAACTCCTAATTTCTACATGCGTGAAAGTCCTCTCACATTTCGTTTAGTCTTCGCTTAATTCTAAAAAGAAAGAAAATACATTCTCAGTTTAAATTAAAAAGGATTCTCTACTCATGCAGTCGTGAAAATATTTCAATTGTATGGTAGTGACAGACATCTAGCTTCTTGGCTTGTTTGATCAAATCAATCTTCCTTAAAAAAGTCTTATTTAAGTTTGTTTTGATAAAGACGTTGATTGCTTTAAATGGTTTCACACCTGACCAACAATCTTTATTCTTCCTTCGACCTGAAAAAGATTGACAAGAATATGACAAAAGAAGGAAATCGATATACAAATAGTTTCATAATTCATATATCTTTTTCAACATGACATTTTAATTAACGAGGCTACCGGAACAGAAGCACAAAGCGATCAATATATGTATTGCATTGAGCATATTAGGAACAAATGTAGATTCAGGTTATCGGCTCGGATCTAGAATTCTCGGAACGCGGTTAGGATTTGATACAGTGAACAAAGATTCCATGAAATTTAGGTATTCTTCTCAGATATTAAAAGATAAAAAGGAATTGGAAAATATTCACTTCAATGTTAAGTGAACTGAGTTGAGACATATTTTTACATACATAACCAGAATTTTCCTGACAACAATCAAAATTTCAGAAATTTTAGTATACGGTAACCTATAACTGGTGACAGACTTACCTGAGGAGCTATTGTTCCGATGGGGTAATCGCCACTAGCCTTCTCTTTATCCGCGCGCTTCTCTCCCCGACGAACACTGCATGTATATTCAAGGAGAATGAGTGGTAATGAGAGGTAATGAGAGGTAATGAGTGGTAATGAGAGGTAACGAGTGGTAATGAGTGGTAATGAGTGGAGTGAGTCACTTGAACCCAGAGAGTAGAGACAATCATCTCTTGTCAACAATATCCACTTACACAGCGATATTTTGTCTGTGTCCAGTTATCACTTTCCTTATGCCACTTATGATGCTGCAAGCTATAAAATGGTTCCGGACAATTGTTCGTTCCTCCGGGCCACATTCTTCGTCGACCTAATGGTAGAAAAATCATTTTAGTGATAGCATGGATAATAAAATCACGTCTTTTAACTATCTTTAAAATCGTCTTTTAACTATCCATGGTGATAGCTCGTGAAAATTAGGAGAATGGTCACATAAAGCGAATGCACTTAAATATTCTTAGTCACTTTTATTCCGTTGTCAGTCAAAGCTTTTAATGCAGGAAATCAGTGGCGGTAAACTACTAAATAGCCTTGACTGTTTATATTAATCATGTTTTGTAAATATCTTGTATTTATACACTTTCTTTTATACCTTTTAGTCTAAATATTCTTATGTAATTTTAGATGCAAGTCAACAGTACAGCTGCAATTTGTAAACTAAACTAAAACCTGAAGCCTAAAACAGTTGAGTGTTTTTGAAGAACGATTTTAACCAGCATGTTAGCGCGATAAACGATCGCGTCTTAATCTTTTATCAATGGTTAATCTTTTTACTTTTATATCTATTTTTATCGTCCTGTCAGAAATATATGCTTTTACACATCTTGAATACAAAACACAGTAACCATAAATGCACGTTTCCTGTCAAAAACTAACCTCGTCTTTAGCCTGTCTTTCTATAACCAGGAAGACAACAACTTACCAATATTTCGCACTGTGTTAAAACGTCATAACCATCGCCCCCTCCGGCAATATAAGCTCCGACAGCAAGGGTATATTTCTGAAAATCAAAAAGATCAATCCATCAACAGCATTGTCATTTATTTTCAAAGAAACAAATCCGTTATGTCAGGTATGCGACTTTTCATTTTCAATTTCATTATGTTGACTGTTGACTGTTTCTTTCATGAGTGTCATTTACGTCTTTCCTTTTGTTGTTGTTCTCATGAAATAATGTGATCTACATTCATCATTCACCTTTTCCAAGTTGACATCTTCTCCCTCAACTTTCAAGGTTCCTGCAATGACTCGCTGTCCGGCGTTCTTGCTGGGATCAAAAGTAAATTCGATACCCGAGACCTACCAAACAATCAAGCCAGATATTACTCATTTTACGTGCAAAGATACAGCAACTGAATCTTCAATCGATTTTAGTCGAAGTCTGGTATGAAATTTGGTTGAGGGTGCGAACACAGACTATTTAACGCCTTTAAGATATTTGGATAGTACCTAGGATAATACCTCAGGAGGTAGGTAGACGTATAGCTTTGGATATACCCCTCTAGCTTCTCCCCCACTCCCCAAAGTAATATTTTACCTGCGGAAACCTCCCTTCCTGCTGTGGCCATTTACTGACCCCATTTTCAAGAGCTTCCAGCAACTGCGCTCCTAACCAAAAATATAGCCAAGACTTAATGTATCTCAGACTTTGAGATAGAACCCCCTTACCTCTCAAAAAATCCCCCCTGGGCAAGTCAGGATCGTGTTTTTTAACCGTTTGGGGTGACCTGACCCAGGTTTTAATGATGAACGCGTGGCCCTTGAAGCGCATCCAGAGAAAGCTATTCATTATTCAAATTGCTGTTGGGTCAGTTTTGGAAGTTTACATATAAACCATAAATTAACCGTGAACGCTATTATTCACTGCATCAAACTAGTGTATACCACTGACCTGTAATTGCAAGAGTGACAACTGGAGCAGGAGTAAACGGAAGCAGGCTCACCAAATCCTTGAAACAAGAAAAACGCACAAAAATTTAACCGTCCATTTTTCTTGATTTTATCCCAAATATAGATACGTACTCCTAAACGGCGGTCTTGGGTTTTAGTTTAAGCAAAGATGAGCCCTGAACACTTCTGTTGGTCAAAATTGGTACGGGGTATCGAAATTATCCTGTCTGTGAAACGACGAGATTTACAAACAATACTTACTTCAACCCTGAACACTCCTGCAGGTTTAATTGCATCCCATCTCAAGTCACCAGCGTTGACAATAGAGATGTCTGATCTAGTGGCATTACGCATGATGTCAGCATGCAGGTTTCCTAGAATTTTGTCAAACGCTTGGCTCGTTATGAAATTCTCTGAACATTCCTCATAACATAAAAATTACCAATACCATCATTCATACCGACCTAAATTTGTTTCCTTGGTTCGTATGTTGGCGAAAAGTCCATCCAGATCAACAGCCACTTTCCCCAATGGAATTTGCATCCGAGCCTCAATTTTATCTGTTGAAGTTTTCAATAGAGTTTAATCCACTATCAAAACGTACAGGAAAAGTGCATGATCAGGGGGGCGTAAATTGACCTTGGGGCGTGCATGATCCCCTGTGCCTACCATTGACCTTGAAGCGTGCATGATCAGGGGGTGCGTACCATTAACCTTCGGGTATAGGAAATCCCGGTCGGAAACGCAGCAAATGATACAAAAACCTTCATCGGAATGTTCGAAAAGTTGGATGTTAATGTATTGTACCATTCAATGCTTTTCTAACCGGAATCTCCCATTCTCCCAAGGTGAATGGTTAGCACTCCGGATCATTTTTCAGTTTGAATTGCATAGTATGGATGTAGTTCATAGCGTACTCTATTGAAATCTAAGTCACAGCAAAATAAAGATGACCCATATCTCTATTGATAATCGATTAAGAAAGATGAAGAATCGACCTTAAGGCGATTCTCCATTACGTTCGCTCCGCCCGCGCGGGCGAAGCGCGCTTTGTTTTCCAGGCCCGTCATGGTCCCATGGGCAGATTTTCAAAGGCCGCTTCGCCCGCGGAGAATCGCCTTTACAAAAGCATGGTTTATGGCTGACCTTGATACTTGTCCACGATTGCTTTCACTTCTGGATCTTCAGGAATATCGCTAGTGATGTCATGCCTGGTCGTCTTCACCGAAAATGATCCATCAGAGAATGTGATTTCAACCTCAGACAAGTTTCTGAAATCAGTGCCACTTTTGATCACCTGCTTACCATTAACCTAATGACAAGTGACAGAAGCAATTACTTCCTCGAAGTTTTAAATTCTTCTTCAACAATTACTTGCAACTCAGTAACTCAAACAAATCTCTAAGTTCTGTTCCATTCATACGTACGTCATAGATTCCATAATCGTGATCATGACCGCCGAGAACAATATCAACCCCAGGAACACTCGCCGCAAGTTTTTGATCGTTTTCCAGTCTCATGTGTGTCAGAGCAATGATGAAGTCACAGCCCTGAAATAGAGATATGACAAGAATCATGATTTATCAACGGAGTTCCAGCTTAGACTCCCAGCACCACCACCGCTAACTTTGAGGAACCATGAGCCAATCAAATGCGATAACTCCATCAGATCGGCCAATCACAAGGGCAGAAGGTAAACGTAAGGTAGTCGGGTCTGTTGAAATCAAATTTGAAGCTCGGATCTTCACGACTTCTGAGCTCGACGGCCACGTAATAGTACTCAGCCTTGAAATATCTGTGGAAGACCTAATCGTCCGGGTTAGTTTTGTCTTGAAAAAGACTGAAGTTTGTTGTTTTTTGTTGTGAGTAACGTTTCGAAGAAAGCCTGAGCGAAACCAAATTTACAACACCATGCACTTCACGGAATTCACTGACCAGGGCGATCAACTCCAGATACTTGAAAGTTTAAGCAATTTTGCTTCTTGGAATTGGTCGATCGAGGATCGCGATGGTGGACCCTCAGGGGAGGGGGGGAGTAGTAAAATGATATTGCAATCTCAAGCTTGTCATACCCCCAGTCTGCGGTTAAACATTTGCGCCCTGCCCCCCCCTGCCGGGGTAGTCGCTGATCCAGGACGTCCTACTATGAGTTCATAAATTACCTCATCTCTTAGTTTTTTGCTCAGTTCTTTCCCGACGGTAACAAAATCTTTGTAGTTCACTTCATCAACATCCACTGCGCCGAGAGTATCAAGCCAGTCTTTCTCAACCAGACCGATTAAACCAATCTATTCAATAAAACGAGTGCACTTAAAAGACGAGGTTTACAGATGGGCATCAGTTCAAGATAGAACAAACTCAATCCCAGTTCATACGCACGAAATATACGCAATAATCCGGGGCGAATTACCTTGTGACCATCCCAGTCAATCTTTAGCGTTATTTCACCATCGCCCAGTGGGTTGTTAGTCACGTTATCAAACACATTACTCATCAGCCAAGGATAATTGCTGTTCTTCTTGAAGTCAAGCAGGTCGTCGACACCAAAATCTAAATAAAAATTTTTTGTTCTCAAGCATGTCATATATATTTCTGCACGCAATCTTATGTATGTTGTGACGTCCGCCATTGTGGTCATACAAGTGCCCTGGGGGCCGGTTGTATCAAGCCCGTTTAGTTTAAACGGTGGATAAGTTCAAAATTGAAAGTATGTCTATCGTTTTATTCAACAAGTAAACAAAATGTCTTCAACCTTATTACAAAGATACTGTTTACAACTACATATTCAGTGCATAATATTCAAGTTGACTCATTCAAGAGAGGCGTATATAAGAGTGTTATTTAATTTTGACTTATCCGCCGTTTAAGCTAAACGGGCTTGATACAATCGGACTTGGTCTCAAAGTATAATAATAGATATCTGTTGCAAAAAAGCTGCGGATACGTGGGTACCACCCGGAGGAAGGTTTGCTTTGAATGAGGTTTGTGATGAAGGTTCAAAGTTGAGCACTTTAATTGATCACATGCATGTACCAAAAGCCAAATATTTCTTTATGCTGGTTGCCACTTGACTGAGTGACGTGACGTCATTTTGAGGAAGGTTTTCAAAATTTGAAATCCTATCGTAGGAAGGTTAAACTCTTTTTGCAACTCTGATTAGTCTGATTCTATTGTTTACTGTGCGCTGGTGGTTATCAATTCATGCGTGACCTTGCGTGCGGTGGTGACGCGAGATTTTTTGATCATGGATGCCAACAACACGTAGCCCAGCTCCAGATCCTGTTGCGCGCGCAGCTGGAGCGGTATAATTCAACACGATATGATGTCGACGCAGTCTTGCGTACAGCGCACTGCTGAGGCATTGAACTCATATCAAGAATATGGCTCATTTCGGAAGGAAAACTTTTCTTTGTTCGGCCCGCTGAAAGAGGCGGTCATTTTCAAGATGACACATACAACATGATTAATGAAACGTTGAAATGTAATTTGAAATGTAAAAATGTAAAAACAACGAGTCATCTCAAAGTATTCGGTCTTTTTTTTAATCGTTTTGTTGTCACGGTCATTCATTTCTAAATGGTCAGAAACCTCGTACCGAAGGTCTTCAATCATTACCAACGGCAAGGGTCCTCTTGATGACCCTGGGTACAAGGTTGAATCGTCAGATTCGTTCTATTGTTTCTTGTGTACATAAGGCTTAACGTCTCAACAAAAAATATACGAAGCATACGTTTACACTGGAATAGCTGGCAAACACGTTCGCATTAAAGCCGTGGCTACACGCCACACGGGCCATTTTCATCCGCAATTTTGTCCTTCTAGCGTATGTTATTGTGTGAATTATATATGCAGTTGTATAAGCTGGGCGAAGTAAAGTGACCTACTCTGTTAAATTTACTTAATAGCATACACCAAGAGAAGATAATCGATGTCAAAAATCGCCCGTGAAACCGGGGCTTAAAACGCATTACAATCTCGTTCTCATCAGCATAAATATCTATTCGAGGTAAAATTTATCTGGCGCGGTTTAAACAACGGTAAACACGCCAGGCGGTTGCAATATATAGGAACAACATACTGTTCAGTGCGACCACACTCTGCCATGAAGTTATGAAGGCACCCAGTTATATAATACTGACGTACGTTACACTACCCTTGAAATAAACTAGAAGTGCATGAGCAGTCTCACCAAAATCGTGATTTCCGTAAACTGCTCCATTTATCTTAAAGGCATTGAGAACAGGGACCATTTGTTGACCCTCGTAGATTGTGCTCACTAGAAACAAAGAATGGGAACATGAATATTGTGTACGCATATTATATATTTTAATTTATCATGCTGGGCTGTGTTGACATGCTGATTTTGTAAGCGAACCAGAATGTTTACATTTCGCCAGCTTAGAGCTCCAACTTCAAGCCTTCAACTGCGCCTTTCACCCAAAGCCAGGACATTAAAATAACTTCGCTGAGTTACAAAACAGAAACGAGAATACATGCTGTAATCGATGCTGTGATAAGATCATTGATGTACTGACTACAGTACTTAGGAAGCGAAGATCTAGAACGCTCGCAGAGATATGAAAACTCTGCGCAGATAGTGTCCACCTTCAGCCAGTACAGCCAATAATACCTTGGCGTAACAATTTACAACGATCATGCAACTCATGTTAGTAAATCTGCATGCAACTTGAGTATATTTCATTGTCAGTTGTGGAAAGAATGAAGGTCATGAAGCCATCCATCCATGTACTGGGCACTTCAGGGGTCAGTTCCGTTTGCGACAGATGAATATAATAATTATGGCAGAAAATTTCACGCCAAAATCTCGCACGCCATACAACGTAAATAATACTAGATACACTTACTAACAGAAGGGTTGAATGCATCACCGCAGAAGAATTTCAGCGGATTTCTGTCTTGGAAGCTTTTGAGCTTCGTCTGAAATCTCGCTGCACCGCCAACCGGCTCGCTATCTCTTGCATCGATGTTGTAGACATCGTTGAAGTGTAGAATGAGCAGGCTGTTCTTGGCGGCAGACGCCATCTTTGGTTTCTTCGCCGCGGCCGCAATCTTGTCGCTCGGTTCTGTTCAATCCAGGGAAGATAAATCACACACACGCCACTTCTTGCCCCGAACAGCAAGTGAATGATGCTTTTAGATCAAGTGACAGCTTATTTCATCCCAATCACAATAGGCGCAATGAAGCACTTAATATATTCCCGACCCTGGAGGGTTCATTGCGCAGTCAGGTAAGCCTGTTGTGACGGCTTTGTTTGCAATCATAATGCTCTAATTGCGTATATGACGTATCTTTGTTGGATCCAATTCACGTCTGATGGATGTTTTTTAGTCTGTTGTCTTGTGTTTATGGGCAGCAAATGCACTGAAGCCAATGCAGTACTGCCTTATCAATAACAGACTATATTCCATACGTCAGAAGTGAATTGGATCCAACAAAATAGGATAGTGTGAACGAACAGAGCTTAACTCCAGATAACTGCTTGCTGACGTTTCGTGTTTCCATCTTCCAAGATACCTCAAACTCGTATCCAGGGTATTTCCTCTACCTTTGCGTTTTCATTCGAAATTTTTGAAGCCTTACATGAAATGGGGGTTCCTGCTGGTTTTGTTCTTCCATGAATTAAATCAATTAACATATTTATTTACTAACGAGTTTCAGTGACAACCTACTTTGCATCTTCAACGGTTGTCGTGGGGACCATGCATGAACTGTAATCTTTAGTCTTTACAGTGTGAAGCAGTTTCGGAAAACACTGAGATCCTCACAAGGTTAACGACCCTGTCTTCTGGTGGAAGGAAAAATGTCAGGACTCCGGTTGACAAGAATGCATGACGACGAATCGACGATCCCCTTAGCGTAACCCCATTAATACCCTTCATCTTGCCAGGACCGAGTGTCGATTTCTTTGCAAGATGACGTCGAATATGGGTACAAATTCAGAGCTTGCGTTCCAGCATACGATGTACGTGAAAATCTTGAATGAATGATTTCAGTATTAACTTGCGACTTACCACGAATTCAGCGTAATCTGAAGGCCACCTTACCATCACCCTCTCACAACCCCCCCCCTCCCCGCATGTTCATGCATCTACCAGCTTATAACTGAAACATTTTAACGAATTTGAAGCTTTCGCGTAACGGTTTTCTCGATCGTTTGGTGGTTAAACCATTAGCTGCATGAGTTATATAAACGGCCACTTGGCTTCAGCTTATATCGGACAGTCTGTCTCCACTTTGAGAGCTTTTTTTGTCAAGTATTGTCATATTTTTTATACATACTCACTGGCGTAAGTAAACTGTGCGTAAACTCAAGTATATAAAAGTTTAATGGATATCTTGTTTAATGAAACATGCATCGGGTAATATGGCAACTGGTTTTGTCGATGTATGCATGATTCAGCGTAACCATTTTGGTAACCCAAGTTAATCATATCTTAATCAAGGTTTACTTCAACTCTCAAACGTAAACTCTTTAAAACTTGTGGACAGCATAGACTTAAAGTTGCTGAAAATATATTTTGTTATTTATAAAAAATTGTTTTTGTTGGCGGTGATATATATAATAATATATAATATTGATCTGACAGACGTGAAGACTGCAACGTTTTGATTTTTGGTCAGAATCAACACCCGTGCCCATGCCCAATCCAAAACTGATTAATTATTTCGAAAAATTAAGTCAAACAGCTTTCTATAAGCTAATGCACTGTCTGATATATCAATGAAAAGGCTCCTGTTTAATGCATGAAGAACGGCTTAAATACGCGCGGTCATTTCTCATACTGAGAGGAGTGTCTGAACCGTTGAACAAGCATGCTGTTTAACAAGAGCAACAATTTCCATAGCTACCAACTAAAAACTATATACAAAATACTCAAGTTTACATTGGCAACTCTTTGCAATAAAACATGACATGTTTACTTATATTTCAAGCAGGTGGCTTTCAAAATGAACCAATAAAATACGCTCATTTTCATTTTCTTTCCATATTATCATACCTAAAAAACAATATATATACTTTTTGACGGACACTGAATATTAAAATCTCTTATCTCGAAGCCGGTGTTGGAAGAATAAATCGTAATAATATGTTTATCACCGTTAAATTTGGAGGTGAGGCTGTGGTTTTATCAAACAATTGTGTTATTACGTTTTGTAACGTTACATTAAGGTCGTTCACGTCTAAAAGTGCACGGAGTTTAAAGCCCAGCTGAATTAAAAATACGTTTTGTTTGTATTTACTTTATGTTCTGCATGAAATTGATCGATATAAAAAAGATATAGAACGCGCGCTATAGAGTTATTTTACTAAACTAAACGTCGACAGGTTTTAGCAGCCGATAAAACGATAGATGCATGAAGTTTAGATAAATATACATCTTGATGAACTATAAATAAGGAGTTCTCGGCAGATCCAGTTTCAGATTCGCCAAACATATGACCTATACGCTTTGCATGCATACATGACTATAGCTAGCACAGTATACTGATTATAAAGATTATACTAAGATCGTAATAGTTTATATACGCATTTTTAAATAGCACAGAATGAAAGTATAGACTGCCGTATAGGCGTATACAAAGTCAAAGCCGGGATACTTGCATATACTGACATACTATGCACGCTGCATGTCGATGTGCCGATTTAAATCTGTTTCAAAAGGGAAGGAAACTTCAAGATGTTGCTATTGAGTGTTGACTATCTTGTATAGATGATCGAGAGGAATTGTTCAACCCACATTGTAAAGTTTGCAGCCTTTTGGATAACATTAAACAAAGATGTGACCTCCTGCAAGAGGGTAGGTTGTGTACTGAAAGTTGATATATACCTTTATTTCGGTTATACAACATTAAAAATGACCGTCTTCTGATTTCTATTGCATAGATGAGATTGATCTTTCTGATCAAACTGGTATTCGGAAAAATCTGTCGTTAACCCCCACGGATTATGCTATAAAACACATGGAGGAAAGAGACGTTCTGATCCTAGTAAAAATTGAAAGTACGTATGCAGAAATATGCTGTTTTGGTTGAGACGGTTATATATATATATACACTTTCCTTCATTGCCTAGTACAAAACGTTAACTGACAACCAATATCGACGTTTTGCAAAAACATAATGCAAGTGTACTACAAATGTATTTCTTCATCCAGGATTTTCAGGATCTCTTGACGAAACCTGCGTTCCTTTACTCCACAGTTTACAGGGAAATAAGGACTTTCTAGGTATGGTGCGGCATGAAAGAGATGAAACTCAGTATCAAGATACTGGACACGGTCCCATCTTATCATCACCAAAATGTGTTTGCTTCTTTAAGCAAATGTGTCGCCTGGGCTTGACTGTTCGTTCATATACGATATAGGGAATACTTGAACGATATGTGAGTTAAGAAAGTGCATGTTCTGCAAATTTCGTGTATCCACTTTTCAAATGATTTTGTTCCGTGTTTCACGCGAATAGCGAAACACAAACTGCATAGTTAAACTTTCACCAGGACATGATCAGAAGGTGTGCCTTAGCCTTAGAATAGATTCCCATTCGCAGAGAAAGTGTTCGGGAGCGAATTATTTGCAACTTTTCTTTGGAATTTTGACAGAATAAATAAATGAGTTCAGCTTGACTATTCTCATTCCAAAAGAAAATATGCAAATATTTCACGGCTAACGAACTTTTTCCCTGCACATGGCCAGAAATTGCGGACATGGAATATGCAGATTGCCGTAGCAAATTTGCATATCTGTTCAAATATTATTCGTTTGCAGAACTATAAATTATATTGCGCATTCTTAAATTTTGCAAAATTTAAGAAAATCATTGCATCTTTGCTATTTGCCCTGGTTGTTTCTTGTAACTCGTGTCATATTGAAGATCCTGAGGTAATATTTTGCTGGCAAAGGTTTATGTCGGCTCTGCATTTTTATTTTATTTCTACGCTATTACGGTTTTCGTTTTATATGGTATTCAACGTGATAAATGACCAAAACTTTGTTTTGAAAATGCAGGACGAATACTGATAAAACATTTTGAAATACTGTATAAAAATATTAAGATTAACTTGCTCTGCAACGAGCAATTAAGGCAAATTATAATTGACCTACCTAAAGGTGTATTTTTAGCGTTTAGTACTGTGCACATTACAGTTTACTATAAACTCACGAAGCTTTATTTTGACACCATATGCAAATTTAGGCGGAAGTAGAATGTTAAATATGTCCGAATTTTCTGGCCATGAATGGAAATCCAGTCTCCATACTGGCCTTTGAAAGTATGTGCAATGTAATCAACAAGCCCGTCCTGAATTCCTTTCCTTGCAGAAAATCTAAACCAGAAAATGAATACTTTGGATCCGAACTCGCAACACGATATTCAAGACAGGACGAGGGTTAGAAGAGGCAGCGTCAACACCAGAAAAACAACCGCACAGAATACTTTTGGCGTGAAACGGAATAAGAACCGTGGCAGAAGCCAAAGTTTGGCCGTTGGTACAGGGTCGACACTTTTTCCCAAAAATATCAAAAGATAGAATTCTTATTTATTATCTAATTGAAGATTTCATACATATGTTTTTAGCGTATATATCTATCATTGGTTCTTAAGGTAGCCATCGAATTCGCTGGGAATAATGTTTTTAATTACATCAGCCTGCTGCGGTGCTGAACATTCAAATCAGTGAAATTCGGCAATTTGCTGACTCAAAAACTAAACAAGTGGAAAACCTATTTTGTGTTAACAGAATCAATATCCAATTACAATATCCCTTTTATCACTATCAATTTTCGCTAAATCCTTTTTAAGATCTCGAAATTGTCGAATGCAAACTTAAAATCCCTGCGCCGTATTCAGAGGAAAATATCGTCGTAAAGAAAAGATCTTGCGAGCATGTAAAATCTTTGTATTTGTTCAAAGTAAATGCACACTGTTTTCATAAAGAATGGCAATTTGACCATTCATTGTTACCAACATGGACCTCGGATGAGACGGTAGAGCTCTCGGCAGTTGGACTGTTCCCAGAGGCTGGCCATTTTCCAGAAAAGCGTCAAGTTGAAAGTTGGTCAGGTCTTTGGACAAATATGAAACGATTAATTCTTTGCTGATATGATTAAAGGCGATGAACTTCCATCCTCGAGCCTGCCCCACTTCAAACTGTTGCTTTACAGAACCGGAATGGTTTAAAAGATAAACATTTGAGTCGTAAGTGCTGGTCAGGAGAAGCGTGTTCATTCCACACACAGATATTTGACAGAACGAGCCGTGCACATTTCCAGGAATTGCAAAATTTTGCGACAATTCGCCATTGTTCTCGTAAATGAAAATGCGTCTCCTGTTTGAAATGAATATTCTGCCTGCATTCTTCTCCAAAGCCATGTAACCACGTTTAACTGAAATGATTCGTTGAAAGGCTCCTTCCTCGTTGAAGACAAACAAAGATGAACTATCATCATCGTCCGACGCTTGACTTGTCATCACGTGAAGGTAGATGTAATGCCCGCTGTCCGTAAAAACTGCACGTGGCGTGAATTCAACGTTAGCCCCGCTTGACTCGGCTTCGGGCGGCGTAATTTCGAAACGAAACTCTCCGACGTTGTTGTAAACACGAACAACAGTGTTTTTCTCGTTATTCAAGCCTAGAACAATGCAATCACCAGCGCTGTTGACAGCCATGTCGGTGGCGTCTATGCTTTCGTTAAAGAAAATCGATTCGGAATGGATTTCCAATTGCGCCTGATCTGTTTGGTCGGTTAACGCGCGTAAGCCAGCGCTTCGTATGGGATGAACGGAAATCGTGCTGCTGACTTTTAACCTTGGCCACGTTGAATAATGAAGGAGATGTTTGGCTCGCGCTTCTGTGAAATGAAACACGATACAGTTGATATTGACAACAGTGGTTAACACCTTATTTGTATATTCCTTTTCGTAGAGGCCGTTGCTCTTGTCATGATTAATTTCTCGGAGGACGCTCATAAGCGCTTGGGAAACACAGGGCATGTCGTTTAATTCTTTGAGATACATTTGGCAAGCGGCGACAGCTGTTTCTGGTTCGTCCAAACATCCCAAAAGTGAACTCAAGATTCTGACCTATGTAAATAGAAAATATAAGAAAAAATCAATATCTCGCCGATGAAACTTTCGCCGATGGAATTCGTACATCTCGAAGTTTACTTGTGTGTTTATTTTGAACGGCTTTCCCGTGGCTCTTTCTCAATCCTCATTTTAAATAAAGTTCATGAGAACGCATTTATGGCTCTATATTATGTTACATCATAGGCAGCCCAATTATTTATGCATGCATGTTTATATACTATATATATTTATATAAATATATATAGTATATAAACATGCGTGCATACATAATTAGGCTGCCTATGGTTACATCATGCTTTCGTCAAGGTTGAAGACGAACATGACAGAATTCACAGAAAGCGTTGTAGTTGGGCGCTTTGTATAGGGTAATTGTAATAAGCCATTTCCCAATCGAGCAGGCGAACTGCAAAGCATCTATGGGCTGTTTGGAGGAACAAATGATTTAAGACTTATATTTCCTGTCCCTCCAAACAGTCCATAGACCCAGTTCCCTGCTCGATTGGGAAATGGTTAATTCTGATACCATTGCAGCGAGCAGTCTTTTTTCTGTGTTTAGCGCCTCATTGACGTAAGCTCTTGTAGCATCTTCCCGCGCTGACTTGAAAGACGATTTAGCCCATTCGAAGCTCTCTTTTGAAACGATTTTCAGTTCATTGAGGACGGCCGAGAATACATCACAGACAACGGCTCCAAGGTCAAGGACATTTTCCTCACGAGCCATTCGGTCACATGACTCAGGCCGCTCACGAATTCGGTTTAAAGCCACCATAAGCATTCCTAGTCCTTCATTGAACAAACTAATACAACTACGAAGGTCTTTTTCGTTTAATAACATTCTTAATCCTTTGTCTGTGGTGTCAACCTGATATGGAATGGCAACTATCGTTGTATTCCTAACTTGAGTCTTCTTTGCCTTCGCTGCATCACGGGCCTCTTTTAGTTTTGCCAGGTTTGTTACTAGTTCAACAGATTTGGAGACGAGCTGTATAATCGCACCCACTGGCATTTTGGGTAGTTTGCAAAGTCCACCGTATAGTGAAGTTACATTTGCCACGAAACTTCGACTTGAATTCAAAGTGATCTATACACGTCCGTGCACGTTTTATGTTTACACTCAAAAATAACAAAGACGCGTCATGCCGATATGCATAGATCAATCACTACAATGCATTTCGGGGAATCAAAGAGGGGTGTGTAGAAACGAAAAAGCACATGACCTAATACTTGGTGCTTTGAGTCGACCGACAAAACTGAAATCACATGATCTTGTTGTTACCTTAGCAGCCAATAATCTGCGATCTTCGTCCAACGCCTTATTGTTGAAAGCTCTTGTAGCACCAACGCTTGCCGATTTGAAAGACGATTTAGCCCATTCCAACCTCCCTTTTGAAACGGTTTTCAGTTCATCGACGTCAGCCGAGAATATATCGCGGTTCAGGGCTTTGAGGATATTCGCCTCAACCATATACTCGAGATTGCTCACCTCAGACATTCCGTGATACGACACCCTGTACATGTTCTCAACGCCTTGACTTCGGTCTAAACTTGCCAAAAGCATTTCCATTCCTTCGTTGAATAAATCAAGACAACTACAGAAGTCTTTTTCGTTTTCTATTTGTTTGTCTTTGGTGTCAATTTGATACGTGTGATTGTGACTACTGTTATCATATTGGTTAACAATTGTTGTATTTATTGTTGAAGGCGAAGGTTTTCCCATTATTGCGCGAGTGACGCCGGCTCTAACAGCGGCATCCACACCGCTGGTAACAGCGGTGTTAGCAGCGTTTTTCAACAACCACATCTTTCTCAGTCCGTAAACAAAATACAGCAGTCACCTGATTCCCACTGAAGAGGTCAGGAATACTTTCGCGCATGCATGATTGAGAACGATAACAAATATTGCAACTCGTTATATATTACCACAATTCATCACGAGCATCAAGGATATAGATAAACGAAAGTGCAAAAACCACTTGACCTGGATTTTTTTAACACAACAAAGAGAATGACCTCCTCTTCTAGATTTGCTCATTAAAAAACATCAACCCCCTTTCTGTAGAAGGATTTTCAAAAATATCTCACCGCATTACATGGTGTTCAGTCTTTTTGACTTAAAATAAAACCTCTGGAAAATAGAAATAAGACCCTGGAAAACGAGGTTGTGGAAATAAAACCTCTGTTGTACAAAAACCCGTCTTGCTGAATTAATATACTGTGGAATAATTCGATTGTGTATTTACATTTGAAGTTCAACGCTCATTTCCAAGTTTATTGCCATTCTAACAACACGTAGAACAAATTGTTCAAAGTTTCACAAGACATTGCGACTTATTGACTGTTATTTTGAAAGCCCCAAGACGAATGACCTCTTCCCGCATTTCCGACAACTTGCAACGAGAATACTAATTAAATTTCTAACAAACACACCATGCACCAATTCCAAAAAGGATGTTCTTTATATTTGACACTTGTGTTAAAATTATGAATGTTAGAAGTATTGTTTCTCGGTCTCCAACGAATGTACATGAGAGCCAGTAATGAGCTAGCGTGTGATTTTATAGGCAAACGTAATAAATTATGAATTTTATAATGATAGATTTACACACAGATCAGATTGTGCAATCAAGAAGTGAAATAGCAAATTCTTTATACTATTCTATCTACCATTCAGCCATCTATCACGCTAGAGGCAAGGGGATATTCATGTCAGAACACACGTCCCTAACACATTTTAATAAAACTTTCATGTCGTCTGCATAGAGTTGGCCAATGTTTCCAATTCGAAAACAGCTGGCTTGGCTCACTTTTCCAGGATAGATGACCTGGCCTTTCTCGCTGAGCCGTGTGTAGAAATCTTCGAAACGGAAATTGGGATGGTCGGGATAGTAAAACGACGTAATGATATAGCCCTGGTCAGACTCCTTAAGCAGTTCTCGGAAACCCATCTCCTTCATACCCGACTTCAATATCTTTCTGTTTTCCTGATACCTTATAAAATGAAAAGCAAAGGTAGATAAAATGACTGAATGTTAAATTAACTTAATTCGGAAATAATTTCCAGTGATCTGTAATAAAACCTGGAACGCTAAATTGGCCGCCATATTTGATGCCAAATTTATTTTGTTTTTTCCAAGGTAGTTTTTCTGAGTTTTTGAACGTTTGAGACAGATGTAGAGTGTAATTATCTAGGAATGTCTAGAACTATGTAAAATACAATCATTTGCTATTAATTTTTTTATCAAAATTGAACGAGAGTAAAAAACTCTGGCTTTAATAAACTATTTATACGCTGAACTATATAGGAGTTAGCGTTCCAGGTTTCATTACAGTTCACTGATCATTATTAAATCCTAAATTAAATCCTTGATTAGGTTCGGATTGGGATTATTACATGGAGCTATTAGTCTAATACCCCCCCAAAACAATATATATTTTGTTTTCTGGTGAATACACTACCTTTTAGACCTTCCTTCCACACCTCCCTCTTCTTTTTGAAGCTCAATTGCCCTTTTGAACGCCATCAAAACATGGGTAGGCGGCGTAAACCGAAACTGTCCATTTTCCCGAAATCCTTTATACTGAGCGAGAGCGTCCAGCGACAGACTCCTGGCATTTCCCTCGCATTTTTCTAGTTTTTCGACATTTGCTAGGATGAAAGAGAACCCAGGAACGCCTTCTGTGCACTTGTTCGCTGAACTCACGAGGAAATCTATCCCTGCTTTCTCAAAATTAATGGGAACGGCAGCAAAACTGCTCATGGCGTCAACAAAGAATGCTGCGTTTGGCGCGTGTTTTCGGACGAGCTGACCCACGTCTTCAATTGGATTGAATATCCCTGTCGTAGTCTCACAATGAACCATCGCAACATTTGTTATTGCTTTGTCATTCGCCAAGATTTCTTCAACTTTCCTGAGATTTGTTGGTTCCGTTTCAATGTCTTTGTGGATAACCTGAAATATAGGATTTTTTGGACCTTTTACATCAGCTGAGCTCTTCACCATAATTATATCAATGGTGAAAACAGCCAGTAAAAAAGTGAGACATTTCTGTCTATATTATAAAACAATTATACCATTTGCTGTGGTCAGGTAAATTTGGCCAAAGGAGAGCATCTGATGTAACAGAATCTATTATAGTATACAGTATACTATAGTACCATTATCTACCATAGTACCATTACAGAATCTAAAGCACCATTACATAATAGAGTACCATTATATAGTATACACATACAGAATTAATCCCTAACACTTTTGAAATTGCACCAATTCGGTCACCATATGCACCATTGCTACAGATCAGTATTTTACCATCTCTCGGCACTGTGGTACCAATGGTTGACTCGACGCCCATGGTTCCAGCACCTTGCATTGGTATGCATGTAAATTTATCATCCGGAAGATGCGCAAACGCGACTAAGCTCGTCCTGATGAATTCAATGCACTCTATGAACTCCTTATCCCGAGAACCAAAGTCCTTCTGCATTGCTTCTCTTGTGTCCGCATGGGTGTTGAGAGGACCAGGAGTGAAAAGATTCTTGCCATCATCTACATTGATAGAAAATGTTGAATTTGTACAAGACTATATATAACAATTCATTAACTATTAACATATAAACCAATATAACCAGGGGGCAGTGTGGCAGCATCTTCAAACAACTTAGCATTGAACATGGTATAACAACAGCCTAAAATAGACAAAACACTTCTCGACGTTTCGACCCGAGGGCCTGGTCAGGAGAGTTCATATCCTGACGAAGACCCTCAGGTTGAAACATCGAGAAGTGTTTGTGCAGTTGTTATACCACATTTGATGCTAAGTTATTTTCATATTACCTTCGCATAAAATATTGTAGTAGTTACTGCCAAATATATGTAGACAAAAAACTTTGACCTAATAATAGCATTGGTCAGAAGAGTTAGCACAAAGGTAGATATGGGATAGCACATGTTTTTTATGAGAGGAAAACAAAGGATATGCTCTTTCATATTTTTTTTCACTATTTAATCCCTCAGGTTGAAACAATCGATAGATTTCAGCCTATTTTAGGCAGTTACAATAACTATGTACCGCATTTTAAATGTTAATAACAATAAATTATTTGAAGACGCCCGTAATACTATAAGTCTATAACTATATTTTTTAATCAGATTAGCTAAAAAACAATTACAGCACCCTTGACAATGCATACACCAGCAACCTGATGATTTTTTAATAAAAGTCTGTGGAAACTGTCAATACACATGCCTCCTGCACACTTGACGTCGAATCTTTATTAGCCCACAGTCAGAAAATCGCACACATGTAGTGTGCAATCTACTGAAAAACACCTATATCTATAAATATTGATATATTTAAACTAATAAATATTGTACTTTTATGTAAATTTTTTCAATATAAGTTACCACCAGGCCACTTTCTTTTAAAATTCGTATTAAACACATGCTAACTAATTACAATGCTCTGTAATGTTGTAAATGTTGCTAGATAGCAAAAATACGAGTAAATAGAGAATATTTTACCTTGCGATCTGGCCCCCGTCACTGATAACCATCGCCATTGTTGGAACGCCGGTTGGAAATTTAGAGAATTTCTTAAACATTTCGTAGACTGTCTCAAAAGAAAAGCCATAATTGTGAATAGAAGCAATTCAATCTGTCAGAAGTAACAATTAAAGGTACTTTCAAAGTCTGCGATCGTGTTTAGAAATGGATGGATGACAATCAGAGTCTGCAACACTCCGTGGTTTGTGGAACACGACTCGGCGCGTGGACGTCACGTGCGCCACGTATACAGGAGTCACACTGCGGGAAAGCAAACTGGAATGCGAATAGCTCAGGTACCAGTTGAAGGTTATTATCACAATAAAATATATTCTGTACTGCTTTACATATAGACGTATGGTATTTAACTGACAAAAATCACTAAATGTATTTAAAAGTCTATTACAGGGAACGTATTCAAATATATTTGGCTCATTTCTTAAATTCTATTCCTGTCATTCTGAACTAAATTTTATTTCGCATAGAGCGCTGCCATGGAGGACGTAAAATTAATTCAAACTTCCTACAATTAATCGCCACGGCAACCACATTTTATCTTGAATTATTTTGTTGTATTATACAAATCAAAGCCAAATACGAAGTCGAGGAAGTTCGAGCTCCATCCCAAGGGTAGGTCGCGCAAAAACAGTTGGAAAAAAGCCTGGATTGCGCACGTCATGAATTCTAAGTAAGAGATGGAGGCGTATTCTTCCCTGAGTCCCCCCACATATAGATCAGTGGCACATCTAGGCAATTAAAACACGGAATCTACATGTGACTGCAAACTTTGGATTTCGAACAACTGAAAGCGCAATCCAGTTTATACATAGCGATGCGCGGACAAGCTCTGAAAATGACGTCATTTTGTTTCCCACCCGATGTAATCTTATTTCTCTGGCTAATTATTCTTGTGAAGTGGGAACATCAGGACAGAGGAGTGCATAAACGAGAGATCCTCAAATGTCTCGATTATCCCCGAGGCACGTGAACTCAGCTGCGCGCGACTTTCATTCACGACAGACGAAGACATTTTACTTGTATCCAATTTCTTCAAGATTTTCAACGGATCATCTTGCACGACTTTGGATGGTTTGAAAGCATCGAATTCGCGTTCCCTGTTTCCAGCGAGATCAGTTTGGTTTCCGGGGGGCACGGAACCAAATGCAAACTCCAAATTGTGGAGACTATTTGAGGCGCTTTGATCTGCAAAAAGGAAAAATCGTTAGAAATTCAGGTGTCCATTGAAAAAGAGATCAATCCAGCTACATTATCGATCTGTCTTTCAGGTCAAGTTTAGAACTAGATATAACAAATGTTTTGATGTTCCAGTTTCCATTCTGGGAATGAAATTAAAAAGCAATGACAAAGTTTGTTTTCAACACTCCAACAGCAATGTAACAAGCCTGTTATGAGTTTGTCTATCGCCTATATTCAAAAAGCTCACTCACACTCATACTCATTGAGTGTGACATATAAATTTCGTTAATGCTAATCAATGAGAAAGTTTTTTCTTAATAGATGGAAAGATATAAGGTAAATCACTGAAAATCAAGGCCCTATTCGGCTGGAAATACCGCCATTGAAACTTTATGAGCAGATTAAGATCTCCCACTCAATGAGTTTGAGTGTGAGTGAGCTTTTAGAATACAGGCGTATGTCTCTAGCTTGGTTCCACTCAACGCGAAACGATGACATATTTTGATATTTGATTTGCAACAATCCTAGCGAAAATGCGTATACTATAGTAGGCTACTACTTTACCTGAGTTTACGGGAGCATTCGAAGGCGCCGAAGCAAAGAAATCTAGATCAAGCGATGCCGTGTCGGAATTTGAAAGAGACGCTGTGTCGGAATTGTTGTCTTTAGTCGTGTCTGAAACGTAAAATGACTGATTGAAATATTGAGCTAACAACTTTCGTAGTGCAAGAGAAACGCCTCTACGATACCTGAATGTCTCTAAGACTAAAGTATACTAGAAATGATGAACTGGAATCTACATTTACTACAAAATATCTTAATTAACTAACCAACCTGACTTAAATTCCGGGATATTTGTCTGTACTTGAAGGCTTGGTGGAGGTGTCTAGGATAAGACAGTGAGAATGTAGGTTAGGTATCAGGTATATGCAATCATACCTAAATAAATTGGGATAATGTGGGATAAATTATCCCACACATAAGACAGAGTTTGGTGGTGATTAAGGTGGTTAGCATAAAAGATGGTTTAATAAGCAAAAGACTTATATTCATATATTAAATGAAGTATTATGACTCAACTTACCGATGAACCTGAGGATGTTTCCCTTGTGCTTCCACTCTCTTTCTTGCCTTTTCCCTTTTTCTTTATTGGGGGTGCTGGTACAATACTTGGTTGAAGAATACCCTAATCAAAACACAACCAACTTCCTTAATATAAAATGTATATTTCAACTGAAACATATTAATTTTTCTCTTGCTAAACAAAAAATCGTGTTGAATTTTAAGAAATCACAGTCTCACTTACCAGACCAGCTGCGAAGACAGGGATTTCTAAGCCTTCGCTCATTGCAAGAATATTTGGGTTGACCTGAAGGAAAGATGCATAGTTTTCCATGGTTATTTTAGAAAATGGAGGCATTTTCATAAATTGCAACAAATTAGCACTGTAGTATCAGAAATAGCAAAAATCTAGATCTATCAGAGTTGGTAGATATGCAAATTTTTGAGGCCAAATTGTCATTAGTGCTATCAAAAAAACAAAGAAAACAAAAGGCAAAGACAAAGGAAACAAAGAACTAGTGTGATGTTGTTTGGCCTCAAATATGCAGCTATCTACCAACCCTGACATCTATATATATATGCTAGTTATTGGACCAATACAGAGTTTGTAAGGCTGGGTAACTTTTTAAAAAAGACCGGTATCCTTAAATAAGACATACCACAATATTCTTTTTGGAAACTTCCAATGCCTTGCATATTTTGTTTGAGGTCTTGCATTGCTCCCAGCTGAATCTCAAAGCCCCCTCTCCCATATTCGAATGCAGATTTTTCCACAATTTTTCTTGATTTAGCCTTAAGAAAGGAAAGCATGCAACATTTGAGAACAAGAGGGAGAGATGGATGGGAATCATGGAAAATGATTAAATTACCTTTTCTCTCCTAGGTCTTTCATATGCTGTAAGTCTTCCACTTTATGGTGCAATGTCACAAAAACATCTTGAAAACAAGAATAGAATGATACCAATTGCTTCAGGCCTGTGCTTTGCTGAGAAGACAATCTCTGTGTAGAGGATTTCCAAGATGAAGTGCTCTTTGAAAATGCACTAAAATCTGCTTGGAATTCTTGTTTGTTTTCAGAGCTAGTGCTTTCTGAGAATGCACCAAAATCTGCCTGAAAGCCTTGTTTGTTTTGAGGAACAGTGCTTTCCAAGTTGGCCTTAAATTTATGTTCTTTCTTGGAATTTGTGGCCTCTGAGAAAGAAGTAAATTCACCAGAATTTTGTTTGGTATCTAAATTGTTTACAGGTAAAACCTTATCAGTTGTCTTGGAGCTATCTGTCCTGGAATTGTCTGAAGAAAAGGCGGCAAATGAATCATTCGAAAAATCAGCGAAATCCCCAAAATCATCATCGGCCGAGGTTTCTTTATCATCTTCTTTGGTTTTAATTTTATTAGTATCAGAGTTGAACACATTCATTTCTGAAGCTTGACTTTCCTTACTCAGGCTCTGTAAACTTTGAGAAAAATCTCCAAAATTATCATCATTTGTGCTTGTGAAGTCATTAAAACTATCATCTTTAAAAGTTCCAAATTCATTAGTATCTTTTACTTGATTATTAGTTAAATCTGGTGGTAATTCACCACTTTTAAACTCATTTTTCGTTTTAGAAGGGGTGTCATTTTTGAAAGCTTCAAAAGGCTCACCCGCATCAACGTTCTTTGTTTCATGATTAGTGAGATCATGTGGTAATTTAGGACTCGTTAAGTCATCTTTCTCGTTAGTTGGAATGACATCAGGCTTAGGCGTGATTCCATTATTACTGCCACTGGTTTTTGCAACTTCGTTAGATGTGAATGCCTCAAAGCTGCCATAATCTGCTTCATCGAAGGAAGCGAATTCGTCATCTGAAGCATCATTGTTCATATCAATATGACTCCCAACTTTATCTGTGCTGGAATTACTCCCAAAATCCTTCCTCCAAAACAGCATTGTCATTATATTTTTTACCCCAATCACTTTCTTTCATATCTGCATTATTAAAACTCCCAAAATCTGCAAACTTGAAATCATCAGACTCATTTGTTTCTTCATTGGATGAAGTTTGTTCATTAATAGTCTCTTCACCTTTATTTGGAAAAGCTGAAAAATCACCAAAACTATGTTTATCAATGTCTGAATTATTTTTGTTCAAATTTGATGTTTGAGAAAAACCAGCAGAAAAATCCCCAAATTCTTCATTGCTAAAATCATCGTCGGATTTGGCATTGTTGGCAATATTTTCATTAAATCCATTCACCTCCAAAACTGATTCAGCACCAACGTCTGGTTTTTCTGAAGTACCAAAATGATTTGAACCATTTGATGCTTCAAAATTAGCAAATGCCTCAAATTTTTCTGTTGACGAATTTGGCTTTGTTTCAATATCTGTTCCCAAACTAGAATTCTCGTGTTCACCACATGCAGAAGACCTTTTCTCTGCGTCTCTCTTGAGCTTACTTTCAATTTTATTGAGCACTGCTTGGCCAATCGCATCAGTTTCTGACGAGAAAACAAATTCGCCATGGTCGTCATCATTAATACTATCCTCTAATGGTGGCGGCCCGTCGGCAAAAACCGTCGACAAATTCGACCCAAACATGGACGAATGATCAACATTGTAGTAAAGGGAGTGCGTGTCGTTCATATACCTATCCATTTTATACGCGCGTCGTCTTGTACGAGGTTAAAAGATACCAGTTTTGTCAAGAGCATTTCGCAAAATCGCTCATCGGTTCAAAGAACTTCAGAATCCATCCAGTGCTCTTACAAGCATGCCACATATTCAACGCCACAGCAATAGGTGATATTTCTTTGAAGAATGGGAGAAATTTGAAATGTTATTTTCTTGTACAAAGCTACATTTGATTTCCAAAAAACTCGTTTTATAAAAATATCATCTTACTTGTTTTCCGGCCGCCATTAATTTGCTATACATCTACCATGATGCATTGCAACTGGTAAAAATGGTAGAAGTGGAGACATCCCCCCGGGATAGAGGTTTTCAGATCTTCCCCTCAAGAAATACAGTTGATATCATTGGTTTATATGCGATTTTTTTAAGAGCGATTCGTCTTCTGCTTGATGTTAACGAGTCATGATTCTTGGTGGAGAAAACGACCCATAACGTCATCGGCTGATGTTTGCACTTTGCTTTGCCAACACAGATTATCTTTGTTTTCTTTTTCATGAGCTGCCCTTCCGGAGTTAGTTTCCGACTTCCGAGAATTATAGTCGCTTTTGATACAATACATATTGGCTGGTTCTTAATTAGCAAGCTTTCAAGATATTACAGAATTCAGCATGCAATGACGGGCAAAAAGTAATTTGATAATAGATAATGGTTGAGGTAACTAATACCGAGTTTTATGTGGTTTTACATGATTGATAAAAGGGCATAAAAGGAAAAATAAATAATTTTATTGTTTCAAAACAAAAGGCACAATTTACATCTTGAAAAGAATATTTTCTTCTGTTTCCTCCTTTAGTTTTGGTCAAGTATCGACATTTCGTTGACACTTGATGTCAGGTGAGAGAAATAGCGTAGAAAGGCAAAAAATGTGAACTGCTCATTATACATGAAGCAGTTTGGTAATATATTACTTCTATATTATTAGTTTTCAACCCTCCAAGTCAAGATTTAGTAGTGATTAATAACTATGGTGAGATAGAAAAGAGTCAATTAACCTGTGCTGCTACGCTCATTTCTTAGCAAATTATTTTTTTCAAAGGCCGTGATAATGGCCGATATTTTCTGTTTTTTCTCCTCGATATTTGAATCATTTCCCAAAATTCTACTTTGTATCAACTTGGCACATTCATGCGCCGTTTGGCCGAGGTTATCGCGCATGTTCAGATCAACGTCAATGGACAATAAGTAATCTACGCTTTCCTTGCACAAAGCACAGACCGCCTCGTGCAGGGGGGTGCGCCCTGTTGCGTTTGGTATGTTCAAAGATATTCCTGCCAGGTTCCAGGACTCCAAAAGTGAGACGTCATTGCTACTTGCAGCAACGCAGATCTCTGTGGCAATTCCAGCGACAACTGGACCGACTTGTCCACCGGAATCACGAAGCAGTCTGGGCAAGAAAACAAGACCGGCTTGATAAATTCTTCTGTTAAAAATATACTGGCGGTAATATACTATACTGGATAGACCTGCATATGTCGAACATATATGTTGTATTCTGATCTCATGAGAAAACACTGGATAGGGATCTATAAGAATGCAACTCGCGCGAAATTTGAGCAAATTGATAGTAACCTACCGTATCACGTCATTCTTTTTAAATCTTATAGCGTCCAAAAGAGGCGTCGCTCCATATTTATCAACCTTGTGCAGAGACGCGCCGTGTTCCAGTAACGTCTGAACCATTTTGAGATTACCGTTTGCGGCAGCGATATGTAGTGGTGTGCGGTCATCATACACAAGGGAACAGTCGACATTGTCCTGAAAAATAACGCGCATTATATGATAAACCAAACACGTGAAAACGCACAACTTGTAGCAAGTTCTGCGGGCAAGCTATCAACAGATTCAACGAGTTGTTTTCCTAGCTCTGTGGTTGTTCCACACTTTTTGACAACCTCAGACGATTTAGGAGGACCGAACTTGTTGATAGACTGCTTGCGAACTTGTTACAATACGTGTGTGGTGATTTAGCGCGGTGTGTCAGTGTTCGTTACCGTCTGTCTCCAATGTACCTTTTTACATAATTCCTCTACACTGTCAATGTGTCCAATTTGCGTTGCAGAGCACAATAAGAGCGGGTACAAAGCCTTACGGATAAAATGCATTTCCTAAAATAGCAAGTTTTCAATCTTATGAGTAGTTCGTGTGTAATCGTCTCTCAAAATGCCAGTTACGATTCTACGGACGGGTTTAGTAAAATTATAGAATGTGTTGAAACCTTAGCTGAACTTGCTCTTAGAGTGGAGGCAATGACACGAATGAAATCATTGTCTTTCAAAGAAAACTGCGACTCATCGACGGCCACCGTCATTTCGCCACGAATGTTGTTTTCCATGAGCTGAAATGAAGCGGTAAATGAAAAAGTATTAACACTCTGTATCGTGCTTGTGATTGGTTAATCCAATAGAGTTAACGCTTCTGATTGGTTCATGTTCCTTCTCTCGCTGATCTGTCACGCTCGTGATTGGTTAACCTGATAGAGTTATCGCTTCTGATTGGTTCATGTTCCTTCTCTCGCTGATCTGTCACCGCACGCTCGTGATTGGTTAACCTGATAGAGTTATCGCTTCTGATTGGTTCATGTTCCCTCAAAGGTGGCGGTAGTGCCTGTGAAAGTGAATCTCGCATATCAACTTACCCTCTTTTTTTCAGCCAACGGAATATCACGAAAGCCAAGTATGTAGGAGAGTTTCGTCAGCGCTGCCTCGGGGGTTATATCAGAACACGACACAATACCAATATCGGACAAAATCTACGAACACACACAGTGGAAAGTTCAAAAGCAAGAAACGAAATTCTATTTTCAGTCATGTCATTCTTTTTCATCCCATTTTCTACCTACAGATTCCATTTCATTCTATCAACCCCTGACTATACAACAACTTTCTTTTGTTTCATTCCGTGATGTTTCATTAAGTGCAAACGAATAAAACGCTACCTTTCCCGTCTCATAAGCCTTGATAACAGCTCCTTTTAAGCACTGTGTGCAATTGACAATGATCACTCCTCTCTCGACGGCTTCTTTTAGGATTTCAATGAAACGTGTTCGATGGTTTGGACAGTTTCCAGCACCAAACGACTCTAAAACTACGCCTTCGACTGGCGGACGGCATATCGACTCGACCTTCATTAAATTAAGTTAAAATAAAGATCACATATTGAGCAAATTCGCGCAGTTATCTAGTTCATACCTACCATAGCGTCAGTAATTCCTGGAAATAACCGGAGGACACCGACATTTGGATTTAATTCGACCCGCACTTCGAACTGTTTGCTTGAGTTGCTTCGAAAAATTGCATCCCAATGCACTAGAAGATACGGAAAAAGTTAGCAGTCGATATAACCAGGTGAACTTTCAGGCCTTTGCAAAGAATTAGACTGGCTTATTTTTCCACTAAAAAACTTTCGTCTGAAAGCGAGTTAATCTTTTTTTTGGCATAATGGTGTACTATAAGAGTTGTCGTGAAGAACCAAGATAGCAGCTATACTACACGTTAGTCTTTACCATCAATTTTCACCTCCATCGTTGCCAGAGGTGGAAGATTTGGCGAATCAAAGGCCTGAAAATCACCAGAATTGATTTTCGTTGTTCGATTTCCACGGTACAAGTTTCCATGAAAAAATAAAGTAACCTTAAACCAAATGAGAATTTGCATTAACTACAGGCATATTACAGCTTGGGGTGTCAGTGTCTTGGTTCAATAGCCAAGCTAGTATAACAACTGGACACACCTCTGGTATCACAAAATGACCGGCTATCATCAAAGCACCAAGAAGGTTATCTCTACCATCATTCCTCTGTTCAAATATGGGGACCTGTGTGGGGTAATCAAAACTCTAATTGCAATGCCATAAGACTATATTTGTCTACAAAAAACAAACATGACAATTTTGAAAACAGTTTTACCTGTGAACCAGTTAATATGACAGACTTGTCCAAATTTTGGAACATGAATGACAGCACTGAAGCAGTGTACGACATTGTGTCTGTTCCATGAAGAACAATAAAACTGTCAAATATTTCATAATTATTTTTCACATCCAATGCAATATCAACCCAGTCTTCCATTTGCATATTTGAAGAGTCTTTTTTCTGCTCGTATTCTTTAATATAGTAGAACACACGGACACCATACTCTGACAATCTAGTGTTAATGAACAATTTTTCACCACCAAATGTACTGATAACTGATGTACTCACAAGATATTCAATCTAATCTTACATGAAGTTTGTGACATTGACATCAGGTTTGAAGTCATATGAGAAAGCAGAATTTCCACAACTTTTTGCATATGACTGTCCTTATAGGGGGGGTCGGGGATGGCAATGACAAAAGAAAGAGACAAAAAAACATTTGAAAAGAATGTGTAATATTGGATATCCTATCAAGACTGATACCCTCAATCCCTGATGGTTGTCATTTTGAGGGAAATTTTCTTTAATTTGGAAACTCTGTCAGAGGAAGGTCTATTTCTATTCCATTTTACTATCATTCCACTCCATTCCATCCTACAACCTTGTCGATATTTTTATATCTAAATCTTTGAATATATACACTCTCAAATTTCACCATACTCCAGTATCACTGACCTATAGTAAAGTATAGGCCAGTGTCCAGTATGCATACCATTCTATTTCTATCATGGATTGCTACTTACGGCATAACCAGCTCAACAATATCTTTCTCACGACTAACATCCGGCCTTTTCCTGTTCACGTTCCCAACATAGCTGCTATCGTGTAGCATTGGCAGCTTCTTCAGAAACTCAGCCATGTTTGATCTGCATTTTAGCCCTAATATTTTGTAATTGAAAAAATATACAAGTATTTAGCAGTGTAAATAAAAGATCTTGTTGCCCAAACAACGCGTTGGCAATATATATTTGTCAACGTGTCGGGAGATGGAGAATATGATTCACGATATTAAGAATTGGACAATATTTCTAAGAAGAGTTTGCAAAACGCAGAATATAACGACCAACTTTTAAACAGTTAGCCCTCGTGTGAAAAATACTACAACTAGTGAAACTGTTTTACCACAAAACAGGCAAAAACAGACTGGATTTTTATTTTCATCGAGCAAACAACATTAATATTGCATGCTTTACATAACACCGCTACAAGCCTACAACTATAATTTTCAACTGACCATCTTCTGTTCCATACATGCCAATAGTTCCTCCTGTGTATAAAACCAAGACGTTCGCATATTTTCCAAGTTCACAATGCGATGAATCCCGTATAAGGTGAATAGAATCACTGTCTCGTTCCATTATCACTTTTACTTTTTCAATATTTTCGAGAGTTAGGTCAAACCATCATGATCTAATTCTAATCTCTTTGTAGTTTGTATGTTGTTTTTGTTATTGTCGGCTCAATTTCCCCATGGGGGTGATACATGGGATAAATAACAAATTTAAGGAATAATCCCCCCTGTCATTAATAAAAACACAGCGGGTAATACGGGGGGATATTTATGTAAATAACCTACCCACCGGTACACGAATTAGTTTTTGCGCCCACCTACGACATGCCCACATTTTGCCCACTTCGCTTGTAATCTGATTGGCTCGTGCGGTCTTTAGAACGAACTCGTGCAGGAAAAATGAAATTTCGTGCAGGTGGGAGGAATTTCACTGCAGCAAACAAGGAATTTCGTGCATGTAAAACGAAATGTGGTGCACAATATAGGGATTTTCATGCATTACTAAGGAATTCTCCTGCAAAAAATAGGAAATTTTATGCACTTTTAAGGAGTTTAAAGTGCAGAGAATTGAGATTTCATGCATTTCTAAATAATCCAAATGCAGAAATAATAATTTTGTGCAGTTTATCACAAATTAACTGCACAAAACAGGGATTTATAATGCAGTTTCTAATCATAAAATGTGCAGTTAAATTGATTAAGTGCAGCAGATAGTTCGATATTTAATATTCTATTTTATGTAGCAATTAAAAATATGATTAAGAAATATTGAAAAGCGCGTTCCACAAAAAAACCCAGACGGAGCGAAAGAAAGTATTAAAAAAGTAAATTATTCTTAAAGTATCAAATTTAAACAGAATATTTATCTTTAAATGTTGCAGTTTTTGCGTTGAAAATTCCGCGCAAAAACCCGCCAAAAAGAGCACGAATCGCGGCGAAATCTCCATGGAAACAACGCCATAATTTGTTTATTATTTACTGATGAAAGGGCGGTGGACGAAAGTTAATCTCATTGTTTATAAATCTAGAATTAAGCTTCTTTTAGTATCGTTTATCTGTTAATTCGTAATAAATTACACGTTGATATATGACCAGCTTGCTTTACGATGAAGTAATTTTTATCGAACATGCGAAATGGCAAAAACAACGCAGGATCCTGATCCTTTGGAAGCGGTATGTGACAATAATGAACTGAATACGAAATATCGGTTTTAAATGACTTGACGATGAACGTTTATACGTGCTTGTTATCACAGCAATTTTTATGAGTAGTCCGCTCTTTCAGGTACCACTCCAGCTGAATGAACAGTGGATATGGAAGGACGATACAAATTCCTTGGAACTTATCAGGTATAGTTTCATTGAACTAGGACTCAACTGGAATCCATTAGGATTCTCATTATTTTTCATCTTAATAGCAATATTTCTGGGTTATCTTCAACCAATCAGAGTAAGAAGTCAATCAAACCAACCACTGGATATGCCCATGAGAAACGCAATGATAGGTACCATGCATTCACTGGTATTATTATAATATGACTAAGCTGGCCATAATCATGTATGGTAACGCAATGATATACTAAAGAAGAAGTACTTACCTAACGACCAACAAAATGATCCATTAAATTTGTTATAACCAGTAGTTTGGTCGACCAGCCAAGGTAATGACGTAACCAACATACTACACACTGAATTGCTAACCAATTAACCCAGTGGCAAAGCAATTACCATAATAACAACTGGTTGAATCATTAAATATCCTTCAACTGCATTGTATTTTGACCATGATGTACAAATGTTAACTGATCATGATGTACAAATGTTGACCATATGACATACATAGTTTGACCATGATTACCAATGTTGACCATGACGTACAAATGTTGACCATTCCATACAAATATTTACCATGATATACCAACAATGACCAGATGATAATGAGCCATTTATAACATCTTGAGCTCTCCCTTTAGAATAACATCAAATTGTATGACCAAAAAATATGGTATGAAATTGCAAGCAGTTCCACCATCGACTGCTATGAGGGTCTCATCAGCCAAACCAAGCATACGTAGTGGTCTACCCACTGCAATCACATCAGAACATAACACCATCACAATAAATGATATCAAGACTGTGGCTAAGAATAATTGCCTCAATGACAGAACAAAAGATTCACCTTTATTCAAGAAAAATTATTTCAAGTAAGAATCATAACTCTTCCCTGAAGCATGTTTTATGTATTTACTACGTTTTGGCAGACTAGAAAATTATTATTTTCTTTTTAACACATGCAGTTCAGCTCAACTAGATGATTTCCTTTGGGCAGCATTGAATTATTTTGATGCTTTCTTCGAGAGAAAGCTGCTGGAGGAAAAGCCAAAACCTATGGCCGTGTAAGTTAAGTTTCCATTCTTAAACTTTGTGCTTACTGAGATTAAGCCCTTGTCAAGGAGAATGTCACAGGGAATTTGGTTGTATTTCAGTTACCAAAGACTAAAAATGGCCTATATATTTGCAATATCATGCATTCTTGTTCCCAGCTTTACACAGATCGAGGCAAAAGTAATATATATATATATATGGGCCGGGCTTTATTTTATTGCAGACAGCCAAGTTTGGCTGAGAAGAAAGCAATAGCCTTGGTTTTAAACAAGGAAGAGGAAGCGAAAAGATTTTTTGCTCAATGCTATGGAGTATTGGTACTTGGTTTGGGATTGAAGGACGCACATCATATGCATTGTGGAAGGTGGGGAAATTAATGTAAAGGGATATATACCATAGAGTTATGTCTATGCAGTCTTCAAACAAACTAGCATGTCTAAAAGGACCTCTTTATTTTCAGAAAACGAAACTCTGCAACACAAAGAGATCGGGAACTGTATGAGGTATGCATGATGATCAAACAAGACTCAAGAGATCTGTTAGTTTAAATACCATCTTGTCTGACACAAATTCTATTATCTATTTTTTACCAGAATTTATACAATTTTGTTGCAAATGTGACCTGGATCACATTTCGGCATCCAAACTTAGATGTTATAGAAAAGGAATTGGGAAGGTATTTAATAAATCACAATCAATTATTGAAACATTGTTTCTAACAGTTACCTTATTGCTGGCAATCAGTAACAGAGGTTCTTATATTCTGCAGGTTGCTGCGATCTGACACATTCAATCCAGCCATTCGCCCAAAGCATCCTGAAGGTGACCTGATATCCTGAAGTTAAAATAAACCAATTAACTTAATTGTCTCTATTGGCAAGTAAAATGATCCGGGATTGTACATGGAATTCTATACATTCATATACATTCGTATTATCTGCAGAATATTTTGGTAAAGACCATCTGAAGCAGGACCATAACTTGTCACCACTCACTCCAGCAGAATACAGAAGGCTGCAACAGTATGTACTATTGCATGCATGCAAGTGCATGCCATGTGAATTTTTACCCCTTAATTAGGTTGCAGTGTATATACAACTTTTTTTCCCACAGAAAACGGCCAGCTATCAAGTCAATTGTAAAGTAAGTGTCTTAACAAAAAAATAATACAGCAAATATTCAGATATGGTGGTATACCTGGGTATACCTAGTCCCTAAGTAATTAGAATCCAATCTTTCAGTGCACTGATTTCATATCTATTTTAACTGGACAGTCAAAGATCTCCAGTAATCTCGGCTATAATTCCAACATCGACTGAGGCAGCAAAACAATGTAAAACACGACAAGAGATGAACTCTCTCATAACAATGTAAGTGACAAGTTTTCACAATTGCACACAGAAATATTCATCTGTTTAAATACTAATTAGTTTAATATACATATGCTATTGCCTATGAACCTATATATAATAGCTCAAATGTTTCAATACTCAATCCTTACAGGGAATACAAACACACTATGGAGTTCCCTAAAAGGTAGCTAGCATGAATTGTTTGATAAAACTCTTATCTTTCTTCCTTTCATCTTACCTTTTTATCAACAAGTTGAATTAAAATGTGTAACTTTGTATGCAGAGGCTCAGCGCTGATCTGATCGATTCAGTAACAGCTTTTATTGTTGGTATAGAGTTGGAATAATTGGTGAAGCAACATCAGGATTTAATGCTGAGACCTTGATGCCGTTGGGTGAAGATCAAGATATGAGTCAGGTTGAAATCATATCTGATGACTGCAGTATGCAAGAAATAAAATCCAGGTAATGCAATTGCTGCAAATAGCCTTCCCTGATTTGCACTTTGCATTCATCCTTTACAACTTACTTTTTATTTCTTCAGTAATATTTTGTTTGGATCAGCTGATCAAAATTTTGTTCCTGAAGGTGAGAAACAGGAAGTATAATTTCAGTATGAATGAACTCTACTATTAATAAAATTATTGTTACTGGTTCCAGGTAAACAAGCGAGGCACCCAGTGGAGTCCTTATCGGTTGAATAGGAATTCACCTACGTTTACAGAATATAATTTAACACTATAGACTCAATAAAATTGAGAGCATTTTATACAATGTAATTATTATACTTTCTATTTTGTACAATTCAAATATTAAATATAATATATTTTCATGTCATACACACCTTGAAATCATCATGTTGATGCAAGTTGTTCAAAACAGATTGAATAATGTTGTTCTGCACCCTGTGAACAGCATTGTTGCCAATCATTGTTGTCAATCATGTCAACAAGAAATATGGTATATTCGACCTTGGTGGGTTGAAGATATAAAACCATGGAAATCCGACCATGGAATATGGTATACTCGACCATGGTAGAATATACAGGAATATGGTATACTCGACCATGGTAGAATAAACAGGAATATGGTATACTCGACCATGGTAGATAAACAGGAATATGATATACTCAACCATGCATGGTAGCTAGAATATACTGGAAAACGGTATACTCGACCATAGTCGAATATATCGAAATATGGTATTGTATTATTATGGTATTTTGCATATTGCATGATTTGTATCATATTTCAAACACGCACTTTACGCGGCACGTCCCGCGCGGGAAGATGTATCAATCGAGGTAAATTTAGATTTTAGATGGAAATCATGGAATCTTTGTAATTTTCTGAGCGAAATATGAAGCGAAACAGGCGAAAATAAAGGAAACGATGGAGAGTACACAATTTTCTGGGAAAAATTTCTACGAAGTGTTAGGTGTTGATCCTGATGCCACCCAAAATGAAATAAAAAAGATGTACCAAGCTTTAGTCTTGAAGGTAGAATTATAGAATCACATTTTTACTCATTTGAAGAATTTTGTAGGAATTTGAAAATTTCTCCTATGTAATACCAAGTTTGTTTAAAAGTGGTGTTAATTTGGTATATTTCTTTAACTATAATGCACTGTAAGAATTTACGTGCAATGTACACAACACTCCAATATGATTACAAGATGGTGATACTAGATCACATAATATATCAAGCAAATACCCTACCATGTTCAAAATCACTTGTAGTACCATCCGGATAAATATGATGTGGCAAACATTACATGCACAAGCGATGAAGCTAAGGATTATTTTTACCTTATTGACAAAGCATGGAAGACATTGAATGATCCCAAGTCTCGCATTGAATATGATGAAATGTTGAGAGGTAAGAATAACTGATTATTGACCGAACATGACGTCTGTACTGTGAAATATCAGACTGGGGCTTTTATAGACCGAGCTAGTATAGACCGAGCAACGAAGGAGTGAGGTCCATGCAAAAAGCCTAGTTCTGATATTTTACATCTGAAATTTATTATTGCAGATGAGAAGTTAGACCAAGACTTCCCAGTTAATGCAGAAGTTAAACTTTCCGAAATGGAATTTGATGAAGGTATATGTGATAGAAGTTATAATTTTTTAACCAGGACTAGCCCATACTTTCTCTTCTTTAAATTCCTAGAATATGAGCATTACACATGGCCTTGTCGCTGCAGTGGTTCATACGAATTTACGAATGAAAATTTATACAAGGAAGAGAATATCATTTGCTGTACAACATGTTCTTTGACAATTAGAGTACTACACAACTCTCAACAACAGGAATGAAAAGTAGCATTGGTTCTGACCAAAGAGAAGGGCCGAAAGTATTCGAAAAGAATCGAGTGAACAGCAAAGAAACCGGGTATAACTCTGCGAGAGTGGGATTATTACTCGTTCAGAGCAAATATGTGAGGTTTTTGAATGCTCATAATAAATGTATTATGAGAAAATGTCATTTGTTGCACAACATGTTTTTTGACAATTTGAGTCTTAAACAAGTCTCGACAACAGGGACGAAAAGTAGTATTCGTTGACTGAATGTCCTACATAATGATTACAGTTCAGATTATGTACATTATTTATACAATACATCAATTGTGTACTTCTAGTACTTTTGATAGATATTTAAGCAATATTTACAAAATTTATGGCAAACTTTCAACTACATTAAAGAAATGATAAACTTCATCTTTATCAAAAACTGCCACTTCAGTATTACAAGAAGTGCACTGAACTGGGTTGTAGAGTTCTGACTCTTTCTCCAATGAAACACCAGCATCTGGTTGTTTGTTTTTCTTTGATGATTTTTTTTTCTGTTTTTTATCTTCATAACGCAATGTTTCATCAGCTACCACTTTGCAGTTCATTACAAACATTGCTCGAAACTGTTGTTTATATATGTCATGCCTAGATGAAAAAGGAATTGATTAGACGCCCTTCTAATCTCAAAAATTTCCCATTGTTCATACAACTGATAAACATAGCCTGGATAAGAAAACTATGTGAAAAAAGCAGATTTATTCCCACAACCAAAGGGGACTCCTTACCTCTGACAATCAACACAGAGTGTGGTCAAACATGCTGGACATGCCAACATGGCATCACTTGTGAAATTATTTTTTGAAGATTTCTTTTTGGGTTTTTTATTTGGTTCGAAATCATCCTTGTTTCCATCAATCTCCTCTCCACATTTTGGCTCTACAACTAAAAGATAAGATAATTAACACCCATGGCATAAACTGTGAAAGGGCATCGTAAAAGCCAACGTCAAATGATTCTGATATGAGAAACCCTGAATCACATTTTTATCTGGAACTGCCTCAGGAAACTATTTTACCAACCTTGCTGGTATTCCCGTCTTTGTTGTTTCACCCATTTCTCATCTTCACTGTCCATGTTTGGATCATACAAAAGTTCATCGTCAGATTTCATCATCCTTCGTTCCTTTGATTTTGAAGATAATCCTCCGACATTATCTTCATCATCCTCACTGCCTGAACTAAAATATATCTCATCATAAGTCACACTCTTTTTTTCTTCTTTATCTTCGGTATTATCACCCATTTCCATGGAACTGCTTTGTCCTGTTGTGTCTTTTTTTCCATCCTCAGCTTTATCCGCTGGCTTTTCTGCAGCTGAAAAGATTGAACAGGGTGATAAAAAATATTGAGGAATTCACCACCTCTTCGTCATGTTTCCAACAGAGTCCCTCGATAACCTACATGATACAAGGTTATACCTCTAGAACGGTCGTCAAAGAGTTGTTTACTGTATTTTGCAAATTCTTCATTTAATTCCTGTTCCATCTCTTTCTCAAAACTGTCGCTGTCACTTCCTCCATATTTCCTCTCATAATGAGCAAAATCTTGATCAATCTCATCTCCTGAACTGAATATCAATTGGGATCATTGCAAAGGAGAATCCTTTAGTAGTTTACACATACATCCTTTCAGTCGTCCCATAAAATTCTATTTAGTGAAAGTGTGTGAAACCTCCAAATATTTGGAAGTTTCAAAGACTGAAAGTGGACAGGCCACATTTATAAACAGTACTCAATGCCTTATGGATTTAAGAATTTACCTGTTTCCTCCTTCATCTTCTGATGAACTGTCAACACCAAGATAAAAGTCTGATGAAGACGATAGATCTTCCCCAAAACGGGGGAATCTCTCCATAACTTCTCTCCACCAACAAGTCGATTCCACAACGTTTTAGGGGAGTTTTTGCATACGTCATGTATGCTAATTATTGTGTCCCGATAATGTTTCCACCTTTTGAAAAATGTCCCAATTTTGTAATCGCGCATATTACAGATTACCCGTAATTTCCGTAATCATCATAATCTTTCGAATCATAGAATAGAACGGGAAAACGAATGTTACCCGCAATTTGATTGGCTTAACAGCGATTTGCACTGTCATGGAGCCAAATCAGCCAATCAAACTTCGCGTAGTATCTTGCATTCCGTGTTTGAAATCATTCCAAAAAAGACTCACTGGGGATATTTTTAGGTACAAACACAACAGGCGACCTTCAAAAAACTTCGAAATTCAAGTCGTGATAATTAGAAAATAACTATTTCACATGTGTCGGTATATTACAAGGGTGAATTCTGTATAGTACATATTTTCATCAGTTTACTAAGTGGGTAAGGGAATGCCTCTGGGATCAGTTGCAGGCGGCTCTAACAGGTTCTTCATCAGTTGATTCAACCATCGTTTTGTTGAAGGATCATCTTTCAGACAATTTCCGAATGTTGTGTCCTTAAGCTGGTCGGGCAAACACTGACGCAAAGCTTCTCTCGCCCTAAAAATGATTTGAATTTTGCAGTCTTTTGAAGTCTTCTACAGTGGTCTAATATAGTATGCGACATGTTCGACCGTGTTTAATAGTCACTAGGATAGCGTGTTTGTCCAGTTTTATATTGCGCCCTCTGACGAATTAGTAACAAATTAAAATTGACGTCATAACGCAGACTTTCTATACAGATTTATCCCTGGATCTATGTATACTGTAATTAATTGTTCTCATCACTGACCGCAATATAAAACTGGATGCTACCTGGTTCTTATAGCTTACCTGGGGTTGTCAGACAGCCTGAGGTAACATCGCACAACATGTTTCAAAAGTCTTGCGGACTGATCCTTTGCTAACGCTAACACCATTTTACCCTGGGAAAATAATACACATGTTGCATGCTAAAAAATCTTCAGCTGGGTTGCAAAGCAGGCTTCACCTACCAGTATCATTGCCACATGAGAAAACCGTTCATATGTCTGACAAATGTATGACAGGCCAGTCTCATCCAGGAGAATCTTTTGAAGAATGAATGTGGCTACCTAAAAAACGGAATATAATAGTTACATTTTTACAATGCGAAATGTAAGTTTGGATTTGGAACTCTTTCTTGAGAAAACAGGAATTCTTACAGTTTTTGATAATTCACTACCAGACTCCATTATTCTTAAACACAAAGGAATGATTTCTGTAGTGAGGAGAAAATTTATCACTTCTGGCTCGTCCGTCTGAAAAAAATATTCACACTTGGCATTAAGCAGGAAAAATCAAAACATTTACCACAAACACTTTCTGACCTACCTTCACAAGGGCACCAACAACTCCCAAGCTGGTGAGTCTAAGATATTCAAATGGTCTAGTCTTGCTTGTTGTGTGTAGGAAAGGATATAGAAACAGTGGAATATGCGCTGATAAAAAACAATTGAATATTATGATTGCTGAAGCTACAAATTATAAAGAAAGATGGACAAAAAGTGCAATAGTACGGCTTCTAGATCTCTACCTTGTAAGAATGATGTTCGTGTCTCAGGATGTGAGGCAACACATTGCAACAATGCAAGGGCATTGCATACTCTGTTGGACTGGTGAGCCTAAAATTAAACGTAATACATGTATACCACTTGTTTATATAGGAACAAACAATGTTTCTGCTTGGAAACTTGAGTTCTTTATCTTTGGGGTGCAATTAGCAGATTTTCACATTTGAAAAACACTCCAAATTTCTTCAATTCGAATGCAAGATTCATTCAGTCTTTTCATCCTAAACTTACTGTCAAATTTGGAGGATTAATCACAGGGTAAATGTTGACAATTTCTTGAAGAAGTGCAGCGATTGTTCCTAAACAAATAAATTTCAATGAAAAGGATATTAAAATTTGGGCTCATATCACATCACCCCAGACACTGTAATATAATAATATTGGAATAATCTGGTAATGAAAACAAAAATAGTTCTTTCTTACCAAAGGAGTGCCATAGCATTGGAGCCAAATCTTGAACCACCTCCCTTTTTTTACTGAAATGATACCAAGAATTTTCATTTTTTTCAGAAATGTGAAAATTAAAATTTTGGGGAGGGAGGGAGTTTGTTTGTCTAGTCTGGGCTTGCGGCAAACTCCTCACATCAATATAGTTCATGTATGCCTACCTTAATTCAAGAAGGGCATGTTCTCTTGTCTCAGCATTCGACAGCTCGATGATCCATGAATAGATCTTCTCTCGTTCCGCATCAGACAACGGGGCAACTTGCGCATGATGGGAAAATGGCCGTGGCTAAAATTCATCAAGAATATCCTGCTGAGCGTCTTAATGTCTGGAATATGATCTCTTAAGGGATGTTCATGCTGTTTAATTTTTGTTTGTCTGATAAGAGGAATACGTTTATGAAACCCAATATTCTGTCACTGTCAGCATGACAACACCCAACTCATTTAAAAACATCCAATATTTATTGTCCAGCAACATTTACATCTGTCTGACAAGTTTGCAATAAACACAATTAAGCTAGAGTTGTCATGAATCATATTTATAGTGATTGTCATCAAAATCCATTTTTGCCATTATCACGTTATGCAAACAATAGCCCGTCGTCGGTCGTCGGCCCGTCCTGAAGGCTGAAGTTGTACACAATTGTAAAGATTTGTAAATGTGATTATGGTGAGCTTTTTTATTACTAATAAATGTACTATATTAACATTTGTCTATAGAATTAAATTTTACTCAATTTATTCGTATTAAAAAGCTATTAAAAATTATTAATCCCTGTAAAACTATATACAAGTTCACAAACATTTTAGACTACAAAACCTACGGCAACAACAGCGATTTATGTAACAAGAAATATTTCATTACCTGGCTTGCCATCTGGTGCATCATCTCAGTACAAAAAAGAAATATAAACGTCCAAAAATCCACAAAATATTTTACAATTTACTAAAATGAAAGCTAGTTTTGTTTATTTTCTTTGTTAGTGCCTGCGTTACGTTATGCACAGCAGTCACTGTTTATGAATTACTTCATCTTACTATTTATTGTACCACGAGTAAAACTGGCGAGAGACTGGTGAGAGTGAACGCGCAGAAAAGCTTCAAGACGCTGTTACATTATGCAATTTTTCTTGGAACTTGCAATACAATTATAATTTTGAGGGATGTTAATTTGTAAAGAGTGGTCGTAATGCTAAGAAAACGTTCACTGATCGTAAGAGATGTTCGTAGTTGACAACTTTAGATGTCTCAGGAGTAGAATTGCATTGCAAGTTGGAAGGAAAGTTGAATAGTGTAACACCGCCTTCACTGCTCACTGCTCCTCCCCCTCCTATATCCCTACTCACTACCTCGCGCCACCCAAAGTACTGAAAGTTAATGGTCTAAATCATCCTTTTTTTCACCCTGATACCTCAAAATTTTAGCTTCAAATCATCCTGTCAATATTCTGTTTTCTAATTTCTAATATCACCTGTTTCCTATCACGAATCGCAGGGTTTATTACATTCTGCATCCAATAAATCAAAAAACGTCAAAAACTCGAAACTTCAAAAGTAACTTTATTCGTTTTTGGATTGTTTTCCCCTTAGGCGAGCAGTCTAAAATAATTGAGAAAATTAAAACAACACTATATTTAAACAGAAGGCACTTTTTCGGTCAATTTATGTTAAACACGGATACACAATTTCCGTTTTTATTTGAATAAGCAGACTTGATCAAACAGTATTATCAAACAAGCATGTGAATGTCTCACAGGATAAGACGGAAGACATTAAAATAGCTGGGGTATTAAATTACAAAGAGCATGTCCGAACACAGTCAACACACAACATATGTTGTGACATTCGGGTCACAACTGCAAATATATTTCACAACACTGCCGGACATAGAATAACGAACAATCTTATTGCTTTTGGACATTTCAACAAAATCCAAGGAACAGGTATGGCTATCGCTATGTCTCGACGATTTTCAATTCAAAATATTCAAGACATGCTAATGCATGTTACAACAAGTGCAAAATCACACATACGACCAAATCCGTCTTAAGTACTTCGGCATCGCAGCTCGCCTGCAATTTGTGGAACCGTAATTATACTGATTGTAATAATGATTTCAACCTTCATTATGTTGATTAGAAACACAAATAGCAATTATTGGAAAGACGAGAGAAAAATTCAAAGTAGTATAAATTTTACGAATCGTGTGTAGTATAAACAGCTCTCTGTACAGACACAGTGTCAATATAGATTAGAATCACGTGAGATTATAAACGACTCTTGTACATGTGTGAACAAGTCAGTGAGGTAAGATTAATCGTGTCTGTACAAGCTCAAAAACTCCCCCATCTTTACTGAATGCTATATTTTTTGCTTGGGAATTACATTCATATCAGAACTCGCGCTAATTTTACGTAGGTATAGCCCACCATATTGCACCGAAGTTCCATTTTCTATCGTTTGATTTTAATTTGTGTGCTTGACAAATTGACCATAGATCGATTGAGACAGCCTTCCGCCTTCGGTGAACAATATTACTATATTTAACCTGTCTGTTTGTGACGTTAGCAAACAGGATAGTTTCTTTGTGTTTAAGCCGAATTAGTTCTGTCTGTAATTCCTGTCTTATCGCGTCCCGAGAATGATTTTCCTGGGTTGAAAACAGCCCAGTCGATTGAGTCGAACGAGCATGAATGTGTTTGTAGAACGGCATGTGATCTAGCTATAATGAACAGTATAGCAAAAAGCATAGCTACACGGCAGTTTTAGAAGAAAATTTATAGTATTTTCACATTTTCCCTGAAAGGCAAAGATCATGGCCTCTAGCAGTCAAGCAATCGAGAAAATTGCAATACAGGATGCGAGCAATCTAAGCTCTACGGGAGAACTGGAGAGGTTAGTCTGGTCACCATCATGAATCACTTACAAAGACATTAACGTAACGCATTGAAGGACAATACCGAAGTAGGGTGTCCATTTGGGACACGATTATTCACCTTGACCATTTGCAAAAGAATTTGCAAAGAAATTGCATTTTTTGTTTCCCAGGCTGAACAATTGTTTGAAGGAAGCTATGAAAAAGAATCAAGATCTTGAAGAGATGCTGCTTTATACGGTAAGGATCGCGTGAAGACACTCATAGTCAAATGGATGGAAATTTATACTTATCGTATAGTTCTCGAGTAATGTTCGAATTCAAGCTATGTTCGTCAAAGTAGTGTCGAAGTGCGTATATCGGACTTTGCAAGTTTCTGTTGAAAGTTGCGGAGTTCAAAAGGTCCATGAATCGAATTTACAACACAATTAACACAGTATTAATTTGATTATCTACAGTAATAAAACTTAATAAACCAAATGTTCAGTTTTTGAAGAAACAAATTGATTTTCACGGAGGTAATATGAAAATTAAATCAGTCACCATCCATGGTCCACCTCACGTTATATACTGTGTACCGACAACGCATTTTTTTTCTCTTAAAAAAGCATTATTGGCAAATGCTCAATCAAGTTTGCTGGAAAGATTTTCAAGTGTTTTTACTTGAGTTGAGTGTCCGACATAAAGCAGCCAGCATGATTTGCGCACTGAGTATAAAAAAATGAACATATTTGCGCGCGTTTGCATCTTCAACGATGAATCGTTGGGGCGTCGAAATTTTTGAATGACGAAAATAGGTGATTCTTGCTTTTATGTGTGAATTTCTATGCGCCGGTTTGGCGATTTCATTTCAGACATGCGTAATACATGTTTTGGTTTGTTCTTCAGGCCCAAGAGCTGGAAAAGGAGAAAGAAAACTCGAGAAGAATTGTTCAAACTTTAACCGAACGCTTGATGGAATACAGAGAGATGATCAATAAATTGGAAGTTGAAAATGTAAGAGGCTTCTTTCTAACTTTGAAATCGCTGAAAATACTTTTACAAAACTCCATCCATTTGACCCTATCAAATTGCCAGCAAGGCGTCGAGCTTTGAAAGTTCCTGTTCCGTATCTAAACTATCATTGTTTTACTGGCCACAAAAAGGAATTTAATTCGTCGGTTTTTATATTTCCAGATGCGCTATAAGAAAGACTGTATGTTAGCAGTTGAACTACTGCAATGCAACAGAAAAGTTGAGCAAAGCGAGGTCTCAAAGACAGTCAGAAGGGTAAAAGACAAATTCTAAATTGCCGTTAGCAATTGCATCCATTCAGCACCCCATACGACTTTCCTTATTAGGCATTCATTTTCGTCTTTTTATTTCAGTTGTCTGATTATGATCAACCGGAGCCTCACACGCGTGGAATTGGAACCAACCCGTTCGCAATCCAGGATAATAAACCAGATTCAACCGTTGATCCCAAGATTACGAAAGACGAAACCAGACACCTTCAACCAAACAGACCTGAAATGGCGAGCATTAAAAAGAAAAAAAACGAAGCTGGGATATCAGGTAACAATGCTGAAGACACAGCTGCATTGCTTGAAGTGGATGACGAAGTTTCAATGCATGGAAAACACCTGCTGAAAAAGGAAGCAAAAATTTCAAATGGGGGCAATATGCTGGATTACCACAAGCACCCAAGTGGGAATCCGTTCAAGGCAGCTTCAGACCAAACCAATATGGCTGGTGTACCTTTGATTAATGGCACTTGCAGTGAAGGAAAACCGTCTGATGATCAGTCGAGTTTTGCTAAAGAAACGAACTTGAACAACAAAGACATACGTCAATGTTTTACGAACGAACACGAGGAGAATGCAGGAAGTACTTCAAGCACTGAAGATAAATTGAATAGCATAGTTCTGGACGGAACAGAGAAGGAAGGTTGCTGTCCAAAAACTGAAACCGAATGCTTGAACGATGAGGAAGATAGACCTCTGATTGTAAACGAAGCAAGGTCTTCGAAACAGCCAAGCTATGTTGCACCGAAGACTAACGAAAACACAGAACTCCGCCGTGAACATGCGAAGACAAAGGTGTGCGATGACAAGAGTAACGTGGATAAGGAAATTAACGAGGTTGAAGAAGATACTAGCTTAATATTATCAACTGAAACGAAGACAGAAGATGATGTTTTTCACGTCAACTCTGTTCGAGGCGAACCCGAGGGCGATAACGAAAACGATAGTCTGCTTGATCAGAGAAAGAACGAAGGTGTCCCACAAGAAATTTCATCAGAGGACGATGTAAAACTGAGCATATTTGTGGCATTCGATGAAGATAACACTGTTCAGACCGAGGATGATGACCAAGAAGCGTCAATGGATCATGACTCGCAAATCAAAAAGGACGAAACTGAGTCAAATGGTAAAGAAGTTGCCACAAAACTTGAAGAAGCAGAGCCAGAGGACGAAACATTGACGGGCGAAGAAAACACGCCACTTGTTTAATTGATTGCTAATATCTAACAAAACTTGTTCTCTCAGACAACACAATATGCAAACTATATTTAAGTAAAAAATTCGAAACATTTTCCTAAATGACGGCTTTGATTAAGGATAATATGAATTGCTATATCACTCTACGTTTAAATTTTGTATTATATATAAATATCAATAAATTTATTCCCGCTGCAAATCGACTCAATTCCCCTTCGCCCAAATTCGCTCGCAAATGCCGTTTGCTTGCGAAAAATATTCTAACCCCGGGGCAATGTAATGCGTTCAATAAAAAAAATTGTGGCGGGCTCTTCGTTATATTGTTGTTCCAGAACTTTGTTGACAAGCTGGCGCGTTAGAGCATAGGCCCGAGGCTATTCGGAATACGCGGAATGGATATTTTGAGATTGTTTTGCTAGTGAATGTGACCGAATATTATTATTTTTTTACAGCCCCTAGTTTTGACCCCCCTTTAGCAGCACGCTTTTCTTTCAAAGCTTGTTCTCTTTGCTTTCTTCTTTCCTCCCGTTTTTTCCTCGCCTTATCAGCTTCGCTTTCCTTCGTGTTCTGTTCAAAACTATCAAAATTATCCCATCCCCCAGTGTCCCAGCTATCGCCCGCGGTCCCGGAGTTCCCATCACTCCCTGCGTCGACCGCGGCCGAGCTGGGATTGGTTACTACTTGGCCCGAGTCCTCCAAAGGAGCCCAGTCATCGGAGCCCCATCCGTCGACTGACTGAGAACTTGTGTCTTGTTTTGCACGAGTTTTGGCGCTCGCTTTACTCTTTTTACTTTCCTCTGTTTTCTTTGTGGATATTTTAAACGTCTGCGGTGAATTTTCAACCTTCTTAGTACTCTATTTAAGAAAAGCAAAATGAATTTCGCAGCCGGGTTTCACTAAGAGAGCAAAATAGAAAACAATGACAATGTCTTGCAGCTTGTTTTGCAAAAAATGTTGCGAGTCCACTACAGTCTACAAAAGCACAAATACAACCAAAAATGACAAACCTTGCTTGAATTGTTTTTACCATCTTGTTGGAAGAAACTTTCTGTCCAATTATCGTCTTGTACAAAACTATCCTTCATGTTACTCCAGTCGTTATCCCAAGCAGAGCCTTGATTCATCGCAGGAACCTGACTCGCTGGCTTGTTTTGACTTGTATCGGACATTAATTCAGACAACAAGTCATCTTCGTTTACGCCGGATTTTTTCTTGCCACTTGAAAGCTTCAGCGCACCGGATTTCCTGCCTTTTCCTTTAGACTGAAAGGTTAAAAATGTGTTTGGGATTCTAGTTTCAGAGTCGGACAGCTTATTCAACACCGACGAGATCATAATTTCGCCTTGACATTTGAAAGTTGTGCGATAATTAAGAGCCTAGCTAACCCTGCGCTGAAAGTACAGTGGATTACCCCGGGTACTCCTGGTATTTCTGAGAGTTTATTGGCAAGGAGGGGGGGGGGTTGGTTGGTTTGAAGCCATTGCCAATAAGTCAATACTTCACTGATCGCTAATCTGACTTATAGTCTCCTGGAAAGATAACCTGCCTTTACAAGCGTGTTTCCGCTTACCAATGCATTACTTGCGGGAGCCTTCACGTTGTTCGAATTGCTTTCACTTTTGCCCCAATTGTCTTGGTCCCAGTCTCCAAAGTCGCTATCGCTATCCTCCTCCTTGTCAGAAGAGACTTCCCCCTAAAGCAAAGTTACCGTTGATGTAAAGGGTTCTCAATCAAGGCTATCACAACGTGTAGGAAATATGTCTGCTTGACAGACGCTCTGGAATATGACGCACCTATAAACCACCTTGAATGCAGGCTATGCAAAACCCGACAGGAAACGTGTAGGTCAGGAAATTGTAACAATACATACCTCTGGTTCGTCATGGCTGATGGCTGATGATAGTTCATTTCTAGCATCCATCAAGTCTTTCCTTACGCTACTCATTGAATCCTTAACAAAACCCCCAAAAATATTTACTTTCGGGACTCGAGAGCAATTCTTGAATACAAGCAATGTCCCTACGTACCTTTTCATTATCCCATTCATCCTCTTGCCATCCCTCTTCACCCCATTCATCCCCTTCATAATCACTGTCAGAGTTTGCTTTGAGTTGAGGGTCATTGTTCTGACCCGTGCGGTCAGTGGCAGAGGTTATCTCTGGTGTATTAGTGCTGACCTTCGACGGACCTTTGAAAAATTTGGCCCACAATTGGAGGGAATTTTCGACTGCAAAGTATCGAAGATTTTCGCAGTCCAGTGTTGAAATATCGTAACTTCAAACCCAACTTACTTTTAACCTGTCGCGGTTGAGTTGCTGATCGAGTTTCCTTGCCTTGCACGTCTTCTGAAGCACTTCCTTTATATAATTTTGAAGATATGGAACTCATAGCCCAACCAGTCCATGTCCCGGATGCAGTGCCAGACCCCTCAGTCGACGTCGGAGCGTCGCCTGGAATAGTGTGTTTATTTAGTTCAAGTATACATACGTCTGTTTAATAAATCAATTCACAAAGCGCTATCGTAAAGCGATATTTCATTCAATGGCTTACTTGTAGCGCTTTCTTTTTCAGAGACGTCTTCGGAACTCTTCTCAACCTTTCCCAAAATCAGGCGGATCGCTTTGAAAGTCTTGAGAAAAAATTTACGATGAACACAAAATCAGTAAACAAGCATTTAACACAAGCTCCTTGGATACATTTTTGCACACACTTGTAAACGAACATTTTGAGAGACATACCCACCAGCCTCGTCACCAGGCTCTCAGTTATGCGGCGAGGCAATGTAGTGTAGGCCTGGGAACAAAGACAGCTCAAGACTGCGAGGTAGGAGAGCAATGAAAAGAGACTAGAACAAAGTTTAAACACACTTACTTGGTCTCTAACGGACTTATCGGGATCGATCGTCATGGTACACAAGGCTGGTAAAACCCTCGTTGCACATTCGTGTACCGCCGTGTATTCAAGTGTCCCACATAACGCGTTGATTCCAGCCATTTTTGCAGGGGGGAACGGATCTCGTAAGGCGCGAAGGAATGCAGCGACAATCACTTTTTGACGTGTCTAAATTTAAGAAAGATATTCGAGGTGTCATTCACAGCAGCTCTAATGATTACTTGTAGCAGTCTAGCGTTATTTCACAATAAAATGGAAAAAAATCATAAAAATTATCCTGATGAATATGATATAAGTCTGTTTAAAAGCCTTCATCTCTTATGCAAACGTGGGACAAAGTTATCAATTCACATAATATTCTCCACACGACAATTCACCTCATCAAAATACTCACTGCTTCAGGAAGATGTCGGGCGATCTTTCCCAAACACACGGTCGTATTGGTTCGAATACTTGGCTGAAAAACAAGACGAAATAAACGCCAATTTAAAAAACAACAAAGACAAGAGTCTTTGCCATTCCAAACCAAGAGAACTCGCATTTGACAGCATTCAATATGACCATATTTATAACAATTTATTCGAATAATGTTTAAACGAATATCGACTCAATACCTGTTCATCCATTTGAAGTTTTGCAAAAAACTTCAGAAGCTGATTGTTTATTGTTTTTTCGGTCAGTTTTGGCGTCAAGAGAAGCATTGACTGTAAAATGAAAGCATAAAATTGTCTCTACATCGCAGCTATCATTGCAACTAAAAGGCTGGTTCTCATTGCATCATCTCACCTTGATCGTGTGCTCTCTCATGGCGGGCACCGTGTCTCCAAATCCTAACGCAACGTTCGGAAAGATCTGATCGTTCACCACGGATGGTTGCAAATACTGCACGAAATTATCCAACTGAAATGCAGAAACAATATAATTGAATACGAAAGTCTTTAGACCAAATAGACCAAAGCCTAGGAACATTCCCAGTCTTCAAACAACCTGTTGTAACAACTGAATCCTTGTCGCCCTGTCGGTTGACGAAAACAGTTTGACAACACAAGGAACAATTCTTTGTTGATATTCTTCTGCTTCAAGGAGCTTACCGATCTGAAATTTTAAATGGAATATTTTATAATCGTCTCTTGCAATGGGAGACCCAGGCCAATTCATCTTCCCTTTTTAATAACCAGCAGACGCCAGTTGTATAAAAGCTGGTTAACTTTTAACTGTGATTAAGGACACAATTTCGGAGTTAGCTAGGGTTTAACTATGCAAAATGTAATTAAAGAGTTTTATACAACCGGCCCCTGATGGATAAGCAGTTCATTTTAAGGTCAATCGATTGTAGGATCTAGAAATTACTTTCTCACCTTAAACAGCGGAGCAAGAACAGTGGATCCAGCCGAACCGTATTCGAACGCGTTCAAAAGCAATGGCAAGATTTGCATTTTACAATATTGTTGTGGAAATGAATCAAGTTGAGAGCTCAACGATTTGAAAAATTCCTTTTGTTCTTCTTGAGATTTCATCTAGAGAAGGAGAAAATTTGAAAAAAAGATACGACAGTTCTAGGACAGCAGACGAAAACTATCATTTCTTCAGTATATCATTACTCACCTGTATTTCGGCTAGGAACAAATTCGACTCCACAAAGCTGTTCGCAAGATACTGTCCTTTGGCGCGACATTGAGCAATGAACTTCGCAGGATCCGGCCTGGTTTTCGGATTTGCACTCACAAGTTCGCCATAATGGCTGAGTAGATTTCCCGGAATTTTTCCGACCGATTTAAGCGAAGACGATTTAGGTAGAGGGCCGTTGAAGATTTCCCAGATCAGGCAACCCAGGCCCCACACGTCCGCGGACCATTTCTCCGTTCGTTTCTTGAGTTTGCTCCCAGGAGCCCCTTCGGGCGGTTCGTATTTCTGCATCCACGGGAAGCGGGATAGGGTGGGAACCTCCGCTCCACTCGCGGGCTTTGCGGGCTGCACGTACGCGACGCGTCCTAGTTTCCATTCTCCTCCGCGATCAACAAATATTGAGGATAGACAGATATTTCCATGAATTAGGCCAGCGTTGTTTATGAGAAAATCCAGGGCGGTCTGAAGAGAAGGCAAAGAAAATGGCAATAAAAATTATGAAGGTTTACGACTGTGGTATGAAAATGGTGCAAGATAGAGTCGAAATAATACAAGAAATCTTCGCAAATTTTACCGCAATCTGACGTATTCCCCAGGATATTTCAAGTTCGTTTCTATTCTCGTTTAAATATTCTTCCAACGGAGTTACTGACTCCGTTACAATGTACACAACACTCTCCGACTAAATTAAGACAGAAATCAGATTGAGATTAAAAAGGATCAGAAGGATTACTCCAAACTTAATCCTTAATACCTCCAATCCATCAACATATCGTAAGACAGTCGGATGTCTGAGGGTTCGCAATCTTTTGAATTCAGCCTTTGCTACTTCGTGCTACAAGGCATCACACAAATAAAAAACTTCATATATTTTCATCCAAATAAAAAGTTCAAAATATAGTTAGCTTTTATTTCGTATTTTCTCACACTGACCTGATCAGGTGGGGAGTTTTTCACATCAAAGACAAAGATTGAAACCTCTTCACTGGTTCCCTAACATGAAGATTTCATATTCTATGGTATTATTGTGTATTATGTACATTGAATATAGGAAGTTATGACATGTGACGAGGGGAAGTAATTATGACCTAGCTGTAATGGTGAGGTGAGAAAATGAGGAATGAGAGAGTTGAAAAATGCATGTGATATGATTATTATAATAGATTTACAAAGTAAGAAGGGGCATAAAACATAAGTGTGATATTATACCAAAGGTATGAGGGGGCCAGGGGGGATGAACACCACAAAGTGTAAGGGGGGGGGGGGAAAGACATGGCACAATTAAGAGTCTGGTTCCCTTTTCATAGTGCAAGAACAAATCATAGTCATTTGATATTGGGATATTGATCTATAATGCATGAGTCTCCCAGATTGCATTTCATGTAAAGCTAGCAAGAGATCTCATGCGCGACCTCCAAATTTGCTGTCACATTTAAAGGAATGAGATCACTGAAAAGGATTAAGAATAACATTTGAAATTAAGATTAGAAGAATATCAACAAAATATTCTGGCAGAGTTTCATCATAAATCGCTACATGATTCATCAAATTAATATATCAATTAAAACCAATCTAATTTCACTTAATGTACAAAGTAATCCGTACTTTCTTTTTTCCGCGGTGAAGACTCCATATTGACTTCCCATCCAGACTGGATATTTTGTCTCCGATTTCATATGGAAAAGAAGGCGTAGAACCCTGACCAACTTTACCGATCAGATTCCAAAATCCCTGCATTTAAACGCGAAGAATCCAAATAAAACTCGATGTTTATCTTGCCTAATATTTCGAAGCTTTCGTGGCAAAAAGTAACAAAACTTTGTTGTTGTTGGAACAACCGCTGTTGCAGAGTGTCGCGGACGCTGTCTATTAGCCTCGTACCCAGGCGCTTTGGAAAACGCAAAGCATGCGTTCAGCTATTTCGAGATCAGCGGTTGGTTGTGTAGTAGAGCAAGCGCGCAGGGGTGCTTGGGGAGGACGCAAATAAACCGCCCCAGACACCTTCGCGCGATTGCTAACTTTATCCACTGATCTCCATATGGTTGCTGAATGCAACCGATGTCTCTGGCCGTCCATTGCATAAAAGCACATCTGGGACAAAAACAAATATTTATTTTATAGTTTTGCTTTTTTCCTTCGATTAATTGCGAAAATGTTTCGAAATCTTTTAGGCGGATTATTTTTTGTTTTCTTTATGTTTTTAACATCGTTTTTCGGCACGATATTCCTGGTAGGTCCTGCATTACCTTTGATATTTGTCAAACCTAGTTGGTTTCGATACATCACTGACAGGTTGCTGGGCACATGGCTGGGTTTGCCTGTTGTAAGTATTTGTTTTAAATTCATAAATTTGAGAATTTCGTCGGGGTATTTGCGTGTCATTTTATTGATTATCTCTTTTGTTTTATTATGTGGTTTATCATTCACAAATCAAAGGCTGTTCTCGGTAAGATAATTCATAATTGTCTTTGTTTTGTTTTTATTAAGATCACGCAACACAAATTACAAAGAGTCGCGAGATAACTTCAAGTTTATAAAGTTTCATTATAGGTGCATGTACTCGAGAGTTTAATGATATCAGATATTCTGATGTAGGTATTCTGCCATATCAGTGTAGGTTAATTGATCTTGCATCTTCTAATTCAGAGATCATCTTTGGTATGAGAGTTCATATAACAAATGAAGACTTTTCATCACATGTGAAAAACGAGAAAGTTGTTATCATAATGAACCATCGAACGAGACTTGATTGGCTTTACTATTGGTCTGTCATATTTCGTCAACAACGGCTGGAACATGAGAAAATTATTTTGAAAAATGAATTGAAGCATATTCCTGGGGCAGGTATACAAAAAAGTGTTGCAAGACACCTCAATGGAATGCCCTCTAGGGCGGACGTTTTACAGTGCTCACAGCTATTGTAGCACAGAACTAACATGGGAGAATATTTTAGAATTCTTTCTCTTTAAATATCTTTCCAGGGTGGGGAATGCAGACTGTGATGTTTTTATTTATCAAGAGGAATTGGGACAAAGACAAAGAGTACCTTCGTCAAATCCTGCATTATTTCACAGATATCAACTACCCTCTACAGCTGCTGATATTCCCCGAGGGCACTGACCTGGACACACATTCTCTGGAGAAGAGTAAATCCTATGCCTTGAAAAATAATCTACCCATATACAAATATGTCCTCCATCCCAGATTGAAAGGTTTTACATACTGCGTTGAGCAACTGAGATCACGTCACGGGATTGATGCAATATATGATGTCACAGTTGGTTATGTTGGTAACATGTGCACGTCCGAGTCAGACCTAGCGAAGGGACGTTTCCCACAAGATGTTCACTTTCACATCAAGAGGCATCCTATTGGTAGCATACCCGAGTCTACCGAAGGATTAGAAAAATGGTGCAAGGAAAGATGGGCAGAAAAAGAAACAACTTTGGAACAGTTTTACAAAGAAGGAAATTTCATTCCGCAACACGAGGAGAAGTCGATGGTGGACGAGATGACAGTTAAATATCAAATGATTTTCTGGATAGTTTACTGGTTCACCTTTCTTTGTGTTGTATTCATGTTGTTGTATAAATATTGGTGGGTTCGTTGGTATACATTGATTATGTTTATAGTATTCTTTTTGCAATCCACATTTGGTGGTGGTTTTGAAACACTTCAAGTGAAACAACAGGCATTGAACTCAAAGCATGTAGTCACCAAGAACAATGGCCATGCCAGTAGTAAATATGGCACTCAAAACAGTAACGGCAAGACGCGCTAAGAATCCTAAGATTTTAGTAAACTGCAAGTTATGATTGGTACATTATTAGTTGATGAAGTTGCGACTGGAAGAATGAACTTGATAAACATGTTCAGATTATATCTTGATTGATCTATAATGCAACATTGTGGTATCATTATCTATGTAAACATTGTATTTATACGCATGTTGTTTTGTAATTGTAAATAATTACAGAAAAAGTGATTAGTTTGCTTCTAATATAGAATGAAGAAAAATTTGATATGTTTTGATTTGAAGTTGGCAATATTGCTAAGAGTAAATATATTTCCTTTTAAAAAATTGGATGCAAATGGTTCTCCCAACTGGACTAAAGTTTCAAGACCAATCCAATTGCATCCAGGCATTGTGAACCCCATGAATAATCAAAAACATTTTTTAAAATTTATTAATTCTATTTTTCACACCAGGACTAAAATTGTTTGCTATTGACATTCAAATTCTACTAAAAAATCGCGACTCATTCTAATTTTAAAATAGATAATTTGTTAATATGTTACAATTTTGCAATAAGCAAGCTTTTCACATCTAAAATTATTACGGTCTTGTTTCCAACTGACTTCATTTAGCCAGTAAATATTTCTTAAAATTTACAAAATTTTGCCCTTCGGCATTTGTCATATTTTGAACATTCCGGTTCATTCTACATGCATGCAAGAACACTTCACACACTGGGGATTTGGTAAACAAACTGACTCTAATTTTTTGGCGAAAAAATTCCGTTTAAATGTTGCAAGAGAAAATATTGACTCGAAATTTTTGAAAGATTATTACTATCGAGATGCTAGGGAACTTCAAGTCTTAAAATGGAGTTCTTTTTTGAAACCAACAGCTCTGCTTTGGTTCTGGTAAAAATATAGTAGTTCAGGCCAAGACTCCAAACTTTTACTGATTCTGGTCAAACTCTGAAGCGACTTAAAGCTTCTTTGTCGCATTTCATGAATTATAAGAACAAAAGTTGCATGAGAGTTTAGCCACGTTCAGATTTTCTGTACAAAAATATTCAAGGCAACGCTACTCATATTTCGTTGTTTTATGGACGAGGTAAGTCAGTACAATTCAGAGTTGATTTCCTGGCCTGGCATGGAACTGAGGACAGACGCAAGTTAAAAGCTGTGTTCACCCAAATTAAATTTCGTCGATAAAATGGCCAAAACAACTGTCAACTCTCATGCAACTCGTATACTTGCGCAAGTAAGTTACCTTCAAATTTACCCTTCGTACCAAATGCGTCGTATATCACCTGGACGTTTTGGAGATACGTCTTGGTGGTAATGCCGGGGGTTCGGCTGGTTCAGGTTCAGTTTCCTCAGTACATGGCGGACTTTTTATAGGAGACGACGAGGAGGACGACCCCATCCGGGGGGGCAACGGCGGGGGAGCGGAATTTTTGTCACCATCTGGTTCAATTTCTTCGGTCAAATCAACGCTGACGGGAAAGAACGATGTCGAACCTCTCTGTGCGATGTGGTGGGGTGATTTTGGTGGCAAGGGTGGGGCAGCGGTAGCCCCCTGGGTTTCTTCCCGAGGGGCCGTTGAGATAATCCTCTCGGATTGAACTCTCTTGATCACCCTGTCAGGGCGGGGGACCCTCCTGTCAGACATAGGACGCTGTTTGCGTGGGGGTATGACAGGGGGAGGGGCCTCCTGCTTTTGTTCGAACGGGTCTTCATGTTCGTTTGCATCGCTGAGAGGTGTCCACATAGCGCTATCTGTAAGAGAATTGGTAAAAAGGGTCTTTCTTACTTTTTATGCTAAATAGTCGATTAGGAATGCGGTGGAGATCGGGATGCTACGATTTCAAGACCAATGCAATAGAATACCCTGGCATCAGAAAGATAAATCCGTTGCTTCTTTGCTAAGTGTGATTTTGACATGATTCGTCACTCAATAAGTACCGTAAATAGGAGCAATCACCCCCCCTGCAAATGTTCAAATATTGCGCCATTATAAATATTGACAGGGGGGTGTTGCTTCTATTCACGGACTCACGGTACTTGCCGAGTGACGAATCATGACGAATCACACTTACGAAAAAAAACAATGACGTAATTTTTCTTATGGGTATTCTGTGATCATATCTTGGAGTTGTAAGACTTACCGGAATAGGAGATGAAACTCGGAGACTGCAGTGGCGAAGGACTTTCTGTTGGTGTTGATGGCGGCTGAGCTTCTCTTTCTTCAGAAATCAGTGGAGCGATCGAGAGCTGTGATCCTTTACGCAGAGTTCCCATGCCTATCGTGGAGTTTCTCTGTGACGTGGCTTTGATTCCAGGACCTTTTAAGTTGTAGTCTGTTTTACGAGGCTGTCAAGAAACACGGGAAGGATTCTGAATCTCTTGAAAGCACAACTTGGAAGCGATATAGAGGTATCAATGTTCAAATACAGTTAGTCAAACACGGTCCACTGGACCCAAGACTGATGAACACTGTGCTCAATCTACTTACAAACTTGGGAAGTTGTTTTGCGTTCCTTGGTTCCATTTTCAACGAAGCCTCGTAAAAATAATCTTCCAATTCCTTGTCAGTACGATTTTCAATTGGGTCAAGATTTTCTAAGTAGGTCTACCAGAATAAAATTGTCAACATTCGAGTAACTATTTGTGGCACGATCGAACCAGGCGGTAGGGGGAGAGGCGGACATTCTTTACAACCCCCGGGAAAGTCAGACTAGTCAGTTATAGAAATAATCCATGAAAAAACTGATCTAGGAGTGATTTTACTTACACAAATAGTGGTTTCCTCTTTCAAACAATAAGGTTGGTTCTGATATTGTTGGATTTCGGCTGTTATCTCGGCAACTTTTCGCCTTCGTTGAATTTTTGAAAAAAAAATGGAAAGTTTGTTGATATAAAAAATCTTCAAAACCCATGCAAGTCGAAACATTATAAAGTGCCATTTTTACACGTACCTTTTACTAAAATTTATCATACCCTCGGGGTAGTTTGGTAAAAAATCTGGATTTCCGTCTTCAATTTTTAAAATATTTGAGAGATACATTCCTATAACGAATGCAGACGTTTGATAACAACAACACATCCAGTTTTCGTACAAGAGAAATTGTAATCAAACAAGGCCCAAAGAAAATCATGGGGTCTCCTCAATGATGGACCCACGATCAATCAATTTCTAGCTTTGACGGGAAGAAATTCTGCAGGATTCTGAAGCTCAGTTGATTGGATATAAAGACAAAATTGTCAAAAACGCAAATCTCCCGGATAAGATTTTAAGAGCCAAACAGATTTTATACGTGGCTTAAGGACATGTTACACAGTGCAAATTTTCTTGCAACTTGCAAAGCAATTCCACTTTTAAGAGATGTAAATTAGTGAAGAGTCTTCAAAATGTAAGTGTAAGAAACACCATGGAGTGTGTAATAAAGACAAAAGTTTGGTACTTGCCAAATTTACATCTCTCAAAAGAAGAATCGCATTGCAAGTTGCAGGAAAAATTGCACTGTATAACATGGCCTTGATTCAGCGCTTAACTTTCATTGTTTTCTCTTGCCTCACTTATTAACAGAACTAAACCATCTTTTCTTCATTTCAAAACAGTATTTATTAACGAGGTACTCACCAAAAAAAGGCACACAAGGTGGATTGATAGATCGCAATTTCTCTACGTATTTCTTGTGATGATCAGCGCTCAACTCTTTCGCGGCGTCAACGGCTCCTTTTCGCTTCTCGGAAAGTTCCTAAAACGCGGCGAAGAGAAACGTGGGAATGAGCTGACGGTGCGATACATATGTACAGCGGACAGCATAGTTCACTCACCACGAACGTGTGTTGCAAACGGTTTATCGCAGCTGATTCAATGCAACTTAAAACTTGCATCACTCCACTGAAATTATTGAGCTCTTGAAAAACCTACGAGGGAGAAGACACATATTTTCCCTTTTCATTGGGTAATTTTTAAACCAAGAACTATACGAAAACCAATTCAATATCTTCTCTGACTTTCCTTGGATATTGGCATGAAATTGACAATGTTTCTTATCAAAGAAGGCATAATTGTTTTTCTACATTCCTATGACGAATTGCTGTCTCGTGAAAGTCACTTATTTTCAAGCAAATCATTAAGTATAGCCCAGACTACACGCTGTACTTACCATCAGGATATCCACGATACGACTCAACACAGCAACTCTTTCTTCGAAATTTTCCATCTCCAAGATGCTCTTCATGAACCAGTACGTGATCGTGTTTGAATGTTTGATAAGTTTCAACAAGTTTGGAGAAGTCTGATGTTTAACTTTGTCTTTTGTCCAAACACTGCCAACTAACTCAGACGGTTTCACAGCTCTGCGTAAGAAAAAACACACGTGAAAAAAACAATGTGATTTGTGGATATTAACCGGATTTTTACAACCCTGCTAAGCGCTGATTGGCTAAAATATGAACGGGGGGGGGTCACCTGTTTGACTCATATGCCTGTGCGTCACAGACTGCAGTATGAAACTGGATGAAAATTAGGATTGTTTATTGTTGCAAGATTACCTGTAGAGTTCTGATTCAATTAACGTCAGCTGCCGTGCGATCTCTATCGGATGAAGCTAAGAAAATAACAAACAGAGAGAGTTTTTGTTTGCTATTTTGAGGCAAAGCAGTCTGGTAAGAGAGTTGAATGAATCTCTTCTAGAATACTCGATGAAAACGTGTTTACCGTGAGAATATCAAATTTTTCAGGTTCTCCTGTCAGATGCCATTCAATGGCTGGCGGGTCTTTTTCAAAAGTCAGTTCTCGGGGACTCTCCATGTCTTCTTGCTGTTGAAATGCGAGACGTTTCAGGTCATTTCATGACATTGTCAGATGGACGGACAGATGGACGGACAGACATCTAAAACACAAAATCTTTCCCTAACCTTGCGTTTAATGATGCGCTTAATGCTCTCGATCCACTTGGAAACTGCTCCACCTTTCGCAGAATAGGTTTCGGACAACATTTCAGACAACAACTTTTTTGTCATTTCAGGATCACGAGCGAAGTCGTAGAAATGATTATCCACCCACTGCCTGATTGCATTCAATACCCTTGAAATAAGGAACGTTGGGGGTCAGTTAGGAGCTAGTAAGCAGCTAGTATAAGTGGTCACCAGTGAGCACATGAGTACATATGAGTACATTTTCGCGCCATTGCAAACTCGATGCCTACGCCATCAGACGAAACTTGTAGTCGTGCTGTTGGAGTGGCTTTCGAGTTCCTTTTGTCGTCAAAAGCCCAATGACTAAAGGCTCGTTTCCACTCGTCGCAAAGGCGAACTCACAAGCTCTCTGCGAGGGTTTTCATCCAATGAAAATGCTTTTAAGAGTTGATTTTAATTACATGCGAGCATTCGCAGCGAGCTTGCGAGTGGGTTTATGCGATGAGTGGAAAAGAGCCTTAAGAGTTTCGTCAGATGGCGTAAGCAAAAAGCACCGAATTGGTTTGGCGCGAAAATGACGATTTTCGTCTTTGTAGTCACCGCTAATGCTCCCGCATGCCAAGAAAGCAATTATAGTCCTTTTTTACCGTGATACAGTAGAAATGAATCGCTAGTCGATGCTTCAAACAATAAAATGACTTTGTAATACCTTAAGGCAACCGGTTGCGAGTATTCTTTGCGAAAACGTTTCAAATCCTCTCTGACAATCAACGACCCTCGTTCAATCTCTTCCTTGTCGTGTTCCGTCGGCGGAGGTTCGGGAATGTTATATGTAAGAATGGCATTAAGGAAACAAACGTTACCTAATCACAACCTACACAAAGTCTTCGCTTAACTCGCATCTAACGACAGTCAGATGAAAGAAACTTTGTCAATTGTATCGTAAGACCTGTCTGCATGTCAATCATGTTAAAAACATTCAAATAAACATTGAACAGTAAGAATTATTAAGGATATCTCGTTATGAGCATGTCTAAAAGTTTCTGCGGCGTACAAAACGATCGATATGTGGTTAGAAATGTCTTTAAAAAACTCGGATCTAAACAGAAAACAAAAACCTCCGGTCAAGAAGGAAAGCGGATTTAGTTCAACCAGTTTGGTTTTCCAACGTACCAGAATATTTATGATAAGTTAGTCTTTCTATGAGTTTCACTAGAGTTCCTCCCTTTATCACCGGAACACCTCCAGAATTCTACGAAATTACAATTGAAACATTTTTAAAAATACAAAACGGAACATCACTGACCGCAATATGAAACAGAACACATATACCTTTGGGCTATCTAGGATTTTACTGAGCATTTCATGGGGTTAATGTCTATTACTGCACCTGTTTCTCTTCTAAAACTATATTATCCTCTGCGTCTTCTTCAGCGAAACTGCAAACAGACGTTCAAAGTAATAAACAAAAATATGTAAGTTATATGAACGTAGGGAGGCACGATAGCCGCTGGCTGACAATGTCTTGGGGCATATTTACTTCCTATGACTTCGTGAACACTTACCAATAATCTTCAACGCTTGGTAGACGTAATGGCGTCGCCAGTTCATGTTCTCGTAGGATCTTATCAAGGATTCTATCCAGGGTACTACATTGAATATGCAAGAAGAAATAGAAGATTCGAAAAACAATGGGTTTACAGTCTCGACTAAAAATTGAGAAACTAGACTTGGAAGATGCACAATATAGGATGCATGCACATCTACCCCACACCATCTTCTCACACCCTTTCCCTACACCTCCTCCCAACACCCTCTTTTCCCACCCTCAACGACTCTCCCTCTGCCCCATGTCTTCCCCACAATAGCCCCCTTCCCACCCTTACCCCACCCCTCACCTGTCTCTCCCTTTCCCTTCATCACAATGCCCCCACACCCTTGCTTACCCCACCCTTCACCCGTCTACCCCTTTCCCCTCCCCACAATACACCCACACCCACCCTTACCCCACTACCCCTGTTTGCCCCACCTTTTCAAGTAGACACTCATTATCGAAGACATCCACTCTTCCTTCTCCTGATAGGTTTTAAACTTGATCGTAATGTGCGGACCATCTCGCTCTAGTATTTCTACCACGTGCTTCAATTCTGTAGGAAGAAAAAAGATGTTTTTAAAAGATCGTTTTTCAACACACAGCATGCATGTTGATAGACCAAGATTATATATCCAAACGTGACATGTAACATGTACTTGAAATTCCTCAAATGTACCCGAAAATGCTCACATACCCGCGGTGTCCTCAACCTCTTTGACGTCGGATTTTCGTAGAAACGCTTTTTCTTTAAAACGATATTCTGGAAAAGGTCCTGACGACGAATGTCTAGAATTCTGCAATACACACATTTTATAAATTATCTTCGGGTGACTGAAGTTTTGCTTCAATTATATTTATCTACGAGTGAGATGATCAATTCCTAGATAATTATAATTACGATATCGTATCTCGCGTTGTTTTCCTGGCGATTCTCACCTGTTTGCAAAATATCATCAAGTTGTCAAGAAGAAACACTCGTCTTTCGGATATCTAAATGATACGACAGTAAGGCTGTAGCCTAACAGTTTCAATATTATTTTATTGCGTTTCTAAAAACTTACCCTTCCACCTTTTGAAATTTTTGAAAGAGTTCCATCTAAAAGGTGAAGCATTCATATTACGTTTAAGACTAACTTCAGTAAATTAGGCCGGAAGTTATATATATACTGGATTGTTCTATCAGTTCTAAACTGTTCCTTCTAGAGGTCCAGTAAGGATCATCTCTTATTGATCCAGTGTTACTACAGGAGGAAACCTAAACTAAACTAACTTTATTTATACTGGATAGTTCTATCAGTTCTAAACTGTTCCTTCTAGAGGTCCAGTAAGGATTATCTCTTATTGATCCAGTGTTACTACAGGAGGAAACCTAAACTAAACTAACTTTATACTGGATAGCTCTATCAGTTCTAAACTATTCTTCCTAGAGGTCCAGTAGTGATCATCTCTTATTGATCCAGTGTTTAACTACAGGAAGAAACCTGACCGATGATAACATATGAATTCATCATTACTCGCCTTTGATAAGTTCCGTACACAATTGAGAAATGTCTTTACCCTTTAGAGCAACAAAACAAGCTCAGATTTAAAGTAGTAAACATGAATGGTTAAAAGTTAAAATAAGAAACTATCATTACCTCCCAGCCCTCGATATTCTTCTGTAGATCTCGCAGTTTACCCAGAGGCGGTTTTATCATAGATTTTCGTCTTTGCGCTTTCGAGAACTTATCGCTAAATCATAAAGAGACGCAGATTCATTAATTTCAATCAGTTTATAATCTCTGCCCTTTGAAACAACTGTGTTAAGGTCTATAAGAAAGTTCAGTTTAGATCACTTCGATTATATTTTCACACAATTTATAAATAACTTTAATAATTGACGCAAAGAACTTCGGACACTCTCGTGCAGTGTCGTACAGTTGTCGGAAACTATCGCGCAGTGCATGTTATGCAATCGCCGGACACAGTTGGGCTTTCTTTAAAATAGGGAATAGGGGGAGCGGGATAACTGGGGAACGGGATAACTGGGGAACGGGGGAACAGAGGCACTGGGAAAATCCCCATTCCTCTGATCCCCGTCGCTGGTTCCCCCGTTCTCTTGTTCCTCAGTTCCCCAGTTTCCAGGTTCCGCCAGTTTCCTGGTATCTCTGTTCCCCCGTTCCCCATCTCTCCCGCTCCATATTATCCCGTTCCCTGGTTCCCCTTTTCCCCGGTTCCCTATTTTAAAGATAGCCAATCGCTGGACACAACAATCGTGAGGAATTGCATGCTCGTCGGAAACTGTCGTATACTTATCGTTTTGAATCTTACTCTGATTTTCGTTGTCTACCGAGTGTTCCCGTACTCGTTATTCCATCGATAGTTCTCTGAAGACCTTGGATAACACTGAGCGCCTGAATAAAACAAACATAAACATTAAATTAAGGCACATTTATCATGAAGACCATGATCTGAAGGCACACATGCATGCACAAAGCTCTGTTGTTATTGTAAGAGTGAAATAAAAAAGTTTCCAGAGAAGGGCATAACTTTATAGTTCGACGTCTTAGTTTTAAACAAGGTGATATATTTTACCTCGCTGAGGTGGGTTCGCTCCTCGTTGCTCGGTGCTGTCTTCAACAACGTCTATGATGTTTTAAAAGCATATAATCGCATGAATACATATAAGTTCATTGACCTTTTATCTTCCCCTAAGCTCCCTTTATTATACGAGCATGCACACTGTATATTTTTCACGTGTTGATAAAACGTTTGTGATCGTGTCAAATGCATTCAGACAAAAGCAAAGGCCATTTGGAAAACGAAAATGCCATTTCCTACAGCGCAATTATAGTCTTTTTAGGTCTGCCTCAAACGTCGTAGCTCTATAATATATAAACTTAAAACCAATTAATCAGAGGAATCATTTTATTTGTTTATCCATCGTCTTTAAGTCAGTATGCAATAAGTGCGACGTTTGAACTGTGTTTAACTACACGTATGACTGGTTTCAACTCAACGACATTTTCCTCAGGAAAATCGCAAAGAAAGATATCTTTTATTGACAAGTTCGCTCTCATACAAGACGACTTTGTCTTTCACAAAAAGAAGACTGTCCTATTTGTTCCGGCCCAAAGAATGAAGAGCACCCCTAAGGCATGAATACTTTACATTTTAAAATCTATATCCTACCTTTATTAAATCTATATAATGTAAGCAGTGTCCAATCGGTTCCAGAAGAAGCCTTGGCAAAACATATCTAACGGCATCGTGAAAGCTTGCGCCTTTTGACTGAAATATCAGGAAAAATATTAAAGAAGGCCACTTCTCAGGTTGAAATATTTCACTTTTGCATGCAATACCTGAAAATACTCAGCGACATCGTGTCTTTCAAGAAGCTCACCGAGTCTGCCATAAATACCAAGTTTCCTATAAAGTTTATCCGACGCAGAAGGCTTCGTTCTCGCGTTCAAATACGTCTCGTAACAATCGAACGCTTGAGCCTAACAACGAAAACAGGTTTTCAAACACAGATGATAAACGCCTTAATTCATAATTATGTTTTATTTCACTGAATTTGGAGTACAATACCTCAGTCATGTCCCCAAAGCACTCGCCAATTGGTGCTACGACGCTGGGGTCTTGTTCGGCCATTTCTATCGCGTTTTCCAGCAAACCAGCAAACATCACCGTGAATTCATAAACATCAACAATATTCGTGAAAATCACTTGAATATCCTAAAGTACAAACACAACGAAAGCCTAAATTTCGCTTTTGTTTAGTGTTGCCGTACTTGAAACGAACTGACAACTTTTTTGGACCTTTAGAAAAATGCTTATATATTCTTGCTCAAATACCTCTTCTGTAAAAAGGTCCTGAGCTTCAACAAACGATTCTCTGAAAACCTAAACAAAAAACGTTCATACATTTCTATGCATTTAAATTGTATTGTTGTACTGCTGTTGTTATTCAGAAAGACCCTGTAACTTCTTACCAAAATGATCATATTTAAAGTTCGTATGTATTGACGTTCAAAAACCATCATTTCCTTGACAATATCTTGATGAGTGATTGGTCTTTCTTCCAGGGGCTGGATAGGAAAATGATAGAAAAAAATACTGTTTAAAAAATTTTAATGGGATTGTGATTGTGATGCTTTATCTATAGAATTACAATAATATAGCATACCTCTTCATCTGCTGAGGTTTCTAGTTCATCACTTTCAAACATCTCTAGTAAAACCTATTGAACAAGGCATTCAAAATTATTACAACATGCTTGCAAGGGTTTTAGTGACTGAAAAATAAGTAACAACCAAAAGTGAAAAGAATGATTGTTTAACTCTGTAATTATCATGACAATGATTTATCATATCATACATAATATAATGATTATGGAATAATAATGATTATGTAAAATACAAGGGTGATTGGTGATCATGTACAAAGTTGCTGAGAGGGAACAGGACTCAACTGTCAAAGTTAAGTAGGACTTAGGGTGAAACTTTCATAGTCTCCCCTTGCATTCACCCGCAACCCCCAATCGCTATCACCTGGATCTTCACGTATATATATTTGTAATTCTTTTGGGAAATGTCATTTTGTTGGTTAGCTCACAAACAAATAAAAGAGTCAAAGATACAAGTATTTTTTTTACCTTATCTGCACACAAGGCTACCTTGATATGCTGCTCTGTGATGGCAGTATCACGAATATTCCTAACATAATTTCCAGCAAGCTGTGGAAAGGAGTAAGCAAGAAATGGTTTAAAAAACAACCACACTAGCTGGCAAAGAGATCTTCGATGTTGTTCATACCTTCAGTATATCTGCAGATATATATTCGAGCACTGCAACAATGTATAAAGACACTGGATAGTCAATTTTATAACCTAACACCTCCTGCAAGAGAGAGAGAGCGAGAATAAGTTGGCATCAGTCAGGGAGATGGTAACCTAGGGGTATGCTGACAGAGACAGGACATTTCCAAAATCAAAATTATCCCATACTGAGGAACAACTTATTCTAACGACAAGAAACTACAGTCTACCTTTTGTAGTAATGGATGAATCTTATCAACTGGTAGAACCAGGGGGTTCTTCTTCTTGCCCTTTCCCACGGCTTGCATCCCCTCCTCGACACACCATTGATCAATTGGCCTCGGGAAGGTCTTCTTCACCCGTTCCTCAACATCTTTGTAGCTGTGCGGATGCACAATGCACAAGTGTCCCAAAAGTTGTATGATCAACTTTTCAACATAGTCAATTGCTGCATCTTCAATCTCGAGCTCAGGTTGAACCTCTTTTGCAACCTAAATTAATATATGACTCAATATTTAAATTAAATAATTAAAATGATTACACAACAACTAATTCATATTGTAATATCCAATGTTACCCCAAGTGGCTAACAATGTGTCATAAATTATCGATTGAAAACCTCGCAGGAAATTGGAATGTAGCCAAAAGCGTCACTGATGTTTTGTGCATGTTAATATTCATTTATCTACACTTGGCAAAACATTCCCGGTGCTCCGTAAAAGAATTAAGAGGGGACTTCATAACTTGACAGGCATAAAGCTTGACAGCAACTAATCAAGTTGAATTCTGCTCTTAACTTGACACTAGAGTGCCAGAGAGTTTGGGAGAATAAAAGGTGAATCCCCCGGTTATAGGAGCGATTACCAATTCCCTTCATCGACTATTCAATCATTGGCATTTAACTTAAGTTACATAACCTTACTGGAGGCAATTTTCTGCAAGACTGACTAATTGAAAATCCCCTCGTAACTGGCATGCAATTATGTCACTACTAATTCGTTATTTACATAGTAAACAAACACAAATTGCAGTGGTTTTTAATACTCCGTGGATAACCTCCTCTCGAAACTTGAGAACACTTTTAAAAGCATTCAAGCCAGCCACAAACCGAACCCTTGACAATTCCACAAACTTCGTGAATAAAATATCTGACACAAACGTTCAGTCAATTGAAAAAGTTTCAATCGTGTTCATAAAGGAAGTGGATCGTAGTGGTCAATTAGCATTTGGAAAGTGATGGACCACAATATTTCTGGGATTTTAAACGTTAACGCGCATTTCTGCACGTCCGACATCCAAGTCACTTTGCAGTTTACTTGTTTTTTAACAGCTAATCACTCTTAACAATAATGAACTCTCGAAAAAGGACTTGATTCACTAACATGTCATAATATAATAAACTCAGTAAACTGACCTTTTTCAAAGCAGTCACGAACACCCCTTGCCACTTTGAAAGGTTGATATCGCTACCTCCATCAATCAGGGGCATTGCCTCATCTGTGCTCGATAAAACACCAAACTACAAGCTCAGATCTCCAAAATTGGGATGCCAGCACACTCCCTGGTACGTGAAAGACGACGTGCGAGTCAATCAAAGGGAAGTAAACATTACAAAAACGCCGTCAGAATCTTGCTCTTATTATGTATTTTTTGCAATCCCTAAGCATGTTAAGGTCGATATAGCTTGTCCACACTACCAGCCTTCAGTGCATGTCTTGTATCGGTCGCCGATCATTCGTGGTTCTAAGAAATAGCTTCAAAACAAGATTTAGGTGAAAATTTTAGACATTTTTCCCGGATAACATCACTCGATAACATGGGTTATTACAAACGTAAGAGAGCATGCGCACAACACTGCTACACTGACCTGTATAGTGGCCGTAGTAATCCAGTTTCTCAGCTAGCAAGGCTACAGTACAGAATTTCCAGTAAGGACAGTGAAGAAAGTTTGATTTTCTCTGTTGTGCCAAACCAGAACCATTTTTCACTTTCATTTGGATATTAATTTACAATAAATTTTTCCAAGAAAACTCGTTCAAAGTCGCGCTCCATCCCCCCCGTGCACAATATCACTCTCAACTACCCGGAAATCTTCACACAAACTTTGAGAAATAAGAAATCAACTGTTATTATTTCATCACAAGGATGCAACACTAAACTGAAAAATCTTCTTAGGCTGACAGTACAATTAAAATCGCCTATTTCACGAGTATTTGCCTTCGTTCGCGACCGTTCAAGTGCATAATACGAGTGACGGTAGTAGATTATCAAAGACACTTTGAGTTATGATATCGCTATGTTTAGAATCGCTCTAGTTCAGCAAACAAACAAAAAACAGGCAAGATTTCCTTTCAAGCTAAACTGCATGCCCCTAAGGTCTGAACACAACTTAAAGTGACTCTGATAATCAACTACCGTCACGCATTGCGCGCTTCAAAGGTAAAGTTAGTTGCGTTTGTGATTATTCTAAAAAGTTTTCTGTCAAATCTATCTTCAAGGTAACGATTCCATAAAAGCGAGCACACTAGGGACTGGGGAAGACATGACCTGCACGACATTATCAGGCCGGCCCAGTTTCTCATTTTCGGCTTCATTTCTAACCTCGATTTATGTTCTAAAATAAAATAGCTCAGTTATAACTGGACCGTTGTCTGCCACTGCTAGTGTAGGCATGTTTGAATGAAAGGCTCAGAAAGTACAAATATCTTTAGATTTCCCACGAATCCATCCATTTGTAGGCGGCTTGGGTACAGTTTTCTTGATGAGACATTGGACCAGACATGCCATACGTGAGGCCATGAAATAACCAAAAACTGAAGAGAAAATTCGCAAATCGTTACATGCATTTGAATGACTCTGGATCAATAAGAGATGATCCTTACTGGACCTCTAGGAAGAACAGTTTAGAACTGATAGAGCTTCCAGTATAAATAAAATTAGTTTAGTTTAGGTTTCCTCCTGTAGCAACACTGGATCAATAAGAGATTATCCTTACTGGACCTCTAGGAAGAACAGTTTAGAACTGATAGAACTATCAAGTATAAATAAAGTTAGTTTAGTTTAGGTTTCCTCCTGTAGTAACACTGGATCAATAAGAGATAATCCTTACTGGATCTCTAGGAAGAACAGTTTAGAACTGATAGAGCTATCCAGTATAAATAAAGTTAGTTTAGTTTAGGTTTCCTCCTGTAGTAACACTGGATCAATAAGAGATGATCCTTACTGGACCTCTAGGAAGAACAGTTTAGAACTGATAGAACTATCAAGTATAAATAAAGTTAGTTTAGTTTAGGTTTCCTCCTGTAGTAACACTGGATCAATAAGAGATAATCCTTACTGGATCTCTAGGAAGAACAGTTTAGAACTGATAGAGCTATCCAGTATAAATAAAGTTAGTTTAGTTTAGGTTTCCTCCTGTAGTAACACTGGATCAATAAGAGATGATCCTTACTTGAAGAACTTCAGTTACTAAAACTTACCTCACGATGCAAACAGAAAGAACGACTGCCACAAGTGAATAGTAAAACATATTTCTATATTCTGGATATTCGATATATGAAGACGCACTTTCAATGATATATTCTATAACAATACCTAAAAATGGCGATGGATAATACTCAGATGATTGCGAGTTATTTGAGACGCTAACCTCCCCATGACTCGAACCTAGCGTCAGAGAATAAAACAAGTTCGTTGCCAGAGTTCATTCTCATTAAGTTCAGCGAATGAAAATCAGGGACAGGGTGTATAAAACTGTTTAACTACATTTTGCATAGTTAAATCAGAAAGACACAACTCTGATTGGCCAAATCTGTCCTTAACCTCAGTCAAAAGTTAACTAGTCTTTTATAGAACATGCCCCAGAACGGGCCTAGAATAAGCTAGCTGGATGTGTAATTTACAATCGTCAGTACTTCATCTTACCAGCAACCATTGCGCTAAAGAGATAAGCGGGGAAATAATGATGAAAGTAGAGGACTCGGCCCATCAAGAAAAAGGGAAAATAATGCAGAGCCCATCCCAGCAGAAGCCAGCATATTACACTCGTGAATTTACTTTTACGAGCTGAAATGAAAGAACATAAATGATAGCGAGTGAATCGCATGGATTTACAGGGATGCATTACGATCCAGTGGTATTCGAGATCAGTGATGTAATAAACGGGTTAGTCCCGGTTAGTCCCACCTTTCTCTGCAGGCGTATCGATGTAGCCTCGCTTCTCTCTCACAGCATTGTAAGCAAATATCAGGCAAAACAGAGCAATCGTCACCAGAATCAACCACCAGATAACCTGTAAGACAGACAGAGAAATGATGAGACATTTACTTCTAGCATAAAGTCAAAAGACTTCTCAGACATGCTAGTCTATTTAAGGTAGTATTCTTCAATAAACTGCAGTGGCTAGTACGTATCACAAGTTTGGGAGTATTTTGTCTTCACTACAAATCTGATGAACAAACGTCCCTCAATCGAGAACTCACCGGATTTCCAAGTAAGTAAACTCTCTCATCCCCACCAGAAAACACTTGGCCCTGAGAATTATATAAATACATATTTCCATCTCTTTTGAACCGGAAACACTTCAGGGGAGGGGGGTGGTGGTACCCCCAGAGAGGGTTGGGTAATAAATCATATGATTTCTCTTTACCCTATAATTGATAGGCCACTGCCAAGGTTGTGACGTCACTTCGCCTTCTTTGGGTTTAAATCCACTGTTTGTCTGTAAGAAGAGCAAAATGCTGTAGCGCTGATGTACAAATCAGTACATTGATGGATACAATAGTACATTGATGGATACAATGGTACATTGATGGATACAATGGTACATTGATGGCTACAACAGTACCACTGAAGGATATTACAGTACAATAAGAATACAATGGCCACAAAGATTCTACCTTCATTAAAATGCGAAAACTTTCATCCTACTTCAAACATTTACAATACCTGTGCCATGACTGCGTGTGATTCAAAAACGCTTTCAAGAAACGAGGGGTAAAACAAGTCCGGGCTAGCTTTTGGAACTGAAAAAAAAATTGGAATTACTTTAATCTGATGAAATCAAAGCTGAAAACAAGCATGAACTGATCTTATATGCTTCACTGGATTGACCTATCAAAATCCACGTGGATCTAACTCTCGTACCCACCTTTTTCGTTCACATGTGACTCAACATTCCATTTGGTATTGCTGTGTTTTTGCGTTGGATGGCAAGTCATCTCGAGTTGTTCCCAGCCCCTGTAAAAAATCCCGGTCAATTTTATCACGCAGGAAGAAATATGCAACTTTCAGGCAAGTTTAGCTATGCGTGTATCCTCACCATTTTGGCAATGTAGCTGACCCGCCATGTAGGGCACAGCCGGTCGATACGTGGATAAGTCTGAATACAGTTTTGACTGTCTTAACGAGGTCTTCGTCTTTGCCGTTGATAATTTGGATCTGCCAGAAGTCGTTCGAGTCGCCCTCGCCATTCTACGGAAGATTAATAACAATGTTGTTTTTACTTTTCCAACATGTTTTGAAATTTTCATGCACATCTACTGATCTACATAGTTTTCGTTGAAAAAGGTCATGGGAGTTGTCTCTGGTGAGACGCTCTTTTGAAAACTCCAAGTTATTTTTTTTCTTTGGTAATTACCTCGCCGTAACAAGAAACTTGGTATTGATTTTGGCTCAATGGCGCCTTTACAGGATGACTATGAAGATTCCTCTTTGTTCTACAACGTTGACGGAAAGAAACTGATCATTAATATATAATAATAAACTGGAAAGTGCGTTTTATGATCGGCGTATATGACTCATCTCCAACTTTGGTAACACGTTTTTCTGCGGTTTGGGCAAGTGCGAGACAACACACTTCTTTTGCACATGTATATGGAATATCCATGTAATATTAAAGTGTCTTTCACGCATAATTTCGAACTAATAGCATAAATTGAATATTTATCACATACGGGACATGTTCTAGGCGAATGATGTCATTATGTTTGACGTATTCCACTGGACCATCCGGATCTAACGGAAGAGAGAACACACTTTGAATGGTAGCAAAAGCTTTCGGTATTTTGCTGTTGATCTCCACAAAACCGAATTTATGACTGAGTTCAACTGAACTTCTACTGTTATACAGATATTAGTTACTGAGTATTATTTACAATTGCCAGATATGAGTCACTGGACTGTGTGGTCACTGGACTGCATATTGTAGATATTTACTGCAGATATTTATTACTTACTGTATGGCTCTGAGCTCTTCTTCACCAACCAGTCGTTGTTTGGGTCTTTGTGTGAATAGCCGGTGACCTGCTGTTGAACTGGAGGGTGCTCTTCTGGGTATAAATGATGATGGGAATGAAGTAAGGCGCCTCCTGGACGATTGTTTTTTAACGTCACAACCGAACCGTAAGCCAAATCTAGAAAAGGGATCAGTTGTTGACTGACAAGAATTGACAGTATACATTAATAGCATTAAATGTGGTATAACAACTGCCTAAATAGAAAAAACACTTCTCGACGTTTCGACCTGAGGGGCTTCGTCAGGAGAGTTAGTATCATACTAACTCTCCTGACGAAGGCCTTCAGGTCGAAACGTCGAGAAGTTTTTTTTGTCTATTTTGGGCGGTTGTTATACCACATTTGATGCTAAGTTGTTTGAAGACGCTAACACGCTGCTCCTTGGTTGTATTGGAACTTGTATACATTACGTAATAGTCTTTCATATATGAAAATAGTGTAAGATATGATAGTTTTGACGGTATATTTTCTGTCCTCGAGAAATGATTCAAGATTTGATGATAGCGTGTCCCTCACTTACGTTCTGGAAATGATGACTTGAATAATTCGTTTCCTTTCAATGTGGATTGAAAAGCTGAACTGAAAAAGCCATCACCGGGACCACTGTGGAAAAAGATGATGAAATATGACTCAATTGCTGTTATTTTGTACACAAATGTAACAAAGACTAGCAAAACACCAGGGGTCGGTTATATCAAGTCCGTTTAGCTGAAACGGCGGATAAGTCAAAATTAAATAACACTCTTACATCTCTCTTGAATGAGTCAACTTGAATATTATGCACTGAATATGTAGACCACCACCGTTTAAGCCAAACGGGCTTGATACAATCGCAACCGGCCACAGGCTCTGCAATGTTTAAACCTTCTACCTTGATCTCAGGATGGAGAAATGAACAGCAAACCAAAAGAGATAGACAACAGCTGGTAGGGCGATCAGGCACAGAGCTCTTGCCATGAAGTGTTTTGCCACGGTTACAAGTGAGGTGCTGAGGTCACCAAGCATTTCCCACAGGTCGGCAACCGTCGCAAAACCAGCCCACAAGATCACAAACAATCCAACCCATTTACAACTATGTCAAGACAAAACCAAGGGTGGGACTTTGTATTATGTTTGGGGGGGTCAAAAATACCTGGAGGGGGGGGATGAAAAATTCCTGGAGGGGTGAGGGGATTAAAAATTCCTGGAGGGGTGAAATGAAAAATACCAGGAGGGTTGGGGGTGCAAAATACCTGGAGGGAAGGTGAAAAATACCTGGAGGGGGGTGTGGAAAATTCCTGGAAGGGTTAGGGGATTAAAAATTCCTGGAGGTACTGGTAAATCAGTTGAAAATCGCTTACCTAAAGGCATTGGCTAAGTTTATGCCTGACAATGATAACCAAAACCACCATTCAAAGGTCCAGGGACTAAAATTTATTTATATGTGGTTAGATATTTAAAATAGATTACAACTCATTTGATAAGGAGTTGAGTACTGGGTAAATAGGTAGCTATAGAAATGAGAGGGTTGTGATAAGTAGAGGTGGGAGGGTGGGGATAGGTAGGTGGGGTAGGGGATAATTGGAGCATGTAGATGTTGATTAAAGGTAGGGATTGGTAGGTGGGGATGGAATGGTGGGGATTGGTGGGGGGAGGTGTAGAATGGTGGGGATTGGTAGGGGGGGTTGATGGTAGGGGGGTTGATGGTAGGGGGGTTGATGGTAGGGGGTGAAATGGTAGGGATTGGTAGGTGAGGGTGGAATGGTACAATTGATAGGTGGGGATAATTGTTAGGATAGGTGGTGAAGTTGATGTGAAAAAGGTAATAAGCAATTTAAAAACTAAGAGTTACTTTTTGCTCTGGCTCTGAAATTTGGCAACACAAAACACAGCGACCATGATGTAGAACATGAGAATTGGATCAAGTAAGATGTATTGAGATATCGTTAAACAGCCCGTATCTAGACACAAAGTATATGGTGAAAAAAGTTTAAAATTTAATTGAAATAAAAAAGATCTGGATGTGAATCTGCTTTAAGAAATAACTCTGAATAATGGTTGTGTTTCATGATATTCCAGTGTGTTACTCACCAAACAAAATAAAAGAAGCGGATATAACTGAGGCAGTTGTTGAACGAGTCCACTCCCAGACAATGAGGTAAGCCAGTGGTATGCATAATGCACCCATGAAAGCACAAAGCTAAACAAACATAATTCTGTTGATATCTACTTCATACTCTATTTAAAAAATTATAGCTCAAACACAATAAAATCTCTCAAATTTACGATGATATGCCATACTATTCTCATTCCAATATAATTTTCATCACCATATTGGTCCCCTGGTTTGTCAAACAGAAAATCTCCATCATACCCCGTCAATAACCCTGCTGCAGCAATGGTCATCTGTGATTGTAAAAGACAAACTCTAAGTCATTAACTATTGAGTTAAACAGAGCCAGCCGATTTGACAATAATTCAAAATTATTCAAAGTTTATACCTTTGCAAGTGGTGGGTGAACATCAAAAAAGAACTGGCCTTTTATGTAAAAATTTGCATGTTTTCCAAAATGCGTTTCATCCCAGCTAAAATTGGAAAATGAGGTGTCAATTTTGATGATCAGTTGTCCATGAAAATCAGAAAGAAAAGTTTACACAAAGTAAATGTGTCAGTTCAATATCATAATTAATGCAAATGCAGGAGACTCCTATTATAAACAATTCTAAATTTTGCTTTCCTTTAGTAAGAAATATCCTCAAAGTAAATCAAGTTTTTTAGCTATATCCCATTCAAAGATGCAATATTGAAAACTGATATTCAATAATTGCCTCATTTAAGGCAATACCAAACTTTAAGAGAACTGCATTTTAAATATTAAAAGCTCAAAGACAGATGTGTGAAGAATAAATAAATGGCGAAAATGTTAAAATCGTCAAATTAGTATATTTCATATTAGCTACTGCTGTTGTAGATAATTTTCTATTGAAAAAAAGCCTGATTTCTTATGGAAGTTGTATAAAAAGACATTCAACTGCCATCATTATAATCAAAGAACATGAAATATACTGGTCTTATGGACATCACATAAGATTTTAAAACAAATGCACCTGTCAATTTTCCATCGTGTCGGGCGGAGTTGTTTACAATATAGACGTAAGTATAAAATTGAAATATATTAAAGATTATCAGAATTAAATATTTCGAGTTTGCATCTTGTAAACCAGAGCTATCACGGAAGCATACACTCACCAGATATGCTTGGGGCGATGTAATAAATAAAATCTAGTTGTAAAAGTAAAAAGAACGACGATAAGAAAGATTGCAGTTCGTAAAACGTGACTTGGAACTTGAACACCAAACAAGTCAGTCGACGTTTGTTTATACACATATTGCAACTTCCGAGCCACATAATCCTCGGTGTTTTTAAGGATTTTACTTGAGCATTCCCTTGACATAGTGTTGCCATTCTTCTCCTCCATATTTTTAATACGAAAAACGATGATAAATCAAGAAAAACGTTCAAGAACAAAAACAAACAGCAAGTGCCCAACTTAAACTTCCATGCCCAATTTGTAAACGGTTATTCTCGATACTTCATGTTAGAATATCGAAACGTGGCACCTCTCAAGCACTTCCTGATGGCATACTTGAGGTTGTCAGTGTTTTAATTGAACTTTTTATACAATAACTATCACAATATAACACACAAAAATAGCGCTGACAGGCTATATTTCGCCTGTTAGAATTAACGCTGAAACTTGAAACTGATCAAATCATGCAAATTTCGAGCGAAAACCATAAAGGTTTTCAGCAGATGAACCACAGGTACTTGCACAGCGGGTTGCCAGTAAATTTACATTTTACAATGAAAATTTCCTCAAACAAGCCTCTAGATATTGAACTGGCGGTAATATCGACTATTAACCAGCAGTAACTTTTTAGCGACGGCTGAATGAAATCACATATAGTTATATATGGTTATAGTGGGTTACTTTACAGTGAAAAATACTTCAGAAACTGAACAGGCACGTGAAGTCGTGGTTCTCGAGACTAGACACCTAGACACCAGACAAGGGCACAGCTAGACCGCAGTTAGAATTCTTTCATCTTCACTCGCCCACAATGTCAGAAACTGAATTAGCAGATCCTTAAAACACAAGTGGTATATTTTTGCATTTATACCTAGAACTTACCAGATATGTTTTGGATTCTGTAGGTTATAAAACCGAGTCAAAAAGGTCAAGAATGTGACCAGAATCAGCAGCAAAACTCGATTATAACTCGTGGAAGCTTTTGTGTCTACCATAAGAAAAATCTTTCCAAACTTGTCCTTGAAAAATTCCACATTCAGCTTTTTGTCATTTCCTCGTCCGGCCAATATTCGTTCTTTTTCATCTTCAATCTTGTTGTCTTTAATGGCTTTCTCATCAACTACGTCCGGAGTTTTGGTAACATCTTCAGGCTGTTCGACGGCCGCGTGTGTCTCAGCAACATTTGTCGCATCCAAAACTTTCGACTTCTTCTTAGAGTTTGGGATATTTTTTCGCGACTTTCCTTTTGTCATTTTAACGAATTGAATCCGGAGTCCCGAAGGGAAAATGCTCAATTGAATATTGAATACAAGTGTCCGTAAATTAGTTTAGCACTCTTTTCATCGTGTTTTATGCCATGAAATTGCAATGCCGTGGATCTGGACACACGTTTTGATACGTGGAACTTGGGACAGGAAATACCTTTCGGCGTTGTTCGAAGCGCCATGGCAATTTGCAACGCTCATTATTCGCGTTTGTCAAATGCGAAATTCAAATGTGAGGTTTATAACTTTTCATTTTCAGCCCAAACACATCCCTTACGACCGGCTTTTGTGCATAAAAGTTGTTTAAACGTAACATATCGATGTCTGTATCAGGCTAAGTCAACGTGGGCATCCTTTTAAAGTGTTTTAGAAACGTTTTCGCCATGTTTACTGTTTCTATGCTTTGTTTACACGCTCCATAAAATATTCGCAATATGAATGAATTAGCTTCGTTTTCTCTCGTGAATTAATAACGTTTGACTCTCGGTTTTTTTCGTAAAAACATTGATAAAAACAGTCGTACGCGACTATAAATATATATAAAGTCAAGAATGAATTAGGTAATTATTCAGTGTGCAGTTTTGAACGCAGTTTTGGACGCAAATTTATTTTTCGAAATAGCGCATCTCTATATAAATAAACAAGCATTATCACTATAAATATAGCCTTAATTATGGCGTAGTTCGGTATAAAACGGTCTTATATCAGTTCTGAACGACCATCCCAAGTCTATTCTAAATCAATTTTACAGCCTGAGCTGGGATATCGATTTTTAATCTTGGGATTAGCTCATGGATTTCGAAGCGATTCTGTTGCCAATCCAAGGTTAATCGTATCGTCGGATTTGTGATATCCATCCAGAGGTCATAACTGCATGGCGAGGTCATGATCAAGGACTGAATTATCCAGAAATATCATTACATGTCCCTCCCACCAGACCAGGTTATCGGCGAGGTCTAAACATGACGTCTGTTTCCTCGGGCTCTGCGGGAATGTCTTGAAGTTCCACGAAGTCCTCCAAGTTGCGAAGATGAAATTTTGAAATCTGGTTTTGCGTCAGCATATTGATAACCCTGTAACCTTGGATGACCTCAAATATCACAAACACGGCGAGGACCACGTGAACAGCACGTTCCAGGGGCAGGATGATGGCAGCTTCGTTCAGCAAGAGGAGCAAGGTCAGTGGGAGCTGTAGCAGGAGGGTAAGAAGCCAAAATCCAGCCAGTTCAGGAACCTAGGGTCATAAAATACTAAGGAAACAAGGCTGGGGGCACATAGGCAGTAGCATAAAGAGAGTAAGGTGGGGTAATCACTCCACAACCCAGGGCTCTAGGCCCCAGCCTCATTTACTGTGTTGTAGGTGTTGAGGGTGCTAACGTAATGAGGAGAAATTTAGGCTATGAAATAACTATAAAATTACTTAAAAGGCCATTTGGAATGATCTGAGAGGCCTTGCACAACCATGGTCGTAGCTTGAAAGTAATTATCTTTTAGCAGTAAAGCTAGCCCCTGCCTAGGTAACCACCATGTGCCACTGAAAGGCCATGGGTGAAAAAATTGTCCTGGGCCTCTCTCTCGTTACACCCAAGCCACTCGTCACTGCCACATTTGGACAGTTTGAAGGAAAGTATAGAAATTTGACCAGTAATACCTTTTCATGAAGATTTCCAGTGTTGCCGAGGTAAAGTCTTATCATCTCCACAATTACCATTATCACATAGATCACAATCAAGATGAACTTATAATAGAAAGCCAGATGGTCGTACTATATGAAGAAACACCACAAAAGGCAATATTCTTACATGATCAGAGAGTTATGTATTGTTTTGGACAAGCAGCTTTTGAAACTCACCTTGGTGATAAACATTGCAATGCTTGTTACAAACCAGAACACTGAGAAATGTGTGTTGAAATACAAGCACATTTGTAAAGGAAGATCAGATACCAGCTCACTGCCTATATATATAATAATTAAAATCTTAAAAACAATACCCTTTGTAAATCAAGATATATCTGTTACCGATATTTTTTTTATATATGTTTTTACACTCCATTGAGCTAGGATTTTAGGGGGAGTTCAATGTGATTCCAGGGGGGAAGCAGAGAAGTTATAGAGTAGTAAGTAATAACAAGTAGCACCCTCAGTGCATAATAGTGCAGATAACAAGTGAACTAATAGAAACTTCTCATCATAAACAGGAGAACATAGAAACCTATTCTGAGACTTGATTCGGCTAAAATTGCGCGGATCGTTGGTACTGGGGGAAAATACTTTGATACAATTGATATTGCATACCTGTGCCCACAACTTTTTCCCTCGAAATATGCTTCAAACTCCGCGAACCAGGAAAAACCGTTTCTGTTACAGACGTGAAAGCACGATGGACAACTGTGGATTGTCTATCCTCCATAATTTGTTAAATCAATACTTTTTTCATACAAATTTCAAGTAATTTCAAGTTACTACGAGCAACCATCTCGCTTTTCATCAAGACCTCCCCCGGAATTATGTTAGAAAATACAATCCTTCAGAATGCGAAGTTTTCGTCCGCCATTTTGAATCCTAAAGTGAGCAATTTTTAATGATTTTTATGAATAATTTGCAGTAAGATTTGTTTCATTTTACTGAATTATGAAACATAATCTACTCATTCTACAAGTGCATTGATCCGATTTTCTTACAGACTTTTACTTTGTTGAAAATATTAAAAATAAATTATATAAATTAAGAAATATTTTGAAATAGTTACAGCATTAGAAATGACGTAATATCACCCTGGAATATGGCAATTTGATATTACACTTATTCAATCTATTTTGTCATTATATAAAACAACAATGATAATTTTCAACGATATTTGTTGATTTTTTTAAACGAAAAAGTGTTTTATGTTATGCTTTCCCTACTTTAATCAATTTGTGATATTCTCTGCACTTTCTTTCCCAAATCATGGCATACAAAGGGTTAAACTCGGAAAAATTTGAAGATTTGGGCCTAGAACTTGACGTATTGTGTTCCGGAATTCAGGCAGGGATTGAGAAAATTCAGAAACTCGATGGAGGTAGTAATGTTTCGTATAAATATGTCCTACTTTATAAGATAGAAATCGTACTTTGAAATGACTGACTGGAATATAAATTACTGAACTACTTGGGTATCTCATAGTGCCTCCCCTTGACCATCCACCCCTCCTGGAAAATCTAGGTGGGGAGAGGGGGTAACATCAGTAGGTAGCACACTTTTGGCTAATATGAGTTAGAATCTCCAAAATACATAAAAAACATGGTCTTCAGTAATACAAGCTATAACAATTGTTCTTACTCTATCAGAATTTCTTTTAATTTTCCCTTTCTTCTATTCAATTGTTCATTTCTGCTCACCAGAATTCAAAAAGCAAAAGATTCGAGAAGTTCAGAAACAAATTGAAGATTCCAAGATAATTGTAAGATAATGAGCTAAAACACTCCTCAAAAACTCTTGTCCAATCCTTAAATCTTTTTCTTCATGAGGCAACATTTTGTGTTTCAGCTTGAAGAAATGGAGGAGGAGGCAGTCATGGCCCCTGGGACGTATAGAAATAAAATGAATGCACAAGTTCGTAACAAAACACGGGAACTTGAGAAGATGAAACGCGACCTGGTATATTTTGCTTTCAGAATGAATCGTTCCCATTTCTCGGCAATATATTTCCAACTGTGAAGTTTTAATTTTTTTACAGAATAAAATCACAAGTGGTTTTCAAGCTTCATCTGCAAGGGATGACCTACTCTCGTCAAGGCCAAAAGAATACGACCCTGATGTAATGAAGAATAAGATGTACAGTAATTGTTATGTCAAGGTGCAGAACTTTGCCCTAATTCAGTTCACTTTTTAGGCCAGTCAAAGAAATCAACTTGTGCATGGCACAGAGATATTAAACCGAACTTCAGAGAGCATAGCAAGATCTCAACAAGTTGCTGCAGAATCAGGTAAGATACACAGCATACTATAGGAAATCTGAAGTGATGTGTGTCGGAGAATGTGATTGGAGGAAATAATGCTATTCTTGAGGTAATTAATGGGAAAAGTTTCAAATGTTTGTAGAACAAATTGGCGTTGAAATCATAGATGATTTGGATACGCAGAAGGAATCCTTGATACGGTCAAGAGACAGGGTTAGTTTCATAGTGTTCAGCACACAAATGAATGTGATATATTTTGATGATTTACTAAACGTTTTTTTGTTCCTCTAGTTACGTGAAACTGACCAAGATTTGAGCCAAAGCAGAAAGATTTTGAATCGCATGGCAATCAGGTACATGACTAATTAACAACATTATGTTACTCATCTTATTTTTTCAAGGTTTGCTGAATGTTGAAAATTTTCTTCTTAGGGTTGCCACAAATAAATTGATAATGGGTATCATCATTTTGGTTGAACTAGTGATCATTGGAGCGATTGTATATATTAGATTCATTAAATAGCTGCAATCATTCAAAAAAATGGTTTAAAATAATTAAAATAAATCAATTTTTTAATGCACACATCTCAGACTCTAGATATTTTCCATGAATGAAGGGATTATAATTTCCATTGCTAGCGTGTAAAGATTAATGTAAGAATAATTGAACACTTACAATAGTTGGAAATAAGAAAATTAGTTTAATTAGATTGTCTTGTAGTTTCAGCTATTTCAATGAAATTGCCATTTAATAACTATTCTAAACAATTTTTCTCAACTTTTTTGATGGTTACAATTGGCCTGGGGCTGGTTGTTCAAAAGGCATTTAGCTTAAACAGTGGATAAATGGAAAGCAAAACTATATATTTATTGAACAACTGAGCTGAAATATTTCGATGCTTATCCACCGTTTAAGCTAAACGCCTTTCGAACAACCGGCCCCAAAAGGTTAAACAGCATCTTACTTGCACTTCGAGACAACCTGTATCTTTCGGAGGAGAAGGTGGTAGCTTGCTCAAACATTGACGAGGATTCAACAAACATCATCCAATTAATCCATCTTCAATAATATTCATTCTGTTGTCATTTTTTCAAGTTCTGCTTCTGTTCTTCCACATATTTCATATCTTCTGGGTTCAACGTAAAGAAATTTTCTTTCTGTTTTGCCACCCACTGCCTTATCTAGAAGGTAATCATTGACTGTCATGGTATATTACGAAAGGTGTTCTTGCTCATAGAGAAATGCCATTGCAAAGTGTAATTTCAAAATTGTTATGCAACATGAACTTACTGGCTGAAAACAATGATCAGACGATCGGTATTCATGAAAAAAGACCATGTATAATGTCATTGCTATAAACAAAAAAGTACAATGCTGCTAATATATTGTGTTTGTTACAATTAACTAATTATTTAAACTATTGGCAGTGTTTCTTGTTTATTACTAGCAATAGCCTGAGACAATCTATTCATACACAACATACACAATTCCATCTATTGCAAGACAATTTCACTAATTAATTAAAGTGATCTTGAATAGATCATTAGCCAATTGATAAACAGAGGAAACCATAGAGGAAACTTAGTTAACAGTCATTTAAACAAGGGTGTGTAGAATATTCATACACTAAAATGCTCCTCCCCCCTGTTTTAGTACTTAATATAAAATTTCACTGGAGCCACAAATTCGGTCTTGCAGTATTCAATGTCATCAATGAGTATTTCTCCTCAAACGACAGGCAGCATGCTTACCCAACGTTGCTCCAACAGTAAATCTTCTGAATAATTTTTCGCTATTTGGGAAGATCAAAGGTTTCTGAAGTAGCTTTCTTTCCTCTTCTGGGATTTTATCCCAGTTTTTTGGCAGTCCAAAAGATGGTTCTTTGTCGGACATATTGCCTTCGAAATTGAAATACCGCAGGGGCCAGGGGGGGGGGATATTTCTTTCAAGGCAAATTTTTTTAGAAATTGCGTTAAATATAGATAAAATGGAATGAAATATTTATATTTTTGTGATGATGTTAAATTCTCTAAAAGCGACCAGGCGGTGTAAAAATTACCTTGCAATTCTTTGCCCAATACTGAATCGTTGGAATGTCAAATCTTTGTGAGTAGAATATTTATATGAGTACGATGAATAAATCAGTCATATGTTTATATATGGTGATCGATGTGCCATGACTGCCATATATGTAAATTTATCTAAGTTTTGACACTGGTATTCCAACAACCATCACTTTATACCACCACATGATTCTTACCATCTGTCAAGTTTTAATCAAAATATTGGTGATGTTCCCCACCCATCGCTACTTGAGAACTAGTCATGAAACCATATACAATTTGCATAAGCTTGCCCAGAAGACCACACCCTCATCAAAATATGGTATCGAGTAGGTCAGTCACAAAATGTATACCTCAGTTTTCCTCTGTGTGGTACTGTAGGTCAACAACAACTTGGACGAAACAGGATGGATTGTATGATTTTGCCATAGTTGGAGGTGGTATTGTTGGTCTAGCAACCGCTCGGGAACTCATCTTGCGTTACCCGGACATGAAGTTTGTTTTGCTTGAGAAAGAATCTTGTTTGGGTAATGATCGACCTTCAGTTTATAAACATGTAGTTTACTCAGTTTATACTCTGTCACCATAGATTAGGTGCTATGTAATTAGGTGAACATTAATGTGAATTGTGTCCACTACATTATAGCCATGCATCAGTCCTCCCACAACAGTGGTGTCATACACTCTGGGATTTACTACACACCAGGAACCTTGAAGGCAAAACTCTGTGTAAAAGGACTTGATATGACATATTCATATTGCAAAAGCAAGGGAATTCCTTTCAAAAAATGTGGAAAGGTAGGAATAATGAAAGCAAAATCTCTCATGTCAGGACTTTGTTGATTTGCTGCCAATGGTTGCCAGTAGTCTACTTTAACTGACATTCACTTTTGTCTTTTTATTTGTCTGTGCATTTTCAGCTTATTGTAGCAGTTAATGATGGTGAGATTTCTAGATTGCATAATCTGTTTGAAAGAGGAAAAGAAAATGGTGCAAAAGATCTAAAGTTGTTGAGTAAACATGAAATAAAAACCATTGAACCAAACTGTGAGGTGAAAACATGCAAGCTTGTTTGTTTGTTTATTTTTGTTTGTTAATTTGTTTCTATGTGTGGGTGTTTTCCAATTTTCAGGGTGTGCTTGCAATCCACTCTCCCCATACTGGTATTGTTGATTGGGGTGAGGTTGCTAGATCCTATGGTAAAGAGTTTCAGAATAATGGTGGTGAAGTAATACTGAACTTTGAGGTATAACTTGATAACATTCAAGTACCTCCAGTTTGGCTTGTATTTGAAAAGGCCATGCCTAGATCAGTTAAGAAGAAACAGCTAAGAATAAACTCGCCCGTCAACAGATTTCTAGTCGTCCAACCACTGATTAAGTCACTTTGCGTCTTTCTAGGTTGCAAAATTCACGGGTAATGGACGTAGGTACTCAATTATTGCACTTGAATTTTAAGGTTTTAATTTGACTGTCTATAAATGGGAATGAATCGACCACGTTGTTTACAATATTACATGTAATCATAGATCAACAATATCCTGTTAAAATTACTGGAAAACAAGGGGTAGGTCACACCTGGAACTTATTAAATAATAACGACCGTCACCACGTTCTTAATTATTCGCGTTATTTAATTTCCATCCAACGGTCAAGTACTAGTTTTCTATGGAAGGTCGCTTAAAATGTGGTCTTATGTATGTACGGGATTTCAGGATGAAGTCTTTAGTCGTTACGCTGTGACCTGCGGTGGTCTTTACTCTGATCGACTTGCAAAACTCTCTGGTTGTAACCGAGAACCCCGTGTCGTGCCATTCCGAGGAGAATACCTCAAACTTTCACCAGAGAATGGAAAGCATTTAGTCCGTGGTAATATATACCCAGTAAGTTCAACGCGATAGTTCAACATCTCAGATCAGTTTGCGATTCACCAAACTGTGTTTATTTTGTCCAACTTTACGCACGTTGAAGCTCTGGGACCTTCCGTCTCATACTCACAAGTCACAACATATCCCTATTGCTTTCTTAATCTATATGTCCCTGATCCAACGTTGCCATTTCTTGGTGTTCATTTCACCCCACGTATGGATGGCAGCGTCCTCTTGGGACCCAACGCGGTGCTAGCGTTCGCCAGGGAAGGATACAGGATTAGTGATGTGAATATCAGAGATCTTATGGAGAGCGTAACTTTTAGGTAAAGACCTTGAGGTGTTTCTCTTCGTTTTTATGTTCAAACATGGTCCTAAACAGGTTCAAAGGCAGTTAGCTTGTGTGTTATCAACTCGGATGATATCTAATCAGTTTTGTGTATTCGTTTCCAAGGGGATTACGAAGACTTGCGATGAAGCACTGGAAGTTTGGTGCGAGCGAGTTTTACCACGGTTTAAACAGGAGGGCACAAGTAGAACGGTTGCAGAAATATGTTCCAAGTTTAAGACATGAAGATGTAACAAGGTAAAGAAAATAAATACAGGAGTTGTTTACAAAACAACATTTTTTGTCGACTTTCAAGCATTCTTTCATCCCTTCCAGAGGTCCAACAGGTGTCCGGGCTCAGGCTTTGGACGTGGACGGCAATCTCGTTGAAGACTTCATACTGGATCAAGGTGAAGGAGAATTGAGCAAGCGTTTACTTCATGTAAGAAATGCTCCGTCGCCCGCAGCCACGTCGTCGCTTCCGATTGCGGAGATGATCGCGGATCAAGTGGAAGCACGTTTTAATTTAACAAAGCAAAATTGAGATTACAAGCAGAGGATCCCTGGAAACGAATAGGACTGGTTGGGGTTTAGTGATTTTCAAATTGGCAAAAACGATAATTAGGTGTAACGTTGATAAACATGTGGAACTAATTAATCTCGGTGCTAATGCAATTAATCAGATCTTATAGCCTAACTAGCAATGGCTAATCAAACATAATTTTCTTGTGTGCATAGAATTAGCATGGTTGAATAAACCTCTCGAGATTCGATTAAGAAGTCATAATATTTTTACCTTTTTTAGTCTTTTTAATGTCGAAATTTGCCGAAATACAAAAAAGCCCCTCGCGTTAATCTTGAAGCAAAATTTATTTGTGAAGCCTGGTAGAGTACTATTATGATATAAGTCGCTGTTCTACAGTTTACAATGTTCATGGTCTAGTCATGCACCAAGAAATGCAAACGCAGCTTCTTTCTCTTCCACAAGTTCTTGAGCGGTCAAATCCATTTTCTCACGAGAGAAATCATCAATGCTCAGGTCGGGCACAACCGTGTATTCACGATTAGCCCCGATGGTCACGGGCATGGAATAAATTATTCCCTCGGGTATCCCGTACAAAGAACCATCGGAGAACACCCCCATTGATACCCAGCGACCCTGTGGAGGATGGGAAACGTTGAAACGGTATTAAGGTCATTTATATAAAAGAGCCTAAAAATGTGAATAAGACTGTTTTTAAACTAAAAAAACGTGAACTTAAGGCTGTTTTTAACTAAAAAAACGTAAACTTAAGGCTGTTTTTAACTAAAAAACCATTAAAAAACTATTTAAGGCTGTTTTTAACAACAAAAAAAAAACATGAAAAAACGTGAACTTAAGGCTGTTTTTAAGGACTAAAAATACACACTAAATAATACAGATAAACTTAGCTACGTTTGTTTTATTCTATTAGATATTCAGTAAGGAAAATTTACAATGATTTCAAACGTAAATACGGTCTGTGTCGTTTTGAATTTAAAAGTTTAAAACACTCACCTCAGAAGTTCCAAACCACCAGTTTCTCATGTGATCACAGATAGCATTAGCAGCTGACATGGCGCTCGAGAGTTTGCGAGCAGCAATCACGGCCGCGCCACGCTTTTGAACGGTCTTAAAATGGGAAAAAAAGAATTTTAGGGCTGACAAAAGCTAGAGATGGTAACACCATGGGAATGAGGACGAATTACCCACCGTAATGAAGTCTCCATGAAGCCAATTATCGTCATTCACCATTTCCCTGACTGGTTTATAATCGACGCCGTCCAGAGTCACAGAGGCGTGGCGCACGTCGGGGTACTGGGTCGAGGAATGATTGCCCCATATTGTCACATTACGCACGTTCTGAGCACTAGTTTTAAGACGCATACCAATCTGAATAAGGACAGATAGGGCGGTTTTTTGTGGATAATTAACAAGAAAACTTTACCTCCCCCTGTCAATGCAACTTGTCTTCCAGCCCCCTGTCAATGCAATTGCCTACTGCCCCTTCGATCAATGCATTTGCCTACTACCCTCTCCTGTCAATGCAAGTATGCAACTGCCTACTTCCCTCCTGTCAATGCAACTGCCTACCTCCCCCCTGTCAATGCAACTGCCTACTTCCCCCTGTCAATGCCACTGTCTTTCACCCCCCTGTCAATGCTGCTACCTACTTTCCCCCTGTCAATGCCACTGTCTTTCACCCCCCTGTCAACACTGCTGCCTACCTGGGCACATGCACGGTTCTGATCGAGCCTTGTAAGACAAGAGAAGTTCTTTGCAGGAATGCTTGGTGCAAAATGCTTCAAGATACAACAGTTTGTATTTGCAGGATTCCCCACAACCACTATCTGCAAAAAGAAAAGAATAGTAAAAAATATTACTGGAAAAAAACCTAAAAACATTGCGTAGAATGCACTGAATTTCTGCCTGAAATAAACACACATGATGCTATAATGAGTGTGTTAATTGAGGCAGGCTGCTAATTAAATTGGGGCAATTAAATACCTTCACACTTTTTTTCGCATATTGATCAAGCGATTTTCCTTGTGACTCAAAAATCTTTGCATTTCTTTGCAGCAAATCCTTCCTCTCCATGCCCTGTTTCCGTGGGAAAGCTCCAACCATGAGAGCAGCATCAATGTCCATGAAAGCTACCTTTTCGTCGGCTGTAGGAGTGGCTTCTAAACAACAGGAAAGTAGGATTGTATGAAAGCTCATATTTTACACGTTGTCGTAAAACTTATTTGAAAGTTCAAACCTCTCAACAGGGGGAAGGCACAGTCCTGTAATTCCATACAAACACCTTCCAAAGCTCCCAGCATTGGCTGAATATCCAACATGGTCAGAATCAAGGGCTAAAAATTGATCATAAATATGAGATTTGAATTTCATGTTCCTATAGTTATGACAAACAAATAACCTAACCTGCATTTCACAGGACCTACCTGATCACTTCCGAAGACATCTCCCTTTGCGACTGAGTAAAGAAGGGAATAAGCTATTTGACCAGCGGCTCCAGTGATGCAAACCTTTATTGGATCTTTTGGCTGCATCGAAAACAGTGGATATCAATGAGACATTGTGTTTTGGGTTTGAGGATACCAGTGGCGTAGCCAGGGTAGAAAATTTGGGGGGCGAACTGTGAGTGGGGTAGCCACAAACTATCTGGGGTTCATTCTCTTCTGGGAAAATTTGGGATTTCTAAGGCTTGGAAACGCCATTTCCCGCATTCTGATACGAGCTTTTACAAGTAATCGTAAGGTTACAAATCACAAAATTCTGTCATTATTACATTAGATCAACGAACAATACAAGTGAAAATCTCTTTAGATTTACTGATTACTCGTTGCTTACCTAACTTGATCCCCCCTCCTCATATTTTGCTGGATTTAAACATTTCATGAGAACGGTTTTAAAGACCATTGGGGAGGCGACCGCCCCCCCTTGCCTCCCCTTGGCTACGCCCCTGGAAGATACCCCAATTACAAGACTTATGCACAAAAACTTACACAACAGGAAATACCCTCCAGTGACCCTCCCCATCCAGCCCATCCCCCATAGGACCATGAAACATGAGCGGTATCACGTACTTCAGTCATGTATTTAACAATATTTCCCCAATAAATTTATAATGTATTGTAATGATCGTTGTAGAAAGAGCATAAACACTATTCCTAAAGCGATAATTGCAATCGGTAGGTTAAGTTGTGAGAAGATCTATTTACGAATCCCTGCATATAGGAGAGATCTTTCCGTCCTAAAGGTGCAGGCTATTTATAACAATTTCAAATTAATCACTTCAATAATTAAAACGCGCCGTCAAAATGGTAATACTGCACCTTTATACTTTGATTTTCTAATATGATACCAGAATATATTAATCGGTACACCTACCATTTTGTCTTGGTTCAAAGTTCGTTGTTCTTACAGTACTGATAGGAAGAACAGAAGTGATCCCGCCGAGGGTCTTTGCAAGATTATGTAAGTTGCACGATCAACACTCGTGCACTTTGCCACGAATTTCCGGCTATTTTGGCTTCGAAATTGAGCCCTTGATAAAAGGATTCTATTCCGGTCAGTGAATGTGGCCATTGAAACGGCGGTACGAATAGTGGTTTCCCCTACCCTCACACACCGTAGGTCCATAGCACCAAGCAGTGGCGGGTTCAGGGTAGGTCAGAATATATTACCAGAGCTCTAACTTGCAATCATATTGGTAGATTTTTATGTAAAAGTTTCTTCAGAAATAAGTACTCAATAGCGTTGTTATTAAGGTATTTTGAATTGAAAATTAGGCTGTGAATTTATTCTGTCTTACCCTGAGATTTCAAATATTCAGACGCAAATATAATACATTTGACCCTGCTGTAAGATTCTTGATTAATTTTCGTGCCAATGCGGCTGTTAAAATCTTTAAGTTGCTTTTGAAAACAGCGTCGCGTTGTCCGGCTTCCCTTCAGCGCATGGCTCAAACTCGTACCCAGGGTAATTTCGCTGTGTTATAGAAGAGGCAAGACAGCCCGCTGCCGTGGAGCGGGGATAAAAAAGACCGTGGGTACGAGGTTGCGCCCGGCTCTGTGTTTCTGATCATCAGATAAAAGCAAGCCTGTTCATACCTATATCACTGAACTCTCTCTCTCTATATATATATATACATATATATATATATATATATATATATATATATATATATATATATATATATATATATATATATATATATATATATATATATATATATAGACATTACTGACCTATATATATACAATGGATTGGGGGCTGCAACGGCTTGCTCTTTGTCAGTGATATAAAACTGATCATGAAATTTTTAAAAGACCGGCTGCACTCGTAATTTTGCATCCAAAAAGGTAATTTATATCGTCCTATTACTTATTTCCAAAAGTTCATTATCTATTTACCAATCAGTAGTATACTTAATTCTATTTTAATAGTATTAATTTAACATTCTATTTTAATATTATACTTAATTGTAACCCCAATTATAATTTTTCTATGTTATCAGCTAGAAATACAACTTTCTCTAAATTTAATTGTGTCAGTATCTCACACAAAAGCCACAAGAGTCTCGCTATTCATCATCGTTCTTGTCACAAACGTTTATCAGAAAACTAGAATTCGAATCACGTCGCAAACACCTCTTGCAACAAAGTCTGGAGAAACATTCAAGACAAGCCCTGCTGCAAACGAAAAGAAAACGAGCGAATATCGAAATAATTGCAAAGCATACAAGAAGAACAAGCATTGCAGGAAATATCCCTAAAATAAGAACCTCCAGCCATTTAAAAGCTTTGAAAACTGGCACGAAAGGTCCCTCGATATTTTGATGAGAACTAGAAAACACGGACCTAAACAGGTTGATCTGACCTAAAATGATTAGGCTGAACAAGGAAATGGACTCCAGGTTGTTCGAGAAAGAATTTTGAAATGGTTTGATTTTGAGATGCAGACAAAAGATGACAATGCAAGTAAGTGTCATGCAGAATAATCTGATGGATGGCTCGGTCACCACGCAAAATATTACAACCAAAATAAATCGACGAGCAATCAAAATGCTCTGCCAATACAAAGCTCCTCGCTTGCTCGTTGCATTTGGCTGTGCGTATGGACCTAGAAGCAACTCTTTCAAGGCGCTCAAATTTTCGCTTTCCTCGGCATGTTCGTCTTCAGATCGACAAACGATGCGGGCAAGCCTTTGAAACAAGAACGACAGAGGACAAACAACAGCTAAGAGGAAATTTCTGACGGTCATTTTATCATGGTAAAGCTTGAACGGAATCCAAGCGAGAACGAATATGAATGGAACGACAAAGATAACATTGAAAACGAACGACGCATATTGCCACCATTCGTAGCATACGACCTTCCCATTGTAAAACCATCTAAGCTTGCCTGCAACGGGGACACAGCGAATTAGCGAAATACTGACAGTAGCCAGGGTCACGTAGCCAAGGAACACTGTTTTGACGCTGGCTTGAAGGTAGGGAGAAATGTCAGGTCGAAGAAAACCTCTCTTGCAACGAATGAGGGCATGGAAGGCATAAAGAAGAAAGATTGCAGCGAGCGTCCCGAAGATCGGAGCAACTTTAAAAAGAAGCTTTGTCTTTGGTGTCAGACCTGGAATGGGGCAGACAAAACCACGATTTGTTACACCTGGTTGGAAGTTGAAGAAGCCAAGGACGGGCATGAGAAATTCAGTTTCAACGAATTCGGTCAACGAAGTCGACCAGAGAAGCAGTTGTGATATTTGGTAGAAATAAAAGATGATCTCTAATAAACCCGAAAATTGTCTTTTATCTTGTTTTGTTTGCTCTGATGAAGACAGCGATGGATTGTTTTGTTCAGTGTCGTCCTCAGGAACCAGATCAACGTGACGGTGTAAAGCCGTTTGCCAGTTTGCGAAGCGACTGCCATCTATAAACTTTTTAAACCAAAAAATCTGTCGGAAAGGATATTTTATCATTGGAGGTTTGAAGACGATGAGAGCTGCCATTAAGAAGACATACACTAGAAATACAATCCAGAACCAATAGTCGTTGCATTCTCGTGTTAAAGTACAGTTCGTTGACCACAGAGCCTCTGAATAGCCAGATGAACACATTCCACACATAAAACCAGTACGTTTACCTTGACAAGCATTGTACTCAGTGCTGTCAGATGGCGGGGACTTGCAGAAGCCAAACGGACAAGTGATGAAAGCCAACGTAGGTGGATTCGAACTAGTTTTATATCCCCAAAAGTTCGACTTTGATCTAATGTATGGAACACATACTGCGCCTCGCGGGCATGGTAGGCACTGGAAACCAGAATCTACATTCAATCCTCTCGCCGTTCCTCTTTGCAAAGAGTAGAAGTTATAGTCACATTTCCTGCATGAGAGAGCGAGTGCGCTGTCATCACGACTGTTTAGGCTGAAGTATTGATAATTAGTCTTTTCAATGGCGTGAGCCAAGGGACAGATACTCAGGGAAGAGTTATCCAATGATATTTGCTCTGCTTTGGGTATCAGGATTATTGGTTCGTCGACAGACTCAGTGATACGATTGAATGTTGTATTATATATATCCGCCTTTCCAGTGCCGTAAAACCTTAGGAATGAAGAGGCTACAAATTCCGTCCCATTACTCGTAACGATCTTCGGAATAGTTTGCCTAAACACACAATGGTTTAAACTCAGATCCGATTGACCACGATTAACAATTTGACCGCCTTGGAACTGAGCAAAATTATTCAAAATTGTGCAATTTGTTAATTTCACTTCCCCTCCTGTGACCGCCAAAACGCTGGAAACTAAAGCGACATTTTCTTTGAATAATACATTCACAATAACAACCTGAAAACTCCGCTCAAAACTGTTGTCTTTTTTCAACTTATAGCTGAAAAAATGGGGGACAAATTCCAACTCTATTGCGCCTCCTGAATTGACCAAATTCCTGTTCCGGGAAAACGAGGAATCTTCTATTCTTAGCGAGGGAGTTCCTCCCAATGAGACATAAAGTGCTCGGCAGGAATTGTTCTTAAATGTTGTATTCGTAATCAGAATCTTTGAATTGTACAAAAGCAGCAACATTACGGCCGTCTTGCAAGGAATAATCCTGTTGGAATCAATGATAGAATTTTTGCATGTAAGTGAAGTTTGACCTGTGATTAGTATTCCTCGAAGGCCAATATTCTCCCAAAATACACAGGTATCCAAAGTTACATTATTGAATCTAGATTTATTTGAATAAACAGCAAAACTGCTACCAGCCATATTTAGGTTCTCGAGGAAACGCGTGTTTTTTAAAGTGATATCAACTGGTGTTCCTCTAAGTACCAAAACCAATACACCTAAAGCATCATCCCCTGGCAGTTTGTTTCGAACAAAGCTAACATTGTTGGTTTGAAGATTAAATGTCGACGTTTCAGATGAGAGATATGCTTCGACAATACCAAACTGATAAATGGCGGTATTTTCAAGAAAATTATCATCGTAAAGCCGAAATTAGCAGTATCGTTGATATAAAAACCCAAAGCCCCGCCAATATTTCTCAGAAATGAACTGCCACGAACAATTGCAATAAGGTTGTTGGCAAGTATTAACACCGCAGCGCTGGCTTCCGTCACGATTCCTGAAAACGATGAATTAATTATATTTAGAAAGACGGAATTCCACGACTCTGGTGGGTCTGGTTTACCAATATATACCAAGTAACCCCAAATGTTCTCAAAATTTGAGTTTTGGACAGTAAGTATCGAAAACGATGCGTCGATTGCAATTACACCGCCCGAACCAATGTTTCTGCCATTACGAAAACAAGAATCACGAATGACTAGATAACAAGAAGCAGTGACAGCCACATCCAATACACGCCCCCCGAAAATGATCGAATTGTATCCGTCCAACTGAAAGTTTGAGATGTTGATATACGCTGAACCTCCATTCACAGAAAGAAAAGTAGCAAATGTTTTGTAAATAAACCCGTGATCCATTGTCATGAACAATTCGTCGGTGAAAAGAGTAAACATGGTGTCATCTTCGTCGCTCGGGTTTGTGTTGCTATTTTCTTCCATCCTCAGTTGATTGACTGCAAGCTTCGTCGTTCCAAGTTGGTTAACGATTAGAATAATTCCGTATCCCTCAAAGACGTTTTCCTTAAAACTGCAGTTTCTCATTTCAATGCTGACCGTAGAATTTCCCTCGCTGCAATTTAAAAAAAGAATTGACGAAAGAGAATTATCATTTTGAAAGAAAGACGTATTAGTTACGTCTATAGAAACCTCAATCCCAGCGTCGACCTCAATTCGTATGCACGCTTTATTCTGTTGGAAGACAACAGAATCCAACGTCAGATCAAATTGCCGCAGGTTGAACACTTCAATACGCATGCTGGTAAATTTCGTCTCCGCAAATACGGTGTCCTTTGCAAATACAGAGGCGTCAAAAAAGCGAAGAGATGTATTCAAAAAGGTTAGTCCGGAGAAGCCAACTTGTACACCGTTCACTAGCTTAGTTCCGTTCACCAACCAGGGGTTT